GGAATTTCTGGAGATGATAAACAAAGCATGTAAGTTACTTTGTTGATATTTAATGGATTTAAGTATGCTAACTGTGTTTCCATTGCTCAGCAGCTGCAAGTGTCAACAACAATTTCTTGTTAGAAAACAACTTCATTTATATTATCCATCTGGCTGTTTTAACTTACTATGACATTTTTTATCATACTATGACATTTTGGAACAAACTATACAATGACATTTTTTAACATAATATACCATGACATTTTTTATCATACTATGTATACTGTCTTTTTTTTCCATTCTACACTTTGACATTTTAAAACACTCAACTGGGATTTTTCTGAAATGCAGCACACGGTCAGGGTTGGACTTGAACCCATGACCACCAGGAGGGTTTAGTCACAATAGGTACATGCTAGACTACTAGGCCATTTGCACAACTTATCAATTTTAACCATAAATATTATAACATATTGTACTCTGACATTTTTGACAAAATATACTGACATTTTTTATTATACTATATAATAACATTTTTTAACATACTTTACTATCATATTTTTTAACAAACTATACTATGACATTATTTATCACACATTACTATGACACTTTTTAACAAACTATACTGTGACATTTTTTATTATACTATACTATGGCATTTTTTGACACACTACACTATGACTTTGTTATCATACTATACTATGACATTTTTAACACACTGTACTATGACATTTTTTATGATGCTAAACTGACTTTTTATTTTAACATACTACAGTTTGACATTTTAAAAGACTTAACAGGGATTCTTCTGAAATGCAGCAAGGGTTGGACTTGAACCCAACTATACAATGACATTTTTAAAAGTCAAATTCAGAGAATCTGCAAAAAATAAAGAGTCATTGAATGACACTTGCGATTGATATTAACTTTAGAGGCTATTTTTTTGTTTTCCTTTAAATTTGTTTTGGTGAAAATGTTTAAATATATCATCAGCATGCTTCAGGAGAGATCCTAGATTAGAGCTTTGAGGAACACCTATCTTATTGGTTGTGAAAGTGTGTATCTCACTGCTCAACCCTTAAGTCCCTGAACTTCCCGCAATATTATAGAATTAAAAAAGCTGTCCAGGTTTAGAGAGGACCTTTTTTTGGTTGACAAAAATTGGTTATCAAATGCCATCTCAGAGTCTGAGAATATTGTCTCAGCATCACCTCATCTGCCCATACTTGGTTTGTGTTTTCCATTTGCTCTCCCTGTGGAATAAAGTTTCCAAAATCCAAAATGAGTTGTGTATATTGTGGAGATGAGTTGCCAGCTGTTCAGCAAATGTTACCCTGCAAATTTAGAGACATCAGCTAAGATGCTAATAGGTCTGTAATTATACACATTAAATCTGGTTCCTTGATTTATGAGCCAGTCATCCTAAGATGACATTCCAACCTTAGAAACTTCCCATCTTTAATAGAGGCATTAATTATCGTTTTTATCAGTCCAGAAAATTAATGCATGTGTCATTTCTGAGAGCGCAGATTGAGACATATTGGTGGATGATAGATCTAGGAAGCAGGTCTATGGTCTTAACTCCATCTTTCCTGATGGCACTGATAGGTTTTCATGGAGCCTTGTTTCTAACAAAAAATGACATGCAGAATTTGTTCATTTATTTATTTTTTATTATTATTATGCCTCTATTCGGAGGAACAACAGATACATACAGAAATAACTTATTTAAGAATAAAATAGTTCCTTGTCTCTGTGGCTGGTCACAATTCCATGAAAACTGCAGGTCAAATTAACATTAAAATGTGTTTAACTGGACATTTCCATTGATGGTAAATCTATGAGGAGCAAAGCCCATCCCATGTTCCATTTTGTTTGTTCTCACATCTTTTTCATTCAGCTCCTTGTGTATTTAAACCTCCTTTGCTGTTTCTGCACCACCTCTCTTTTTCTTTTCTAATTGTCTTTTCCAACTGTGTCTAAAATGTCATGCTCTCCAGATGTATAATGAATAACGTTACAAATATCTGCCATGTTCTCACAGATTTGGAATGCAATCTGTGCCTTTACCAAATAGAAATCCTAAGGCACTCTAAAGCCCATGCACAGGTCTTTTGGCCTTGTGTTTGTGTGTGTGTGTGTGTGTGTGTGTGTGTGTGTGTGTGTGTGTGTGTGTGTGTGTGTGTGTGTGTGTGTGTGTGTGTGTGTGTGTGTGTGTGTGTGTGTGTGTTGGGGGGTAGGGGGGTAGTAGAGTATCACTTCACAAACAGAGATCCTGTGAGGTCTATAAAGTGCATTTTCCTGTTGGGAACAACAAATGGCCCAAGAGGATTTGAAAAAAGCAAAAAAAAAAATCCCACACAAACATCACATTAGGACACACAGACGAGAGTGATGCTCAGTTACAGCCAGGCGGGGATGCATGAGCAGGTTGGTGCGCGAAATGAGCTTGTCTGAGATGTTGAATGTAATTTCTAAAGACAGATTCACCCCAAGCCACTTCAGTGTCTCTAATGTGACAGCATACCAAGCTGTTAACTGTAGACCTCTATTGTACTCTGTGGCCTTTGGTACAATTACTGCCGCATGAGGAAACCCCTTAAAATAGTCTCTTTTCTGTGTGTGTGTGTGTGTGTGTGTGTGTGTGTGTGTGTGTGTGTGTGTGTGTGTGTGTGTGTGTGTGTGTGTGTGTGTGTCTAGGATGTGAAAAAGACTGTACAACAATGTGGTCTGCATGTACATAAGCGTGAACGCATGTGCTTGTGATTAAGCAGGATGCTTTCATGCAGTGCGTGGCTCTTTTATGCGCAGCACTGGAGGTTTCAGGAAAGATGGTCATTTACCCTGAAGGCCTTAGAGTCCAGCTGTCAGCCAAAAGTGAGACAGTCATTTGAAACAAAACAAAGAAAAAATTTAAAACAGAAATAGGCACTGATAGAGAAAGACAGGTAATGGGTGAAAATTTTGATTATTTTTCATTTTGCACAGTTGATTTGCAGTTATCTCTAGTTATAAGGCAGTACAATTGTCCCATGTGGTCTAGAAACAGTGTCAGCAATCTGCAGTGCTCCTGTTTGTCTGATTATTGTTTGTGGCTCACAACACATCCACTTCCAATGGGACAAATACAGCTCTTTGGCTTGACAACATAAAACTATTATGAGTTATTTTACTAACAAAATATTTTTTCACATCAATTTTCACATGGATACACGCACACACACAGAAACACTGACATTTAAAAGCAAATCTTTGTCAGCTATACAAGACACAGAGTCGTTGGTTATTTGGGAAATGCAGAAAGAATTTGAACAAGTGTGGAAAAAAACAACAAAACACTTAAAAAAAAGGAATTATATGGTAGCAAATGAATCTAAAAATGAAGCCGGAAAGCACAACCACAGTCAGTATACTTTCTTGTCAAAATCTGACATCTTATCACCCACAGTCCAACATGTAAAACCTTTTGTCTTAGGCTGCTTGCCTTCAGCTGATACGAAGAGCAGTGACCTTATAAATTCAGTGATTTTTAACTCCAAACTCCCAACATTATTTTTTTGATGTTGTACAAAACTTCTCAATCAATATTTGTGTTCTATTAATCTAATCTTACTTAACTTTTATTTTCTGGTTTACGTTACCCAGCTTGAAGTTGTATTTCGAAGAAGATTTAAACTTTTATTTTGTGGTACATCGGTTGTTTCGGTATTTGGAAGGGCCGTCAGCATCCATTTGTAAGAGAGTAAATTACACACTGCCTTACATTTCAACAGTGTAATTGTTTTTCTCATAACATGTTACGTAAATTACAGATGTAGGAGACACTTCGTGGAAGCCGACAAACAAAACTGGTTGCGTGCAAGTGAAAGCAAAAGCCCCTCAGGGCTTGTAGCCTTGCCCAGGTTAGCCGGCCCATCACTTTCTTTCAACACATCTAAAGTAACATGTTGTGCTTTTGGCATAAACATTTCTGTTTTAGAGCAGCTACCATCTATTAGACTCTCAACATGAGCATAACTGTGTTTACCATAAATTAACAGAAAAGCTTTTTGTTAAGAGCGAATCACTGTAATGATTTCTCCCTACATTTTAACTCTAAGTGCAATATATTGATGGTAATTACTGATTTTACTTTTTTCTTTTCATGGCTTTTCATTAAATACATTTTTATGTTGAAGTGACAAATCACATGTGAAGCACTTTAAAAAAATATATTCTTCTCATGATACTTCAGTTTGTTCAAGCTGTTGTGAGGTACTCTCTGTTTGTGTCATTTTCTGATATTCCTCTCTCTCTTTTCTCTTATCTTACCATATTTATGTGTAAACTGTGAATTTAGAGGAAACCCGGTAAAATTGTGTTATTTTGTAGGAGTATCACTGAGCAGCTAACTTGGGTGCGGTAGTTGGTATTGGTATTTGCCCTGGCTAAACAAATGCTTAAATCACACACTGTAGATACAGAAATTCCATTATGTAAGACAGAGGATAAATCAATAATCAAGAAACATGTGGAGAAAGTGTGGCAAGAATACTGGGATATCCAAGACATGGGAAGACACCTTTACAATATACAGGAGAAGGTTGGGTTGGGAAGAAGGAGCTGGAGGGAAGAAGCAGTCATCACACGACTTAGGATAGGGCACACAGGACTGAACAATTAACTATATAAGATAGGAAAACACCCTGATGGCAAATGTGATCAATATAGGCAGGCTGAAAGTGTCCAGCATGTGTTGTTGGATTGTGGAGGATATGAGGAGGAAAGAAGGACACTGGCAGCAGCAGCAGAGGAAGCAAGATGGCACTTACAGTACTATGGGAAACCTGCAAGGAGCTGAGTCCGAAGTTATTTAAGCATTTAATGGCACATTTGAAGAGAGGAGAGGATCTCATTTCCTCATTGTTATTATTTTATCTTTACTATTTATTTTGTCTGCCAATTTACTGTCCCACACTCCAGTCCAGTAGATGGCGGTAATGCACCTTTAAGTTGGTTTGCCAATAAACTCCATTGAAGAAGAAGATCGAACTCATTTACTTCCGTGTAAATTTTATGAATGACTCCAACTTACCCCGTCTAGCTTGCTAACCAAACAGAAGCGACAGCGGACCTCACAACTACTGCTGCCACCGAACCGGCCAAAATGGACTATACAGCGACTCAGAGTGGGTTCAGACAGCGTAAGTTACGTACGTGAGTTCGTGGATCAAACCAGTCAATTATTAATCACGCAGGCTGCACGTGCACAGTGTGTTCTTTCTCTGCTGAAAGCCGCTATTTTTAGCTAATTTCCTACTAATGTTACACAACCTGTCAAAACAGACACCGAAACGTTATATTTAGCCAGCTTGATAAACGCAGACCGACAGAGCAGAAGATTTGAGCACCTTAATAAAGACCATTAGTGTGTCTATATAAACATTAGTGCTAATAATAGCTGAGGTTTCTGGCGAGGCCGGGCGAGCTAACGGTAGTCCCCTGTACACACCCCTCTGTGAGGAAGACTGTGGTACACTGTATTTACGGACTGTTGTTACAAACTTAGTGAAAACATGTTATCACTGTACAGTTGGCTCAGCATTGTAGTTAAAGCTGTAGAAGACGTGCCTTTCAATATGAGGTTTATTGACACACCGATTATCCGATTAGTCATGTTTAAATAGACTAAAACCACTGACTTGTGATCGTATTCAAAGAGGTGTTAGTACAGTTAGTTTCAAATTTTACTGAGATAAAGGAGTGTAACAGACTGCTGCTGCTTTTTAATTAGTCACATAAGAACCAAGCAAGACTCACGTGTAATATCACACATCACCAGTTTGTTAATCTCTATAAAGTACGAAAGAATCAGTCCATTACGGACTACCGCGGGGGTGACGCAGCTCAAGGAAGAACATGTATGATCATTTTGCACTGCAGACGCGGTAGTTCTTCTGCCTTAGCGTCTCGGTCTGATTGCATTTCTATAAAGAAATCATCATAAATGTCCTTCCTTGAGCTGTGTCACCTTGCTGTGGTCCGTAATGGACTGGCCCGAGGTCTTGCTACAAACAAGCGGCTGCTGGAAGAGAGTAGGTGAGTTGTGTTTAGTCTCTCTGCTAAAGAAATCAGGCAAAGTTAAAAAGATGTTTGGTGGCTAGTGCTGTGGTTTGGACCCTATATGTACTGTTGATGAAGTTAGGTGCTGTTCTGAGTATTATTTGTGGCTATAGAGTGGCTTTTTGGTTCAGGTTTGTGTTTGGCTCCTCAGACCGCTGTGTATTGCTATCGTGCGGTCGTTACTAAAGTTGGTATAACTAGAGAAGCAAGTGGTCAGCAACATTCATCTCAGGAGGGGGTGTCTAACTCAGTATTGCGATGTGTTTGACCCTAGATTTATTTTATGCCGGCATATCCTTTTAAACTGTAAAATCGACAAATAAGGATGTTATACATCTTGGTATCTTCAATGTTGCTTAATACCCCTTTTAAAAGTGTGTTGTCCAATATCTGCATTTTGACTAACCAGCCCTCACAAAATCAATATCACTGTTACCTTTTCCAGATGAAAACATAACTTTACTACTATCTTTTAACAGCATATTAAAATAATCACTGGCCAGTGTTTTAACATTGTATTTTAATTTTAAAAATTAACAGCAGTGTTCTGAAATCTGTAGCTTAATCGAATTTCTCTGTCTTTTTGACTTTGATTAATTATAAACCCATCTCAAACATGTTACTGGATAAGATGACCCTGTAATTGGATTTTAATAAACTTTTCTTTTAACATCACTATAACCTCAAATTATGTTTTTCTTAATTATATCTGGTAGCTGAGCAGAAGTCCCAAAGTCTTTTGTACCAACATTGAACTGACCCAAATAATGTTCTGTCTATATTTATTTGATAAATGATTAACTCGAATTCAGCAGGTTTTTCACCCACTCATTAGCTTTTTCATGTTGAAAAAATATCACTAATCGGACATCAGCCCACCTGCTCCCAAATTTTTACAAAAAATCGGTCAACCCCCACAGATGACCCTCCCTTCCAAAAGCACATTTTAAACATGTGTAAATAGTCTTTATTAACATCCTACCTCAGTGATAGCACTGAGGCATACTGTTATTTTATAATGTAGACAAGACAAGTCAGACTTTGAGCTCTTTTGTACACTTTGTATGCGGTAGAAGGACACAAGATGTCATGTACCTTGTTTGCCATCAGGGAGGAGACGGAGAGGAGATCTGATCTTTAATCTTGGAGCTTTAAGGATGATGTAATCTGCTCTGGTATGAATGTGTGGTAACATTATCCCTGCCTTAGGGGACAGATTTTAAGAGGTCTTTTTATTCACATTCATACTGAGATTTTATGCACATTTGTGCAAACAATTTGGCCAGTGTTTATGTGCAGTTGCTGTGATGCTCTTGTTATTCACTTTTACATGGACACCCCCTGAGACAGAGGTAATGAACTGAGAGGTGTAACAATACAAGATTAAACAAGTCTAATTGTACCTGATTCATGTTAAGAAGTTAACACCTTTCACTCTAAAACTGATGATCACAGGAAAGACTTTGAATTCAAAAAATTTTTTCTTTCTTTCTTTCATTCTTTCTTTCTTTCAATCTTAACAGTTGTATATATGGTATATATTGTTCAACATTTATTAGAAAAGCAATAGTAACTTAAAGTTCCAGCACTTTCCAAGATGCAAACAGTGTTGGTGAGTCACTGTGTTTTTACGGCTCTATGATCTGCTTGCTTGCTTCTTTCAATGTCATTTTGATAAAAAATACCTTTGCTTGCATTACTAACTAAAACTGTTTTTTTCAACTCAAATTTTGATGTATTTGTGAGGTTTAGATTTACTCATATTTACCTCTAAGTAACCACTGTCTCTTTGATTCAGAGCCTAATATGCGTCTAAGGAATAGCTCCATGGATGGCTCAGAAGGCAGTCAGCTGTTCGAGGATACGAGCAGAGCCACACCTGGATCCCAGGCAGGGTACAGGTGGGATACATTTCATACATTCCCACAATAGCAGTTCGATATAAAGCACATTTCCTCACCTAATGTAATATTTATCCTTTAGTTGCACATGTAGTTTGTATTAAAGTGAATCAGATGTTGTTTTTGTATTTTGACTGCTTATGTCGCATCAAGGGCCAAAAAAACAAGCTACCATTTCAAATCCAACATCAGACCATCAAAGTCATATTTGATGGTGTGCACACACACACGTTCGTTTATCATATTCTTTTAATTGATATGATTTTTCCATTCTGATAGCAGGACCCAGCAGACTGGACCTCAAGCAGCTGGATACCCTGGCCAGTCCATGATGCAAGACCCCATGTCACACTTGGCCATGACATACGGTGCCTCACTGGCATCACAGGGAAGGGAAATGATGGACAAGAATGTAAGACATGTTCACAGATATTCTTTGTATGCACAGTTTGTGAAGGTCTTCCTTTGAAACAGTCAAGAATTGAAGAATATTCACGGCTATTTCTGCTGGAAGGGTTTCCCCTAAAATAAGCCAAAAGCCATACTGGATAATATTTCATTTTGTACGATAACAAACTTGGGTGAATAATGTCGGGTGCATCGTGTGCCTTCTTTTTTCAGCTGGACAGGTTCATCCCAATTTCTAAGCTCAAATACTACTTTGCTGTGGATACAGTGTATGTGGGAAAGAAGTTAGGCCTCTTAGTTTTCCCGTACATGCATGAGGTAAGTCGTCTAACATATTCAAGATGTCACTCTTGTGTCAGGAACACCATGATATTTTGAGATATGAAATATTAAGAACTCATGAAATGTGATGTGCATTGTGTGTGAGGTGTAAAGGATATAATAGGCTTTATGTGTGTGATCATTTCTGTGTTGTAGAACTGGGAGGTGAGCTACCAGCAGGACACGCCTGTAGCTCCACGCTTTGATGTGAACGCTCCGGATCTCTATATTCCATCTATGGGCTTTATCACATACGTCTTGGTGGCCGGGCTGGCCCTCGGAACACAAAACAGGTAAATAGAGATGCATGCTTTTATACATGCCATAGAATACAACACCCGAGCTTGGAGAACTCATGTTGGGCATGTGACATCTAGTCCACCATGTTTACACTAAAGTCACCCACAGACGGTCAATCTTGTGTGTCCTGCAGATTCACCCCTGAGCTTCTGGGAGTTCAGGCCAGCTCAGCGCTAGTCTGGCTGATCATGGAAGTCCTGGCTGTCCTGCTGTCGCTCTACCTCGTGACTGTAAACACTGACCTCACCACCATAGACCTGCTCGCTTTCTCCGGCTATAAATATGTTGGGTATGTAAACTTGAGCAAGTAGCTCTAATTGTTCTGATATCTTAAAATTTGATGATTCCAGACAACTCTGACCTGTGAGTGTATCCTTTGTGTTTGTGTCTTCAGGATGATCATAGGCGTGGTTGCAGGCCTGTTGTTTGGGAGGCTAGCATACTACCTTTCTCTACTGTGGTGTTGTGCTGCCATTTTTGTCTTTATGGTGAGTAGCGGCGACTGTTAACTTTCAGGAGGTTTATTTGCAGAGTTTCTTAAAAAAGAATTTGCTTGGTTTGAAATTTATAAATGTGAGTTCACGACTGAAGGACTATGGGAAAATGTGGGTCCCAGAGTGAGACCAGTTGAGAACCACTGCTGTAAATCATTCAGTTGAAACTTTATCTCAACGAAAATAAAAAAAACTCATTATGATGGGCCTCTTATTCTGGTCTCTCCTCAGATCCGCACTCTGCGCCTGAAGCTTTTATCTGAGGCAGCAGCAGAAGGTCGACCAGTGAGAGGAACCAGAAACCAGCTGAGGATGTACCTCACCATGTCCATAGCAGCAGCACAACCCATCTTCATGTACTGGCTCACCTACCACCTCATCAGATAAAACCTGAACAAACACTTTTTTGGTGAACTTGGCCGTCTGAACGTCATCTCAGCCACTAGAAACACACACAAAGAAAACACACTCATAAACACAAACATATCATAAGAGTTGGAGGAAACACCCAGTGGCTGCAGTTGTCTGGATGGTAACCCATCTCTTTCCAGAAATAAAGACAGAAGTGCTCATACAGAAGACTCACTCCATGTATGAATGGAGTCAAATATCACATGCTACAAAACGAATAAGAAGTGAGGAATCTCTGCCTCCTCTCTGACAGCACAGCCCTGTGTCTTTGGTCTTGCCTTTATTTTTTGTCTTTTTTTATGTGGTGTCTTCAAACGTTTGTAGCAAGAGCAAGTGGCTTTAATTTCTTTTTCTACAGTGTGTAATTATATGTTAATTAAGTTTTATAGGACTATTTAAGTATGTTTGTTTAAAGTAAGAATATTACAGATGTCACTCATCTGATATCTTGAGTGAAATTTCTGAGCCGACCGAAAGAAAGCACACTAACTTCACACAGACTGTCCACCTCATAGAAAGGAAGGAACTCGTTTTAGGTTTTAAATTAAAGGACCTGGAAAATCGGTGCGTGTCTAAGTGTGGGTGTGCACAACCTCATTTTTATCTATTAAACATTTTTGTATGTGCTTTGGTACATGTATGAGCTTTGCTGCCTGATAACTCAAGAATAGAAAGTGTTAAGTAACATGAAGCTGTAGGGCTTACTCTGACTTTGAAAGAAACGAGTAAATTATTAACTGCTTTTCATATTTAAGGTCAGAGGGAATAAAAAGAGATTAGATGAGCTCTTCTGTGGAAAATGTCTCCAGTCTTCTTGACACTTGAAATGTTTTAATGTAAGAAATGCTTCTTGTGCTTTATTGTGTTTGTAAATCACCTGATGTCACCGAGACACGAGCAACTAAGCTCTTTGTAAATGTAGCTAACGTTAACAGACCAGGGTAAGAATCACATTCACTTTGTTCATTCAGGAAATCTTCAGAAATTCAGGAGCTTTGCATTTTTTTAAGTGTGTACATATTAATGAGTGACACTGCAATGTTCGGTTACTTGAGGTGCCAATAAAAAACTTTGTCTGAATGTTGTGGAAAAAGTGCTCATCATAGTGTTCAAAGTAAATGATTCTACTGTGAACTGATCATGATCAGGTCTGAGCTCTGACTGTGACAGGGCAGAAAGCACACAACCTTTGAAGCCAAGCCATTGGTATCACTAACATACAAATAAAGTTTTTGACTAATTGAGCTTTTCTTATGTTTTATATTGGAAATCTTGAAAGAGTAAAAAGATTATTTTAATGTGTTGCCTTGAGTAAAAAAAAAAAAAGAAAATCATCAAATTATAGTCAAATTACCAAATTTTAAACATGATAAAGTGCAATTTTTATTTTGCAGATTTGGGAACAAAGAATACAAGACATAGTTTCCTAAATTAAATGCTCTTATGTGACACTATCTGTGATCATACTTGTATAAATAAACATAAAGTCAGCTTGATGCTGAGAATTTTAAAGAGTAAAACAAATGTGGAGTTATTCACTCAAGAATGGACTAAGTACGGTAAAGATGGTGCACTGGTTATATATTTGTTTTTACCTGCTGGCACCTTAACACCTGACAGCCAAAAATATTAAAAGAGATTAATTGAGACTGAAGTGTTAAACATGTTTAAGTGGTACTGAAGTGGGCAGTAAAGACAAAAACAGGAGTGATAACTAAACAAGATCACTGCCCGTATTAATAAATAATGGTGAGTTTTAATATTGTAATCTTTCTCAGGAAGACCTGGTGAATTTACTCAGCAGTGTTTTCTTTCCAGAAGCCTCTGTTGTGATTTATCGCCTGGAGGAGCTTCGTCTCCATCTCCATCTCCTCGACAGGGTAGCTCTGGTAGAGAGGCAGTAAGAGCAGATTGTGGCAGGTGAGGGACTCTGGCCGATGGGTTTCATTGGCATTAGGAAGGACAGCAACTCTCATCTTGATGCTCTTCATACCCAGGAAGGGTACCCGGTCAGAGCCAGTGAGGAACACTGGCATCAAAAACAAGGTAAAAAAGTGAGTTTATAATCTTAGATTTGGATTCACAATGATAATCAGCAGCATGTTTTACTCTTACAGAAGAACTTCTTCTTTTCCTCAGCAGTTAGTCTCTCAAACACCTTCCAGAAGACTATGATGTTTGGATGCTTGGCATAATAGTCTCCTTCATACACTGCGTTCTGTATGGGAAAAAGGCCACAAACATGACATATTTCAGGGGAATGTCCCCACCTGCAGGTGACTTGGTTAAAAGGATGACAGACAAGATAAGGATGAAAGATGTCTCTTCACTGGTTACAAAATCCGATAAGCTTTTTGCATACCTGCTTGAAAACATCCCAGTCATAGTCCTCCTGGCCCATCATCACAGTCTGCAGCTCCGCCGGCTGGAAGAAGTTCACATCGTCGTACTCAAACACCTTAAAGAAGCCCCTCTTGAACTCTTCAAACACTTCTTCCACTGATTTGTTGAAGGCGTAGTCAATGAAGGTGTTAACAAAGTGTTTTCTACCCAGAAAGAAAAAAAATCCAAACATTGCACAAATAACAAAAACCAAAAGCTGACTTTATTTTTGACAAATTAAAAAAATCTAAATGCTATTTTTGCGTACACATACTTGTTTGATGCTGTGACAGCTTTTCCAGGTTCTGCGGGTTCAAGCTCAACACTCTCACCGTCCCATGGAACCTTTAATGAAATATAAAGAGTCAGATCGGATTATTGCAAAAAATAACTCAAAGAAATCACAGACTAACTGACAGTTTTACTTCATGTTATCACGTTTCAATTTTTCTCTAACATACAGTAAAAGTGGCCTCCAGGTCTTCCATGTCAGCAGGAGTGTAGTCCTCAAGCATGCACCGCAAAGACCTAGAGACAAACACAAAAACATTCATTCAACAGAAAACTTTGAAAAAATATGTAATCATTGTTGTCAAAGAAGGTAGCAGAAAAACCACTGTGGGTTAAAACAGCACAAACATTATAGCCAGAGATGGGCACCTCTTTGAAAGTCGAGTCTCAAGTCTCTAAGTGTAGCAGCAAGTCCCAGTCAAGTCCCTCATAATGTCAATAAGTAACAAAATTGTGACATAAGACAGTAGCAGCCAATGAGCTCTATTTTTACAGCTTAAATCCTCATGAATGCAAAAAGAAATAATTAATCTAACTGAAAATGTGCAACAATTAAAGGTGGGGTAGGCAGGAATCCGTTAAAGAAGCATCTGTTTTTGTGGTGTATATACAAAAAAGCTTTTTATATCAGTCAATAGCTATTAGTTATTGGTGACATTTGGTAATATGATATTGCTGTGTTTTGTTATGGCTGTGCAGTCAACATTTTACATTTTTTGAGCAGCCTGTTCTTTCTGACTGTAAACAAAGCCATTTTCCGACCTCCTTAAACTTAATTGGTTGTGAGGTGGACGCTGCTCCTTAGTGCTGATTGGTTGTGAGGCAAACGTTGCTCCCCCATGACGTTCAGGAGCCCAAACAAAGTTAGCGTGCTACAATATCGGACAGTAGAAACCAACCAGAAAGTTCGGAAAATTGTCTGAATCCTCCTTTGGCCACGACTGCCAACACAAGCAAGAAAACAAAGTAAATACCAGAGACTCTGGGGGAATAACGGGCGCTTAAAAAGGAGGTAAAAGAGCTAAAAAGCCGGGTCAACAATGATGGGGGACGCTTTGCAATCTTACGGACCCTGAAACCTTTCTGCTGGACAGGTAATCCGCTTTAACAAAGTAAGCCAAGTGTCTGTAACAGAAGTGTTTCTTGTCAAACGGGACCTGCTGCGTGTTGTAGCGCCACTAAACTGTTGACCTCGGGTCCTGGAGTATGTCACTTTAACCTAGTTTTAGAAGTCCTGCAAGCATTGTGTTTGCTGGTAGCCCGTTGGCATCTACAGTAGCACCAATGCTTTTTTACTTTCACGTTGACCGGGCCACATTTGTAGTTATCTGAAGTATTTATCTGCATTATATCTGAATTTAATTGAAACTAGAAAAGCACTCATAGAGCACAGACCTCCGCCAAGCAGCTCATGTCCCCCCTTAAATTGTGATTCACACCAAAACTTTTACTGTTACGTGTCTTTTATTAATGTTTATTTGTGTTGAAACTGGTATGTTCACTGTTCATAAAACAAGAAATGCCCTGACTGGGATTCAAACCCAGGTCTTTCTGGTTGTGAGGCAACAGTGCTAACCACTACACCACTCTGCCACCTATCTACCCCACTGTGCCGCCCATTGGTTATCATTCAGCATTGAAAATTCCAACAACACCCTTGTTTTTGTGTGTTCTGGATCACAGTATCCAGAATTTTGTCCGGATCACCACCAAAATTTCAGGTCAATTCGTCTCTTACTCTCTCCGTAAAGTTGCTAACAGACAAACAAACCTAGCTACCGAATACATAACCTCCTTGGCGGAGGTAACGATACCAGCGAGCAGGAGCGTCTGTTTGTGGGCGGGGCTTGTTAGAGCAGAGAAGGAGGGGAGAGGAGGAGCTGAGGGGAAAACTGGTTGGGAGGGGTAGTGTTTACATTATTCAAAAGTTCTCCCAAAAACTGGCACTTCCTCAGATCCTGCCTACCCCACCTTTAACTGCAAAGAAAGCTACATTCAGCGTTTTAAAACACAGCTAACAGCCAAAATGGTTGATTGTAACTAAAACCTTTAACTATGATAAGGTAAATAGCCAATCATGGTTCAGAATTTTGGGTGTATGACCAAATTTCAGGGAAGGGGGAGAAAGTCTGTATATGAGATGCTGATCGCAGACGTTAGCCTGCATTATAAGGAGAGACCTTCATGGAAAATTGACTAAAATCTGTGCCCCTGGCCTTCTCAGTTATGATCCATCTGTGAGAAACATTGTGCCATTGCACAACAGGTAATGCACTTGCTGTGGTGGAGCCGCTTGTGCACCAGAAGCAAAAGATTAGGTGTGTCAAAAGGGACTGATACTGCTCTTGTGACAAAGTAGCAGACAAGTCCTAAGAGTCAAATCCAAGTCCAGACTGAAGCCACGTTAAAGTCAAACTTGAGTCCCCATCTCTGATTACAGCCTCATGTTGTGTTGTCCTCGGACCCTTACTCTGCCATTATGGGGTCAAACTCCCTCATGTCATCCAGTGAGGGTTTGATGCGAAGCAACTTCTTGAACAGAACGAGAGGGAAGGGCAGGTGGATGATGATCTTGTTGTAGAGAGCCAGTCCACACAGAACGCCAAAGAAGAAGTAGGTCTTCTTCTCCACTTTTGGCTGTTTGAATGGTGATAAAAATGGTCAAATTTAAAGGCTGTGAACTCTTACAGGTGGTTTCAATGAAAGAAAGACAGTACAATGAAGCATCAGACACCAGTAGAGGTGACGCTTTTGTACCGAAATCAGTTCTTGGTCAACTGGTCTTACCTTTGAAGGGAACCACAGCAGCGTCTTACTCTCATTGGACATGAACATTTCAGATTCAGGAGCAATCAGCTCATCAAACACATTCAAGAAGAGGTCGCTCTTGTTGACATTCATCACCTTCCTGTCATCCATAAACTGCACCTGAGAAGGATATAATGATCATTTCTGAGTTACCCAGCTCAACTCCAAGCCCTCATCAAAAGAAAAAGGTAGTAAACACTTGAGCGTTTACCAAAAGCTCTCTCTGAAAGGCAATGTGGTCGGCTGCAGCAAGGTGTCTAAAGGTGTCCTCCACCAGGTGAGTGCGTCTCAGAGTCAACTGGAAGTATGGGGGCGGTGCAGAGTCTACAAGTCCTCCAAACAGTTCAGCATGCATTGTCATGGCCTTTATATAAAGTTCTTCCTGTAATTGCAAAACCCCTTTTCAAAGAAATGTCTTAATTCAGTAAAAGCTAAAGATGTATTGTTCAATAAAATAAAAACATATTCTTTAATGTAAACATTTCAGGGCATACTGTACCTTTATTTTGTTTGCACGGGTGTGAAAGAGTTCCACCTTGCACTCAAGAGTCAACACGAATGGGTAGGAGCAGAAAATTGATGGTGTATTTTCATCATGCTTTGAAAAAATATAAGGATTTAGACATAAAGAGATCAGGGGGTAAAAACAGGATTTTTGTCCAAAATGCATTATCATATACAATCCACTGAACATGTTAGTACCTCCACTTTAGAATGCTGGGCTGACTGAACCACATTATCATAGATTTCCTCTACATGAAAGGTGGTCAGAGGGACTTTGTAGGGCTTCCCAGCTTTGTTTGCCTGTGACGAGAACAACACAAAAAACAAAAATGTATTTGGTAATGTATAATATCTGCCAGACAAATCATGGACAGAAGCAGTCAATCTAAACCTCTGTTTGTTTGTTCTTTTTCGGTCTCTGGTCCTAAAAAGAGGTTAAACTTTCGTGACCCTTTTCTCGTGTACATCATGTATTTCTCTTGAAATACCGACCTTGTAGAGCAGCTCGAGGGCCTCCAGCTGGAATCTGACATCTGTGTTGTGAGTTTCCAAGAGTTGATCTCTTAGTAAGAAGGCCAGGGCATTTTTGAACACCATGATGTGCTTGGTGAGAATGGTGGGTGTCAGAGAAGACCACCAGCCCTCTACAGAAACAATAACAGTTATGTGGTTTAGTCAGTGATGGCATATCCAGTCCAATATTCACACTTTTCTAACTATTGAGACGCAAAAAAACCCTGCTAATATTTATACAAAACTATATACAAATCATTTAAATAAGTTGATAGCAATAGAGTATGTTGAAATCATTCAGCACATTTACAAAAAGAAACTTCAAAAAGGAGAAAAATAGAAATGCATTTTAACTGATCTTCATCTTTAATGTCTAACTTTGTGTTTTTACTATTTGACAGTTGCATGAATCATACCTCCCCAATCCCATGACAAAAAAGACAAGTTTGCAGAACTTATTTACTTAGTGTTTCACGATTCTTCTCACTCATATCTGCAATAATCCTCGACAAAGGCACCACCGTTTTGGCGACATAACAATCCTCTAGGAGCAGCGGACACGTCAGCAGGACCATGAAGATCTCTGGTGATTTTATGTCTTTTGAAGCCATCAGCAACTCAAAGAGGACCTGAATGTTCACCTGCAGAGAAAACAGATTTATGAACACCTTGTTGTGTCTTGAGTAAATACACAAATGATCTTGACAGTGGCGTGTATGCTCTTAACTGTTTGTTTGATCCATCGTACTGCCAGCATCTGGTCAAAAACTCTGCTAGCCGCCTCGAGGTCAACAGTTAGCGCACCTGCTGTTCTTGGAGATGAGCTAACGACATCAGAAAAAGGTTTTCGCAACAAAATCGATCAGTCAGAGTTAAGTTACCCCCTCAGTTTTCATTTAAAATCGTAACATGAGATCTGGTTTTGTCACTATATATCACAGTTGCAGCTGATTTAAAAAAGGACTCACTTAGCCATCGTGAAACTTGCAACAAGACTGGAACTGGAGAAAAACATTCCACTCACACCTCTGTTCAAAAAAGAGCGCGCTGGAGTTAATGCACAAGACTGATAACACACATGTGGAGGGTCACAAACAGTATATGTAATTATGGATAAAGACCTTTTTGCCTCTGTGTTGCCAGTTCTCAATGATAACCAATTCTGCAGTTTGGTCTCATCAAGTCGCCCTGTTATCTGTCTTTGGTTTGAGGTCTGAAAGACAAACAATATTATCCCATAAAAGCAATGACGTTAGTACTTTAAAACAAGGAAACGTTATATAAGTTGTATAAACAACAGTTTTTTAGACAGAAGTACACATTACCTGTGTGGGTGAGAAGAAAGCAAAGTTTGTGTTCCAACCAGCTGATATTTTCAGGTCTGCATATAAATAAAACAACCATGAACTCTCCATTAGTGTTATTTAAATCTGCTAGCCTTCTACCACCATAATCTACACAGCAAACATTTGAAAAGAAGTAATTTTACACAAAATATTAAACCGTCAATAAGTGCCAGTAGTTTTAAATGAAATATAAACTGTGGCAGTGATATTATTAAGTAGGGCCCGACCAATTTATCAGAGAGGCGATTAAATCGCCATATTTTGGCCTGTTTGAGACTAATCGGTAATCGGCCAAAACTCGCCGATTTTCACCAATATTTTCAGAAATAAAATGCAGAGAATAAGATTCGGTTTCACTTCGAAAATTTTCCTCCATTTGAAAAGTTTTCCGACTCCTGCAGATTGGCGCAGCGACCTCATGACAATCTTCATCTGCTAACTACCTCACAGCACTGCAGAGTGACGGATCTAAAGCAGGCAGCTCAGGGACGCAAGGAGGGGAGTGGTCCGTCTTAACGGTAAATAAACCAGTTTGTGAAATACATAATAAGTCAACAAGTTTCAGTTCAACCCACTTCACGATGTTTCCCACTGTGCTGGTCTCAGTCACTCCGAGTTAACGGTGAATTACCATGAAATATGCAAGCTAAAGCTAGAGTTAGCCATCTGCTATCACCCTAGCTACACTGTTAGCCGTTCCAGTAACGGTTGAATGAATCACAGTACACATTACGTGATCGAGCTACTTCTCTTAGTGAGGCAGCTGCATGTCTCCAGATGAGACTGGACCGAAAATTGGTAACGCGAGTTACATTTTTTGAAATTGGCCGATTAATCAGTAATTAGACCCCCCCCCCCCCCCCCCAATAATTGGTATCAGCCCCCAAAAAATAACATCGGTCGGGCTCTAATTATTAGTGCTCCACTTAATGCCTGATGCATCCCCTGGGATATTTCAAACGAGTTTCAAATAAACTCATGTCAAGGACAGGTTCAACCCTGACTTATTTTTTCATAAAACTATACACCACATACAACATGTTAACATATTCTTACTGCTGGGCATGGCTGCTTGATCATCATTCATCAATGGAAGTTTTACGAGTGTGGGAGTCAGACTGTCCTCTGAGCCTCCTGTCCCGATTTGACCTTTGGCCCCATTGCCAAACGCCCACAGCTGGCCAGAGGAGCCCAACACCAGGGTATGATATCTGGGAGACAACAGAGAATTTTAACTTAATTGAGAGACTACATGTGTTTTCTTTATTTATAGATTTGAAAAATGATTATTTTTCAGTATCACCAGAACATGCCAAAATTGACAAACTCTTTATTGAATTCAGTGCAAGTCATTAAAAATAATTTTACCTGCCACATGCAATCTGTGCTGCAGGCCCATCCACACCGTCAACCAATCTGGGCGCTTTTTCAATTTCAGTGGAGTTGTGACCGAGCTGGCCGTGTCTTCCCTCTCCAAAAGTGAAAACGTTGCCTTCCTAAAAAAAATCACAGCATCAAATAATACCATTAACAATGTCCTTAAACTATACTTATCTACAAAGTATGAATGAAAGCTAGAGCAAATGAGTACCTTTGTTAAAACAGCAGTGTGTGCCTCTCCACAGCTGATAAAGGAGATATCAAGAGGCCGCAAGGCAGGTACCACACAGATGTTGAACCTGCCTGAGAATATGAGATACAAAAAAAAAAGGCTGAAAATACTGTTGACTTATTAAAAATTATGTTGACATTTATAATAGATCATTTATTTAATTTGCTTTTTTGAAGCATTAAATCTAAGCTATTTTAAAAATGGTTAACAACAGCTGTTACACTTAATGCCTGCAGGTGGCACAAAAGTTAAACCTGTGACGGCTGTAAATTCTGCACACTGGCACATGTAGTAATAATCTGATAAGAGTCAATAAGTTCAGCCAAAACAAGCACTATTTAGAGCAATATTTGTACCTTTCTCATCCAGCCTGTTAAGGCCAAGCTGGCCTGACTTGTTGGCCCCGCAGCAGTACACCAGGCCTGGCAGTGTGAGGAAGAAAGAGTGTGTTGCTCCGACTGAAATCTGTGTCACCGGAGCGCCAGTCAGAGCTGTTATCAGGACAGGATTGTGCTGCAACAGTATATTTTTGCCCAGACCCAGCTGGCCGTGGCTGTTACGGCCCCATGTGAAGACATCTCCTCCTGGAAAGTGGAGGAGAGTAAAGATAAAAAAAGTTTGTAATGTACTGCAGGTTCAAGAATGAAAGCATTATCATTTTAAATTTGGGCTTACATGTATAGATAAAAAAAAAAAAATCATGGGCACTACTCCACCTCAAGCACAAAAATGTAATCAGACCATGTTTGTTATCTTACCTTCAGTGAGGGCCAGACAGTGAACATTTCCACAAGCAACTTGGATCACTGGTACTGGCATTGGTATGGGCACCCGGCTGCATGTTGACAAAACAGTACTGAGTTAGGAAAATTAGCTTCGATGATGTGAAGTGAAAAGTATGCATACAGGTTCTTGCCTTGGTCGGCGACATTTGAGCTGTTGATGCGGTGACATGCCTAGCTGTCCGTCTTTATTTGCTCCCCATGAGAACACGTGTCCAGATGCACACAGAGCCAGAGAGTGATCCTGACCACAGGCCACTGACACCACATCACCCAGGCCACCCAAACGACCTGTAACAGCACAACACACATGAGTCATAACAACCAAAACATACAAAGGAAATAAATCATACAGTATTTCAACATAAATTACATCTCTCATAAATTGTCTCACCTTACTTGTCTGAAATGATAAATGATATAATTTTTTTTTGTTTTATGACTAAAAATACAACCTAGCTTGAAATGGAAACTTTGCTTTAGGGTTGGGCACTCATTTACCAGAACAGAAACTAACCTGTTAACTTTACTCAAGCTCTGCACAAAGTTGAGATACTTTTACTGCTCTTGTGTACTTTAATTCACTACAATTTTCTCTGAGTTTATTAGACAGTTGCTGCTTACATTTTGATTTTTAAGGCAAAATGACCCAATAATATACAGGACACATTTAATCATATATTTTGAGGAACCATTTTGGAAAAAAATTGTGTTTTCCATTGAAACATACCATTAAATGTCTATACCTCATCGAAACGCATTTTAAACAAATATGATTGGATTTACTTTTTCAACTTTAGATTGCTTACTTTTAGTTCACCACCCAAGCAAAAAATGAATAAATAATATATATACACATATATATATATATAAAACAACAACAACAACAAAACAAAAAAACATCTAATGTCTCATTTTTCCCATTTTCACTTGAACTCAACACAGGATAGAGCGCCTTTCAATACCTCAGAAGACGGTCGGGAAACGAAACTGAAATATTGCTTTGTTTACACTGCGCACTTTATACGGAGAATAGTCTTTCGTTCAGGTGACACCTGTCACTTAAAAAAAGGGAAAAATAAAGTGCTTTCTGAGTGACATGTCCTTTAAAGATGAAAGAAAAAGAGCCAAAGAAATTAGGTTTGGTCGAACACCTGTGTGGTAAAAAAAACACGTATTCCTACCTTTAAATAAAAAAAAAAAAAAAAAAAACAACCTAGGATTAAGAAAAAGCGTATTCCTCGTAAACTTACTGTATCTTTTAAATATGCAGTTAGAACTTTAATATTTCCTTTTCATGCGCACATTGTAGTTTCTTTTTCGGTGAATAAAACCATTTTCTGACCGTACCTGGCGTGCTAGCATCTTTGAGTTTCTTCCGTCCAAGTCTGTCCTGAGAGTGGCTCCCACAGGATAAAACGCCTCCATCCTTGGTGAGCAATAAAGTATGCTGGTCCCCAGAGCAGATGTCGGTGATGATCCCGGGAACAGTCCAGATAACCGGACTAAGAGCCTTCTGAGCCCCGAATTGTCCGCTGGAACTGTCCCCCCAACAGTACAGTCGCACCATACCTACTCCAGGACTGAACTGGACAAGTGAGTTGAAGTTCGTGTCAGAAGTAGAACTTCATCCTAATTAATGTTGCCTTCAGGTACCGTCGGAAATGTATACTTCGCTATCAGAATAGGACAATGACATCAGTTTTTAAGTAAAATATATGAATGTTTTGAGCTATTGAGTGTTTTATTTCTCAGAATATGTTTCTGGTTGAAATTGTCTTTTTTATTAGAGGCGTGGAAAATGCTACTAATAAAATATAAGTACAGAGAACTGTATTTTCCGAGCATACACGAACAGGAAATTACTCTTTAAAACAAAAGCAGACATTTTAGAAAATGAAAGCTTTAATGTAAGTTTTTTTTTATTTTATTTCAATGACTCATATGCTACTGTGGCATCTCTGTTGTTAGTGTTTTAATATTTAATGTTTCGTGAGAATGTTCTGTAATCTCCTACACTATACAGGAACCTGAATGCACCTTGGAGTGTTGGCATGTAAGTGGCTGAGAGTGAAGAAGGGGGCGGGACAGAGGTGAAGAGGTTGAGAGACTGATGTGAGAGAAGCCTGTGTGAGTTAATGGATGGAGCAGTGGGGGCTCCATGCACTGCCCTGGTCAACACTGGCTCCACTGTGACACTAGTCACTAGTGTCATAGGTCTCACTAGTGACAAGTGAGACCTGACGTCGTGCCAGCGGGGACACAGTTGGAACCTACTGTGGTGAAACTATGAACAGTGACTGGTGAGTTGGCCCCCATGCTTGGAAGGGGGTAGTAACCATACGGGTGGGGTGATGGTCGGTGGACTTTAAGGTGTGGGTTGCAGCAGTGCAGGACCTCTGCATATTGGGTCTGGACCTCCTGCGTGTCACACAGTGTGTGCTAGACCTGGGGAAGAACACACCAGTCTTTCCTGGGGGCCCCACAGTTGAAATGGTGCACACCATTCAGGCCTTTGGACCACACCAATGTTGGAAAGTGACAAAGGAGGATCAGGTTTTGCATGGTTGATGGTTGACTATCAGCCTGCAGTTGAGGGCAGTGGTAGACTGTCAATAGTGAGGGAGGTATGGAAACGCAGCTGCCACAACTTTGACCCTGGGCAGCAGGAAAAACTGTGGCAGTTGTTATGGGAGTTTAAAGACATTTTTGCTCTGACAAAGGATGAAGTGGGTCTAACCTACTTGGTGCAGCATGATATCGATACAGAGGATGCCTGGCCCATTAAAACACGCCCTTGCTGCCTCTCCTTGGCACATCAGGCTGCTGCTAACAGTGCAATTGATGAGATGCTCAGGGCAGGTATCATCGAGCCCACTGACAGCCCCTGGGCCTCTGGGGTTGTGATGGTGAACAAAAAAAAAAAGGAGGCCGAAGATGAGATTTTGTGTCAACTACAGACCGCTGAACAGTGTTACCAAGAAGGACTCATACCCGCTGCCTCGCATCAATGAGTCCCTGGACTTGGTTTCTGGCTCATCCTGGTTCTCCTCCCTGGACCTGCGCAGTGGGTACTGGCAAGTGCCTCTCAGCCAGGAGGCCAGACCTAAGACTGCTTTCTGCACTGGCAGGGGGTTGTGGCAGTTTCGAGTCCTCTCTTTTGGCCCGCGCAACGCCCCTGCCACAGTTGAGCTGCTGATGGAATAGGTGCTGGCAGATGTCCCTCGACAGGAATGTTTGGTCTATTTGGATGACATCCTGGTCTTGACAGAGCCTCCAATCCTCTGCCGGACCCCAACCTGCCGTTCATACTGGACACGGATGCCAGTGATGTCGGAATGGGAGTAGTGTTAAGCCACCACCTTCTGTTAAGCCAGAAGGTGGTGGCTTACTTAAGTAGAACCTTCAACAAGGCTGAACGGCAATGCTGTGTGACACCCAGAGAACTTTTAGCTATAGTGAGAGCAATAAGACATTTCAAGTACTACATGTTTGGCCTGCCCTTCACTGTCTGAACTGACTATGCCACCCTCGAGTGGTAAATGTCTTTTAAGGAGCCATAGGGGCAGATCACACGCTGGCTGGAGGAGGTGGCATCATTTGACTTCAAAGTTGGGTACAGGGCTGGAGCTCGCCATGGCAATGCTAATGCCATGTCCTGGTGCCCCTGTACTCCTGGCGGCTGTTGGTACTGTGAGAAAAGGGAGGCCTGGGAGGAGGAATTTTGCACTGAGGAGGAGCTAGACCCCATGCAGAGCCGAGAGGGGCCAGTCTGCAAAGTAGCGCAGGTTGTCGACATGTCTGGAAATTCGGTTTTTAAGTGTGGGAGCGCACAACCTCATTTTTATCTATTGGAACATGTATGAGCTTTGCTGCCTGATAACTTGAGAATAGAAAGTGTTAAGTACCATGAAGCTGTAGGGCTTACTTTGACTTTGAAAGAAAGGAGTAAATTATTAACTGCTTTTCATTTTTAAGGTCAGAGGGAATAAAAAGAGATTAGAGCTCTTATGTGGAAAATGTCTCCAATCTTCTTGACACTTGAAACAAGTTTTAATGTAAGAAATGCTTCTTGTACTTTATTGTATTGTAAATCACAGAGACATGAGCAACTAAGCTCTTTGTAAATGTAGCTAACATTAACAAACCAGGGTAAGATTCAAATTCACTTTGTTCATTCAGGAAATCTACCAAAATTCAGGAGCTTTGCTAAGTGTGTACATATTCATGAGTGACACTGCAATGTTCAGTTACTTGAGGTGCCAATAAAAAACTTTGTCTGAATGTTGTGGAAAAAGTGCTCATCATAGTGTTCAAAGTAATCGATTCTACAGTGAACTGATCATGATCAGGTCTGAGCTCTGACTTTATGAGAGGGCAGAAAGCACACAACCTTTGAAGCCGAGCCATTGACATCACTAACATACAAATTAAGTTTTTGACTAATAGAGCTTTTTTTATGTTGTAAAATTGAAATAAAAGATTATTTTAATGTGTTGCCGAGAGTTGAAAAAAAGGAAATCATCAAATTACAGTCAAAATACTCAATTTTAAACATGATAAAGTGCAACTTTTATTTTGTAGATTTGGGAACAGAGAATACAAGACATAGTTTCCTAAAATAAATGCTCTTATGTGACACTATCTGTGTTTATACTTGTATAAATGAACATAAAGTCAGCTTGATGCTGAGAATTTTAAAGAGTAAAACAAATGTGGAGTTATTCACTCAAGAATGGACTAAGTACGGTAAAGATGGTGCACTAGTTATATATTTGTTTTTACCTGCTGGCTGTGCTGCCATCAACTTAACACCAAACAGCCAAAAATATTAAAAGAGATTAATCGAGACTGAAGTGTTAAACATGTTTCAGTGGTACTGAAGTGGGCAGTAAAGACAAAAGCAGGAGTGATGACTAAACAAAAGCACTGCCCGTAATAATAAATAATGGTGAGTTAACTCTGTTTTAATATTGTTATCTTTCTCAAGAAGACCTGGTTAATTTACTCAGCAGTGTTTTCTTTCCAGAAGCCTCTGTTGTGATTTATCGCCTGGAGGAGCTTCGTCTCCATCGTCTCCTCGACAGGGTACCTCTGGTAGACAGGCAGTAAGAGCAGATTGTGGCAGGTGAGGGACTCTGGCCGATGGGTTTCATTGGCATTAGGAAGGAGAGCAACTCTCATCTTGATGCTCTTCATACCCAGGAAGGGTACCCGGTCAGAGCCAGTGAGGAACACTGGCATCAAAAACAAAGTAAAGAAGTGAGTTTATAATCTTAGATTTGGATTCACAATGATAATCAGCACCATGTTTTATACTTACAGAGGAACTTCTTCTTTTCCTCAGCAGTTAGTCTCTCAAACACCTTCCAGAAGACTATGATGTTTGGATGCTTGGCATGATAGTCTCCTTCATACACTGCGTTCTGTATGGGAAAAAGGCCACAAACATGACATATTTCAGGGGAATGTCCCCACCTGCAGGTGACTTGGATAAAAGGATGACAGAAAAGTCTTCACTGGTTACAATATATCCTATAAACTTTTTGCATACCTGCTTGAAAACGTCCCAGTCGTAGTCCTCCTGGCCCACCATCACGGTCTGCAGCTCCTCTGGCTGGAAGAAGTCTACCACATCGTACTCACACACCTTAAAGAAGCCCCTCTTGAACTCTTCGAACACTTCTTCCACTGATTTGTTGAAGGCGTAGTCAATGAAGGTGTTAACAAACTGTTTTCTACCCAGAAAGAAAAAAATTCCAAACATTGCACAAATAACAAAAACCAAAAGCTGAATTTATTTTTGACAAATTAAAAAAATCTACACAGTATTTTTGCGTACACATACTTGTTTGATGCTGTGACAGCTTTTCCAGGTTCTGCGGGTTCAAGCTCAACACTCTCACCATCCCATGTGACCTTTCATGAAAAATAAAGAGTCAGATCGGATTATTGCAAAAAATTACTAATCACTAATTACTAAAAATTATTAATCAAATGTGATAACATGAAGTAAAACTGGCAGTTAGTCTGTGATTTCTTGAACATACAGTAAAAGTGGCCTCCAGGTCGTCCACTTTAGCAGGAGTGTAGTCCTCAAGCATGCACCGCAAAGACCTACAGACAAACATGAAAACATTCATTTAATAGAAAACTTTGAAAAAATATGTCATAATTGTTGTCAAAGAAGGTAGCAGAAAAACCACTGTGGGTTAAAACAGCACATACATTACAGCCAGAGATGGGCACCTCTTTGAAAGTCAAGTCTCAAGTCTCTAAGTGTAGCAGCAAGTCCTGGTCAAGTCCCTCATAATGTCAATAAGTAACAAAATAGTGACATAAGACAGTAGCAGCAAATGAGCTCTATTTTTACAGCTTAAATCCTCATGAATGCAAAAAGAAATTATTAATCTTATTGAAAATGTGCAACAATTAACTGCAAAGAAAGCTACATTTAGTCCCCATCTCCGATTACAGCCTCATGTAGTGTTGTCCTCGGACTCTTACTCTGCCAGTACGGGGTCAAACTCCTTCATATCATCCAGTGAGGGTTTGATGCGAAGCAACTTCTTGAACAGAACGAGTGGGAAGGGCAGGTGGATGATGATCTTGTTGTAGAGAGCCATTCCACACAGAACGCCAAAGAGGAAGTAGGTCTTCTTCTCCACTTTTGGCTGTTTGATTGGTGACAAAAATGGTCAAATTTAAAGGCTGTGAACTTTTACAGGTGGTTTCCATGAAAGAAAGACCGTACACTGAAGCATCAGACACCAGTAGAGGGCAGAGTTACACTCCATTGAAACAGCTGATGCTATGGTACTGGGATCAGTTCTTGATAAACTGGTCTTACCTTTGAAGGGAACCACAGCAGCGTCTTACTCTCGTTGGACATGAACATTTCAGATTCAGGAGCAATCAGCTCATCAAACACGTACAAGAAAAGGTCGCTCTTGTTGACATTCATCAACTTCCTGTCATCCTTAAACTGCACCTGAAAAGGACATAATGGTCATCCCTGAGTAACCCAGCTCAACTCCAAGCCCTCATCAAAAGAAAAAGGTAGTAAACACTTGAGCGTTTACCAAAAGCTCCCTCTGAAAGGCAATGTGGTCGGCTGCAGCAAGGTGTCTGAAGGTGTCCTCCACCAGGTGAGAGCGTCTCAGAGTCAGCTGGAACACTGGGGGCGGTGCAGAGTCTGCAAGTCCTCCAAATAGTTCAGCAGGCATCCTCATGGCCATGTTATGCAGTGCTTGTTGCCCTTTCTGTAATTGCAAAACCCCCTCTTCAGAGTAATGTCTTAAAGGGATAAAATTTATTTAAGGTCAAACACATTGTGACACTGAGTTAGACACCCCGTCGAGAGACAGAAGTTGCAGACCACTTGCTTCTCTAGTTATAGCAGTATTAGTAACGACCGCACAATAGCAATACACAGTGGTCTCAGGAGCCATGCGCTCAACCAAATTGCCACTTGATAGCCACAAATAATGCTCGGAACAGCACCTAACTTCATCAACAGTACATGTAGGGCCACAGCACTAGCCACCAAACATCTTTTAGATTTGCCTGATTTCTTTAGCAAAGAGACTAAACACAACTCACCTACTCTCTTCCAGCAGCTGCTTGTTTGTATGGAGACCTCGGGCCAGTCCATTACAGACTACAGCGGGGTGACGCAGCTCAAGGAAGAACATTTATGATCATTTCTTTGTCATTTCCCTGTAGTAACAATCATCGTATTCATTTTGCACTGCAGACGTGGTAGTTCTTCTGCCTTAGCGTCTCGGTCTGATTGCATTTCCATGAAAAAATTATCATGAATGTTCTTCCTTGAGCTGTGTCACCCCGCTGCAGTCGATGGACTCGAACAAGGTCTTCCTACAAACAAGCAGCTGCTGGAAGAGAGTGGGTGAGTTGTGTTTAGTCTCTTTGCTAAAGAAATCAGGCAAAGTTAAAAAGATGTTTGGTGGCTAGTGCTATGGCTGGGACCCTATATGTACTGTTGAGTTAGGTGCTGTTCTGAGCATTATTTGTGGCTATAGAGTGGCGTTTTGGTTGAGCGCGTGGCTCCTGAGACCACTGTGTATTGCTATTGTGCGGTCGTTACTAATACTGCTATAACTACAGAAGCAAGTGGTCGGCAACATTCATCTCTCGACGGGGTGTCTAACTCAGTGCTACAGTGTGTTTGACACTAACTTAATTTTATGCCGGAATATCCCTTTAATGCAGAGAAAGCTAAAGATGTATTCTTAGATGAAATATAAAACATATTCTTTAACATAATTATTTCAGGGTATACTGTACCTTTATCATGTTTGCACAGATGTCAAAGACTGCCACCTTGTACACCAGAGTCAACACGAATGGGTAGGAGCAGAAGATTGCTGGTGTTCTTTCATCATGCTTTGAAAAAAAAGATTTAGACATAAAGAGACAAGGAGGTAAACATAGGATTATTGTCCAAAATGCATGATCATATACAATCCACTGAACATGTTATTACCTCCACTTTAGAATGCTGGGCCCAAAGAGTGACGTCTGTAAATACATCCACGATACCAATGATTTCCTCTACATAAAAGGTGCTCAGAGGGACTTTGTAGGGCTTCCCAGCTTTGTTTGCCTGTGACGAGAACAACACAAAAAAACTAAAATGTATTTGGTAATTAACAATACCTGCAAGACAAATCATGGACAGTAGCAGTCAATCTTAACCCCTGTTTGTTCTTTTTCAGTCTCTGGTCCTAATGTAATAGCAAGAAGAGGTTAAACTTTTTTGACAATTTTCTCATTAACATCATGTATTTCTCTTGAAATACCGACCTTGTAGAGCAGCTTAAGGGCCTCCAGCAGGAATCTGACTCCTGGGTTGTGAGTTTCCAAGAGGCCATTTTTTAGTAAAAAGGCCAGGGCATTTTTGAACACCATGATGTGCTTGGTGAGAATGGTGGGTGTCAGAGAAGACCACCAGCCCTCTACAGAAACAATGACAGTTATGTGGTTTAGTCAGCAATGGCATATCCAGTCCAATATTCACACTTTTCTAACTATTCAGATACAAAAATAAAACACTAATAATTATACAAAACTATACACATATCATTTAGATAAGTTGATAGCAATAGAGTATGTTAAAATCATTCAGCACATTTACAAAAAGAAACTTGAAACAGGAGAAAAATAGAAATGCATTTTAACTGTGCAGAGCTGATCTTTATCTTTAGTTGCATGAATCATACCTCCCCAATCCCATGACAAAAAAGACAAGTTTGCAGGACTTATTTACTTAGTGTTTCGCGATTCTTCTCACTCAGGTCTGACATAATAATGGACAAAGGCACCACCATGTTTGTGACATAACAATCCTCTAGGAGCAGCGGACACGTCAGCAGGACCATGAAGATCTCTGGTGATTTTATGTCTTTTGAAGCCATCAGCAACTCAAAGAGGACCTGAATGTTCACCTGCAGAGAAAACAGATTTATGAACACCTTGTTGTGTCTTGGGTAAATACACAAATGATCTAAACAGTGACATGTATGCTCTTAACTGTTTGTTTGATCCATGGTACCGCCAGCATCTGGTCGAAAACTCTGCTAGCTGCCTCGAGGTCAACAGTTAGCGCACCTGCTGTTCTTGGAGATGAGCTAACGACATCAGAAAAAGGTTTAAGCAACAAAATCAGTCAGTCAGAGTTAAGTTACCCCCTCAGTTTTCATTTAAAATCGTAACATGAGATCTGGTTTTGTCACTATATATATCACTAACAGTTGCAGCTGATTTAAAAAAGGACTCACTTAGCCATCGTGAAACTTGCAACAAGACTGGAACTGGTGAAAAACATTCCACTTATACCTCTGTTACAAAAAGAAAAAAGAGCACGCTGGAGTTAATGCACAAGACTGATAACACACATGTGGAGGTTGACAAACAGTGCATGTAATTATGGATAAAGACCTTTTTGCCTCTGTGTTGCCAGGTCTCACTGATAACCAATTCTGCAGTTTGGTCTCATCAAGTCGCCCTGTTATCTGTCTTTGGTTTGAGCTCTAAAAGACATAAAATATTGTCCCATAGAAGCAATGACGTTACTTTTGACATTACTTCTTTAAAACAAGGAAACATTATATCACAGCACAAAAATACTTTTTATTTCAATAAAAGTTGTATAAACTACAGTTTTTCAGACTGAAGAACACATTACCTGTGTGGGTGAGAAGAAAGCAAAGTTTGTGTTCCAACCAGCTGATATTTTCAGGTCTGCAAATAAAGAAACAACCATGAACTCTCCATTAGAAGTGTTATTTAAATCTGCTAGCCTTCTACCACCATAATCTGCACAGCAAACTTTTTGAAAAGCAGTAATTTTTCCACACAATATTTAACTGCCGAGTAGTTTTAAATGGGCTCTATTTTCGTTCCTTGCCGGCAGCATGGCGCAGGCGCGGCGCAAGTCAGGTCCGCCGTGCCGACAAGGCGTGCCCAAGCACATTTTGGTATTTTGGTGAGCAGCGCAGCCCAGCGTATGTATCCCCCCTCCCTAACTCAGCTCCTTCCAGCAGCATTAGTTGTAGAGAGGGAGGAGAGAAGGCATGGAGTGAGTTTAACACAGCTAAGACCTGTTTTCGCCAATCGTATCAGCTCCTCTCCTCACCTTTAAATCCACCGACAGAGAGGCGTATTACAATTTTCGTGAAGTAGTCAAAGAGATCAAGAGGTGTCTGAAGACAGCAATGCCACACGATGGCGACAGAAGGCAACCCCTCGACATGCCGCCAGTCCACTAAAATACCTCTAGAGCAGCTGCACTCCACCTGTGCTGAAAGCTGACCTGGTTTGAATCAGCAAGCTTTCCCCCTACCGCGCCACCATGCCCAGCTTGGCGGACCTTGGTGCGCCTCACTCCACGAAAATACCAAACTGGCAGTGCACTGGGCTCCGCCAGACGAAAATACCACTGTGCGGAGTCCGCCACCCTCCGCCATGCCACCAGCGGGCACGAAAATAGAGCCCATAATCTATGGCAGTGATATTACTAGTGCTCCGCTTAATGCCTGATGCATCCCCTGGGATATTTCAAATGAATTTTAAATAAACTAATGTCAAGGACAGGTTCAACCCTGACTCATTTTTTCATAAAACTATACACCACATACAACATGTTAACATATTCTTACTGCTGGGCATGGCTGCTTGATCGTCATTCATCGGTGGAAGTTTTACAAGTGTGGGAGTCAGACTGTCCTCTGAGCCTCCTGTCCCAATTTGACCTTTGGCCCCATTGCCAAACGCCCACAGCTGGCCAGAGGAGCCCAACACCAGGGTATGATATCTGGGAGACAACAGAGAATTTTAACTTAATTGAGAGACTACATGTGTTTTCTTAATTTATAGATTTGAAAAATGATTATTTTTCAGTATCACCAGAACATGCCAAAATTGACAAACTCTTTATTGAATTCAGTGCAAGTCATTAAAAATATTTTTACCTGCCACATGCAATCTGTGCTGCAGGTCCATCCACACCGTCAACCAATCTGGGCGCTTTTTCAATTTCAGTGGAGTTGTGACCGAGCTGGCCGTGTCTTCCCTCTCCAAAAGTGAAAACGTTGCCTTCCTAAAAAAAATCACAGCATCAAATAATACCATTAACAATGTCCTTAAACTGTACTTATCTACAAAGTATGAATGAAAGCTTGAGCAAATGAGTGTACCTTTGTTAACACAGCAGTGTGTGCCTCTCCACAGCTGATAAAGGAGATATCAAGAGGCCGCAAGGCAGGTACCACACAGATGTTGAACCTGCCTGAGAATATGAGATACAAAAAAAAAAGGCTGAAAATACTGTTGACTCATTAAAAAATATGTTGACATTTATAATAGATCATTTATTTAATTTGCTTTTTTGAAGCATTAAACCTAAGCTATTTTAAAAATGGTTAACAACAGCTGTTACACTTAATGCCTGCAGGTGGCATAAAAGTTAAACCTGTGACGGCTGTAAATTCTGCACACTGGCACACGTAGTAATAATCTGAGAAGAGTCAATAAGTTCAGCCAAAACAAGCACTATTTAGAGCAATATTTGTACCTTTCTCATCCAGCCTGTTAAGGCCAAGCTGGCCTGACTTGTTGGCCCCACAGCAGTACACCAGGCCTGGCAGTGTGAGAAAGAAAGAGTGCGTTGCTCCGACTGAAATCTGTGTCACCGGAGCGCCAGTCAGAGCTGTTATCAGGACAGGATTGTGCTGCAACAGTATATTTTTGCCCAGACCCAGCTGGCCGTGGCTGTTACGGCCCCATGTGAAGACATCTCCTCCTGGAAAGTGGGGGAGAGTAAAGATAAAAAAGTTTGTAATGTACTGCAGGTTCAAGAATGAAAGAATTATCATTTTAAATTTGGGTTTACATGTATAGATAACCTCCAACCTCCACCTCCAACATAAAAATCAGACCATGTTTGTAATCTTACCTTCAGTAAGGGCTAGACAGTGAACATTTCCACAAGCAACTTGGATCACTGGTACTGGCATTGGTATGGGCACCCGGCTGCATGTTGACAAGACAGTACTGAGTTAGGAAAATTAGCTTTGATAATGTGAAGTGAAAAGTATGCATACAGGTTCTTGCCTTGGACGGCGACATTTGTGCTGTTGATCTGGTAACATGCCTAGCTGTCCGTCTTCATTTGCTCCCCAGGAGAACACTTGTCCAGATTTACACAGAGCCAGAGAGTGATCCTGACCACAGGCCACTGACACCACATCACCCAGGCCATCCACATGACCTGTAACAGCACAACACACATGGGTCATAACAACCAAAACATATGAAGATAAATAAATCATATTTCAACATAACTTACTCTCACCTAAATTCATTAGCCTTACTTGTATAAAATGATAAATTATATATGTATTTTTTTTGTTTTATGACTAAAAATACAACCTAGCTTGAAATGGAAACTTTGCTTTAGGGTTGGGCACTCATTTACCAGAACAGAAACTAACCTGTTAACTTTACTCAAGCTCTGCACAAAGTTGAGATACTTTTACTGCTCTTGTGTACTTTAATTCACTACAGTTTTCTCTGAGTTTATCTGACAGTTGCTGCTTACATTTTGATTTTCAAGGCAAAATGACCCAATGATATAAAGGACATGCATAATTATACAACATTTTGAGGAACCATTTCAAAAAAACTGCGTTTTCCATTGAAAGATGACATCAAATGTCTACACCTGATAAAAATGCATTTTAACCCTCACAAACTGTTCGAGTCATATTTCACACCTAGACAAAGGTCAAGATGACCTCACCAGTCACAAAAACCTTCTGTGACAGAAAGCTGCTCTTTGATCTCTTTGAAGGGGAAGGGGGAATCGAAAACATTGAAATAGTAAACAAACAACACATGAGTGATCAAATATGGAGTACAAAGGGATCAGAAGTCATCCGGAGGTCAGAGTGTGCACAGATGTAACATGTGCACCTGCTCCTGACATATAATGTACAAAGTAACAAGTCTGAATCTGTTTGATTGGAGGGGCGGCGGAAGGAGTCGTAACATTATGAGGGTAAAGAGAGCTGCCATTTCAATGACAAACACATGTGCAAGCTCCACATATGTAAAGTGTCCTACCTTTGCTTTGAACACAGAGACTAGCAGTGAGGACAGAGTTCAATATGAAGTTTGTTGTTCAGTAAAATATATTCAAATCATTATGACTTTTATATTCATTTATGTCTTCCATAATATTACATGACATTATCCTGTGTAATAGATATTCTTCTCCAATATTTCACCAAAAACAAGTGGTGTTAAAACTGAAAAAATACACTTTCCCTGCTCTTTGAAACATTTAGGAAGGACTAATCAATCATTTTTTGAAGTAGCATAGATCATTTGAACAATATGAATAGGTTTGGGGTTAGAACTTTGGTGAAAATACTTGCTACATGGGCAGTTCTTGGGCTGGATCAATTTGACCTGGAACATACTGTGAAGGTACAGGATTTGAAACCGTATGTGAGGGTTAAACAGATATGATGGATTTACTTTTTCAACTTTTGATTTGTTTACATTTAGTTTACGACCCAAGCAAAAAAAAAAAAAAAAACACATGTCTAAACCCTGGATGGAAGATCACTCGTCTTGGTGTCTTATTTTTCCCAGTTTCACTTGAATACAACACAGGATAGAGTGCCGATGTGTTAACTTTCGTTATCTGAGAAGACGGCCTGGAAACGAAACTGAAATATTGCTTTGTTTACACTGCGCACTTTTTACGGAGAATAGCCTTTGGTTCCGGTGACACCTGTCACTAAAAAAAAGGGAAAAATATCATAATTAATTTAAAAGAAAACTAGGATTAAAGAATAAAAACATACCTTTTTAACTTACTGGATCTTTTAAATATGCATTTAGAACTTTAATATTTCCTTTTCATGCGCACATTGCAGTTTCTTTTTAGGTGAATAAAACTATTTTCTGACCGTACCTGGCGTGCTAGCATCTTTGAGTTTCTTCCGTCCAAGTCGACCCTGAGAGTGGCTCCCACAGGATAAGACGCCTCCATCCTTGGTGAGCAATAAAGTATGCTGGTCCCCGGAGCAGATGTCGGTGATGATCCCAGGAACAGTCCATGAAACCGGACTAAGAGCCTTCTGAGCCCCGAATTGTCCGCTGGAACTGTCCCCCCAACAGTACAGTTGCACCATCCCTACTCCAAGACTGAACTGGACAAATGAGTTGACGTTGGCGCCAGGAGTGGAACTTTATCCAGCTAATGTTGTCTTCAGGTACCGTCGGAAATGTATACTTCGCTATCAGAATAGGGCAATGGCATCAGTTTTTAAGTAAAATGTATGAATGTTTTGAGCTATTAAGTGTTTTAATTCTCGGAATATCTTTTTGGATGAAGTTGTCTTTTTTATTAGAGGCGTGAAAAAATGCTACTAATAAAATATAAGTACAGAGAACACTAATTTCCGAGTGTACACGAACAGGAAATTACTCCTCAAACGAAAGCAGACATTTTAGAAAATGAAAGCTTAAAATTTTGAGTCGATTTTTCTTTTTTTAATTTCTGTGACCCGCATGTTACTTTTGATGTATGACAGAGAATTTGTGCACTTTTTATGAATGAAACGTGTCAATAATATGAATTGTTGGTCTATTGGTTTTGTTTTTGCTGATATGAAACTCATACGAGCATTGGGTACATTTTTTTGTGTGTAGTCAAGCGTTACCTTACCATCAAGAACATGTTGACACTTAAACTTGGAGTCTCAGTTTTTAGGTGTTGCATCTGTCTGTTTGGAAGCAACTTATCACATGGAGAAATAGAGTAAACATTAAAGTGTAATATTTTTATTGATGTTGAATATATACACACATATATAGTAGATACACAACACATTTCTCTATTTGTGTGCAATCACATTAATATTTACTGTTGTGGGTTCTCCCAGGGAAAATCAGTATGGCGTAATCAGAAAGGTACGTTTTAGTTTTTCTTTTTTTAATTCCTCAAGTCTCCAAACACAGTGAAAAAATATGTACAGTGTCCAAAAACTATTTACAAAAATATACAATCACCTCCTGAACAATGGGCTCACACTGACAAACAGGTTCTTCAACAACTTGCTGTCACAGCTTGAGCCAAAAGCAAAACACAAAAACCAAAAAGAAACAGTCTATCCAACAATTCTCCAGCATCTGCCATGTATCGATTCTCCACACTCACATGGACAAAATGGCTGTCTTTTAAACAATAAGCCCTTCCCAGTGGGATTGCAAAATACCTCTTTTACATTTCCCCCCACTTTTATGTGTTAAGTCAGCCTCCTTTACTGAAAAAAAAACATAAGTAGGTCAGTTTCCCCTTTTTCCCGCCAAGTGCCCTTTAAAACTGGAAAGAAGATGCACCCCTGTTTGGCTTACACTGTGGCTGACCAAGGGCAGTGGGGAGGAGAGCTCGGCGTTTTGTGGTGTGTGTAGAACGACGAGTGTGCACCCTCTTTCGAACTACTTAACTTGTGGAGATGTGAATAAGTTTGATACTTGTGACCACTGTGGGGGACTAGAAGGGAAAGTTTGGTGTATGGTTTGTAGCGTGTCGCATGTAGCGTGTAGCATGTGTGTGTGATCACCTTGCGTGTGTGTGCACTCAGTGACCGGGCCGCTCCGTCACATTTACATTCATGCATTTGAAGGAAAGACCATCGAAAAACAATAAACAAACCTCCTAGGGCCATTTTAAACTAGGGGTGTCTAAAGGTAACCAATTGAAAGGTGCTCTGTCAAAGGGACACTGTTTCACCTGACCTTTCACTTCTCTGCACCTGACCGACCCCTCTCCACTCATCATATCATAAACAGAGTAAACACCCACAGACCCATCTTCAAAGCCCACTAACACAAGTTGGCGCTTACACACAAACAAGGTTGATGGATTCTTGCAAAGGAACACACTTCCTATTCGTTCGCCATCTGAAAGACGTACCACAGTGAGGACAGACCTTGCAGTCAGACAACAGTCACAGCCTTTCTCCTGGCTCCTGACACTGGAAATGTACGCAAGAAAGCCCCCAGTTTTGTCCAACTGAGCTTTGACGACCTGACCCTCAGCCTTGATTGTGCACAGTACGACTTGAGATAGGTCTAAAAGGTTTAGGGTTTCATTTTCAGTGGACAGCAGGGCGTAACTCCCATCAGAGGACATTTGGAAGTCTTGTGGCTGACAGTGTAATGTATGAGGCAGCTGAAAGTGGCTGCACACAGTCTCCTCTGCCACTTTCCACGTGTATACAGTTCCTGAGGTGGCCATCACTACCACAAAGTCTGGATGCCCTGAAAGTGTTGAGAAGGCAACAACAGGCTCTGAACTCATCACACAGGAGAAACGCTTGCTGATGGAGCCAGTCCACAAACTGGCTGCTAACAAGTCACCATGGCGTAGGCCAATAAGGAAAGTGTTTTCAGGTGACACCTGGGCGTCAGAGAGGTACACGTTTATACTGCACACAATGCTCCCATGAACCAGCTTCCAAACTCGAGACAAATATCTGTCAGAGATACTCACACCCAAGTGACCATTTGGTGTGATCAGGATGTCTGTTGCCCTGCTGCCAATGATACGCAGGATATTCTGTCCTGTTTCTGTCTGCCAAATGTAGATTTCACCTCCTGAGAGCGCCACAAGGTGGATGCAATCTGGAGAGAGGCGCAGCTTTTCAACGGGACCATCATGATGGAAATAGGCATGCGGAAGTCCTGTTTTTAATCTCCATCTCCACACCATCTCAGACCCATCAGTGGTGTAGAACCACTCCCCTGTTCCTCCAGCTGCAACTTCTACAACTTTACCACCCATTTTGGGAGCTGTACCTGCAGCCTCTATCATCTCTGAATCCCACACTGTGAGGCAACCATCATCAGCAACACAAACTACATCAGCTGCGGTCTTGAGGAGTAAATGAGGCCTCTTGTTTGTTTCCAAAGAGAGAACACACTCTCCCGTGCTCACCCTCCACACCAAGACAAAAGGGCAGTCATCTAACAAAGCCAAGAAAAGATGGCTGTCCTGGGAGAGCAACGCTTGAGTGAAGGCCTTTCCCTGTGGAGCCAAGAACTTGTCCCACAGCTCCCAGTCACATGTGTCCCACAGTGTAACCTGGTGAGAGTGACATACCAACAAAGTGCTGTGTTTGTTTGTGTAATCCACATTGAGGATGTTGCTAGACCCTCCCTCAATAAAGATCTCTCTTACAAGTCGTGGTGGTTCAGATTCAGCAACTAGCTCCCACACAGTAACATTACCCATCTTGTCTACAGATGCCATTTCAAACTTATCCTCACAGAATATTACTGAGGTGACTGCGTAGTTGTTTGAGTTTGAACATGTGCCGAGAAGACTGCTGTTGTCCGTGTCAAATATGGACACTTTGCCTTCCTCCTGCCCACAGCACATGTAAACCCCATCAGAGGAGCAAACCAAACAGGTCACACTGCTCTGACACTGGAAATGTGTCAAGGTGCCTGTGGAGACATCGAATACACTTACAAAAGTCTCCCCTTCCCACCACATGAACATTTTTTTCTGACTTGAGACAATCCCTTCAAGTTTTTGTTGACTTGACTCTGTTTTGAAAGGGTCCTTGACTTGTAGGAATATTCGCGGGCCTGCGATGTCCCACAAGAAAAGCTTGTTGCACAGTGTGGAAAGCAGAACAAAATGACTGCTACTCTTAACGCTCGCAAACTGCAGCTCCTCCTGCTCAGACTTCAGTTCAAGTTTGACTACATCACACCCAGAGCCTTTCCAAACCCAAGCCGTGCCATCACTCATGACTTCCACCACAACCCCACACTCTGTCCCAGCTGTTCCTGTTGCACAAACACCTTTGGTTTTGGCACCCTGCTTTGAACACTGAACAGAGGGAACTGAGGAAGGAGCAGGGCAAAGCTCGACTCCTAATCCACTTCCTCTTTCTTTCCTGTCCTCTCTGATCTCGCTGACAAAGCGCTCAAGTGCAGGAAAACCCTCAAGATAGGGAACAAGGCTTATCTCCATGAATGTTGGCAGCTGCAGGGGTGAGCTCTGAAGCAAGCAAGCGTGAGACCTTAGTATGCTTGCTAGGATTGCTCTCTCCTTTAAAAAACAGGAGTGGGAAGACCCTTCTTCACTTTCCAGCATGACGACCAGGTCTCTCAGTTGCCCTGCTTTGACCATAGCCTGGTGAAACCCTAAAGACAATAGCAGCTCACGCTCTAACTCTTCCCATTTGTTACTTTCTTGCAAGTGGTGTGGCAATTCCAAGACTTTCCTCAAGTTTACTCTGCCAAGGGCAAAAATGAATGGCTGGCTGGCTGGTTGCTTGTCAGATGTTTTCTTTTGAGTGGTCTCATAGTTGGTTTCAGATTTAAGCTTCTGTCCACTGAAATAGTCAGCCATTACTGAGTGAATTTCCTTCTTCAGCTCAGGGGTACTGAAATACTTCCTAGCAGCTACTAGCTTGAAATGTCTGCTCACCCAGAACAAGACCTTCAACCCACCAACAGTCCTTCTAACAAGAAACTCCCTCAAATCCATGAGGAGTTTCTCCACATGCATCTGTTGAACTTTGACTGGGGAAGTGTCTGATTGTTGTTGAACACAGCCGCACTGCACCACGTCATCACAGGACAGCAGATCAGCAAGCTCCGTCTCAGTGAGTCCAGGCCTGGAGAGGGTGAGGTAGGAGATAGCACGGGTCACAAAAGAGCGGCCATGTTGATGCTCAAGATGATCCAGCCATGCAGAAATGGATGAATGGACACCATCAGGGAGAGACGACTCAGACACATCTGAATCTGGAAAAAGAAGCACATGTCATATTAAAGGGATAATCCAGCATAAAATCTATGGTCTATGGAACCATACACAAACCTCAACCAAAAAGCCACTCTATAGCCACAAATAATGCTCCGAACAGCACCTAACTTCATCAACAGTACATATTGGGTCCCAGCCATAGTACTAGCCACCAAACATTTCTTTATGGAAATGCAATCAGACCGAGACACTAAAGCAGAAGAACTACTGTGTCTGCAGTGCAAAATGATTAATATGGTGATTATTACTTCAAGGAAATGATAAAGTAATGATCATAAATGTTCTTCCTTGAGCTGTGTCACCCCGCTGCAGTTGTAATGGACTGGTCCGAGGTCTCGCTACAAACAAGCGGCTGCTGGAAGAGAGTAGGTGAGTTGTGTTTAGTTCTCTTTGCTAAAGAAATTAGGCAAAATAAAAAAGATGTTTGATGGCTAGTGCTGTGGCTGGGACCCTACATGTACTGTTGATGAAGTTAGGTGCTGTTCTGAGCATTATTTGTGACTATAGAGTGGCGTTTTGGTTGATGTTTGTTTATGGCTCCTCAGACCGCTGTGTATTGCTATCATGCGGTCTTTACTAAAGTTGGTATAACTAGAGAAGCAAGCGGTCGGCAACATTCATCTCTCGATGGGGTGTCTAACTCTGTGTTACAGTGTACTGTGTTTGACCCTAAATTAATTTTACCCTGGAATATCCCTTTAATGTTGATAAACTGTGCTGTGAAGTGGGTTAAAGCAAAGCGCAGAAACAGACTTTTTTGCATCCTGTGTGTTGGCTGTATTTATCTTACCAGAACGCCATAGAGAGGTGTGCTGCTGCAGAAGACGAGCGTAGAGAGTCAGACCACAAGAAGACAGTGCCTGATTCACCAGCGCCTGTTGTCCCGACGTCACCCTCCTCCTTGAACTTCTCAGCAGTGATGCCAACATCTTCGAACACTGTTTCCTGTCTGCTGGTCCCAACTGCACACACTCATATCTTAAGTTCTCTTCACCGTGCTCTGACTTACATGAAGATGGTCCTCTTTGTTGAGTGAGTGCTTGCAGGATTTGTGTCTTGTTCGAGGAGACTGAGAGGATGACTTTGACATTGGGGGGAAGCGGCGAGGGGAGGCTTTCAATGAATTCAAGTCCAAAGTTGTCATCAATACGATCAAGACCAACAAGTATTAGAATAAGAGGCTGTTTGGCTGAAGGCATGAGGGAGAGCAGGGATGAGAGATGATCTTTAAGCTCAGACCGACAAAAATCAGCTTTACTGATACCATACAGACTTGGACATGATGTGGTGCTAAGTTCTTGGTCAGGATAATGCTCTTGCGTGGTGGGTTTACGACGAGGATTCAAATCACATTTCAGGAAGTTGGAGTTTTGGTCACAGTTTGGATTTTCTGGGTTGCCTAAATTCAGCTTTGAGGAAGATCTGCGTTTATATTTGGCAACAATCTGGTGGCACAGGCTTGACATCCGGTGCTTTGAAGAGAGGTTGGCTGTCAGGTTGCAGAAGTGAGTGATTACCACAGGGTCACAATCTGGTAACCAGGATTGAATCTGCAGAGAGGGAAAAAAATTCTTGTACTTATGATGTTAAATCAACATTTTGTAGATTCCTGTAGAACTGTATTAAAAAGCAAATTGCTTTATGATTTAAACCCTTTTCCTTTTCATAAACTAACCCACTTCATGTAGATGTACTGGGCTCATTTTAAGTTAACAAAAACAAAACAATTTTCATATTAAAGGGATATTACACTAATTTGAACATACTTACAGATATTCTATTTAATTTCTATGGTCTGCGCTGATTAATGCTGCTAAGTTTTCCACACTGTACTTTAAACTGGTTATAAACAGACTAGAAAAAAAAAGGCCTTTACCGTGTCCTACAAAAGCGAATCAGACCATTACAGAGGAGACTGAATATTTCTATTACAGTTATCTATGACCCTCAATCCTGCTTCAGGTACAAAAAATGTTAAAAATTCTTCAACCAATGGATTATGAGAGTTGTATATTAGGAATTATGAAATAAAGAAAGATGATAAATTGTAGGTATAGGTATGTAAAAAAAAATAGACAAGGTCAGTTTCGCATTCCCTGTCTGTCTGCTCACCCTTTGAGCACAGTGGGCCAGCAGAACTGTCTTCCCTGTGCACGGTCCTCCTGTCACCATTAGTGGGTATAGTGCTTTACTCTGCTGCACATAGACTCTGACCTGAAACAAATAAACAGGTAACTCAGGAGATGTATTACTGGTTTAAAGTCTTATCATAGAGTCCTAATACAGGAAAATAGACTGGTTAAAAAACAAACTATTAAAAATGGAAATCACTGCAGTCCTGACCTTTTCCTCCTCCGGTCGATTTATGTCATATAATTGTGACATGATGTCACACAGCTCTTCCTGCTCAGCCTGCTCTCTGGCCGCTGCATCGCCCAGCTGGGAATTGTCCTCAGTTTGAATGTTCAAGCTGTCAATCAAACCCAAAAGGTCAGAGTGCACTTGCTGGGACAGAGACTCGGCATAGCACCGCCTCCTGGCTGTCGTGTAACCGTGGCGGCGATCACACTCTGTGGTACAGACCAAAAGTTCGGAGGAAGTGATATGACCGGGGAGGAAGTTGTCACAAAGCTCTGATAACAATTTTCCATCAGAGGGGACTGTCTCGACATCCATCATAGCAGCCTGAAAATAAGAGATAATGGGAAAATACGTTTTTTTTTTTTTTTACACTTTTTGCCTCTTTAAAAAAACTTTGGATCACTTTGTTGTACAATAAAAGCAACTATAATTTCTACCCCACACCTAATTGGCTTTTCTTATGTATAAACAGGATGTCAATATGTTTGGGTTATATGAAATGTGATAATGTAATTCCACATAAATGTATACTCGTGAAATAGCACCGTAAAACTCTCACCCCAAACTGCAGATTTTTTGACCTTCTCAGCCTCTGACCTTGAGCGTTGATGACCTTGTGGATGTAAACCAGGCAGCGTTTGATGAAGACATTATCAGGACAGTCCTCCAGAGCAAATCGCAGATCTTCATCAAGGGCTGGAGAGCAGAAGAAAAATGGTATTCAACATAAATTCAGCATCAAGCAAAAGAGCGAACAGGCAGGTGTGTATCTCACCTGATCTATAGAATGTCTGGGCTCTCTGCAGAGTCATGAGACCTTTGTTAACACACAGACTCGCAGTGGTTTGGAACACCTTCATCAGCCCTTCTTCTTTGGATTCTGCATCAATGTCCTCATCTTTTAACTCCTCCTGCTAAATTAACGAAGGCAGGATTACTGTGGTAACTTATTATTATTTTTTTAAATCTATATTATTGATCTTAAGAATAGTGATGAACTTACAAATCTACTGTTTCTTCACAGGTCTCCTGAATGCAGACAGTAAAATAAGCCATCAATAATGTGTTTTTTAAGGTTTCAGGTGATCTCACCTGAGGGCTACAGGTGTGTGTATGAGCAGCTCTCAGACAGTAGGAGGGAGGGATGCTGTTCTCATCCCTCTGGTACTCCCTCTCCAGGTCCTGGGTGCTGACACCCGCCTGCTGGCTCTCCTGCAGCAGCAGCTGGTACTCTGACACCTCCAACAGAGTGGGCAGACTGGCTGTGCCATACTGGTGTCCCACGAGAGCCTGCAGCGCCGCCGTGTGGCCACAGAAAGAACAGTAGCAACTCAGATAACACTGCACTAAAAATGGCCCTACACTTTTTAAGATGATCAGATTTTAGGAATTAGTGTGTGTTCTTTCCCTCTTGCTTTTTTTTCTAAATATGGTTCACAGTTGAGTGCAATTTAAAAAGCACATTTTTGATAAAATGGAAAAATTACTACTGCCACCAAATCCTGTGACAGCTAGTTTTTTTTTAAATGTAGACTGTACCAGACACATATGATAACATTTACTTCACTATTACTGGCTTGGTTGTAGATCAGTGATTGAATTTGGACCTATAGAGCTACAGTGACACTGAATTGTCCAATCATCCAATCCCGAGACAGAACCAAGAACCCAAAAGGCTTCTCCAAGAAACCTCAAGATTAATTTTAGTGACATTTTCAGTGTGTAATCTTTAGTTCCTGCCACACATCAAACGATGATTTAATTGAATATCATCAAACAGTGGGAAAATGCACAACACTGTGCTACTGTGCGCTTATGGCTGAACAAATATTGCTGATTTATTCACCAGTAGAAAAGGTCCTGCCGAGCTCTCTCTGCACTCTTTAATCAGCTGCTGTCTGATGTTTCTATTTGGCCAACAACTGGGATCACTGGACTCGAATGGGTCTATCACCTACAGACACAAAGACACACACACACACACACATATGCTCAAAGCTTAACAGATAAAACAATGTAGTTAAGAGATAGTTGATAATTGGTCCATCAAAAGGCACAAAGCAAGGTGAAATAACAATTAGCCTGCTGGTGGCTCAGTGAAATGTGATAATCTGTCTTCCTTTCGATCACACACGCTGCTAAAACGAGGTGACGGCACAATGTGCTGGTGCCAGAACAAACACAGCGGCACTCTGCAGCGTCACATTACAGCTGCTCATCCTCTTTATGGTCAAATTTAATTAAGCAAAGATGAGTTGAATTAGAAGCATGTTAAAAAGAACAGCCTCAGGGGGAAAGTAGGGACTAGGAGCCACACCCACACCAACCCACCCACCCCTGTTACTCACTACTTACCTATGTGGGCACTACCAGTTAATACTACTTTTGGTTTTGACTGCTGACCATGTGCAGCTTACCAAATAATGCTTGAATAGGTATGCATTACTGAGAAACAGTTAATAATCATTCTTCAATCAAAAACAGTCCTATTCCATCATATGGATGGATTTTTTTAATCTGTTTTTGAATGATGGTTTCATATGCCATCTTTAAATCACCTGTGATAGCTCCTGCAAACACTGTATATTACACTTTATTGAAAAAGTGGATATATTAGTGCAAAATAATGTTAAAGGTTGGATTGGCACAAACATTAAGTTTTAATTTGAAGGTTTACTTCATGAGAAAAATAACATTTTTGCACAAGATAAAGGTGGGAAGAGTAAAAGCACAAAAAGGAGACAAATAATCATAAACAGACATATTCATAGATATTAAGTCTAGTTTTATACAAATAGAACTAGCATATTTACACATATATTTACAGAGTACGTGCAGTTTATGCATACAATCATAACGTCTTATGTTAAACAATTATGCAGGATCTTGAAAAGATATGTTCCTACTCACCCTGAGATCCAGACCCAGTGTGTGTCTGCAGTGCTCTCCAAGTTTGGGAAACACATTCTCTCTCAGAGCTCTGCGCTCCACCACACTATCTGTAAAATAAATCACAGATACACAACAAATACCCAACTATTTACAAATAGCAAAATACAAGACCATTGAGCAGACTTCATTTTTCAAACTCAGCTTATACTGCAGTAGAATAAACTTTCTACATACCTTCTGGGTTGGAGCACAGATAGAGTTTTATACATGACAATCTGCATGGAGTGTGGTCCATTTCTTTTCTTCCTAACTCAGGTTGAGTCAACGTCTAACGCTGTGATAAGAAGGGGAAAACTTTGGCTGTAAACAGATTTTAAAAAACCCTCACATTTTCTGCCTCTCCGCTCTTCACCCCGGCTCCCCTCAGGAAACTCTGTTCTCCAGTGTTTACAGAGTGTGTGTTATCACGATCACACCCACCGCATGTTACATGAGCTTCTATTCAAAATGTAAATTCTCAGTTGTTAGGCGGCAGGACGTGGAGCACAAAGACCCGAAAGAAGACAGAAAAGGACAGGAACATACAAACAACTTTTCAATATTTTTTTATTAATTAACATTTGTACACAATAAATACAAACTTTGTTTTTTTGTACAGCCAATAATAATATGCTGAAAGACTTTTGCACCTGTTTTTACTATTGTCACCATGGCAACAGTCTATGAAGAGAGAGAGAGAGAAAGGCCAGTTGTTCCAACCACATTGTTAGTCGCAGCAGCTGTGCAGCTACTCAAAATTGAAGAATGAGTGAAAAAAAATATCATACATAAAAAAGGCCGATACAAAATGAGTGAGCGCTGTAGCAGGCCAAAAAGACTGTTGAAGAGGGGATGTACATGTGTTTAAAGTGGCAACAGGCAAGAAAAAGGTGTGATTATTACACTTGATAAAGAGATCGTTTGAAAGTTTAAGGGTCAACTCCAGTAGAGGAGCAAAAATTCAAATCTGAAACTGTTACTCATCCACCACGATAGATTCACTTATGATTTGAGCTGGTAGTGAGCTGATGTAGTGTCTTCCTCATTTCTCACATCCATTTTCTCGATCTGAAATAATTCACCTACACCAGCAAAGAAGAAGCCAAACAATTTAAGCCCAGATCAGACATTTGAAGTGTTTTCCTTTCTTGGAACTGCAGTCTGTACTTCATATCAATCGTTGCAGTTAATTCACGAGGAAACAAAATAAACTATGTGCTTTAATAATCAGGAAATGAGCCTTGATACTGCGATGTCTGATGGTAATGGAAAAAACAATATAGATTAAACCTTATCTTTATGTTTCCTGGAGCCGACTTATAACAGGGCACAACTATTTTTTTTAATTGCTTCCGATCTTCTAGAGAACAGATTTTTCTTGCCTGTTGCTTTTTGGGATGAAACAGGAGAGTTTTATCTTTTGAGAGGTACTCAGAGTGAATGTGAAGAGAAATCAAAACATTTTTAATAAATATAGTTGGGAAGGAACTGGTGCAAATCTTTAGCATAAGCAACAGACCTGCTTGAACAACTTAAACCGCACTCTCTCCAATCCTTTATCTTAAAATATCCCTCAGCTTTTAAGAAGGGTATTTTTTTTTAATGGTTGTTGTTTTTTAAGTTAAGAACACCAAATTACAGTCCACTGTTAGCTCTCCATCTCTTTGCAAGAGTGAAGAGTAGTAAAAAAAGAAATCAGTCACACTGAAATAAAAAAAGGATCCACCACAGAATCTGAATGAAAGAAAAACCCTGCTTTCTGTTTTCAACTACAGTGATTCATCAGAGTCTTTTCTATCCATCCTGATGCTATGATCACATAGTGCTACTTTTAATGGGAGGTACAAATAAATAAAAGTGCTACGCTGCCCTTAGGCAAGGAGTTTTAAAGGCTTGAAGGGTAATTGGGGGGGTTACTTTGAGTAAAAAATAAAACACAAAGGAATTGTACTTAGCTCTATTTGAATGTCGTTAGCTAGTTCTGCTCATCGAGAATGATGCAAACGTCTCTTTTGTTTTTAAGTTCAAATGTATGACACGAGGATAACAAAACGATCGTGAAAAAAATCAAACTGGTAGGCATTTCTCTTCAGTATTTTAAACTCACGCTGCAGAGAAAAAGTAATGTGGTGGAGTTGGAAGGAAAAAAAAAAACACCTTCAGATGTAACGCATGTAAGCTCAAAAGAATAAATGCTTCTAGGAGGAAAACAGTGTAAGAGGAAAAAGGATCTGTACTATACAGCTCACTTTGTGATTGATAAAACCTCCACACACTAAATACGATCAGTGTCTCATCTTGAATATATCTTTCTTTGTCACCACATAGTGAATACCAACAATTTCGCTGCCTTTGAAAGCATCACGGGCCGCCTCCTGAACCTATCAGTGAGGGTCACAGAATGAGAGAAGTTATAGCAATGTGTGTGTAATATAATGCAGCTGTAATGTGTGTGTATATGATAGCCACCAATTCACACTGACTGCCAACAGACAGAACAGACATTAGAGGAACGAGGGAGAGAAAGAAAAAGAGGGGAGGAGATTTGAAGAAGAAAAGAGCAGAAAAGAGGATCCAGCCTCTGTTTTCTCTTTGGATCTTTCATCTTCTCCTACCCTCTCCTCTTTCACCTCTTCTTCATACTGTATTTACAATGCCCTTTCAGTATAAGATCAGGATAAAACTTCCACTACATATCAGACATGTTTTTCCATTCAGCAGAGTTAGTCTATATGAAACGCTTTGCACAACATTCCTATGACAACAGTAATGTACTGTACTAATACACATTTAATACGCATGATGATAAGGACTATATATGGCGAGGGTAGGCCAGGGGGGCTCTGCGTCCACACACAACCCAGTTTCTCTGTCCATTTACTAATCCCATGACTGCACTTAAAAACATAACATTTGGCAAGTTCTGTGTTCCTCACGTTGATTCTGCTGTCTTATCATGGAGTCCTGAAACTCAAAACTTCAGCTAAAGTTTGGAGATGAATCTAGAAGACAACATTTGTCGTTCCTCATTTTCCTCGCCTGATAAATAATACTAGCCTACCTGAAAACAAACTAAGCACAAACCATTTTACTGCAAAACAAAGTTTGAACCCTTCTTCCAAACTGTAACTACACCATCTACTGCACCCGTTTGCAAACCAACATAAAGATTTGCATAGTTCTGTAGCCTTCATTTATGGACTCAAGTGGTTGAAGCATTTTAGCCTGGAAGCTAATCCTTAAACTTAAAACTAGGGTTGATTTTAGGTTTTAGGACTTTAGAGAAGCTTTAGTCTTCTTTCAACACAAACATAAATGCACCTTCAAGACAGATTAATACAGGATTTACTGTGATTTCTAATCCAAGTGTCATACTCTATTCCAAATTCTAGTCCATGTCTTCAACAGTAATGAATGACCTTTTTTCAAACACTATGAGCATTCATAAAATTGAAATTTTAGTAAGCAAAATGGATCAATTGTTTTCCAAATATGATAAATGAACAAATGTTTAAAGCTTCATTTTAATAATCCGCTTTTGACTTTCAACTTGTTTTGTTTTCTTTAACTACATCGTATCAGTTTCAGGTCTCCATGAAGCAGCTATGATTCTCCTGAAAAGAGATAACCAGAGTTAAAATACCTCAATGTAAGCCCAAAAAGAAACAAAAACAGAAAAAAACAACTTGCCAAACCCACTGATAACTTTCCTTCACATGACCCCTCACTAAAACATTCTTCCTCCTCTTCAGTGTGCTCGGGCTCGCCGCCCGATGAGGTGAAGTTTTAAGGCAAGAATGGAAGGACGGGGGAGGGCAGAGAGGGATCAGGGGGCAGCTACTGCTGCACTTCATCAGGAAGCTAATACGAATATTATTAAAGTGGATACTCTTTTTATCCCCTGTCTTCTGCTCCCTTCCTCAACTTGAGGATGAGAGAAGATGTGGAGAGGCTGAGGGCGAAGGACGTGATTCAGTTCCGATTATGTCACATCACTTTTTTTTTGGCTGACTTCAGTTCAGAGCGGTTCAGCTCCCCAGCCTGTGAGATACATATGTCTGTCATCTGTTTTTGTTTTTTAGATCTTGAAAATCGCCTGCCAGCTTGGCTGTTAGTCACACCAGTGTGATCTCCACCTCCTCTGTTTTATCGCTCTTCTCCTGCTGTCTGCGAGGGTGTTGTTTGGGTGGAGGAGGAGCGGCTCGCACCTGCAGTGGGGGAAAATAAAAAAATAAAGTACATGAAAGTTTGAGCACAAAGAGAAAGTGAGAAAAAAATCTTATTCAGGCAATAAAAGAGGTGTCCTACTTTTCATGATTGACAGCGTAATAATGTGTTACACAAATCACAAATTGGTGTGACACAATTGGGACACAAATTTTATCACTGATATGCAAAGAACGTTTTTTTTTCTACTCCTGAGGACTTCTTTAGAATTAAGACAATATTTTCACTGGTATCCACAAGTTTCATATGGTTCAACTGTGACACTTTGCGCAGCTACTTATTAATTGATCTGTTTATTTTGGTTCTTTTTATTTTGTCTTTTCATCCAAAATTGCAATGCAGCCTCAGCGTTTCACTGCATTTAACTGCTGTAAAATTATTAGCTTACTTAAACAGCTAACAATTAGATTAGATAGGACTTTATTAATTCCCAAAAGGATCAATAAAATTCTCGCTAACCTAATTCAATAGCAGTCTGCTGACCAAGCTTTTCTGGTCTTAGATTTTGACTTTTATCGCTACATTATTAAAAAAAAGCCCAAAATAAGCACAAGTTTCCCTCTGTTTAAAAGGTTTCCCTTCCCGAAGGGCACAACGACAAAACACAAAGACTTAATTTAAATAATCTTGTAATGAGTCAGTCATTAATTCCCTGAAAAGTTATTTATATAATCAACTGCTGCATGTTGGAAAGTGAGATAACGACTCTCAATATTTTACCAAAGAAACTCCATTCAAAGTTTGGTCTTGACTCTAGAAGTCAAAATATATTTGTTGAGTGTATGATTTCTACTGGGTACGTCACTTCCAGGGATGGACACTGAGGGGTGTGGTTTTGGGAAATTTGGCAGGTTATTTAAAAATACTGCTGTAGTCAGAGAAAATGGGTTTTAGTGAGCTCTGATCATTTCTGTTGACCGTTAATCACTCATCCTTCTACCCTCGTTTCATTATATCACCTTTTCATTTGAACACAAAAGTTTGGACCTGGATCAGAATTAGACTGTAAGTTTTCTTTCTTTTTTGGACAATAAATCACCTTTAACACTCGAGCCGACTGAATGAATTAACGAGTCACAGATGTAAGAGCACCTGAACCCCAGCGGCCTTTTGTTGAAGGAAAGCAGTCGCTACATCATGTATTTAAAAAAAACTCAAAGAAGAACATTTCTTCATGGACCAGAATTCATCATCATTAAAAAAGTAGAATCCAACAATCAAAACACACTTCTTGATTCTAACTTTGATACTAACAGGTCGTAGTTTGCTCGGGCCTCCTTCAGGGGTGAATCTCAGAGGCTGAGGAAATCCAGGAGACACTGGACTCCTGCCAGAGCTTTGATCTACAGAGAAAGAAAGAGAGAGAGAGAGAGAGAGAGAAAGGGATTGGAAGAGGTTTCTATAAACTCACAGTGAAAAGCCACATTGACCTCTTCTCAATTAACTCAATTACACTTAAACTCTCTCTGTGTCCGTGTGTGCACGTCTTACTGTGGGTGGAGAGCGGTCCCTTGTGTGATGAGGCAGGTGGTGGAGGCTTATGCTCCCCGTTGAGTGCAGTGGAGGGCGAGCGTGGGAGAGGAGGTGGGGTGGAGGTCTCGGGGCTGGTGAAAGGGCTGATGGGAGGTTGGTCATATAGCGGGAGAGGTGGAAGGGAAGATGGCAACTTCAGAGAGGGAGAGATCTGGAGAAATGGAGAGAGACACAGAACAACAACAGGACACCAGCAGTTAAAATCTATTCAAATAGTAAAAGCTTCTGAAAAATTACAGTTGAGGAGATTCTTCAACAAAAAAACAGCAGTTATAACACAACATGGTACAACTAACATGATGGAATCAATACTGAGATGTTCAAATGAGCTGCCTATTTACAGATCTAGCAGACACAAAAGAATGTTGTCACTAAATCTGAATTATATAACAATCCAAATAATGAACCTTAGTCCAACAGTCACTGTGTTAGCTCTGTCTTTGGTCGCAACCACCTAAGCAAAATATGTGGTTTTATAGTTACTTAAAGGTGGGGTAGGCTGGATCTGAGTTATTGCAGGTTTTGGGAGAAATCTTGAATGTAAACTCTACCCCTCCCAACCAGTTTTCCCCTCAGCTCCTCCTCTCCCCTCGCTGCTCTAGCAAGCTCCGCCCACAAACAGACACTCCTGCTCACCCATATCGTTTCAATTAAATTCAGATATAATGCAGATAAACTGTACTGTATACTGTAGCACGCTAACTTTGTTTTGTCTCCTGAACTACACGGGGGAACAGCATCTGCCTCACAACCAATCAGGTTGGAGGAGGCGGGGAATGGCTTTGTTTACAGTCAGAAAGAGTGGAGCGCTCAAAAAATTTAAAATGTTGACTACACAGGCTTAACGAAACACAGTGATATCGTTATATTATCAAATGTCATCAATGACTAATAGATATTGACTGATACTAAAAGCTTTTTTGTATATACACCACAAAAAGAGATGCTTCTTTAACAGATTCCTGCCTACCACACCTTTAACTCCTCAGTTTGTTCACCACTGAGTTGTTTCGTGCTGAACCCAAAGTGTACATTGAGTTTTTTAAAACAATAAAGCGATCCTTTTTTAAATCATTCTTTTTATATCCTGTCAGTGCCAATATAACTGTTATGGCAGCTTTGGGATTCCAGTCTTTGCTGGAACAATACACAACAGGGAAAAGCTTGTCCAAGCTCAAGGTGAGACCCATCAAAGCACAGAACTGGCAGCAACCAGGGGTACACAGTTTTTTGTTTGTTTTTTGTTTTAACCAAACTTCCCCTTTAAAGATGCTATAAAATTGTTGTGGTGTTTTGTGTTATGTCTGCTGGAATGTAGGAAGGGAGAGGCTGTATCCTTCCTGTTGCTGAACCACTAATAGGGCAGCACTGTGCCAAAGATAAGAGCTCTTTCTGTGATTGCGGCGCAGGGTTTATCAGAGCCCTGCAGCAACATGGCAGCTCTGACCTCCTGTTTGTGAACTCTGCCCTGCTGATAGATCTACTGTACAGCCAGGAAGGGCGGGGAGTGAGGGGGGCTGGTGGCACTGTAGACTAGACTCTATTTGCACCCGGAGGGAAGACTGATAAGTTTTCATTTCATCTAGAGTGATTCAGTAAATGTCTAGGTTTCATCTTGAACCTGCTTTTCTGTGTACATTTTGTTTACATCCACATACCTGAATGTCACCTGACCCTCCTCCACTGGTCTCCCCGTTTTCGGTGAAATCTTCCACCAGCACAGACGGGAAGACGCCCACCCGCCCGTTGAGCTCCCCTTCCCAGAAGCCGTCATCTGTCTGAGTGTCTCGGCTTAGAAGGCGGATCACCGCTCCCTCGGCAAAGGAGAGTTCCTCGTCCGCCTGGCCCTCATAGTCATAAAGTGCACGGACGTACATGGCTAAAGGGAGGGAGAGAGGGAGAAAGCAATGAGATACACTATGGGCATAATTAATCCCCGGGAAATGTGGTTCCTATCAGCCTGGCCCTCACTGTCGTAGAGAGAATAACATTCACGGCTGGAGAGAGAGAGATATGGAGAAGACAGAAACTGCAGCAATAATTAGGTGCAGGAGTTTCCTCATGTGTCTGTCCGAGTGTTCAGGTAGAGCAGACTCAAATCATTAGAGAGAGAAGAGGAGGAAAAGAGTAATAGGAGAGAAAAGGAAGAAAGAAGCACAGAAGAAAAGATTAGGAAGAAAAAAATAAAAGCGAGGAAAACAAACTATCTAGTCAACCTATAGTGTTGCAGATATTAGTAAAGAGGAAGCACAAATCAAGTTTGACACAGTCCAAATCCATGTAGTTTCTTCTTTTTTTGACATCATTTAATACAGCTGCTTCTCTTCTGTTTCTCTGAGGCAGAAAACTCATACCTACTTATTTTAATATCACTCATTTTTGCAAAATAAGCGTTGAGCATCTCCAGTGGAGCAGTGAAGAGGGAAATCTTTTAATCAGAGGCACATAAAAACCTCATTAAGGGGAGAAAAAACTCATTTACATAGTACAAGTGGAATTAACTTGTTTTACCGAAACTCTGCTAAATTATTTCAGAGAACAATTTGCCACTTGCCTGGTTTACAGCACACTCACCGCTTGTGTCTCCATTGACGCAGTTGGAGTGCAGCTCCGGCTCGGTGGAGTTCGACGACGTGTGTGATCGAGCATCAAGTGTGGCCAGAGACTGGAGCATGCTCAGCAGACTGTTGGAGGTGGGGAACTGCAGGTATTTCTCTGGGACGTAACCCACCTGACCTGTCTTATTGCGAGCCTGGAGAGAATACAACACACACACACACAAGCATGCAATGAAGTGCAATCAAAAAGCCGGGATGTAAACCAAAGTGTGGTTTGGTTGATAATGGCCTTAAAGTACAACCCTGAAAATAAAAACTACTACAAATTCATTTTTTGTTTTCGTTATCCAGAAGCTGACGACAAACAGTGCTGCAGGTACCATTACAGCTCTGTGTCAAAATGTTGATTTGTCTTAGCTTGGAGATACTGGGACTGTAATCAACCAAAGAAATTCTTGGTGTCTTTGACATAGATGGAAAAGGAGGACTCAAATGAAAGTTAAAACACTCAAAATAAAACAAGGGGGGTGTTCTGAGACAGGCTGTTACTTGCGAAACTGGGGTGCTCTGAAAACACCCCCATCAGCACTTGGTACGTTCGTCCTGATGGAATTAACCATAGACTGTAAACTGACGCGGAAAAAAAGTCGACCAATCAGAATTTTGACTAAGCATGAATCAACCAAAAAGTTGACCAGTCGACTAGGACTTTACAGCCCTAGGAGATGCATATGAAATCCTATTCAGTAAGGTGTTTGGTTGTAATGATCAACTCTGAATCTCCAAAGATAAGGAAGCAGCTGCACTGCAGTGTCTGTCCGATGTGCCTATCCAGGGGTATTTCTTGGATTTGGACATCAGGGGCTGAGCCCAGACCACCCTCAATCCCCGCCACACAAAAAAAAAGAAGAAGCTAAAGAAAATAAATAATACCACAATGGCCTAAGAGCTTGAACATAAAACAGCTGCCAAAATTTTCACCGGTGCAAACATAGTAGATGTAAGGAAAAAACATGAGAACATAAAGATATAACATTAACGTTAGAGCTCTTTGATTATTCTTCTGCTGTAACTGCATAGGTAAAAGAAAAATGTGTGTGTGTGTGTGTGTGTGTACCTTGACCCAGTCCTCCATATCGCCATCTTCAATGACCTCCAACATCTCCTTCTCATCAATTGTTAACTCATCTGGCTGAGAGGCCTGCAGGTGAGACACAGCAACAGTGAGAGGGGCAGAAAAACAAAACGTGTTTCCTCTCAAAATTGTGTATAAAGCGATAACATTTTATAGAAATCATGTTTCTTTTGGTCGCTCTGATAGCGTCCTTGCTGTAGACATAGATCTCATTAATCTCCTTCTGGATAGATTTTACTAAACAGTAAGACACGTTTGTCATGTCTCAGCACATACACAAATTTTTGTGACTGTGTGTGATACTGTGTGTTGTTGTTTAGAGGGTACTTTCAGACATTTGATACGTGCAGGTCACTGCAGAGATTAAAACTTGTAGGTGTGTTTGTGTCTTTGTTAATACCTTGTAGGAGTAGAGAACTTTGCAGGTCAGCGGGTAGTTTCGAAGCGTTCCTGAAGGACTGGAGCTGCTGTCGTCAAAAACCTCCATGTTCTCCTCACACTCTTCGCCCTCCTCACGCTCCAAGTCCACTGTGCCCTGGAACATGAACACAAGCAGGTTAAGTCAAATATTTGATTTGTTTTGTCACCCCATTTCTAAAGCACAGCAGTGGAAAAACACTCCTTTACTTCAGTTTGAAAAAAAACAAGATGTCGGCCACAGCTCGCTATTAACCTTGTTGTTCAGGTTTGATGTTTGCTGTGTTATTATCCACAACCTTTCGTACACCGCCGCATGAACATTTAATCACAAGTCGCCGTCCATTAAACCGACCATTCCCTCCACTGCTAAAGGCACAATTAAACCCATGAATATGCTTACCTCTCTTTGCTATCAGTTTCTGTCTCCTGCTCTGTGTGGGTGCAACACTTTTTTGGAGACAGGTGTAGAGGACTAAAGTTTCATATGATCCAGCCCCTCCCTCTTTTGTCCCATTAGCGTTTCACTAGCCTGTATGAAGGTCATGTGATCAGGAGCTGGTAGAAAAATCCATCACGCAGAGCAAGCAGAGCTGGCCACAACAAAAGTGTGTATGTGTGAGAGTGTGTGTGTTTATTCATTCCTGGCCATTGTGTTTAGTCATCAGATTTCTGTTGTCACAGTAAACTCTACACCAGTGTAGAGCAAAGCAGGTGTGTCTTGTGTGAGATGATATCACAGGTTGTTCTCTTAGACATAAAAAAGTGATTCCCCAGAGGAATAAGGTGTGGTCTAAAGGTTAGCTCTGGTGTAAAACAGCTCCACACTGCAGAGTGTTACTAAAGAGCCCACAGCTGATACATAGCGGTGCTTTTTCTTCTGAAAACTGTTCTATAATTTTGTGTGAATGCTCATATGCCCTCTTGGTTCAGCCTGTTCGCATGCAAAGCCACAGGTAATTGGTCCTAAATCCAGGTACTGGAAATTCTAATCTGTGCCCAAGTGCAGATCTATGGCTGATTTGGTTTTGTTTAGTACTACTTACAGCACTTCTAAGAGTTCTATTATAGGAGCTCTTAGGGAATTTACTTGAGTTACATATACTGAAGCCTGAAGGAAACAGTTTTGGCTCGATGTTGCGAACACCTCAGATATCTTTTCTGCTGTATCACTTCTGCACTGACACGTTGTGAACAGGGAGTGGTACAGACACAGCAATGCAGAGAGAAAAGTGACATCTTTGACAGAGTTTGATACCCCCTTTGAGGTTTATGTTCAACGTCACTCTGATCCACTTTACTTCATTGATTTAAAGAAATGCATCAATGCCTCTGGGCCTATTCCTGAAGTAAAAAGACCAGCATGTACTTCAGTATAAACCCAATAAAAAAAATCACCAAAGTGTGTGTACTGACTGTGCAGACCGATGGCTGATTTTATTGCTCCTGGAGGTAATAACTGTGAAAGTGATATTGTAATGAAGGCAGCGGCTGCCTGACAGACTTGAGGGTTCTTGGCTCAAAATTTGAGGGTCATAACAATAAAGTGGAGTGTAACAGAGAAGGGGGCCGAGGGAGGTGCCCGAAGTCATCCATCCTTTCTTAACTTTGTCTCTGACCATCAATCCCCTCTTCTGCTACTGCTGCTAATCAGAAAACTGCAGTTGACAACCCCTCATACCCCATTCTTCTTTTTTCCTTTGTTGCACCTTTGTTTCAATCCCCCTTTCTCTGACTGTTCAGGCTGTTAATGCTTCAGTACACCTCAGATGAAATCAGAGGATGGTGAACTGCTGTTAGAGGTATTTAACATGCCTTCAGGTCTGTTCTTTTTAATGACACCTAGACCAGAGGCATGAGTCTTCAAAGAGTCTGATTTATCTCACAAATATGGCACAAGTATAAAGACTGATGAGAATCCCATGCACAAATCAAAATGTGAAAATATAGCTGTAAGAAATATAAATGCATTGGCGATTGAAAAGAGAGGTTTTCAGCATTGTAAGTCCCCAGTTAGTCCATCTAGACTTTTGATGCATCAGAGACATGAGGTGCGTACTTCGCAACGTCATTATTCTCTGCAGTTTTTCACACTCTATCTCTCTCGTCTCTGATTTTATATTGGCTTCGACATTAGCACCTTAATGCTACCCGGTCCTCACCTTACTTTCCGAAGCTGATGCTGTCTCTCTTGTCTCAGTCTGTAAAAATGTTCTCTGTTCACCCCCCTCATTCTCTGCACAGCTCTTTCATTCAACCATCCCTCCACTTCTGCATCTGTCATTCCTAGAGGCACTCTTCCCCCATTCTGCAGGCTTCCCGTCACCCTCTGTCACGCTGAGTATCTCTACAGAGTTAGCTACAAGCTGCGTTATCATGTGAGCGGAGTGTTAAGTGCAACCAAAGTAGCAGACTGACTATGTTTAGTCCTGTTGACACAAATATGTCACCTCACAAAGTCCCGTTTGGTGCTGCATTCTGAGTGTGTTTGAAGGTAGTGGTAGTTGATTTTTGTTTTGTTTTGTTTTTGCTGTTTCTCATCTTTGTGTGAAGTTGAGCTAAGGTATGACTGTTGCAAACTTAAAGTTAGAAAAACATCGTTGAGTTCTGTCATCAAAATATCAGTCTGTACAGCGTAGGTCGTGTGCTATGTTCAAAAGGAAAAATGATGGTTGACTACAGTCTATACTGAAGGCAAAGAGATGTGATATTTCCTCTGGTCTGCCCTCTACCTAACCATAAACATTACTTTATAATTAGCTCAAGGTGTCACCAGGCGTCAGATCTTCATTCAGTCTATCTTACCTGTTAAATTAAAATAAAAACTGTGAATCTTCATAGACTACATCAGTATTCCAGCTGAGAAGTGAGGCGTTTTAGGAGACTTTAACCGACGATATAGATGATTAGGCAGCAGGGCTGAGGTCAATTATTTTGCCATTTACATCATTCAGAAGGTGATTTTTCAGGACAAGTGTGTTCAAGCTGGGTGGTTTTCACTTATAATGATATCATACAGAATGAAAGGTCTATGAATATGAGCCAGAGCCGAAGAGCTCAGTTGAATATTCTTCCATGTGCTGAATTGTGAGACAGATGAGCTTGTCTACTGTGGATCATTAAAACACAGTGACACATTTTAGTGCTCTGAGGGGTTTCATTAGAAAAAAAAACCACCATGCATGCAAAACAAACCAGCTGTGACTGTAGTGAAGTGAAAAGTTAAAACACAGTTGGTGGGTGTGAGTTTTGCACGTTCCAGCCAAGACTGCATGTTGTAAATTTGTATAAGCATAGTGGGGCCAGATAGAAATAACAAAGGAGGAGTTTATTTAATAATTCATCTCGAGAAAAAGTTGGAATGATGAGAATAAAGTTAAAATATAGCCAAAAAGAATAGCCAAAAATACTGTTAAAACTGAAATCCTGAGACAGACATTGCAGTTAATCTAATCAAGGAGAGAAGACCTGTCCACAGACTGTATGTGATCTGTGCTCAGTGACACTTTAACTGTGTGTCTTACTGTGGCTTTTTGTGATGTTATGTTTCAATGTCTATGTTGTAACTATTATTTACAACTTCATATGTTATGCACATTGGTGTATGAGTTACCAGAAAGCAGCATGATTGCAGATTAGCAGTATTAATCTACAGCAAAAACTTAAAACATGATAGGTAATAGTTGCTTTGACGCAGATGAAGTTTTATGCCTAAATGGCCTCAAAAATGTATTCTGAGTTTTTCTCTACATTTATTTATTTATTTACTTTCAATTACCAATTTCAACTCTTTTCTAAAGAGATTTTGACTTTATTCTCAACATTTTAAAGTTTTGCTGTCTGTCTTGATTTCTGTTTTTGTGAAAGCAGAGCACTTCAGGATGTCTTGGCGAGAAGGTGGAAACACATGCACAGTGAGGGTAAGTGTCTCACCGACAGTGAGGGATCATGGGAAGTGTAACTGGCCCAACGTTCATTCTCCAGCTCTTCCATCACCTACAGCATTCACAAAGAGAGTGAGGGGTTTTAAACACACGTTGCAAACAGACACACTCAGTACAAAATGAAATTCATGCGCTTGAATGTGATTAAACACACACTTCAAAGGTTGCATTTATGGGACACACATTCAGGATAGATACACACACAGACTGAGGCAGAAAGTGTATTCAGTGATGAAACACACCTGGTTCATGGCACTCTTCAGCCAGGTATCCACGGCAACTCCCACCTGCCGCAGAAGGTCCAACCGAGCCTCAGCTTTTAACTTTATTGTCTTTGGAGAAAGAGGGGGTTTGAGAGTGTCAGAAATAACCACATTATACACAGATTCCTTCTCATAAGTATCAAAAAGACACAATTCTGATTTCACTTGGTGTGATTTTAAACAGAGGCAAACCTCTCACATTTGTTTTGCCATTTTAGAGAAGAAAGCCTAAAAGTACCTCTTGAGGTCAGAAAGTACCATATAGGGCCCTTACATCAAAGATAAAGATGGTCTTGAGAAGCCTTTTTTAAGGTTACAACAATGATTGCAGTGAATACAGTTTGCAAAAGTTTCATGCTTGGTGTTATATGTTGAGTTAGGGTTGAAAACTTTTCTGTAGCAAAAGCTAGTCAACTGCACATAATAGAAATAAACCCTTTCAGTAAAACAATACACATTCTTTCATTACCTTTTAGCTGCATTAAAATAGATTCAGCGAAGTTTCAAATAGTGAATGAGTAAAACTTGCTGTACTCTAAAGAAGCTAAAAACTGGACCTGCTACGTTCTCTCCTAATGAGACGATATGATGATCAGGCAGTAACCACCAGTGGGAAATTCCTGTAATTGGCTCTAAATCCGTCTTGCCTCTTCAACTCTCTTTCATCACTGAACCCTCCTCTTTTTTCCTGCTGTCTTTCACCAATTTTATCAATCCCCCTCTCACCACCCTCCCTTTTCCTGTCTTACTGATGCTGACAAAGCAAGATTGATAGAGAATAGCTCCATCCCACCAAGACGTGAAGACTGACAAACATGTAGCGTCAAGGCAAACCTCCCAGCCCTGATCAATAAAGGCTCTTTAAGTGCCTCCATTTTTATTCCTTGAGTTTAAAAGCACCAAACTAATGCTGTTTGTTTGAAACTGAAGAACAGGAGACCGACTATAAAACACAGGCCAGTACACAGTCACCTGTTTATGCAGCAGCACACGCTACAGTTTCACAAACAGAAAAACAGATGTATAGACAGACAGGTAGTGAAATGCTGCAGGGCGAATACTCTCAAATATTCACTCCTGTGGGCACTTTTTGTTTTTTATACCCAAGACTCCGCTGGAGCGAAACAGCTGAATAAAAGGGGGGAAAGTGCCAGCTTTAAAAAAAAATTCACAGCATTACCAGACTCTGAAAGGTAACAGTTTATCTTGTCCCGGAAAGCAATGATGAATGATTGGAAAAGACAAGACACAAATCTACAAGGACGGAAATTATTAAAGTCAATGATTATCAATACAGACCAGTTTGCTTCTGCAGTTTGTTCAAAGTTTCAGCCAATAGAGTAACTGTGAACTGTGCTTTAATAACTCAAAATGTGCTTCATATTTCCCCTTGGTTATAATATTGAAACACAATTACAATAGTGACTTATCAGAAGGTATTTTGTTCATCACTTTTCTTTTCTTTCTTTGTTTGTTTGTAGTAGAAAATGTCCAAAAGCACAATCTTGTCCCTATGTTGATGCCTCTCCCGTCTGCAGGATTTTGATGCATGGTGTTAATGAGGCCAGTTTTTCTGCAGGAACAGCCTTCAACAGCTCATTAGTATGGAGGAAGCCTCCACTGTTGACCCTTTCTCATCCTTTAACAAGAGAACAGCAGCAGAAAGGAGGCTGATAACTGTGTCAGAGTAGAGTTATTCAGACAGGGTTTTGATGCTGTTTGGGGAGGTGTTTCATATAAAGCACATTAAATCATCTTTCTGAGAGAGAAGCTTCAAGTTTTATCAGTCTGAGGGAGTTTTTTTTACTAACTTTATGATGGTCTCTTGTTTCAATTTATCCATGTCTCACTCTAGATTTGATTGACAGTTAAATCAAGCACATCTTGTTTCAGGGCCACTTCTAAATTGAGCAGTCTTTTACATAAATTGTCTAGTCCTGACTGTTACAAGATGATTTGATAAAAAAGCTTAATTTTGTTTTTATTTATCTGCTTAGGTTTGTATTTTGCTGATGTCTGTAAACATGTTTCTGAACATGTTGCTCTATCATATCAAACGCTCCAGTAGTGCCTTCAGGGCTAGTTCACAGCCCAGTGTCATCATATTACATTTATAGATTAATGTTTTATGCGGTATGAAATTTAAATTTCAGTCAATCATGCTGATATGTTTTAATAACTAGTCTAGGAATTTTAGGGTCACGCCAAGTTGCTTTAAATGTCTAGGATACAGTTTTTCAAGCACTCAAGGAGACCAGAGCAGTATAATGTGTTCAGGAAAATAACAAGGCTGTCCTCAGGTGTTAATGACACAAGATAAAAGAGATGCATGAAGACTGAGGTGAGAACTGATGACTTCAAACAGATTTAAAGGCGGCAAAAATTCAGTTTGTAATTGTTTAGATTTGGAGTTTTCTCCTTCACTTGGTCAAAATGAAAGTAAAAGGAATCTTAACTTTCAGGTTTGTGCCTCTGTTTAAGTTTTCTTTGACCATTTACAAAAAAACAAACACCACTCCCCATTAACCATCCACTTAAAACGACTACTACTATTTGCATTTATTCAAAAGTCTTTCTGCTTTTACTAATTCTTTCTAAAAGGATCCATAAAGCTCTTAGTAAATCTTTGTGTGGCTCATAAACAGGTCTGAAAGTTCTTAAAAGTCGTACAAGACTGGATGCACTTTATTTACACTCACTGCACCTTGTTCCCATAAAACACTAAGGTGGAGGATTGTGGGAAAAGACAAGAACCTGCTGACTTTACTCTTACTCAGTATGAATATAAAATGAGCTGTTGGGGTGAATTAAACTACATCCCCCCAAAAAAACAGAAGCTTACACACGGATTGGCCTGCAGTAAATGGCGGGCACATTTTTGGCACAGGAAGTGGATCGAAACCGAACATTGATTTTGAAATGCAGCTGGCACTCAGAGCGTTTAAGATGTTGTCACAAGCAAATTAGGCAATTTATGAAAAATCAGTAAACAAGGATGGACAGCAAGGCTTACTAGGCGATCAATCATCTTTTCTGGCTTTTAGCACCCCTGTGTACTTCAGCAGCATATGCCTCATTTAACACAACATCTTTCAATGTATGTTGATATGTTTTTCTTCAACTAACAATTCTCTGTTCTAAATATAGGCCCACCGTCTTATCCTCGCAAACAAGGTGATGAAAAGTCGACAGCAAGCTGACGACGTGATGCAGATGTGACTCCGCATTAAAGGAACATGGCTATCACTGTCCAGATAATGCTGTAGTCAAACACGGATAATGTCTTTTGTCCTGCTTTCTCCCTCTTTATAATTCAGTGATAAGAGCTCTGTGATGAAGCCATTTGTTACAAATGAGCTCATAAAATATTCATCGTCCTACTCAAGGTAATGCTAGCCTGGAGTCGAAACGAATAGTGGACAGAGGGTAAGAGAAAGACTGAAACAGAGAGAAAGAGATGGAGTCATATGTTCTACGCTTTGCTACGAAAAAGCAGCGTAAGTGTTTTTACAGAATGTGAGCCGACGAGCGAATGAAAGTGATGTTGTATGGTAGCCCAAAATAGCACGTCTACTGATAAAAGAAGTTAAATTAGACTGTGGATGAGAAAGATCTGTGAAATTGTTATCACTGAGGAGGAAACAGCATGAGTGAAATGTATTCTTGACTAAACCTGACAGCAGAGGGTGCCAAATATGAGAAAGCCTGGTGATAGAGGCGGTTAGGAGGCAAAGAGGCGGTGTTAGGAAGAGAGTGAATCAGAAAAGTTACAAAGGAGAATAAACTCAAACATGAAAAAGTGATGGCATAAAGATTTTTGAGAAAGAGCAGCAACAGGATCAAGTTGAGTAAGATGACAGCTGATGACAGAGAGGATCAATACATGAATGATAGATAGCTCTGTGTTAAAGTAGATGGGCTGAGAGGTGTGGACAAGAAAAAGATGGAGGATGAGAAGAGGCAGTACAAGAGGAGAGATAGAGTCAAAAGAGCAAGAGTTTTAAGAAAAATGAGAGTCACAGTTATTGATAAATACACCTATTCATCTCTCTATGCCAATGTTCAACCACGCACAGCAGGGGATCAGTGAGTGTTGGGGGATAAAAATGGTCAAATGAGGGAATGAAAAGTAGTATTGATCCATGTTTCTTCATTGCACCTCCAGCCTAAGTGGACACAAGCAGACTGCACACCGGGGCTGCTGTTAGCTTTTTAAATATTTACCAAATAATTAGTCAGTCAGCCCAAACACTGCTGGGAAGAGGAAGTGTGGGATGGGTTCAGCATTTTACGTTTTTCCTGGCGCAGGGAGCTTGTTTGCTTGACTAATGCTGCCATGAATTTCAACATCAAAACTACTGTGAGTAGTTCACTCCCAGTGAAAAACAACAGTTGTTCACTATTAAGACACACTTTTCTACTGAACATATGTACAGTATGTCTATTTGCAATGAGTGGCCATTCCCCTCGTACTACTCATATAGTCATACATATAGAAGAAAAACTGAGGAATCAGAATTAAGTGCTTTCTATCACTCAAATCAGTTTTTTTCAGTATTTGTCGCCCATGTTTGGCAAAAATAATACAGATGAGGGTTGCACTTTTTACTCATTAGATAGGAGATTTCCAGCAAAGCTAACCCATACAGAAAATTTTCTTCACCTTCAAAGAAAATCTAGCTATTGAAGAACAGGAGCATCATCTTAAAGCTGCTCTCCCTAAATGTTTAGAGCTGTATACAACTTGCCTTTTTGCCAAGTGTTTGCTGGAAAATTATCATTTATCATTTTAATTTCTGAAGACAGAACCCACCAACATTTTTGCTTCTCAATAATCCCAAAAATGAAGGTTAGAGCCTAAAGGCCGGGGTTGCATCGTTACAGTAAAAAAAAAGAAAATCTGTTGACATGATTGAGGGAATTTGTGAGGGAAAAGAAGCATGAACAACAAACCTACTCAAACTTCGAGAGAACATGCAAACTTGTCAATCAGTAATCCCTTTTGAACACAAACCTCAGCTTTCCTCATATTTTCTTTGGTGTCTTCTATCTTCAGTTCAAGATCTAGCCTGCCCTGCTCTGTGGGGGGCAGACCGTGGCTCTCACACTCCTCCAGACACTGAAAACAAAGACAAGATAAGTGTTGCGAACTTAACCTACACACCATATTTCCAAACTAGGTCACCGCAAGCGACAAATGCATGCATGTGTCTGTCTTACTCTCTTGTAATGTATGATATTCTTGTGTTCCCGTGCTACTCTAGTCGCCCATTTTCTGGCCTCCTTGTTCAGGCTGTGCTCTTCTGTCGTCCCCGTCTCTGACTCCAGCTGACGACTCTAATACGGACAAACAAAAACACACACACACATACCAGGCAGGCGTGGGTAAACATACACACATTCACACACAAGCAAACAACAGCATGGGAGACAAACATACAAAAGAGGAAATGTTAGCACATTGTCACTTTTTACACAGTATGTTTGATAAACAAAGCCGTTAATGAAGCGAGAGGAAGATTACTTCTTTTTAATATAATTAATACAGGATGTTTCACAAAGCTCTGATAACATCTTGGAGAGACGATAACAGAGCTTCTGCTATGTGATATAACTTTGTGATTGACATGGAAAGACATCTTTGCACTCTATTTAATGTTAAAATATTTGCAATCTAAAACAAATACTCATGAACTTATGTTTGTTTTTTGATTCTTGCTATTTTCGTCTTTTCCATTCAACTACTTTTTGATTTTTTGTTGTTGTCTTCCATAAAAATTGGCCATACAGAGTGAGGAGACAGAGGGATACTCTTTATCACATGGTAGGTAGCTCTGCCAATATGTATCAGGCCAAAATTGAAGAAAAAGCCACATCTCCACCTCCTTCTGCAGCAATAATGGTTTCAATGTTTCCATAATGTTTGGAAATTCTGTGGCATAAATAAAGAAAAATATCTTTACATGTAAGAAAATTGTTCTAAAAAAGTGCCTCTGGAGGTTTAATTGTAATGTAATTTTCACTTAGAGGCTGACAGCTCCATAATCTGATAATAAGAGCATGTTTGCTGCACTAACCTACATAGTATTTTAATTGTAAGTTTCCATGCCTATCATAACTATTAATTATGTGCTGCTTCAGAAGCAGGAAGGCATAAATCTGGCTAAGTATAGGTGTGAAATGAAGAGTATTACATGGGAGATTTACAGCTTAATTATGTTCAGGCGAGGGAGTGAGGCAGGGAGTTAAGGCACAGAGGCAGAAAACTAGATTTGGATGGTGGCTCTGAACAGACATGTCAGGGAGGAAGCTAAGCTAATTTGTGTCTCAAATGTTTATTGGTTTAATTTTGCTGGTGTACACGCATACAAAAAGTTTGTTTTTCAAACTTGTACATGTTGGAGAAAATGGGAAAAAAAGTGCATGCAAAAAATTAAATTTTCTCTTTAGGGGCTGTTTGACTCAGTTTCTCACTGATTAACAAAATATTTCCCCCTAATTGTTCAGTACAGGAGCATCTTTTACTGTGGGTTTGGTCAATGCAAAACAGCTGCTGGTCTGCTTAAGAGATTTGGTCTAATACAGAGCTAAAAAATGTTTCAATTATCACAATGTTGGATGGAACTTCAACAAATATGACCTCTATTAATCTGAACGCTTTCCAAATGTGTTAATGTGCCAATTTAGGATATACATATATCAAGTCAGGGTCCCAGGAATGGACCTGGCAGCTACTGTAAATGTGAGCAGAGGAGAAATTATGGCCGGTCAGAGTCAGACTGCCAGCTAAGAGAAATGTGAAGTTTAGTTCAGTGAACTCAGTGATCACTCTGTACTTCAATAACAACCTCTGCGATCATAATAATAGTCATCTACAGTACTGCAGACACATAAGTGTTATTCTGGAACCACAGAGGTGACGAAGTGAGAATGAACCACCTCAAAGTGTCAATGTCTGTCTGTCTGCCTGGGACTGCAGACATGCTGTTATGGTATTGTAGGCCTAGTTTTAAAAACTAGTTTTTCAGGGTGCACATATTCTGTGATTTTTACATCTTATTTGTAGTTATTTCCTTTAAAATTCATTCTCTCAAAGAAAGTTTTAAGGCTAACAAAACTTGAGTTATGTCTGTTCCTGGTAAGGTAATCATCACTTCACACATGGGTTCCTACTGTGTTCTATGGAAGGATTTCTCAGCACAGCTTGCAAGGATATACTGCTGTACTGTTAAATATAATAAATCACACTGAACAGTACCTGTATCACACCTAAGTCAAGGAAGTGTTATTTCTATGTGAGCTGTTTTAACAGAATATTTAAAAGCAGTAGGGGGGAAAGGGTGTGGGTGAAACCTTCAGTGGAGCAGACAGCCAAACTTTCTCACTGCAGTGAATGCATGGCTTTGGTGAACCTTTTGGAGTTTGTAAACCTAGTCCAGTTGTACTCTCAGCATTATTTTACAGTCAATACATGTGTATTATTAAATGTGGTGTTGCAGACTCCTAAAAGAATGATTTTCCGTACAAACCCGATACTACAGGACCATTTTCACAGATTCTGGTTTGATGTGTTGGCAGGAAAAGACTGAGCAATCACACAGTCCAAAAAGAGAATATGCACATAACAACAACACAGCAAAAAAAAAAAAAAAAAAAAAAGAAAGAAAGAAAAAACATGAACAGAGGCAGTCATTCTGCCTGCAGTGACCCATAACACTCCACAAATAAAAACCACACACACCAAACATTTATCTCGTTTGTCGACAAAAGGAGGAATGATATCAGAGTGATGTTTCAACAGATGATGTAACAGCATCTGATGAGTCGTTTGGTGCTCGGACAGTGTGGCTCACCAACACATGACAAGTGTGACAGCTGGAACAGCATACAGCATGTATCAAATACATCATTCTTGTGTCATTCCTATGAAGAAACCTGACAACGCCTTTTGAAGAGCTCCCACAGTAATATGACTGTGATGTGGACAAGTTGCATAATTTGACAATCTATTAGAGGAATTTGAATGAACTTTATTAGCACAACAGGAATGCCGAATGTCTATGTTTTAAATTAAGAATAAGAATAACTTTATTTATCCCCAAAGGGAAATTCAATAATTTTGGTAATTATGGTGATGGAAGATAATTAAAGAATTTCAAAAGCGAAACAGTATCTTGATCAATATTTCTTTAAAATCTTTAACTGTTAAATACATGGACTTAATCTTAGTGATGTCATCCTTATTATGAAAATAACTCTTAAAATCAGTCTCTTTACAACAGATAGTTTTAAAAAGATACACCCACTAAAATGTGTATGAATCAAAAAATGAGCTATTAAGACCAAAACTGTTTTTTGAACCACACAGTTGGCATTCATAATTTTGCAGTAAAATGGGCCTTTAATTATGTACATTATGGGGGATTCCTTGGCTTTTGAAATCAGCTTCAAGTGGACATAAGGCACCATTTTTGTTTTGTTTTTCTTCACTTGGCATTGGCCTGACAAGTGTCAGCTCTCTTGCTGGTCAACATGTCACACAAATTTCAGTGAGAAACACCATCAATTTTTCGAAACCAGACTACACCAGGAAACGTAAGGTGTGTTATTTTAACTGCTAATACATCTAAACCAGTAATTCACAGCTGCAATGCCAACACAATTGTTTGAACTATTTGCGCATACTGTTTTCAACTGTGTATCTGGGCTGTGGTAGGAGCAACACTTCTGTGTAACTACTGCAGTCATTTTGCTCGATAGGTCAATTTAAGGAATTGGACCTGACTATAATTTTCAAGATTAACAAAGTTGTCTAATACAACCCTTTCTGAATGATTATCCATGCTCCTGTTTTATCCTCACATGATAAATTAGCTGCTGTAAAGGCTCTTAAGTGCTTTCTGTTAAAAAAAGAAGACTGAACTATGCTGCTTTCCAAGAGAGATAGACACGATATTCAAATCATAAGGCTACTTGCCACACTGAATTGTGACTGTCAGTGTTAAGACAAAGGACAATATTGTCTACAATAGCACTTAGTTATGTATTATTATCACCATTACCGCTGTTTCTTCAAACGTAATGCATTCATAAGTCTGACTTGTTTATTATGTGTATGATATTGATCCATTACAAGAATGATGCCTTCACTCACAGGGCTGCAAAAGTTAAAGTTGAGTTCCATGAAAGAGATTAAAGATGCTCTGTGGTAAGTGTACATATATGGTGGTTAATATTAAGTATTTCCATTGCCATGCAAAATAAACAATAAGGTACCATGCGATAAAAATCAGGCAGCGATATAAACTTCTTATCAAGAACTATTTAGACAAAGGTGATCTCCTACAGAACATGCTCACCAGGACAGACAGATACATTTCAATGTGCATGAATCAAGATGTTCCATGGTTTGTGTTAGAAATGAAGATAGGGGTTGCTAACAACAGTTGAGACTACCTGTGCCAGGGTCATTCTCATGGCACTCACGGGCGACGGCTCTATGTCCACCAACTGCTGCACCGAGCTCAGAGTCTGGCATACACACCACACACACACACAAGCAGCCACGCACACACACACCCAATAGTAGCAGTGCAAGCACACACACACAAACACGAGGAGGGGTTAATGGAAAAAAGAAGTTGAGGGAAAAGTGTTAGCAGAGGTTCAACAGGATTAGGAAGACAGGAGGAAGGAAAAGTATATTATTATTAAGTTGTAGTACTTAGTGGTTCCAGTTTACATGGAAGAAAAAAGGAAAGTACAGAGACGGGAAAGAGTATGTGGAAGAACAAGGTGATAGAAAAGCGAAAGTACCAAAAGACAGAAAAGAGTTGAGCACAAAATGACTCAGCCACAGGAGAACAGGATAGATCAGAAGAAGTAGGACTAATATCCACTGGGAAACATCTCTTTCTTTTAGACAGCAATTCTTAACAAGACCCAAGAGGGGTGAGACAGCATGTTACTCTCTGCTGCAGTATAATCATGCAGGTACTCTACTGATTCACAGGACAATCTGTTTTTGTTTTTTTGTTGTTGTTTTTTATCGTAAAGTACGGACTTGGTTGGAAAAACTAAAAATAAGTCAAGAATATGTCAATGTGAAAAGCAAACTTGGACAAGAAAGAAAAGTTCCCAGTAGACATGTAATATTTAGTGTTGAAATTATTAATAATAACATAGAGTAGATTCATGCTTCTATCATGCTGTCATCAGTGAATAGTTAAGGGGGACAGCCAGCTCCATCCTGAATTGTTAACATAAAGAAACCTCTTAAGACTGGTTATGAAGGAGCCAAAAATCTCTCTTGAGTAAAAGAATGATCAGAGATTTGGCTCTCTGATTTCCATCTTGGCAAACCTCTAAGCCTCACGTCTATTGATGGGGCTCTCTTGAAAATCACAAGAGTGTAAGATAAATGAATTCTGTGTTGAGATTCAACAGATTAAGACAAGCCAAGGACTACAAGCGCTGACGTAAAAATACAATACTAGAAGGAGAACTGAGGATGGGGGAGAAGCCCAGAAATAAGGACACGAGAGGTTGATGGTCATCGGAGCGCATATCAATATGTGTTTGAAATAGACAGGGAGAAATGGAGTAACTGTTCTACTGTGTGAACCGGTTCAAATACAAACGACACAAATAAACAACAAACTACTTTAAGCTCAATAGCCCCCAGCGAAATAAGTCATGTTATAAACCCAGTGGATTTTTGTGTGTCTCACCGTATCACATTCACTGGGCTGGAACTGGAAGTCGTGAGCTTTGTGAAATACAGGATTCTCCTGCATGAACAGCTGCTGGTTGAACTCCTGTATTATCTGGAAAAGAAGACAGAAGGATATATCAAGGACATTTTTATGCAAATTTCCTGTTGAGAGAACTTGTAAATATCAACATCCACTGTGAGATCAGTGACTCCACGCTTGCTCACCGCAGCTTCTGATCTGGTTATGGAGCAAACTGCAAACATGATTCAGGCAAATTTCAAGCCAACAGCAGGTGAGTTTTCTAAATTCTTACATGGATTTGAGAATTCGACATTAATAGTGTCACTTTAATGGAAATAAGATCAGGTAGAACAGCATCTAAGTTCAGCTAAGGGAACTTCCTTATGGCAAAACAAAGAAGTAGAAAAGCTATAGGCAAGTTTGAAACTGAAAGAAATGCATATCTGTGCAGACCAGTGGTGAAAGAACACTGAGACCTGTTCAAATAAGCTCTTCTAGCCGGCATATACGATGTTGATGAAAGCCAATCGAGGTGTGATATTGTGGTTATACATCCCATCTTCTTTGGAGCAGACTCCAAACTTTACAGACATAACAGTTTTTCACACACACGGTGCTTTTTGCCTTCTTTTGTTTGGTTTCCTTTGAAATATAGCATCTTGTTAGTGTTCCTGCATTCCTAAACATAGCGCCGCTGTCATTAAACTGCTGTAAGTGAAAAAAACACCCTCTACTCTGTCATGTTAGAAAAATAGAACCTGCTTTTAAAAAAATGAACTAAAAATGTCAACGTTTCTTATTCATTCTGCCGGGGAAAAATGCATTTTGTTTTGACAAAACAAGCATTTGATCATGCTATGATGTCAAGATGATTGACGCGTATACCCTGCACAGTCTGCTTTGAGATCTTGAAACTTTGTTTTTATAAAATCTCACTCATGAAGAGAGGCAAGGGAGGTCTCAGAAAATGTGACTCACCCTGGTGGATTTGTCCAACAGGAACTGGTACGTGTTGTGTGTGGCTTGGTAGGCTTCCAGCTCGGTCCGACACAGCGCTACCAGGTAGTCTTTCACATGCTCATAGATCCTGCCATCCAGAGCCTAGGGAACAAGACAGAGAAGGACCACAGGTGACCGGGAAGTCTGGATTAATTCCCTAATCCTTAATAATAAAGTCAAGAGTTTAGGAGAATAAGGAAGAGAAACAAAGAAAGAGAAGGGGAGAAGAGATGGACACAGCCAGGTACAACAAAAGATTTAGCAAAGTAGATATTTGGTTGCTGAATTTTACCACCACACCACAGTGCACAACCATGTCGTTATTTCATCAGTTGATTTCCAAGGTCGTTCACCTCAGACTAGGTAATTACTGGAAGTCTAACCATAACAATAACAAAATAACAATACCTGTCACTGTCCTCACTTTGTTGATTTAGAGTCTGGAGTACCACCCTCTGGCAAAGGTGTGCCATAAAGTTGTGTCACTTTGTTTACGGGACTAGCTTCAAAGTAAAGAAAAGTATGTTTAGTTAAAGTTTTAACACTTTTTCTCCTGGCGGCACTGAATAAGTAACGCCTAATTTACGGGTTTGTTTAAACTGTCATAAACATATCTGAGGAGGAGGAGGAAACAGCCTCAAGGAAACAGGTAATCTGCTAATGTAGAAAACCACATGATGACCACATTATCAAGAATTTAAAACACTGCAAGAGTCAAACAGTAAACCCTAGGCATGTTGCCAAATCTGAAAGCGAAATAATGATCACCTATAGTCTGATCGCACAAGTGTTTTCACTTTTACAGTCTGAATAAATGAATGGCTGTGTTCCATTGATGGCAATCTCATGCAAGCCATAGCAAAGCAATTTACCCTGCACTGATTCCTATTGGTCGATACAGTTGAGTGACATCGCATATTTCCAAGTATAGCCCCACCCAGACTTGTGTTTTAATAGGACAGAGTGATTTAAAAAAACAAAACAAATGTGTGGGTGTTTAAATTCGAGAAATAATTAATTCAACTGACAAGTGCGTATGACACAAACACACACACACACACACACACACACACACAAAGAGCAACACTTCCCAACTTACCGCACAGGCTGACAACTCCAATAAGTTTTCTTACTCTAAATCTGGTTTGAATTATGTTGCCTAATACTGCAGAACAAAGAACATAGATTTTAAGAAGTAAACTAGACCAAGAAAGAAAAAGGCAAACAGATGGAAAAAGAGTGAGGCAGACAATGCACCGCAAGGGCGAGGTGGCAGCGGGGCAAAAGGAAGGACAAAAACCGAGCAGATGTTTTCATTTGACCGCTCTTATCATTAGACTTTCTGATGCTATGATATAAAGACATTTTAATGAAGTATGCGGTCCAAATGAACCACATTTCTTTGGGGAGTTGAGGAAGTGCTGCCAAGCTGAGGACCACGCTGCCAAAGAGACAGATCAGACAGGGTAGGGGGGGCTGATGGAGAGGAAGAGGAGAGGAGGTAAGGGAGGAAGAGTGAGCGTTTGAAAAAACATGAAAGGTATTAGTGGGAGAGAGAGCAAGAAAAAGAGACAGACAGACAGACAAAATTCTGTGTTTATGTGTGTCTGCGTGTATTTGTGTGTGTCTGTGTGTGTGAAGTGTTCTTTGGATAGTGTTCTAACAGCTGCAGGGGAAGGTGAAGGGGTTCAGATTCCAATTCAACAACACACAGAGCAACCGCAGACACACACACACGCATTCACACACGTACACAGAGATACACACTGACTCTGAAATACTCAGACACTCATGCTCTCTTGCCAAAGTACTTTATAAAAGCTCACACTCTCAGTAACCTGCACTCGCTCTCTGCTGGCCAGGGGATGTTTCCAACCAACCTCCTCCCAATACACACAGTCACTCTTAGATGCCAAAACACATGGAGACATATTTTTTTAACTACGCACATAAACCACCCAAATGTTAGATTTTCACACACAACACAGACTGAAAACAATGGCTGCCTGACGGGGTAATTATGTCATTTAGGGTGTGTTGTTGGCTGACTTCTCTCTTAATGTTCCCCCATCATTCTGCTCATTTCCTCCTCCCCCTTTCTCTCCCCTTCCTCCCCTCCTTCTTTCATCCTTTTAGGGTAGTGTTGTAATGGAGTGAGTCAGCTTCCAGAAAAAAAGTCCCATACTCAAATTGTTGCTCGGTGTGTGTGTGTGTGTTTTGGGATTGAATGCCTTCAACAGTACGAATAATGAGTATGGAGTAGTGGATCAGACAGGGCAGCAGAGGTGGAAATGTGAGAGTGTGTGTTTAGTTTTCAAGATGCACAACAAAAGTGACCCCTGCCAACAGCAGAGGGAGATGTGGAGCTGTCTTTTCCTTACACTGCCCTTTCCCTGTGACTGTCGCATTGACAAGGACAGTAGCTCTCAGTCTTAAATACATGTTTTCAGAGTAGGGGCATTCATCTGATTTATAAAACAAAGCTAATATTCAAACCAGCCAGTCACCTTATACCTCATGTTTAGGAGATTGCTTTGTTATGTTTAACACTGTCTGGGTTTTTATATCTATCTTTAAATCAGTTTTTATAAATAACTTTCAAGTTTAACAGAGCTGATCAATGTTTACTGTTGTGAAATCAGCAGCAGTAAAAGCACAATATACTTTATAGAAAGAAAAATGAAACAAAAAAAGCTCATACAACCTTTTTTCTGTGGATTTACTCAGTAGCCGAGAGCTTTCTGGGTTGAATTGTTCTGATTTGTTTATGCATATTGTTGTTGCTATTCTTGTGTCTGCTATTGATGTTCCTCCTTTTTGTATTTCACAACATATCTCTGAGGAGGAAAAGATTCCTCTCATAAAAGTTAAAAGGAACGGGAGGCTTTTTTTGTGATGCAGATTTTTCCTCCCCTCTGTCAGGAGTTCTGTTATCACTGACTTTCAGGTGAAGACCTGTAAACACCGGATATAAGGAAAATGCAAAGGAAGAGGCAGGATGAGCAGATTGCTTCCCTCGAGCAATGTCCCTTATTCCTCTTTGTGTGTTTGCATTCATGTATTTGTGTATGTGCTTATTCCCCGCAGTCTTGTCCTTCTGTCACAAGGCGCTGAGGATCTATTATTCAGATTGGCCCCGTAGTATCAATGCTTGCATGTGCCCACGGCAGAGTATGTGAGTGTGAGGGGGGAGGAAAGACAGAAGAGAGATAGGGGGGAGAATCTCTATAGGGAGGGAAAATAACAGCATAAAGTAAACTAAAACAGATCATAATAATAATAATAATTTACACATTAACTTAATTTCATAGTCTAGACAGACAATACAATTAATATCAGCAGCAACAGCAACATCACAGCTGCAAAATGTGTCCATTTTTAGCTAAAAAAATCAGTGTCATGTCTGAAACTAATAACTGTTCAGTCGAAGAAAACATCCCACGCTATGTTTGTGTGCAGGTGAGTTCATGAGTTTATGTTGAACTGACATGTTTGAACAGTAAGTACAGTAAGGATGACATCAGCATCATTCAGTAGCAGAGGGCGTGTCTGTCTGTGAACAGAGTGGGCTTACTCTGTGTGTGTGTGTTTGTGTGTGATACCTGGATTATGACCAGGTAGAAAAATCCTGAATCATCTCCATCATTTTTTTAGTTTTGATGATTAATCGACGTTCAGGCTGAGATAAGCACCCAGAGATACTCGTCTTGTAATCATTTTGATGTATAGTGGTCCGATGTATTCTTGGTTTTAATTCATAAATATGTGACAGTAAAGTCAAACACACACACACACACACACACTCGTAAAGAGCAGCCTCTGACAGCTATGTCAGAAAGAAATACGAGAGTTGACAGAAATCTGGCGTCTGCGTTACAATTGCGCTTTATGTTGCAGAACGTACTTTAACATGATTACTTGCGGGGCTGGGATATGACTAAGATGACTCACAATTGAGCGTATTAAAAATAATGGTCCCACAGTAAAAAACAAACACTCACTCAGTGATGCACGAACTTAATGTCAGATTAAGGTGTTTGATGTGATTATGAGGCAACAAGATCTGATTCACCGACAAATAATCCATTCTATATTTAAACTATTACTGAGTGAGAATGACAGACTATGTTGGAATTTGTCTCAGTTCATTCAACACGGTGGAAAACGTAATTTCATGCTTGCCAATCATTTGGTTAGAATAGACATCAGGGTGGCTCATTTTCCTCACATAAACCCCTTTAAATCATAAATCCAGGGAACTCAGTGGCTCTCTTTGAAGACTCACAGCTGTGAAATATTCCCTTTTCATGTTGGATATTTACCCCCCCAACTACCTCAGTAATTCAGCAAAGGAGTCTGAGTTTGCATGCTTATGAAAACATTTTATTCCAAATTGAGCTTTAATTCAAAGAAGCTCCCTACTTTGAATTGTGGAACTCAAAAGTGTGTCCCCATTCCTGGGTATCCCTCTGGGTATTTTCAGAGTGTGAGATTCCTGGTGGAAGTCAGTTATTTCAGTTAAAGGAAAAAGCCCTCACGGTGTTACAAACTGCTATTTCAGCTGCCTGGATTCTTTGTACAAATATGCTGTTTTATTCAAAGTCCACACTGAAAGTAGGGACTCAGGCTTCTCTCCCGCTGTTCGTAACTTTCAATTCTTCACATTAATCTTGATGTTGTTACCTGTATGCAGTGCAGTAGGTCTGTATGGTAGTACCGGTCATGGTGAGCGTTAGCAGCAGCTAGCGTCAGCAAGTAATCATTTCTGGCCTGCGTCGCCTTTGAGTTGCAGTCACTCCTCTTCGCTTTCAACTGAAGGAGAGACAACAGAACACAGCAGTGCCGCATTTAAGAGTAAACAAGAGGAGTCTCTTTTAAGTTATGGGTTCAACAGAAAACCAAAGCGAAGCAACTATTTCTGATGATGCGCTGCGGCTTGAAAGCGTCTGCTTGAAAGCTCTGCCTGAGGAAGAAATTCAAGTGTTGAGTTTGTGTTTTAGTGAGAGGCCTCTTACCTTTACACTTGCTTTCTGTAAACTAATTCTTGATTGAAACAGTCCCAATTTAGACCTGATGAAACAAAACAGAGAAAAAAAGAAGTAAATGATCATGAATTATGTATCATGGTCTGATTTTGAGTATTGATGAAACAGATGAGTACAAAGTCAGAGTCCTGTTGGCAGTTTACTACGTGCAATCTGGATTCAATTAAACATAAATGAACATCAAGGTGAGGTTTGAAGGACAAACAGATTAAGGTATCTGAATGGCATTATATTACTCTGATCCTTTGCCTGTGATTCAGAACAGCCTCCATATATTGACCCCGAGCAGGCTGGAGCTTCACAGCAATAAATCGCAGCCTGATCCATGCATCATGATTTATATCAATGGTGACTTCAAAGAGACCCGCCACAGAAAATGATGGAGTGAGCCTGTCTGTGTGTGTGTGCATGTGGGTGTTTCTGTGCTGTCTGTTTTTTTTTTCTCTGCGCTACTGTGCTTACATGTGCAAAAACACAACATGTGTTCCTGATGAACTTTCCCACACATGGACACAAAATATATTAAGACTGTGAGATAATGTTGGTGGGTTGCCTACATGTGTGAATTCGCATGGTTTGTTTTTACTTTGCTGTCCCTGCTCTATGTGCTGACTTCTGTTCCAAAGTATGAGTGAGTGAGCGTGTGTGTGTGTTGTGTCTGCATTTACACCACTTTCTCCCTGTGTGTTCTCCGTTCCAAACAATGACTAATGTCTCGACATTTCTCTCCGCACACACACTTATACACTCCCATAATAGCACAACAGCAACGCGGTAATTTCTGTGTCTGTATCTTTCTCCTGAATGATAGAGAACAGAAAAGACTCCACTGGCCGATCGATGTGGGAGCTAACCGTAGCAGAGAATTCACTGAAGTGAAAATGTCACCAAAGCTGCTGCTGCTACCTAAGGCATGGAGGGAAATAACATTCATCAGCTCTGGATCTAACTTTGATATTAACTGCAGTACTGCAAAGCTAAATGTCATATCTCACAGAGCTTTGAAATCTAATCTGAGGAAATTAATTCTCAAAAAAATGTTGGTTCTCTAATGTCCTCAGATTTAATTTATGTTTTAATGGTTAAATTGAACAGCACCTGCCAATACTAGCAGGCTAAAATCTTGTACTTTTTCTTCAGATTTTGTTCCCATTTTCTTGTACTTTTTTGTCCGACCATCAAAAACACAGCTTTACTTCTGTATGTGACTGACTGCATCTTTCAACCTGCTCAGATATGCTCTCCCTCTTCCTCTCTAACACTCCCTGTGAGGTTAGCCAGCTTTCCTCCCTTGATGTTATTTTTTCTGACAATCTGGGCCGTCTGTTTAGTCAAATTTTTTTATATATATTCATGCGCGGCCCTACCAACACACACTCGCACCACACTTTAGTGAACTCACTTGGCCTCTATGTCAGCCTTCTCTCGTACGGCATGGGCAACCTGCTCACAGTCATAGTATTTTTTCTTGGCTTTGGCTAACTCTTTCACTGACTCCTGCAGCTCGGCTTGAATGCCACTCAACTGGTCTATAGTCTGTGAAGGAGAAAAAAAAGAAAACAGGCAGGTTGTCAGAGAAAAGAGCAGACCAACATGTGTCAGGTCAACTCAGTGTGAGTGCATAAACAGATGTAGCAAAGAGAGATAGAGAACAAAGACAGCCTTAGGAAACGATGACTAACTACCACCTTGGACAGATTCACTCACCTTTTTCAGCTGCTGCTCCTTGTAGAGTCTTACTGTCTTTGACGGCTCTGACACTTGGCTTTTGTAGTTGTCACATACGTTGAGCCTGGACTGACTCACCTGCACTGTACCTTCTAAATAGGACCTCCATACTGCGTACACATTCCTAGTTAAGAGAGAAAATGCACAAAAATGCTGGGTCACTGCACTTCCAAAAATTGCACTCTGATGAGTAATTGTTTAGAAAACTAAGTCCTCCCCGCAGAGTGGCTGACTTTCGACTCCCTTCCACACTGTGTGCCTGCCACTGTGGGCCTGAGAACTGTTTATGCACCTGGAAGGGCAACATATTTGTGTAGAAATGTTGCAGTAATAGCAAGAATAAACAAACACAAAACTAGTACCAGACAGATCTGCGGACTTAGTGCCAGCTGGATCCAGCTGGAGGTTTTATATTCCACTGCCTCTGTTACAGTAAATAATGACTCAGTCAGAAATGTGCTTAAGACCATACTGTGCTCTTTTCTTCAATCTCGCCAAGCACAGATTGTTATGAGTGCTGTAGCAGACTGTAGGTGAAACGATATTTGAGATGTCTGCAAGATCTCAAAAATTATTTCTTGTTTGCTTTGTGAGGAATATGGATAAAAACTGACAGGTTTTATTCACATGCACGGACATATAAAGAGGCATACCTGTAGTCTGTTCTCTGGTCATCGGGGTTGATCCCAGGCCAGTCTCTCTTCAAGTACTGGCTTGCTAACTTCTGCAGAGCCTGGAAGCACAAGAATAAAAATGGGGCACTTAGAAACATTTCGATAACATCATTTACTGTTTTAAAATTTGATTTTACTCCATCTGATTTGCAATAACTCAAATAATACGCTGACTCCTCATAAAACAGACAAGTAACAGACAAGGGAGAGGTTAGACAAAACATAATAGAAGTTTATCGGTCAAATATTTGGTTTATTAATACTTGTTGAGCATGTTATACATTTTGGAGTGGGAAAAAATGTCGATGTGGCAAAATATTGTCATGTGTCCGTATGTCTAGCACCAAACAACACTGTTAAACAATATTATCTGGTGCTCAAACAGATTTCCCTTCAAATTTGACTAGCAGTATCATTACTGCATGACCCCTCTTGTTGGCACAGACTGTATTTATCCTACATTTAACCTTTTAGGGGCATTTTGTATTCTTTCATTATCAGGTATTGTGATGTGTCATTAAATGATGACGTATAATTTATCCATTACCTCAGAATCACTGTATTGTATTGTTGACAACAAAGACAGCTTATCAGATAACAGTTACCCTAGTATATTATATTATACTGTATCGTATATTTTATTGCCTTGCAGCACATCTTAATGTTTCATATCAAACAGTATTATGTGGTTTTGTATTGTAGTATATTGTTTTGTAACATATCAAATCATATTTGGATTGTAGGGCTTGGAAGTTGTGCTTTTCTCCTGATTTGACTCGTCTGCGATTTTTGGGATGCCGATTTGATTTAAATTGTGATTCTATGATAATGTCGATTTTCTCAATTTTTAGTCTGCATTTCTAACTCCAGTGAAACTTTTGAATGATTATGATTGTCTACTGACTATTCCAGGAACCATAGTTTCCTACAAAAAATACACATCTCATGTAATTCAGTTTTTAAGATTTAATTTGAAAAAAAAAAAAAAAAAAGATTTTTCAACAAAAAAATCGATTTTTTAACAAAAAAAAATCTATTAAAAAATTGAGATACTTGTGCGAATTGATTTTTTCTCCCACCCCTATTGGATTGACAAAAATCATGGGCATTTGCTTTTCATACTTTGCACAGTACATATTTAAGTATTTCTTGGGAAGTTAGGTCAAAAGTAATGTCTGCCTGTCAACAGTCGCCATAAATCTGTTTCAAGCACATCATCAAAATATTTGCTTTTGCCCTCAGTAAACATTCCCACTACAAAATGGATCAGCTCTGCGTCAGCATCAGTGAGTCCCTAGTCAGCTCCTGTGAGTAAGAGGAGAAAACCCGAGGGCTTGCAAGAAAGTGTAACCTACATCTTGTGGACTGGGTCACTGTGTCAGTAGCGACAACTCGCAGACTCACTCCGCCTGTGTGCCTCTGGATGAATGTGTGCTTTAATCCTCATTACGAACAACAACAACAACAACTTAATTAGGACAAACAAATCTCAGGAACAAACTTTACATTACGTTCTTCCAAAACATATTTTGCTGTTTATCTGTTTCATCACCCTCCATTTGAATCTGCATGCAAATCTGGTCTCCCTGGTCTGTTTTCATATCTCCCCATCATTAACTCTCCTTGTGTCTCTCATTCACTCAAGCTGGTTTCTGTTATTGAATTTCCACTCCTCTGTTTCCAACTCTTGTTATACTGTACATATCTTATTGAATCACCTCCTGTCTTTCTCATCCTGACCTTCTTTTACCTTTCACAGAGTGTCATTCCCTGGACCTAAAATTCAGCTCCTTGCAGCTGACATACGACTTGCGTCCTGGGGGAGACAGCGGCCCAGTGACCCCTGGCACCCACCAGTTAAATCCTCTGCAGGAAGTTAAGAGCCAGACTTTGTTTTTCAAGCCTCAAAGCTTGGTTTAAAACAACTCCCTACTATTACCTCTGCATCCCTTGCCAGCCAGAAGGGTGCGGATTTTGTAGGAGTTAATAAAGTGTAAGCTTACATGGAGAGGATGTAACCTTACTAACTGTGTCGGTTACCTGAGGTAATGGTTAGCTTGTGCTCGCCAATTGACGTAAGTTCCAGAGAAAGGTGCAAAAGCCTAAAAGGTACCACATGGAGTCAGTTCACACACACACACACGAAGAGGGGAAGCCATGGCTCTGTCCATAGCACGAGGAAACACGTTTGCTTTAGCAATAGCCAAACTCTCTCTCTCTCTGTGTCTCTCTGTCTCTTTGGGGAAGGGTGGAGTGGGTGTGGGTGGTTTTGATGAAAGACTGTGAGACTGTGTTTGTTAGAAAATAAAGACAAAGAGAGTGTGTGTGGAGAGGAGGGCTGAACAGACACAATTTAAAAACTGCAAAAAGCGGCTGGGCTTTAATTGCCTTCCTGCTGAATGAACAGTGATCATTTGTTTTTGTTTGTGTGTGTGTGTATTATACATGAGTGCTGGGATGGGGGTTAAGTGAGGACAGTGACTGACGGCTGAGACAGCCACTGACTGTGAACTGGCAGGCTGACAGGAGGAATGATTTGACAGCTTTACTTCAACCCCACACTGCTCCTCATCAGTTTAACTCTGGTGTTGAGGTTTTCCACATTCACTGATAAGAACGGGGTCAAACCTTGAATCCATAAAAACAGGCGCAATGAGTGGAGCTATTGAATTAAAGGAAAGGCAATTTTTCATAGTGACACTTTTATCAACAAGTAGAGTCCTCCTGGAACAAAACAAGCGCCCCCTTGTGGACATTATAAGCATGTTGATTAACTATCGTCATATATTTTTCATCAGCTTTCAATGTGGAAGTTAATTTAAGTTAGGATTATCCAAACCTGACTTCATTGCAGGAATGTAGCAAAGAGGCAGCTCAAAGTACCTATGGTGAGCTGGGAAGCCTAGTGATGTGTAGGTCCCACATGGCTCGGCTCAAAAAATAAGCTCTTGTACATGAGCAATACTACGAAGGGCTGTCTGGAATCCAAAAGAGACAATTCTTGCTGAGCCAATTGATCTAGATCACTTAAAAGAGCTTGAATTCATGTCGATAAGGATCCTGTAAACTGTAATTGTTCACCTCAGAACAAAAACAGAAACTAAACTGGTAAAACAGCTTGAGGAAGACATTACAGCTTTTGTAGCTGTGCTGTAGTCAGTGGATGGGTATGATCTTTTACAGGACTTACAGTTGATTATAAGGACTCTTTCTGTTGCAGCAGGAGGTGGAATAAATCATCAGACTTTCAACAAGTTCTGACATAAATGTGTCAACTTCCTTTAACTCTGATAACTGTAATCTAAATAAAGATTTTTGTCAACGGATTAGCAGTTGAAGCATCTCATCGGCTTATGATCAAATCTGAGGTGTTTTATTTATGCAATGAACTACTTTCAGTTTTTACTTTCAGCCCCTAAAGCAGAATTGTATTGGGATGGGTGCTATTCACAAGCAGTTTAAAAGGATAGGAAATAGTTTTTGAATGTAAAGCCAATAGTGAATCTGCAGGTGAACTGATTTCACATTGTTAGGATGGCCTCCATCTGACGAGAAAAGCTCCTTTCTTGGCATCAAACATGCACAGACTGAGTCTAAGCACAAAAACCTGTGACCTGAGTAAGACCAGAGACGGACAAAGATAGACCAAACAAAGCTCCCCAAAAGACCAAGGCTGACTCGGGTCCAAGAATTCAGTTTTCTGAAATGTACAGCATAATGCTGAGCTTGCTTGTGCACCAGGTTAGCAAAGAAGAGGAGAAACAGTGCAAGGAACTGTTATATATATGACACAAGAGCCTTTGAGCTTTCTGTAGCGATGAGTGTCTGCTTGAATCTGACTTAAGAAGCTGCTCTGTGAAACCTGTGAGAACCTGAGGGATCTTAGCTGTTAATCAGTTAACTAGAAGCGTGTCTTGGTGAGCAAATGGGTTGTCAGTACTGCAGTTCCACAGACTAATCATTACCATGTAGATTCGAACTCTAAAAATGTCCCAAGTGTGAAATCACAGGGGGGACGGGGTGGATCTTTCAACTTAGAGCTGCTGTGAGGAACTGCGGTGAACCTTTAGTTTGTGTTGATACTGAGGCCTCCTGTGGACAAAGTGATATCTCACATCTCTTGGTATATACAGTACATGTGAAAGACGTGTTTTAAGACAAAAATCTCATCCTGTTGTTTTTCCAGAGCAAATTATATTACTCATTGTGAATATCTGCAGGGCGTTTTTCGCTGTTCCTGTATATCTTCAGCATTGAAACTTACTGCAGAGTATTTATTAGTCTTCTTTATGATAGTCTGGTTTACTTTTCAAGGTCATCAAGAGGCATCAGTAACTGTTTCTCCAACCAGTTCAGTATTTCCCACAGTGCCTTTAATATTCAGTATGGAGCAATGAGTTCAGAATGAAGTGACTGATTTATGAGGTGCTGAGTTTGACAATTTCTGATTTATGTTCATTTTTACCTTTAATTTAATTTCTAGCTTTCCTTTCCCCCCTCTGACACCTTCCCTTACTTTCCTTCCTATTTTGAACCCTGCACTCCTCACTCTTGTTTTGTCTCGCTCTTTTCATCCTCTCCCCCTGAGGTCCCAATTTTTCTTCCCTCCAAGACATCTCATCCCTTCATCGTCCTTTCTGTGCTGTCATAACTTGACAACCACCTGAACTGCACGTCGCTATGGCAACCCTTCTACCCTTTGTATGTGGTCTGAGTGAGGTGGAAGTGCTCCTATTAATATTAAGCACACATACAGTAAAAAATAAATAAATAAATAAATGAAAAAAGAAAAACAGTCAATCACTCACATCCTGTTTTTGTGGTTTGGGTGGTAGAGTACCCAAACAGCAGGATATCCCGAGGAGACCAGAGTGTTTCTGTGAGTGTGTGTTAGTGTGTTTGTGTGAGAAAGGGGGGTAGTTTGATAGACTATTTAAAAAGGAAGAGAAGGGGGGGCTGACTATTGTTGAAAATTGTGTAATTATTGTCCAATCTATATAACAAAGTATAGTATTTCCTGTGTTTACATCCACTTCTATGTGTTTCTAAACTACAGATCAGTCTATGACAGACATTTCATTTACAGGCTGAAATAAGGGGACATAACTGTGACTCATGGGCCCCAAAGGCACCTCTACTCTCTGAATGATTTTATGTTTACTGTGTGCTTGCTTTTTCATTTTGCACACACATGGATCATTCACAAAGCAGCTCCTAACTCTTCAAACAACAGCGACTGATTCAGAGAGCGGGAAAAAGTGTCGTTGATAGAGACAAAACGATTAATAGGTCAGGCTGATGAATTGGGCAGTTTAATGGCATTTTTGGATCATAGCCATTGGCTGATATCTGGGCTCATGAGGTCAGTCACAAAAATAAACAACTCATGTCTTCAGACACTGCAGGCAGCCTTGTCAGTGCGGCTGCTTTCAAGCAACATTGACATCCTCTTAAATGATATTGAGTTTCTCTCCCATCCTAAATAACAGCAGTTAAAATCTAACAGTTACTGACAAGTGTTGAATACATATTCTGCTCTGAGGTGTAGAGTAATGGAGTTCAACGCTGCTTTTTGTCTTTTGCATCTTAACTGACATTACACATTTCCAGTCCGGTCTCATCATCGCGTAATGTGTTCTGTTGTTTATTCTACCATCACTGGCACGGCTAACAATGTAGCAAGGCTAATAGCAGGTTGCTTACTCTAACTTTAGCTTGCATATTACATGGTGCTTCACCGTTAACCAGGCGTGACCAGCACAGCGGGGAACATCGTGAAGTGGGTTGAACGGAAACTTGTTGACTTATTATGTATTTCACAAACTGGTTTATTTACCGTTGAGGCGGACCACTCTCCTCTGTGCGTCCCTGAGCTGCCTGCTTCAGATCCGTCACTCTACTGTGCTGTGAGGTAGTTAGTGGATGAAGATTGTCATGAGGTCGTGCGCCATCTACAGGATAAGTCAGGGAACTTTTCAAATGGCGGAACATTTTCGAAGTGAAACCGAACCTTACTCTCCACATTTTATTTCTGAAAATATCTGCGACAATCGGCGAGTTTTGGCCGATTACCGATTAGTCTCAAACGGGCTAAAATTGGCTGATTTAATCGGCTCACCGATAAATTGGTCAGGCCCTAATATTTATCATATGATAAAAAAGGCATCAATGGCACATTAAATATCAGCGATCAGTTGACCCGACTGTCATTATGAGCATCAGTATCTGCTGTTGAAAAACTGATACTGCTCAACCCCCATTGTTAAGAATCTCCATCACTGTCTTCAACCTTTAAAAGATCTGCTTTCCGTTGAGTCGTTGTTGTTGTTGTTCTTTTAGCAGCAATCACCTTGTCACTTTAGCCGTCTGTTTCCTCTCCCTTCTTCTTCTCACTTATGTCCCCCTGTATCTGGCTCAGTCACTTTCTCTGTGCTGTCTGTCTGATTTCTTCCTGCCTCTGTCTGTGTCTGCCTCACTTTCTCAACTTCCTCCTAAATCAATATAGTTGATTTTCTCTCTCATCCCTTCCTGTCTGCACTCCTCTGCCCAGAAGCTCTTGGGCTCTTTAGTGTGTGTGTGTGTGTGTGTGTGTGTGTGTGTGTGTGTGTGTGTGTGTGTGTGTGTGTGTGTGTGTGTGTGTGTGTGTGTGTGGCTTATGTTGTCCTAGGATGTCTTTGACATCCACATCTGCAAAATAAGCAAAGGTGATAAGTAAAAGGAGGATGAATGGAGGAGGAGGGCCACAGAAAATGTAGAACTCTGTATAGAGATTAATGTGTTGTAAAAAATATACAGTATGTGATAGGGCCCAACCGATTTTATCGGCGGATGTCTTTAATCGGCCAATTTTAGCCTGTTTGAGACTAATTGGTAATCGGCCAAAACTCGCCAATTTTCGCCGATATTTTCAGAAATAAAATAGGGAGAATAGGATTCGGTTTCACTTCAAAAATGTTCCACCATTTGAAAACTTTTCGTTCACCCCACTTCACGATGTTCCCCGCTGTGCTGGTCTTAGTCATACCGAGTTAACGGTGAAACACCACGTAATATGCAAGCTAAAGCTAGAGTTAGCCATCTGCTATTAGCCTTGCTACACTGTTAGCCCTGCCAGAAACGGTAGAATAAACAACAGTACACATTTCGTGATCGAGCTACTTCTCTTACTTTCTGGTCCGAGTTTGATCAGTTGATCTTCCTGTCGGCGTGAAGAGCAGTAGCCTTCAGTGTAGATATCAACAGTATATATATATATATATATATATATATATATATATATATATATATATATTTTATAACTTAATAAAAAATTTTAAAAAATCGTCTGATTAATCGGTAATCTGATTCCCCCCCTCCCTAATAATCGGTATTGGCATCAGCCCCAAAAAATCCATATCGGTCGGGCCCTAGTATATGATCTGTATGTGTGTGTCTATAAATGTGAGAGAGAGATCATAGATTTAGAAGAAAAATCGCCTCTCTCCTCCTCTTGTTCTCAGACATCCTTTATCTACTATTAACCTTGTCCAAATCAATGTTGATCAAACAGTAGAGACAAATACATAATTAATAACTTGGCTATAATGGATGTGTGCACAAGCTAATGCATTGCAAGATTGGGCTAATGCAGAGACAGCAGAGGAGGAATACTGGTTTAAATGAAGAAGTATTCCCATAATGCCAGAGCTGATTTACATGTAAGAGTGCAGTGAGTGAGGGTGCAGGGAAGGAAGCAGACACAGCGTCAGCCACAGCCGACTGGCCTTTTTGGGCAGTACAGTGAAGTGTGACCCCAGCCTGAAACTATTCCAGAAATGTTGATCGTGGGAGGAGAATATAGGACAAACAGCAAACACTCACATGCTTAAACACACAAACGCACACACACAGAGATAGTAATTGCTGCTGATTCCTCACACAGACGGGACATCTGGTCTGACACGGTGAAAGGAGAAAAGGTTAAACAACACTGTCTTCACTGTCTTTCATCCTGTCATCCTGTCTTCCCCATCTAACTGCTCTTTCTCTCTCGCTCTTTTTTTCTGTTTATAAATGCTCATGTCTTTTTTCTTCACTCCTCATCACCCATTCCTGTTTCTTTCTGTTTGCACCCTCCCTCTGTCTCACCTCCTTCTCACTTTCTCTTCTTCTGTCTGTCTCTCTGTGGGACTGCCTGATTGGCTGGATTTCTGTCTGTATCTCCAGAAGGGGGCCAATGAGTAACAGCAAGTGTTTGACTGCCTGGATGTCTCGCAGAATAATAGACAAGAGCCAAGGGCAGACATGTCATACTAAAATGCTATTGTACGAGTAAGCAGTGCAAAGATTCAGACATTTTTTTCCAATGTTGTGATGAAATCCAATTCCCTTCTCACCATGCATCTCTAAAATAAACCACTGAACTCACACATTCCTGCAAATTAACACAAACACACATGTGATGCATATACCTACAATTAGGAGGGAATCCATTGTCCTACCCTATTGGGGGGTGGGGGGTGGTTGCCAGGCAACCTCTATTTCTAAGGTGAACAAGACAGTGCTGAGGGAGAATAGTGAGAGAAACCGAGAAAACAAGGCAGAGGGAGGGAGATAATAGGTGTATGAAACCAGGGGGGTTGACCAGCGGAAACTCAGCAGTGATCATTTAAACCAAATGTAAATGAAGACACACGTGCATACAAACACACACACACAAACAAATCAATCTCCTTTCTTTCCCTCACCTTCCTCAGTCTCTTTATCCCATCCTCTCCTGTGTACGTATAAAGAGGATACTAAGCCTCACAAACATGTTAACATGCAGACAGTGTCACAGGGTGAATATCTGTATGCTTATTTGCAGCTAAGAGACAGATAGTAATTTTCCCCCCTTTTCATTATGCTACAACTCATATGTTTGCCTTCTTTCTAAGAAGATATGCATACTTTTGTGTGTGAATATGTACATGTGAAATGAGCTTAAGCTGAGCAGCATTAATGCAGTACATGAATTGGAAAGAAAACTCTTCCTGTGCAGTCTTTCACACTGCTGGCAGCAAGCACTGAGGACACTCCTCAACAGCAAGGGGAGTTTGGTGACGCAGCCTTCAATAGGGAAATGTATTTCGGTTTTGTGTGTCCTGACAACCTCACAGAACATTGCAGAGTGAATAACTCATGGGTGAAAGAAAAAGTATTTTAAGGTGGAAGCTATTCTAGCGGACCATGGTTAGATAAATAAACATCTGCAAGGGTCTTTCCTCTGGCCTTGCTGAGGATCACAAAGAACTCAACCAAGTCTAGCTAGCATTGTTGTAAAACTTATATATATAATATATAATCATATAATCCACTTAAACTTAAGGTAGTGTTGATGTGAACACAAATCTCACAAGACGGCACAAGATTCAAATTGATGGCAACCAGCAGGAACCACAGTACTGGACATAAGCTCATCTTTTTCATGTTATATGTTTCCCTTCTTTTATTGTTTTTTTCTCATAAACTGGATCACAGTATCAATTCACCTCGATCATTGTAAACTTATTAGTGGAGGAATCAATCCTGTGTGCAGTGAGGCTCAGCAATGACATTGTACAAATGTCAGAGGCCAAACTATAACAACATATGGCAGCTGTTATGTGTCTGTGACAGCAGACACATTATGTTTTATTTCACCTTGTATATTGTTACTTACGTGCTGTATGGTTCCAGCGGATATTTACCCTTCTTTTTGAAATCAAGAGATTGTTTTTTTTTTTTTTTTTTTGGCTGAGCTGCCTTTCTTCCCATTCTCTAGAAAAGTCTGTTTTATGACTGGTTTTAAGAAGATATAGTCAGATTACTAGAACTGAATGCAGCTCAACTGCAACTGCCTTACATGGATATTGTATTGCATAGGGGTGGCCCAACAAGGGTACCTCACAATTCAATTCGATTTCAGTTATGGGAGCTTCGATTGTTCAATTCTTTGAGTATGATTGTTGATTTGATTATTGGTGCCAAGATTCTTCAATTATTGCCGTTTTTAATGTTTTTTTCCATACAAGATTGATTTTGTCTACATCTGCGGCTACATTTGTAAATAAATAGCCTATCAATATACTCATTTCCTCTAAAACTACACTCAATAAGTACATAATAAGGTTTCTTGAACATATGAATTGAATTGAATTTTGCGAAGACGAGAAATATTTTTATTTTATGACTGTATGACTGTTATGTAAACATGTCCACTTCGACTTACTTAACTTAAACTGGGTGGCGGGCACAACCGGAGGAGCCTTCTCTGTTTGGGAATGAAAGCATACAAGATGCTGCCTCATGTTTGTAGTGTTGCTGAGGTACTTTATTTTTGCTTTGCAAATCTTGCAAATTGCGCAAGTCTTGTCAGTCGTTTTGTTTCGCTCGCTCATAAAATCCAAAGTACTTCCACACGGTTGCAGTCAACCCCTCAAGAGTATCGTCCGCTCTTTAAAGACTACTGAAGCTGTTGCCATTTTACAAAGAAACTAACGTGCTCTGTTTGTTGTGGTCCACTCACTAATCAGTCCAGGTGGCGCGCGTTAGACGTTTTCATTTATTTAATCGTTTTTTCTAAGCATCGCCGGTAATTAATCAATGTCGAATAGTCATGCAAGGCATCGCGATGCATCGACACGTTGATGAATTGCACTCACCTCTACTATTGCGTATACTGCAAGTGGCAGCTGGATTTTTGTCAGTTTCTAATATGCAGAAAGGTGGTGAGTCTCTGTTAAATTAAGTTAATAACAAAGAGCCAGTGACCCAGATTCAACAATCTCTTGAAGTATCAAAACCAGTGATTGCAGGGAATGATCCTCAAACAACATGCTATTATTGTCATGTAATAATACTAGTTTGAAGCCTACATTTGGGTCAACCCATAAACTCACAGCAAGAGAATGTGACAGAGAGTAGGAGCATGGATCTGGATCTCCTGATTTCAATATGGGAGTTCTGAGACTAAAATCTAATAGAAGCCAAGTAAGACTGCTCAGATGATTCAGGGCTGCTTGCTGAGGGAGAAAATAAGAAGCGGCACAGCCTGAGGAGCTGCTACATAGTCCATTTCTGGATATTGGGCTTATTTACATGCAAAATCCTTTCACTGCCTCAACCTTACAAGATTCATGAGTACTACGCAGCATTTCATAAATCTGAAAACAGGAAGAAAGATTACCCCAAAAAAGACGGAAAGGAACACTAAAACATCTGTGATTTACCAAAACAGGAATAAGGGAAGTGAAACCAAATGTGGCCTGCAGCACATGTGAGAGTTTTTATTCGTTTGAGGAATGAATCAAAAATAAATCCAACACAAAGCCACAATTTTGCTAACACACGAGCAGGGGTGGCTGAATGTAGTTTCCTCTAGAATGATTTTATAATCCAGTTTTGAAACAGAGAGCCCATCATTTTTGTCATGAATAATAAGTTCTCAAAAGTATTCATGAATTAACATGTTTCAACCTCATCCTAAAATGTCATTTAAAGATTATCTGCAAAGAAGGGAGGGATACTTCTAGGTCACAGCAAAGAGGACTCATGGCAACCTAAAAATACAGTTCAATATAAGCAAATGATTGATTAGTTCATCTGAGCATAAAAGCATCATGCGGCAAACTTTTTCTAAGATCTGAACCCTGAATCGTTTTAAATGAAAACTTGATAACTTTGCATTTCTACATCAGGTGATAAATTCAAAGTCTCCTTGTAGCACCTATCTTGGTCTTCTCACTGGCTGCTTCACAGTAATGTTGGTAAATCAGCCATCCTGAAACCGCCTGGATTAGAAATCTGCTGTTTAGGAGGGGAACATCTACCAGAAAGGAAAAACATGCCCCTGCGGATTTGTCTAGATACAGGCTGTTTTTTTGTATTTGTCTTATTCTCATTTCAACCTCCAAGCCTTCATGTTTGTTCAGTCATTCAGCTTAATACACAGTTGTCAACAAGTACATCCAAAAAGTCAACACCTGCTAACAGGGCTGGCCATCAATCGATGTTATCCATTAGTTTGTTTTTGTGGTGAAGGGCAATCCTAAAAACTTAAGATCTAGATTTTCTCTTGAACTTTTGTAAATAAAGAGTTTTTAACCCAAAAAGAAAGGCACAGTACCACAGTCTTGTCAGTAGTATGGAATGTGTTGAATTTTGTGGAGTCAGACCTCAGACAAACTTCAGTCCACATCAAAGTTTAATCAAAAACTGTTGCAGCTAAAGACAGCAACACAACCAATTTATTTCAACATGTCAAACATGAGGAGAGCCACTGAATGAGAGGAAAATCTCACAAAGAGACCACTATAGCCCACAAACACCCACTTAAAAGCAGCCAACATTAGTGGAATTATTCCCCACGGTTCTGTGTATGACAGAAAAGGAGCATGGTTGAAACCAGTTTTTGATGCAGTTGAGCTGCCTATCACTGGAGATATGGTGGTGCCCATATATACAGTGGAAAAATCTGGGCTTATCCACATGCTCTGAACTACTGGCCCCAGGTGTGTGAAACCACATAGTGCTCAGAGTTTACAGCTTGCACATTAATCTACAAAGATAGTCATTATTTAGCATATTTATAGGGCGAAAATTTGAGATATTTGAGTGGTCCTTGCCAGGTTTGGGTATCTTGGCGAATAGTCGGTAGCATGGATTGATCAGCTAATATATCATTAAATAATAAAGTAACAGGGATAGTTTTTGTTGGAAATATTTATAAAATTCAACAGAACAGCCGTCATTGCCCAGTGCTTTCCCTGTTGGGAAGGCATTCAATGCTGCAAATATTTCAGACTCACTAACGGGTGTCTCTAAACTCTCTCTATCCCTTCTTTCAAGGCTGGTAAGGAGATGTCCTTAAAGAATGTTTCTAGCTCATTTTCATGAAGTCAGCTTACTTCCAACATTGGATTTTTCTTTCTTTGCTTTTGTCAGACTCTATCGATAAAATAAAACCAAAACTGGTTTGACGTTCTTTGTACACCATTTGTGGTTTTTTGAGAAAAACAGGAAAATTGATCAAATGTGTAATTTCATCTGACTTATAATTTTAGGCCTTCTTGTAATTTCCAAATAGTGTTGCTGAACAATGCAGAAATGTCTTCTGAGCTCTGCTAGAAAAACTTTCCACTCAGTGTGATTACAAATGATTGCTAATAACCAAAATGACTGAAACCATCCAACTGTTTTTCCTTTTCAATCCAACCATTGTCATTTCTCCACTGAGTTTTCTATGGATGACTTAGCCCAAGAATGACAAAAGTAGGGGTCATAACCAAGATCCCCTGATTAATAGAAGGCAATTTAACCAACTTTGCCACAGCAATACGTCAAATTGCCTTCTTCATTCAACCTCAAAACAGAGAGATGAAAGCCAAAATCAAATGAATTTGAAACTCATTTGGGTAAGGGCACAGAGTGAACAGTATTTGTCTGCTAGTGAGGGCACTAGATCAGTCTTGTTATCCCATGTATCTAAACACACACTTAACAAATGTTAATCCAGTCTTACCTGTGCATAGTCCCTCTCCAGCTGTCCCTTCTTCAGACTGTAGCTCCTACAGAGAGGGAGAGAGAGAGAGAGAGAGAGAGAGAGAGAGAGAGAGAGAGGCTACTTTAAGTGTTTGAATGTTTTACGTTATCTTCAGCCATTGAAATAATTTCAAACAGCATACAAAAGTGGAAATGTTTCTGTCATCTGTTGAATAAAAGGAACGCACAGACACAGAGTTCTGCTGTTTTCCATTTTAAGTGTATAGTTTGTCACAGAAAATACTTCGTGTTTGGTCCATTCAAACAGCTCTCAGCACAGAGAAATGCCTTTTTATTTGGGTCTCTTTATTTTCTAACAGTGTACTACAATACAATTCCCACATTTGTACAAAACCCTTCAAACTTCTCCCTCTTGGTAGACAGTGGAAGCTCTTATCACCACAAAGGAATGTGCAGAATGAGAAACACAACATTAGGTATACGATCACACACAGAGATAAATACACTGGCACTGTTTGCAGACTGAAATAAGTCGCATGCATAATGGATGACCTTATTAGTGGGGATAACCGTTTATTAACATATTTAGCCGACTATATTCTACTGTTATAATGTACATTATATATTGTGCTGTATTGAAAAGTTGGGGGATCATCAAAACGATTAACGACCTCCAAAGCACCCTCGATGTCTACTTTGTCTTAAATTTCAGTTAAAAATCAGTGTTAGGCAGAGCGTATCTCAATTACAGCAAACTCTCTGAGAACTATCAAAGGACATACACTGACTGATATACTGAAGATGGCTTTCAAGGACTTAAACGAATAAAGGCTCCAAAAATTTGGAAGTCTTATTCCACTGGGAAAATTTGACTATCTTTTCAGGCTGTCCTTGAATATTTTTGATGCCAGGTCTGTTTCCTCTCTGTCTTGGATCTCGATCTTAAAAAAAAAACATTACATGAAGTTACATTGAGAAAAAAATTGATATAAAAGGATGTTTGGTGTTAAATAGCCTACAGCTTAGTGCTCTCCAGACACACATAAACTGGGACACAAAGTTGTGCTGGAATTGAAACTCTAAAATACCAGTTTACTTACCCTTATACTAGTGCTGTCAATGTATATTCCATATAGAAACAGAATATAGGGCTTTTATAGTTGCCTACAGCATATGCATATGCATAAGGATAATAAATACATGTACAGTGAAATGATCACTCCTGTCTGGAAACAGTGGTCAATTTTACCATTGGTGCCTCACCAAAGTATATCTGCCGACCAGGTCTCGACTGAACTTTGTTGTCATCTGTTTGCACTGCAAAGTGCTATTGAATTAAAGGCCTAATGTAAAAAAGAACTGCTTTCTTACTCCAGGCAACAAGAAGTTTTCCTAACCCGGAATCAAAAGATCTTTCACCACATAAAAGCACCCAAGAGTATCCTGAATGAAAAGAATTTAACAAAATTTCTCTCTGGTTGTTATGATCTATTGAAAGGATGTAGCCGAAGGACAAACCCTGTGTGTTTAACATGTTTCTTTTAACTCCTAGTTAAAATTAAGCTGATGCTGTTTTAAATCAACTGTGGGGTATTGGAGAAATAGAGGGGAAAGATGTATAAAAGAAGGTGAAAGAGAAGCACACATTATATCTTCAACACATACAGCCATGCGTCTTGTAAAATGTTTCCCAAGTCCTCATTTTGTTAAACCTTTGGGGTTCTTCAGGTCTAACCTCTTTAGATTTCAAGATTGGACAATGACAAGAGAGACATGTGAAACTCAAGAACACTAAAAAAGATCTTTTAAATTCTGCACTGGTGAAGAGCTGCAGCACTTTAAACTGTCCATTGACAGTGCAACAGGTTGGAGCACGTGTTCAATGCTTTGCTCCACCCCCATGCATGTCAACTGGAATACTACAAAGCTGTCTCCACTGATAGCTGCAATGAGTCCACCCCCACCCTTGAGCGTTGACTCTGCAACTCTGAGCACACTCAACACTCATGCAGGCCTCGTTGGCGCAGTAGGCAGCGCGTCAGTCTCATAATCTGAAGGTCGTGAGTTCGAGCCTCACACGGGGCACTGTGGTTTTGAATTCAGATGGTTGCAACTAGTGACTTCGGAGGAAAGAAGCTTGACCTAAGACCAACTGCCTTCTACTGTGACAAACATGTCTGCACTGATAGTCAACCTGAACTCAAAAACGCACAAATGAACAAGATCTTCATAACTGAATGTAAGGTAGTCACATGGTTCCTCTGTCGTATTAATACTGATGACAATTCAATCAAAATATCACCTTTTTGTGATCCCACACATCAAAATGAGCTGATCACAGACAAAGAACACATGACATTACATGATCACAGACACCAGTATGTGAAGACATTGAAGTACCAAACTCTTTCTTCCTAGTAGACAGATGAATACAGTCTGAGCCAAACTTAACTTAATTGACAGTGACAGCTGTTTTTGGTCTTCATTTCAGCATTCTGCAGTGAACAAACAACTCTAACCTCCAACAACTCGCTGTGAGCAACAAAAGTGTGCTACAGAGTCAAATAACTGTTATTGGCATGTATTAGAATTTAAACATAATTCTTGGGCCCCTTTGTCAAACTTAGAAATGGCTGTTCATTATCCGCCTTCATGAACTGTCAGTTTCCATTACCCAAATCAAAATATTATGAATACACCTAAACCACGTGTCTAATTAGCAGCTTCTTTACACCAAACCAGATAGATCAGTCTCTGAGATGTAAGAATAAGGGGTGTGCCGGCCATCCAGGTCTTCCTGTGTGACAACAGCCGTCATTTCTTATTTAAAGTACAACTACTTGGCTTACCACACAGTTGTAGTTTACTCATTCAGACAAAAGTCAACAAAGCACTGTAACAGTTTAAAGAGATTATTCTTTTTTAAGACTCTGTATGACTTTTGAGAAAAGTACATTTCTTTCCAGCAAGGGAATGAAAAGGCACTGCTGGGATTCGAACCCAGGATCTCCTGTTTACTAGACAGGCGCTTTAACCAACTAAGCCACAGCGCCGATGTTGTCTGCAATTTTATTTTCATTTTTTGTTCCGCAAAAGAAAACTATATTTTTTACTGTATGATTATGAATTAGAAAATAAGCAACCTGGGCAAAACAAAATGCAAAAAATAATCTTCAACAAGTAAGATAATAAAATGAACCACTTTAGCTTTTAACATTAGGGGTAAAAACAAGTTGACCAATGAATGATCCACCACTCGCTCTGGTTCAATGCACTCAGGCCATGAAACTGTGCTTTTTGTTTGCCTACCTTTGCCAGATAACAGGGAAGAGAAGGACAACTACATAATGCCTTATTCATTGATATGATTCAGTGTTTGTGTAAAAAAAAAAAAGTCCAATCTTTTACAGTGGTATTAAATGATAAATACCCTCAAAAGCAGGATCTCCAGTTTTCAGGATCTCCATTTTAACCGCTACGCCAAAGTTCCAGCAGCTCAACATTTGGTGCCTGACAGCTTTTCCCTGAAACATATTGACCCATGTCCAACTAAGAGAAAGAGGATGGTAAATCTGTTACTTGAAAGCCACAAGAGCCTGTGGAAGTGATTAGAGTCCAGGAATACAATAATTTCTAGCACTTTTAAAAACGTTAAATCTCTAAAGAAAAGCTGTCTTTGTCACACACATTAAGTACATCAGTAAATACACCCTAAGTGGGATCTTTGGGCATGTCTCAGCTTTGTGCACCGCCATACTTATCCTGCAGCAGAGGCCTCGTATGTAAATGTGCACACCCTCTGCACATTCTTACCTCTCCTTCTCCACCAGCCCATCTCTCACCCCTCATCTCTCTTTCCCTCTGTCTATCCCACTGATCCATATGCCTATTACGTGTGTGTTTGTGCAGTGCTCAAGTAAAAGAGCAGCATCAGCATCTGTCTGTGCGCAAAGAAGAACAGGAGATAGAAAATGCCTGGATGAGTGTGTGCCTGACAGGAAATACTTGAGTGCTTGAGAGTGCGGACACTAAGTGACTGTACTGTATGTGTATGTGCAAGAGACACAGAGAGGGAATTATCAAACGTGGGAAAACAGCTGAGATCAATGGTTTACAGGACACAGGCTGAGATCAGTGACAAGAGGATAAGCAACATGAGTCACAGACAGAGAGGGTGGCGGTCATGTTTTCACACTGTGTGATCTCCACAAGACATAACAGAGCACATTCTTCTTTATTTATCCACAACAAGACTAAGCAGGCAGAAATATTCACAGCTTTAATTCATTTCAGAATTTATAGATGAGTAACACAGTGACTGTGTGCTTGATTGGAAAGACATAGCTTCATATAATCTAAATTTAAGAGAGTGGTGAAAAGCACAGTCAGTAACTCGAGTGGGAGGACACACACAGAGTCATATTTAGATTTTCTGTCACTTCAGATATCAAACCCAAAATATTTCATATACTAATGATTGATCCCTTTTTAGAGATGACACTGCTTCCTGAAACACCTACCATTTCCAAACTGTTCAAGATAAAAATTGATGACAGATCCTCTGACCTGTTAAAATTATCCTGCAAGTCTTGAAGAATCAGTTGTTGGGGCTCAATCGTGCTTAGTCACATGGAAAATGAGTACCACTCTCAGAAAATTATATTTGCATTTGAAGACAGAATCCAAAATTGGAGCTGAAGCTGAAGAAGCAAAACGAAGATTTTTCTTTCCATTCTTAGAAGTGCGATCATAACATCATTGCAAACTAATGTTCGGTCAAAGAAACCTTTGTGAGGATATTTTGACACCCCTAAAACAAGCAGCAGACTTCCACTGAAAGTTGTTTGATGAGACTCTGTGACAATGCTGGATCGTTTGAAGAAAGGCACTTGAAACTGTCTCAGTAAATTGTGTCTTCTCTGACTGATGTCTGATTGCTGTCATGGTTCAATGAATTAAAACAAAATAAACTTGTGTCGGTGCTTAGTTACCAGTCTATTTTGAGTTATCAGGTTTTGTGTTATAACCTTGGATAAACTGCTGTGCTTCTGACTTAAACTGAAAACAAAAACTTTGTATAATTCAAACCCAAACACTGTCTACAATTTCATTTACTAAAACTCTCTGTCACAAGTTCAAGTTTCAAGTTTCTTTAATCGACACATGGCTAGGCCGGTAGAATTTTTCACCTTGATCTAAAACTTGTTTGTGTTGGCAATGATAAAAACTGGGATGAGAGTAACAGTTAATGTGAAACACAACATCACATCACATCAGGCTTGATGTGTATAGTCAAGCGCGTCAAAATTCGCCTCTGAATATTTCGTAATTTGGCATTCTATATTTGTGTCGGCCCCAATGTTTAAGGACCTTTAGAAAATCTTTTTCAGTTTTAAATGAGCACTGGCTTATGTGTCCTAGCACAAGAGCATACCTTACCTCAATGGACTATATTTGAGGAAACTAACATAATGTATGTAAGAAGCTACTTTACAAGTTAAACTCAACTGACACTGAGTTTACTTGGCTATCCATCCCTTTCCATCTTCCTAAACAATTAGTTACATCAAATACCTAGGGATCAGTGTAAGGAAACAAGATTAGAGATGTATTTTGACACTCACCATGATGTTTTTTTAAGTTTGAAGCGATAACAGACATTTCAAAGTTAGCAAATGAAGCAGTTCCAATACAACATGACGTCTACTACATCCTCGTAATGGCAATACACTTGAATCTACTGACTAACCAGATCAAGAAATATTAAATATTATGATCTTCATTAACAAAATAGTTCAGGACTGTTTTAAATCACGCAAACCATATAGAGTAAACAGAGTGATTTAAGGGACATAAACATGGTTTGCTATTTATTATTTGTCAAATGTGTACCTTCTTTAAACCATTTTTAAACTGTAACAATAATAATGGTTTTCTTAAAGTGCTTCATCAATCTGGTGTGACTGTGACACATGTTATTAAGGCCTGTTTTGAAATTTAAAAGAAGGTGTAGTTGGTCAGGGTTAGAGATCGCATTAGCCTTATCTGAGAAAGAGAAAATTACTGTCATCTCCTCAATCATCTTGTCCCCTGGCATCCACTGTTACCTGTTGTCCTCCTGTGGTTATGAATAACAGCAATAGTTGTCTATGCTGTCATTTCCCCATATACACAGGCTGCCTAATTATATTAGATGTGAGTGAATCAGCATTGCATTAATTTGGGTCTCTTTTCCCCAATGGATCCTTCATTTTCTGTTCCACCTCTCCCTAAATTATGTAGGCTGCAGTGAAAAGCATTAATGAGGACTCTGATAGCGTTTTGAGTTCAAACTGAGGATGCTAATCTAGCTACTCAGCATGGAGACCCATTAGGTTTTAATGATATCTGCAGATAATTCCTAGGATTTGCTCAATAAATTTGAGTGAAACACAGATTTCATTTATCCTGCGCAAATGTGCAGCACAAAGCGCAGTCATTTTAGGAGGGGCGGGGGGGGGGATTAAATTCCCAGCTCACATCAGGGCCTCAGTTCTAGTCCAGTCTGGCTTCGCACTACTGCTTTCTATCAAATAATGTGCTTTATAGATCCTTCATCGAGCGCTCTATCTAGATCATGGAAAAGTTGAAAATCATCCATCTGATATCTCATCAACTTTCATTGCTACAAAAAACAATCTTTACAGCCAATTTGACAATCCATCATGGCAAATGTGAAACACTCTTTACGTAGTGGCATGTTGATGTTATTTACTTTATAATACTGCAGATTAAAGCATCAAAAACCAATAACCAGATAATGAAAATGTTGCTGTAAATGCCACAAACCCAATAAAGGTGAAATCACAGCATGTGGTAGTTTTGTGAATGGTGCATACATTAAAAATAATCAATCTTGCCTGTTGTCATGGTTTGCACTGGTTGATGCACCTCTCTATGTGTAGCAGTAAAAGCCAACATAAGGGTATGGGGGATTTAGCTGGATTGAGGACACCAAGTTGACTTCCTGACTCCACCAACTCGTCGCCGTTTTCTCCTCTCTCTCTTTCTCTTATCCTCTCTCCTAAGACTAGTGCAGCTAAAATGTAGTCTCAGAGGATTAAAACACTGCCCTTTCTCTTTCTTTCATTTTTCCCTCTGTCTCCCCATCTCATTTATTTCTTACTCCCATTCTTTTTTTTTCTTTACCTTTACCCTTCCGCAATCAAAAATTGATTTAAATCGTATCCAATATACCTTAACAACTTGTGTATGTGCATGTGTATCTGTGTGTGGGTTGATTAAAGCCAGCCTGTGGATTAATTAGGGTAAATAACCTCAAAGCAGATTTTGGGATTTAAGAGTTAAAATCTACTGTAGGCTTTAAGCTGGGAAATGTGTGTCTATCGGCTGTGTATGTGTTTCATTTTACGAGTACAGTGACTTGTCCAGCTATTTCAAAGATGATTTTTTGAAAGATATCGATTGATTAAACTTGATATCAGTCCTTTATTAAGAGTCAAATTAAAATATATAAAAAAATCCCCCAGTTACAAGTCAGAGTTCCTGTCCAGATCCCTTTTAAAGTATGTTTTCACAAGGAAAATAGACATCAGTCAGTACTGGTACTGTTGCTGTCTCAGTCTTAGCAAACTGGCAAGCTTCCTACCAAAGTCTATTTTCTGACTTTTCAAGTCTGCATTTTGACCCTGGATGAGGACAGGTCAATGATTGCTTCTCCCAGTGGAAACCCCTGCTGAATTACTAATGCTGGTCTTAACCATTTGTTGCAAGTGCCAGAGCTTAATATCTAAATGAAGTTTTGGGTGTATTAGAGCTGAAACCAAGCAGTTTTTTGAAACTGAATATGTGATTTTTTTTCAACATCAGATTGAAAATGGGACTATTTTTTTTTGCAACAATATAAATGTCATTATATTGTGTCAAAAAGCACAAAACCATATCAGTGAATATCTGTAAAACAGAAAAGGAGCAATTTAGAAAACTGCTGACAGTAATGTTCTATCTACTCTATATTGTCAATGACAGATCAATTGATAAACCACTGACAAAAGCCCCAAATGCACAGAAAGATAAGATAAGATAAGCAGAACTTTACTGATCCCCAAAGGGAAATTCAACATCTGTAGTCTCATGTCTCATGTCATCTACTATTTACAGAAGAATTAAACAGGATACTGGACAGTTGGCCAGCTGCTGCACAGAAGTACCTCAAATAAATGCTGCTTCTTGCAGCAGTAACAGAGGTCCAAATCATGGTACATTGAACAGCCATCTTGGGAATACATAATAAATGGGATAGAAAGTGTAAACATGATTTTAGCCTGCCCATGACATGAAGAATTTACAGTGTGCTTCACCTGTGAAAACTACATCAAATCAAGTGCCCCCCAAAACAGCAACCCTGAGGGGGCAATGGAGAGGTTTTAGTGGCAGAATAAAAGAATAAACAACAGATAAAGAAGGAAGCAGGCACTAAAGTCAAAGAAGACAGACCTCTGCAACAGCTTGTCATCAGTTGTTTGGAGGTATTTCAGGTTTGGAAGGAGTGATTTTATGCACAGAAAAGTAAATGACAAGTGTATTTATAATCTGTGTTTGTGTCCCACAGTGACACAACTCCTTAAACCACCTGAATAACATCACTGAGTGTCATTTTATGAGTGTAAGAATATTGGAGAGAATGAGGTTACAACTCCCTGACCTTATCCAGCATCAGGTCAGTGATGCTGTACACTAGGGCTGAAACGATTACTCGAGTAACTCGAGTAACTCGATTAATAAAATTCCTCGAGGCAAATTATGTGCCTCGAGGAATCGTTTAAATCCGGAACCATGTGCAGCGCACGGTGTTTGACACGGACGGTTATTTCTGTTGCGCAGCAGCGTGCTCTTTCCGCTCCTTCCGCTGCCGCGCATTTCATAGACATAATAAAAGGGTAGACCCCGCTGGGGGTGCTGCGCAGCGAGAAATGCGGCCGCCATCTTGGTCAGGTCAAGCTTCCCATACGCTCCGGTCAATCATATTCATTCATTCAGCGATGTATTCCTGTGCCAACAGGCGGACAGCAGAGAACAGGGCTCAAGAAATAACTTTTCACAGTTATGATTAAACGTTTTTTAAACATTACACTTGACTGTAGAGTCATTTGTAGGCCAAAGAGGAAGACTATCGGTCAACTCCAAAAAGGAAACAGCATTTGCGAACAGCTAGCTTATTCACAATAATAGCAACTTTGGTCGATTATCAACAGATTTGCATTAGATTGAAAAACTTTTGTTTGAGAGAGGTTCTAAGAAACGTTAAGAAATAAAATAGAAAGAAAAAGGAAGAAAGTGAGCTCTGTTTTATTATCTGTTTTATTAAAGATTTCTTTGTGGTGATCTCCTGTTTCATTTTGAAGATTTCCTAAGGACAAAAACTCGAGGAAGAAGTGGGAGATTGCTGTTAGAGGGAGAAATTCGCAGCAAGTGATTCATCTGTGCTGTGTAGCCAACAAGCAAATTGATATGTAGTTTAGATGCTGTCCTGTCATGCTGTTCTTGTGTTTAAATCTTTTTGATATGTAGGCTATATATTTGTGTGTATTTTCCAGTTATTAAAATAGTGCTTCTATATGACATTATTTGTGTGTGTCTACAAATGGATAAATAAAATTAAACTATATAAAAAATTATAATCAAATCAATATATATTGAATTGGCCTATTAATACCGCCAGTTATTAATAATTATTGAGACATAGCAGGAACCTAGCTCTAAACCTAAATATATCCTTGATTAATTGTTATACTATAATACAGCCACTGCTGCCATGTTCTAAAATATCATTTTATTCATTCTGAGTATTTGAAAACGCCAAAAAAAAATATGGCCTCTATCATGCCTCTTTGAATGGCGTTTGCAGAGAAGAAAATTACGTAGTATTGAGCGAACTATGATTCATTAATGCGCTCAGACTTCATTCCGCCGGTTAAACAGCGGTGCAGAGTGAGGCGGATGACCGGACCAAGATGGCGGCCGCATTTCTCGACAGCGCCCATTCGTGGTAGCGGCCGATGCGGGGTCTATCTTTTATTATGTCTATGGCGCGTTTGGTTCAATCATGGAGGGAAACGAGGACAGACAGAGAGAGGAAGAAAGAGATGACACGCAGAGGAAACGGCAGAAAGTGTCTAAAGTGTGGGACCATTACACACTGAAAAGGAAAGAAAACGCCGTGCAGTGCGTTCACTGTAAGGCGGAGTTGGCGTTTCACAACAGCACGTCGTCAATGCTGCAGCACCTTAAAAGAAAACACCCGGTCCATGCATTAAGTCCGCTCTGAGGCAAACGTGATTCAATGCAAAGTATTACAGTGAGAGCAAAACATTTCTTATCCGATTACTCGATTAATCGACAGATTAATCGATAGAGTACTCGATTACTAAAATAATCGATAGCTGTAGCCCTACTGTACACCCTACCGACTCATCTCCCAAAAAAAGACTGAAATGATTAGTGCAATCACCTTTCATTTTACCATTTATATGTCCAGTGAATACAGTGGAACAAGAGTCTGTTGTCAAAAGATGTGCAATTCTGTGAAGCAATTGTTCTTTCAAGGTTTGATTACCTGTGCTATCTGCAAAATGTTGAGGATAAACAGAGAGGGATGTTGACTATTTCTCCAGAACTATTTCGCTATAGTCAAGATGAACAACAGAGCTTCATTTGAGCCTGACAATCCAATCCAATTTCTACCTTAGGCAATGCAATGAATTTTAAGACCCTTAATTAAAGTCTGTCTTTCATGCAAAGATCTCAGTGTGGGCTGGAATGTGAAAACAGCGCTCCATTGATTTAGTTTAGGTCAAAAATTTTGGGTACAATCTTGTCCTGAACCAAATTCAGACAAAGAACCTGATTTCAAGATGCAAATTTGTCCATAAATTATAAAGTAGCAGGATGTATAATGGAACTTAAACTTGTGCTTTCTTAATTTAAACGAGAAAGTACACGAAAAAATTATCACTGAAATACATAAATAACAATATTGTTTAACAGAATAGTGATTACTGTAGCCTAATTTCTAAACTGAAATTATCTTATCTATTTGATCTTTATGGAAATCTCAAGATAATATTCACCACCTGGTAATACAGCCAGAAATATTAGCTACATGAAAAAAAACTACAGGGGCCTCAGTTGATTGCTCAAGGACACATGGACATGCATGTTGTTGCAGGGGCTCGAGTGTAGTCTCCTAATCCAAAGGTAGTTCATAATTTCATTTCTCTTCATTTACCGCCCTGAGCATGTGACATCAAATATAATTAAAAACACTGAAAGTAACAGAATGCACTGTGAAAACCCCATGGGAGGCATCTTAAAACCCTGAGAACAGCAAAGCCAATTTGGAGATCTTTACCCAGTGGCATGTACTTCTATCCCTCACCAACTGGAAGAACTAACACATTTTAGTTGCATGTGCTTAACTGGCTTCCCCTCTCTCCCACAAGTGAGACCAGGGCCTTGTTCACGCTCCAAAACCGAGCAGCAACAAGGCAATCTGTTCTGAAACAGCTGGAACTACCCCCAAGGGTGGGAGCGGGGAAGAGCGAGCGATGTCTCCAAAAGACGAGAAGTGTGAAAGTCAGAAGGAAAGAGAAAGATATAGAAACAGAGGTGGAGAAGCAGGGAGTATTAGAGAGAGTTTGCTGTCATAAATAATCAATGCTTAGTCAACACAGAGAATGAGAGCGTGTGAAGGAACTAGAGTTTCCTCCCATTGCCAAATCCAAAGGGGAAAACTGCCAGACTCACACACGTCATGAGTAAACAGAGCAGAGCCAAAATGAAAAAGAGAGATATGGAGACAGACAAATAGATCGCGGGAGAGAGAGAGAGGGTAAGAGAGAGAGAGAGAGTGTGTGTGTGAGAGAGAGAGAGAGGAGAGAGAGAAAGAAAGAGAGAGACATGGGACCCAGGGAGAGGGTAAGATGGCAGGGAGAGATAGAGAAAGAAATCTGGAGAAGAAAAATGGGAGGAAGAATGAAACAGAGTCAGAGAGCAGGAAGAGGGCAGCAGGAAATTCCTCCGTCATTTTCTCAACCCTTTGTCCACCTCTAACAATTCCCCTGGTTTTCTCATGTCACTTCCTACTCATTCATTGGTTCCTTTTTTTCCTTGTGAATGTAAATTTCTCATGATTGGCTTGAAGTTTTCTGATGAGCACTGGCATTAACATTTATAGAATTCATAAATAGGAAAAAGCCATCATAAGTATGGTTTCAAAAAGTTGTCATCACATGTCATCAAATGTTGGTCCAGCAGTTACCCCCTGCACTGTCTGCAACCAATGCAGCAAAGCATCACAGCTGAGCCCACAGAATTGAATGACACCGCATCAAAATGTTGATTATTCTGTTAAAGAAATATGTTTAACCCTAGAACACTATCACCGGGTGATTTTCACCCTAACCAAACATGTTTACGTGATTTTCATTACGTTGCATTTGTCTGAGTATCATGGGTCTCTGGGTAGCTTCAGTATTGCCTTTGACATCTTTGAAGGCATATTTGTTTCCCTGATCCAAAACCTGCTTTTTCCTACAGGCACATGTTCACAGGGTGATTTTCACCCGGCAATAGTGATAAAGGGTAAAATCGGTTTGGGTGGATTTGATCCTGCGGTCCTGGAATTTGCATGCTATCTTTATTTAGCGTAGTGGTTATGAATAACTACCACTAAGTAGTGATTTTCAATGGAATTCATATGGTGAAATAATAAATATTTTAGTCAGCTGGTCATTTTTACTCACTCAAAATCTGCCATATTTTGGTTCTCTCTCCTGCAGCTGTTATTATGCCAAGGACCCTGAGTCTTCACCAGGGAAGACTCACATGCCCAAGGAATGGGTGGAAAAGAAACTAAGTTTACAGTTTACATATATTTTTAGGAATTCTTTTCTTCATGACTGCCTAATTTCAGTTATTTTGTTGCATTTTTATATGGTCCCCCCATGGCACTTTTTTCCCTCCCTTTGGACATTGCACAATTAAATATAAAAGAAAACTACTTTAATTTCTCTTGTATTGTCCTATTTTGATATATTTTGATGACAAGTACTTTTTCGCGGATATAATATTTCAGGTAAAAATCATCCGGGGATAGTGATGGTGTTACTAATTTTAGCGATAGTGTCCTAGGGTAAAAACAGATGCTTTCTAAGTTCCCTTTCAGTCACCATGTGCATAATTGGTATATATTTAAAGTGGAAGGGCACCATCTTCACTCCAACTTGCAACCCCTGCCTCAACCTCTGTACTAGTCTCAAAAACCCTTGCCTATGATGCTCAAGTGTCCACGTGTGCGTTGTGTGCAAACCAGTCAGCAATGATGACTAGACCTGAAACCATCTGGCAATCGAAGCATGCTCCCTCTTTTTCTGTCAGAGGATAAGACCAGGGTTCTGTTTTGCATGTGTGTGTGTGTGATACACATGTGTTCATACCTCATGTCTTCCAGCAGGTCACATTCAGTCTGGTGTTTAAAGTGCAGTCTTGTCATCTGCTCTGTGTGTGTATTTTTCAGCTCCTGTGTCACTTTGACCTGAAGGAAAGAAAAAGACGTGTCATCAGTCAGCTGTGATTAATATTGATTTGATCAATAATTAGATATATGTTGATAGAGTTGGTGTATTATCCTCTCTTTGTTGAAAAGAGTCCAGTGAGTCATCTATGCCGCTACCTGCTTACAAAGCCATTAACACATTATCGCTAACCTCTTGTGAGGCTGAATGTTGCATACAATTTTCGAGAGCCACACGCAACTGTTGCAATAAATTGAAATTATCCAGAAGAAATGGAAAAACGGTAACCTTTGACTCAAACAGATTATGAATTGTCCAACATATTCAAAGTGATAAGTGTTAGGTTTGGTACCATGATGATACCGTCCTCCACCTGCAACTGCACTATCATAAAATAGTCGAAAATATGCTCTTTGTGTACAAGGATGACACAGCTAAAGATCCAATAGTATGCTTACAGCTGCATTGACTTTTTTGCCAAACAAACTTACGAAAACTGCCTGTTGCAAATTGAAATTATGGCGGAATAATAATCTGTTCAACCAGTAATCAAATAAGAGGAGGTTATTTGCAGTAACACCAATATCAGGGTGATGATTAAAAACCACAAATGTGATTTACCCACTCTAATTCACTGCATGTAATCAGCTCAATATGAGGAATATTTATGCAAATAAGGAAACATTTAAAATAAAATTCAATTACCACTCTAACAATTCTCTTTGAGACTGCAAATTCAAGTCTAACTTCCGAGAACTAGTTGGGGACTCAAAACTTATGCTGCGTTCGAGTCACCTCAGAAGTCAGAAGTCCGAGCTGAAAATGACATCATACCCGAGTCACCAGCGGTTCAGTTACCAAGTCGGAAAAAAGCTAAATCGGATGCAGAAACCAGATGGCTACATCTACGAAAGTAGATGCCTTGTCCTGACATAAAGCAAACGTTAAAATAACTTTAGTAGATGTAGCCATCTTGTTTCAGGCCTCCGATTTTGCTTTTTTCCGACTTGGTAACTGAACCATTTGTGACTCGGGTGTGACGTCATTTTCAGCTCCGGTATCTGACTTCAAAGTTGACTCGAACGCAACATTTATCTGCCCATCATATGAGCACATTCTTTGGCCCAAGCAATGATTAAACCTCATCAATCTGTTAGTAACATGCTATCTATATATTAAAAGAACGCACCTACACACAAACATTTTCCCAAGTACTATACATCACTGCGACAAGAAGAGTCATACTTTTGGAGAAACTACAATTGCAGTGAAACATGATTGGTGACATAACAGAATTTTGAAAGACTCACATTCGAAAAGATGTTCAACAATCATCACACAAAATAATTCATGTGTGTGTTTTTAGCTGGGTATATGATCTGTGCGCATCTGAGTTTTGTGCAAAAGGCTAAAGGGCTGCACCCTTACCATTCACCAAACAGGTGCACGTCACCCACAAACACACACACACACTCTTGCCAGAGTCACTATAATGGCCATTGTGTATTGTCGGGTGGATTCCATCAGCTATTCACCAGAGCAACAGTGAGCAAATTCATGACTGTTCTAGACAAAACAATCAACAACATAACAAACGTCACACTGGCACAGACATGCCAACACACACCGCAGGGTTCCTTTCTTTTATGCGCCGTGTCTTTGAAGATAAGGGGGGTGTGGTTCATTACATTATCAGGGCGAATCGACTTCACTTGATTTCACCCTCTATCACTCGGTGAAAACCTCAGGGGGAGAGGGTGCAAAGGAGAAGGGCACGGGGTGACAGGGAGATGGGGAGAAAAAACGCATGAGAAAAAGAAAAAGAAAGGAAGGCACGATGGGTAAATAGAAGAGAAGAGGGAGGAAAAAGATGGTGAGACTGAGGAGGGAAAGGAGTGAGGAAGAAACCGAGGGTGAAAGCATGAGTTAAAGTGAGATGGAGATGCTAATTATCAGGCAGTGTAAGTAAGATGTTGAGTGTAAGAGAGGTCATGTTAAGGAGCTCAGCTGCTGCAGTGGTAGCTGATGCAGCAGGTTGGCCTATACTGCTGAGAGAGTGGCACCTGCTACGAAAGGCATACATCAGCACACAGTAGTTATTAGCTGATGCATCCCCACCTGAATCAGTAAAAGATTGACTAAAAAAAAAAGAGAGATTTAGATTTGGCTTCTTCATCAAAGTTATCATCATCGGCGTCATTAATAGAAAAAATACCCTGTTAACACATGTGCAAAGTTCCTGCACTTTTTTGGCCATGTCAGTGTTAACAATGTGAGGATTGGGTCACAGAATAGCAGGCACTAAACTTTACAAATCAAGTCTTAAAATGACCCTTGAGTATCATCATCTCTGAGTCCCTGTAATGTTTTTCCTAGGTAGTCATAAACGGGCTGTCAAGAGGGCTGTAAGGTCTACCTTTGATAGTGGGAGTTCAGCTTGTTTTTAGGTCAGGATTCCTTCAGTGTTCAATATTACAAGCCATATTACCCGAGGAGGTTTCTTACTCTTCAAGGGTAGCATATATCTACTACTAACATGAATGAAGAAGACTGTCAAATCATTTTTCCGTGAATGTCAGGGTTCTCTCTTCGCTCTTAGGAGGGGTTTTGAGGGCTGCGAGTCAAGCTGCCACAAACAGTTGCTCTGGTCGTCATCTTTTATCCTGCAGAAAGCAGATGCTAATGAGAAACTCTGATAAACTTGTGTCTCTTAGGTTAAACTTGAGACTCATGTTGGCTGATACAAGAGTTTTATGTGCCGGATCAAAACGCCAAGCTTGATATATGTAGACTTGATTTGATAGACGAAAGGGAGTCTATCCTGAGATGATAAGATGTCATCCAATGATTAAGAAAGTACAACAACATACTTGCCATCCTAGATAGATAGATAGATAGATAGATAGATAGATAGATAGATAGATAGATAGATAGATAGATAGATAGATAGATAGATGTAGCTTTGTATCATCCTATGTCACCTCATTAGCAACCATCTTTAATTTAAGCCACATAAAACCAATATATGAGAGGCAAATGAGCTCAATATGTGAGCAGATGTGCTGAGACATAGACAAAACACTTACGGGGCTGTACGTGTTGCACTGGGAGGGAAATTATTAGTATCTCACAGCCAAATACTGATACACTCTGGCTATGGTGCTGCAGGCTGAATATACAGAGTGTGCCAGCCGCATTGGCAGGCAGTAACACATTAGTAATTTACAAATTCTCTTTTATTCCTGGAAGTACTTCACTGTAAATCGAAAGGGTTAAACACTGACAGCTGACAAATGAGATCTAAAAACAGGATGAATATGGCCGTAAAGGTGCGCTTGATCATGTAGTGAGAGGGTTGAAAACAGCTGTTCAATCATCACTGAGATCATCTCTACAGCATCTATGGTGAAAGTGTCTGTTCGTGTGTGTGTGTGTGTGTGTGTGTGTGTGTGTGTGTGTGTGTGTGTGTGTGTGTGTGTGTGTGTGCTAGGGACATGATATGACATGTTAAAGGCCAGTCTGTGAGGAGAAACCTGAGCATAAATGGCACAGGGGGAATATGTGGTAATTAAGAGAAAACTGTGCAGAGGTTCACAACCGGCTAATTGGCTCTTGGGCATCTATTTCAGGGCACACACACACACACAGAGGAGAAAAGCAACATCCACTCATGCTCACATAAACATACACACACACACGGTGCTAGGCTTTGGGAGACTTTGGTCTTTTCCCAGCCCATACAAAATCAATAATGTGGACAGGATATCTGCGTGCTAACATGTGGGGTTTTGTGTGTTTGGCTCGGGTCGGCTTAGTTTTGCTTAATATGATGTGACCCTGGTTAAAGCGAAGGTCTTCCAATGAGAAGTAAGCATCTCAAGGTGGGGAAAACGACAGCTTTTGTTACGCTGTCTGGGCGACTGTTGACACATTGTCACCATAACAGAATCAGCAGAAAACGACTCATGCTTTTTCACAGACACACGAACTGTGTTTATAAGGTGGCGTTGGTACTACTGTGCTACAAGTCAAGGGACGAATTATACTGCGCTTTGCTTTATAGTTGAAGTTAAAGGTTTTAACGAAAACGTTTTAAAAAGGGAACAAATTTTCTATTTCACTAACTCAGTTTCTCTTCTGCTAAATGTGAATTAAACGTTCCAGGTTAGCACACCTAGCGTTTAACGGCTAACGTTTTTTGACGCCTGACGGCTCGCGCTCTAACGGCTGGACAGATGCATATTAATGTCACTGGGTTACCGACTAACCTAGCTAGCGAATGCTGCTAACGCTAGCTAGCAAAGGTATTTTCTAACCCCCCTTTTTAGTGTCTTCAGCCTGCAGCGTTAAAAGCTTTTCTTTGCGGTTTCCAGAGCGCACGGCTAAAGGTTAATACCACTCCGTTATCAGTCATTGTTACAGCCCAGCTAAAAACATAACGGACTCTGGAGATCACTCACCTTCCTCGGCGGCGGCTGCATTTTGGAGTATTGACATGAATGGTGTTTTCCTGGAGAGGTCTATTGTAATTCCAAGAGGATATCCAAATCAGTGTGGGACTAATAATTTGTTTCTCTCAAACAAAATCCCCTCCCCTCCAAACGATAGGGAGGAAAAACGGGGGTTAAATTTGTACTCCGGCGGCCATGATTGATGATAAATGGCTGGTTTATACAGAGCGGAGACTGAAGCAGCGAGGACAGACTGGACACACTTGTGTTGGCTGCTGCCACTACTACAGTGCTGGTGTACTGTACTGTGTTGTGAAGCAGGAGGACAGACAAGCGGAGAGGAAAATAGCAGAAGGAAGGGATGGGGGAGATATTAGAGGGGAACCCTTCAGCCACTCGGCTCAATGGCGCGCCCAAGTGGCGCCCTACAGCATAGCGCCTGGTAGCGTTGTGTCATTCGCGAACGATTGGTTAAAAAAACACGAATCTTTTAAGTGAACGTACTAAACCGAATCACTTCCTGGAGTGATTCGTTCGTTTCTCACTTCAGTTGAGCTGAAGTGAGAAACAGCATTGCCAGGCCAGCAGCCGGCGAACAAGGGACCACATGCACCAACGCCTGAATCACTTAGTGAACGAATCACGCATTGAACTACACTCTTTGGAATCATTTTCGTCTGACAAAACTACCTTTTTTACACTGCTAAATTGCCACCACAACAACTTGCGTACAATAGGACACAGTCTGTAACAAGTAGTGCGTTTAACCTGCAGTGTCCTATCATTTCAGCGGTTTGCGAGGGAACGGTGCATGTTCAGTGTGAATTCTTCTAAATGTTTAGTGAACAAATCACTCACTGACCCCAATTTACCAAGCAGACCCGATTAATAGCATACCATAGGGCAGTACACTTTAAACATCATGACTTGTATACAAGTTCATTTTTACAAACCTGTTTGCCAAAGCAACACAGCCAAACACTCTCGTCTCCCGGTCCCAGAAGCTATGAATTGAACTGAATCCTGAAACATTCAGCTGTATATCAGTTCAGGAAGTCGGAGTCGCAGGCTTCTCCCGACAAGCGCCAAATGATACGGTGATTTGGTGAACGAATCTTTTTAGTGAACTGATTCTAGTGATTCAGTTCATCTAAAAGAACTGCTGTGCCCACCACTAGCGCCTGGTTAGTACTGAAAAACACCGAGCAGAGACGTCTTTTTGTGCCGCCTTTTCTTCCCAGACGTCGCCGGTAACGCCGTTTAACTACTGTACAGACACTTTTCAACCAACAAAGAGGCACATGGAAGATATGTCGGACGAAACAGCTCTTTTTTTTCTCTAAGTGAGAATTAGAGCTGCTCAAAAAAGACTGACACTGTAGGACGAGGCTGCGTCCTGCAGACCTGCATAGCAACAAGAATCCGCAGTCGATTGAAGAAAAATCGATCGTAGATCAGGACAATGGGAATTGCGTTCTTGAAAAGTGAATGATAAATGAAAATCAATATTTGAGAGTACTTGTGACCAAATAATGAAATACTGTTTTTGTCTGCAGTTAGCATTAAATAATGAAATAACAACATTATATATCGTAGCCTACATAGTTTAGAATATGGCCTATGGGATTATATAGTCTACATTATGATACGGTAGGAGAGAGTGGGGTAAATTGAGCCAAGGGGTAAGTTGTCTTTTTGTTTCCAGTTGTTTGGAAATGGTAAAAGAAATTGATCATGTGACCAAATATTTAGGAGATGGGCATCAATTCATGGAGTCTGTGAAGGTTAGAAGTACATGGGTGAAGGGGTTAGACATTTATTTCCAAAAAAAAAACAAAACATTTTTCACTCTTGAAAGTCAATTAAATCTGTCATAAGTTTTATTAAAATTGTGTTCGGACCAAAAAAGAACATTTTACATTTGTTTTACTCATCAATTGTGGTATCTATGAGCTACAACATGAGGTCAAAAACCTAGCCTAAAAGTCCACCATTTTAGCTTAGAGGACTAATAAAGTCATAATAGTAGTTCTGGGGTAAGTTAAGCCAGTGGCTCAACTGGGAAAGTAAACAGCTCAACTTACCCAGCACATATGGTCAACTTACCCCATGGGGTAAGTTGACCCTCCCTAGGAGACCGCTTTTCTGGGGGTATGCTGTATTATCAAGACAGTTATGTTTAAACTCATTCTGTTGGTTTGCAGGGATGCACAACATCTTGAAATATATGCAGATTCACTGGTTAGAGACAAAACTATGATTGCCTTGATGTAGTGATCTGAAATATGAAAAATGGATTATCTTACCCTACTCTCCCCCATAGCCTACCTTATGATATAGTATAGCATAGTGTATGCAGTCATTTTAGGTTGCAGAAAACTACATTTGAAAAGCCAACCATGTGACAACAGTCAGGATAATGTGGGGTCATCAGGTTTATTGGATTTGGGCACTGAGTGAAAAATTACAGGAATACATAACAGTGGTAGATAATAGCTAATTTGAAGTGTCACATCTGGCAGCCTGAGCCTGCATAGGTGTGTGCCTGTGTGTAAGTTCTGTTTTACAAGAGATTCTAAATTAAACTTTAGATGTTCAAATCTACTTTCACTGAAGAATTAAGCCATTGAATGTGGGGACTTAAGCATTCAATGGGTGGATGCATTATAAGCTTCTGTTTGGAGATTTTAGCTGATACCATCAAAGACTGTAAATAATACTGTTGCCTTTATGACACACTAAAGCAAAATAGACTATCACAAAGTAGATGAGCTATCTCTATGCTGTTATGTTTTACGCCTTAAGTAAACTATTGCTGCAATGTAGGTATCAGATGAGGTGACTGAAAGCATCCCACTAGAACAGCCAGGATTACAATTGCATCATATGAATTAATTGGAAATATCCAGAAACATTACATATAACAGCAAAACATTTGTCTGAAACATTTTTCTGCAATATTTAATCCGTAACAGTAATTTGCTGTTAATGTTTTCAACCCTGACTGGGTTTATGTAATTTCATATGAATTCTAACTCTTCCCCCACCATCCCATTAAAACTTAGATTGCTTAAACCTCTCCAGGTGTAGACATACTTGTTGACAAAGAGTCAATATTACTACACTGAAGCAGAATGGTATGTAGTCAGCAGGATCTGAAGTAACAATGAAAACAAACAAACAAAAAAAAGTTGTGGAAAATAATGCAACTCTTACAGAGCAATGCTTTTGGCTTTACGGTGGCAATGATGAAAAAACAAATGACTGTAGGGACTGGTCTTGCGCTTCAGGCTTCCTACGTGCCACAACCAAGGTGAAGGTTAAGGCTGTGTAATCATTGATACTCAGAGTTTCTGGAGCAGTAAGACATTAAGCCTTTTTCTCACCTTTTCTCTCATTTAATCTTACACATACACACACACATTTGGGGAAACCAAACACGACTCTGAACACTAACAGGCAAGAACTTTCTGCCAGGGCTAAAGAAGAAAATGGCTGACAGTTGTTGTTGGGTGATATTGTATTTGTTAGGATCCTGCCAAGATGCTTTTGGTTTATGATTCCTCTTGTGACTTTGCTTAAGACTATTTACATTTTGGGTCGATATTAAGGTAAGTTTTTGAACAGTTTACACTTCATCTGAAAGTGAGCGCAGCAGCATGGACTTTTAGATACACAGTTAGCACTTTTGCCTTAAGGGTGAAAACTTGTCATGTTTTAAACTTCCTCATGGAGATTTGAAATTAGGCAAGATCATGCCTCTCAAACTTGAGTATTTTGAATCAAAAGCGACAAGTGTTGATAATTAGGGAAGCCTGCATATATTATGGTATTTTTTCAATAAATAGTCGTGATAGAGTTAAATATTTAGTTAAGGTTCTACAACCTCAATTTTTGTGTAGGAAAATAAATATTTGGACAGTTGAAGATGGCGACAGTTTTGTCCTGGTTCACTGTCCATTTATCTGAAAGACCAACAGACCTACAGCCTCAGGCCTAACTGCCTACGCACTACAGTATACAGGCTACAACTTGTCAAGCAGGCACACACCTCCACAAGTTTCTTAGGTACGCATTACGCCTCAAACAACTGTATCAGATACACACTGTATCCACTCTTGAGAATGAGGATACATAACACAGGATGGTCAACACAAGGCCAGGTTTGAAGGACCATAGTATTCATACAGTGTGAGTAATTTTTTATGTTTTAAGGGTTTTGTCTCTTTAAAAGGGCGATTTTTAGTAGATGTAGTCGGTACATTTGAGAACGACAGAGCTCTAACTTAGTATGGCATGTACACCACAGGTAGAAGAATTTCGGGACTCTACCTGTTACTCGACAAAAACAACTTCCAGCTGTTTAGGAAAGAAGAGAAGGTGCGCTTAAAGGGGTGAAACAGAGTGAGCAGGAGTCACTGTTGGGAAAATAATGTTTTTGTAAAAGTGAAAATATTAAAAGAAAAAGAGGGATTGTCCTTGGACTGAACACAAGACAAAGTAAGCCTGTATTCTTTGGCTGTTTTGCATGCAGGTTTCACAGGTTACATTGCTTTGCAGGCATTGATATGACTAGTTTCGATGTAAAGTTGTCAGATTAAGAGACAGATTCGTACGTTAGGAGACTAAGGATTAAGTAAAAAGAAGCAGTGTGACAGGTTTTGTCAAAAGATAATACTCCTCTGTCGTCTTCTCAAATCCAATAGATATTCATAGGCTTTGAAATGCAAAGTGAAAGAATCAAGGTTGTTTCTCTGGTTGAGAAAATAAATGCAGAGTAGTTAAGATGTCATACTGTAACAGGAACGGCCTGTACACAACAGCCATAAAGCTCATATCCCCGTATATCTGCATTTTTCATGTATTCCATCAGAGATCTTAAAATGCATGTCATTAAAAGCATTGCCTCAATATGGGTGCCACTAATATTTTTTATCTCTTTATCTCTCACAATTATTCTCTCATTTCCTCAACTAACCACTCAGCATGAAAAAGATGATTAAAGGAAATAAGCCACAAAATGATTTACTCCGACAAATGCACATTACCTTTGAAATTGGATGATCTAAGTTTTAACTAGATTGTAAAATTTTATCGCAAAATGGGTCGGTCAATTAAGTTTGCGAGTGATGACTTATAATGGACTTATAATGGACTGTACTGCCAGGGCGTGCGAAAGTGACTAACTGAGGTGATCCTAATATTAATCATGCAGGAGTCACATTCTCCTAACCCTTCCCTTCTCCGGTCTCTCAGCAATGTCCTGTGTACAGTATCTACAATATGATAGTTATTTTAAGATTGATTAAAATTGTTTGGAGCTTTGAATGATGTATGGTGTCTTTTGTGTGTTTTTCTTCCTCAGGTGCATTTACAATCAGGATGACCACCTTTGAAAACACCACGACTAACAATTACAACTATGGTCACAACGCGTCCTACTGCAAATTTCGAGAGGAGTTTAAGTATATCCTCCTTCCAGTCAGCTATGCCCTGGTCTTTGTGGTTGGTCTGGCTTTGAACTCAACAGCCTTGTTTGTGATTGTGTTCCGCACTAAGCGCTGGAAACCATCCACCATCTACATGTTCAACTTGACGATGTGCGACACTCTCTACATCTTCACCTTGCCCTTCCTCGTCTATTACTACGCAGATGAGAACGACTGGCCTTTCAGTGAAGCGCTCTGCAAACTCATACGTTTTCTGTTTTATGCCAACTTATACGGTACAGTTCTGACATTGCTCATCACACAAACAGACAAAAAAAATGGCATTGATGAACTTTTTATTACATTGAGAAGAAAGAAAGTCTTGATGATGATATGTAGTAGAACGTGGAATATTTTTAATGGGATTTTTAGCTTTTATATTGTACAGCATTCAAATTTAATGTAATATAAATGTCTGATAATCAAACACAAAATATTTTAGGATGCTATCCTATACTGTGCCAAAAATTGTGTGACTCTGTTGCACTAGCATTTAATAAAAATCAGATTATGTGTTATTTGCCAGAGGAGCAGACAGCCTTGGAAAGAATGCAAAATAACAAGGACATTACTCTACATACAAATATATTCATTTCTTAATAATAAAGAGAATATGTAGCTCTTTTTAACAAATGCTGATGCCAAAAAAAGGAAAGATTTTTATATATTAAAAGGTCTCATCATTGTATGAAAACCCATGTCTCTCACTGTGGCAGGTTCCATCCTGTTTCTGTGCTGTATCAGTCTACATCGCTTTATCGGCATTTGCTACCCAATGCGATCCTTAAACTGGGTCAGTGCACGGCGGGCCAAACTGGTGTCTGTGGCAGTGTGGGCGATTGTTTTGTTCTGCCAGGCACCCATCCTCTACTTCTCCAGAATCAGGTGGTTAAAAGCTGTCTCATTTTACCTTTTCTTTTCTCTATCATTCAGTCTCCTACTATCTTTTTTCATCAGTTCAGTCCTCACTTACTTATTGCCCCTGTCTTACTCTGCCATTAACGTGTCTTATCTTAATGGGCCTTAAAGGGGCACACTTAAACAACTCTTCCAATCATTGAATCTTATCACCTTTTTCAGACTCTTATGTCCTTGAGTCCATGTTAGCAGTTTCATTAAATTATAAAAACCGCATTATTTATTGTCTTCTTAACCAGGGATCAGAAAACTGAGAGAGTCTGCTATGACACTACAAGCCCGGAGCTTTTTGATGACTTCCTGGTGTACAGCTCGATCGTGTCAGTCCTCATGTTCGCCCTGCCCTTCATGGTGGTGATGGTGTGCTATGGCCTCATGGTGCGGAAGCTTCTGGAGCCTGGTTGGGGATCTGAAGGAGGGCCCGATGGTGAGAGAGGAGGCCTGTCAGCCCAACGCACCAAGCAGAAGTCGGTGAAGATGATCATCATAGTGCTGGGAACATTTATGCTCTGCTTCCTCCCCTTCCATCTCACAAGGAGTCTCTACTACTCCTTTAGATACCTGAGGCAGATCAATCCAGCACAGGTGAGGACAAACTCTTATTTTGATGATCGCTTTGTTAGAATAATTATAAAAACTCACTATGTCACATTTTTATGTGCTCATCAGATCAGCTGTACATTACTAGAGGCCTCCAGTGTGGCCTATAAAGTAACCCGACCTCTGGCCAGCGCCAACAGCTGTCTGGACCCCATCCTCTACTTCCTGGCTGGGCAGGATGCTCGCAGCAATCTCACCAAAAAAGGCAGGGCGTCCTCTTCAAAAACAACAAGTGTGAGCCGACGCTTGACAACAAAGCTGTGATTTAATACCTGAAACTGCCTGGGTAAAACCTCAGCATGTTGTGGGTTCTCAACTCTGCAGTTACTGGATTATAGAAGCAAATGTAAATCAAAACATCTAGGCTGTCAAAAAGGAAGACTGAGTGTAACCATGTGGAGTCAAACACATCGCATTCACCAACATTAAACCAGTGAAAATGCATTTTGACATTTACCCTATGTGTAAATTCTGACCGAGCAATAATGACTGAAAGTAATGAATGACCTCTGAAATTAACAGTAAATTATGCATTGTTTTTCTGACATAAGGCATTAAGGGTTACATAAAGTGTTCTGTAGGTGAAATGTATAAGGTTAAAAAGACAAAGACAAAAGGTGCCTTACAGCATTTGTTGGTAATTATACTGGACAACACTACAACTGAGATTTGTGTGCCTGTATGGAGACATGTTGGTTTCCCTTCACTGAATATGGAGAATATTGTATTTCAATGTGTGAGAATGTGAGTGTATATATGTTAGCCTGTTTGAAGGAACTGAAATGTCTTTGATAATAAATGTGTTTCAATTTTGACAAATTTGGAGCAGCTTTCTTTTTTTCCAATTGTCTCACATATCATACAGTTTTTTAATACATGTATTAAAGCTCCTCTAAGGAAGTTTGGCTGCTTCCAAATGTATCTATAACTGAATCTATGTGACAGGAAATGAAAAAGAAAAGCTGTTTCATCAGCACTCTGCACACCCCCTAGTCTGGCCTTGATTTTCTCAGTAATTTAAGAGTATAACCATGAATTTTAGTGTGTTTTACAACCAGCAATAAAATTGGCACAGGAGCTTTAATTTAGATTACATTACCCGTGTCAAAGGTGATCAGATTCTCACTTTACAGCTAAGTCTATCTCTCAGGTTGTCTCTTTTGCAAGAATAATTGAGCCTTTTAGCAGATCAGAAAAGTATTTAAACCAGACAACTTAGATTTCATATCAGCCAAATCATTTTAAGTCTGGAGAGTCTCACAGCTATTTGTGGGAATTTAAACTTCATTAGTGTGGCTGATTATTGTATGAGGTTGACCACACTTGGTGTATGTCATCAGCGGTTAGCTTTTTTTAACCCACCACTAGAGGGCGATAGTATACAACAAATAACACAGGCTCTTAATCTCAAGGACTGGAGTTCAGAACTTTTCTCAAACACACTAACTCACTCCCATATCTCACAAAAACATGAAGGAATACAAACTAAAAACTGGATTTCTGTACGTCGAAGCAAGAAAAATAAAACAGTTTTTAAAATACACATCCTCTTTATTTTAAGAGTAAAAACATCTTACAGAAAAGTGTCATATTATAAATGCAGTCTACAAACTTGATGAGATGAATGCTTCCTTTTATACTTCCTTCTGAACAGCAAATCTTCAGCTTGAAAACATTTAATAATAATCCTAAAAATACTATGAAAAGTAATGAAAACAGATGAAATGAACACATGTAACTGCTGCAACCAATAAATATTTAGTCCTCAAGACAGTTTGTGATTCCTTGTAATAATGTAATGAGGAAATGTGAAAATGAGAGGCTTACAAACCTCTGTGCTTACTGTACACTCTTTAAAACCCACAAGGATGTAAACTAAAGCTGAATGAGCTGCAGGACTTTGAGGCATCTAAACCCCAAATCCTCTGCAACCGCTGGTTGGTTTATTTAATTAAACCATAAAAATCAAGTGTGTGTCTGTGTGCGTGTGTCTGTGTTTGGCATGTGTACAGATGTGGGAGGGTTTTAGGTTTACGGTTTGTGGGATTACATAACGACATAACTGGCTGTTCAAACTACATGTGCGTTTATATAAGCTTGTAGATTTTAAGATTTCAGACCAGAACAAAAACTTGAAGTGTGTTTTTGGAAAATAAGATAACCAGTAATTCAGTTTATCTGCATCCTGATGTGAGTTTGCCTGTTCTTGCTTGATGGTCCACAGATGTCTGTACTTGGCGCAGTGCCTTTCACTCCATTCATACTGTAGGCCAAAACAACAAAGCCAGGTATTATCTGTTTCTCAACCCCTTTCCCCCCCTATATTTACATATATACAATCATTTACATGTGCTATTCTACAAAAGTGATATTCCATCTTTGTTTTTACTCAAAGACTCAGTTGCAGCGTGCACTTCCAATACTATGAACTATTATAAAACAGAGTGATGTGACACCCTAATGGGAGCTCCTCCGAGAGCACAATTTGGCCCCTAATGGACTTCAGGGACCAAGTCTAAGAGCTCCTGAAATACGAGTGATGCCATAGCTGACAGTAGCTGAGAAGGTGTTCACTACTAAATGCATGTTATTTACACTGTTGAATGAGCATCATAGTGAAGGCTACATTCAACATCAAGTTTTAAAATCTAAATGCATCGACTATCTCGTACAAAAAAAAAACACTAAAATAATCGTTATTCTTTTCAAAATACTTTGAAGTGCTACTTTCCTTTTTTAAATCAAGTGTCATTGTCCAAAAAACAGGCTTTCACTTGGGCTAAATCTAACTTTCTCAGCAAATTTGCAAGATTAGCCAATTCCTATAACGGCTGTAGATGAGTCCCTTATTGGAGTAGACTTTGTGTGTGTTTAACCCTGTGTCTATTAATCCCATAGAAGCACAAATCGAGGAGCTCAGAGTGCTTTTAGTGTCTTGTGACTCACTCCTCTGAGAGTAATCTAACCATAAAACACTCCCTTTGAGTTTGAAGCAGCTGTGATTTGATTGAGTCTCCCACGATGGAACATTATTTGTCTGTAACAATAAATACAGTTGTATTCCTCTTATCGCACAGATAGAAACAACTTTCTTCAGCCGGAGATGGTTCTTGTAGTTTCTTTCGTGAAGTCAAACCATCTGTAAACACTCTCCATGTCGGCTGTTGAGTTGTCAGCGAACGATGAGGTTATCTTCAGCGAGGTAGCGTTATCGTACACCTTTTTCTTCTCTGTTCATCTGAAAGGGAGAGAGAGTATGTGAAGAAGGAGGCATGTAGAGCAGAACACTACGCAATAATCCCACATCGAGTTAAATTTGAAGCATAAACAGTAGTCTTCCTAATTGATGTTTTAAACTGAACCCAACAGACTGTTAAGACAATATAAAGAGCCACATGATTACTAGATGATTACTAGAGAGCGTCCATTAATGTGCTCGAGGAGATCATAGGAAACAGAAGATAATTTCCCAAATGATTTCAAAGATCTGCTAAACTGATCATTCAGAGCATCATTTCCTTTACCAGAGAAACAGACTATGTCATTTAGCATAAGCAGGAAGAAAGTAAGTGAATGTTTACGGACAGCTGCAGTTGAACTTGTTAAATTAAGGAGTGTTAAGCATGAGAGGAATGGAAGAGGAAACTGAGAGCTGGAGGTGTGACTGTGTGCCGCAGGACATACCTCCTGATACCAGAGAATGAAGAAAAGGATTTCCCTCCAAACAGGGAGTGTCGTTGCTCCTGGGAGGATCTCTTGGTTTCCACTGGGACTGGCTTCAGTTCAGGAATCTGAGCCACTTGAAATCTGTCAGTCATGCAGAAGAAACGATCATTATAAAATGCAGAAAACACAGCAAAGGTGGTATAATGATCTCCTATTTGATTTGCACTGTCATGGGATTGGGAAGCTATTTTTTACAGGTTTATGGGGTTTGTCTGAAATGAAGTGACTCTATTAAAGAGCTACATTTATTCTTGAGTGATTACTTGAGTGTAGTCTGGAAAGGCTGTTTAAATCATCATTTTTTGTCCTGCTAAGTCATTCTACAAACAGCCACACAGCTGTTTTTGTGTTTGATATACAGAAACCCAATTTGTGAGTAATCAACTATCTAAAAGATGAAAAACTAATAATTTTCTCTATATTGCAGGTTCCTCTGTGTACTGTCTATTGTTCTGTGTATTTTGGAGTATTTCTTCCTCTCACCTTCCCACAGACATCACCATCAACTCCCCCTCCTTCTTCTCCTTGACTTCACTCTTCTCTGTTTTCTCCGGCACAGTATTTGGCACAGCAGCTTGGGTGTGGAGGGTGTCGACAAACACTCCACCCAGCAAGGGTCTCTTCTGCTGGTCGGTGGAAGTGTCCAGGGAGGGTAGGATGAGGGTCTGAGGGGGCTTCAGGGGGTCTTTGAGGGAATCCAAGGGAGGTATGAGCACAGGGGGCCACTTTCTCTGAGCGCAGCGGGTACAGCGGTAGCCATGTTTGGGGGCCAAGCCAGAGAGGCCGGAGATGGTGTGGAGGTGGGACTGATGGGGGCAGAGTCTGGGGAGGGAGCGGAAGGTGGAGAGGGGAGACAACATGGGGAACCTAGGAAGAGGAGAAGGAGAGAAATGAAGAATTTAATGGACACATTTAGAAACAAGTCTAACTTTCTGTATTAAATTTGCCATTTTCAAACACTGAAAAACTTGAACATGGTTATTCCATTAACATCTCTGTCTTTGTCCTTTATCAGCTAAAAAAAACTGAAATTTAACTCTAAAGGTTAATCTTTTATTCTTGTACAATGTGCATTTTTACTCAGGGCCCATTAGTTTGTCTTTGTATTGTTCTGTACGTATCCACATTATTATACTGGACAGGGGCCGACCTGTAGTAACCCCAGCACCTCCCACCACACAGACAGACAGGATCTAAAAGCTTCCCAGATTCTTCTGGTAGAACGCTCCAGAATCGAAGCCCACATTTTACAGCAGCTCGTAAACAGAGGCTCCTGACTCCTCTTACTATAGTAGATTTGGAAGGGTAATTATGGCACGCTCAATCCTTTTCTAAAAATTCAATAATGGATGATAAGATGAACATATTCCTCGCATATTGGAATAAAGAAATGATGTGTTTCTGTTTCTGCTGATAGTAGAGCACTGAGGAAAAAGCTTATCACTGCGGTGCAGACTGTGGTATGCACTAACATGTTTCTGGGCTTCTCAGATTGACTTCTGACTATTCCAGCAGTTTTAAAGGCCGCAACATAAACCTAACTTACAACCACAATTAGCTCGGTCATGTAAATCGTGTGACAGCCGGTGAGCTTAGTGGCAGGCTGGGGGTTTGGGGCTCATGTGAGAGAGACAGCAGTTACCACTGTGTGAGACATTCACTGGAGACATGAGGATCTGAGTCACTGAACACGACCAGGGCTATAGCGAGGAAATCTGACCTGCTGGAAATTGTCTTCTCTATTTCAAAGTTAAATTTTACCTATTTTTTTCCTATTCTATTTTCCTTTATTGAAGAAATACAAAAAAACGCAGTTGGTATTAATAACGAAAATATGCTAACTTTGATTTGAAATAACGTAAAACAGATTTCATTTAAATTCACATTATCAGGTTTTCTTTGACAGGAAATAGGAGAAAATCAAGAGCAACTCACAATGAGGTTTGGTTTTAATGTGCTTCTTTTTACATTTTTTTTCAATCAAAAATAAAAAACTAACTATAGTAACTAACACTAATAGTTGTTTCGACACATATAATTATAATTTAATCATTAGATGGTAATTATTTGTTCCAGTGTAATTGTGTTTGTATGAGCACATGGTTACATACTTGATCGATGAGCTCTTGCTCATGGCCATCTCTTTGCTCTCGTACTCTAGCAGCAGTTCCTCCAGTGCAGCAGCATTTTCTGGAAAACACATGCACACACTCTTTCAGATAAGATTGTAATGAGTGTGTTAACAGTATTATAAATGTATTGGTTAATACTCAAATAAGTGACTGTAAGATTTTAGACCATATTTTGAGATTTTTGAATAAAGTTTCAAGTTAAACCCCCTGAAAAAGTTGCAAACACACAGGTAATCAAAACTGATCAAACCTTCATAATTTCTCACAAGTACTATACCCTAACCCTTAAGACACATATCCTGTCCCTCCCTTTGCATTTTGCTGTGTTTGCAGCGGTTAACAGAGGTTTAATTATCCCCTTCTAACAACACATTTATGTACCATAGAGGGGACGGTCTGGGTTTGTAGCAGTATAGATGACGTACTGTGACGACACTTTGTTCACCTCTAAAGCCACGAGACATAAAGACTTTGTCTGACCGCCATGGCTCCAAAGTGACATCAGCTCTACTCAGCACATACCTTTCTTCTCAGTAATGAGGCGAACCAGCACACTGATGGTGTCCTCATTAAGGTCATCTGAAATGTAGGGACAGTTGTTGCCTATAGCAAGACAGAGAAACAGAGACAGAGAACATTTAACTTCACCAACTAACATGAACAGAGTATAGACTCTAGATCTACTAGAGCCCATGACATTGTTTGTTCATCAAACCAGGAATCATATCTTTAAAAACAATCTCATTTGCATTTTTTAGTAACACACACACTCAAAATCCAATCACTTCATTTTTGTGTACGTGGAAAAAGGGTAAGGGTATTTGTTTCCACATTATCTAGTTATAGGTCATATTATCTCAATTTAACATCTTTATGACAAGTGATAATATTCTATCCCATTAGATGTCTGACAAATCTCCAAAAAAGCTAGCAATCAGACATTAAGTTCCTTTTTCAAAAAATTTGATCTTAAATATATCTTAAACAAACATAAAAAACATAAAATATCTAAAGTACACACACTTTTATCTTGAAACAAATGTACAATCAAACATGAACTTAAATATATGCAGTACAATTTAGTCTGATTTAGGGCATATTACTTTATCTTGATGCCAGAATCCACTCAGATGTGGTTTTGCTTTAGGTCAGCATTACAACATTTTTCACTTTCAGCTGTCAGAGACAGAGTGAGCATAGTTCCCACAGTGCATGTCACTGTTGGCCTATCGTGCCCCAGTGCACGATGGGACTGATAAGGATGGATGTGGATGACTGAACAGCAAAGAATAGATATGCCTCCATGGCAACCCCCATTGACCATCCCATAATAGCAGAGCACAGTGAGGCAGCAGAGAGGAGAGCAACAAGGGCATGGGGGTCCAGAATAGCTCACTCAGCAATCACTCTCCATTCAGTTGAAACACACAGGGCTCAGTGTGTGCGTGTGTGTGTGTGTGTGTGTGTGTGTGTGTGTGTGTGTCCTCTTGGCAATTAAAAATAAATAAATAAAAGTCACATTTCAAGTAACATTAAGGTAAAAGACCTTAAAGGAAAATTTTCTATTGTATTTTTGTTTTATTAAAATGACCAAAAATTAAGGTCCACTCTTGGTCAGTCTGGGCAGATAGTCCACTGTTGGTAAGGTAAGCGAGTATGTGTGTGTGTTTAAGTAAGAGTGTGTGATACTACCAGGTGACTGTGTATCTGTGAGGCTCTACAGATACATTCCTGTATGTGTGAGTGGATTTCTGTCTTCCTCACATAAGCAGAGTCAGGCTGTTGTTAGGAAACAACAATAGCTCTGTCTCCACTGTGGCTGTTGCCATGTGATGATAACAGCATCCATTTCACAGTGTGACACTTGGCTACAACCATCTATTTCTTGAACAAAGTCAGACACATGTGTTTCAATGTCAGTCACATCAAGCCAGTGACCCCTCACTTTGTTTTGAGAGGTTAAGTTGGCTCACTTTGACTTCTGAACTTCTAAGTTTACAGGACCAGATGATACTCACCACTAAATTTAAAAACTCCTGAAACTTTTAACTAAATGTTACCTTTCCCTCTGCCGTTGTCGACCCTGGTTTGTCCTTTCTAAGTCAAACTTGTTCTCTTTCTGCAGCTCTGCAGGGTCTGATTTTTGCCTTACCCAGCTAAGCTGAGTATGGCGTTGCTTGTAATTCACCCTCATGGGTGTTCCCCCTGAATGGAGATGATCAAAAAAGTGCTGGGGTTGGACATCTACCTCTATCCTAAGCTCTGTCAGGACTACTGCAGACAGAGACAGACAGGGGACTGCAGGAAGGTGAGTTACATAACTACAATAGGGGTAGGGGGATATACTTTAAATGGTTTCCCATGTAGCATCTTAAACCTCATATCGTCAGCTAATATTTTTCTTTAAAATCAGTCTGCATTTCTTTCTTTAACCTCCTTGATTACCCACTTCAGTTCATCTTTAATAACCTTATCAGCTACCCTGTTTGATCTGCTCAGTATTTTTCTGTGTCTCACTCATACAAACTTACAGGACATCGCCGCATCACTGCAGCATGAGTCCTCAAAGATTACAGGAGCAGAGAGAGGAAAGCAAAGGGTGAGGGTGCCCTTAATCAACCCCAGTTTCTGTCAGGACACAGTTATCCCCTTACCTTTCAGGTATCTCACTAAAAGTGATTATGCTTTCTTCGAAAGCAAAACACTAATTTTCACACATGTACAGTTTTCTTTTCTTGTATGTTTTGTTCAACACTGAGAATTGTTTTAATCATATATGTAGAGAACTGTATCACTGTCGCATTGAACTGTTTATGCCCACCTTAGGTGTTTCATTTAGGAAACATATATATTAAAATTAAAAATAGATAGAAAATGATGATGAAGAAAGAAAACAGAGGAAGAGAATCCTTGATGGTTTAATAACAAAGTGGGTTACTGTGAAATGAGCTGGATTAATAAAATTGTCTGAGTATTAATCTGAGAAGGTAAGGAGGCCGCAGAAAGAAAGAGGAGACATAAACATGAGGTCAGGATCAATTGAATTATTGATCCGGCTAGGAAAGGAGATATGGATGGACAGTATCATGTTCGGTTGAGGAGGGGAGGAGGTGTGAGGGAGCTGAGAAATTCACGTGAGAAGGATGGAGACTTTAAGGATAAGTAGTTAGAACTGTGAGGGGGGAGGTCTGAGGAGTTTCCCTTTTCAGTGTGGGGACGTATTAAATTTCACAACAGGAAAAATGGCCTCAGCAACACTGCAAACAACAGAGTGACTCTGACTTCTTTTGTCATCACATGGCCAGTAGAATTTAAGCTAGATCTCTGTTGCTGAAACATATATAACTCTAAAACTCATCATGAAATCATCTGAGTCTTTCAGCAGATCCCTGGCCCTGGATCATCTAGACCAATTCCACTACAAAGGCTAAGCTACACATGCTCTTAGTGACTTAGTAAAAGGGGGTGCCTAGTTGGCTCATTGTGTCAAAAAACCTGCCCTGTGTGTTTTTGCATCAGCACAGTAAGCAGTTTCAGAGGACAGGTGTTGCTGAATGTAGGACAGGTCTTAGTGATTCTGCACAAAGAGAGCTGAGGCTTTGAACTTTTACGTAAATACTCCTGACTTAACAATTGAAAAGAATGTCACCTCCTTATAACCTTTTAATCCCAACCACAGATACACCGAGGTCTCGAAAGCGGCAGTTGTTCTGTCAGCGTAAACAGTTTGCCACTGAGCTGAGAGGAAGTGGGACCCGCTGAGGTAACAGATGTGCTCTGACGTTTCATGACGCCCGTTAGAAACCTGCTCTGTTACAAAGCTCTCCTCTGAGCCTGAACACACCATCAGGTGAGTGAGAGAAAAGCCAGATTAGCCTGTAAACCTGTCAGTGCTGGCACACTAAACAAGAGTGACACCACGGATAAACACATCGTAGAAAGGGGCGAGTAAATAACTGTTTAAATTTGTTTACAGAATTCAGATTAGTAAAAATGAACACAGTGTACTGTACTGTGTTCAGATGATGACGGCGTTAATTCAAAGAGGGGATGTTGCCTAAAAGCATAAGAACAATCAAGTGCACATATAAGCTTCTTTTAATCGGTTGAAAGGAAAACATTGATATCACTGTCTGTCAAAATAAAGTGAAATCTGGGTCGGGGTTAACTTAGTTTACCATAAAGCTGCAAGCAAGGGTGAAGCAGCTAATCCTAATGTGCTCAGGCCCAACAACTCAAAAATTCAACCTCTAGTATGTCTAAAGCTCACTCTGCACAATTTCAAGTGTTAAAGAAGGAAGGCTATTAGGTAGATCATGTAGCTAAGCTATTGGTGAGCTAAGCTTCCAAACTAGTTCCTTTCTTTCTTTCTGTCCTGCCCTCTTTTAATTCTTCTTTCCATGTTTACTCAAGTTAGCGTCTCTGACGTCAGCGGGGCGAGAGAGTTGATGGGAAAGCTTTTTTCCTCCTGTTCAAATAGGAAAACCACAAGAATAACAGCGCCTGCCTACAAAAACACAGCATGATATGCCACAAAACCTCTGCAAGGTCAAAGGTGAGGGAGATAGAAAGCAGAGCATATAGGCCTGTGTGCAGTAACATCACAGAGATAGATGCATGGACTACAGACAAAGGACAGTGCCCTTTGGGTTGGTTTGGCTTTGCTCTAACAACCACATTGTGTGCATGCGTGTGTGTGTGTCCTTATTTGTCATTCTTATTGGCTAGCATGACAACAAATTAAACAATTATGCCATTCTCATTACTTTTCCTTGATGTATTTGTCTTTTCCCTTCTTTCATTTCATTACCTTTCCTTTCTTCACTCCTTTCTCCTTGAATGTTTTTGATATTTCTCTCATTCCATCCCCCTTACCGTCTTTCTGTGGTGTTGGAGTTTCTTCATCTCCTCCCTCCTTGTCAGCAGAGCAGCGGTACCCCTTCTTCTTCAGGATGTTGCAGATGAGGATGCCGAGCAGACCCATCACACAGAAGATGGGCACCAAAGCAAACACTGCATACTCCGCTGTCTTCTCCTCGGCGCTGCGCACCATTGTGCCATTGATGGGCCCTCCTGTTCCACTGGATGGACCCTTACCCACTGTGCGGACTGTTCTGACATGCGAAGATGCTAGGGGAACAAAAGGGGGGTAATTAGGATAAGATAGCAGGATGTAAGCTGGTTTTTATCTTTGATTAGATCAAATAATCACTGTGGGCTGAAATAAATCAGATTTCCAGGGTAATACCTACTTTTCACACAGGGACTTTGGGTGGAAACGTTCCCTGTAGCAGTGGAGTGAAACCTGCAAATGGAAAGAGAAAGAAAAGAGCATAATTAGAGGGATGGCTCAAGAGGGGAAAAAGTAGGAGACAATTTTAGAATAAAATGATGGATTTTTAGGCTTTAGCCTGTGGTGTACTTGATGTAGCAAGCCTATTGTGGTGAATGATGGTGGAAAAACAGGATGCACACTCACCAAGAATAAATGACAGCACTTAATTTGGTACAAATTAAAGTTTATGAGGTACATGTTCAGGCAAAACGCTTTAAACGTCAAGCCAAGACTTTTCCAGCAACTGTGTGTGGATTAACAAGCAGACAGGTAGGCCAGCACCAGACAAAGACATACTGAGAGATAGTCAGGTTTTGCTCACCCAGGCAGACAGATTCCACAGACGGCATCAGAGATCGCAGTGCCCGGGGTGGAAACGTCACGGCCAAGGATCTTGCAGGAGGAGTGTGGGCGGCAAAGTTTGGAGTCGAGTGCGTCTGAAAAGCTTCCATTTGGGCACGGCTGGCAATGAACTTCCTCTGCTGGACTTTTGATCAGCTCACAATCCTGAAAAAAAAGGAAAAAACTTCTAAACTCAGAACAGGGTCTGAAAAAGAGGCAAAAGGCGCTGATTGAAGATTGTCCTCGACGCTCGCCAAAGCAAAGAAAGGACAGCTTTTAATTATAAGTCCTGTCTCAGTGTTAACTGTGATTAAACTATAATACACTCTTTACACTTTCACATAAAACATGATAAAGACTTTTCAACTAAGGTAAATAGAAATATCGAAGTAATGAATGGTAGTCTTGTTGTTTGATCTACAACAACCTCATAAACACAACCAGCAGCTGAAGAAAAACATGACACACCTTCACAAAATCCCTCTTTGGTTCAAATAAAGCAATGTCATAGATTTTTCCCAATCTCTAAACAATGATTTATGGAAGCAAACAACTTGATTTATGTTGACTGTGGTAATTAAACATAAATTATGAGGTTAGAGAGGAGCTGAACTCAGCTCTAGGTCTCTAGCTAAGGTTTTCTGAATGTCATAAAATGGTGGGAATGAACCTTTTTCCCACAGTAAATCACTAAAAATTTGTATCCATAGCAATTAAGAGGTTACAGCGAATGAAGTTTACACCAGTTCTGTATTTTCCCCTCACCTAAGCCTCAGGGGTTAGTGCAGTAATGTACTGAGATTCTGGAGACAGCCTCGATCCCAGACTGTAGCTACTTTTGACTATGTTAGTAGAAAACTTCACTTGTTCTAATACCTTATAAATCTGGTAATTATACCTTATACAGATACAGCTACAGACAGTATCTGAAACAAGTGGGTTTAAAAATGATGAATAGAAAAATATTACTAAAGAGGTGAAGTGTCTAAGGGGACAGGAATAAATAAGGGGAAAACAAAAATTCATGAAATAGTTAAAACAAAGTGACAAATTAAGTTTGAAGACGTTCAACCCCATTATTAGTCACTGCACTTTCAGTTGTAGTCTCACCTTGGAGGGCTCCAGGCCAGCAGGGCATTGCAGACACATGCATCCTTCCCCCCACCGACACCGCACCGCTGCGGTCCCACCACAGCCAAACACCTGAGACACACACACATAAGCACACACACTCACAAAGTTAAGCACATGACTCAGATTGAAGGTTTGCTGCAAAAAAAGTGGATTTAAAAAACGTCAAAACCAACACCAAAACTCGGACGACTTTTACTGCTTTAATGAATACACAGACGCACAAAGACCTACATACACGTATTTACCGTGAGAAGGACGAGCGCTGAGCAGCAAAGGTGGTTCCTCATCTTCTTCAAAGTATTCTTCTATGTTCATATGATCTACAGGAAGAAGAAGACAGACACAGGTCATATAAACAGTTAATCACATTATAAACACAGCGAACTTCATGTCCTCTCCCTCAACACAACCGTACCATTTTTGCAAACCCTCTTTTCATCCTTTAACGACTATTTCTCCACTCAGATGTGAATGAGCTTTGAATAATAACATGATATATCACCGCCCAGCACTTGCAAAGTCAAACGTTTCTCTCCTCCACGCAGACACACACATAAGCGTGCACACTCGCACAAAGCTACACATACTCACATGCCATAAAAACACCTGAATCACTTTATGAGACATCCTGAGCAGGCTTTTTCAAGTAACAGACAGGTGAGAAGTTGGTGTGAAACGCTGTAAATAACATTTTGCATGACTCAGGTTCTTTTCCTGGACCTGAGAAAATGAAGTAGGGATTTTCTGCAGCTATTTCTGGGCCCTGGGTAGTCACAGTAATTCATGGTGCAGCATGTTCATTTGCAGACACATGCTTGTTAGCTGCGTGAGTATTTCCTCACATTTAGGTCAGCTCAGAAGTTGTTTCACCGATTACCAAAATCAAAACTGTGCAACATTAAGAGGGAACAAAAGAGGATTTAATCATTGAACGTATGTTCTCTGAACATATGTCCACAGGAGAGTCTATACTGACATGCTATGGGTGCCACAAGTGAATACATAGCGTTGTTGTAAAATAATGGTGTCATATCTAAAGTTAGTTATGCAGACAGAAGCAATGTGACAACAGTTTATCTAACACAGCGCTTCAGCTCACATATAGATTTCTTTATGTGTCGTATCACATGCACACACGTGTCGAGCGAGGCTTTTACCACTGTCCTTCACTGATGTCTTTACTGTATGGAATAACGAGAAATCTAACCCGAGGTCACATGTCAATGAGAAATTCTCATGTCCGTTTTTAGCACACAACAAGTGGAGGATTTAGGTTAAATTCCAGAGACTGCAAGTGGGTCACAAAGTTGCCACCGGCTGTTCAGTCTAGACCTCAACTTTAAGTTTAGATAAACATATACAGCACATGCTGGACTGCATGTCAAAGACGGACCAGACCGACCTTTTAAAGTATCGTGTCATTGCAGCCTGTCAAATAAGGTGTTAATGTAAAAATAATTCACTACAAGTGTTGCTTCCCTGCAGCACCCAAATAAAGAGGCAACTAACATCTGTGGCCACAATGAGAGGGTTTTGAATAATCAGAGGGACCATGCTGTGATCTATGCTAAAGCACAATGCAGGTTATTTATTATGGAGATTTTACAGACTTCACAGAGTGACATATTTATTACACCATGATTCACCTGCACACCTTTCGTCTGTGAAGATAATATTAATGGAAAGCTACATAAGGCAAAAACAAACAGAGCAATGTAAGAAATATCTATCTTCTTTTTTCTATTGGACGGACAGACCAGTGCAAAACAGGCCTGTGAAAACAGCCAGTTACCAAAGTAAACACGAGAAGTATTTGGAGGATGTCAAACAAAGACGGAGAGAGGAGAAAAATAAAAATAAAAACGAGAAGATTTTGAGGAAATGCAACTGACTTTTTGGTTTGAGTCTAAAAGAAGACAGCAGAGGTGGAGAAAGAAAAGAGGGGAGAAAAATGAGAGTGGGAGTTAATGCAGAAGGACAGAGAATACTTACCCCAGACTTGCAGCTGTCTGGCACAGTTGCCGTGGCAACTCAGCGAGGATGCTGTATGTGCTGCTACAAATGCTGAGTCAGGGTCAAACTCTAACTGCTCTGACTTTCTTAATGCTTTCCAAGAAGACCCACAAAAGTTGCTAAAAGTTTTTTTTGTTTTTTGTTTTTTGAGCTGCTAGAAGAAATCACTCAAAAATAACTGCTGAATTAAAATAAAAAATGCTTAAATAATCAATGTATAATTCTGTAAAGATCTACGTGAAGCAAGTATAACACTAAATTGCAGCTCAGTAGGTTAAGAAACGACACAAACACTCCAGCCTGTGCAGCTGAATGAAGATTTTAGTGTACCTGAGGTGTCTTATACTGTCACTCTGACCACAGACACACCCCTGACATCCTTCGGACATGCCCCTTCTATCACAGTGGTTGTGCTACTTTGTGCATATGTGTGTCATGTAAGAGTGGGGAGGGAGGGGTGAGGCTGTTTTTAATGCACCTTTGAACACGTAACAAAGCATACATTTTAAACATTAGTTTAGCACGCATGTCAAAACTACTCCATTCGCAAAAATCCATTCATTCTCATTCTTATGCAGATCCAGCACAGACAAACACGTATACAACTGAACACTTTACTTACATACAAAATCCTGCATGGAGATCTTAGCATGGCATTGCATATGAGCATTAATCTTTATGTTTGCAGGTGATATAAATACACTCACACACTCATGTACACACGCACATCTGGCATACCTTCATACCTAGCCAAAACTAAGCTGTGCCTTAAACAAACAAAAAATGAAAAAAATGTAACATGCCAATGACAGGCTTCTGTAGCATAATTTCAGGGAGGAAGTACAAGATAAAGAGCTGACATAAAAACCACTAGTCAGAAAAAAAAAACACAAAGCTGAAGGGCAAGGGACCCAAAGAGATGAAGAGGAGGGAGATGAAGAAGAAGGAGGGAGGAAGGGAAGGAAAAAGGAGAAAGTGTCAGGGAGCCAGACTCCTCAAACTTCAGCCTGATAGCATGATATATTTAGAAGCGTTTGTTAAAATGCCATTGAGACCAAAGCAAGAGGCTAATTACAAGCCACACACACACACGTGCTTTCTTATACTCTTATAGACACACGTGCAAACACACAGAGCTGAAAAAAGGGGAAAATGTGATCAATAAAACGACAATGATAGAGAGAGCTAAACAAAACCGGGACCTTAAATTAAATCACTCTTTTTGGAAAGTGTCAAGTAACAAACTGGACTCCGGCTCGAGGGCTTGAGGAATGAGGGTTTTCCACAGACAGTCTTCCTTGACCTCCCATAGTGTGGTCATTCAAACAGCTGAACTCCAACCCCAGTAAGCAGTAAACTCAAACAGTATGATGATCAGGCTGTGGCACATTTAACCTGTTTGAAAAGCTTGCATGTTAAAAAGCATGGGGTGAAAAAGCACCTATAAAATTAGTCGTCTCCTTCCATTAGAGGGTTGTCCAATGAGCCTTTTTTACATTACAGTGCCATAACAGTTCCACAAACTCACACACTCTACATCGATTCTGCAATGGCACTGTAGCCCATATGTGTAAGTTCACATTATGTTGGCACTAGGAAAACCAAATGGGAAGTGGAAGTGGTGACATATAACACAGCAGCATTGTTACAAACATACGTTAAGCCACAGCAGCTGCCAGTGCTATGAAAAGCAGGATGATGGATGAACAGCAGCTCATACATTTTCTAGCTGTACTGACTTGCAGACTCAAGCAAAGTTGCTCTCCATCTCAACCACAATGTTACGAAGAATTACAGACATGCATGACCCTCTACCCTGGTTGCTGGTGGTATAGATGGCGTACTATCAGACCTTTATTTCTGACACCCTGACTTTGTCCCACCTTGACCATACTTCAACTCTAATGCCAGCTCAGCCACAAAGTACTGTGATATTGAAAGTGGAAGTTACTGTGGCTTAAAAGTTCTGTCTTGAACTGTCAATGTAAAAGAGGTTATAGCTTATACCAGATGATAGTTCACTGTCAAAAGGTTCCAGTTGACACAAAGATATTTTTGAATCAAAATCACGAGGACAGATATGGAGGAAATGTGACTGCAATTGGGCTTGTGAAAGACTGCTAAACAGGATGTTCAAAATGTGCCTACTCCCTGACAGGCTCAGAAGTTCACAGTCCACTGGCCAAGCCAGCAGTGCCTGCGTGTGATGAATTTGCATTAGAGTCCAGTTTTGTCTGAGGCTTTCCCCACAAACCCACTGCAAAAGTGACGCCATGACCGTAGTCTTGTTTGCCTTTTTCAGCTAGTCCATAAAAAGTTCTACTCAGGTCTGCAGCAGTGCAGCAATCCTGATAATCTCAAAAGAGTTGTTTTTAAATCATATGGGTACATAATTCTATTTTTAGCTAGTGTCAGCCAAAATATGAAGCTACGTCCAGCGGCTAGCAAGCTTAGTTTTGCACGAGCACAGCTTGTTCTTTTCGCCCAAAATCAGCCCTCTAACCGTGTTTAATGAGCTTCATTCCACTGATTTTATTCATTGATGAATTTAGTTTTTCAGATAGCTGGGCTTGCTTTGTCTCTCCTGTGGCTTGGCTATGCTGTGCTAGCAGTATAGGCTATATTATCATATTCAACAGACGGACAAGAAAGGATCTTATTTTCTGATAAATTTTAGCAAAAAAGTAGGAAGTGCACATTTTAATAAAGATTTATAAACCAAGCTATGGACATAAAAAACCTTTTTGGGCATTAAAAAAGATCTCTTACTTCGACTTTATCATACCCCGTTATTGAAATATCGTCACTTTTGATCTGACCCCACGGACAAACCACAAATCTAAATTTACCTTTCTTTAAAAAGACCTCTTACAACATCACATGTAGCATCTATGGGCACTTATTGTCTTTTAACAAAGACAAAGATGATTAAGTATGAAACTTAATGACTATTAAGTGTAATTGTGTGCTTGTTCTCTTCCCTTGATGTACTTCTTTGTCTCACACCCTTAGCTCTCATACTTAAGCTCCACGTGCTTTTTCAGAATTGCGCCCTTTGTTCTCAAGCTGTCAATCCTGTTATTGTATCTTAATGTTGACAGTTTCACTTCAGAATGACCCTGTTTGCTCCTGCGTTTGTTGGCCATGTTGCCTTGGTTTGTGCCCAGAATGCAGAGAGATGGATGTGTGGGAAGACAGAATAAGTAGAGCGGGAGAAAGACAGAAAGAGAAGGTGTCAGACAAAAAAACTGAGACGGATGAAAGCAATGGAAAGGGAGGGTTTAACAAGACAATATATCCCAACATACAAAGCTAAAAGGGCAAATGACACCGACGCCCAAGATGCCTCAGCTATAAGAATGGACAAAAACAACCAGATGATGCATAAATCCAAAGTTACCGAAAAAAGACTCGGAGAAGAGCGTGACAGCTTTTCTCAAAACAGTAATTATTTGAAATGTTGGAGCTGTTATTTGACACATTCAAATAACAAGTCATAACAGCGTTAGATGACCAGTCAAATCTTCTGTTTTGGTCAGAGGTCCTAAAAATAGTGATAATAAAGAAGTAATGGCAAGTCATGACAAAAACAGAGACATTATTCTATTTGGTTGTGGTTTGGGGCTAAGACCGAAATCGCAGTTAATTTGTTTGAGAAGCTGTTTTTGGCTCCTTGATGTCATGCAGCAGCTGAGCTGAGAAATCCCACTGGATGAAGCTGTGAAGGAAGGAAGGAACCACAAAAGAGGAAACACGAGAATGAGTGGCACAACTGGCCTTTGAGTTTGAGGTGAGTGGGCAGCAGAAGATGCTGGTCATGCTGCCGTGTTATTGGATTTCAAACAATGAGCTGTGTTTGTCAAGCACGTAAAATTCTGGTTTGACATGACACCGTGCTTCATTTTTAGAGCCACAAGGTATTTTAGGCTCAAAAATACACTGTCATTCTTACAAATGTGCCATTTTTGAGTCAGGAATCTCACACTGCTGTAAATACAAGCCCTGATTAGAAAGAAAAAATGGTCTTGTCCTGTTAAAAATAGCATTGCACTTTATATTAATAAACCACCCCAGTATATCATCCATTGCACACACAAAGATTAGGATATCTAGTTCACTGGGAAACCCAACGCCAGATAACAGAGAAAATGTTCATGTTTTGTATCTAGAGGCTGAAAAGTCTCTGTAAGCAGACACTGGGCTCAACCCCACAGAGATCTGACAGGGACAATAAAACCTTTGCCTAAGGATAACCTGGAATCTGAGGCTATACATAAGCCCTACTATATACTGTACATGGATGCAGGGGTCGATAAAAGTCTATGTTAAGCAGCAACAGTACTGCAAACCTAACAATAGACCACAATGCAAGCTTTGTGGTATACGGACAGCTTTAGAAATGCGCCTGTAAAAGACCTGCTGTGAAGTGAATACTCTGACAAACTTAATCTGCCTAACTTAAACCAAACACCATTTTTAGAAATCCCAAGTGATCCTTGCCCTATTCAATCAAGGCGTTTCCCAAGTGTTGGTTTAATTCCCATCAGTGCCCACAGTTTACTGCTTTCTCTGGTTCAAATCATTAAACATAACATTACTATCAAGTTTTATGTTTCACTGCGATCCACCGAGTCTTACACACCACATCCAAATCCCTGTCTGTCACCAATTTAAAACTTCCAAAACATTTCAGAAACAAATCAGACAGGACTGTTTTTGTTGGTGACTTTGGTTTTGTTTCACCCTCTACAGGTGAACTGCTCAGGTTTTCCTCCCAATCCCTTGGCTGGCCAAAATTGATGCTGTTAATTATCTCTGGCCTAAGAAAACAATAGTGTAACCTAAGTCCAGGCTTTTCTTCATAGTTTTGCAAGACCAGGTCCCATAAGATAGCATTGGTACATAATGAGGTCTGATTTTAGAGGTCTTTCTGATGGAAAAGCATCCAAACCTACATGATGTTTATCATTGTGTTCAGCAAGTCCACATTTTGCAGATTCTGTGCAGCCGTGTAGCACTTTCTTGCACCGTTACTTGTTCCTTAGGGTGCCATCTTCTGGGTAAACAGGGTAACACAATCAAATACCTCTTCCCACATTTTTACCAGTGTATTGGTCAAACCACTGTATAGGATGCAGCATGCTTTTATGATGCAGAAAAGGAATCAAACATGTGCTTAATACACTGAATAATACAGTATATGAAAATCTACTAATCTCATCACTGTCATAATGTACTCTTTTATTTTTATATTGACTAGATTGACATGCCTCTTGGTTTCTTACTTCGTTGTTGTTGTTGTTGTTGTTTTAGGACATATACAATCTGGTCATAGTGTGCAAGAAAATTTGACCAGACTTTGATAGGCTGGTAGTCCAAAGTTATGTTTTATAGGAGTAGAAACGGGTAATCAGTGTTGGATAGGGAAGTGCACTGGGTTATTATCATCCCCGTGCTGGAAATGAATACCTTGTCTGTAAAACATAAAACCTTTTAAGACAACATATCAACTCAGAAATAAATTGTCTCGTAAATTAAAATGCCTTTTCTTAATTTTTGACAAGTGCTAACCTTGACATTCAGAGATTTTATAGGGGATACATGATTTTTCACGGTTCATAGGCTCAAACTGTTTCTCCTTGAAAAAACTTATTGAAATAAGGCTGAATCTTTGCTGGGTCACAAAGGGCTGATGAAACACTTCATAAGCATTTGAAAAGACGTGGATTTCCCTCTTCATGGTAGGGTAGACAGGTCTTACAAAAGAAGTTAACCACCAAGTTCTAATACCAACGATGAGTGCCTATTAAGCACCACTATGTCACATTGCACGTTCAGCCTTGGGGAAGACCTGGCAGCGTTGCACATGCAATTATCTTACGGCACATGGAGTAAAATACAATAGAAAAGGACTAGGACAGCAAAAGAGGTTTAAGGTAATTATACTCCATTGTGCTTTAGACATTTCATGGACCAAGAGATAATGTGCATGTGTAAGACAACGACGTGATGGAGGCAACCATACCCTCTGTTTGACTAAACGGAGGTGCCCATTATTGCTAAATGAAAGGCTGATTTGCACTAACATTTTCTACGTTGGTGCTCAGGTAATGTCTCATTATAAGAAGTGAGTTTGATAAGTGGGCAAGTGTCACCTCCTCAAAATGTCTGAGGAAGCAGTCCTCCCAATGTTTCTCTGTGTCCATTGTTTCTTCTATTTGTCCTCGAGTTAGCGAGATGCCAGGCACCATGTTTTCCAAGGGAAATGTACACCTGAAGAAACCTAAACGACCTCTCTGGTGTCTCTGCTGCGCATTGGCAGTCAGATATTGCTGAATTGGAAGCAGAGAGATTGACTTCACCTTGATAGATAATGACAGGAAGAACAGACTTAATACTGTGAGTTAGAATACTTCTTTAATGCCAGAGTAATACAAATGCAGGTTTGAGGAAGCCCAGACAAAACAGATGATCCCTTTGTTCATAATAAACAGATGCAATACATAGCTTGATAAAGGTGTACCTTGACTTTTAAAGTATATATTACCAATTTGTTTAATCACTAGTTGAGGATTTTAGTCTGCCTCATTACTTATTGTTTAAAGAAAGCGTTTTAATCACATAATGACCTTGCTATCACTAACTAAAATCAACCACAAACCAAACTCTGTCCATCTTGCTATTTCAGGGTTTTGCTCAACAGGCAATCTGAGTTGTGAAACACTGTGGGAGTAGGTGTTTTTGAGAGTGTGGTATTTTCCCTTACATCACCGGCATCATTAACTGTGGGGGTAAATGAACTCCTCATGTTCCAGCAACACGTTAAATTATAATACACAACCAACACACACATATTCTGCCTCTATATAAAGTCAGTGAACACGCACACTATAATCATGCAATTCATGTTTTCATTCACACAAACGGGTGTATGAAGTGTGAAAACAACACTTTTAACATGTAACCTCTATTTGTCAAACGAATACAGGGGATTGACTTAATCACCGTTTTAGTCAGTGAATAATCATCTCCACTTTATTGCTTTAGGAAGTCGTGTCCAGGCAGAGACAACACCCCTAATTCTTACAGATTCTGGGCATTCAAAAATAGTTCAATCTATTTTTTGACAGTTAAAACAAAATATCTTACAATTACCTCGCTTTGTTTAGGGCTAAAATGAACAAAGGAAGAAACAAGAAGTCAAACAAATGAGCAAAAGGTACTAAGTTCACTCAGCAGCCCATCTAAAGTTAACTATCATGTTTGAGGATAACCCTAATCTGGTGAAACTTTTTAATGGTCATGTTGTACATCAAGTGTATGACCTCTAGAGAAGTTTCAAATTGTCAAATTAACACGTTTTTGAATGGACAAAAGAAAGACAGCAAATTGTATAATCCATTGGCTGAAGAGGTGCCAGAGGCTTCTAGACTTTCTGACTTGGCGAGTCTTGTTGTTACTCCTCTTTTAGCTGTGTCATACGAAACTAAGCTAAGTCAAGCAAATAGTCTCCTGGCTGAACAGATATGGGAAAGGTATTACTTGTTCATGACTCTGAAGTTCTAGCTTACTGTTATTTCAACTGCTTTCATTCAATTGAGTAACTTAGCATACAGGAAATAAAGCAACAAAAACCCCAGATAGATAAATTATCTAAATAAAAGCGTGATACATTAAAGTACAGATTTGAGGATGCTGTTTCTGTTGACAGCAAACCCTCCAGTGTAAAAGTCATTCTGCCGTGAAACCAAGCCGGCTCGTCTCGTCTTTGAGGTGGCCCATTGAGCATACTGCTCCTCAGCTTTCTTCTTCCTCTTCTCGTCCTTCCTCTCATGATGGTCCTGGTATCTGTCCATCCAGTACCCAACCTTTAAGATGTTAGGCACCCACTGCTTGGACTCCTTTTTGGGTTTGGGTGAGGATTTAAAATGATAAAAACCTTTGGATTTTGGGGCCTCCTTTGCCACAAAGAGTAGGTAGGTGGAGCTGTTTGGATCAGGCATCTTGTATCCAGGCTTACTTGGGGCTTTGAGGTCTCCTACCCAGTTATCGATCAGGACTTTCTTCATACTCTTAGTTCTTACGGCCATCAGCTCATTAGCCTTTCTCTGATCCTCATCTTTTAGTTTCGCCTCCTGCAACCTTCTCTCCTTCATCTCTCTTCTTACTCTTTCATCCTCTTTCTCTCTTTCCTCTCTTTCCCTCCTCAGCTTTTCCATGGCTTTCTGGTTTGCAAACATTGTCGCTGCTCTCTCTTGGTTGGTATAATCTGCTAAACTGCTCTTGTGATGGTTTGTGTCGAAAACTTTCCTCTTGTCTCTCTGCGATGCGCTCTCTTCGACAGGTTAGTGATCAATGATCCTCAGTCTGAAGATCTGCAATCTAATAAAACTCCATTCAAACATCAACGATACCCAGCATTGTCACGGTGACCAGTGTTGTTTGGAACCATGTTTGTTTTTGAACGTTGACCCTGCATTTAACCAGGATCACAGCTTATTGGCAGCATATGACCAGCAATCGGGGGCCATGCATACAAAAACAACTGAATGTACATGTCCGCCAAACATTGAGAAACATGGAAGAACATGCAAATGTTGGTAATGAAGTGTATGACACATTTTTTGGCCACAAACCCTTCTTAGCTTCAATTTAATCTCTCAGAGTCTGGTCACCTTAAAAAGTTAAGATTATGAGGTAATGTGTTGCTCCACTCTTGTCTTGCCTTTGCTCAATTTTCAAGTTTTCCATAAATTGCATAAATCTGATATTGTGACAGCCCTATTACTAAGTACTGTTAAAGTATTGTTCAAATTAAAACATCCATGCTGCTACTTAAACATGTAACAGGGTCAGTGAGTCCAAAGACAGACATTACCATTTGGGGAAAGTGGAGGTCAGAGTGAGTGAGCAATGGGAACATGCAGAGCTCTGGGAATGTTAAACAACCCCATATGTGCACCTCCGAGTCTAGGCCTACTGTAAAAATTCTTACATATGTGAGAGCAGAACTAGATAGGCAAGAAACTATGATTTAGCAACCCTACAGCTTGCTGCCAACATGCAAACCCGACCACAGACACGCACACTCACATCCACATATACTTACGGATCTAAATATGCTGTGTTTGAGCTGTATTAAATAACTCTATAAAAGTGCTGCGACTGACAAGAGCTTCAATTTCCAGCTTTGTTGGCTACATCGTCATTACTCAGCGGTTGTTTTGTAACGGGGCATGTCTGTAGCACTCCTCACATGAGAGGTTGTGTGGATCCTCTCCAAAACATGACACACATACACATTGACACACACACATAAAGCCAGACACTTTACATATCCAAACAGAAATCACAAAGACATTGACCCGAACATGTTGGTGTGTGATTCGATCTGGCAACTTAAAGCAAGCGATCGGTTACTGGCAGGTTCAGCTAGCAGATTGCAGGTTTCTCTACAGATATGCTTTCCTCGCTCATGTGGTAGTAGCAAAAGTCTGGTTTCTTTCTTTTCCTCTTTTCTTAAAGCTTATTTTTAAGACTATGTCATTAGACAGTCAACAGAGGGGAAGACACAGGGCAGATGGAGGAGGCAGAGGAGTTGAAGGTCACGAACTTGGCCGAGCAGAGCAAGATCAATGATGCCTGCTTAGTCTTCACAAAACCATGTTAAAACAAGGCACTTATTAAAGATACACCTCCGTTTTAGTTTGAACTACTCAGTACAGAACTTCTTGATAAAGTGAGCTACTTAGCGACTCCTCGGCCCAATCCCAAACCGCCCCCTACACACTCGCCCTATACACTCTCCCTCCGTTTGCACGTCCCCGCGAAGGCTCCGCCATATTGAAGGCCGTCCCAAACCACAGAGCGTGGAGGACCAGTGGACCGTTCAGCCCTTCAATAGCGAGTCTGCATCGATGCACACTCATGATGGGATTTGCAGGTAGTGCGACGGCAAAAATGGAGGAGGATGAAACAACATACAAATATAAGTCCTGTATGTGTCCACCTTTGTCTTACTGACAAAAAAAAACATCACAAAGACGTGACTCGGAAAGATCAAACGAAGTCTTCCTCTGTGCTGAGGTTTGATTTGATTGTGCAGGCACAAATAGTAAAGAGGTTCAAAGACGTGTGGAATCATTTACAATCAGAAGTATAATTTAGGTCCTGTCACTGTGATGGTTGCTGGATTTACGATTTTACTGGGAGGATGAAGAAACAAGGCAGCCGTGATGTCCGTTAACTAAGAAATTAAACGCTGCCTTGCTCAGGACGCGTCTTTGTGTTGCTATGGGGATTAATCTTTTTGTTTTCTGATGGAGTGAGGAGAGCGTCCCATACCTGCCTGTCTTGTTTATACCCACAGCTGCAAGTGTAACTTCATCACGACTGACACCTGGTAGTGAAGGGCGAGTGTGTAGTGGGATTGGGCTCTCATCAGTATTTTGGCTCAAAGATCAGCACACTTTACTAGAAAACAATGGAGAGGAGTAAAATATGACACCGAAACCTGCTTGACCTTCGTGAACTTTAACTACAAAAGAGTTTAAACATCCAGGATATGACTGTCTTCTGCGTCCTTTCTCACAACAGGATGAACTGATGGAAACTCCCCGTAGTATGACTTGCAGTTTGCTCAGTTTCCTGTTAGACAAAATGGTTTAAAAGAGACACTAAAAGTTTCGGTGTGTTATGTGTACAATTTTAGATGTTAAGTGTTATTAGAAGAGCATGTCTGTACTAAAATATTCCACATTTTTTGTCCAGCCAGGTTCCCCTGTAATTATCTGATGTTCCACCGGTGTAGGGAACTATGAACCAGCTTGGACCAGGATCTGCGGTTGCTGCAGTGGGAATTTCTTTGGCACAGGCACTGAGCAGGAAGGCTGGCCGGCACGGGGATGGACGACCGTCTGGAGTTTTTCCCAGCCACTCTGGTTGAGCGGATGGATGGACAGATGATAGGATTGCTGGCCTAATTAAAGCTTGGCATTGTCGTTGACTTGCACATATGTTCAAAAAGAGTTTTATCTGATGGTAAGTTACACGGATAATCCCTACATTTAAGTTTATTATCAACTCAGAGCTGCGACATACACACCTGGATCCCCTGTCATCGGGTCTAATGCTCTCTCTTCGTCGCCTGTTTGTATCCCTTTTAAAATCTTTCCCTCTCTCCTTCTTCTCTGCACATGGAAGCAGGCACCCTACAGTAAATGTTGGGTGGAGAAGACTTGATAATGGGGGTTAAATTTGGCGCAGGGTAAATCCGCAGCTCCAGACACAACCCCTAATTAAGGCACTTTGTCTGTGTGTGCGTCAGCTGTTAACATGAGCACCAAATATGACAAAATGTGACGTTCTGCAGGTTAAATCAAAACTAAACTCACCTATGAGTGTTTTTTTGTCACTTTTTAACACACAAATACTATAATTTCCGTTTTTTTAAAAGGCGAGACATGTTATATAACACACAGGGAGGTTTTTAAATGCATTTGGTAACAGGCCAGGACCTGCTTGTCAAAAACCTAGTCGAGCAAGTGTTACACAAACACACACACACAAAATCTCTAGAGTGCATGGTTATCTTTATGATGTAATGTATAATTTATCTAATTTTAGAAGACCGTAATTAACTATTATTAATCCCAAATTAATCAATCAAAATGTTTTTTCTCACTGTAACATTTTCTTGGTATCACGTAAGTCACAGAGGTGCACTGCTCTGGCCTGACAACAACTAATAAGTAAAGTCTTCAGAAACAAACGTCACATTTTTGATCATGAAAGTCATTTACATACAAGTGTTCCCTTGCAGTGAGCGTGTGACATTGACATATGAAAGACTTTAGGATCATAGTCACACTCTTCTGCTCCGCTTCAGCTCACTCTTGTGATTTATTTTGGTACAACATCCCAGAAGTAGAGACGCCTCTAGGATAGAGAGATTCTAACATCACCCCACCCTCACCAATCACACACATTTCCAGACACACACTCATGCTTCTGTTCAAACAAGAAGGTGTGAAATTTCCTAACAGATAACTGGAAACTGGAAAGTGGGGTATCAAATATTTTATTAAATTTTAACTGGTACATCAAAGTCTTCATATGACTGATAAATAAATGTAGTAAATCCTGTAAAATCCTTACTCTACATGCCTGCGCTGTGATTATTTTAAGGATGAGTGAGTGAAACAGTGATAAGGCCTTCTTCTGGTGGAATTGTGTGCGCAGGTATGTGCGTATGATTGTGTATGAGAGAAAGCCTCTTTTCGAGAAAAACATTCAGGAATTTGGACTCAGACAATAGAAGCCAACAGCCAAAAATGACAGTCTCATCTTAGCTCTTGTGTAAGTGTGTGTTTGTAGGGTGTCTGCCCTGGCTGCACCGTGCACAGGACTCCTTACACAGCAGTACATCCTGCCAAAACCACAGTGGACCAGAGTGGTGTGATGTGTGACGTTGGTGAGACACAAAATCTAATCAGTAGGTACTTCAGAAGTATATTTTTAATACTGCATAGAAACACATTATTTATCATTTCAGATACTTTCAATATGATTTTAGTTATCCAAACTGTAATTGTGCTTAAACTGAACAGATCAGTTTACTTTTATGTGTATAAAATGGGAAGTATGTAGTGTTGGGTCATTCACGAACGATTCAATCAAAAGAACCGAATCTTTTAAGTGAATGTACTGAACCGAATCACTTCCTCAAGTGAGTCGTTCATTTCTCACTTCGGTTGAGCTGTCAGCAGTGCAGCACTGTCAGGTGAGCAGTCAATGAACAAGGGACCGCATGCACCGACAACTGAATTACTTGGTAAACGAATCACACATTGAACTACACTCTGAAATCATTTTTGTCAGAAAAAACTAACTTTTTTTTTCACTGCTAAATTGCCATAACAACAACTTATTTACAATAGGACACAGCATGTCTCAAACAGTGCATTAAACCCGCAGCATCCTATCATTGCAGCAGTTTGCGAGGGACCAGTGCATGTTCACTGTGAATTCTTCGAAACATACAGTGAACGAATCACTCACTGAGCCCAATTTCCTGAGCAGACCGGATAAATAGCATACAACAGGACAGTACATTTAGAACATTATGACTTTTGTCAAACCAACACAGACAAACACTCTTGTCTCCAAGTCCCAGAAACTATGAATTGAACTGAACCCTGAACCGTTCAGCTGTCCATCGGTTCAGGAGGTCGGGGTCGCAGGCCTCTCCCACCATGCGTTAAGTGATTCGGGCTGTGTCCAAAATGAATCACTCAATCTCTAACCCCTAACACCTATATGAAGTTTTACTATATAGTTGACTATGTAGTTAACTCAATCACCGGAGGTTTCACACACTACATGGCAAGACACAATGCATGACGGGATGCCCACCACCGCTGAGTGACCATCGAATGGTCACTTCATTTTGCAGTGCTTTATGGGAAATTTTGAGTCGTCTATATGGGGCACTGGAATTGATCACTCAGGTTTCGGACACCCCTCAAAATGCCGCTAACCCCCATATAGTCATCTATATAGGAGTTAGGGATCCATTTTGGACACAGCCTCGGTCATTTGGTGAACGAATCTTTTTAGTGAACTGATTCTGGTGATTCAGTACATCTAAAAGAACTGCTATGCCCATCACTACATAAAAGCAAAGCCAGCACTTCATTAAAAAGACAGGAGGAGGATCATACTACCAGTGAGGTCATCACGTATACCCATGACAATGCGTCAGGCACGCTCTCACTCTTTATACGGCAAACCGCTGTAGTTTCCAGAGTTTGTATGAGTGTATTTAACTCACCTAATATCAAATATCCAGAGAAGATGCCCTGGGTACAACCAGAAATTACCACAAACCATTCTTAAATGCCATCGTAAACATTATAAACATCCCAGCAAAAGCCCAAACAAAAGGATAACTGAAGCAAACAATGAAATAAGTCCGTTTATTCTTCTAAACCACACAGGGGACCCAATTCCCCCCGAAACATATAGGCTCCTATACGGGCCATATGATTCCCTGTACACACTGACAAAGACTGATTTCATTTCACCGCCGTGCGTAAAAGTGGTCACGACGGTCGGACAGGCTTTGCGGCGAGAAAACCCCCACACACGAGCCGGTGGACTGACGAGACTCAACTACCGGCTTACTAGTTTTGAAAAAAAAAAAGTAGTCAGACTTACCGGTTTGGTGAAGAAAAGTGTCTCGAAATCAGTGTCCAGAGAAGAGCATCATCAGCTGTAGAAGACAGAGATATAAGGTGTGATTAACCAACGTCTGAGAGAGCGACAGACAACCACAAAGCCGGTATACGCGAGGTCCCCCTTTCTCTCTGGCTCCTTTGTATGTGTGTGTGTGAGTGTGAAAAAAAGAGACATAAACACTGAGCTGGCTCACTGAGCTCACCCTGCGTCATCACTGCAAACTGAAACTCCTGTCAGCGTGCACGAGCGTGCGTGTGCGTGGGTAAACCCCCTCTGTCGGTCGCTTTCTCGGCAGTCTGTTGCTCACAGACTTGGCTGTTGCGAGAGGTCTCCTTCCGTCTACTTCCTGTGAAGTTGTGAACACTGAATTACAATTTAGAAAGTAGGTTTTAAAATATTATGCTGGGAAAACAAAGTGATTAAATGTGGACAAAACTCAGGTTCAAAGTTAGTTTAGTGACAAAGTTCTTGATGCTCATGAGATATTTAAATAAAGTTTAAATAAATGAAGTCAACTCAGTTAAAATTGGATTTTTAAAGTGATTTAAAAATGTTATTAAATGTTGTCATTTCTAAAACTAACGGCTTGTTTAGTGCCCTGCTGTTATTGTATTCTATACATTAAGCTTTTGCCTTTTACAACATAGGGGAGAGTGGGGTAAGTTGAGCCACCCCCTATTTCTTGGAAATGGTCAAAGAAATTGATAATGTGACCAAATATTTAGGAGATGGACATCAATTCATGGAATCTGTGAAGGTTAGAAGCACATGGGTGAAGGGGTTAGACATTTATTTCCAAAAAAAAATTTTTCACTCTTGAAAGTGAATTTAGTCTGTCATAAGTTTTATTAGAATTGTGTTCAGACCAAAAAAGAACATTTTACATTTGTTTTATTTATCAATTGTGGTATCTATGAGCTACAACATGAGGTCAAAAACCTAGCATAAAAGTCCACCATTTTAGCTTAGAGAACTAACAAAGTAATTATAGTAGTTCAGGGGTAAGATGAGCCATTTGGCCTACTGAGAAAGTAAAGGAGTCTGATGAGAGGATCAGAGTTTCAGTTCAGGTTGTTGAAATGTGTTACTTCTTCTTTTCAAAAATACAGCTATGAATGTTCTGAATCACTTAAGTCAGTGGTTCTCAAGTCCAGTCCTCGAGGCCCACTGTCCTGCATGTTTTGGATGTTTCCCTGCTCCAACACACCTGATTCAAATGATCAGCTCGTTATTAATCCATTACAGAGCTTGATAACGAGCTGATCATTTGAATCAGGTGTGTTAGTGCAGGGAAACATCCAAAACATGCAGGACAGTGGGCCTCCAGGACTGGACTTGAGAACCACTGACTTAAAGACATTCTCATGTTAAAATGACTTTTTACAAAACAACTTTTTAGCAGTTATATGCAATAATGATAAAAAGAATTATTGTACCAGTTGAATAGCGTATAATAGATAAAAAATACACATGAATGTGAAGAAGTGACTGTTATTTAGGGAGAGAGAAGGTGAGGGAGGGTTGGGGTGGACAGTGGGGGGTTAGTACGGATACGGCCTCAACTTACCCCATACACAGGGTCAGTTTTTTTGGCATGCTACATCATCAAGACAGTTATGTTTACACTCATTCTGTTGGTTTACAAGGATGCACAACATCTTGAAATATATGCAGATACACTAGTGAGAGACAAAAGTAGAATTTTCTTGATGTAGTGATCCGAAAGATGAAAAATGGCTCATCTTACCCCACTCTTCCCTATAGTCTGACTTGTTCCTGCTGGAAAAGCACAGGTGTTGCTAATAACATTAACATGGTTCTATTCCTGGGCCTGGTAAAGCCAGACAGCGAGACTAAAGCAGCTAAATGGAATTCAGCCATCATTAGTTTATGATATTCACCTGTTCTTTTCCAATAGCAACATGTAATACAATATGACGTGAAATATTCCAATGAATTTACCAGAAATAATCAGACTTCCTATTATGTTTTTTCACCCTGATGCCCAATGAGACAAAGAACAAAGTCATAGAAATAAAGTTGGAGGTCCTATAATGTGTGTACTTTACAAACCATGTTGTGTTTTAATGCTTTATGTAGGTGGCTGGAGTCAATAATGACAATTGTAACACACAAACTACACTACAAATCTAATTTCAGTGAATGGAGGAAATTTCTTCAGGCCTAGGCTCTTCCGCTGGGCTGAAGTGAGTCAGAGTGAGTCAATGACTGACAATATCAGTCAGTCATTCATGACAGTCACAGCTGAGTCTCTGTGCTGCTCCTTTCATTCGTCGCACACAGCTTCACTGTTTGATGCATCCTTTGAATACTCTGTGTGTGCAGGGAGCCAAAACTCGTGTATTTCTATGTGTGTATGTGTGGCCATTAGGGAGGAAGGGGCAACATTTGCTTTTAAGTATTCTGAATAGTGTGCATTCATACAGTGTACAGCTATCATATCACAATACTGTTCTTTGTGGGTCAGTGGGTTAAAGTTGAATGAATAATGGAGCAAGGATGAGGCATTCTTGTGTAATCTACAATGGGGACCCTGTTCCTGTTGATGGGACTACTACGAAGAACATGAGACAAGAGGTGCACCTGAAGATATGAGTAGATTCTTATCATATTCTTATATAATGTCCTCTACCGACACAGAAGTCTACATACTGTATGTCGCCTAATTTAAACCTCCTCAAAAATGTAACGATGCAGATTACAAGCCCGATGATTGGTGTGCGAGGTAGTATTGTTCTCTGCATGTACACTGGCTATACAATGTCTCCTCTGTCATCTGTATTTTCTTCTTTGCAAAAACTGCAGGATGATCAACTGCCATTCAACATTTATCAACTCAAACACCATATACTTTGAGTCAGTCATCTTGTTTTCTTGCAAAAACAGCCATGAAATGTAGTGCTCAGGACAGCAAAGACCACATAGAAGTACAAACCAAGCTTTATTTAGGTTTAAAAGGGAGTTTGACCAGTTGGGTTTGAATAGAAAAACACCTGATTGCATCACCTCAATCACAAGCCTGACCTCTTACACGTGACTTTGGCCTTTCCAGCCACTCAAAGCCTCCCACGACTGACATTTTTTGACCAGAGGATTATACAGATGTTTCATTTAGACCTCTGTGAATTGTTGTAAATAGTTAAAAGGGGGTTTGTTATGTCCCCTTTAAAGCTCCCCTGAGGAACTTTGTCTTTCTCAACTGTGGAAACCCCCCTGTGGAAAAAGCGGTGACCTTATAACTTTGCAAATAAGAATAAGAACAATAAGAATAAGAATAACTTTATTGGTCCTCGAAGGGAAATTCAATCGTCTGACGTCTCATTTGTCATGTCTAAAAAGTCACCTACTATTTATAAAAGAGTGTGAAATTCTGATGGCTGTGGGTACAAAAGATTGGAAAATTTCATCACACCCATGATCTTAGCGTGACAGTGATCTTAAAAGTGATCAAAATTTACTCCTGTTGTTTTTTGACAATTTTGACGCGAATATCTGCTATAGGAAAAGTAACCAAAGCTGCTTAGAAGCATTAAAAATGGTATTAAAGAAACTGTTAAACTTGTCATTAATCGTCTCATTTGCTTTTGCACATCATAGAGAGGTATCATTGTTTATTTCAGTCTGTCGCAGAATCTATCCAAAAACTTGAAAGTTACAAGACAACTCCAACAAGGATATTTTTGGGCAATGAGAAGCCAGACTCAAACTGTGCCCAGCCTAAGGGCCTTTCCTATTTTTCCAAATTAAGGGTCATTAAAGGACATTTAGTGCACCGTGTTTTCAGCCTGGGGTTGAACCAAAAAGCCCTTTTGCTTTGAGAAGCCCTAAAAGAAGTATGCACATTATTCCTCATAAACTCACAGATCATTTTTCTGTCATTTATAACCATTCAATCCTTTTTATGCGAAGTCATTGTGACATTGTTAAGAATAAAACACTCGCCTTTAATAACCCAGAGTGACATCAAGTTCAGGAACATGGCGACATCGTGTCATTTCCTTCCTATTAAATATCTGCTTTTAACACATGCTAATGTAAACTGTTTCTTTGCTTCCTTCCTCAACTTCCCACTCATCATCTGGTGTTTGCTGTGTTCCTTGGAAAAGCGTGTAATCAGCTGGAGCCTGGTGTCATCTTGAGCAGTATCATTTCATGGTTTCATGGCAAATACTTGAGTTTTATGAGACTCAAAAACTGAGACAAAAACTGACACCAGTGATCTGATTTAATTACAAAGAAGAACCCACAGTGACAGAAAAACAGCTACATACAGGAAGTTATTCTGATAGACTGTAACCTTGACAACTGAAAGATGTCAACCAGAGGCAGAGATAAACACAGTCATGATGTCCCGGTGGTCGGAGGAAAACTGCCACATTTTGTTTTCCTTCATGTAGAAGTCTGTGACATGGCAGGCATATGATTTGGAGCTAACACGGCTAGCAGACAAAGACATCAACGCCGAAGCTTTATCTGTCTGTCACTGAAATTACAACAGACGCCATATCGGTTTTTAAGACCTAGGACAGTTATAATTTAAACGTCACTGACAGCACATGCCAGAAAAGAAAAGGAGAAAATAGTACAAAAAAAAACAAAAAACTTACACAAATATATAAAAATATGCCATTAGATTCATATCAACAATTGAGGACCATGGGTGCACTATTTACAGAAAAAGGCAATATACTAATATTTACAACAATAAAGACTTCTTTCACATACGGACATGAGGGGGTTACTTACAAGTTGCTGAAGGTTACAGTGATAATAGGATGCTGTGATGGTGAAAAATTATAGGTAAATATTCTGTTTTTAACACAAAAAATACTTCTTTCTCTCGAGACTGGAAAAAAATAGCTTTAAGTCACATCTATGATCCATTTGTGTGTGCATGCTATACTGCTATCAATACACTGGGTTAGAAACTATCACGCACACACTGAAATATGATCCCCCATGGACACATCTCCTTTGAGGACAAGTTATTATTCAGGTTTTGAAGTAAAATGTCAATCTAAATTGAGAATCATTCAGTCAAACCTTGATGGAAAACATGATTGGAGCTGTGAAACAAAATAGCTGGAATGGACATGGACATGAATGCTGAGAAATTCTGATTTATCAAACACCTAGAGATGGATATTACACCCAAAGTAGGTGAACTGGGGCCATACACCCCTCCTACCTGTCTACCACTGCAACATTTTCACACCTTTCAGGTTGAAGTTAAAGAAATTCTGCTCAAAAAATTACAGGTAGGCTACCAGCAAAGATTGCACAGCGGTGGTATGTAGGATTAGGAGACTGTGGTCATTTAACATATATTTGTGAGCTGAGGGTGAATTTTTACTGTTCACGGATGCTGACTCCATACTGCAGAGAACAATCCTGTCGCTTTAGTTAGCATTTTTATACAGCATTTTTGTTGGAGGGTTTCACGGCAACTTTAGCACTGAGACAACATTTGTTTCAAACAGACTGTAAAACACTTGATTAGCTACATAACAGAGAAAAGAACTAGCATTTTATTGTTCAGTCTCTGCGGTGAGGCAAAAAGAGTGTCTGATTTCCAAGTATGGTTGGAAGCCGGTTAGCTTAGCTTAGCATCGACACTATAAACAAGAGTAAACAGGTTACAGTCCTTAAAAAGACAGAAAAAGTAACCAATCAGATTCAATTTTATGTTTGGACAACAATTAAGCTAAGCTAAGCTAAGCTAATGGGCTTCTGACTGGATTTTTGTTTATATCACAGTGGTGTTCATCTTTTACCAACTCTTTACTCAAACTTAAAACACCATGCTTCTTTAAATGTCGAACCAGCTCGGCTATCACAACAACCAGCAAATCCTCTTAAGTGTTTGCAGCGACGACTATGGGAGAGTTAACCTACTGTTGATGCATTTGTGAAGTGGGGGAAATCTGAGGTGAAGGGTCCAGATGGCAAAGTGCAACGAGGTTTTCTAGGCTTGGAGGGATAAAAGACAATCACTGCTTAACCTGTAAAGCCTCAGGCTAACGTGTGCACAAGGACAAACCAGAGCCACCCTTTTACTTCACTAGACATCTGCTGCAGGACGAGCCAGAGCTGACTTTTGACTGCGAGTATGTGAGTGTGCGTGTGTGTTTAATTGGCTTAACTTTGAGCCCTCTGAAGGCACGTGTAGGTGCTCACCATTTGTCCTTCTGACCTACTCTGTATCTTGTGCACTCTCCTCTTGCACTTACAACCTACTTGCATACGGCTCTTAAATCAGTGTTTGTGCAGTCATAGTAGAAGAGAAGAATTGGGGCTTTATTTTCATGTGAAATAATTGCAGAAATGTGCAAAAACTATTAAACAAATGTGAACATTTCGGTCTGTGATCGTGACTGTGTTTTGTCCTTTGAAAATAAGTATCATATTAGGTGCTGAGACAGCATGGGAGGAATTTGAATTGATTGGACAACTTATCAGTTTGCTGTCTTGATTATTTTGTGGCTGCAAATAGTTCATAGATAAATAATGACAAAATTATCCCCAGCCCTTTTTCATTCAGGGCCTGTTTCTTACATTTATTTATCTCGAAATTATGACCGGATACAACAGCTAAACTCCTGCCCCCGTTGTCTGCTTGCCTAAACCAAACATGCCAGACATTGTTCTTCAACCCGACAACAAAAAAGTGAAAGCTACATCTTCTATAAATTAAGTGCTGCAAAAGAAAGCGCTAAAAATCAAAAACCATAAATACTGTACAAAACTATTGGCATCTGCTGCCACACTGCCTGGACTCATTTTTAAAGAGTCTGAAGTCCTCTCCTGATTTTAACTTCAAAAAAACTTATTCATGGCAAATGCAACTTTTTTTTTTAGATTTCTTAAAGTTACAAATTAAACACAAACAAGGCTTTGGCATAGTCACGTTAAGGAGGAATGTCTCCAATGCACTTTTTTCTACTCAGCTCTAAAGCTGGGCATCTTCTGTGGTGATGTCTTATAACGGCAGCAAAGATGAAAAGAAATGAAAAACAGCATGATTATCAGTGTAGAAAAACACATCTATGTTTTCAGGTTCAGTGAGTGAAGGCTGGGTATTAAAGTGTGTGCATGTGTTATACCCCTAACAATATATTGCACTTAAATGATACTCTTATTGACTCTTCTTCTTCTTCTTCAAAGGTGAGGATGACTAAGCGATCTCACTTGGATGAAATATTATCAAACCCAGAATTACTTGATCTTGGCTCTGCCAGCAGGGGCTTTTGTCAAAACCCAGCCAATCCGGTTTCTCAATCATCTTTGTTTCATTTCGTAGAAGTTCATGTCATTGCTCACGACATTAACCTCTGATAATCAAGAGGTTTATTATTTGTAGTTCAAAGATGACATGATGGTGGAATAGAGGGGTTGATGTCCAAGTCCAGCTCCTGTGCATTGACATTCTGCAGAGTCAAATCCTCTTCTCTGTTCTTCCTGCATGTCTTTATTTTCAACACACGTGCATCAGTCCAAGTTTTTCCCTCACATTCATCTTCTCCTGTCTCCTTCACGTGAGACTTGAGTATTAAAGACACTTCTCTGGACAGCACAGACATGCACAGATACCATTCAGCAAGGAAAAATGCACATCACCTTGAACAAAATACAATAAAACTGAGTCTGAATAAGTCACAGAGGGAGCTGACAGCAATAATTTGCACATAGAGACTGCTGGACTGAGCGAGAGACCAAAAGAACAACACCGAAAAGTGAGGCGACTGACTGGAGTAGGAGGAGGAGGAACTTGTGCATTGTTCCACGCAAGAGGGAGAGTGAGCGGGTTAAAAGTGCGAAACTTGATGTCTCAGACCCTCCAGAGTAAAAGATGGTTGGTACTGTCATCCCGTCCCACTGTTTCACTGCTATTGGTCAGTCTGAAGTCTTCATAGCCATCACCACCAGAAATTACTAGGTGATTGGTTTTAGGAGAGATGTGTGCAGAAGTCCGGCGGCGAGGGGAGTCACGTCTCTGGAGGTTCCCATCAACTGTGCCGCCGCTCTGTGATTGGTTCCCTGGGACAGAGACGAAGGGACAAAAGTTTAATGGTAAAAATGATCTTCTCAAACTTTTGACGAGTAAGAGTTAGACATTAAAAACACAGTAACCACCTGTGGAGTCAGTAGCTGTAGGAGGGAAGTTCATGTCAAACCCTTCCGGTAGTTCAATCGATGTCAGGAATCTCACATGACCCGTGTGACCGTGGGCCGAACCCATTGGCGCCAGGGGAGTCTTGAGCGTCCCAGCCCCAGTTCCTGAGCTCACTGCTGGGATTGCCAGTGTGAGTACCACCCCTGCAGAAGAACATCAGCTTAATTCATGCATCCAACAGATTATGAAACAGTCATAAAAAGTCTTGACATTTTCTGTAGAATAAAGTCAGTGTGCACAGTTTTCCGGTCCTTATGTAATTGAAAGCCAGAGAAAGATGATTGCTATTTATTTTCCAATCTTTTCCAATCAAAGTGACCAAAAGAATTTAGAGAAATAAGTAAGAAAATCTTTGTTTATGCCACAGAGCTGATCTATTTTTCATGATCTCTAACAGTTTCCTGGCACGTTTTGCTGTATTATGTAAATAAACATTTCATTTTAATGTCTGGTACAGTTATGGAAAGAAACAAAATGCTCTCCAGTTTAATGAAAACATAATTTGCATTTAAGGTTACTTAGATTTAATGTGTTTTACCTGCACTGGTGCCAATCCAGAGCAGATCCTTACAGGCCAGCAGTGCTGTAATTCTCAGACAAGCAGCCTTGTGCTGCCTGATAATCGCATCCGCACCTGAAAAGAGCAAGAGAAAAAGAAGACAAGATGGAGGTCAGGTCAGGAGGGAGAAGTGGTTAGGATGACAACAGAATACAAATGAGGGAAAGAGGGAGGTTAGCATTAACATAAAGAAAGCATGAGTAAAAGGAAAACTTCTATTGCAGTAAATTTCTGTCTGGAATAAAATTGAACATTTCATCATTATGTTACTTTACCAAATATGTGCCCATATTTACAGCATGTGTTTACCTGCAAGCATCTTGTGCACAGCAGGCGCCACGTCCACCTCTGTTAAACTCTCCAGAGTCTGAGCATGGTACAGTTTGACCTGTGCACTGCCCTGCAACGCCAACCACACACCCTGACCGTACGCCACCAAGCAGGTCACGCAGCGACTGCTGTCAGTGCCCACCTGGAACCAGTGCTGAAAAGAGAGGGATGAGAGGAGAGTTGTGTTCAACACAGACTGGTCTCTATCGCTTAATTTTTGCACCTGCTCACCGTCTGTCCATGTGTGCCTACCTCTTGTACCAATGTCGTGGTGTTGATAATAAGGACTCTGTTCTGTGAGCCACACCACAGTTTTCCTCCCACTGGAACCATTTTGGTGACAGGGCTACTGGGCGTGCCCAAAACTAACGTCTGGGAGGACTGAGGGTCCCAGAAACTACCTACAGAATGAGATGACGAGGATGTACTTAGTATCAAGAAAACACACATGAATAGGTTTTGATTGGTCTTTGTATTTGATGATCACAGCTGACCTACAGTGCAAATTAACACCTTTAAAACCACATTGTAAATTCAGTGATAATGGGACAATCCTTCCTTAGAGATCCTCCCCCTACTTTGTTTCACATAAAGCTTACCTGCTTCCCTTTGATAGACAATCACCTCTCCATTGGCCAAAGACACAAACACTTTGTTGTCCAGGTATCTGCAAAAGACCAAAAACATCCTGTCATTTTTTTCTGTCTTTACAGCATCAAGTCTAGTATCATAATTTTTGAAGGCAAAGCTGTGATTATAAAATCAACTCACAGTATACAGAGGATGGAGGCGGAGTGCTGCATCTTCATGCTGTTTTTACGGTTTCGGATGTTGTCTGAGGACTGGTACACATGGATGCTAATGCAAACAGAAGCATTTCAAGAAGTAAGTGAACAAAAAGTACAACAAGAAGCTTTTAAACTCAAAACACAAACCAAATCTGAATCTATTCCAGAAAGTCTGTGTGCAAAACTTACCATCCGTCCTCTGTGCCCAGCCACACCGAGCTCTGGTAGGCCTCAGGGTCAATACTGAGCAGGTCCTCCAGACTCGCCCTCGTGAACGAACCCCTAGAGGAGCGGCGCATGGCACGGCCATCCATGGGGCTCTCTGAATGGGGGCGACCTCCTCCAACGCCCAACATCCCTGAAGTACCGTAAGAGCTTGCCACAGGGAACTCCTGCTCCTCCTCACTGCTGGTGGTCTCTGTAGCCATATCTTTTGAGCTTGGACCCTCGTCATCTTGGAGTTCAGAGAAACATGAGCGTAAGTATGAAGAGTTTGAAAAAGTGCCTATGAAACTTGAGTATCTATTCTTATTACTTACTGCCATAGCTGGATGAGATAGTGGAGTGACTAGCCTGACTCTGCAGAGTAGAGGAAGGGCTGGGGGAGTCCTCATCGTCAGTGTCATCACTGTCAAAGGGAACAAGCTCCGCTCCTGGTACTGTAAGCAAGCATTTTATCAGTCACAGACATATAACTGCAATAACCCTGTAAGTTTCAAAGTAGCTCCTCTGGTATCTTCTAGCTCCTCTACTATCTCTCAAAACCTGTGTTGACTAACCTGTAGGTTGCTCCGTTAGCTCCAGAGAGGAATGAGAGATTGATATGTGAAGCTGCTGCTGAGGAGTGTGACCAGGTGCCACAGTGCTGGGGATGAGGGTGGGCTCTGATCCACGCTCCCTGAGACATGCAGAAGGATAAAGGCAGATTCATTTAGAAGAAATTTAGAGAAACACACTTGGGTTTTTGTTTGGTGCAACACAAATTAAACTTTACTGCGTCAACTTAGAAACAGGTGTTTGGTGTTTTAGCTCCACATGCTGTAATCTTCTGTTTATTGCTTCATTTAATCAGATTTGCTTCATTAGTCTCGCTCTGTTGACGGTTTCTGGTTTGAGTTTAAGTGAAATCTACCGGGAACAAAATACAGCTCTGGATTAAAGTGAAACTTCTGTAGATATTTAAAAACTGGATGATTGACTTTCCAACCACTGCATTTATTTTACCAAACTGTAATTCTTTAATTCTCTGTGATACCATTGGAGAAAGATTATAGGCCTGTTTCACATTCCTGTGTTTACTTTTTATGATAATCCTCCCCTTGTTCAAAGAAGGTAACGGCCTTACACTTGGCTAACCGCAGTACTGTTTCTTTATTTGTGCTTTTTATCTCTCTTAATTTGCTTTTGTGATGCACTTGATAACCCTGTAAGTGTGCTTCACCTCTCTGCGATCTCTTGACTCCAATAAAGGACAATTGATTTATTCATTGATTCCATTACTATGTGCATTTGCAATCTAACTGAAGGTGCATTTAATGACCTAAATAGAAATTGGCTTACCCAGTCACTTGATGTCAGAAAAGCATCACTGGAAGAATCTTCCTTCTGTCATGAGTAATTGTCTTTATGGTCGACTGCTTTTTCTTCTAAACTTGTAATGTGGAGTCGTAAACTACTTTGGTATTAAAACAGCATCAGTTCGGCATGATCAGTATGTAGCTGATGTATGAGTTTAATGCTTCACAGACAGCTCAAACTAAGTTCCCACTAAGCAATAGACGGCTATTAGACATCTAGGTTTTTTTTTACCTAATTTAAACTGTCTAGATTCTGTATATTTGTAGACTGAATTTAGACGTTGCACTTTAACCCATTATTCCATAACTATTAAAGCAGCTGTGAGTTGCATAACTGATCTCCAAGTACTTAACCAAAATAATTATGATAGCCGTTGAGCAATATACAGTGTAGTATAGATATAGCTCAGATTTAGACTTGGTTGAAAGTTAGACGTCTGGAAAACTTTCATTTTTGGACCTGTGGTAGCCTGATTTTAGACCTGTCGTCTAGGCTACATTTAGACATCTATTAGACCTCTTTTAGACCAAAGAATGCTCAGTGGGTTGTCCTTTATGTGTGAATACAAATGTGTTTGTGTCGTGTTGTGTGTGTGAACTGACCGTCCTTTGAGTCCTGGCACTGCAGCAATACAGATGATTCTAGCTGAGCAGACAGCAATACAGGCCTCCACTGTGGGCTCATCTTTGATATTGAGGAGACACACCTAAAACATCACAAATATTAGCAACTCATCAGTCAAATTGTTGACTACATTAAGAAATTTAGAGTGGCATACTTAGCTTTCATTTCTGTTATTTTGTCTTACCTGTCCGACATAACCATCACTGTTGCACACCCAGACCTCACAGCCACTGTCAGGGCAGCTGTGGCTTGGAGACGCGCAGGAAAACTAGAGATAAAGATTCATAAAGGAAGAGGAGTGGTGAATATGTCTTGTATGGTTTAAGTGACTGGTGCAGATCATGATTTTTACTTTCAAATATACAGAAACTATACATCTGCTGTCCTCACCTGCATCCCACTACGTGTCTTCATGATAGGGATAGCCTTCAAAAACTCTGGGTCCCACTGGTCCTTGTTCATCGCTACATATAAAGACAACATGACACTTTGATTTTGAGATAAAGCAGCATTGACCTTAATCAATTTATCAGTTTTTTGAGTGCAGATACTGAAATGAAACATCTACATCCACTTCTTTGTGTGTCTAATTTAAGCCCAGTGAAATCTAAACAGATTTTTTCACTGACCTAGCTTCTTCTTGGCTTCTTCAAAAGCCTGCTCAAAGTTGGACCGTGTATCTGGTGAAGTAAACTCAAAGACAAAGCTGCTCTCAACAGAGGCTGTAGTAAACTCCAGTTTTGTGGGCAGGCAGGTCATACTGAAGGCCAGTGACTGTTTCTCTGACAGCTCCCTGTGCACCGATGCCATAAGATCCTTTATCACCTCGTCCAGGGACTTGGGGGAGAAAAAGAAATCACTGTAAGATGTTTGGCCGTCTCATGGAACATAAAAAAAAAGAATAAACACATCACAAAGTACCTGATGTGGGAAGCTGAGGGTCTCAGACAGTTTGCTGATCTGGCCCAGAGTGCTGAGATCCTCATCCAGTCGACTGATCATCTTCTGGATGCTCTCTTTGTTTGTCGCCTGAGTGGAACCTGATGCAGAAATGTTCAATTTACAATATGAATCCCATCGCTGTTGAAACCAGACCTGTTAAAGCCCTGGAGCTGAAATATTTAATTTTCAGATTCAGAAAAACAGACAATAAAACAAAGAATTTCTGTGTCTTACTTTTTACCACCTCCACATCCTCCAGAGGGAGCTTCCATAAGAACTTGTATTTACTGGAAGTGTCAATCACACTTGCAGCAGAGTATCTGAGAGCAAGAGAGGGCGACAGAGAGGGAGACAGAAAACAAAGAGTAATGATGAACAGCAAGTCAATTCTGAAGCCCTGCTTTTGTCAACATTATTTGTTTTTTAACACCAGAGGGCAGAGTGGTCCTATAACTGAAACCTGACGCCTGTGTGTGTCTGACCTTCCCTGTCAGGGTTTTATTTGTGTGTATGTGTTTGTGGATTGCGTACAGGCTCATGGAGCTGCGTCTTAATGAGCCAGACTTCCTCTTGAGAGTGGTACAGATGATCAGATCACTGAAGAGGAAGAGGGAACGGTCTTTTTTCCCACCAACTGTTTTCTGCAGGGTGAAAAGAAGAAGAGGGAAGAAGCTTAGCTCTACACTCTATTAATGAAGCATCCAAATAAAAATTTAAGCTCCACAATCAAAAAATTGCTTTAAAATTACTATAACTAATGCTTATTTTCCTGGGAATCTAGAAATCTTTCAAAGTCACAAACATTTGTCGATATAATAAGTGCCTCTTACCGCCTCCATGACCATTTCCTGTCTCAAAAACTTCCTCTGAGGGTTGAGAATCTAACACAAACACAAACAGAATGAGGTTAACATTGATTCATACCATAAAAGATAACTGTGAACTGTTGCAGCCTTACCCTCCCAAGGTCTAGGAATTAAACTGACAAGCTAACAGAACAAGCAATCTGAAAATCCCAGGATCTAAAAATTACAGCTTTGAAAACTTCCTTTCATTTCATGATTCATTTATGAGGACTGATATGGACTCTCCAGAAAGTAAGCTCCTAAGTTAAACATTAGATAGGCAAACATCATCCATATGTGAAGGATTATGGGACCAGGATTAGAATTCTCCACATACATGTTCAACTCCCTCTATGTGCGCCTCGATCTCCTGGATGACCCTGGCCTCCCTCTCTGCCTCCTCAGCAGAGCGACGGCCCTTATTGATCTTCTCTGCCAGCCGCTTTATGTCCCTCTGTGCATCCAGTAGGTATGAGTGGTCTGGGTGATCCTCTGCGGTGTGCTTTAGCAGGTCCTAATGCAAAAGCGAAAAAATTAACACAGAGAAAACGTTTTATCCCGCTGAATGAGAGTTTTTGGTTAATCACACTGTTATCTTTTATCGAAAGTGCTATAAAATGTTCGGAGATACTTCACCTTGACGAGCAGCTCGTATCGGGGAATCCTCTGAACCGGTTTGATCATTAGATCACCCAGAGCCTGTTTCTCCTTATTCTCCCTCATGTTTTGCTGTTGTAAAGAAAGAAGCAATAAATAAAGACTGTCAGCAAACAAAAAGGAACTGGATCACTCTTAAAACTCCTAAAGCAGGTGGTGCTGCTCTTCATGTCTCTACCACAAAGTGGCAGTGTTGTTGCATACAACAGATTCCCCTTCAGCATGTAACCCTCAATGTAATTCACTAAGGATTGACTGCAGCAGTCTAAGGCACCAAGAACTGCACATCATTCGTCTCTTATTGTTTGCTCTGTCTCAGTTCACAAGGAAGAAATAATTAAACACTCAGTTCTTTCAGTTCTGTCCACATGTAGGTGACGAGCTGAGGGAGCACCACATGCAAGTTTGTCATTGATTCATGACAAATATGACAAAAATTTCCCATTTTAAGTCCAGATCGCATCCTGTTAGTAAAGAGAAGGTCATTCAGATGTATACTATATTAATAAGAATAATAAACCCTAACCTTTTATTGTGCATAACAGCCCGGTATGTGCTGTAGTTGTGCCACAGACTGCCCTAGACTGATCAAACCTCTGATAGTTTAATTAATAGTGATGCCAAAGTAATACTAAAACAAAAAATGCAAAGATGTAATCATTTTAGGTCCCCCAGAGGCAAAGATGTTATCCTGATCACTGAAAAGTTTGGAAGTGAGTAGCACAGTTACCACTAACCCTCGGCACACAGTTAATATTTCACCAGTGTCTATTTTTATGAATAAGGTGCTGTTAAAATTAGTCTGATGTCGAATAAAGTGGCCCCTTTTGACCCAGATTAATGCTTAATGGCTCATTAAAATGTGTGTTATACCCACACTTCATTAGCTCTGTTCCCCAGTTAATGCTGCTTTTAAACCTTTGTGCATGCTTTGTAGTATAGATGATGTATTTGGGCTCATTTGCACATTTTTGTGGATCAAACTCTGAGGCAGGATAAGGAAATAAAATGTCTCTTTGATCGATTTCAAAGCACTGCGCAGAAATGCACATAAAGTAAATTTCTCTCCTTCATAACATGCATGCACTTCACATAGATTGATACTTGATGTTTCAAAACTCAAGTAACTGCAAGGGTAAGCATTTTAAGAGTCTGTTTTTAAAGACACACTAAGGGATAAGCATGCAACAAGACATCAAAATCCACTTAATACTAACACCAGCAAATAGAGACAACAAAACACTTCTCAACTTGAGCATTAGCAGGTCTCAGTATTGGCACAGTGTGGTCAGAGTTTATTTTCCAGGCTCCAAAAGCTGAGTGAAAGTGTTCCTCGACTGGTTCCCGGATTTCCAGACAAACACATAAAAGCAGCCACTTAGACAAACAGGACAAACAGGACGTCCTGTGACTCTGTCCAACACTCACCTCCAGAAACTTGTGAAAGGCTGGCTTGGCCTCCTTGGCAATCCTCACAGCATCTTTGGCATTGAGGAAGTTGTCAATGTAAGCTGAATACATATTAGCTAGAGCCTCTTTGGAGAACTGCATTAAAAGAGAGAAGAAGAGACAGACATTGATTACAATATGTGTTTATTTGTAGATTCCAGCACCTTTTCTTCCTCCTGACATGAGCTTTCTTTTAGTTCGAGAAATACCCTACCAAAAGACAGATGTCTGAGGTCCAACCAGGAACAGTATGCAGCATTTTGAGTTAAAACACTGAGACAAAAGATGACTAACAAAAAATTAAAAAACACGGTTTTAAAAAAGAGGAAGGAGATCAATTCAGGAATTCAATATGTGAAACAGGGCCACCAGTGGGACATTGCTGTGATTTTTATTTACACCATAGTAGCAAGAAGAGGAAAGAAAAGACTGCCCCGTGTGAGGCTCGAACTCACGACCTTCAGATTATGAGACTGACGCGCTGCCTACTGCGCCAACGAGGCCTGCAGTGCTTGCAGCAGCTGCAGCTTTAAGAGCCGCAGCAACAACAGGAGGGGGGAGGGGAGAGAGCGTGTCAGGGAGGACCTATGTGAGCAATGTGGAGGAGCTGCAGTGCTTCAGCTAGACAGAGAAAAACACCTCTCACATAGATTTACTGTTTCTGACATCTAATTTGAACAATTTTCCTACATTTTCTATCATGTACAACCTACAAGACTTGCCTCCCTTTGTGGTTTCTGCAGTCCTCACATTGTTTGTGGGACAGTTTGTCTTTTCATTGAGTCTGTGAATCTGTTTCATTCAAGCTGTGAGGTGCTCTGAGCAACAACAATAGCACTAACATAGCAAGAGACGCTTCAGGGTTTCCCCCACTCAAAAAATCCTAAAAACTTGTTGCTGCAACACTCTCTTGTCTATTCATAAATCAACAAGTCCTTTTACCACTTTCTACTACCAACATCTGACTCAATGTAATAATGTTAGCCTGAACATGAAGTCCTTCACTCTTGTGCTCTCAAAGACTGAAACCTGAAACCGGGCCAAACACGGATGTTTCAGAGCACTGTTTTTCAAAGTCTAGGTTTAGAGGCACCAGTGGGTCATGGGAAATTTGAAATGGGTCACATAAAGGTCAGAGGAAAAACAAAAAGATGATGTAGTGCTGCCAACTATAGACTTATGCTCTATAAAACAGCTTCATGTCATTTTGATAGAAAGGCGCATCAATAAAAAAACGGGTGACCTCGATAAAAGCATTTGAAACACTAATCTTGACATGATATTGTCCTTGTATCTTATCCTGTAGGGTTTAAAAACTATTAAATCATGTCTCGTGTCTATGTCTATGATCACTGGTGTTTTGGTGGTTTACAAGAATACATTTCATTCATTGAACTCTAGCTTGTTTGGGGACTTGTACACTTTGATTTACGCTGTCAGGATTCTCCGGTTACTCGAACACACCAAGAGCCTTATGAGTTTATGATGGGTGATAGTCAGGGAAGTAGAAGGATTACTTTGTGTGTCAAAGGGTTAACTATCTCACACTCCAATATTATCCTTCACACACACAAGCCAACAATACTGACATGAACTTAATACATTCCTACAGCAATGAGATGGGATCACTCTGAACTTTAGACCTTAGTCAGACACTCACACAGTGAGGTGTTAAACTGCAGCGACATGCTTCATCAATCGTGTTTTTCTTTTAATTTCAGGCAACTTCAGGGGGAAAAAAAAACAGAACTTCCCCGGCTACCTTTCTCATAAAAGTTATACAAGTTTTAAAGGCCTTCTATAGGCTGCCACAGTTAGTTTAGTGTCAGAGTGAGACATAAAGCTCTTAAAGCACCTTCAAATCTCAGTTGTTTGGAAAAAAAATAGTTAATCTCAGTGAGCTTATTACTTGGAGAATAATGGAATGACAAAAACATCCATATTTGACATCAGCTGGGTGAAATGCATCCTCATGATTCAGAATATAGCCAGAACTCTGCAAATGCGGTACATGTCTGCTCACCGACTGGACGAGGATATTTCCAACCGTCTGTCTGTCATGCCATTGGCCGACACAGTTGGCCACTTGCTCCAGGAAGTGCTCATGGTGCTCCAGGATTTCTGGGATCTGGTAAAACATCTCATCCACCAGCAGAGGGTCCACAATGGAGCTGCCATCGGGCTGTTTGAGAGGACGCATGTAGCCCTAAGGGAGCAAGACACGCAGTTTAATACATTTCATTTAGTTCACATTAGCAGGAGGTAGTTTAAAATATTGTGGAAGTGCACAAGTTGCCATGTGACTCAAATAGCTATCATATAACATGTATCAGCAATGACGTGAATTTCCCAGCTTGATTACTCATAATTGCTGAGGGATACGCCATAAACGTGGCATCAGACATGTAGGTGCAAAAAGCAAACAGATTAAGCAGTGCTTTAAGTGTTACAGAAAATTCAGTCGACATATACTGTGTGCTTGACGGTCTGTCCTTCTTTTCTTTTCTCCGTTTCTTTTTTAAATTAGGTCTCAAGGTAACCTAACACTCAAAATGAAAGCTGCTTTTGTACATTTAGCCGTGAGGTTCTCAAACTAACAAGCTGGACTCTGACAGTTTCCCTCTCTCCCCATACACACAAACCCGCTCTCTGCAATGCACTGGAGCTGAAAGAGATTTGGAGATTCAATTAGCTGTGCAAAATGAACTCAGACAGATGTGACCCTGAGTCTCCAGAAGCTGTAAAGTCAAGACAAGTTGTGCGTGGCTCACTGCCTGACTTTATGACACATTTGATGACTAAACTGATCTTCCGCTGATAAAAGTTGAATTGAAGAGGGTCGGGACAAAGAGGGAAGCAGCGGGGATTCAGCATGCACTTCCTTTCACTTTGTTTTCTAAGAAATGCGTTTCATAAACGCCTGACTACTGCCAGGAAACACTCACTTTATCTCACAGGGAAGGATTGAGCTGTTTATAACTAAATCATATTTTCATCCAATTGACCTCTTTGATGATCTATGACCAGGATGTTTCATTAGTAGGTGTGTAAGAAATGCAAATGACCTCAAAGATCTTCATGCTCATAAATATACAATTGTCCAGAAATTATTAAGTGTTGATAGGTCATTCACTACCAAACATATATATATAAAGTTATCATCCAAAATCCGGACTTTGAAGACAAAACGTTGAAAATAAACCAGGACAGGGTTGTTTCCTCTATAAAAAAAATCTACTATCAAAGAATTTCAGCAATTTCATGATTGTACCGCTTGTACAATGAGAGCTGACTGCTTTGCAAATACCTGAATCATAAAGCTCCTCTTTGTTTGTGGAGGTTGTACAGCAAAATAAGGGCTGCAGGTGGGTGGGCCTCAATTGTGCACTGCCATTTACAACTGATGGTTGCTGCTGGTACCCAAAAACAAGGCAGTTTTCTTCTTTTTTTTCAGAGCACAGAAGGGAGTTTTTCAGGTCAGGAGGGGCACAAAAAGAGTGATCGATGTGTCATCTCAAATATAGGTCATCATGAGCCACCTACGGGAGAGACTGGTGATGTCAGTGCTGCTGTAATGAAGCTTAGTGGTGAGTCAATTCCAATTTCGAATGGAGACATTAATGTTAATCTCCATTTCACTTAAAGAGATGACACATAGGATTTATCTGGATAACAAATATGATCTAAATTAATCTTTGTTACAATACATTTATTTCTTAGAATAGAGTTTACCATGTATGTACGTTTCTCTCTGAGAATGCCCTCTAATACCCTGCCGGTGCAACAGCAGAAAACCATAATCAAACAATATTTTCAGATTTTACAACTTATCTCTAAAGTTTACCTGTGTGCCACATTTCATGCCACGATCAAGAGGTGCTAATAATCATGACTTCTGCTTTCAAGGATTTTGCAGTAATTGTAGGCAAGAGCAGAGCACATACTTGATAAGTTAAGAGTTTAGGGCCCAACCGATTTATCGGCGAGCTGATTAAATCGGCCAATTTTAGCCCGTTTGAGACAAATCGGTAATCGGCCAAAACTCGCCGATTGTCACCGTTATTTTCAGAAATTAAATGTGGAGAATACGATTTGGTTTCACTTCGAAAATGTTTCGCTGATTTATCCAGTAGATGGCGCAGCGACCTCATGACAATCTTCATCCACTAACTACCTCACAGCTCAGCAGAGTGACGGATCTAAAGCAAGGCAGCGTCAGGGAGGAGAGTGGTCCGCCTCAACGGTAAATAAGCCAGTTTGTGAAGAACTCAATAAGTCAACATGTCTCAGTTCAACCCACTTCACGATGTTCCCCGCTGTGCTGGTCTCGGTCACGCCGAGTTAACGGTGATGCACCATGTAATATGCTAGCTAAAGCTAGAGTTAGCCATCTGCTATTAGCCTTGCTACACTGTTAGGCATGCCAGTAACGGTAGAATAACCAACAGTACACATTACGTGATCGAGCTACTTCTCTTACTGAGGCAGCTGCATGTCTCCAGATGAGACGGGACCGGAAATGAGTAACGTGACTTAAGACGTGGAGGCACCGATCGGCGAGGGGGGTGGGGTTGAAAGCGCTTTTCTAGTCCGAGTTTGATTCATGATAAATACATGGAATATTACTGAGATGATCTGTCGGTCTTCCTGTCGGCGTGAAGAGCGGTAGCCTACAGTATATCGAGTGTTCCTCATTTTGAGTTGGAAGTTAACTTAACCGTTTGCACTTTACACAAAATACCTCATTCTTTTTCAGTTGTTTTAGCAATAAAAGGGATTTAAAATGAGTTTTCTGCCTTTAATTCTTTTTTATTTTAATTTAATGTTCAAAAAAGAAATGTGTTTTCTACATACTAATCAGTCCGGGCTAACACGGTAGAAAAAACAACCCTGTCTGAAATAGGCCTACATCAATAATCAGGACTGGATCTCGACTTGGGTAATGGGGAGTCAGTTGGACACAAGTAATAAGGACTTGACTCTGATCCAAAAAATCTTTAGACCCAACACTCGCCCTACACTTGAACAGCTTCCTCGGGTGTTTGAAAACAATGCTGGTGAGGTTAAGGAGTTTTAAGTCTGAGGCTGCCAATTTAAAACATAAAAGAAAGGATTAAAAATGTTGAGATGTGCAGAATGGATGAAGGGGACACCAGGAACTGTTCAATGAGTCACTTTATGCTGAATCTGCCGCCGTACCAGGGCCCTTCATTAATTGATCTAATGAAAAGCAAGAGTCAGAATAGTTCTTATCCAACCAAACTTTCCATAGTCGGGAAAATTTAAATGACAATAAGCCAAATTTCAACATAGGACGGTGCTGCTGTCCAGCTGTTCTGGTCTGACACTCTCTTCTTCGGGGATCTGCACTTTCACTGCAGTCACTGTGGTAACTCTTTCTTTCCAGTTGTCGCCATGGGAACACAGCCCAGGATTATTTCCTTGGTGAGCACACACACACACATGCATGTATGCATGTCCGCACAGACACAGGTGGCAAGTGTGCCTGAATATGTCAGAGAGAGGAATATGGCTAAGATTACAGGTTTAGGTTAGTTCACTGTACAGTGCGTGTGTGTGTGTGTGTGTGTGTGTGTGTGTGTGTGTGTGCGTGTGTGTGTGGGCAGATATTGCTGATGACAGTGAGATGCGATGAGGTTAGCAGCTTAACCTCACAGGAGGAATGACAATAAGTGGATTACATAACTTCTTTGTGTGTTTAGGGTACAGTGTGTGTCTGACGATTACTCACTTATTAGACGACACATGCAAGAATATCTGCAGTCAAATGTATGAGTATGTGTTACCTGTATGAGAGTGCGTAGTGACTCCACATATGACTGCTCGGTGTCAAAAAGGGTCATCATCACATGTTTTCTCATATCCTGCAAAGAAAGAAAGAAATGAAATCATCATTACAGTTTGATTCATCTATAAAACACAGGTGAATGTTATAGCAAGGTTAGTTATGTAACAAAATATGTGGGGACTGCAGACTGGGATCCAGACTGTTCTACAAAAGGACTTCTCTCTACTCAAGGTCAGGACTACCAAGTACAGTCTGTGATAAAAAATGTTAATGTGAATTAATATGGACCCACAGTTTTAATTAATATCAACGCCTGAAAGCACTAAAGCCCCTATTTATCAAGAGTGTTCAAATCAATAGTATTTACAGAGGTTCTTTTCTAAAAAGGTTTAATGGCCACTGATGAAGTCAGCTGTTTTTCAATTGGGAGGCTCAATTCCTGAATCCAACAGTGTCCTTTGACACATCCCTATGCAGATGAGTCATTGGGTGAGACACTTAAAGGTGGGGTAGGCAGGAATCCGTTAAAGAAGCATCTTTCTTTTTGTGGTGTATATACAAAAAAAGCTTTTAATATCAGTCAATAGCTATTAGTCATTGACATTTGGGAATATCACGATATTGCTGTGTTTTGTCATGTCTGTGTAGTCAACATTTAAAAATTTTTGAGCACTCCGCTCTTTCTGACTGTAAACAAAGCCATTCCCTGCCTCCCCCAACCTGACTGGTTGTGAGGTGGACACTGCTCCCTTGTGCTGATTGGTTGTGAGGCAGACGCTGCTCCCCCGTGTCGTTCAGGAGCCCAAACAAAGTTAGTGTGCTACAACATCTATCGGACAGTAGAAACCAACCAGATAGTACAGAAAATTGTCTGAATCCTCCTTTAGTCACGACCACCAACACAAGCAAGGAAACAAGGTAAATACCAGAGACTGTCGGAATAATGGGCAAAAAGGAGGTGGACCATCTGGACCAGAGCTAAAAAAGCAGGGTCAATAATGATGGGGGATGCTTCGGGATCTTACGGACCCTGTAACCTTACTGCTGGACAGGTAAACCGCTCTAACAAAGTAAGCCAAATGTTTCATGTCAAACGGGACCTCCTGCGTGTTGTAGCGCCGCTAAACTGTTTACCTCGGGTCCTGGACTATGTCACTTTATCCTAGTTGAAGAAGTCCTGCAAACATTGTGCATCTACAGTAGCACCAATGCTTTTTACTTTCACGTTGACTGAAAAATTATATCATCACAGACCATTTCTTAAGCTATGACAACAGAATACAGTTACGGATTCACGATAGCTCAGATGATAAGGTGCCCATCAAATAATTATGACTATGTCCTGTCTTTCTGTACCCTTATGTCCTAAGTTTGGCCCACCAAAGTGATATTTTCCACCATTTGGTTCTCGCTAGCTTGGCATCTTTTCAAGTTCACAATGAATAAGGACAGCTATGGGACACTTTTATATAAACCAGACAAAGACTTGCAAGAATCTGGAATTCCGTGATGACAGGTTAAGTTTCACCTTTGGGATTTTCCTAAAGGAGGATGGATTGTTTTGAATTTTAGGTCTCATCTGTCTGAATGTGACTATGGTGAATTCAAATACTAATACAACTACCAGCTTTATCTGTGGTTAGAATTGTGTCTATCAATTTTATACTGGAACCAGATCGGACATAAATATCGGCAGGTGCTCAAGCTCAAGTGTCTGCATCAAGACTTTAATAATATGACCTGCCCCCATTCTTAGTTCTGAAGTGAGATGTAGCCACAACTGTGCTTAGCATCTTCAATGTTGTGATTCAAACATACACAAAGATCAAGAGATCCTCAGCAGCGAAGCATGACTCAGCCATTTGCTTTGATGGATGGGTATGAATATCCTGCAGCTGACTAAATCTCAACAAGTTAAGGACAAAACGGAAATGAAGAATATTATGAGGATAATAAAACTTGATGTTTCACAAAAAAAGGCAGAGCATATTAAAATGAATCAATATATTCCCTTTACAGTTATGAGATGAATAAAACTTAATGAGTGATGGGGGCGAAATTCACACTGAAGGAGCTTGCAGTGAGTTTTTCAAAAGCCCTTGATAGTGGGTGAGACAAAAGGAGTGAAGTTAGCGAATAAAAATGAAAGTATAAGGATCATGGAACAAGTCAAATGTGTCTCAGGGGCGACTCCCAAAATACTCTTGTACCAAAATGACTTATAAATATCAGAGCCACAGGCAAAACCCTATGGTGAATATATGACTGCACACTGTTTCCCTTTTCTCCTTCTCCCCCTCTCCCTCTCTCTCTCTCTCACACACACACACACTGGGGCCACATGAAATACACAGGGCACAGAGGAGGACTTTCTTCCCCCTGCCAGCTCCACTGTGCCCTATAAATAACCATAACAATGACTTCCCAGAATGGCTATGTTTAGTGTTTGGCATCAGTAGTGATCCCAGGGGTGCTGTGGGGTACCAGCAGAGGGTAAAGGGTGATGCATGACCAAGTGTGTAAAAAAAAAAACTTGAACTTAGGGCAAAAAATACTTTAATAATAACAGATCTTCAGCTGTACATTGTTCCATCTCGACAAAGTAAGCAATCTAATTCAAGCCAACACTCCTCTGAGATGTAAACACTAACACAATGGAGCAGAGTGAATAAACACAAGGTTAAACATGGCTCAGACTGGGGCAAATGCTCCCTTGTTACCTTCTCAATAGGATCACACATCTGTGTGTTTATGCTGGGAAATAATAAAAAGATCCATTACAGAGTGCAACCTTTGTATAAGCAGTGTTGGGCTTGGCACCAGTTTCAATACTGTCACAATCATTGATTTTTCGGTACCAACGTCACCTGTGTCAGCACACACATTTTGGTTTTCTGTACTCACACATTGTTCACACAGTCCTCACATGATGGAGATTCACACCAATTTAGCCACGGTGGCTGGTAAAGAAAAACTAATGGAGGGATTTGTGACCGATACCAACTACCCTGGTCAGAGCCCCGCCTCCTCCTCGTGTTCAGAGCGCATTTCGGTGTTTACATTGAAAGCACCTCGCGGCGTGATATATTTTTTCGTAGGATGCCACAGGAAGGTCCTGCCTTCTTCGCCTCTGATTGGCTGTGAAACGTAATCACACGCTCAAACCAAACGCGGGCTGTCGGCTCTGTACATCGAACAGAACATAACAGAACATTATCGCACTTCTGAATCTCCTTACCCTAACTCTAATCCTAACCCCGACAGACAATGACATTTCACAGCCATAATGAATAACCAATCGGAGCCGGGCTCTTCTATCCAATTGGAGGCGAAATTGGAGCCAATTGAAGTACACTTATTTTGAGAGAGCAAGAAAAATTGCAAGTTTTAAGCAGCAGGCCAATTTCATAAAAATCAGCAATTGAGTGATAAACTACAAAGTACCAGTGCGGATCATACAGTAGTTAGCAAAAGCATCTTTCCCAGCATTAGCATCACTGCCATGTCCCATATATTGTTGCTGTTTATGGCTGTTTTATGTCTGTTTTCTTTGTCTTACCGTCACTCAGGTCCATGCATGTTTTAACATTCACAAATTTCTGCACTTTTCTTTCACCCTCTTATTTTCTCTGCTGTCGACTGATTGGCCACTACCCACCAATCAAAAGTTTTGTGTTCTACAAATAAACTGAGTCAAAGCAAAAACATCCTCCATCTGGCTCAGCTGGGCGATTATAAAAAAAGAAGATGCTGATTTGTAATGCAAAATTACTTCATCATTATTTCATTGGCATCATTTTTTGTCTTCAATGACGATAAATGCTTTGAGATTGTAAATTTCATTTTTTTTACTAAATGATTTCTGTCTTAATAAAATAAATATTCATTTTAAATCATCAATACAGTTGGTTTCAGGATCCATTTGATGTGCAAAGTCTACAAAATGCATTAAAAGAATTAATTTTAATGAATTTATTTTGGGGATCAATAAAGTTCTTGTATAAGATTGTGCACTTCTCAATATTTTCTGCACTTGCACACAAACACATACTGCATTCCCTACAAGAAAAACAGCTGCTTCTGCATGAATGTCTTACACAAATTAACCCTAATTACTGATAATCAAATTATGGAATGCAGATCCACTCGCTTCATCTTACAACTTCTTAACTGGAAATGTTAATCCATGTGATATTGCAAAAACAAGAAACAAACAAACTACCTCTGATATAGAGTGATTCATCCGCTGGTAAAGTAAAATGGGCACATGCACACAGGTGTGCGTGAACAAGAAAGGTGGGCAACAATGTGCATGTGTGAGTGAGTGTATATCAAACTGTAGGCCGTAAGTGTACACTGACTGTGAAGCCAAAGTATTTAGAGCTCCCTCTACTGACTGGCTGAGGTACATGTCATTAGCTCCTCCTCTTTAGTGCTAACAGACAGAACCAGGGTCAAATGAGAGACTGTAAGCTACAACAACAACAACAACAACAATACTCAAACAGGGTTTCTGTTGTAATTCTTGACTTGTCATCATACTAATTATTTTCGGAGAGTTCATTTTTTCTGAGAGGTTATTTAATTTTAAAAGATGAATGATTGACAGCTATGCTGACAAATGCCAGCTGTTTTTTATTTGCTTCACATCTCACAATATACCCGACATCCAGTCAATGGTTACGACAAGAAGGGAACTTCCCTGAAAACAGGAATGTCCCTCTGTACTGTGCTAGTTGTCTTTATGAGATTAAACCCACACACACACACACACACACACACACACACACACACACACACACACACACACACACACACACACACACACACACACACACACCAGAACATGGTGAAATAATTCAAGGAATGCTAGTTTCATTTTGCAAGCATGGTTGCCATAGAAACCTCAGCTGCGAGGCTCAATGGTCACAGGAAAGGCGGCTTTGAAGACCCTCTCAGTCCAGACCGGAGTTCAACTGGATCAAGTGTGACAAAAAGACGTATTGTAACTATTCAACTACGGTGACCCGTCAAGACACAATATTTTTTTTGTAATATCTTGTAATCCTGTCACTGTAGACTAATAACACATGTCAAGAAGAGGGGTACTGAGTGCTTTAACAAAAACAAGAATATCAGGAACCCTAAAAACATGACCAGAGAAAGGCAGACAAACTGTGTGAACAATTTTTTAAGACTGCATTCAGAGGTATAGCATCCCCTTACTCACAGAAACAACAGTATGTAAATTACCATTAGTGCTGTAAGACAATTTTGAAGACTAAATTAGTCTATTTCATGTTAGAAAATTTAGATTTGTTTTTCAGTTGGACTCATAAAAAGGGGTTGTCAACAAATTGGATTCACCTAAATGCTAATGTTTCTCATTTGGAAAAAAAAAATTACAACTCCAAATCTCACTTAAGTCCCTCTGCTATGTTAAAATGTATCATTTGTGACACACATGTAAAATGTTAAAGAAAAGTAAAGAAATAACTATAAAGATCTACCTTTTTGAGACATTATCAAAGGAGTAACCATGATGGATCAAGCATGACAGAAACATAGCAGGTGCAACTTATAACTATGGTGAGTGCTATGTTGTGATCTAGTGTCCCAGTGGCACAATCAGTCAAATAAATTAAAAAAAACTCTCAGAGACACACAGAGGAAGAGAATATAAATTGTGGTTGAGCCACAAGAGGGAAAAAAACAATAATCTTTGAATGTTTGTAACCGCCTACAATGAAAATTCCCAGCAGATGAAGAAAAAATAAACAAAGACACTAATGGGCTATAAAATAAGTTGGAAACTTAATAACGCACGCTTCAAGATAAACAAACATTGGCTGTGTGAAGTGTAAGTTTTCTAACACAAGGGCTTTCCAGGGAAAAAACCTGCTTCAGGACCGAAAGGTTGTCTGCTTCAGTCCTCCTGAGCCACGTTCAATCGCCTTCTAGAGGACAGAGGCACCATGCACGGGTCAGTAATTTCCACACCTCACCTCACTGCATCTCAACACTGACACAATCTGACAAGTACATGTTGCTATTGTCTCAGCGTGTTGTATTAAACATGTTCAGACAGTGGTCTGAAATGTAGATACACCAACTTGAAATAATTCAGTCCAGTCCTGAAACTGTTCCTCTGCAGTGAGCATACACTGACCTTGCTAATTGTGACTTGCAGGGAATGAAAGAAAAGCTGAGATGAAGTCAATAGGGGCATCTGGGGTAAATTTCATCATCACTGTTCAACAAGTTCAAGTAATCATGGTGAAGAAGTATGAAAACACTCAAATACAAACAAATCTAAATTGACACACGCAGAAGCAGACAGCACATGAAGAACATCACCTATCTACCGGAACATGCATAGGACATGCATAGGTATACATATATCCTTAATGACAGTCTTTATCTGACATTCATAGAAGTGGCAACAGTCCTAAACATGACAGGATGAATGGCTTATAGGTTTCAGAGTATCACTCATTAACATTGGAGGGTACCGAGAGGAAACCTTCAAGTGTATCTGAAAGACAGAGAGGTGTTAGTAGTACAGTGTGTTCCCATGTGTCTTTCTGCGAGCTCTGGTGTCTTAATAATAATTGTGGTCACAGGGGGTCCATAAAGTAAGCTGTTCTCCGTAACTACAGCCAAATATTACAGCAGAACAGAGTCTAAGCAGAGCACAGGCAGCTTTGTCTGATGTCGTTTTATTTGACTTCTTTCCACGTCCATGCGGGAGGTGTCATGATGTTTATCTGATACAGTATGAACTATATTTCTGTCTTTGACAGCAGTGATGTTACTGTATGTTGTTCTGTTCTTTCCAGACTAAATTAGACCACAAAAAGCCTCTTCTTTTGTTACTCGGTTTTATAATGATTTCTCAAGATTTTGCGTAACTCAACTTGTTTTGATAAAGCTGTGCAAAACTGCCGGTAATTCACCTGTCCGTTATTTGACAAGGCCGTGCACGGTGTTTGATTGTATGTGATGTTTTCAGCATTGAAAGGAAAATAAATTCTGCTTTTCATCAAACTCTTTTGTACGGGCAATTTTAGAGCTAAAGTTGGTACCTTGCCAACAAAAGACACACATTTTCAGTGATTTTTTCCAAGTGCTGCAGCTGCTTTGTGCCGTCAAATATTTTATAAGATCTGTTCTTTCACTTTTTCTGTGACCTTAGCTGGCAACAACAGGACAGGGACAAAGCTGTTATGACTGCAGACATGTCATACAGTATAAAGATTGTCGCAAACATAAAGTGCAAATGAGTTTAATTTTTGCCCATCTCTTTGTCCTATAGCTTTATTGACGGATGCAGCAAAGCTGAACTGAATACAGTTGGCCCGACAATAGGCTCAACAATAAGCATGATAAACAACATCACTGTTGCTGCACATTTCAAAGGACAGCTCAACACTGACAAGAAACACCATGAATTCCAGTGATATAAAAAATGTACTGCGCATATTTTTATGAATAAAGATGACAATTTTTTTTGTAAAATACTGAAACATCAAATTTGATTTAACAAAACTGGTTTATCTGGCAAATACAAACTACGGTGTCCTACCAGACACCATCTTTTTCTTCTTGTCTAGATCTTTGCTTGTGTTGTTCTTGTTCTCGTATCCACGTTGCTTTACGGGCGCTTACTAAATGACAATGGAGGAAAATGGCACTGTTTTAGTTTAAAAAATGCCATCATAACTTTTCTGTTTCTTTAGCTTCTTATTCTCATAATCTTGTCATGAAGAAGAATCATAGTTAACCACAAACATTCTTGGTCCGACATACACGGTGCTTAGATAGTCCCCATCAGTAACACCCTTGTTTTCACAATGCATTGTGGGGGACAATTTGTCCATTATACAGAGTGTTATAGTCCTTTAGTGTTTGAATAGCACAACAAATGGTACATTCACCATATAAAGCTCTGGAGTGAATGGTGATTTCAGTCAGAGACATAATAAGAGCTGTAACCGGTCATGATCATTTTAATCACAGATTTTCATGGTAAATAAAAGGCTTTCAAAGTTAACTTGGGGTCGCAAAGAACTTGGATTAAAATGGTTTCTTTTTTTTTTCTTTTTCACATTTTTAACATGTGATATTGTCACTATTTTCTAATGCACCTCTCTAACCTGAAAGCTGTTTCGCTTAGTGAAAATCCCAACCTTGGTTCCAGTCCAAGGAGACGAAATCTACATCAGTAACAACTTATTCCTTGACAACATCCCAATCTAAAATTTTGCACAAATTAAACTTATTTCACAGAACTTTAATATTTGGAGTCCTTAAAACCAGGAAGAAAAAGCCCATAATATATGGAGGTTTTAGTTCTAAAACTATCAAGGAATTTATAGACAAAAACCAAACCTTTTCACTGGAGATTCTTAAAAAATTCCCCCGTTTTTGCCTAATTCGCTTTGCACAGAACAAAACTAAATGTACACACTAAATCTGTGATTTTGTTCAACTTTTAAACACAATTTCTCTATGCCCTACAAGGACTAAATAAGCAAGTCTCGGGACTGATGTGGCTTTAAGGGACACAAAAACAAATAATGTTTTTGGGTGGTTCAATCAGTCAAACCACTGGGTAACAATCTGTTCAGGAGGATGAGTTTAGGAATCATACTGAGGCTGCTCAATCATGGCAAAAATCACAAGCATGATTAGGCTATTTTGATTGGAAATAAAAATCACAGTTCTAAAAAAAAACTTAAAACCTCTTTAAAACTTTTAAACTCTGAATTCACAAATGGAAAAAACTTTTTTGTTCACTTTGACGAGAATATTTGAATAAAAAAATCAAATAAATCAAAATCAAATAAAATAGCACTGAATAGCACTTTTCACATTGATCTAAGTTAATGGCAAAGTTAAAGTGAAAAGCGAAAAGGAAGGTTGGGCTTCCTCCTTTCATCCCAGGCTACGGGACAAAACGATCGCAACATGGTGATCATTCAGTCTTGATTATCATATTTTTGTGACTGTGCGGGGGGGTAATCGTGATTAAAATTAAAATCTGAGTAATCACCCAGCCCACATCATACAGAGAATGGCCAGTTTTTATTTTTTTTAGATGCATCGTCAATCTGAAATGTAAAGTTCTCTTGGTAGTCACGGTGGTAGCCTTTGGTACAGCAGACTAACAGACGGATGGAGAGACAGATATCAAACCATCACCCTTCACTGCCTCTTCATCATGAATATACAGGATTTAGTTACCCATGACCCTGAGCTGGAGATATTTCATTTAAAGCATCAGCATCAGACATACAGTCAGTCTCCTCTTCCCTCTTGTCTTATCACTGTCGTCACACCTCCTCACCCCTCCTCCCCCCTCTACGACGACTGTATCCCCTGGCAACAGCCAGGCGAAAGCAGCAACAGGCATCCTCTAAGCCCACAGAGAAAGCAACCTCATCAGCCTCCTCTCTGCCTCTATTCATCGATGCAGCTCTGTGAAAACACGGAAATTGATTTTCACATCTTGGTCATGTTTCCGGGTGACAGTCCTCAACATAAAGGAGTGTCATCCTTCACTGTCAGCTTATGTAACTCTGTGAGAGCACGTGTATGAGTCTGTGTACGCTGCACTCGTCAATGTCAGGCCTTGGACTGGATTAACCTACTCTATTATCATCATTAGTTCTCTTTTTTCCAGACACACTCACACACTATTGATTGAAAACACAACTCATCTATCATCATCATCATCATCATCATCATTACTTCTATCCCTGCCTCAAAGTCTCCTGATTCAAACCTCATGAAACAATGAATATTAAAGTGCTAAATTAGTCTTGTTCTGATTCATTGTCATTCTGGATATCACCAAAAGGTCTGTGCTCACACAGAAAAAAATGAAAAAATAAATAGTTATATAATATTTTTGTTCAACAATTATCAAGTTACTTAAAAAAAAAGAAGCAAATATGTATTTCCAGCTGTGAAACTAAATCTTTGCTCTTTAACTTATCTTTTAAAGATAGGGGTCTGAGGTAGTTAGATGTACAAATATATGCACTAAAAGTTATTTTTCCCAACCATGAGCCAAAATACAATAAAATAAAATAAAACTAACAAAGGCAAATGGTCTTTCAAAACTGTAAAGAAGGGCAGGGTTAGAATTTTAACATTTCCATTGACTCGTAGGGAACTCCAGGGATTTACAGTCTGGGTGTCATGCACCACAGCAGATCTGCAGCTGCTGTGTTGCATCTAGAGTTTGTGTGTGACTTTGTGTGTTCACACACGCAAAGTGTATTCACAAAAGGTGCAACAACTCAAGCACACATAACTCGAGAATTCAGGCTGACATGAGATATGGAATTTTATCAGACTGACCGACTAGAACGAAAAAAAAGTGATAAAAAATACTGTAGGTGTTGGAGTTAATGGTATGATTCACTGCAATTGAATTCTGTTATAGAGCAGAGTCACAGACAGAAGAGAATGAAAAAAGGGCAATATTTCAAGGAAGAAGGAGATCTGAAATACAAAGAAAAATAAGAAACAGAAGGAAACTCGAAGAAAAGCAACTTCTGCAACACTGAGAGCGGATTAAAAAGAAACTGAAGACAAGACAAAGTCGATCTAATCTGCGAAAAGGCACTTCACACAGGCTGAAAGAGTCAACACATCAAAACAGACTTTAACAACAAAGACAAGAAAAACACATCTACCTCTCCACCAGGGCTCCCAGCACAAACTCCATTCCCGTTCAAATTCCCGCCCGAGTTCCCATTCCCGTTGTTGTTTCTCAGCTGATCCACAGCGTCTCTCTCCATCACATCTTCTCCTCCTCCTGCATCTCTCTCTCCTCCACCTCCATCATCTCCAGTATTTTCCCCGTTTTCATTCATTTCCTCCAGAGCGATGCTGAACTGGGCTAGGGTTCGAACCATCTGCAGCATACGGACTGGTCTGTGTGCCTCAATGCACACATAGACTCTCACACACACCCACAAAACAACTGGGAAACACCTGCTGCGTTTTTCAGGGTTTGTTTACTCAAAGAAACTCAGTCTTCATGTCTGCAGGAGGAACGCGAGGAAGGAGAAGACACACCTGAGAGAGAGGAGGGAATCACCAGCTTTCCTCAACAGAAAATGAACATGCCCCCTCTTCTTCTTCTTCTTCACTTCTTCACAACAAATGCTCTTCAATAATTCAGTCCCTCAAAAAGCAACTTATCTGAAAATCCCCTTCTCCTCCAGTCGCGTGTCTTCAGCGTGTGCATCCACGAGAGGCAAAGGTGCGCACTTCAGCATGTACGCCTGGCTGTCTGATCTGCCTCTACTGCATGGATGATGTAAGCAAGGAGCGCATGTATCGGTGTGTGTGGACCAGGGGGTAAGAGAGAGAGAGATAAAAAGTGCGTGTTTATGTGTGGGTGTGTGCGAGTGTGTCGTAGCCCTCCCCCTTGGGTGTGAATAATGAGAGACAGCAGGCAGGGCAGACGCTCACAGTCCTCAGCTGAGCCAGGCTCAACCAATCCCTCCTTAAATAATCGATGAGGGGATGAGGAGGAGGACAGGATGACAGAGCTGTCCATTCATCCGTCTTTTTCTGTCATTAAAGCTCGTTAACCACAATCTTACGACAGCACGGTTTTAGGTTTCCTTAGTCACTTTGCACTTCATGAACATGCTTTTTCTGCCTATCTTGTTCAAATGCTGTTACACTTCATGGCAGCTGCCCACAGATAACCATGACAACAGCCAGCAAGGTGGACATTTTAAAGGACCCTACTCTTGCTCAGCCTTAACGACAACATTGTATGTCCCCACAATTATAATTACCTTCAATCCTCTATGTTGCAGAAACAATCAATAGTCAAATCAAACTAGTATTGTTTTTTAAAGGGGAGTACTCTGACTAGTAAAAATTGATTGAGTAAAAGCTAATATGAAGCATATAGAGCCTTTTCTAATAGACTTTCTGATCATTGCTAAGGAAACCAGAGGTGTCACTGAAAATCCTTAGTGACTCAGCCGCAGCAAGCGCCAGTGAGAGGTGCTACAAGGTCATGGGCAATGCAAGCGCATAAAATGTTGGCAGTGAAAACAGGCCCTAAAGCCTCTGTGAGGAAATGTCAGCTGGTTTTGAAATAGATCTAAAAAAAATACTGATCCTATATGACTTAGAAAGGTTAAAGAGACCACCAGCAAGAGGACTGATTAGTCGGTCAAAGCTGCAGGCGACAGACAACATGACCTTACCTGAGGTGAAAGTGGCCCTAATTGAGAATTCAAAGTAAACGGTGCATCTGACAGTTTCAGAGGATTTTTTCGAGAGCTCCTGTGAGGAACTTTTTCTCTGCGTGAACTTTGACGCCCCCTGTGGCAAAAGCAGTCTTTGCTTATCATGTCCCCTACATGCTTAAAGGGATATTCCAGCATAAAATTAGGTTAGAGTCAAACATCGAGTTAGACACCCTCTCCAGAGATGAATGTTGCCGACCGCTTGCTTCTCTAGTTCAACTTTAGTAGCGACCACACAATAGCAATACAAGTGGTCTGAGGAGCCATAAACAAACCTCAAAACGCCACTCTATAGCCACAAATAATGCTCAGAACAGCACCTAACTTCAGCACTAGCCACCAAACATCTTTTTAACTTTTCTTTATTTCTTTAGTGAAGAGACTAAACACAACTCACCTACTCTCTTCCAGCAGCCGACCTCGGAAGAGTCCAACACCGACTGCAGCGGGGTGACGCAGCCCAAGGAAGAACATTTATGATCATTTCTTTATCATTTCCTAGAGGTAATAATCATCATATTTATCATTTTGCACTGCAGACGCTGTAGTTCTTCCGCCTTAGCGTCTCAGTCTGATTGCATTTCCATGAAGAAATGATCATAAATGTTCTTCCTTGAGCTGTGTCACCCCACTGCAGTCGGTAATTGACTCGTCTGAGGTTTCTAATTAGCTTTAAAATTTATTGAGTGTCTGCAATGATCAAACATTAAGTGTATTTGAGTTTAAGTAATGTGTACAGGTAGGTTGGCAGTATACAAATAGTGGCTCAGGCCTTTATCTGAGACAGGCCTTCAATAGAGGCAGAACCTTGAGCAGATCCTGACCTTTGTAAGACAGTCATCCGCTTTTACTGCTTTGGGTTTAGAGAAAGGATAGAGGAAGATGCAGAAAGAGAAAGATGGATTCATTACCAATGTTCTCACTCCAAATTACACTTTAAGAAGTTCAAAAGGGTTCCATTGTCTTTTGGGTTGTCATGCCCTCACACATTGTGATTAATATTATCTTGGTATCATCGAACTCTAGCTACAACAAGGACCATTCCTAATCAGCAAACACTATCCAGAGCAGCCCCCCAAAAAAGTTCAGTCAACAACCACATCATCACTAAGCAAAGTCAATGCTTTAAAACATGCAGAACTGTACGGTCTTTTAACAATTCAGAGAGTACTTGCACCCACATTAATATGCTGCCATCAAGCACACACCCAATGAAACATCCTCTGAAATTAAAAAGGCAAACCAAGAAGTGATCGAATCATTAAGATTCTTAAAGATAATAATTTCGAGAGTGTGTGCAGATTAGCTGCATCTTGAGTGTTCCTCTTCAAGGCATTAATATAATAATCAGTTTTAATGAAAGTTGCATAAGTAGAAGATGGAGGGCATGTGGGTTCAAGGCAAGCTGAACTCATGTAGAAGTAAGCTTGAAGAGCACGGAGGAGCTTTAAAACACAGAAAATGTGATTTGATGTTGATGGGATGAATCCAGATAAACCTACACACTTTTATAATTTGACTGAGACAAAATTATGAAACCTCTTGAAGCCATTCAGGGCTGTACGTTTTGCATTTCACCAAATAGTTGAGTGGGTGTGAGGTGACTTTTGCCCTCTTTTTAAATCCCTAGCTCTTAGGCTTACTCCAACAGAGATCATAAACGAAAAAAGGGCACCAAATAACATTTTGAAAAGGTCGAGCTCATGGCGGGACAATGACCTTTAATCTCTGTTGCCATAGAGACAATAGGTGGTTTTGAAGGTCTGCTGACAGAGATCAGAGATGACAATCTCTCTGGCATGTTGACGTTGAGCGCAGAAATTCTGACTGCATATACTCGAGTTTCTGAACTCCTATTTTTCCTTTTCATGACAGTTTTTTTGACTCTTGAAAACAAATCACATTAAATGCTGTCCAAAGAGCACTTCAACTGTTTCATAAGCACTCCTGCTTCTCAACACTCGACCACAATTATGACTTTTCATCAAGGTCTGACGCTTTATATCTCTGAACGAGTGAACAGGGAGATGTTTCTCATTTATGTCTTGATTTCTGTTTCTATTCAAGCCACTCATTTACACTGCCTTACCTAATCCATAATCTATACATGTCTCCCTTACAGTACAAAACACTTCGCATTTGAATGTAGAGCCTCTCTACATGGTCTGCCCTTGAAGAAGAAAGACGTGCTTTTCTTTTGTCAGTTTAATTATTTATCTTTTCTATCGAGAAGCAGCACTTTGCTGAAGGGCCTTTTGTTTGCACAAGTACTCACAGCACCTACTGTATGGTTAATAGAAATATTGAGCACTAATTCTGCTCGATTTACGATGGAAAGTAGACAGAGACTTGATATGTTGTATGACATTATTTGAGTTTAGAATAGAATAGAATAGAATAGAATAGTCTTTATTGTCATTGTAACCAGTACAACGAAATTAAAAAAGTGCCAGACAGTCAGTGCATCATTAAAAACAAATACAGTAATAAGTAGCAGTTCTAAATAAATAAATAAGTTCCGAATAAATAGAGTAAATGAGTAAATAGGTATTAAGAGTACTGTAAATACTCCTGGTCAGAAATTACTTGAATAAAAGTGAAAAATGATTCATTGAGATAAAGTACTCGCTTTAGTTTGAAAACTACTTAAAAATATATCAAAACATTGATGTTTTTGTGCGATGTACGAGTGCAATAAGGAGTACATACTGTTGCACAATTTGTATTTTTTAAACCAACATGCCACAGATTTCCAGATGTGCAGCTTCAAAATAACAGAAACAATATGGAAAGAAGAAATACTTTCTAATGCATTTAGTGGGCTGAGATCAGTTTTGTGCAACATTTAGAAAGAAGGGAACCATGTCTAATTTCAAAGACCTCATATACAGGTTTAAGAGAATCCTCATCCTTCTGTATCCTCTCATTATGAACTGCCTGATCTGAGTGATGCCTACTGTGCATTTGCTCTGAACCAGTGAGAATGATAACACCACATGTAGAGCCACTAAAACACTGTTTACTCTCAACCAGATCAGATTTTGGAAAAGAAAGAAAATGAATCTGCTGACATCTGAGAAAAAGTTGTGAGTAATGTGAAAATTTATGGTGATAGTAAAGTCAAAAGAACAATATTTGTCCTTCAATTGTAGTGGAGCTTAAGTGATATGTTTCTCCAACACTCAAGTGAATAACAGATACTCTAAAATGTACTTATGTATAGTTATCAAGTTCATTTACATTGTTATTGTTATTGTTGAACTGGACCGGTTACATCAGCAGAGGTAGCAACTAGTTTCCACAGCAACCCAACTGAGTGCTCACATCCTCAGCATTTCCTGTTTAGATTGGGGCTAATGCAGTTGCTAGGTAGTTGCGTGTGTGTGTGTGTGTGTGTGTGTGTGTGTGGGGGGGGGGGGTATCAAGTGTGTGTGCTTGCATGAGTTTATTCTGCATCTACACACATGAAGAAGATGTGGGCAGTCTAGGATGGAGTGTTCTCCCTGAATGAGCTACCAGGTTAATGGCAGCTGACCCACATTTCAAGAGGCAAGAATTCACACACACACATACACTCGCACACACTCTACACAGGTTTCAAGGACAGAACTACTTTTCTCGGGATTATGAGCTCCTTTCTCTCATGTCTCGGTGTATTTGAGCAGAAACGGTGCTGTATGATGGAAAAGGAAGTGAAGGAAACACTAGATGATGATGCACCACATGAAGGCCGGGCGATATGGCCTCAAATCAATATCATGATATGATGAGCAGTTCACCTCGATAATGATAAATGGACGATAACTACTCCACAAGCTGCTTAACCCCTCCTACATAAACTTCGTCTACTTCAGCCGCTCCGACTTTTGAACTGTCCTCCATCTCCTCACCTGTCTTTCCCTCTTTGTTACACACTGGATGGGGTGGAGTCACATCTCCAACATAGGACAGCATCTTAAAGGAACATGAGACCATAGCCTACCTACACACATCCAAAACCAACTTTTATTTATTTATTTTTTTGACACCAAATATACTGACATGGGCAAAATGGCGACGGTTATTGTCATAAATTTCAGTATCGGTAAATTTTCGGTTTATCGCCCAGCCCTACACCACACACAAGCTGTCATTCACACACTGTTTGTACACACCAGTACATTATAAAAAAGTACACCATATGTGAATAGACATGAGTGGGCTGACTCTGCAGTTGTGGTTCAACCTTGTATTTCCTTCCTGACTTGCCAAGAAATGTGTGTTTGTGTGAGTGGATCCATCTCCCGCTTGTGTGTGTGTGTGTTTGTGTGTCAGCAAGTGTTACTACTAAATGACTGCTGATATAATGTCTGTGTCACTGGCTGCCTCTTAGTGAATATTGCAGCCCGAAACCTCAGTCAGTGTGGAGGTGGTCTGTAGATAAACACATTTGAGAACTGATGACACCTGTCAGCATACACACTAATCAACAGGTGTGTGCGTTTGTGTGTGTGTGTGTGTGTGTGTGAGAGACATGAAGTAACCTGAGGAGAGGTGGCCGCATGACTGCCCAAACAGACCAAAACAAAATGTCTCATCACACACCTGTGTATGCATACAGCTTGTTCCATCATGTGTGTGTTTGCCCGTGTCTGCTGCTCTGATTTTTTTTTCTCCTTATTATCCATCTGGTATCTATTAAAACAACCCTCAGGTGCAAACACAAACACACAAGCAGAAACAGAAGAAGTGGGGCTGAATCGACTGGAAATGATTTATGAACCAGCATCACATGAAATTCAGGTGTTTATGTGCGGTGCAGGTGAGTCAGCACAGGTTAAAAGGACAAAAAGAGGAGATTCCAGGAACATGATGAGTCCGACTTTTATCTCCAACATCAGGGTCAAGCTTGAGCACATTTCCCCCTATACGCACGTCATTTTATTGATCTGTCTGTATGTTCTGCTCCCTCTGACTGTCTGTTTGAGTATGTGCTAATGGTGCATAAGTGCCCACTTTGTATTGATTGACAGAATAGTAAATGCTGCTATATAAAAGTAGGATTCAAACGGAAACATCACTCTACTTTTACTGCACCTTCACTGTATTAATCTGCATTTGTACATACTCATGCATTACGAGTATCCACAAGGGGGCAATACTCAAGGAGATAAGTCACTACAATTACAGTGATTTTCATTCTACTACTTCTGCTACCAAAGGCATCAAGAATTCACAAAGCAGTCACCGAACATCAAAAAAAGATGAACTGCATATAAAAAATGTTAAAAAGTGTGTAAAACAACTTTTCCACGGTGTACAAAGTTATTCAGAGAGTGATGAGCAAAGTCAAGAACAAGTGTTGAAAATTATTGCTGGATTAGTGTGAGACAAAGAGGGAAGGAAAATCCGCACACAGGTAACCAGATCCACTCACACTCCAATACACTCTTATGGGACGGTTTGGGTTTGTGTGAGTGGAGAGAGAGAGAGAGAAGTAGAGAGAGAGAAGTCGAGAGAGAGAGAGAGATGTGAGCTGTGAAAAGAGTCTTTGTCCCCGAGAGGTGAGGCTGAGACAAGAACGAGATCAGCATTTGAGCTAATACACACACACACACACACACACACACACACACACACACACACACACACACACACACACACACACACACACACACACACACACACACACAGTATCGTGGAGGCACCTGAGAGGAATTAATGAAGACAACTGAGATCATGTGTGATCAAGATTGGTGGATCAAAAAATAAGACGAATGAGGTGGTGCTGGAGTCAAATGGAGTCACTTTTAAAAGGTTGCAACTGTAAAATTTCATATACATTGAAACTATGCAAACACATAGAATTATATTTTCTTTTAAAGGTATGATTAAAATAGGGAAACTCCTAACATCACTTCAAAGCAGCATGCAATATTACTTTCATTTGCTCATCAGTGAATCTGAGTTCACTCAGTGCATTCATTTAGATGTTTAAAGGTACAGTGTGCAGTATGTAGCAGCATTTAGCAGTACAGAATTGGTAGTAATGGAATATATTAATCATAAGTCTTTTTTAATCAGTGAATAATTATCTGCATGAGTAGCAGGTCCTTTCCAACCAAGCTGCTTTCTTGGACCGGCGTGTTTCTACACAAGGACAGAATAGAAAAAAAGCACTAACCTTCAAATTGTTGGTAGAAGAAGTACAAAAAGTAGAAAGAGAGAAGAGACTAAAAAAGCCTTTTTCACCCAAGTGCTTTTAGCTGATTTTAATGACATGTATTTTCTAATATAAATGTAAAAACCTGCGATAAATGGGGCAGCCTGCTTGAGAGATTCTTGCTTTTATCGCTCTAGCTCTCTCAGATATGTGATGTTTTGGACAAAAGCATCTACAACATGACTCTGTTACACTAAAACACTATAAGTGTGGAAAAAAAAAAGATGTGTAAAAGCGACATGCTCCGCAACTTCCTCTTCGAACATTTACTGAAAAATCTAAGTTAAGGCAAACAACACAACTCTAGCACACCAGGAGGAGCTTTTAAGCCACTCTACATCCTGTGGGCCTGAACCTGACATTCTATCCACTTCCTGTCCGGCAACCTATTCCCACAATGCACTGGGATACAGAGATTGCCATCACCCACAGAGACTTGTCTTAACCCCAGCTCCCATCCGGAAATACCTCCTCTGTCTCTCCCACCCAGTTTGTCCTTTCTGCCACCCTCTGCCATCTGTTGCTCTTCTTCTGATAATCAACCACACTGCACAAATGAACAAAATTTTAAAAAATCAAGCCACCGTTCTTTCAATTTTCTTTAAAAAGTTATTCTTAGGGCCTTATCAGGATGTCCGCGCTTATAAAAGATGCCAAAGACATGCTAATATTGGCTCTTCAGCAGCTCTTAAACAAACTCTATCTCACTGCCCACAAACATGGTGATAATTATAGTAGCTCGAGACCAACAGTGGGAAAAAGAGAAGAGGAAGAGGGGTGGAGAAAAGACAAGCAGGAATGGAGAAAATATGATGCCAAAAAGCAGCGAGGGGAAAAACCAGCCATCAGTCACCAGCAGATTGTGCTGTTATAATGCCGCAGCTTAGCCCAGACTAAACACCATACTCTGGATTAAAGCAATCTCTCTTTTCCACTCCTTTCTTTCTTTTTTTTAAACTTTCCTTCCCCTTCTGGTCCCTCTTTCTCCCCCTTTATACCTCTATCTCTCCCTCTTTTCCCTCTTTATCCCTCTTTCTTCGGCATTCCTGGCCCCTTGCAGACTAAAATCCCTGCATGTGTGTGTGTGTGTTCAGGCTGGTTGGCCAGTAGAGCTACAATAAATGAAGTGTCTTATTACAGCTTTAGGCAATCAAAACACATGCCAAGCTTTTTAAAAAGGTTGAATGGAGCTGAACCTTTCCAGGAAAATGTTGTCAGGGAATATACAGAGCAGCTTTGGCAAGATTTACAATAATGAAAACAAAAAAAGTCCAACCCTACAGACAGCAGGAGAGAGGAGTATTCCTGTACTGTATCTGTGCACCACAGGCAATGAAAAAGCCAATTTGGCAGTCAGAACAACATGTACAAGCATACACACAAGAGACACAACACAATGCACCAAAACAAAGGCTGAGAGGGTGGAGCAGTGAGGAGGAGAACAACGGAAAAGAAGAGAGCGACAGTTCTAAACTTTTAAAGTCACATTCATAATCCGTCATAAATCTATTCTTGGACTTTGCCCAGTATCACAGCTGGGCATCGTCTGCTGTACCAGTGTGACCAGTGTCCCCATGCTGCTGTCATCCTGTATCATAACAGCACAGTTTAAAAAGAAAAACTGTTGCTTATGACATCTAGATTTCTGAACATCCTTCCTATTCCAGCACTGAAACGACCATCCGGATCTCAATTCAACCAACAAGCTTTTAGAGGTGCAATCTGTAGTTTGGACATCCGGTGTTTAAAGGCCCTGTAAGGGGTTTCTAACTGATTGAGAAACAGGCTGAAACTGAAAACGATGCCTCTTTATGTTGGGTGACAATAATCTGACTTCCCAAAAAGAGGACACGACTGCGCGAGGGCTGAGTCATGGAGTCCACAAAGTTGATTTTGGGAGTTTTTCGGGTCGGATCGAGTGTCTTTTACATGCTCCTAACTCAGTAAGTCCACGTGACAACGAATCGAAACTCTCGTATAAAATCACTGACGTTTGAAGAATTTCATAAACTTCCCCGGACAAAGCCAGACCGCCTGGATAGCCCCCCAAAAAGAGGACATGTCCGGGTTAGGATGAAAAAGAAGAAAAAAAGAAAAAGAGATCATCAGCTACAGTTTTATTCCTTTTTGTTATCAATCTAACAACGACTAACACGAATGATAACATTACGTTACCATTCACTTTTACAGCAGTGTGTAACAAAACATTTTGACCTCCTTAACTGAGAGTGATATCAGTGAAAAATTACAAATTAAGACGTTTCACAGATTGTCCAAAAATAAATAAATAAATGGAAACTGATAATGAACAGAGGGTTTGGTTTTATTTTTGTGTACCTAAAATGGTTCTTTTGGGGTTAAAATGTTATGTAGAAATACCACAGTGACTGACAAAGACAACAAGACTGTGGTCTGAATTTTGGCTGAAAGAATAAAGTTTCTGTTTTTCACAACTTCGACCTCACCCTCTCACTACAGCATTATCAGCTGATCTAAATCTTCTTTTTTGACTGAAATTTCACATTAAAGGTGTCCGCTACACACCATCAGGTTTGTGTGGGATAGTTCAGGAACTTAGTCCTTTCTCTTCTACAACAGCAGAGGAGGAAATGCAAAGTGATAAATGGTTGGATTTAAGCGATTGAGAGAGTGCAAAAGACTTTAAATTTATAAAAGTTAATTAAAAGACCAGAAAATGTGGGGAGGAAGTCACCCACATAAAACAGAAAAGATTGCACTTTGCTGTTGCTGTTGTGGCAAGTTTTTGTTTTGCAGCTGTGTGATTCTCAACAGATCAGCTGCTGCTGCGGGTGTCACTTTTTCTCTCAGAAAGGCCTTAAAGGATCAGTGACAGTCTGAACAAGAAGCCTGCGAGAAGGCTTCACGGCAGCTCTTTTGACACTCTTCCAGTTTGGACAGGAAAGCAGGTAAGTTGGTGACAGAAGGAGAGATGGAGCGAGTAAAAAGCACAGAAATCGAGCTCTGTCATTGGCTGGTTAGTTGCTATGTTACACGAGTTGCTACAGAAACATCTGAATGGAAGAGAAAGCATGAATGAGTAAGAAAAAAAACTAGACACTACTGAACACATAATGATGAGACTCTACACACACACACACGAACATTTCAGCAACACTGTCACACTACAGAGGATTTGTTGTTGCGTCACAAATCTCCTAGCAACAACATCTGGGACAATCATGGAGGACCTACAGGAAGGCTGGCTGTGAAAAAAACAACCCAAGAACAGCAGGGCAGAAACAGGGAACTGGAGGGGTTTCTGTTTGTGTGTGATGGTGCTGGAAGTAGACTCAGAGGATCACCAAACTGATTTATTTAGCTTTGTGATCCAGCAGGGATTTACTAATACTGTATGTGGACAAATTTCATGGCAGTATATTTTAGAGTTGTTATTAAAGTTTAAAATATTACAGGATACATTGATCTGCAAGAAAATGACTGTCAGAGGCTACAAATGTCTGTCTGCATGCATCAAGTCCCATTAATGCATAGTAAAAAAAAGTGGATGTGTTTGTACTTATATAGCTCTTTTCCACTCTTCTGACCATTCAAGATGCTTTTACACTACATGTCTCATTTTCAAACTGATTGAGAAACAGGCTGAAACATTTACCCAAGTTCACCACAAATTATACACTGATGGTAACGGCTGTTGTTTCAGTGCTAAAAAGGCCAGCAAGGATAATAAAAGAAAAAAATGTTTTTAGTCAAAGCTGCTGTGAGAAACTTCTGATTTGTCTCAGTTTTGGCGCCCCCTGTGGACAAAGAAGTCTTATCCTGTACGCTACATGTTTAAAAAGTGTCTTTGGGGCAAAATCAGAGGCCCAAATTGATAATTTATTGTGAACACTATCAGGAAATTGTGAATCAGGGTTGTTTCTTCAGCTGCTTGGCTGACACTTTCCCCCTCTCATGGGTTACAGGTATAGACTGTATATACTATGGACAACTTGGTTTGCGCAGTAGCACTGTACGCACTTCACCACTTGCTCAGTAGCAATGTGCGCATTCGGCATTTGGCTCAGTGTATTCCCCCGGGTGAGCTACGCAATCTTTGTACGCCCATAGGCTGTATCAAGTGTCAATCATAGAAAACATAAACTTCCTAATAACTTTTAAAAACGGAGCTTCACAGAAAAAAGAGGACTTGAGCACAAACCAGTCTTACAGTAACTACATGTCAACATCACAAGCAGGGGGGAGAAAAATGTATATTCTGTGTAATAAATTTCTAAAGTTTGTCCGCAGCTCCATAAACTTTGCTGGAGGGTGTGGGATTTATGACCTATACTGCAGCCCATCACCAGAGGGTGCTGTTCTCAGAGGAGGCAGCCGGCGTCCATTCTGTATACAGTCTATCGTAGTGGCATACTGGTTGGTTTCTAAGCAGACAATGCTGATAACAATGACAGCGTATTGATGTTTTTTTTATTGTCTTTATTTTTGCATTTGACAAAATACAACAAATCAATAACACAAAAAATGGGAAACAAAAATCAATAAATGTTGTGTTAATAAAATTTTCAATTTTTCGTCATGGATTAATCCAGTAAAATCAAACATTTATGGTTATCTTAGCTAGTAACATGTTTTAAATGGATTTTTAATGAATTTAGAAAACATTATCATGATATCAGCCTTGTGGGAACAATGCCAACTATTTTTAAAAAAGTGCCATTATTTGGCCCATTTTATTGGCCAACCAATAAACTGGTCAAACTCTAGTTACAGGCACTTAAAATTGGGATATAAAAATCATCAGTCATGTTGGTGACAGTGTTGTTTGCTTTTGGATGTTATAAAAAAGCATTCATTTAAATATAAGGGATGGGCATTTCAAGCAAATTCGACATTCGATGGCAACTATTTGAAAATTATTCAAAGATCGTTATTTGCTCTGCGCGACGATCATCAAACTTACTTCTTCAGGTGACGAAGCTTGTCATTGACTGGTGATCTGCAAACAGTGCCCAACTTTCTGCTGCAGGCCTCGCTCTTAAATGGCCGAGCATACTCGTTGTCGATTTGTGCTATGCTAGTTTAACCTTGCAGAGGTCGCACTGAACTTCTCTTCATTCGAGGTGCCAGTAAAACGCTTTTTTTTATGTTACTAACAAAACCATCATCGCATGAACTATTCGATTTTTTAAATATTCATGACTATTTGAATATTCGAAAAATCATTGCCCATCCCTATTAAATATTACTCTATTTCATGTCAAAAAACATCCTCAGAGGTGCTTGAAGTAGCTTAGATTTACGCAGCACTTATACTCCCATGAATCAGCATGCACTCCATCAGGAACTTTAAATGCAATCAACTTAATTGAATTTACCCATGAGTCATTTTACTTTTTATACTGACTGTCAGTAATCAAATCAAATAAATTAGCCATTAAGTTCACAGGTATTGGTTAACACACCAGCTACATTGAGTGGATAATTACTGAGCAGAAATCAGTGTCAGAATAACCTCTCCTCACTGGCCTTTTCAGTGCAACAAAAACAAAATGTTTAATAGTCAACCTGCACAGTTGCTTATATACAGCTGCGTACTGACAGAATGAAGTCACACATAAGAGCTGCATGGAGCCCCTCATCCATGTGAACAGAGGGTGACCTGACTGGGTGAGGAGGACCACCCTCTAATGAAACAAACTCCCAGTAAGACAGAACTAAAAAAGGGAAACATTTTCTTTATCTCAGCTACACACACACACACACACACACACACACACACACACACACACACACACACACACACACACACACACACACACACACACACACACACACACAGCATTACCGGATACTCCCAGGAAAGTGGACTCTTTTTTAACTGCTCACATGAAACAGTCACATTCCACCACACAGCCTTCACAACACACACACAAGCAAACCACAGGGGGTACTTTCTGTCATCTTTACTCGACATATTAACCACGGCTTTGTTAAAATATTCATCAACAGTGTCACTATGAACCTCCTGACTCACCACAAACACTCTGTGGGTCCAAACAGCTCAATGTGATTTACCCGAATAGTTGCGACTTTGGTCCCGATTAAGGGACACAGACTGGGGTTAGTCCAACAAAACACTGACAGACGATCAATAATACAAACAAAAACAGGCCTTTTGGGAAATCTGAACAACGGCGCATTCAACTAGGGTTTCCTGTAGGAACCTGCTAAATCGTACACAGTGGTTTACAAGTCTTGGGTCAAGCCAAACCACAGAAAACACATTATTAAAAAACATCTGAGACATATGAGGTTGCCTGCAGGGCTCAGCCCCTTATAAAACAAATGTGTCTGCAGAAAAAAGACAATAAAAAAGAAGCAAAAACAAAAAACCGCCAGGCAGAAAATGAGAGATTTTGTTGCATTACATCACTGGCAGAAGAAGTGCCCATTTATTTGCCTCTACACTAGATTGAAACTAACTTATTTCCTGATGGCCTCACGCTCCTGTCAACCATGTGTTTCGTCTGGGCTAATAACACCAGCGTGTTTGCGCAGGGGCTGGTGAGCAGCAGGGTGTTTGGTTAATGTGTACTCCTGAGTGAAGCCAGGGAGGAAAGACAATTTATAAATGCTACAAAAGAGGGAACTTTCCAAAAAACTGGGTGTGTATCATCTACTGAGAGAAAAAAAGAGACAGTATCGGACTTAAAAAAACTGAAAAGGAAAGAAATAAAAGAGCAAAAAAACAAGATTGAAGCATGAATTAAGAGAGAGTGAAAGAAAGAGGGACTTTGAGGAAAAGTAAAGAAAATGGAAGAAAAAGGAAAGTAGAGAGACCCCCTGTTTCAACCCTGCCTGATTCCCTCTCACTCTCTCCTTATATGGCAGTGTTACGTCTGTGTGTGTGTGTGTGTGTGTGTGTGTGTGTGTGTGTGTGTGTGTGTGTGTGTGTGTGTGTGTGTGTGTGTGTGTGTGTGTGTGTGTGTGTGTGTGTGTGTTAGACATGGGCTTAGTCCCAGTATTGCTCTCAGAGGGTGAGATTAGATCAGCAAGAACACACATACTAAACTGAAACTGAAGGGCCTTTGACTCACTGCTCGCGCACCGACGCCCCACTTAGCTCCTTTTAAAAAAATCCTCTTCCATTCATGCACTCTGTCGCACCTTCAACCTTTAATGTTCACACCATGTAAAATACTCTTCACCTGGGTAAAACTGTAAGATGCTTCAGACAAATAAATTAGGTAAATGCCGGACTTTCTGCTGCAAAAAAGTTGTTATTCATACTGTTTTGTTCTTGAGTAATAACTCAAAATTCTACAGAAAGTTAAGAAGCAGAAAAGAGCGTTAGATGACATGAGATAATAACATGAGATTACATCACTATCAGTCTGTTTATGGCTAAGGCTCTTCAGAGGGGACAAAAATAACCCCATGGGAGCTCTGCCTCTGGATGGAACAAATCATAAGAATTCAAAATCCTCTCATTCCTTCTTTTCCTCTTCCTGCTCTTTTCATCCTTCCCTCCCTCCTCATCACATTGCTCATAGCTTCCCAGAATGTGCTGGCCTGAGCCCAAATGACTGGAATGCAGGAATCCAGGTAACACGCCTGCATTGGATGAATCTATTCAGAGCGCTTCTATCTTTCCTACATCTGTGCTGGGAGCAGGTGGAGACGTCTGGCTTCATCAGACCTTTACAAGCCAGCTGATCAAAGATACAGACACAATCTCTGACTGGTTGAGATACAGTCTCTAATTGGTCATTAGCATAGTCACCTAATAACACACAAACACAGAAAAAATGTTGCATACGTTGATAAATCCTTAACATCAGACAATCCCACTCTTTTCTGTGTGTTTTGAGGGGAAAAAAACACTCAATATATTCAAGTCAATACAGTATAGAGTCTTACATCTGGGACCATTTAGTGAGGGTGACAACACTTGATAGTTTGCTTGACCAGACGCACACACTTAGTGCTACTGTGGCCTAAGGTGTTGGTTTTTGCTGATGTCCTGACTCTGACGTTTCAAATAACCAATCATGAGTCCCTTTCAGTCATGCACCAAGTTCCTGAAAATTTCCAGAGATTACCCGGGTGAGCTGATCTACACTGAGGAAGATGTAGACTTTACTAAAGAACATGGATCATCCACTTCACAACACCTTAATGGACCAAAGGGCCAATGGTGGTGGACGGCTCCTCTCTCTTCACTGTGGGACAGAACGATTCAGAAGATCTTTTTTACCAACAGCCATCAGACTTTAGAACTCTTCTGTAAATAGTAGATGACTTTTAGAGACATGACAATTGAATTTCCCTTTGGGGATCGATAAAGTTCTTCTTATTATTATTTTTATTCTGTATGTATGAGCAGAAACAGTTTTTCACCCAGAATATTTCCCGCTCGAGCCCTAGTATCAGTTCAGGGTACAGTCCAGGTGAGCTAATTTGAGTGTGCCGCAGCATGTCTTCCAGAGAATTCCCTGCAGGTAGCGGTGGGGGAGGTTGATGTTTATCATGTGGGGCTGGTGTTCTGTCTTGTTTAGTTACTTGGTTGAAAAAAAAAAGGATCAAAATGATGTGAAAGTGGTGAGACAGCCTTATACTGACTTCTCTTCAGTTTGCTAATTTCACATATCTATAAGTACTGTATATGTCTGTCACTAGTAATCACATTAATGCAAAAAAACCAAAAAACTTTTCTCTGTAATTTTTAGTTGGTTGAAACCTGCTTAAAGGGATATTCCGGCATAAAATTCAGTCAAACACACCATAACACCGAGTTAGATGACCCTTCGTCCAGAGATGAATGTTGTTGACCGCTTGTTTCTCTGGTTAAACCAACTTTAGTAATGACCGCACGATAGCAATACACAGCGGTCTGAGGGGCCATAAGCAATGTGTGTGGCTCCATAGACCGCTGTGTTTTGCTATCGTGTGGCTGTTACTTAAGTTGGTACAACTAGAGAAGCAAGTGGTCAGCAGCATTCATCTCTCGACGGGGTGTCTAACTCAGTGTTACGATGTGTTTGACCCTAAATTAATTTTACATCAGAATATCCCTTTAACTGTGCTTTACGTGCTCCAGTGTCCACATCCCGGGCTTTGGCCCAGAAGCTGAATAGCATGAACCTACTGCTAGGAAGTCAAGGATTGAAACGAAACAATGACAGGCGAAGAAAATTTCTGGGGTCAAAGCCGCTGAAATTTTCCTAAAACTCTTTAGATTGCCAGTCTGAGAGCAGCCAGAGTGTACGATTTTAAGTTGGCATTAAAGGTGGCCAAGACTTTAAGAGGGCCCCTGGCATTCTGGATGCTCCCCTGTGTCTGAATGTTTTATTTTCCAAGTAGCAAACAACAAAAGAAAAAAAAACACTTTCTCTTTCGCAATCATACTTCACACAGAAAAAAAGAAAAAGAAAAATCTACAAGGACTAAGAGATTTTTTTATAAGAGATAACAGGCGATGCCCAAGTTTAAACTCAAATTTGGCAATCCTTAGCATGTACATCAGCAAATCCTCCACATTTTACAACAAAAAGCTTATTTTTATTATTTCTGTCTCAAAGCAAACTGAAAAGGAATCAAGAGGAGGCAGCAAAAGTCCACAGCAATTCTTCTCCCCACCCTCTCTTATGCCATCTTCCTCCCTCTCCTCCTTATCTTGTCATTTCTCTCTCTTTCCCACCCCATCTTGTTGTTCCTATCTTACATGGAAAGGCAGAGAAGGAGAGTGGGACAGATGGGGGGAAGACAAGTTTGTTTTTCCGGAGAGGACAACATTCCCAGGGCCCGAACCATTACTCTTACTATTAATAGAGCGCACATACACACAGCTCCAACCATAACATCAGGTCTTCAATCGCTATAGCGACAGTAGGAAACACAAGCTGAGTTTTAACTTTAATGTTGCTGTTTCAAAAATAAAAAAAATCTAGTTATCTTGTAAATCACAAAATGCCAAACAGATGAGAGGCAGATTAGCGTAAATGAACAGTTGACATGAGTGAAACATGATTCACACTGACAGTCAGCTCACCAGAACACTGTGATTCCTATCAGCGACACGCCCTCCTCTCTCCCCCTCCCTCCTCTGTGATTAACAAAATTTCCACCCAGCGCTGCAGCCTGTCATCAGGAAAATAAGACGCTGTTGTGAAAGTGGCTCTTAACCCGCCATCGGTTTCATGTATTTAGCTGCCGCAGAGGTGCAAAAGGAGGTGAGGAGTGAGAGGTCAAAAGATCAGACTGCTGCCAAACCCAGAGGCTGCTGCAACGACGAGGTGACGCTTAGCAGCACAGGAAGGTTTCTCTATTAGATTTCTGTGTACTTTTACACAACAAAAAATCTGTAACAATAAAAATTTAAAATATTTTATATATAGTTTTAAAAAACTCTAAAAGACAACATCAAACTGCAAAAATCTTTCACCCTGGACATCTAGGCTTCCTCTACTCACCACATGGAGAGATTTTGTGCTCTATTTTTTTATGTATTGGGTTATTTAAGTTTCTTGTATTTTATTTAACTTGAATTGTAAGTATGCCAAAAACACTGTAATGCATGTAAGGCTCTATGATCAGAATTAAAGATTGAAAACAGGCATAACACCACATAAAAACGTCTCCTGAGTTCTCTCTTTTTATTATTCAATATGAAAAATTCTCACCGCCGAGAAGGCCGAGGGAACATTTTGATGTGGTCGGGACAGTATAAAGCTTTGTACATTAACACAATGAAGTGCACAGTCCATTTGAGCTCTTTGATTCAGGAGAAATGAAGCATGTATGATTACACAGAGTACTGTACAGTGAGTACAGTAACAAAATCAACAGCTTCATTCTTGCATTATAAACAAGTTCATTATTCAACAGAACCAAACAAATCAATGGAAACAGAGCCTTTTCTGCACACAAAGAGATGATTATAAGATGCACAGTGGGGATTTGGCCTCATGCTTCATTACTGTTGTCATTACTTGAGCATAAATACCGAATAGAGCAGCTCTAAGCATGAACCCAACAGCAAACATGAATTGAGCTTCGTGTTCATCTGGTGAAAACAGATGGCTATGATACACATAATAAATACGCTGATTTAAAAGTCATTAAAGAAATTATAGATCATGTCTTGGTATTTGCAGGAGATGTGTTTGGATACCCAAAATTAGAACCATAAAAAATGTCTCACATTACACTCCATATTGTTGTAGACTTAATGGATATCTGAAGTCCTGCCCATGACTGCGATCGAGAAGTGACACTGTTGAGTGCAAGGGTCTCCTAATAGTTTAACTGTTGTGAGCACGGAAACAGAAACAGCTTAGGGCATTCTGCATTCAATGTATCGAAGGTAATAATGGCAGCATAAAAATGCCACAGGTCCTGAATGAAATAACGTAGGAGTACATTTACGGTAACACTGAACTATCCATGAGATAGAGGAAGTTTGTATTTTATCCCACATTAACTCAAGTTAGACCTTTTTTCCAGTTGCCAATCAAACAGTTTGTTGCCCAAATTATAAGGTACTAAAAACTTGTCATCTCTGCTGAGAGATGTTTGCTCAAAACAGCAAGTGGCAGGTGAACAAATTTACCAAAACAATTTTAAGAAGTCTAACCAGGGATATGGCTTGCATATCAGCCATATCAAGAAATCAGTATGCAGGGCATCTTCTTCTTATACACTGTGTAGCTAGGGCTGGGTGATATGGGAAAACATTTATCACAATATATTTTTCTCATATCAGTCGATATCGATATATATCACAATATTAAAAAAAAGAGGTAATTTTGCAGTGCTTATTGGTAGCATGTCTTTCGCAATAAGCTACTGCATCTGTGAGGCCTTGTGTCTCTTCGTTTTGTCGAAAGGTGTTGCACTCTTAAAGTGCTATGGTTGCGTGCAGCTGCAGCCTGCTACTACGCAGTTGTTTGCTGTGTCTCATGTACTTTTACCTGTCAAAGAAAAGAGTGAATAAGAAAAGAAATACAAACATAGCAAAATGGCAACAGCTGATGGAGCCCTTTTGTGACCTGAAGTCTGTGAGCATTTGACCCTCGATCGAGAGGCAACCTCCGGTCTTGAGAAATGAAGCCAATGTCAAAGTGCTAAAAACAGAAAATCCTCGAGAGTTTGCTTCAGGCTGGCTCATCCGTTCTCGAAAAGCCAGTTTTTTTACAGCATGAATAAACGTGTTCACGGCTTGGTTCAGAAAACTGTTTTAGTCTCTATCTGCACATGCTGTACAGAGGGTAGTTTTACTGTAGCTGTTTGCAGGGAGGCTTACAGCTACGCCTCGACTTGAGTCATGTTTGGTTGACTGAAAGTGAGGTTGACTGCAGGCACTCAAAACTCAGCTTCTGAAACCAATAGGGGATGTCAATGAAATCACTGCATTCATGTTTTGGATCGTCTATTTCCTCAGTACTCTGAATAAAGGGCAAAGTGCAACATTTGTGAAGAAAACCATGGAAACCTTCAAACTATTCCTGCCAAACATTTCATCCTTTCTCTCCATCGTTACACTTTTTCTTTGTCATTTACCTCTTCTAAACTGTAGACCGAACTCTTCACCTGCGCTTTAAAACAAAATTATAAATCTCTAAATAAGTACCAGTTTAAAGCCAAGAAGAAAATACAAATTATAATGAACCAAAAGGGAGGTAAAATGATATACATTTGTTTAGAGATCACAAATACATACTAAAAGATAAGGACTTGCATTGAACTGGAAAAGCTGCCCCCACAATCGCACTCATCAGCTTATGTGCGATGTAAGCCAACAGAAATGTCTCTGTCAAAACAAAGCAGAAACCTCTCTTTGAGCCCTTCCTTTTATTATCTTAACATGTATGACTGAATGCATGTGTGAAATTATTCTTTTAATCAAGAGGTGTTTATATTTAGGTCTATCATGCTCTGTCAGGCACAAACAAACACCTGCGGCACACACAGACACAGATACACACACACTTGGAGTCCAGAGAGTCTTTTATGGCTGAAGGGCTGTTCACTTTGTCAATAAGATCCAGATGTGAGCTCAGTGGGAGAGGGGATAAAAATAGTCAGTGAGGTGAAGGAGACAGAAAGAATAAGACAGACACAGGGTCAGAAAGAAAGAAAGAAAGCAGAGAGAGAGAGAGAGAGAACATGGAAACAATGATCTCAGAGAGGTAAGTCGGGCAGAAAATGGTTCAGAGCAAATGTACAGACGGGGGTAGCAGAAAAGTGCAAAATGTGTGAACTCGGTTTGTCTTATAGTTTCAACATTTTTGATTCATTTCTTAAACAGAAACACCAGCCCCTCTGATGTCACCACATTCCTACGGCAACATACACACACCCCCCAATCCACACTAACGGTTGCCGGGGACGACCAAGAATACAAATAGGGCAGCCATCACTACAGTTCCATCACTGTCCAACCTAAATACGGAGCTGTTAAATAAAGTTCTCTGGTCCTGCTCTCTTCGTGGTGTTTTTGCTCTGACAGACACATTAAGGGAAATGCAGGACTGTGTGTGTGTGTGTGTGTGTGTGTGTGTGTGTGTGTGTGTGTGTGGGTCAAAATGCCTCCCCCAAACCCACTTCCTGCCCTGCCCTCTCAATGAAGACAATTATGGTTCCTGTGAGAAGGATCAGACAGAAGAAACAGCTCCTTAAAAGGCAGGAACCATGTTGTTTTCACCTCTGCACACATTTTTCATATTAAAAGTCAATACTGTGTACTTTAAATATAAAAGAGGTTTTTTTTTTTTAGCTCTATAAGATGGAGTACAGTGCTGCCACACTAATCACAAGCTAAATTTGTTAAACTACTGAGACACAACCTCGCTGCAACTGCCTTTTCTTGCGCTTCAACTCGAATAATAAGCGCTTTTAAACTGATACTTTTAAAACAAAATATATGAATCAATGTCCAAAGATTACAGAAAAAGTGTATAATATAAGACAACTTGGGCTCTACTTACACATGCACAGAACTCCTAGAAATTTCCAGACCTTTTCAGATGGACTACATATATGAAAATAAAGTTTCTGAGAGTACATCTCGCAAAAAGCAGGGGTGAACTGATGATGGGAAGAGAGCAGGGTGCTGTCTTTGTGCACATATGAAAGCAAACATTAAACGTTAAGACTCTCTCCTACTTAGGTTTCTGGTAAAATGTGAAAAATCAACAACGGAAATCTGAAATTTTTCAAAGCTACCTATCCTAAAATTAGTTTGAAAAGGAGCGCATGTGTAAAAACGGCTTCAAAAATACATTCATCTGAAAATCTAACAGAAAACTGCCAATATAAAAACATTAAAGACATCAAATAGAGTCAAACATGCACAGAGCAAGTGTATCTCAACTTGTGCTGTTTCTAAAAATGTCTATTTTTTCTGTTTTAAACCCACTTCTCAGGAAATAAATCAACCTGTTAGCTTAGTGATTGTTGAGATTTTTAGGTCTTCATGCTTTAAGCTACTTAAATTCACCAAAATATTTACACACATTTTTCATATAAGTCCAGCTGCTGTATTGAATAACATGGTGAAACAAAACCTCAATCATCTTAATTACTTGGCTATAGAGAGTTCAAGATGTAAACACAGGTTCAAATGAGGTAAAGACACAGATTTACGAAACACGAGATTCTCAGTGAAGAACGAGCGGAAGAAAATCTCTCATTCATGTGGTAATAATGTCACACAAAACAGGTTACAAAAGATAGAAAGGAAGCGCGAATCAACCACTCGCTTCATTGTTTAAGAATCCAAGGTCAGGTTGCGTGCTATTTTTAGAGACTTCACGTCTTCTTATCAGGAGAGTTCTGTCTCTCAGCCTTCATTCACAATGTTGTAGCTTCTCAGAGACAGCTGCAGCTAAACTGACATGATAAACATTAGCTAGATAAAATGATGATACAAACATGCGGCAACACAAACACAACAAATGTGTCAAGGTGTTACTGTTGGAATCCACCTGTTTTTCAACATTTAAAGGGATATTCCGGCACGAAATTAAGTTAGGATCAAACACACCGGAACACCGAGTTAGACACCCTGTCGGGAGATGAATGTCGCCAACCACTTGCTTCTCTAGTTATACCAACTGTAGTAACGACCACACGATAGCAATACACAGAGCCACATGCTCAACCAAAACGCTACTCTATAGCCACGAATAATGCTAAGAGCAGCACGTAACTTCATCAACAGTACATATAGGGTCCCAACCACAGTACTATCCAACAAACATCTTTTTAACTTTGCCTGATTTCTTTAGAGACTGAACACAACTCAACCACTCTCTTCCAGCAGCTGCTTGTTTGTATGGAGACCTCAGACAAGTCCATTACCGACTGCAGTGGGGGGACGCAGCTCAAGGAAGAACATTTATGACCATTACTTTATCATTTCCTTTAAGTAAAAATTATCATATTAATCATTTTGCTCTGCAGACGCTGTAGTTCTTCTGCCTTAGCATCTTGGTCTGATTGCATTTCCATGAAGAAATGATCATAAATGTTCTTCCTTGAGCTGTGTCTCCCCGCTGCAGCCGGTAATGGACTCGTCTGAGGTCTCTGGACAAACAAGCAGCTGCTGGAAGAGAGTGGTTGAGTTGTGTTTAGTCTCTTTGCTAAAGAAATCAGGCAACGCTAAAAAGATGTTTGGTGGCTAGGACTGTATATGTACTGTTGATGAAGTTAGGTGCTGTTCTGAGCATTATTTGTGGCTATAGAGCGGCGTTTCGGCTGAGGCTCTCAATGCATTGCTATCCTGTGGTCATTACTAAAGTTGGTATAACTAGAGAAGCAAACGGTCGACATTCATTTCTCGAGGGGGTGTCTAACTGGGTGTTAGAGTGTGTTCTAACTTAATTTTATGCCGGAATATCCCTTTAAGTTGGGAACACAGGATTTATATTTCCCTAGATGGCAAAAAGTCCCTCTACGCCATCACACTTGGGATCAGTTGCTAATTTTTAGTTCCGATCTGACAGTTTTCAGAAATATGCGCTCCAGCTGTGTTTAACAAAGATGTGATATCTGTAGAAAATTACATAATTCCCCTCCTCATTTCATAACAATTCAGAACCTCAAAATCAAAATGTCAAGTGATGAATAAATTGTTTGAAAGGGGGAAGAAGTGGAGGCCCAGTTGAAAATAAGAAGCCTATTGAGGAGTGAAGAACGACAACATTGTTTCAGGATAGACAGACACAATTACCCTCAACCCTCCTAACTGTCACTGGGTGATGGGAGCTTTATGGAAGTGCCTCAAATATACTTTCAATGGCACACACACACAAAAACACATACCTCCAATCTCTGGATAAATGGTGGTCATCATCATTAACCGTCATCAGTGCCACAGTGATTGCTGCTGTTATATTTGGAAAAAGTTCCACTGTGTTGGTTGGATGTGGAAGACAGCCAAAGGACAACAGGTCAATACACACACACAAACACACACACACACAAAAGACACACAAATGTACCCACTTCTGAAAGAAGTTAAAAACTTGAGAAAAGTTTGCTTGTTTCCTCTACACTCCAGCCAAGATCAATTTCAAAAGCGTGTTTCTGGCTACTGGAATTGTTTTGGTTCTGGTTCAAGTATTTCAAATTGACCACAATAATCAGGCCAAAATTAAGTCCTGACACAAACAGTACACCTCATTACTGCCAACAATAAATGTTAAGCTTGCAGGGTTGATTGACTCTGGATCTTTTGCCAGACAAATCCAAAATATTTTAAATACCTTAATTAATCAGCCAAGATTATCACTTTGTCTTCTAACGAACAAGTTGTGCTGTTGGAGTTGTTATGTACCAACACTTTAAGTTTGATATAGGCTTAAATATCAGCAGGAATAATAAACCAGGTTGGGAATTTATAGTTAAATGTTGTTTATTTCAGCTACAGTGCAGCCACCCGCCACTTTACAGGACAGTGGCTCCGGCAATTGGCAACTGCTAAAAAGCTAAAATGCTCTACTACCCTGATGTAACAAGTAAGGATGACTTATGGCATCTCAGGGAGGAACTGATTAGCCGTATCAACCATATTCCTGAGGGCGCCACTGTATTTACAATTATGGGCTAAACTTCCAGTGGTATAACGGAAACAGTGTTAAGTTTGTTTGGCTAATCTTATGCTGCGCTCGAGTTACCTCGGAAGTCAGATGTCAGAGCTGAAAATGACGTCACACCCGAGTTACCAGAGTTTCAGTTACCAAGTTGGAAAAAAGTTAAATCGGAGGGGGAACTAAGATAGCTACATCTTTAAAAGTTATTTTAGCACTTGCCTTGTCCTTGTTATATTCCAACATTTTCAGCACCGACATCTGACTTCTGAGGTGACCCAAACGCAGCATTAGTGACTGAGCATCGAAAATACCTCACTCTGCCTTGTTTTTAATGCATGCTAGGTTTTGATAGAGTGTTACATATTTGGAAAGGTCTTTTTTTGTAGTTCTGGTACGTGTTGTGCCGTTCACGGCTGTACTGATAACCAGTTGAAGTTGAATTTACGATTTGATGAGCACTCAAAACAAAGAGGGAGTGTTCCTGTGACCCTTGCTACAATTTCCATTGTCTAGTTTCTGATAGACTTTGCTTAGAATCAGATTTTATTTAAAAATCACTTTTTATGCAATGCAATGCAAAATGCTGTACATGAAAAAGGAAATTAGTATACAGTCACAGTGATTAAAAATGTATTGATTTAATAATTTTGTTAATTAAATAAGCAAGGAAAATCATCCATAATACTAAAACACCTTCCACAGTATTGCAGCTGCATGGCTGCAGGATCACCCTGGTCTTGCAGCTCTGTGGCATGGTGTTGTTAGGATACCGAGGCCCTGACTTGGCTATACATCTGCTTTCCAGCATAAATTGTCCCCTTTAAGGTGTGACAGCTGATTTTCTCACATGTTTTTTATCCTCAATCGCTCTAATAATCATGATTAGCGTACAGTTGCTATGGAAAAAGCCAGCTCTGACAGAGTGACAGAAGTCACTGGAGGACGCACCCATGATTCACGCAAAGCAACATGGGAGCCGGGAATAAGGTGGATACTAATCTAGAGATCAGACATTAAGTAGTAAATAGGCTGTGTCTGATTAAACCAACATAACAAATGATGTTATGTGGGCGCATGACAATCATAAATTTAAAATTACCATGTAAACAATAGTCAAAAAATATCCTGCCTGTGACTGTGGATGTTTTGATAAAAACAGCTGATTTTGCAACATGTCATGGACTTGCAGGCCCAGCTGGCCCAGTTCACGGTATTTAATGGTAGATAAAGCAATCAATAGACAGCGCAGACACAAAGAATGAACTTCAGAATCAAAGATACAACAGAAGAGCCATAATGACTTTTATCTCTTCAAACATACTCTTGTGAATCAAGCTGTTGAAACACACATATACACACATACACACACACACACAGGGCCCCTCTATCTCAGTCTAATTCTGTCTCTCTCTGTCACACTCTGAAACACACTGAGGTCCAAGTTTTCTCAGTTGAGGTAAGGTCAACATATCTTCAGAGTGACTCATAGTTTTGTGAAAACTCATTGGGAGAAAATGTTTGAGTTCTGTACGAAGGTTGGAAGCAGCAGGGAAGACCAAACCTCTCAATAATCACCTGGGAGGAGAGCGGGGAAGGGAGACAAGTCACTCTTTTGGACTTTTTGGAATCCAGGAACAAACAGACTCAAATTATCAAACATCTATACATCAAGCATGGATGATGTGAATGTCAGATTATAGCTGGGACCATCAACAGAATGTCTCACAAATCCTGTAAAGGTGACTGATTGTTGTGAGTCTGAGGGATATTTACTCTGACCATAAACGAATCGTACACACTTACATTTTTGGTCTTCGCCTGCACTTCTCCTGTTAATTAATGGCGTTCAAACTTTACCTGTTTAAGGACTGGATCCCTATAACACTACATGCCATTGGCTAAACCAACCTTTAACCAAACAGGGTGAAAAAACATGGCTGCGCTCCACAGTGATGTCATTCACGTGCTGTGGATGATGTAATGACATCATTACGGCGTGCTGTTATGAAATCCACATGATAGCGATGAAGTCACTGATATAATAGTATGGTTACAGAAGTGTTGAACTGGACATTACAGGGCTTATCTAACCTCTGATTCAGCAGCCAGAAACACAACTACATATGAGACACACACACAAACACAACTACACAAAAGCACCAGGCATACATATCATGCTTCATAATTCCTGCCTTTCTAGTTAAACTTATCAGGGTAAGGAAAAGCATGAAGAATCGTGGACTTTGAATTCAAGCTGTATAAAACCCAAACAAATGCAATGAGGACCAACACCACCTGCCTGTGAAGCTGCTGTAGCTTTCACCTCGATTTGTTCCCTTTTCCTATCATCCTCCTCTCCCTGCGCCTTTATCCGAGATCCAAGAAGCCACTCGGGAACAACGCTCCGACTCTTCCAGCTTCTTCCGTTCCCAATTTGTCGCGAGTTTCTCAACTGGCAGCTAGAGCATGACCCAAAGCGACGGACTGATGCCATAAGACAGAAGACAGAGTGAGAAAACAGAGAGCAGAGTTTTTCCTGACATTATTCTCCGAGTGACAAAAGACGAGCGAGAGGATAAGGTTTGATGGTCCGGTCAACCCACAGTGAGTCGACCAAGGCCTCCACTATGTATATGTGTATGTGTGCAAGTGTGTGTGTTTCCGACCACGCCGCGAACTATGCATGCTACACTTTGGAAGAGTGACAGTTGTGCCATTGTGAGATCGACTGGCAAAGACATGGAAAGTGACAATCAGTCTAAGTTCATGGAGAGTTATGTGCATATAGTCATACAACCACAGACCGCTCTTTTTCTCTGCTCTTTAGAGCGTGTCCACAAAAACAGTATTTGACATTTACTGTTCAACAATCTTTTGTTCTCTGTTTTTCAAAAATATTAAATAGCTTCAGTTATTATTACGGGCCGTTAAAGAAGAAAAAGTAGTTTTCAGTGATTATTCCAGTTAAACGTATCTAAAGTTGAAGTAGTAAAGAAATGAAGAGCACTAATGTGATGCCCAAAGCTATATACGTGTGACAGTATTGGCTCTTTATTTCAAAGCTATGTGTTTAAAGGTCCTTACATACCCGGAGCGTTTGTTTCGTGCGATTATTTCAAACGTCTGTATTTTTTTTCAAACCCGTATCCTGTCAATACAAGCGTTCACATCAACGATGTTTTCCTGTCCTGCGATATTGCAGCATTTATTTTTTCGGATCACGGTCGATTTTTCTTAAGTTTCGCATACTGCGTGTCCACTTCTGACCAATCAGATTTCATGTTGTTGCAACGTCTGATTCACCGGTATATCCAACATTGCCGACCGGCTGATCGTTTGTGTGTCTGAGAACAGAGTGCTTTTTGATAAAAAACACAAATATTATAAAGATAACGACCTGAAGGACAACTTGTGGAGAGTCATAGCGTCGGATTTCTCATATGACGATGGTTTCTGTGCTTTAACAGTTTACTAAACGTCTTTGTTTTAACTTTCATCTGTGCTAAGTATTTTAAGCTAACCTGTTCAGATACAACATACCATATGTATTTTCACTGTCTCAAACTCAATCGCGTTGCTGTCACAGCACCATTAGGTCTCGGTTGTTACCTTACGTTTATGGATTATAGTTTAATGTGCTTATCTGGTACTGGCCCCAACTCAGTACATGATATCATGACAGACAGTCATCTCAACACTAGTGTCTAATCAGAACTAAAAAAACAGTCAGTCTGCTGTTGTGTCAGTCTTCTCGCTTCCACCCGGGACGCGTCTTTTTCCCACCCAGAAAGTCACAAAATCTCATCGTGCTTGATGTGTATAGTCAGGCACGTCAAAATTCGCTTCTGAATATTTCGTAATTTAGCGCTGCATATTTGCGTTGTTACCAGTGCGTAAGGACCTTAATCCTGCTATATTTAAAATGACTTACTATTACACATTTTACTAAAAATAAAATGTAGTGTGTAACAGTCTGACACATTACATTTTACTAAGTTTACGGAGTTTAGATGATTCCTGGTATGTGTATGACTGCCACCTATGCAACTGATCACAGGTGAACAACCAACATACTGAAGGTCTTTTTGTAAATGTCTGTATCCACTTGGACTGCAAATGCATAGCTTGGAAAGCAAACTACATGCATGACAAAAATATGCTATATTAAATGTCTTTAATAAATAAATGACCCAATATTAAGAGTAGAGTAAACTCCAGATGAAGCAAGTGCCCATTTTCTATGCTTTTTGACACAGAACCACACTTAAGTCTGTAGAATTCTGCCTGTGCACACAAAAAGCTGAAATAGCAGCTCTTCCAGAAAGTGCTGTTTCAGAGGAGGCTTTCCTTACATAAGCAAACTGCTCTGTAATTACACTGGGTGGATCCACGCAGACTGAGAGAGTTGGAAAGTAACAGTCTGAAGGGGAGCAAATGGGACAAGAAACCAGGACACAATGAGCATAAAAAGATATAAGATCAAGCAGAAGGGCTTCTGCTCAAAGATTTAAACTGGTATAATTTTCCTGTTGCCAAGCTGCAGAGAGCTTTTTTTCCCCGAAAAATCGGGGAGGTGTCCTTAAAAGGGAACGTAAAAGATTTTCAAAGCATATTGCAACTGTCATCAACTGAGGGCAAGGACATCCAGAGTTGTTTTCCCACAGTTTCTTTCCCACTGTGAGAAACCAGATGCAGTCTTGTGTTGTGATTTGTTGTAGTGACACACATGTCAGTTGAGTTGCCGTTTTTTTTTTTTTTTTTCCTTAAATACTCACAACCTCCTTCAAAGGAACCTTGATTTTTCTCTTGTGTGCCAAAGTCAATGTTAAAAAAATTACCTTCATTATCATTTTCTGCGTTGCTTGTACAAGATTAAGGATTACAAGAGACGCATTAAACTTCCGAAAATTAAAGTGCAGACTCCATTTCCATAGACAAACAGAGATTAATAAAAAATCTAAAAAGTGGTCGGGGGCACTTGATAAAAGGGGGAATTAAAATACTTCCACCACTGATTAGTCGGGGGTAATTGTTGAGATAGTAATCAAGAGCTGGTTCTAGATGAGAATGAGGTTTAGCTAGTGTGAGCCATCAACATCAACTACCTTGATGCTAAACAGTTCCTTAATTGATGCCGTCTGAAAAGTTCTTGCCAAACAATGATGTGAGGCATCAGCGTGACCGTCAACTAAGGAGTCAACCATGAAGACAGGAGCAGTCCAAACCTCGGCTATTAAAATAGGACGGTAAAACGTACCAACTTAAGGTGAAGTCCATTTGCTTTATGGGTGATAAACTGCCTCATCAAGGGGCCTTTCTGTCCCACAGAGGAGATCCCTTTATCTTAATAGCGTGTCTGGATCCAGTCTACCAAAGTGAAGGTAATCTGCAATCGTTTTGGCATGAATTTTAGGTAAATATTGTTATCTGTACTGTTAGCTGACTATGCTAACTCAAAGCTGCCATCTTTGACCAATAAGAGCTGTAGAGGTCCAATCAGAAGCTTGGATTTCGCATCACAGCAGAGCAGTGAGACCAAGAAAAGTTGTAAAAGACCAAATTGTGTTATTGACACATTAAACATATGTCTACTGTCTTTCACACAGACAATCCACAGGAATCACAAAGGGAATTGATAAAGAATTGAATCAATAAGCAGGAACAATGATGACATTGGTACCAATATAATCTTGTCATTTCCCAACCCAAATCATGAATACAAGCCGCCAGAATGGGTTTCCTTCACAGGGTGGCCGGGCTCAACCTTAGAGATAGGGTAAGGAGCTCGGACACTCGGGAGGCGCTCAGAGTAGAATCGCTGCACCTCCACGTTGAGAGGAGTCAGCTGAGGTGGCTCAGGGAATCTGGTTAGGATGCCTTCTTGACGCCTCCCGTTAGAAGTGTTCTGGACATTTCCCACCGGGAGGAGACCTTCTGGCCGGCCAAGGGATTATCTTTCGCCTGGCCTGGGAGCACCTGGGAATCCCCCCGGAGGAGCTGGTGGAAGTGGCTGGGGTGAGGGTCGTCTGGGCCACCTTCCTGAAGCTGCTGCCCCTGCAACCCGGACCCGGATAAGCGGAAGAAAACGACGACGATTCCCAACCTTTGATAATTGTCACTTGAGCAACAGTTATAGCAACAGATATTTTGGACCCAACTCTCTTCACCAATCTTTCATTTGACAACCCCAAAAGGCAAAGACGTGGTCAGTTTAGAAAGGCTCTTTTGAATATATTTCTATTGAAGATGATGTCTTATTTTGAATTTAGTCTTTTGGGGGTTGTGCCTGTCGTGGACAACAAAGCAAAAGAAAGTTCATGTTGCCCAATGAGGGTCCAATTGGGCTGAATAAAGAAGTGTAAATGAGATCAAAAGTACCTACTTATTTCTAAAGCTTTAGGCTCTTTTCTTATAGATCAAATAAAAAAATATGGCTTTAACTGGGTGTTATGACCCAGACCTCTATAATCTGCAGAAATAATCCCCTTTAAAACCATTATTGATAGGAAGATTTTGTGCAGATTAAACATGAGATATTATTTGACCTCTACATCTTTGCGTAAGATATGAACATGAAAGCAGGTTAGTTACTCAAGGTAAAGATGGTTGATAGATGATATGATTAAACAGTCATCTGCAGGAAACAAACTATTGGACAACTACTCAGCTACAAGTGATTGATTTCTGATGACATGATGAACAAACTGACATGCACGTTTACTGTCTGTGCTCTGTTGAAATTACTTCAGCATCTCTAAAATTAGCCCCCTAAACTCCCCACAGCACAACCAAAACACACTCCGACTCAAGGGAACACAAAACATTTTTGTTGTGTCGGTCCCAAAAGAAATACACCAGACTGTCTGTGTAAGAAAAAGGGAGCGAGGGAGAGAGAAAGAAATGCTGCATGTGTGTATTTGATTAGAGGACATGATGCCTTGAGGTACAGGACGTTTTCTCTCCAGAGCCCTCTGCTCCTTTGGGACCCTAACCACATAGGAACAGAAACCATAGCAAACACTGGAGATCCATTTTTGTTTTTAAGCTACTTTTATGGCTCTTGTTAGAGAAATATGGTTCTATCTAATCAAATCAACCCGCTACATGGATGTCATCTTATTTCCAAGTGGAGCTATCCATCTTTTAAGGGTTCACTGTCGGGTGCATTTTTCTGCTTTTGCTGGAAAAAATAAACCAAAACTGTCTGCTGTCGGAGTCTCTTTTCGTGTCATTAAAACCACAGGTATCAGCACTGTGGCCTTTTTCTGATTCTGATTCATCCCACCTCTTCCTTCTCATCCGCTGAGTCATAGGGACCTTCAGTCAGAACAAGCCACATCCTTTTCTCTTTTATCTCTCCATCACCTTTGCCTCACTCAACGTCCCTCACTTTTCAGACACAACTAACAGTGGACTGACCTTTGCAGCTCAAAAAAAGAAACCCTACCACCCACATCATGTCCTTCATATGACTATTACTTTTAAGTCGGCTTTCATAGGTGCTCCTTCCTCTCTTTTGATAAGTGGATTAAAGGTTTTAAATCTGCCTGTTATTTTAATAACACACAAAAACAGCCCAAGAAATATCAATCCAGCACTTAGATTACACGTGCCCAGCCATAACACTATTTTTACAGACTGATTACACAATTAGAGTGACAAGCTGTTGTCAATGTGAGATGCTGAGGGACCCTAATTTTTTTTAAAAAGCATAAGCGCAAAGAAAACCAATTTATAATCTGCATCTGTACCCTTACTGTTCTTTCCTTTTACATGTACATGTGGAGAGAAGTAAGGAGTGAAAGAAAAAGAGCAGGCAGAAGGAAAGTATTTGATTCCATGTGGGTGGCCTGATAAAACAATGTCAGTCGTAAATCTAAAGCTATAAACACTCTGCTTTTAGACCTAATCCATATAGAGCAGAGCCCAAACCAAACTCCTTGTCTCCTTTTTTCCCCCCATTTTTCTCTGTCTTTTTTCAAATAAAACCTGCTGGTCCTTTATTCAACCTGTTCTCCATCAATAAGATTGAAGGTACTAAAAGGTTGATGGAGATTTGAGAAGGTTTTGTTGTTGTTGTTTGAGATTCTACTCAGATCCAAGTGATTTGGCTTGATATATTATGCTGAAGACCAATGTACTACTTGTGGTACTAGCAAGCTTAGAAGATGCTATCATGAAGTTATATGACATCAGTCTGAAATAATTATCAGCAGATAATGGACATATTGAAGTATAAGCAATTATGACAATAATAAAGTTTAATCTAATAAAAACAAGTTATGCTTTTTTTATATATTGACAGGCCTCCACATGCAGACACAGTAGATGGTAGGAGTGGGAATCACAAGTGGCCCCACAATACGATATAATCATGATACTTGCACCACGATACGATATTATTGTGATTTTTAACATTTTGCAATACAGTGAGTATTGCGATACAATATATTGCGATTTATACGAAATTTTCAACTGTTAAGCTAATTTAGCATTTAGCTTTTCTTTATGTTTGCCCTATTTACACTGTATTTTATTCATGTAGCACATCTTGCAAATCTTACATATATATTTGTTGGACTAACTTTGTCCTGCACTACTATGTCACCTATGAAAACCTCACTGGACAAACAGTTGGTTTTATTTTTCCATTATCATAGATTTGACTTCATATTAGCAATAATTTCAAAAATTGATACTTGTTAAATAAGACGATACGATATATCACCAGACAAAATATCGCAATACTATGCTGTATCAATTTTTTCTCCCACCCCTAGCAGATGGCAGTATGCAATCCGCCATTATATACAGAAAAATCCGTTTATATGTTATTTACTTTACCCTGAGAAGGGAAAAAAGGTCTCAGTTTTTAACATGACTTAACTGTTCAGTCAAATACGAAGCCCTCATCACAGAAAGGATTTCACCAACTAACAACATATATCCTACGACTTTCCTTACCTGCCCTGTTTCATGTTGTCTTTACACATAGGTCAGAGCTGTTCTTAGTGGTTTTGTACAGATTTTTGGTGGAGATATTAATAAATATGCATCTTTACTGACACCTTTGTACTTATCCTGCCTAAAATACAAAAAAACATATGGAAAAATATCCCCAGTTATACCAGTATCAGCCTTAAGGAGCAGGTTATTATGCGCAGTAAGTGATAACATAGTGACTAACAGACTGTATGAAATATATCTTAGGGAGTCTTAAGCTCTTTTGCTAAGTTAAAAGCTGTTATGCAACAAGAGACATAAAGAGATGGGCCAAATTCCTTTTGTTAGATAAATGAAAAGCTTTTATGTCAGTGGGGGTAACACACTTTCCAAGATCCTTGATAAAGCCTCTTATCACTCTTAATATAATAATATTTTGAAAAAAGCTTTTGCACTCTGTTTTATCTATAACATATTTTGGCAGTCATAGATATCAAAATTTATTATGTCCTCATCATACACCTTTGATTAATTTTAAAAACAGCCTTTTTCTCCCTTCTTCTCCTCACTCCTCCCCTTGGCACAGTTTCATTCTTAAGCTCTCCCTCAATTCTATTTTCATCCTGTTAATTTCTTTTAGCCAGCAAGTCTCCTCTCTCTCTCTCTCCACCTAACATTTGGCTCAGCGGCCTGCCTTACACAGAGACAAATGGTATGACTTCACTTCACTGCAATGTTCCAGAGACAAAGAGCGAGACAGAGAAGAGAATCAAGAATAAGATAGCAGGAAAATGCTCGATTATTTGTTTTTTTTAAAGGCTTACAGTGATGGGGTGAAGGTTACAGCTGCAACAGACTAATGGACCATTACAGCTGACAGACTTTGACCGAGCATCTGTTTGACTGGCAGTGGAGTTCGGGAGAAACAGCGTACAGAAATAGTAAATAAGGCTAATCTGAAACTCTTATGAAGGTTAAATTAAAGACAGACTTGATATCAAGGAGTTGGCTCTATTTTGCAGTTTAAAAGAAACAATCTCTCCAGATAAGGAAAAAGCTTGTTGTCTCATTTTCCCAGGTCTTTTGCTTGATTGAGCCCGGCACGTGTATCTCATTCTGTCCAAATTTTAAGCATGTTCACTACACCAGAACAGTAAATGCAGCCCTCAGACAGTGGTTTTCGTTAGGCGTACATAAAAAAAGGTTTTGGTACATGGACAAATAATGTGCATGTACATCCACAGGCTCAGCAAAAAGGCAGAATAAAGGACAAACCGGTTTATATCAAACACATTCAGGGAAGTCACAAATCTGCACACACACACTCGCAACACAATGGACGGCATCTGCACACAAGTCAGCCAACAGTGCTGGACATCATCAAACACTTCAGTAACCACAACAACTTCCCTTTTCTCTGGACCCATTTCCTGCCTGCTAAGGTCAATCACCAGCTTCTGCTGCTGATGCAGAAACAACACGCAGGCACAATGGGCTGGGAAGTGGAATAAAAAACAGCTAATGTGACCCGGTGCAATAGATGTCAGATATTCTTTTCAAAGCTGCTTTGTGAGGCAACTTCAAAGTCAACAAAACTGTCAAAAGAATAAACTTTTTTTTGTCCAAATTAATGCAACATTTACAGCATGAAACTGAGCAACAACGTGTCTCCATACAATCTGTGTAGAAGAAAGGCAGTCATGATGTCATGAAAGAAGATCCCTCTGTATGGTGTGTCTTTGTCCTGAGCCCAGACAGGACGGATTGTTTTCACTTTCTCCACACTTATTCAGAGTCACACCCATGACGGTATAATGGGTTCGACTTCAGGCAGGTGTGTGTATGTGTGTCTGGCAAGAAAGGTGCATGGACCTGAATAACACTCTCCACAGAATAGAGGACTGTGCGTATATAAAAACATACAAAGACAGACGGATTAAGCTCCTGCTGGTCTTGAGGATGATTCCACTCGAATGTTGTGGGTGTTTACTCCTAACAAACCGAGTGGATGCATGTTTGCAAAAAGTAGAGAAAAATATGCGCTTAATTTATTGCATTATGTCAGTTCTCTCGTTTTTATAATCATCCCAATATAGGTTCTTCGTCACTGTTCAATCACTTAACCTTTACACTGTTGTTATATAACAAGCCAGAAAGAGGTTTCCAGTGTTTAGACACTGCTGAGAAAATGCAGCATTTCAGGCATCACACACCCAATCTATGTTTAGGTGAACTGTTTATAATATTCGCTCTCAATGACTATAATCTTAGCACAGAGACAATCAATATTAGATTAAACAAATACATGAAAAACAGACACACTCTGTTAGCAGGCCTTCTTACACTCCTCACTGTCCTTTGTCTGAGATTTGTTTAATCAAACTAATAACATCCTCTGATGTTTGTTTAACACTGCTCAGCCTTTAATGGCTTTTGTATTCCAGTATACCACTCCCAAATGCACACTGAAAGTAACCACAAGAGCTCTGATCCACAGAGCATCATGAAAGCTCATCTTTGTGTACTGTTATAATACCGTGTGAACAAAGCAAGTGTACAAGGCAACATTATGGGCTGTTTCAAAAGGAGTGTCTCCACCACAACCCTGATCTTTCATTTTTGTGCATAAAGCCTTGTCAGTTATACTCCAGACAGAACTATTCCATATCACCTCTCACTCTCCGTCAAATATCTCTCACTTAAAATCCATGCAACAAGCTCCACATCTTTGCACTTGCAGACACAGCAATGAAAGCAGTAAAGAAAAATGTGCACTCACCACTCTAGGTTTGGTCCTCTGTGGCATAGCTGTGGATGCAGAGTCCTCTGTGTTCTTCTTCTGGGGTCCAGCTTTTATAATTCCACTAGTGCTGGATTCAGTGGGCCCTTCTGAAGCTGACATAGAGACTTCAGCTCCATCCCTAGCTGCTGGGGAAGATACCTGGCCCTCAGTGTCTTTCTCAGCAGTGCCCAGATCCAGAATATATTTCTGTGTCACATCCTCCAGAGATGGGGTCTGGTCTCCTGGAGGCTTGGTCGAGGCAGGACTCTCAGTTGTGGGTCCAACAGTGAGGCAGTCTGCTTCCCTCAGTGCTTGGAGCTGTGGCGGTGGGGAGATGGGTATAAATGTGGTGGGTTCGCTGGCATGGCGGACATGCTTGGGTCTGGTTTTGGATTGAAGAGGGGGAGGAGGAAGAGGAGGGGTGAGGTCATTTGTGTCGCTGTTATCTTCTTGCTCCTCTGAACCCACTTCTTGGGGCTCAAATGGGTCCTCATGAGAGAAAAACTGAGCCGTCCTGTTTGGACGCTTTCTGGCAGGCCGACGAACCATTCTGGGAGACAGAACCCCAGCTAACTTGAGGTCAAAGTTAAACTTTTCCAGCTCTTGCTCTTCCTCACCCTGGTCTATTACATCATCATCTTCATCATCAAGATTTTCAGAGTGGACAGGTTCAGATTGAGAACGAACCTTGACTTTGTTACTGCAGGTGTTAAGGGGATGTGGCTGTGTCAGCACTGCTGGTTGAGATGTAACTTCTGGTTCCCACAGTTTCTCTCTCTGCTCACTCAGGATTGGCTCACTGCTTGAAGGTGGGATCTGGCCAGGTTGATCTAGTTCACTTATTGGCTGAGTACTGCCTGTCTGACCTTTCAACTGAGGGTCATTCTGGGAAAGTAAAGGGGTATCGCTACGGCGACTGGGGTCACTGAATGATTTCTTCTTCGGGGCTTTGCCATTGCTATGGTCATCTGTCATTAGTCTGTCCATTGCACCTGGCTCAGCTACGATACTCCTGATCACCCCACTGTAGTCACCAACGCTTTCATCTCGAAGCCCACCATCACTGTAAACAGACAGGTCACTAGCCATACTCCCTTTATATTCAGATAAAGCAGCTGCAACAGAGGCCTCTGGAGCCCCTCCTCCTTTGACAGATAGAGATCCTAACAGGTTGCTGTCCACAGAGGAAAAATTGTTTCCATCCTCCGCCAAAGAACAGCGCCGCTGAGGCATGGGGTCACTGAGGGAGCGGTACACTGTGGACTCCCCATTTCCACCAGCTGCTATTGTTGACTCTGCATTACTGCTATTACTGGAATCAGAGCCTGGGTTGTTATTACCAGTAGGAGAGAACTTGCGCCTCCGACGGATAGCACTTGGAGTTGAATGGGATTCAGGTCCTCCTCCTCCTGTGGGACCTGCTGACCTCTGCAAAACTGCACTGTTGGTGTAAATCTCTTCAGTACTGCAGAGCTCCATGACGTCACTGTCACTCTCAACCATCAGGGTAGGAATAGAAAAGGACGAAGGCACGCTGACTTCATCTGGACAATTTATGCCATTCTCCGTCATCCCTTCTTTTTCCAGCATCAACACTTCTGCCTCATGAAGAGCTGATTGCTTCCATATGGTGACTGGCTGCCCTAGCACATCCCTGGCAACCTGTGACCCCACATTAACTCCAGATGACCCCTGGAATGACCTCTCAACGGGATCACTGGGGCCTGTCTCTGGCTCCGTTACAATCCCTTCGTCTGTCAAACTAGACTCGTGGCCTGAAAGTTCATCAACAGACCGGTCATAGGACATGCTTACCTCCGAGTCGCCCTTGAGTAAGGCTCTCCCTGTCTCTCTGCTCAGTCTCTTTGCCTTCTCCCTGTACTCTGTGCCACGGCTGTTTAGCTTCTCCAGCTGCATACTTTGTCCATCCCTCTCACCACTCTCCCTCTCCTTGTTCTCTCTCTCCCTCTCATGTTTATCCCTGTCTTTTGTGTTCTTTAACTTAGCCCCTTGATCTTTCCATTCCTCGTTCTTTACACTCACTTCTAGTTTCTCCTTTTCCTCATTAGTTTTCTTGAACTCATTCTTCAAATAGCGGTCAGCTTTCCTCACATCTTCATCATCATCATCTTCCCTTGAACTCATCTGACAGATATCTCGAATAACCTGCCTGGCTTCCAGCACATATCTCTCCTGCAATGGAGGAATCACCTCCTCGTCGTCATCATTAAATCCAAAGTCCCTCAATCTTTGACCTCTCCCAACCCTAAAATCACCCCCATCACTTTCTACTTCCCGGTCTGACACAGACACCCTGCCTCCATCCCTCTCTTCATCCATGTCAAGCTGCTGCTCAGAGGAGCTCCTCTTTGTGGTACTACCAGTTAAGTAACACCTCCTGACTGTTGACGGTTTATCTGCACAAGTGAAGGATTTTGCACGCCGCAGGGTGGCAGTCAAGTCTTTCAAGGATGGGCGGTGTCCAGATGGTAGAAGCGTACCCCCGTGGGTCCTTGACCCCATCCTGTACACTGATGATCCCTCCACAGCCCCTGACTTGTCCCCACCTGTTTTCCGCACCTTAAGCTCTGACAGGTCAGATTTCAGGAAACTTAAGAGTGACATAGTTTCTGAGGCGATATCTGGGTTGGACATGGATATTCGATTAGTGCCGTTATCATCCACTATATCCCTACCAATTGTCCTCCTGAGTGCCGTAGTCCCTTCACCCCTAACTCCTGCGGGGACCTCACATTCTCTGGCAGGCAAACTAGGTGAGGGGACAACTGTAGGCACAATTTTGGGTCGCACCCGCACAGGGGCATGGGAAAAGTTATCTCCGTGGCCAAAACTTGGGGAGCGATACATGGTGAAATTGCCATGGTAAGTTTTACTCAGCACGGATGAAGATGCAGTCCTGCTTCCTGGTCCTCCTTGGTTGGCAAACACATTTGGTGCACGGTTGGCACAGCTAGCCTGGTCCTCCTCCTTCAGTGTCTCAGTGCTGGAGTATCGGCTGCTGCAACGTGAACCACCAGGGCTGGAAACAAATGGAGGAATATTGACCTTTGACACTCGTGATACGCCAGGAAGTGTCTTGGATGTCACTGGTGAGGAGATGCGCTCCCATTGTTGCACCCTGGCTCTGTTACTGTTACTACTGGGTAGTCTTGCAGAGTGGCTGCGAGATAGTGTTCCTGCTCCCTCTGTGTTTTGCTGGTGGCGCCTCTCTAAGTGCTCCATTGTCAAGGCTGTGTCACTGTCACTGTCTTCAGATTCGCCATCATGATCTTCATATTCATCACGCCCTGTTGCTGGAGCACCACTAACTTTCTTCTTCTTTCTCAGTGAGCGACGGCGTACTGCTTCCCGACTGTGGGGGCCTAAAGAACCAGGACTGTCCTCCTCACTGCCTGAAGACCTACCAATGCTCTTTGCGCCCCACCAGCCATTTTTAGTGCGGGATAAATAGCTACCCCCTCGCTCTGTGGCACCCCTTTCCCCTGGTCTACAGGAGACAGAAGGAGCCGGGCCGGAAGGACCACCCCAACTGCCTCCTGCACCACCTCTCCTTCTCCTGGTACACTTTTCCTCTTCGTCTCCAGAGCTGAATCTCCAGCGGGAGCTGATAGAAGAGACAACTCTAGTTGGGGCTCTTTGCTCAGAGGAGGGAGCTACAGTAGAGAAGGAGGTAATGGCTTTATCTGGAGCTGGAGCAGGGGAGGAGGAGGAGGTAGGGGCTGGCGCTCTAGAGGAGCTATGTGAGGAATGTAAACTATCCCTGGGCAGCCCGACCCCCTGTCTATCCCTTCTCTCCCTAACGGTCGGCTGCAGAAGAGAGGAGGAGCAGGAGGAGGTGTCTGAACTGAGGGATTGACTCCAAGACGAAGTAGCAGGGGGTTGAAGGTCAGGGCTGGGGTCAGATGTCAACCCTGTAGTCCTGTGGGTCTCATGGGTAGCCTCTGCTTCAGTGCTGGGACTACGGGACCTGCATGGGGATGGTTTAATCCTCTGGTGCTGATTACACCCAGTGCAACTGTGACTGCTACTGCTGCTGCTTTGAAAAGTACTTTTACAAGAAGCTGTGTTGGTTTTGAAATGTCTTGTCTCTATGTCTGCCCTGTCATCCTTTGAGAAATGCTGCCTATCAGTTTCAGAGCATAAGTCCATACCTTGAAATGACGCCTCTTTAGCTGCACTGTTTTCTTGTCTTTGGGCTTCCACTCTGTGTTTTCCATGCAAAGACTGAGTACTGGTATCATTAGCAGGGCAACAAGTTGAGGGTTTGTCACTTTTGTCTGAAAGAGGAGAACTCTCACTGTGGCTGAGCTCTTGTAAAGAGCCTCTGCCTGCTGATTTTAAATTCTCACAAATGTCACTCTTACACTGCTGCTTAGATGGGCTTTGTCTCTCATCAAAAATTTGTCTAATTTTGGTGACACTGGGCCACTTGTCCGAGTGCAGGGGAGTGAAATTACTATGGTGTGTAGAAAGATAACTTCTGTGGGATTTACAGGGTGGGGGAGCCCCTCGGACGGTAACATCCTCTTCCTCATCTGCGATCACAGTCTTGCTGGGATAAGAAGGACATGCATCGATCTGTGTATAATCTCTCTTACCAGAGTTGCTGTCGGTTGACAAACGTGTAAAAATCCGCTTTTCCCTTTTTCTCTCCGAGTCCGAGCCTGACACTGAGTCAGTGCCAGAGTGAAACTTTGGCACCTTATTGTCTGCGATTAAATCACGAGTTGTGATAGATTCGTTGTCCTGTAAAGATCCACCGATGCTGTCCTCGTGAAAAGTTAAACGAGACGGCGAGGGGTCACTCCTGGAGCCCCTGTCCCGGAGAAGAGTGCTGCTCCCCCGCGTCACTGCTGCGCCGTCTCTCGGTGAGGCTCTGTGCGTCCTGGAGGAGCCGCTACTGTTGAATCTCTCTGTGAGCTGGCGGATAGATGGAGAAATAGGGGAGAGAGCAGTGGAGGAGCCTCGCTTTGAATCTGCGGTTGGGAGGCTGGCGGTGGTGGTGGCAGTGATTTTGGAAACTTTTCTTGACACACTGACATTACGCGTCGCCAGGGATTGTTCTGCTTTGTTGGGCTCCAGGGGAAGGGCGACGCCAGCTGCCTCTAAATCCTCTGATTTAGGTTGCTGGTCCTCACTCCTGTTGGTGCTCCAGGACCCCAACTTTTTGATAGAAACGCTGCGATAGACGGCTGCATTCTTCCTCTCCTTTTCTGCCATTGTTCATGTCTTTCTTTGTCTGATTTCACAGATACATTTTCACTCCACCCGTATCACAAATCCAAACACCTTTTGGAGAAGTGGTCCATTCTCCCCCTGCAAACTAACGGCACGAAAACCACACGTTTTTAAAGCTTATTTGTTGGCAAGGTATCAAACTTCAAAAGCATATTTAGTGATAAAAAGGCTCAGAGAAAGTTTGGTGCTTCAGGATTCTCCAAACTTACATGTTGTCGATTCCGGGAAACCACATCCGTGCTGGGAGGAAAAGCGAAACAACAACTTTTTGGGGGCAAAAACCTGTTCACAAACACAACTTTTCCATTGTTATCCCTCTAAATCCACAAGTCTGCCCCATCGCCAGGTTAGCACGCCTGCACGGGCCCAACGCATCATTCCTTGCCAATTCCCAAACAGTTTGTGAATTCCTTATTTTGGCATGATTTGGTTTTCCGTGACTTATGTTGTTTTTTGCATGTTAATGTCTGAGATAGAGCAGAGGGGGTGGGCGGGACTAGGGGTATAGGGGCTGTCATGGCCCCTCGGGGATTGAGAGGAAAAGCTTTTTCTTTTTTGATGGGAGAAGGCAGATACTGTAGACAAACTGGGTGTAATTATAGCCCTTTCCCTTGCGAAAAAGACAGTAGTTCTGCTCAGAGTTTTAGACACAAACTGGGACATATTAAGGGCAAGGTTTTGGATCTACACCATTTCTTCAATTTTTAAATATTGCCCACTTCCTGACCATAAGCATGTACTTTATTTCTAACTTACTGTACTAATTTATAGGTGTTTTTGTGGGTAAATGATCATAGCATTTCATTTAAATCACTTAAATTCAACATTAGTTTTTTTCCACAGGGTTGTGAAGGTGTGATGATGAACAGAGGTGGAGGGTGAGGTGGGTGTCAAGAAAAAGGAGAAGAAAAAAAACCTTTTTTAACACAATACCCCCTCTGTGGTGCTTCCCATGTGGCTGTCTGGTTAGCAGGTCCTTTTGTTCCGGACAGGATTCCTGTTTTACAGTGGACATACTGACTGCAGCGCCCTCTACGGTCTGACCTGTGCAATGTCAGGTCACTGCAGGTAAAAATGTAAAGTGAATGGTTTGGATGCATTTGAATGTGTCCATTGGTTACATTTAGGTTTTCTTAAATTGGTCACTTTACAGACACTGTTCATGTAAGGCTGTGAATAAGAATAAGAATAAAAAGAACTTTATTTATCCCTGAAGGCAGATTCAATTGTCTGTTGTCTCACATAATATGTCTCTAAAAGTTATCTATTATTCACACAAGAGTTATAAAGTCTGATGGCTGTTGGTACAAAAGATCTTCTGAATCTTTCTGTCCTGCAGTGAAGAGAGAGGAGCCGTCCACCACCATTGGCCCTTTGGTCCATCAAGGTGTTGTGAAGTGGGTTGAAAAAATAAAAACTCACTGAGGTAGCAGTCACAGTAGACTTTTTAATGACCTTTTCAGTTAGTTTTACATCTTTACACATAGATAGCATCCACAACATTTTCTCAGAAACACATGAAGGTGACAGTGTAAGATTTAAAAACAAAAAACACTCAATTACACAAAGCATTGAGTCGGACTTCCCTTTTATTTACATGATTCAAAAAGTAAAAAAAATAAAATTCTATTTGAGACACCACTCTAGGTTACAGTGTTTTTAAAAAATAAAGACTCTTCTAAATAATACTGACTGAAACAAATATTTTGGCACAGTGCATGGACATCTTTTTTAAATACACATCCAGACAAACACAGATGTTAAAACCAGAAACAAGATTTGTGCAGTCACTCTCTTTTGATGCACAAAATACAGTATATTACTGCAGTTTTTTTCACAGAATACACATGCTGCAGATACGCTTACATTAAGTTTACACAACTTTAAGCATGAACTGTTCCTTGTATTTGAAATACAGGAAACTTTAATGTTTTCATTAGATCCATGCATTTGATATTACTCTTATTCTAGAAGCAAAACTCATAGATGCAAGGTTTAACCAAGTACTATGTTTTTTTTATTAAAAAATAAAATGTATTAGAGGCCAAGAATGACCAAAAAGTTTCAAGGTTGTTTCTTTAAATAAATTCAAATTTTTATAGAACTCATCAGTGAATTTAGTTTAACATTCAGGTTAGATATGAGGTTTTGGGGTTACAGTGTAAATGAGTGCATCAGCTGGTTAGTTTACATGAAAACTTTCAAAGGAATGAGAAGAGTCTTTTTGAGTAATTCAAAGGTGATTTCTTGGAGCAACCTAAATTCATGGGAAGTCTCACAAACATTCACAGGAAGTGGAAAACCACAGAGTTTATTCTTAATTTGGATCTGACCTTCAGCCCATAAACTGCTTTTACGTTCCTTCAAAGCGGCTGAAGTAGCTGAGTTTAATGATCTACTACTTGTTGTTGGCACACACTAATAAACGGTTACCTTTACTTGGAGCAGAATCTCAAGGGCATGTGGAGCAAGCAAGATTTCCAGCTATAATATGATATGAGCTGGATGTATATGATGCCAAAGGTTTTTTGGCATCCTCTTATCTCTGATTATAGTGATTAGCATCTAACCCTTACTGTAAAATGTTTACAAGTAAACTATTAAAAAATAACAGAGCCAGAGTTACAGAGCAGACTGTTTACAGCAGTGGGGCGCATACACCACCTAGTGATAAAAATATGAAACAACAAGTCTCAAAGATTAGCTAAAGTTAAAATAATACATCTTCAATACAGTTTAAACCTTCATTTAACAGTGTGATACAAAAAAAAACATTTATCACTTCCTCAACATGCATTTCTTTTACATCTCTGTGAGTTAATTTCCTCACACCAGTGCTTCATGCATGTCTGACATGCAGTCACAACCATTTGAAGTGTCTTAGCATTCACATAGCTTTGTGCCACAGTGCATTTTATTGATCTTACCTTCTCTTGTTCAATGCTTTTATCTCCACCTTCACCTCCGCATAACATCAATATCATGGAGATAGTTTACTTTATACTGCAGTTCACAGTGTCAAACACAAATTTTAAAAATTCTATTCAAGACAATAAGGACAACAAAAACCTTTCTTACTCTGTGTACAGTAACGCATAAATGCCCTCATGTTCTGATGACGCTAATCATAATTTGCAAGTCTAAAAAAATAAAAATTTCACTTTTCTCCAGAAGGCCTTTCGATATGTCAGTACCTACAAACCTTTTCAAGCCCCTCTCAGGAAGATACAGTTCTTTCACAGTGTACCGTACTTCTTAAATCTATCACCATCAAACCTGTTTAAAAACTCTGAAATCATAACATGCACCACTCTGCAGAATCTTGGGATCTTCTGCTGGAGAAGCAATGAGTCATGAAGAAATACTCAGGCAGTTTGGCTCACACGCTGGTGCCCTTCTCCTTGAGGGTGGTGATTCTGAGCACAAATCTCTTGGTGCTCCTACGGTAGCGTGGCTGAGTGAAGTAAAACAGAATGGGGTCCAGGAAGCTGTTCATGCTGGCAAATGGCCTGGTGCTCTTGTAGATGATGGAGAACAGATTCCTCGTCTCGCACGGTGCGGCAGGCAGTGTGCGAATCACTAGATACATGGTTTTGGTGAGGTGAAATGGCAGGAAGCTTATGCAGAAAACGGTTGTAACCACGATAATCATCCTCACCGCCTTGTCTCGTTTCTCTCCAGTCGCAATAGAGACACCCTGGTAAGACACGGGGCGACAGAGGATGTAGGCCATGCGGCAGTAGCACACCAACACGACCATGAATGGCACCAAGAAGCCGAGGCAGGTCAGAGCCATGCCATAAGGATAGTAGTCTACTGACTGCTTTGGTGTGCTTAAATCATAACACACAGTGCGGTTTCTCTGGGTTCCTGTGGCTGCAAAGTGAAAAGTTGGGGCGCACAGGATTGCGACGATGAGCCACACCCCTCCACAGATACGCCATGCTAGCTTGGCGCCACCTTGTTTCAGTTGCATGGCCAGTGGGTGGCAAATACCCACATAGCGGTGCATGCTGATGCAGGTGAGGAAGAGGATGCTGCCGTGCAGATTACTAAAAACAGGAAAGAGGAGAAAAAGCAATGTTATTAGATTAAATCTGAATTTTTGGTTCTGAGCATCAAAAACCGGTCTTTTTACATGAGGAAAATTAGTTATGACACATTTAATGTATTTATAAGTTGGCATAAAGATTTTAAATTAGTTATGAATGTTCAAAATTCATCAAAAATCATGCTTTTGTTCGTATAATTGTCCTTCTATGCTTCAAACACACATCTGTACAAAGAAAGAGCCGATTGTTTGGATATACTACTCACCTGTAGAACTGAAACCTCACCAGTTTACAAGCAAACTCCCCAAACGGCCAGTAGTCATGGCTACCGTAGTTGTAGATCAGCAAAGGAAGTGACATCACATACAGAAAGTCAGCAATGGCCAGGTTGAGCATGTAGATATTGTTTTTGGACAGGTGTGGTCGCGTCCTCCATAGCTTTAGGATAACGGCAGCGTTCAGAGGAAGGCCGAGCAGGAACACAAAGGTGTACACAGCTGGGAGTAAAATACGCTTGAAGTCCTCTTTGTAGGTGCAGCGGAGGCCGCTCGACCTGCTGATGTTGCTGACGCTGTCAATGATGCTTTCTGCTGTGAACAGCTCTTCACTGTGCTCGCTGCTGGAGTAGAAGTCAAGGGTGAAAGCTTCAGAGGTGAGCGTTTCTGTCGGGAAGGAGTAGACAGACTGTGGCATCTTCTCACTCTGGAGGAGAGACAAAAAGACAAAGTCTACGTCAATTTGATGAACAAACTTGATTCTGCTGTTAATCCCTGTCAGAGCTATTATAAATATTACATAAAAGAACATGTTACCATTGAACTGAAATCTGAAAATTAAAGACAAAGTATTTTTAATCCTGACAGAGATTGGCATTCTGTCCACAGTGCATATTTGTTTGTAATAAAGTGTCTCTTGGTCTCTCTTAGACAAAAAGACGTATGTCCACCAGAGGGCATCAGTGGACAGTATTTTCTGATTTGGTAACAGTTCAGTTTGTCTCTGTTTAAAATTTTACAGCCTGAGTCAGCTCTGTATTTAATAAATCATTCTATGGTGGCCATAAATAATTAATAAAGACAGTACGGCTGCAGCAGCAGTGTAAGGATTAATATCTAATTAGTTTGAATAAACATAAATGATGTTACCGCAAAGCCTCTCTCTGGGTAAAAATTGATCTGCAATGCTATTGTAGCTGGTGCATGAACAATTGAGGCTACTCCATTTGCTGTAGCACAAACTCACAGAGTAGTAAACACTTTAGATTCCTATATTCACTGACCAAGAACATCACTGACAACATATTGGCCTTAAATACACATTAGGTAATATTTCTAAACACTATACCTTGGTCCAGAGTACCAGCCCACTCTCATGAGGCAAAACAAAACTCCTACAGTAGCAGGACCTAAACATTGAACTCTCCAGGGAGTTTTGGCAACTCTGGAGTGCATTCACACTTCTTCTGTTAGTATTAGACAGTGCCTGATTCAACTTCTCACGGGACAAACTCGCCAAGTTTCTAATTTCAGTCCTACATGTTCAAGATGTCGACAGGCCAATACTTCTGATATATAAATACCTCAAATATCTTTGAGGTTCTTTCGTATGTGTGTAGAAAAACATTAACACCTTCTTCATGTGTTTCCATCTTTGGAATTAATTTAGGGTCAAACACACCAGAACACAGAGTTAGACACCCCCTTGAGAGATGAATGTTGCCGACCACTTGTTTCTCTAGTTATACCAACTTCAGTAACCACGGCACAATAGCAATACAGAGCGGTCTGAGGAGCCATAAACAAACCTCAACCAAAAGGGCACTCTATAGCCACAAATAATGCTCAGAACAACACCTAACTTCATCAACAGTACATATAGGGTCCCAGCCACAGCACTAGCCACCAAACATCTTTTTAACTTTGCCTGATTTCTTTAATGAAGAGACTAAACACAACTCACCTACTCTCTTCCTGTAGCCGCTTGTTTGTAGCGAGACCTCAGACAAGTCCATTACAGACTACAGCGGGGTGATGCAGCTCAAGGAAGAACAATTATGATCATTACTTTATCATTTCCTTGAAGTAATAATCACCATATTAATCATTTTGCAGTGCAGACACGTTAGTTCTTCTGCCTGAGGGTCTCCGTCTGATTGCATTTTCCATGAAGAAATGATGAACAATTAACTCGGTCTAACTCAGTATTACGGTGTGTTTGACCCTAAATCAATTTCATGCCAGAATATCCCTTTAACTCAAAGCAACAGCTCTAGCTTTTGTTTCATTAATGGCACACAGACTTATTCCTCTTCAGTGGACGTCAGATAAACCTTCCTCACTAGACCAGTGCATTATAACTTCTCTGTTGGGCTGTGCATGTACTGTATTGAGTCGAAGCTGCTACACTCTTCATAAAAAATCAATACAGCTGACAGTAATGAATTAAGAGCCATCACATCATGGTCAATTCATTACCTTATAACAAGTGAAAGCTAGACAACCACATGTGTTGTATAGAAAACCACTGCACACTGTCTGGTTCCCCACTCAAAACCTCTCACCGACAGACACGGCTTGGATCAATCAGCAGTTCTGATTACTACTCCCTTCACCGTCGTCATTCATTCTCATTTCATTGAATGCAGCATGTGGGTGGGTAAGTGATTGGGCCAGGCCACTTCCTTTTCTTCCTCACTGTGACTCAGTGCATTTCACAACTCACAACCTCCTCAAAAGCAAAGCGGCTATGTGTGCAGTGACCTACAACTGCTTATTAATAGTATTTGTTTTTAAGAAGAGTTCATCACAGTGTCGGGCTTTTACTCCTCTGTGTATGGTAATGCTTTTGTTTCACACCACAGTGGTACATGCTTTTCATAAATCACTGTGGAGCAATAAGAAGAGAGTAGGAAGGAGAAGTGGCGGCGTGCCAGCCGACTGTAAAACGTTTCACCGCTGAACCAATGAGCAGGCGGGAAGGGATGACAAAGGTTTAGGAAAGTGTGCTGCAGTCAGCTTTATTTGCTGATGACTCATTTATAGCGTAGTTGGATTTGTGTGATTTGTTGACATGTCTGAAGAAAGGTAGTTTGACCAAATCTTGGCTTTTGTTTAGCCTGGTGACATCATGACAGTAACTCAAATCACTAAGCTTTCTAAAAACACGGCACAGTAGAAAGTGAAATCCATAAATCCTGTTCTGTCAAAATGCATTACACTTTATAAACATAAGGAGAGAGTAGGCAGCTGTTTCGCTTAGAGCTGCATTTAAAAGGCTAACTATTTCTAATCTAAAGGGATCAAATGTGATGAAGATGAACGCCCCCTTTTTATCTGGTCTTAACATTAAAACTGCAGTTCATACTGTAACCCTCCAAGATGATGGTGCTTCATGTTTTGGTCGTGGTGCAACTTTTGTGTTAGATAAGATTCATAATAACAGCATGTATTTACAGGAAAAATGTCAAGGCGAGCAGCAACATGAGACCAAAACACACAATCTAATTTACTAGAAATCTGACACAAACACTGGCAGCTTTTCTTTTAACACAGTGTGTGTGGAAAGCAAGAGAAACAAAAAGTTACACACTCTGAATCCCATAAGCCCCAGCGAGAAACTAATTAGTCTACAAAAGGAAAAGCAGGGATCACAGAAGATATCTGCCAAATGAAACAAGTGCAGCTCTGGTAAGCACACCGCATAAATTACGCCTTATTACTGTAATGCAGAGACTCATATATCGCTGGAGGAAGATATTGTTTGTTGAAGTGTGGGAACTCTTCAGAGTGTTAGTCAAGGAAAACACGAAAGCCTCGGACATTAAAAAGCATAAAAGGAACAGACCCAGATCACAACACAAACTCCACAAGAGATAAGTTAGTGATTAAAACCTATTATTTACATAACCAGAGGAGTGTTTTTAATAATAATAATAATAATAATAATAATAATAATAATAATAATAATAATAATAATAATAATAATAATAATAATAATAATAATAATAATAATAAATCTTATTTATAGGTGCCTTTCAGGGCACTCAAGGTCACCTTACAGAAAAATTAAAAGACACGTCAGTAGAATAGTAAACTCAATAAAATACACATCAACACAACAAAGGTTTAAATAAAAAAGTTGTAAGTCCCGACTCTGCAGCAGAACATCAAATGTTACTCTAAGTAAGCCTGTCTGATATACTGTGTTTTCAGGCAGGATTTGAAGATGGAGAGTGAGTCACTGTTCCTAAAATCAGGAGGGAGGAAGTTCTAAAGGTGGGGGGCAGAGCGGCTGAAGGCTCTGGATCCCATGGTGGACAGACGGGCCAGAGGCAGGACACGACCTGCTGAGATTTACAAAATGAGAGAATCAAGGTTGTGTATGTAAGTAAATTATGTAAAACCACATGTTTACTCTATTGTGACAGTAAAGCAAACATGAGTTTAAACATTACTCAGGGAAGTTTTGCAGGAATTAACCTAGTTTGGTCATGATGGGTGTGAATGTGTCACTTTCTTTTGTTCTTTGACTCAGTGAAGATTTGTTCTGCCCACATGGCTGCAGTTTCTTAAGGAGAAAAACATGTCTTAACTTCTTCTTCTCAAACCCTTTCTGTGGAAAAATAAACCTTAAACCAGACTGTAACAGTGTCAAAAAGAAAGATGACAAGAGGTGGCAGCAAATCGAGGAATTCATTCATTTATCCATTCACATGTTCAGAGACAGTACTGCTTCTTCATGCTTTTTAAGGTTTTATATAGTTTCTGTACATGCAGTCCAAAAGTTCCTTTGGAGAATGCGGGCATCGATCCCGCTACCTCTCGCATGCTAAGCGAGCGCTCTACCATTTGAGCTAATTCCCCTCTGCAGGCTGCAGCAAATGACATGCTGACTAGGAGCACCAACCCCCCACTCCCCAATGGAGGCGGCCTCACTCTTGTAGGAACTCTTTAGAGAGTTAGTGGAGGAGTGCACATGAAAAACTGAGCACCGCATGAGTGTATGTGTCTGCTATTGTCCCATTTAGGGTGAAGTGTTTGGACACCGCTGCTCTCCAGGCTGTAACCAAGTTTTTGTCACAAAGCAAAGACAAACCCTAAAGCCTTGGACATTAAAAAGTGTAAAGGGAACAGACCCAGATTACGACACAAACTCCACAAAAGATAAGTTAGCATTTAAACCTATTATCTACATAACCAGAGGACCAAAGAGTCCATATCTGTAACATATTTTGAAGGCAAACTAAGTGTTTCTGTAATGAGCCCAAAGTCTATGAATGAGTTGTTATAAAAACCCCTGCTACTTGATATTAGAGATAAAGATTAAAGTGGGAAAAATACGGCTTACAAGTGTTCACACTGAGACTATTTTTAAACAGGACCTGCTGAGATTCATTCAGACAAAATCAGTGAATCAAGGTTGTGTATGTAAGTAAATTATCTAAAGCCACATGTTGACTCTATTGTGACAGTAAAGCAAACATGAGTTTAAACATTACTCAGGGAAGTTTTGCAGTTGGTCATGACGGGTGTGAATGTGTCACTTTCTTTTGCTCTTTGACTTTGTTCTGCCCACATGGCTGCAGTTTCTCTAGGAGTAGACAGTACTGCTCCTTTATTCAAGTGTTCAAAGGCAGTACTGCTTCTTCATGCTTTCATATGGTTTCTGTACATACAGTCCAAAAGCTTCTCTGGAGAATGCGGGCATCGATCCCGCTACCTCTCGCATGCTAAGCGAGCGCTCTACCATTTGAGCTAATTCCCCTCTGCAGGCTGCAGCAAATGACATGTTGAGTACGAGCACCAACCCCCGACACTCCCCAATGGAGTAGTGTTACAAAACATGCGCCCCTTTCTCTTTCTCTCTGCTTATCTCTCTCTCTAGACAAGAAAAACATGCTGCTGAAATGAAACAAGTGCAGCTCTGATTCCTACACTGCATCAATTACGCCTTATTACTGTAATGCAGAGACTCATATATAGCTGGAAGAAGATATTGTTTGTTGAAGTGTAGGAACTCTTCAGAGTGTTAGTCAAGGAAAAAGGTACAAAGTCAGGATCTAGTCTAGCCTTTGTGGTAATGTTAAACATGGAAACAACAGCATTGTCTTAATATTATACGTATGTTAACAAAGCAGCACATGCCAAAGAGTACACATGAAAAACTGAGCACCGCATGAGTGTGGGTTTATGTCTGCTATTGTCCTATTCAGGGTGAAGTGTTTGGACACAGCTGCTTTCCAGGCTGTAACTATTTCCTACACAGTTTTTGTCACAAAACAAAGACAAACACTAAAGCCTTGGACATTGAAAAACATAAAGGGAACCGACCCAGATCACAACACTAACTCTACAAAAGATGATCTAAAAACAAAACCCATTATCTACATAACCAGAGGACCAAAGAACCCATATCTGTAACATATTTTGAGGGGATATTAAGTGTGTTTTTTTTACCGTGCCCAAAGCCAATGAATAAGTTGTTATGAAAACTCCTGCTACTTGGGAATAAAGCTTAAGACCATAATGGAAAAAAGACTGCTTTCAAGTGTTCACCTTAAGCCTGTTTTTACACAGGAGGACCTGCTGAGATTCACAAAATCAGTGAATCAAGGTTGTGTATGTAAGTAAACTATATAAAACCACATGTTTACTCTATTGTGACAGTAAAGCAAACATTAGTTTAAACATTACTCAGGGAAGTTTTGCAGGAATAAACCAAGCTGGGTCATGACGGGTGTGAATGTGTCACCTTCTTCTGCTCTTTGACTTTGTTCTGCCCACATGGCTGCAGTTTCTCTAGGAGTAGACAGTACTGCTCCTTTATTCAAGTGTTCAAAGGCAGTACTGCTCCTTCATGCTTTCATATGGTTTCTGTACATGCAGTCCAAAAGCTTCTCTGGAGAATGCGGGCATCGATCCCGCTACCTCTCGCATGCTAAGCGAGCGCTCTACCATTTGAGCTAATTCCCCTCTGCTGGCTGCAGCAAATGACATGCTGAGTTGAAGCACCAACCCCCGACACTGCAACACCGCCCAATAGAGTAGCGTTACCAGACTTCCCCCCCTTTCTTCTGCTCTCTGCTCATCTCTCTCTCTCTAGACAGGAAAAACATGCTGCTGTACACGCTCTGCCCTCAGGCCTGCTAAAGGCAAAGTTTATTTACAAACCGTGAGAGCAAATCAAGGCAAATGTGTAAGCTTAACAACCGCACATGAACCCCAAAAGGTTATAAATAAGACTCCACGTGCAAAGTTTCAGGACTTTTTCTTTACCATGGCAAATGCAACATAAGACAACTTGGCAGACCTAACATAAACAGAAGAGGACCCACAGCCAACTTTTAATAGAAAGGACATGATACCAGAGCAGAGGTCTCTATCTAACTCTGTGTTTCTACAGAGCATGTCAATGAGAGTCCCGGCTCATGACTAAATGCAAACTTAAGAAAGAGGTATCGAGTTGAAGTGACTTGACTTTTCGAATAAGACTGCTATGATATGACATTTACAAGTATAGGAAGATTAGAGGTCAAAGAACAAGGACGCAATAAAGTGTACACTTTTTCTTAATAGGATTTTTGTATGTTACATTCATTATGCAATGTATGGAGTGGATAAGAAGAACTTCGGTGAGATTCGGTGAGAATGAGACATGTTGTACCTTTATAGTAGTGTCACCAGTTCAGCAGCATAAATTATGAAAATACCCATTTGTGACATCCAATAGAACATGCACACGCAATGGGATAAAAGTTACAAAAACATAAACTTTATAAGCAGATGGTTGAGATTACTGAGTGATCTGAATAATTCATTTCATTGTTTATTTAGTATATCATAATCTAATTTCCCACCCTTTATTCTGGCCTTGCTCTTAATATAATCTAATCTCAGAGAGCAGGCTGAATGCCAGATAAGGCTAAATAAAGATTTATAGTATCTGCTGCACAAAGAGAGCATGTGTGTTTGTGTGCAGTCGACACAGAGCTGCAGATTTAAACGAGGGGCAAGAGGGAGACGCTGACAAGAAAAGTGAGCTGTGACCAATTTACCTCTAATTACTTTACAATGTCTAATCTCTTTTTTCTCTGGATACACAAATCAATGATTCATGCCTGCTGCTGTTTCTCACCCTCTGCACAAACACAAACCGGCTACCACATGTACACACTCATTCATTGGCTGTGGGGTCACTGGAAAATGGCACATACATCACCAAAATTTGTTGAAATGCACCTTTATATGGTTAAAATTCAATATTTTACAAAAGTAAGGCACAGCTATTGTGGTGAAATAGTCACTATTGCCTTCTGCAGATGTCACAGGCCTGTTTTTTTTAATTAGAAAAACAACAGGACTTGGCTAATTATCCGAATGTGCAGGGCCGGTAACAGTCTATCAACGCTGAGCACAGGCGGTGCGGCAATCACACAGGAGACATTTAAAACCAATCAGAGAGGGATGGTGAGGAGGGCTGATGTTCAGCAAAGCACACTGCCTGCCTCTTACGTTGATGGAGAACAAAACAATTAAACCCTTGATAACCGCAGTGTAGCTGTGCCGTTTCACCAGAGTGGGGCAAGACTGTAATCTTTGCGGTATCATTTAAAGAGGATATAATTTTAGTCTGCTACTGAGCAAGCGAGGATGAACCTCCCAGTATTAAGCACGTCAAGTAAGCCCTGACTTCATCGGTAGACAATGAACATCCAGGCCAAGAAAGCAAAAGAGAAAGACAGATACAGGCAGTTAGCGATGAGCGTAAACAACTGACGGCCTGACTTAATCTCACACAGACCAAAAATGGAGCACCAACATTTAAACTCATCCCCCTTTTCTTGATCTGTCTCGAGATAAATCACAGCGTCGCACTGACTGCTTGACTTCTACGAAAAGTGTAAAAGCAACAAGTACAAATATGGATATTGTTGCACAGTTTATTAGAAGGCTTTGCGCATCATCTTGCCAAAAATTCCCCTTTTTGTCAGAACAAACCGAAGAGTAAGTAAATCACACACAAGGGTGTAGGTTATGCAACACAGTGCTCAACCAGTAATGCTCTGCTGGGACTTGCAGACAAAAACGTGTTGCTGCCCATCTCAGCAGGGTCTTAGAGTGAGTATTTCAACAGACCTGGCAGACGCTCTTGTGATGCTGTTGCCACACACAGGGGAAGTGGATACAGCTCTGATGAAACACAGAAACAGGACAGTGGGACAACGGTCACTGAAACTCGAAAGCCATAAAACCACAAGCATCCTTTTGCATCACACTGTCGTTTGTTTCACTTCATTCACTGTATTTAGGTCAGATTGTTCTCCTGAGGATTGTGCAGAAAATGGAGAAACTTGTTTTGTTTTGATCCAAGCAGGTAGCTGTCATGCTCATTCATAAATTTCAGTCAATAAAGACACCGCACAGCTGCTATTTTTAATGTTGTAGATGCTGAAGGCATGCTCAGGCATGATGCTTGAACCATAACGTAGGGTTAGGGTTAGGGTAGGGAGTGGGTGGTGTTTAGTAATCCAACTAGCATTTGAATCTGACCAATCAGAGTTTACTGAAAAGCATGAAGACAGGATATATTTTCTTGTCATAATACATGCTACAGGAATGGCAGTGGACTTCCAGAACATTCAGGTGTCGCTAATGCTTTGTGGCTTCACCTGAGACCCTACATACTGATACATGGACATCACATTTTGGCTTTCCTGTGCCATTATAGTAGATTCTGATAAATTCAGATCCATAAGTCTCAGTCGTGGACAGCTGGTCTGCCCCCCTGTGGCCACAAGAAAATACACTGATCGGTGTTAAATTAAAGATTTGGTAAAATCAAAAAAATCAGCAAGTCCCAACATGAAACTTGGCAAGGAGCAAAACCTCTACATATTTTATGATTGAAACTTGTTTACTCATGCCACTGAGATTGTTTGATATGGCACACACAGCACCGCCAAACATGAAGCAATGACAGTTTTTTAGCTAGCAAAATGCAACAAACCAAAACAACAACATTACAGCTAAATTACTTCCTGATTCCATACCTGTGTTATTGATTGGCAGCATACCTGACTTGGCTGGTATTATACCTGACCTTTTGACTGACGCCGTAACTAACTTTCTGGCTAACCACACCTGACTGACCCAAATACTGGTTGACTGACTCACCAATATCCTACCTGGCTGACTGACTGCTACTAGAATAGAAATAAAGACATTCAATGGCATGAACCATGAGTTTGGTTTTGTGAGGCCCTTTTCAAAATATAAACAGAAATTTTGTTATCAAACCCCAACAAAAATGTGAAGAATTATTGTCATGATTCTTAAAGGCGGGGTGGGCAGGATTCCATTAAAGAAGCATCTTTTTTTGTGGTGTTTATACAAAAAGCTTTTAATATCAGTCAATAGCTATTAGTTATTTATGACTTTTGGTAATATAACGATATCGCTGTGTGTCCTTAAGCTTGTGTAGTCAACATTTCTTCAAAAACCGATGTCTTTTTATATGAAAACTACTCCCTACTTATCAGGCCCTACCACTTCCAACTAAATGAAACAAAAAATGTATAGCAAACAAAACTCGGGTCTCAGACAGTAAAGACTTCAAGCCACGACTTCCTTTTCTATAAACGCCATCATTTACAATCCAACTGGAGAAGTGACTATTAATGGAAAAAAGAAGTAATATACGAAGTTATATTGACTCCCCCAAATATATCTGCACAGTAAAAGCCATAATTTCTTGGCTTCAGAAGAAAATGACTCTCAGAAATGACAGGTTTCTAGACTGTTGGTGGGATCAATCACTTCTGATGCATTTCAAATAGTCAAGTTGTGCTGACTCATGCTACACAGAGCCAAGTAAATCTGCCGCACAAGCGGTGATTTATCAGCAGAACAAGCTGTTAGCTGCACTTGTGGGCACACATCTCCTTCCGAAGAATAGTAAGCAGTCACCAGATTACTGTAAATGTGAGCTGGGTCAACCAACTGTCATCCAGGTGAGTGTGTTATTCCAAGGAATCTGAGTGTTTAATCCACTGCAGGAAACATCTTGCCACTTGTAAATCAGCATCAGAAATACTGGTTGGTTAAGCAAATAATAGGCATTTTTAGAGCTGTTGGCCTGAAACACCTTTACTTTCAGTTCATGACTTCTGCCATTACACAGTATGTACGGTACAGATGACGGATGGCACCTCGTAGCAGCCATATTTTTTTGAAGAGAGTTTAGATGTTTAGGAGCCATATTGTTGCTTTACTGATCGGTTCTCCTGTGTTCAAATACTTTTGTCTGGTTGCCATTGGTTTCACTGGGTTTAGGTCACGTGGGCGCTGTGTTTGAAAGCCGGTAGGTTATATAAGGGGAGGTCTCACCTACACTGGGGTGGAGAGGTGAGCCTAGGTAGCCGTAATTTTTGTTGACCGCACTTTGTGTTCTTTGTTCGCAATGATACACGTCGCAAAGTGTACACATTTTATATCTGATGTGCGCAATATATTGCCCTTAAGATGTATTTAATGCTGTATCTGGTTATGCTTGAATATATATGTTCATTGTGTCACGAGCTCAAGCATTTTGATGTGAACCTGCATAGAGGACCAAAGGCTGGTGGCTGTGTGTTTAACCATGTCAAATAAGCTTTACTCAATTTGAAAACTTTTCTGAGAGTTGTGCAACCTTATAGACTAGTCCGATTGTCGGGATTTAAAGCTCTGTTAAACAAGCCAGAAGCAAAGTCATTCTGGACTCTGGGGCATCCCTAATTTTGCCTTCTTCTGCTTTCCACAGTGATTTGGACTGACATGATCTTCAATGTCAAGATGAATGACAAACCATAAAGAAAGTATCATTTTAGTCCAATTACCAAACTTATTTGTATGGTTTCATTATTAAATTGGAAGGTGAAAGGGAGGAGATTTTGAAGTATAATTACATGGCTGGCATCTTACATCCTAAGTCCGACTTGGATTTTGTTCTACAGTACGGGTGTTAAACAAGCTGTTCAGGTGCTTCACTCTCAACTCTTGCTTGATTTGTTTTGGGTAGAACTAACCAGGTGTGAAGAAATACGACTGTGCAACTCTTTTTGTGATTGTTGTTATATATATTTACCGTAACAGTGATACAAACTTAAGATCCTTGGATCAGACCTTTTTAAAATTTTAAATATTTGTATGTTTGACAGAAACACAAATCTAACAACCAACACACACAGCACTTACTGGACATGATGAATCTTTTAATTCCTCCTCTTTTTGTCCTCTCTACCTCTCTATCGTATGAATAATATGAGGGTTTTTTAAGGGTTTGTTTTTTTGCTCTTGGTAATTGTTATTTGTTTTTTCTAATGTTGATAGAAAAACATGTGTTCCTGTAATCGGCTCATCAAAGGCTTAGCAGAGAGGTGAGTTAAAGTTACACTCTGGCGACTGTTGAATTTACAGTCAGTAAAACACAAAGATTGAACAAGAAAAATAAACACCTCTGTGAACTAATCCTTTGTGATACTCATTGTAGTTATTTTTCTTTTTTTCCAGTTTTACAGGAACTCTGGCCACTTAATTCTGTCCTCAGATTGATCTCAGGACATATTAGATTACACATTTCAAAGGCTGTTTAGGCACTATGTTTGTTATGGCTGCAACACTGCTTTTGGTCAGTGAGATCATTTAAGGCATTTAGATTTGTCCTGGGAGCAACTTTGGTCCTGTTTACTGTCTCCCCTTCGCTATCTCTTCCTTGAATCAGCATTTTAGAGTCTCTGAAGTAGTCTAATGTTAGTCTGTTCCCAGTCAGACATAAAAAAACAGGCACAGAATCCTGACTATGGCCTGGCAGAAAGGAATCTTCTCTAAAAACACAGCAACAGCACCAAGTCTCATAGCTTGAGTGCCAGGTCTGCACACATAACAATCCATCCAAATGACTCTGGGTTATTGCTCCATTGATGTGACAGCTTGTTTTCACAAGAGTTATGAATACTGCCCTCAAATATTGCAGAGACATGGAACGAGGAATACAGCTTTGAACCATGAGCTTCTATCCGCAATCTTAATCAGGATGGACCATGTATGTAACATCAAAAGGAAACCCCCTGTTTTCACAGAGCTAACCAATTTACTGCCGATGCTCTGCTCTGGTGGCAGTCTATTACAGTAGCACTCACACTTATCACAGTATGACATGTTTACAGCCCCTCTAGCATCACAAATACATGACATCAGGTCGGGTAGCTGAAGTACTTCTATAATATTGTACTGCTGTTTTCCAAGTTGAGGATATGTTTGAAAGTCTGGAGGGGAAAACAACCTTTCCTACAGTAAAATGTTAAATTGTTCAAAGTAAAGTTTGCTATTTGGTTACTAAAATGTTGTTTTACTTAAATCTCTGTTCAAGATTTTCCCCCTCTGTATTTGTTCATGAGCACCTTGGTCACGAAGAAGTAAATTGATAACAATTCAGTAAGTTTTTTTGTAAGATATGCAACTTACAAGCAGCTGTACATGTATTCTTCTGTAACAACAACTAGGCTTCCTACCCTGAGTGTGATGTCTGTGTGTCGTCAGTAATGCCCTATGGCTACTACATGTCACTGCCTGGGTATCTTTATGTGAAATCAATACATATTGAATTGAAAAAATCTGCAGAGTTGCAGCTCTGAAATCATCATAAACCTAAATCATGGTTGTTTCTTCAATAGTTTGAGGAGGTCGTGTTCTATTTGAATGTCTTAGAGCAGTGGTTCTCAAGTCCAGTCCTCGAGGCCCACACCTGATTCAAATGATCAGCTCGTTAGTAAGCCATTACAGAGCTTGATAACGAGCTGATCATTTGAATCAGGTGTGTTGGAGCAGGGAAACATCTAAAACATGCAGGACAGTGGGCCTCGAGGACTGGACTTGAGAACCACTAGATTAGAGATTTGAATGTTTGTCTCAGTATTCTTTAAATTCACCTCAGACTTTAATTTCCTCTTACATTACACAATCAATGAAAGCCTAATTATCATAAACAATGCACTTTATAATCAATCAGGGAGCAAGACTGATATCAATAGTAAAAGATAAGAGCAAGCAAGAGCAAAAAACATGTCTAACCTATAATTTGCTTTTCTAAAATGTATGTTTCCATTACATTTAATCATCAAGATCATGAAAACGGTCAAGATTTGCATCATGCTTATGAACTGTGTTGTCACCAAGTAATGCATTTTATATGTATGTGAACTGTAACACCACATCATGGGAAAAGTGGCATTTCCTTTGGATGATTTTACGGCCTCATTTTTGTGGTTTGTGGACTTTAGCCTCAGCTTCTGGCTTAACTTCATAGCGATGTCCGTACACTTAATTTCCTGTAAATGTCCTCCTTATGGGCGCTGTCACAAATGATCACACCTGGTATGTGCAGCCTTTGTACCCTGAGGCAGGACACTGCAGCTGCAGAGACAGTGACAGTAGCATCTTTTTTAATTTTTTTTAGAGAGTAAGTTTTTTTTTAACTTCCAAAATGTAAAAGAATCAAGTTTATCGAGTTTTAAGTGGGATAAAATAAATAGCCCACTTTTTTCATATTCCACTTTTTGCTCTTAGGATGTTTAGTATATTTAGTCCGTATTTATTGTATATATTTAGTATATTTAGTCTGTATTGTACATACTTCTTCTTATATTTAATTTTATGTTGTGTTTTTATTGCTGCTGTAACATGAGAATTTCCCAGTTTGGGATCAATAAAGTATATCTATCTATCTATCTATCTATCGAGAAATGTGACACAAAAAAACTGATATGATACAAATAAAACTAACACAGATAAATTATTCTGCCTGCATGGTTTGGAGGTCTGTAAACTAATTTCGCCCTCTGTCTGCATCAGTGACATTTTAAGCGTTTTCTGTCTTTAATAATAGGCTACCTACAAACATACCACAGGAGCTGTAAAGACATGCAGAGGTGGTGGTACGAAAAGGTAGAGCAGCACAGTTTATGCCTGAATATGAAGTATGTGTTCATTCGTTTCCCTGCTTTAAGTACAATTTGAGTAAAGAGGATGTAAAACTGTAAACAAAGTGAAACTTACCCTGAGTAAGAGCAGTGAAAACGAAGTGGCAACATCAACAAGTTGACGACTTCACCATGGCAGAAGAAGACTCGTCCTGCTTCACGTCTCTTCTTTGAAACTACAAATTACGAGGAGGGAGTTGCGAAGAGAGAAGTAGAAAGAAACCACTAAAAAAAACTAAACTATTTCAATAACACCCCGCACGGTTGTCGCTCAGACCCGGTGTGGATCTTCATGCTGCTTCACTCACTGCAACTACTGCACTGTCCGGACAGCAGCGCGCGCTTCAAGGCGTACGCGCACGCGCAACAAGTCTTGCAACACCGAACTAGGACGCTCACGAGGAACCTTTAAATATGAATTCAGTCGCTGGTATCTGTGACCTGTTTTTTTATTCCGTGTGATAAAATACGAAAAACCGTCACGTGAAGGACCTGTAGGCAATGCAACCGGCTGAAGTACAAGCAGGTGTATTTCTCTGAATACTGCAAACATAGTTCCGGTCAACAGTTTAACCACCTTCGATATCAAGGCGCGGTAATGTTATAAATATGCTTAAACGTCAACTGAGGTTGACCTTGGCTAAATAACAACTCCATTGAGCATGAATGGGCTTTAATGTTCCTTTGCAAGAGGTCAGTTTTGAACAAATATTATATACTCAGAGTTTAAGTCCACTCACCCATCACATGCTCTATTACTTATCTGAAAATTCTCTTCAGCCATTATACTTAACCCTCCTCCTGTGTTAGGGTCTGCACCAGGTCTGTTTTTTAATTCTTAAAAGAACCACTTAAATTAGGTTTTTTGCATCAATACTTTTTGACTTTGTCAGGAACCTCTATTTCAACAAAATAAAAAATAAAAATTAAATTGACTAAATTATAAAATGCTCTTATTAAAATTATGGCACTTGTGTTAGGGTCACTGTTGACCCAGTTAGATCAATATCTAATGATTAGAGCAAAAACTGAAATCATAAGTGCACTATCAGGCACCACACTGATGGTCAGATCCTCTTCCAATCATGTGAGATTTAGAAAATTCTCATTTTTCCATGTTTTTCCTGTACAAAAAAACAACATCAAGCATGTCCAGACACGTGAGATCAATTCAGCATAGATGTCTGTATGAGGGGTACACTGACAAAGAAAGGCCCAGAGGCCCACAATGAAAAATATTATAATCAATATTTTCATGGATAATGAAGCCTAACAAGGTAACTTGAGAGATGAGAACCAAATTCAGGGATAGAGAAATGTTTTTAGTATACTTTACAGCTGATTTCAGACACAGGTTGAAACCGACCCTTAACATAGTTGGTGCATAGTAAAAGCTAACACAGGAGGAAGGTTAAGCATGAATGGGCTTTGATATTCCTTTGCAAGCTGTCAGTTTTGAACAAATATTATATACTGGGAGTTTAAGTCCACTCACCCATCACATGCTCTTATCTGAAAATCCTCTTGAGCCATTATACTCAAGTTCATGGGCAGGTTGACTGAGTGAGCAAACAGATCCCCAGCAGATGTTTGATATGGCAATTAATGGCATTAAGTGCAAACGTGGAGGACACTAAAATGGTTTGCCCCTCAATTTGTGAGTTTGGGTAAACATCATTATGAGTGCAGGAACATTCTTTACAAGTCTCATGTAATCTTGTAGCGGTTTTATGAGACTTTTATTATTCTCTTGTTTAATTTGACAACATTACTGCCTCCTGCTCAGCATCTGGTTTTTACTCATGTAGCTAGAACCTGTATGAGAAGAATAGAGGCAAACTTTGGAGAGTGTGAAGCAAGAAGGTGCAGCTCTATATGGCCTATCTGTTAGCACAATGGGAACATTACAAAGCACTAATTTCTATGTTGACCAAAAGGCAAGGTGTAAAGGAATCATTACCATTTGTGTCCTCAGAGCATAACCATATCAGGTTCATGAATAAACCTCCAACAATAGACTATCTGGCTATGTGGCCTTCTGTACCAGAGTCATTCAGTTTTCCATTACTTTGGGTCTGCTGCCAATAAACATTTTGTTCTGCACTGGCCTGAAGGATTGTTGATGAATTATCAACAAATAGAATGATTGTTTTGGTAAGCAGAAAGGCTAGAACATCAGTCCCGCAGCTCCACAAGCCAGAACCCCTCAGGGCTATGTGTTGACTCCACCAGCACTAAATGTCAGCACCATGTTTTGCCATCACATCTCATAATGGGAGGCAATGGGAGCATATTGTAAAAAACTGATGTAGGGTCAGTGAGTCACACACAATGAATCAGTCTCCATGGTCTGATCATTCATCAGAAAAGTTGGGAGTATTAGGTACTGAGACAACTATCTTTTCTCTCGTCTGTCAGTGTCTATACCTATTTTTTGTTGTGAATGATTAATTCTAGACAAATCTAGACTTGGAAAGTTATCCATTTGTTCTGTAATAGTGCGGTTGAGATCTACATTGATATTAAAGTTAATGGAGTTTTAATGAAAAATTAAGATTTAAATAAATTTGATGAAATTTAATGTTTACTTTCTTTTAACATGAAAACCCCTAGCAGCCTCTAAGCTCGGTTCACATTGTAGTCACTCCAAAGTTACTTTATGGAGCTATAAAATAGAGTTTCGTTGTTTGTACTCTGCTGAAAAATTCATCATTGTCTCCAGTGATTCAGTGTTTAAAGGAAGTTTGAGGAACCAGATAGCAGAATTAAAATTATACCAACAAATCACAAGACTGTAAATTAATAAGTGTGCAGATAAAATGAGAGCTAATAGCTCAAGTGTTTATAGGAGTGACCAGCAACGCCTGGGAAAATGACAAAAACAGCATGACTGAGTATCATTAAACGGTTCAGAATGATAGTTGAGTTCATTACCCTCCGCCACACACCACGATAAGGCCACAAAGGCAGTTTTTTCACACGATAAAATCAATGCCAAAGAATCGAAACCAAAACTCTTTCAGATTTCATCAACTTTATAAAGTCAGTGGGGCACTGAACTGCTGCTAACATTGAGCACATGAAAACAGTGACAGACGATAAGGACGCATAAATCTGTCTCTCTGCTACTGTGAGAGAAAAATTTATATATATGAGAAAAACTGTAGAGCTACTTAGAAGATTAAAAGACCTTTTATCCTGAATGAGCTCATTTGTCATGTTGAAAGGGAGACGTGTGCAGACAGGGAAGTGGAGTCCATCTCCCCTTCACAAACACGTTGCTCAAAGCTTAACCGTAACATGTCGTAAGATTTTTGGAGTATTGTAAGAGCCAAAATGATACGAACATTGACATTTTAGGCCTACACCCTTCTTTGCATTTGTTCTGCAATAACATGGATGCAAAGATGGTGTCTCAGGGTGCTAAACCCAACATATTGAGGAACTTTCTGAAATGCAAATCGCCACACAAATTTTAGGTCGCGTTCATGTCAAAACCACATAATTTGGTTGAGGTTATATCTTATACAGCTTCTTGTTGAACCAGAATTTTAGGCAGCATTGTGACATTTTATGTTTTTTTCTTGAAGACCCAGAGTTCATGTACACCACTTAACCCTGACCGTTTTTTTTAGTTCTAACAGATTACATCCATGTGTCAATGACTTTTTTCACACGCTGTCCCAGATTGAAAAATGCCCTCAGGATTCATGTCGCTGAGAGATGGAATGTTTTTATAACCACTTTCACATCGGGTTTTTCCAGAACGTCACTCACACTTGAATATGTGAAAACAACCTCCTCATGTCAAAACGAACAGTGTTATTGTGTGTCTGTGTACATTGTCATTAGTGCTTTATGCATCTGCATGTCTGCAACAGGATGTTATGATTCTCCTCATGTCCTCTCAAAGAGATATGTGTATTTTGTCCATGTCAGCTGAATACACAAATGCTAAGTGTTTTGTAGTGATGTGCACACTATATGTCATATTTGGAATTAAGACAATATGGCAGAATTGGACACAAAACTAGCATATTCTGAGAGTGTAGCTTTGCAGGATGTGGCATTTCTCCCTCAGAACCCACAGACTGACCTGGTGCAAAAGACAGCTGTGTGATAAAATTAGACTTAACCTCCTAAGACCCGAACTCTTGCAAGGCATGCATTTTTATTTTCTCTTTGATATTTAGGCTAATTGGGACCTGATGAGTGTAAAAACAAAGAATGATCTTTTTACATGATGTAGTTTCTGAGGAAAATGATGTCCACATATGAGGACATTTGTTTTAAATTTTGACAGAAGGCCCTTGTGAACAAAATTTAATATTGTGGTCTTGACAACCAAAAATGTGATGTCCACACGTGTGGACGCCAGGTCTTAGGAGGTTAAAAAAAAAAGATCACCATGTTTTATTAAAAGGATATTTACAGAAATGCTTTTATTGTGGAATTAAAGCAGACTTTTTTACAACAGCACAAAAAGTATTTTGAACCGGATGAATTTTATGTCAAAGAGCCGGAATACGACCAGCTGAGACACTAGAATAAGGGAAGATGGATCATTAGAAAACAATACACTGAGACAAATCTGCAGATACACACATGCAGGTTTTTTTTTTTTTTTGTCTTTTGAAGAACAACTAGGAGAAAATGGCAAGTCTTGAGATGTCAGGCCATGTGTTGCTATAATATCCATCCTGCAGATCCAAGCCGAGAGGAAATCTAATTGTCAGCTTCTCCCTTATGGGCCATATGGCAACAGAGAATTATCATTAACGCTCATCAAGGTTTCCGTCTCCTCTGGACTCTCTGTTTTTGTACACCTAATATACTTACATAAATACCCACTGTGTCTGCAATCCAATTTGACATGCTGAATATGGAGTGAGACTTACTTAGAGGCTGGATTAAACTCCAGCCTGGACATGAACTAAGGATGCTCTCTCACTGTGAGGTAGTGGTCCTGACAACCCTGCTCCTTTAATTTTGGTCAACACCTTTTTGAAGGTACATCCATTAGACATCATATTGTGATTATAGTGATTCAAAAGCAAGGTACACACTGTTGTAATGCAAAGCAAAACCACATTAACTGCCTACTTGCTGTGCATCAGTGCTAAGATGTGACTTTGCAGGGCTCAATATTTTGAATAAATTTGTCAAGTGTACAACTGGAGGCACACCGATCACAACCCAGTTATAGCATAATCTAACTGTAATGGGAAACCAAGTGTTATCATAAAACCATGCGTCTAACGCTTTTGTTGGGGTGTGTGAAATGAGAGATTAGCATTCTTCTGATGACTGTCAAAACAAACTCAATCTGCGGTTTGCATTTACCGACAACCAACTTAGTCACATAATTGCTGAGGATGAAGATGTGAGGTGGTGTGTGTTTAGTAGGGCATTGTGTGCATCTGTATATGTGGAGGTTGGCATTGCACAACTCTGTGGGGGATGTGTAGAGACTGATGCAGAGAGAAGTGAAAGAGTGAGTGCAAGGTGCTGTTTGTTCAATTGAGACACACAGGAAACATGATTTTTGGTTCTCTGTCTGAGTTTGTGTCCTCATTTCAACCTCTTCTCTAAAAAAATCAGACAAAGTTCAGTCACAGAATTAACAATGAAACACAGAGGTTTGCATGCTCGCTCTTTTCCTGGAAAGCTTGGGTTAAATTTGTACTTTTTTCTATTTTTATTCAGATTAGAATCAAATTGTAATTTTTTCCCCACAGGCATTTCAGCAAAAACACAGTGAATAAGTTATAAAAAAAGCACCACACAAAACCATTGTTCCTTTTATAGGAAAATTTTAATAGTTATTCAATGTTCTACATTTTACAGTAAATATACAATTACAAACTTGGCTTAGTTATAGTACTAAGATCACTAACTGATCTTTAAAAAAACCCTCAACAACAAAAAAGAAAACATAAAAAAAAAAAAAAAAAAAAAAATTAAAAACAGATTTACACTTCATATCACAAGCCTGACGCTGGTCCGTCACTCTGGACCAAATAGCTAACATACAATTCATTTCTCTCAACGTTGAACAGACGTTGGGCTTCTGTTTCAAACACAACCTTACGGTAACAGATATACCATAGCATGTGCAAACTGGGTACCAAACTAAAACTTCCAAAAGATGGGGGTTGTTCCTAATACTCGATTCAGGGGGGGAAAGAATACGAGTATCCTTTTTTTTTTTTTTTTGGAAGACAAGGAATTTCCACTTTTTGCATCACATTTAGTGTCAAATCAAACTAAGAGATATCTGACAAGTTGAAAATAAAAAGCTGCAGCAGAACATCAAAGACATTGAAAAGCCTACTATTCACTGTGATAGTAGTGTTTTAATTTATACTTATGAAAGAAAGTAAGACTTAGCAACTGCAAGGCAAAAAAAAAAGGGTGAAAGAGGGAAGAGAGAAGATGGAAGGAGAGGAGAGGGGGTGATAGGAAACTTTGTAGTTATGTTTTCACTGTTGAAGAGAAAAGAAACAGAATGTTTTTAAAGTAACCACCATCCAATCACAGACGGCAGAGTGATGGATGTTTAAAAGATGATAAAAGATCAACGATTAAGACATGTTTGCCTTTTCCCCTCCAAATCCAAACTGTTCCAAACTATTCATTTTCATTTAAGTGCAAATTGAAACAAATGAGAGGCAAGGAATGTGAAATGAGGAAGCAGTTAGACAAGCGGAGACATTTAACCTCCAACTGTTCTCATAACTCAGTGGTTCTGCCTCTTTACTGAGTCCTCGTTTTTTTTTACAGTTTTTAAGAGCATTGGTCCTCAGCCCAGAGGGCAAGAAGTGCCCCCTTATTGATGGTTAACTTGGATTGACCAAGTCCTTTGTAGATCAACAAAATAAGGTTTTGTTGAGTAAGATGCCCAGAAGACAGACACTCATTTTCAAAATGACCACCCACTAAAATTTCTCTGGTTTCAAAAGTCGTTTTTAGATTTAGAAGACGTCTGCTGAATTTTTCATTTACTTTGGCTCACACTGATCCGCAGAGAAGCCAGGCTTTATCACTGGCGACATCTAGTGTCAAAAAGGTTCCAATGAGTTTTCATAATTGTAAAAAGCATATTGATTTTGGCCGTTACAAACACCAACTGCATGACTATTTCATTATTCTTAATATACTGAGGGTTGCAAAGGTCAGACTGAAAGCACCAAAAATGGTAAAATATGAGAGTATGCGAGCAAAGACGAATAATTTAGGTGGATATGCTCCAATTTGCATCTGTAGAAATGATAAAAATGTTTCGAATGGTTAAAAGGATGCAAAATGGTGAGGGTAAAAACAGAGGGTACAGTAAGAAAGCTAAAAAGTGAAACAGGCAATATGCATCAACAACAAAGTGAGAAATAGGACAGCAATAGGAAAACACAGAATCACAGGAAGCTAGACGTAACAAGGACTTTAAAATTCACCAGTTACTTAAGAGGAGGAACTAATATTTACTGAACATCTGTGGGTAAAATATGGCACAGAACAAAAGGATGTGGAGGCTGAGGGTTCTCAAGACATCGGTCAATACATCTTTGCACCTACAGAAAAGAAACAGACCGCAAAGGTGTCTCCCAAAAATAGCACGGTAACCTTTTTTTTTTTTCACAGTCAAATTGAGAAAAAAAAAAGCACTTTATTCAGTTCCGCTTTCTCGGTATCTGTAAATTCAGGCAACATAAAAAAGTGAATTTGTTAGGGAAAAATTTCAACATGTCTTGTATTCACTTACAAGACATGGTTTTAAATTCTCCTGCAGTGACACAAACACAGACAACGGAGGTGCAGAGGAGAGGGTAAAAGAAAATATTAAAAGCACAAATAGTAGCTGCCACACTGATGCAACCATGCTTAGCTAGAAATACATTACTGTACCACTTGCTGTATAAATATACTGCATTTTTTTTACTTAGAGATCCAATGCTATAGTGTAATACACCTGAATATTATGCATACCCATTATGCTTCTTTGACCAGAGGGAAGTAAGGAAAAAACAAAACTCCATTAGGTAAAATTGAAAATACTGACAGAAGTAGTGGTTGGTTAAATAAACCCTAATGACAAGTGACATTTCTGCTAGCGTATGAAAACTGTTTTGTTTTATTCAGCTTTAGTGCCTTGAATTTAAATGTACAAGATTCAGATTTTTTTTTTAAACGCAAGGGTGGATTTCAAAATAAAGTTCAAATATCAACAGTTTTCATCAGACAGCAGCATGATGTCTTATTTTCTTGAGAATTTACCTACTAGAGTACAAATATCTGGACTAAGAATACCTCAAACACTCGACCTTATTGTTTTATTCTTAATTACAATATAAATTGCTTTTTCCGCCCACCTGCACTACGAAGCCTAGGTACCTGTTACTTAGCATTAAATTATAGTCATCAAGTTCTTTTTTTTTGTCTTAAGTTGTGCAATATTTCCTCACAAAGTTATTCAATACCCAAATTCTTGATATGTTCTACTCTTCTTAGCAGTAAGTGTATAATTATTGAGTGGAGGCTGCATACAGAGCCTGTAATCCATACTTAAGAGATTACAACAATAAGCTTCTTTTTAAAAATCAATTCAAAACGCTGATAAAATAATTACTGTTTGATAACAGTTGGAGGCATTCCCTCTCGTTTTATTGCAATATCAAACCATTTCACCTACACACCTGCGCTGTAAATGCTTTCTTGCTATACTGATCTGTCCACAGATTCATGACTTCTTATTTTTCCTAAAATACCACAGGCCTCAGCTAACTATCAAACCCACCCACCACTACTCAATGTGTTGTAGTGTTTGATTAACATCATCATTCTGTGGCTGCGAAAGCCGTTTGCATGTCCGAAAATGCCTTATTTATATGTATAAGCATAAAAAGGCAACAAAAATGGCTGTATGTGGTCCATGTTTCGTTGGCTCAATTTTTATCCACCTTTGAAAACACGTTTTCAATCCATCAAGATAAATGCTGTTTTTTTTTATTGGATGGAGATAATGTTTCAATGCAGATGGTTGAAGCAGACGTGTCAATCTGCGACTCCTGTAGAAGAAGCATAGTAGAAAAATAAAAAAAGATAATGTAGAAACCCCTTTTCTCAGGCTCCTGGAGGCCAAACTTGACTGAACCGACTTCAAACTCAGTGACAGAGTGAAAGCGTCATCTCAGATCTGCACTTTCAGGAATTTATGATTTCATTCTGCAGATCATTTTATCTATGAAGAAAAGCCCAAAAGGTACATTTTTTTTTGCTCCAATTCTGTGAGTAACACAACATGGACCTGTTCTCCGATTCAACAAGCATCCACTCATATCAATGGTTTGCTCACTCACAGCGCGGTGCAGCAGACTAGATTGAATCCTTTTCATCTATCAGCACATTTATTGACCGGTCCATTATTAATGTTTACTCAAGAGTCTGGGTTTCGATCCGTTGAGTGTTTGGCTATAGGAAGGAAAGGAGGTGGAGGAAGAGGAGGAGACGATATAGTCACAGTGAGGGATCAATGTACAATACATATAGTGCAAAAAAACGCAGTGTGTCTGTGTGGGCTCTTAGAGGTGAGCTGTCACAAACTCAAATGTCTTGTACCTTGAAAAACTGACCGACTGTGACCATAAGACCTCCTCCCCTCCTCCTTTTCTTGCTGTCTGCTCTCTGTCTGCCTCTGCCCTCCTCTCTCAGCGCTGACACAGTCCCTTTAAACTCCTTCTCTGCGGTCTGCTGTGCACACCCTCAGAAATCCATGTTGTGTGTGTGTGTGTGTGTTTCTGTGTATGTGTGTACAGATAAGTAACAACACAACTGGAGGTTTTACACAGTAAGCGCCAAAAAGTGATGGTTTCCGACACATCGCAGGAGCCCCTGTGTGTGTTAGCTAGTGTGCACGACCACCTATTTATCATAAATACTCATAGTTATCGTATTGACCTATGCTAAGGTTAAGAATTCAACAGTGTAACAACATACTGCTGCATAGTATGTAGCATGGAGTAGGTTTTCTTAGTGTGTAGAAGCGAGGATGTGGACACAGTGGGGTACACAGCAGGATGGGTTAAGTGCTCTGCTCAGAGCGACTCAGCACTCACGAGGAGGCGTTTACAGACATGATTGACTGACTGCTGCCAGACAGACAGCTACGCGTTGGAAGACGACTGAGATTAAACTGTAAATGTAACAAAAACGATGAAGAGGAAGGAAGAACAAAAGGCGGGGAAAGGAAAGCTCGGGTGAAAAAAAAAAAAAAAAAAAAGTGAACGCCAAAAATTAAATAACTCCAAATTCTGCAAAAACCCTGTGCTGATATCTAGTCATTAGAAAATTTGGCAGCATAGGTCAACATTGTAGCCACTGACGGAGATGATGATGAAGATTAAGTGCCCAAATATTTTCCAGCCAACTGAGCAGCAGCAGCAGCAGCAGCAGCAGGAAGGACCACACACACCAGCACAACACAGAAACAGGAGCGACTGACACCCGTGATTGGTCAAGAGTCCTTCTGGAGTTCCGATGACAGACACAGCAAAATAAAGTGAGGAACTAAAATGTATAAAAGAAAACAATACAAAATAAGGTAATGACTGGTTGGCAAATGAACAGAGTAAAAATAAAAAAATAAAAGCAGCTTTAAAAAAAAGTAATAGAATGTCGCATAATAACAATAACAATAATAGTAAAGTGGCTGTTGCACTTTAGTTTTGTTCTTGCAGACAGGTGCCGAGTTCCCGTGGTAACCAGGGGGAGCCCGTGTAAGAATTGAGCAGTTGCATACGATGGTGGACTCCAGATCTGCTGGGAAAGAAGAGCAGAGGCACACATTGGCGAGTGATTTAAGACAGACAGTGGGCCTCTGAGGGAAGGAAATGTGTGGCGGCACAGTTTGTTCAAGTCAGAGTGACAATGGAGGAACAAAAAAGGGGGATGAAAAGCAGGGAGGAGGGGGACGAGGAGGAGGAGGAGGAGGGAACAGATGGAAGAGGGAAAATCGGGGTGGTGAGGAACATCTCAAAGAGAAACAGTAGGAGGGCTGACACTCACATGACGGGTGGGCTCTACCAGTGAGGCGGTACGTAGCTGTACCCAGGTGTCCCTTGTGGCCTGTAGGTTGGCACAGTAACTGGGTGTCCTCCAATCTGGGGGTGCTGGGGCGTTGTCAGCAGGGTCCCTGTAGGGAGTTAACAACACAGGTAATGAGCTGTAGGCACTCATGAATTTATTCTATCTATTTTCAGACAATAAGGAGCACTTAAGTTCCTTCAATTTTCTCAAAAAATTGACAGTCGGCGTATAATCCAGTGTGCCTTATGTATGTGCTTACTGACTGATTTTATGAGAAACCATAAAATGAACCTGACAAGCACATGAAATCTTAGAAATATGTCACTAAATAAAGAAAATGACGAGTCTAAACATACATTTGTACAACCATCCAGAAAGGTGGTTAAAAAATGAAAACATCCATAAGAAAGTCCAAAGTCATGTTTACACCTAAAGGTCCGTTTCCTGATTCGAATCCAAGGCAGGACGATACATTTGTTTCGATTGTTTAACTGGTCTGGTTTGCGTTCACAAAGGACAAACTCAATCGCTCAATCAGAAAACGGAACCGGAAGTCACTCTGGTGTCAATCGGGACAAGTGAGGTGAGCGGACAACATTTATTTCACAACCAGCACTGGTGTGGTGCGTTTCCTGTGATTGGTGTGGATGACATTCACACCAGAAATGAACCGCTCCATGCAGACCAGAGTTTGTTTATTTGATCCGCACCAGAGTTTGAGGTCAGCGTTCACGCCGACCCAAAGGAACCGCACCAAGGGGGTAAACGCTCCAGGGTTTGGTTCAACCGGACTAAACGAGGGTTGTGTGAACGCGACCTAAAAATCACGATTGACAATCCACAGAAAACAGCTGAATCTTTTTCTGGACCTACCTGCACTCATGGCCATGGTTGTCCCGGCTACCATCCCCATAGCAGCCATGCCGTTGTTGCGAGGAGCTGGTACGGGGACAGGGGCCGGGTAGAGGGCTGTGGAGGGGATACTGTTTGGCTGAACCACAGTGGTGTGATGGATCACATGTGGCTGAGCCGCATACACAGGCTGAGTGTAGTACGCTCCCTGTAAGAAAGACAAGGAAAAGTGTGGATCAGAGAGTGATGTATGAGTCAACTCCACTGTGGGCTTTCTGAGAGCAAGTCTTGGCTGCTTGGTGTTTTTGCAGTGCAGACACTAAAGAGAACAAAAGACAAATCCAGACTACTTTGCAGATGGACATCTTGCCTTTGTTCTTTTCTTTTTCTTGCAATGTGCGTTTGATAACGTAAAGACAAGAAACAAGAAGTAACAAAAAAACAAAATATCTATCTATATCCCAAACAACATTACTCATCCTATTTTATAAATTACCAGTGTAATTTAGCAGGAAATAGAAACACATTTGTGATTAGGTACACCAAGGTCTTAGTTTTTGTGGGGGAGTTACTTTTCTTGAGTCTTGAAACTGTTAATTGATTCTTATTCACAGAAAAACCAAACAAAAAACTTCCATTAAGTTTACAGAATTTGACCAGCTTGATATTCAAATGATGATATTTAATAGCATTTCAACACAGATCAGAGTAGTCTATGTTATTAATGAAAAAAGACATCCTTTCAGTGAGCTAAAGAACATCTAATGAAAAGGGTCTTCACCAAAGCTGCATCTTCACCATAAAATGACATTTATTCTCATTCACTCTCAGTCTCAAATCCAATTAAATGAGCTTAAAGCTGAAATTAGTAACTCTTGAAAATAAAGAAATACCATTATGTTAATACGTTACAAGTACTTCAACTGCTTACAACAATGTGAGCAGATTTTTCAATGGCTCTGCTCAATGATCAGTGGACAGAACTGATAATATGAATAATAATTATCTCAATAGCAGCCTTGGAGTGAACATCCACTTACCTGTGCGTATAAGTTCTGCTGGGGGTAGGCACTGCGGATGGGGTACATGGCTGTTGGGTATGGGGTGGGGGTTGGGGTGTATGGTGGGGGTGCTCCATTGGACTGAGTGGGGGGCACTTTATAAGGAGTGCCTGCTGAGGTGTATCCTAAAAACATGGAGGGAGAAAAAGGAGAGTTAGTGCCCTCTGAAACGTTTTCTTAAACCTGCTCTTCTTCAACCTGTTGATCCTAAACTGAATCTTTGGCTGTTACAGGACAGCATGACGAACTGTAAATACAAAGGTTTGCTCTCCAGCTGAAGTTAAGATGCTCGACTGACACACAGAGTTCCCATCATCACAGAGAGGTAGACTTTATTATTTCTGGTGTATTACAGAAAACTGAGTTGTTATTCTCTAAATCAATAAATGAATAAAAAAATGCTGCAGCCTTTTTCAGACATTTCCCTTTTTGCATTTCCCTCTAAATCCACCAGATGGAGAACTGGTGCCGTCTTTCCTCTGTGCTGTAGTCTTAAAACAAAACAGCCGAGGCTTTTGAGGTTTTTTATGTGCACCATTTACCTACTTGCACCATTATTTTTGAAGGCAGCATTTCTGTTTTGGTTACTGCTCAATAACAGTTGGAACAAAGTGAGTGAATAAGGGAAAAATTCTCCCTCAGGGACCTCAGACAGTCAAGCAGCGTATCTATCTATCTAACATAAGTATGCTTTTCAACGGAGCAAATCCTTCGAATATAATTTCAACGGGGCTTGAGTTTGAGTGATACGACATCACAAAGCCTGAAAAGTACAAGGTTTATTATAAGGCAGTGAAGGCATCTGGTTGAGAGCGCCGCATGACTGTCTAGTGCTCCCTGTGTGCAGTACCCCCAAACAGCCACTCGGAGGAGCCTGAAGGTCAAACATGCTATAAGCTAGTTGCTGCAGCTGAGCTTATGAAAGCCTTCTCTCACACAAGGACAAGGGAACAAAGAGATGCTGGAGCTGCTGTGTGTGTTTATTAAAGTGCGTGCATACTCTCACATACGCTCCTCGCTCGAACATGGGCACAGTGCACTAAAAGACAATGGTGTGTGACAATTAAACAAGAACCCGGCTGACATAAAACAGTTTGTTCATTGAGTGATCTTAAGGAATAATGACATTGACCGGGGGACACGTTTCTAATCAGACCCCGGCTGCCTTGCGTGGAGGCTGGAGAATGTAAAGAAAGTAATCTGCACACAGACACTAACACCGCCGGTCTTCACCACAGCCTCGGTAATTAGGTTCAGGTCTTTTGTTGGAACTAAGCTGGGTGGGCTTCGCCAGAGCATACCTGATATTTTGTTCCACTTCCAAAAGACAAAATCAAACTGGGGGAGGGGACAGGAGGAGAGGGGCTTCAAAGGCAGCACAAATGAAACCCACAAACCCACCCTGCCTCGGTTAGAAACTCTGAATTCAGGAGGGCAGGGAACAATACAAGGAACTACTGTTGTTCCCAAACAATAGCTGCTTCAAAATGGGCTTTTTATCTGGGCAATTATCGATTTCACGATTCCAACACTATCATTTTTAATTAATAAAAAATAACAAGTTACTTTAAATTCACCAAAGGACTTTTTGTTCTTCACATTTTTATTTCCAGTTAACTAACAAATGCTACATATATTTTTCACCTAAATTTCACTGCATGACTTTTAGATCGATTAAGTAACAGCTTATTAACTGATTGATCACAAAATATGAAACTTTCCATTTTTGATTTAATCTTGTGAAAACATTTGCTTTTTTTTTATTTATTTATTTTAGCAAATGGCTCAATTTAACGACATGTTTCTGTTGACATTTTTATTTTCTTTTGGTTAAATATTATGTATTTTTGGTTCATTTTACTGTTTAGCATATTGCATTACAGTAATAATAATAACTATTTTTGTTTGAAGCTTCTATCCTCTTTTTTTATAGACTTTCTTGAATCTTGAGTGTTTGATGATTGAAAATAAATACATGTATTCATATGGCCTGACTCACATTTTTAATAACACCTAAAATGATCACAAAACTCCACATTTAAAGTAAGCAACTAACTCCACTAGATACTTAATTTGGACTTCAAGCTTTTAATTGGAAACCTGCTTCAACAAATTCGTAAGCAGAGCACTCTGGTATTGGTACTGAATTTCCCCGCAGGGATAAATAAAGTTCTTCTTCTTCTGTATCAAAACAGCGTCATTGCAGTTTTTCTAAAAATCATTTCCTGATATCATTTCCAAAGAAAATGGGCCTGAGTGAGATCAAAGCGGATTGTACAAGGGTTCAAGACCCTGCCACACTAAACTATCTTTATCTATACAGACACACCATATCTGGGAGTCAGTGGGACAACTGTCATCTCCATCTGCTGCGGGGACCAGACTGTGAACCCCAGCAGAGTTCGTATCTGCTGCTATAAGGCCTCTGGCAGCTGTTACTGGCTGGCTTCCCATTCCTTCACCATCAATTTCATTTTGGCTGGGATCACCACTTAATCCATACAGCCTTTACGTTACTATAGCCTGCGAGGAGCGCCACGCCGTGTTCAAGTTACTTGAAACAAAGACATGTTTCAGCTCCAGTGAAAGCAAACTTCCGATGCTTCATTAAACCTGTGCTGCCGTAACTCATGATCTTTTAGAGTATGAACTACATGCCCAAAATTATTCAAGATTAATCTTATTTTCATGTCCCTTTTAGTTTATTCAAAGTTATTTCAAAAATAAGCCCTATAATTCCAAATGAGCAAACTACAAATAGAAATCAGTTTTCATCTGTCATATTGCAGTCTGTAACTCCAGTATAAACAGATGATAGGTTTTATCATTGCTGAAGCTACTCACCCAGAGTGAAGATCAAATTTTTTGCTTTAAAAGGAAAACAAAGACTTCGTAGGGGGGAGGGGCTCTGCTCACTAAATGCTTATTTACAGGGTGATGGTTTCTTGTGTTTTAATCTGGCCTTCCTGAGTTCAGGCTCTAAAACGTAAAATCTGGTTATGTAGTTGGTCTCACAAAGACAGAATCTAAGTGGGAATTGTAACTGGATCGTGATTGATATGCACAGTATTGCTCACTCTACTGTTAGCTCGTTGCTTCGCGAGTCTCCATCTCGCAAATAATCTAAAATAATCTAAAACTATTGGCCGAGTTCAACACATAAATTTGCATGAATACTTGAAAATGAAAAGTATTATCATATTTCAACCTGATGATGTCCTGAAACTCTGCTTATTTCACTGTGTGCTTCTTACCTCCCTTCACTCAAAATGGTTTTGTGCATGGCTATGATTGAAAGGTCCCCTCTGTAGGCTGAACAATCCGGCATAATCCCTTTTTTAACTTTTCCCATATCCTTGCAGAGGGATTATAACAGAAAAATGAATATATTTTGTAAAACCATCTATGTGACATCCTTTACATTACATTTATATGAATCCTCCACTCTCTTTGCGTTGTGTTTATCTCTGGATTTTCTTTCTTGGAAAACATGAGCCAACCCTCTAATTCTATCCTGCAGACTGACAAAGATATATCCCAGAGTACCGCCTTGTTAAGCACCAAAACAGCCATTAAATGGCCTCTTATTGCATGTGCAAGAGTGTGTGAGTTGGGACTCACCTGGTGGATACCCAGGACTGCCTGTTTGATAGAGGTTGGGTGTGTAGGTGGGAGCCGTGGCAGGATACCCTCCTGGATAGCCTGCAGGACATCACAGACGAAAGAGAGAATATCTGAAACCAGAGCTTAACCGACGGCGAGGACCAAAGAGACACACAACAAAGACTTCCCAACACACACACAAACACACACACACACACACACAGGTAGGGCAGTGTTTGGTTTGGAGCAGGATGTACACAGATGGCGCTCATTAAAAAAAACGTCTGCACCAATAACACAGTCGGCTGAGTGCGTCTTACATACAGACGAGACACACCTGCCAATATGGTGTGGGAGGAGACAAATCTAGAAACATTTGCAACGTGCTCAGATACATGTGGGGGAGGGGGGGAACACGCGCCGCACACTCTTGTGCGTCATCAATTATACACACAAACAAACAAGGTGGATTTTGACCTGAGAAGAGCTCGCAGTGATAGAAGGTGTGAGTTCGGTGACGTGAGGGAAAGAGGAAGAAAAGAGAAGAAGGAGAGGGATATGTAGGAACGAGAAGTGCTGCTATTATTGGCAGTCAATCTCACACACTGTTCTGTAGCTTTGCACCTTTGCTATATACGTAGCTCTGGCTGCTGTCTGCTGCTGTATGAGAGCCACAGGCGGAGGGAACAGATCTGAGAACTAGACGGCTCTGACTGTTAAACTGTATCGAAGCCATTCCCCTCTTTCATCAACTTACTGCCACTTCATCAAAGATTCAATCAAAAAGCAGCAAAATTACTACATTTCTCACCTGCTTTTACATTTCGCTGCTTTTTCTACATTTATGGATTTTAAGCTTTTGCATTTAAATGATCCAAAACTGAAAAACCTAAACTAACACATTCATGAAACCACCTTTAGACTTTAAGGACCTGAGTGTTTTAATCTTTAATCTTATTTACCAAAACAGATTATTTCATTCAGACGCTGATGGGATTTGAGAATGAAACAGCTGAGTCTTTAACATGGTGTCAGGGTCATTTAGAGAAGTGTTATAAGTGGTACATCGGCTCAACAGCTGCAGCACCACATGGCTCAAAGGATTTCAAACAAAATGCCCTTTGATTTTTTTTTTATTCATCATGAGAGATAAAACTATCTGTTAAACTTTAAACCTTATAAAATCCTCTGAGCTCTTAGGTGTCAAAGTATGAACCTCAAAGGCGAAAGAGAAGAGTAAGTCTGACTTTTGCTTCTAGTTCATGATGTCAAAACTTAACTGCATTAATTGACCTAAGTAACATTAAGCATCCAGCAGCATTCGACATGTAAACTCAGGTTGAATGTTTCTGAGTGTTATGTCCTCGCACTTAAAAAAAAATCATCCCCACTGGGTTCATCTTCACTCTTAGTTTGGTGGAATGTGTTTATCATTACTCGACTGGAGGACTGTGCGTTTTAAAAAAAGGCTTTTTAAAACTTAAAACAACTAAAAGACTAATTTCAAAACAAAAATAAGATGCTTTTGGAGAAGGTAATTTTACTAACTAAACTTTGACTTTATTTGATTGGCTCAAGATGAAAAGGTCTTACAATGACCCTTTTCTATTACATTATTCCTGGATGAATCTGCTGATCACAAGAGTGCGCTTTCATATAAAAAGACTCATTCATGGATTCCTAATGGGTATCACTATCAGAAATTAAAACTAGGAACCTTCATGGAAAGTTTGATCATTAAAAAGAAAACTGTGTCGTATAATATGAAATCAAAGGACATGCGTTAAATCTGTCAAAATCACTCAATCCTTTGTCGGGGAAAAATCCCTGAAAAACTTTCCACGCAGAGACATACTCATGTGATTGTCGTCTCGTGTGAATTAACGGGGAGCCACTCCAGTGTCCGCATTTACTGCACTAAATACCCTCTTCACATACATTCAGATTTGTAGTGAGGACACACTGTAATCCAGTTATTTTTCAGTCCTGCAGTGCAGAGAAGCAGGTAAAGCAGCTTGCTCTTCCCCTGCTCCACTGTGAGCCTTTGCTTATGTTGTAAACAATTATGCCTTGAGGTCATGGTCAAGACTCGAGCTGCTGCTTCGCACAGAAAATCACTTTTGCTTCCTCTGTGGGAGGCTAATGGTGTCACTGGTGAAAAGACATCTCTTGCTTCAGACAACTCTGCCTAGAAAATACACAACTGTATGTCTGTAAAGAATCTCCTCGGCAGGCTCAAATGTAAAGACCCTGATAAAATACTACATCTGGGACTTATTTCTGCTCAAAACAGCATGAGGATAATACGCATTCAGACCTTTATCAAGCAGATTTATAGCAACGGTGCAAAGCTACTCCAAGAGATCCTTAAATACTAGGGGTGCGCCAAAATAATCGATTCACACAAGAATCGCGATCCTAATTTACTACGATTCAGAATCTATTTAAAATGTCCCAAAATCGATTTTAAAAGATTAAATATCCGCTGCCTGTCCGCCTCCATTTTGGAAACACGCTGGAAGTCCTGACGTCATCACACAGCCGGTTCTGGGACGCACACATGCGCAGAAGTAGTGCTGGACGATAATTCGATAACAATATATATCGATCGATAGACGTGTGGTACGATAGAAAAAAAACGGGTCGATAAAAAGTTCGATAGAAAAACACAGTTTCCCTTTCTTTTTCATCATAGCCTATCATGTAGCTTTTACTACAGTCATTACTTCCTCCCAACCAATCACAAACGCAGACCCAGGTACGCTACGGCACCAAGCCCAGCCCCTCTCAAACCACAACAGACAGCACGTGTATTAGAAAAAATGATACAGCAAGGAGAAGCGGAGGACATTGTCCCGAAAAAAGGTTTCAGTAGTTCACCAGCATGGAAGTCTGACAAAAAGCGAACAGCGGTCGTTTGCAAAATTTGCAGAGAATTAGTAAAAACCAAGTCTGGTAACACAACCAACTTGTTTTACCATCTAAACCGATCGCAGCCGCAGGAGTACGAGCTGTGTCGGCCGCGCCGCGGCTCCACGTCGTCGGAGGAGGAATCCTCTGGAACCGCTGCCAGCACCAGCACAAAGCATGTGAAGCAGACCAAACTGGACTTCGTTTCTTGCCAAAATACGACAAAGCGTTCGAGCGGCATAAGGACATCACCCATGCAGTAAGATGCTTCATAGCGAGGGACATACTGCCAATAACTACCGTTGAAAAGCCTGGCTTCGACCAGCTTCTAGCCACTCTCGACCCGCGATATGAAGTGCCCGGCCGCAAGTATTTCTCAAACACAGCGCTTCAGGCATGAAAATGGGTCAGGGGTTGAAAAGGTGAGAAGGGTGCGGAGGAAATACTTTCCGGTGTTGTACCGTAGAATGCACCCCTGTATCCCGTCCACTCATTAGCTTCTTAAAGTGGAAGAAAATGAGCTCATATTTTACAAAGACGCGAGTATTTGGATCATGGCTACTAGCAGGGGGTGCATTCGGCAGGGGTGCATTCTACGACACAACACCGGCGTGGATAAGTCCTGCTTCTCGTGCTTAGTTTGTGTATTAAGTCAATCACATGATAATTAAAAAAAAATAAATCTCCCGACCCCGGGAGAAATATTTTAGTGTTCAGACACCAGGCTGTGGGCAGTTTCCCACACAGTTAAACCTGGTAGTATGCTATTCCCACCTAAAGCTATTCTGTTTATTTATATATTTGTTTTGTTTATTTTCATCAAAAGACTATTTAAATATTTATTTATCAGATTTTCTGGTCACTTTAGTCTTTATGTTTGTCAGTATTTACTGATGTCACTCAGGCCACTTAAGTTGATTTCTTTTTTTTTTTTAGTTCTTTTTTAAAAAACTTTCAGTTGTGGTAAAAAAAAAAAAGGTGGTTGAATAAAGGTTTGAATTTGAATTCAGTGCTTGTGTGTTCTTTATTAAAAGTAGGTCATTAAGCAATAGCATAAAAACATCCAGGGCTGCAATTAAAATATATGTTAAATAATTATAATAATCATATCGATAATTATCGATATCGATCAATATGATTTATTTTTTATCGATATGCTTTTTTTCTATATCGTCCAGGCCTACGCAGAAGGCACCAAAACAAAGAGGGAAATACAATGACGGAGGAAAAGGAGATTCAGCCGGCCCCATCTTTACTAAAAGCCAAAGTTTGGCATCATTTCAGATTTTACCGAAGCCCGGACACACTGAGCTGGACATGACGCACGCAGTGTGCCAACATTGTAAAACTAGAATCAAGCATTTCTAGTTTTACAACACGACAAATGCGAAGGCTCACATTACGAGGCATCACCCGGAGATGAGAGACACGGAGCAGACTTAGCCGCCAGCTGCAGACCGACGCACGCTGCGGAGCTTCACGAAAAAAATAACCCGGTCTATCGCCTGTTGCTTGTAAAAATTCCATCGAAGCATAGATAAATGCTTAAAGCTTAATGAATGTGAAAACGACACTTTAATGCCTTCATTTGTCATTCTGTCTTGCACAGCAGATGGGAGTAGATTACGATCAGAAATCATTATGAATAAAATCGTTTTGAATCGAAAATCAATTTTAAATCGAACCGTGGCTCCAAAAATCGGAATCGAATCGAATCGTGAGACAGTAAATGATTCCCACCCCTATTAAATACATTTGCCTGAACCGACATTTCCAAGATGGCACACTGCTGTATTAACCATGATAAAGTTTTTTTTTCCCACCAAGACAGGGGGGACTTGGCTGAAAAGGCATCAAACTGAAAAAAGTGAGAACCTCTGTAGCTTGTGTTTGTGTTGTTTTACCTGTGAAGGCCATGTTCTTGGGGTTTCCATAGGGGGTGCCAGGCTGAACGGGGCTGTAGACCGGATTCATAGCTGAAGATAACCTGTTCTTACTGAGAAGAAGAAGAAACAGTGTGGCAGAAAGGGGTAGGGGAGATAAGAGAAGAAAAGCGGAGGGAAAAGAGAGAGGTAAGCCATACAAACCAGGAAAAAAATGGTTAAGACTTCTTTATACACACACAACCCACAGACACACAAACACACATCACACAATAATCCCAAACTCAGGTTCCTACGGGGACATCCAGTTGAGGTTTATTGTCGGCATGCAGAAACAAAAACTGAATCCTCATACTGAAGTGGTCTCAACATAAGTATGCTTTTCAAACAGAGAGAAGGACTGACAGGAAAGCACAAGGACGCATGAATCCACTCAATGTAATGTTTTGGTCTGCTGTGTGGCCTTAAAAACATGTAACCAAGGGTTGTTTTGTTTTGTGTACCGCACCGGTGAAGGCAAGGCGAGCTCTACCTACCTGGTTTTCAGTACGGGACTGAACCAGAGACAGTTGGGGGGGGGAGGGGACCTAGTATCACAGCTGTAAAGCTCTACCTCTAAAAATGCATCCTTCTCAAATACAGAAAAAAAAACACCCCGAGTGCTCCTCCTTTGTCTCAACTTACCTGCTCATTGACAGTGTGGGCATGTGAAGTTGTGTACATGTTTGTGTTTGTGTGTGTATGAGTGTGTGTGCATGCGTGCCCCGTACCTCTTGTGCGTGTCTGGTTGATACATGAAACTGAATTTGTCTGTGGGATGCCCGCTCGCCATTCTTGCTGTATGCAAATGAGGAAGGAGTGGAAGTGGATATGCAAATCTGAAATTAAAACAGCGAGAGGTCATGATTACAATGAACACAGGAAAAAGGAGGGGGGGAAAAAAAATAAAAAATAAAGGAAAGAAATCAACTGCAAAAAGCAAGCACCAGTGCAACAGCAAATGGTTAGTGACAGCAGCAGGGGGGCTGTGATTTCGAAGGCACGTTTGTAGTGAGTGTTTGTGGTTACTGCTGTGATTTTATCCAGTCATAGCTGTGCTACAAACAGTACAAGAGTGTCGTGTTTAGGTAAATATTTCAAGAACTGTTGGCTTCTGCTTTGTGCACTTTATTCCTGATGCAGTTACTTGATTGAGTATTTTTTAGCACAACTTGCTAGCTCCTGGGGTCATTTTATACTCACTTTTGTGTATGTACTATATGAAAGTGCAGCACAAGTATGAGTGTATATTTATACTGGATGTGCTAAACCAGATCTCAAGATACGAGCAGCAAAAGCAAACGTTTCAACAGCCAGATGAAAAAAAAGCACAAAACCCAGTGAACGAGAAGGTGACGGAGAGCAAAACAACAGAACAGAGGACAAAATAAAGGCAGAGTTTTGCACCTAGCCACGAGAAAAGCATGATCCAAGTGAGCCAGAACCACAAAGCGTTTGCACAAACACAGAGCAGAACAGCTGAGGAACAGATAAAAAAAAAGGAAAAGAGTGTGTGAGCTGCGTGGTGTTTTGGGTTTCTTGTGTAATATGTAGATTTTTTTTACATCTGTGTATGAAAGAGACGGGGCCTGGTGTGTGAGGGCAGTGATCGGGCTGGTTCTATCTAGTCTTGATGCATCGTCTGTCGTATGCCATGTATACGACGAGCTGCGTGAAATATGTTGTGGCAAGCTTTCCGTACACAGCACATCGCCCACCCAATAGCCATGTAGAGAGCTGTCAACGCTCATTTATCCACTTCTGCTTCCTGTAGATACATAAATTTGTAAATTGGATTGCGTTTTCAAACTCAAATCTAACAGATCCACCCTTGGCTCGTGTTGTGGGGCCTGTGAAAATCCTGTGGAGGGTTGCAGCTTCACTGTCATCATTTCTGGGCATACGCTGCAATAAGATGCCAGACGGCACCAAATGACAATTCAGATTAGGCGAAGAAGCATTTCAAAGCGCCATCCAGGAATGCTGACGTCAAAATTCTCAGACACTTGATACTGAATGAGAGCAAACATGAGTGCAGCTGGTTTTGCACATAATTCCGTAAAACAAATAAAAGCCTTAAAAGGAACAAAAATAGAGTCTCTGTTTAAGACGTTGTTGAGGTTGGTGATGTGTTGACAACGGTTCATTATTCATAAGATCATAAGAGAATACAGCCGCAGGGAAATTAATTGACTTCTTGCTGAACACATCCTACGCTACAGTCTTTATCGATCCGATGGATCTCCTGTGTTTTAATTCCTCCCTATAGGTCTACATTACCTTCATAGGTCTATTACCTTTCATCCCTCTGCTGCTCTAATTCATCCAGTTAACCATCCAGTTTCTGCAAAGCTGAAACCTGATCCCCTGTTAGCAAATGACTCACACGATCATCACAAAATGGAACAACAGGGGCTTATTCCAAAAGGAGAAAACATATCGACCGGATTTAACTCTTTTTTTAATTGGCAAAATTCAAAAAACTTCAGGAAGCTTTCAAAATCTTCACACGCTGACTTAATGAGGGGAAGAACTAAGTCCATAATTCAAAAAATCACTCTGACCTGGTGGTTGTTTATGTGAACTATGTTTTAATGTGGGTGTAGATGTATTAAAGGAATATTTCGGCGTTAAATTAATTTAGGGTCAAACAGACCGTAACACCGAGTTAGACACCCACTCAAGAGATGAATGTTGCCGACCCCTTGCTTCTCTAGTTCTACCAATTGCCAACAACCGCAAGATAGCAATACACAATGGTCTGAGGAGCCATAAACAAACCTCAAAACACCACTCTACAGCCACAAATAATACTCAGAACAGCACCTAACTTCATCAACTGTCCATATAGGTCCATGCCATAGTACTAGCTACCAAATATCTTTTTAACTTTGCCTGATTTCTTTAGCAAAGAGACTAAACATAACTCATCTACTCTCTTCCAGCAGCCGCTTGTTTGTTGCGAGACCTCAGGCCAGTCCATTACGGACTACAGCGCGGTGACGCAACTCAAGGAAGAACATTTATGATCATTTTTTAACATTTCCTTGAAGTAAAAATCATCATATTAATTATTTTCCACTGCAGACGCTGTAGTTCTTCTGCCTTAGCATCTCAGTCTGATTGTGTTTCCATGAAGAAATGATCATAAATGTTCTTCCTTGAGCTGCGTCAACTCGCTGGCCTGAGGTCTCGCTAGAAACAAGCGGCTGCTGGAAGAGAGTAGGTGAATTGTGTTTAGTCTCTTTGCATTATTTGTGGCTATAGAGTAGCTTTTGAGGTTTGTTTAAGGCTCCTCGGACTGCTGTGCATTACTATCGTGCAGTCGTTACTAAAGTTGGTATAACTAGAGAAGCAGGTGGTTAGCAACATTCATCTCTTGAGGTGGTGTCTAACTCGGTTTGTGGTGTGTTTGACCCTAAATTAATTTTACGCTGGAATATCCCTTTAAGAGGAGGAAAAATGCCCATTAGCATGTGAACAGGTGTCCTAGTTTAAAGCTACAAAGACAACACTCCAACACCCCATCACAGCAGTGCCTGAATATAGGAAGAAACTGGCATGTGCAACAGACACGTCTGTATGTGTGTCTTTGTGTGCATGTGTGTGTTCAGTCAAGGGTGAGGATGGTTAAAGTGAGAACAAGAGGGCACCACAGTGCGTCTAGGTGTGTGGAGCACTGAGGACAGCAGAGGAGCATGTGATAAGTACGAGTGTCTCACTTAGTCTTCCTTTGTTTTAGAGGGGGTGATGATGAAGAGCTCCAGGGCTCTCTACTCCTGAAGAAAGCCTCCTTCTAGCCAAAAGACTGACTACAGGCCAAACCACTATCTGTGATTGTAAAATACCATTCTGCAGGACTGTCACCATGACAAAGCAGAGAGAAACTACAAGGGGGGAAGAATAAAGACGAAAAGACTAGTCTAGACATCTCCTCTGTGATTAGGAAGCTTGGGGCATAAATCAGAAAGAAAGGAGCTGAAAAATCCTAACATACTGTTGGTTGCCTGAAAATGTCAAACAAAAATCCACACTCTCTTTGAGACAGGACACCAGCACTCAGTGACTGTAGACGCCGGGCACCCCGAGCCAAGAATGAAGATTAGGCTCTTAATTATTTTCCCAAAAAAATTCACTGAAAAAGAGCCATCTGCCTCGCTATTTTGGGGAATATATTTATGTATGCCATTCAAACTTCAGTCGGACGGGAACAGTTGCATTTCTGTGCAGGTCTGCAAATAATTATCCGTATTTAAGTTATACATTTTATTTGTTCTCTCATTCAGGTTATAAATATTCACACCAAATGTGCAATTCAGATTACCGTCTTGTTGATCACGAAATTGGGTTATAAAAGGACATAATGAATTCTAACTTCACAAAAAGATAACCAATTTAAGGTCATATAAGACAGAACAAAAGGAAACAAACTCTGACCTGAGAAGCTGTTGGCCTGAGAAATTACTGCTTATAGATGTTGACACTCAATTTTCTATTTAAACTAAAACGTAGCTCTTGATTTATCAATTACCTGGTTAATCTTTTAAATGCTGACAATGCTAATCTCCTGTTAATGGATTAAAGAAAATTGCTTTTGATTAAATATTCTACACAAGGAAATTTTAAGTATTCTTGAATTAAATAAAGATTAAAATAAAATTTTATTCAAAACACTTGTCAGACTAGCAGGAGGCTCACGAATATGATCAATTCAAACACATAATAGAACTATATGTATTTTCGCAAGGAAGCATACAACACTTTCAGTCTTTGAGTAAAGCAGCGACAGTTTGGGTACAGGCTTGATGTGAAAATTCATAACAGTTGCCACAGTGAGAGCAAGAAGCTCTTAATTTGTAGACAGTAAAAGCTTTTTCTGTGGAGGAGCTGCAGGTTTATGATGATGCTTCTTTGTCTGTGGATCCTTAAATGATGAAAACTGAATCTGACTGTTGGTTGCATTTTATAAAAGGCGATCTAAGTCTTTTAACCCTTCTCTCCTTGATACAAACACACCTGACTTCAAAGACAGCAAGGCAAACCGCGGCGCAACATCCCTCCATCGGCCAAAAGGGCTGCTGCTGACGAGGGACTCTGGCAGCGATGATGAAACGGCGCGTATGACACAAGGTGTCTTCGCTTTATCTACCTGCAGCTCTAACACCTTTCAGCAGGCTGTGGCGGTCTCACCGGTGACCATGTTACCACGTGTTTCACCCTGTAACAGACTCATCTCGACATGGAATTGATCTGTGGGTTGTTTTTTTCTCCTGATATCTCCTCTATGAGACTGAAACGGTGGAGACAGTTGATCAGAAAATTAGATTTTCACTTAAAACCATCACTGCAATACAACAGCCTCAAGACTGTGTGCAATGTCAAGTGGATGGTGTTTAAAGAAGGACTTGTTTTGTTCCGCTCTTTCTCTGTGAGTGTCTACTACAGCTACAACCTCCAAAAAATATCTTTTCATTTTTTCCTTCCAAAAAAAGGAACTATTCATAGTCGTTAAATGACAAAAAAAGAAAAAGATGGATCTTCTCAACTCAGGAGAACATATACTATGAGAAATGCTGCGACACAAAGAAGTGAAAAAATAATCCATGTATTACCTATTTCTGATCGTTTTCTTTATAAAAGTATGCGATCTATAAATGTTTGAGTTTCTAACTTATCTTCAAACAGCTCAAAACCTTGACACATTACTCCCTATTCCTTAATGGTGGCTTGATTGTTAAATATCTTCATCACTTTCAGCGTAACTGCACTCTCTGACATGAATATCAGATTGTATTTTTGGCTTGCTCTCCATCTCACTCTCTCTCTCTCACACATACAAAGAGAGAGAGAGAGAAAGATTAGGGATTCATTCAGAACTGACTGACATTATTAAGCAGAGCTTCCTGGCTTAACCTGAGTCATTTTCCAAGACTTTGTTAAGCTTAAACTCTATTAGCAGGACTTCATTTAGGCTAAACTCATAAGCTGTAGCCTCGGGGCCTCAGCTATAAACAAACAGCCTGCTGGACTGCATGCTAACAGCATTGGGCTGTGTGTGCGTGAATGTGTGTGTGTGTCTTTTAAGATGTTTTGTTTGAGCTTGGTAGGTCAGCAGTCTGGTCTTGCCTGGATTCAGATCTTCAAAGTTTATGCACTCATATTTAATTGTGCATGCTAATATAAATATGTGCCTGTTTCAAAACAATAATGCTGGTTCCACTCCATAAAGGGAGATTCCTGCTGCCTGGGGGGACGAGCAAAGGTAATAATGAGGGAGGAGGAGGAGGAGGAGGCAGCAGCAGTGGAGGGAAGGATTGTGAAAGAATAAGCCTCAAACACACACACAGACACACTCACACAAAGAGTGCTACCATTCCTGGAGAACATGTACAATACAACACAACCCCCACGCCGACTCTATCCTCCCACATAATACCTCACCAGGCATCTACTCTTTAAGCAACAAATCAAAACCGGTGGGCGTCATCACACTCCAGTGGAGAAGAGAAAAGAACTGAACAGCTTTCTTTTTTTATATTCGAGAACACAACGTTTCACTCAGGTCATATGAAAAGGAAACAGAGAGAGAGAGAAAAAACAAAAGACAAAGACTGCCGAGTGTCAATAGTAGGTCTCTCTACCAGAACAATCACAGTTCAGCTTCTACACACACACACACATTCTCTTTCTTATCATGTTTAAGGATGAAGCATTTTGGGGGTCTAGGACAGTTGACAACCTGTAATAGTGATGATCTTTATCAAATGGTCAGTTTGCTAAACTAACCTTGACGACATCAAAATGTAGCCCAATGTTTACTCAGTAGGGCCCGACCAATATGGATTTTTTGGGGCCGATTGCCAATACCGATTATAAGGGTGAGAAAAAAATTCAATTACCGAATAATCTGACAATTTTTTAATTTTTTATGAAGTTTTAAAATATACATACTGTAGATATCTACAGTATACTGAAGGCTACTGCTCTTCACGCCTACAAGAAGACCAACTGATCAAACTCAGACCAGAAAAGCATTTTCAACTACCCCCGCTCGCCGATCGGTGCCTCCGCGTCTTAACTCACGTTACTCATTTCCAGTCCAGTCTCATCTGGGGACATGCAGCTGCCTCAGTAGGAGAAGTAGCTCGATCACATAATGTGTTCTGTTGTTTATTCTACCGTTACTGGCACGGCTAACAGTGTAGCAAGGCTAATTGCAGATGGCTAACTCTAGCTTTAGCTTGCATATTACATGGTGTTTCACCGTTAACTCGGCGTGACCGAGACCAGCACGGCAGGGAACATCGTGAAGTGGGTTGAACTGAAACTTGTTGACTTATTGTGTATTTCACAAACTGGATTATTTTTATTGTTATTTACATGGAAGTCTTACTTTTTTTGCTATGTGCTCATGTGCAATTTGTTATTTGTTAATAAATAGTATTAAGTAAATTTATATCTGAGTTAATTTGTTACTTTTTTAACAAGGCTAATATCAAGCCTGGTACCTTCACTTACAGGGCAAGGTATACAGTTCATTCATTCAACAGTAGTATTAGATCAGTAAAAAATGCATCAAAAGACCCAAATGCAGAATCCATGGGCTCTAATGCTACTGACTTTTGGTTTTATTGTCCCAAAACGATATATTTTTTATTGATCAGTGATTTGAAAATTGAGTCCATCGTCTCACCCGATCAGTTATGTCAGCTGTAACCAAGCCATCTGGGTTTGACTACCTGTGCTTTTACAGAAAATAGCATCAATGTGGAGCTTAAACTTTATCGTGTGTACACAGATAAAACCACTCAATGACAGCCTATGGCAACTCTGGGGACATGTATGTGTATGTGGCAATGTGCGTGGGTTGTGTGACTGTGTCTTTGTTAGGTCTAGTACTTGCTACATAAGTTGGCAGCTTAATCTGTGCAGCTCTAGGAGTCCAAGACCATAAAGTGTACTGTACTGTATCGTATTGTATCAATTCAAAGGCAGAAAAAAAGAGTTGTGCTCACATCCAGATTACCCAGCATTCAGAATAATAAGCAGGACTGTTTTAAATTATTTTTGTAAGAGGCAATAACCAAAGTAACAGTGTGCAGCTCTATTATCTAGGCAAATAGTAACTCAGTATCAGTAGATACTCAAATATTTTCAGGGGCCAACACTGCTAATCAAAAGGTGTCACATTTTTGGGTTGTAGATCTATAGAACAAGGTCCCTATTAGAGCCAGAGGTGTGTCCCAAATCGCATACTTCCAGTACAATTTTGAGTATACTCAACGCAAAATGGAAAAAAGTACGGATGGTATGCGAAAATTGAGTAGGCAAAAGTACCCGGATGCCGTAATCAAATCGGTCAAGATTTTGAGTATCCGACTGTGGACACTTGCCGCAATCATTTCATCAGTAAGAATGGCTGCAGAAGGCTGTGGTGCAGGTGGGTCGGCGACGGTCAACCTGGGAGCTTTGTACAGATGTAAGCAATAAGTTGCCTTTCACACATGTTCCTCCCACCAAGCACCATCAGGGTTCATCGTTTTGAGTATATTTGTGGTGTAACCTGGGTAACCTGTTTGTCTTTTACCGCGAACGTTATCGCGAATGCTCGTTAGCTAGTAGCCGCCGGGTTCCGAAGCGTTACCCGTGGCGTAAAAATGAGCGATGAACGTTAATTTTATTGCTGATTTTACCTCAAAAGTATATGACGAGCGCAGGCAAAATGTGGCGGTAATTAGCTGATGCAGAGCTAGCCGGTGACAAATTGGCGTAGAAGAAATCGCATTGTCATTTCCGGGGAGTGCACCACACGGCAGTAAGCGATTCGGGACAACACTGCACCCTTGAAACTCAAGCGCTAGGCGATTGAGTACATAGTATGCTTAGAATACTTGATTTAAAAATTCTAAGTATTTAGTATGGAAGTATGCGATTTGGGACACACCACAGGTTTTGATATCCATCCCTACTCAAGCAGAATTCCATGTATGACAGTGACAAGCTAATAAAAAAAAGTAGGTTTGAGAGCCTTTTAATACAGCAGGGAATACAGCATTACGTCTAACATAACACAGGCCCAAAGGACAGACAAATGAGTGCCTGCTATCATAATTAGAACTGACAAAGACTGGAGCCATCTTTCTACAGTATTCACAGTAAGAGCGATGGAATCAGAAAGGCCCCCCTGCCTCTCGCACAAGCAGACCTGCCCTGCAGCAGCGTGCTCCTAACAGCCTTGGGCTATTTTAGATCTAGGACAGCAATTTACTCTTTGGGACAGCATCTGCCCTTCTCTCTGTGTCGGCTCCTTTTTCTCCAAGCCTTCAAAAAATCATCTCATCAGTCACACACCTCATGGGCCTGCATCCCTTGCGGCAACATTGTGCCAGCAGCTGAAAATTTGAAAATGATTATTCGAGGACCTTTTTTCAAGATATATAACTCTGTTTGCATTTATTGGTCATCAAGATGCATCAAACTTGATTTCAGCTTGGTTTGTGACTGGAATAAAACTCATCACAGAAGCTTTGAGAGTTTTAAAGCGACAACGCTGTCATAGCCTGTACAATAATAAAAAAAATGATTGTTGGATTTCATCAGCTTTCTGCTCAGGTACTCTAAAATCTCAGGCATCTCAGCGACAAGGAGCTCCAAATTATTGATTGGCTGGAAACAGGTGAATCAATTTGTATTGATTACCTACAAATGAAATGCCACATCAAACCAATTACGATGCAAGAACAAATAATGAGGTGCCAGGCAAGGCCAAATTTTCCATGCTGTCAAAAGATTGATTTTGACTTTGAATCTCCACTTGGTCTCAAACAACAAAACAACAACGAGGAGGACGCAACCCGGCTGAAAACAGTGTAAGAATTTAACAAATATACTTACCATGTTTGAGTAAATAAAACCCTACTCCATTTCAGAATAAGCGCTTCGCTGGATTCAAATTTTGATGAATTTCACTCCAGGAGTTACAGAGGTGAAAAGAAAATACAGATGCCCTGAGAGAAAATCCACAAGTGCAAGCACGCACACTCACACAAAGGAGAAGGAAAAGCTTTATGACAGTTCTTGGCACTTAAACCCGCGACAATCAATACCTCCAGGCAATTTTCACAGCAGACAGACAACGCCTGCAGTGGAGGTGGGACTCTAATAACAAAATAAATGACAACAAGTAGTATTTTATTGTGGGAAGGAATTATTAATGAACAACAGTTTTCGAGGAGCTGATCAGTGCCAGTCAGTCTGTTGCTTCAGAGACTGCTGATACGGTACACTTGCTCAACATACAGATCCAACCAGTGTTTGTTTTCACTCGGTCAAACTGCTGAACTGTACACAGTGCACTACACACAAAACTAAAACAGCGTTATATCAAATGCAAGTTTGTTTTTTGTGTTTCACAATTTGGTCAATTTCAACAGCCTGAAGCAACGTGAATAAGGAGGGCGACACAGGGAGAAAGGCTGCAGGACTAAACTACATTATTACTGCTCTTTAAAAAACATGATCACTTTGCCAATTCCTCACATTTCCTATTTTTTAGTATTTCTGTTAGAGGACAAACACCACACTGCTACTTCTACCACTAATATTTCAGGAGAATGTACATCTCAAGTAACATTTCCTCACATTAATGCACTCTACAGCGGGTTTCTCTTGTTCCTAAATGTCTTTTTTGTTTCGATTTTGGGAATATAATACTTAAACAAGCATTCAGTCCTTTGCAAACTCTCTACTTTGACAATATTTTCATTATTAACTCATTTATCCTGTTAGTTCATACAGTTCGTCCACTTCCTCCCGCCGTTAACAGCTCCTGCGTAACCGTTCTGCATTGTTCTGTGCTACAATAGCGGCCATTAACACCACTCTTAACACCTCTCCAAGTATTATGAGCCTGTTGACATTTTAACAGTCCTTTATTTCACTCTGATTTGTCAGGTATCATCCCTTAGGTTTAATTAGACATGCTCGTTTTGACTGGACAACGACACGAGAGACAACTATTGATCGTGACTACACGTATCACTAATAAAACAACAGCCTGCAGCACAGACACATGTGTATGAACATGTGTTATGTACAGACTTGCAGACCCTCTCTGTATGACTGACAGCTGAATGCATTACAGCTTCGCCCGCAGGGATCTGTTCAAGCTTTTATCCTACTCCTTTATTCCCAGCATCGCTCATATGCCATTCTCTAAGTATGTTTCCATGTGTACTAGCACACACAAATATGAAATGAAGATCAATCACAGTGTAATGATTCATCCACTTAATGTTGATCTACTAATGTGCATGTGAATGGGTTGATCACACAACACAATGGGCGTGATCAGTGATTAAACCTACTTTTCAGAGGCCACCCAAACTCTAAGCTTTGTTGTATCAGCTTTGTTGACATTAGAAGAATTTATCTCTGGCTTTTTTCAAAGGGCACAAATGTTCTTAAACAAGGCTAGACAAAACAGCCAAGAAGGTAGGCAAAATAGAGATATATCTTACTGTCATTTTGTAGAAGTTCTTTATCAGAAGAAATCCCCCTGCTGGACAAACTCTGAACTGACTTTGATCACCAAACATGGAGGAAAATGAGTGCAGTGTGGGAATACTACACAACCTCTGAAAAAGATCAGTGACATACATTTGTACCTCATGTTTGAAGGACATTTTAAGAGGGATTTTAAGGATGAACTTGTAATCAGAGGTCAACTGATAACAATTTTTCAATGGCTAACCCAACACTGAATATGAGAGAGCAGCCTGGCTGATTGCCAATGTACGATGCTGATATTAAGTTGTTTTGTTTTTCTTCATTCTTTTTTTGCATTTAAGAAATATTACAAAATAACTAAACTTTAATGAATATTTATCCATTACGTGTAGATGGAAAAATATTTGGATCAATGAAATATTGCCACAATGTTCTCTGAATGACGTCTGAATTTCTGGCGTACCTGAAACTGCTCAGACATAAAATAATGAAGTAAATGTTAAGAAAATCCAAGACAGTAATTTACAGATACATTATTCACACACAAACTAACATTTGTAAGGCATGGCAATCTTCATGCGTTTTAAATTGATTTATTTTGGGGCTTTAAGGCCTTTAATGACAGATGAGAACAGTGGATAGAGCAGGGAATGACATGCAGGAAGGGGGCAGAATTGAACCTGGGTTGCCTGCATACATGGGGTGCACCTTCATTGCTAGGCTATCTGCACTCCTATTTTTAATCACATTTTAATTAACTGATGAAAGAAATAAAGATATTGGTTTATGCCACAGATTTCAGAACATGGCAGAATTTTCAGTCAATACTTAAATATCATAACATTTTTATAATCAAACACACTCACCAGTGACTGAATTTGATATCATGGGTCATGGGTTTGAGAAAAATGTATCTTTATTCAGAACAAGATGACAGTGTTATCAGCTCAGTGAAGGCCAATCCCAATATAACACAAATTTTGACAAAAAGCTATTACTCATTTTTATTACTCATTAACTCATTTGAGAATCAGACTCAAAATAAATAAAGATGTAATGACACAAAATTTTATATCGATAACCAACACTAGCTAAATTGTCTGGTAAACATGAGTATCAATATTGGCTGTAGTTTTCACAATTAGTCCATCTCTAAAAAAACGACAATGATGAACCACAAAAAATGATTAATCTACAAAATGTCGTGCCATGAGTTCTCACAATACTGAAGCATGGCGTAAGTTGATGTTGGGGGTATGATAAGTGTTGCAGCATCAGTATACATGAACCATTTGTCAAATCAAAGAGGGACAATGAAAAAATGGCATCTGGCATCTGAAATTGCCGAGATTTATTTCCAGCTAAAATCTGTTTAATCCAATCAACTTCATTTTTATTTAAATCAAGAGATTGACTGACAAATAGACAACTGGCTGTGACTTTTCAACAATATAGCTTGCGGTGTAGAAGTGCCTCAACGTCGCGCTTAGATGTGGGGTGTCCGTCAATTAAATCAGACCTTTTCAAGTAAAAATGCCGAACATTTAATGCCTCTATCTCTTCAAAGTGAAGTGCAGTGAGGCTACCAGGCCCTCAGCCTGTGTCTCTGATGCAGTGAAAATAATGGATGCAATAAAGTCACAGTTAATGAGTCCAGGGGAAGCCCCTAAAAAAGACTCACAATGAAAAAAATGAAACAACCACCATGTATGACACAAAGGAATGTCAACTGGGAATTCATCTCTCTAGAAAGGCTCAAAGACTGAAGACAGCCAATGCTTAAAACAGCCAACAGTTATATCTACAAATGCATTAAGTCGTGATGTTAACCAAGTTTAGCTGTTTGACAATTCAAGACATAAACTTCTTAACACCATAATACTTTCAGAATAATTGGATCAACAATAGAGAGTATGTGCTCAGTTACGGTTGACTAATGTGTGCAAACGTGCCGTATCGCTCCCTCTTGAGTAAATATCACATAATTACCAGTGGTTTGGTGACAATGGAAACAGGCCACAACTTAACCATCACGGGTGTGCTGTGAAACCGTACCAAAAAGTAAGACACACAATGACAGCTAAACACCAGGTCGCTCACAGCTGTTGCGTTCATACTGATATCCTTTGAAGAAGCCATGATTTTTTACAACGTTTAAAAATGCCAAGTGTTACAAAGGCAACTAACTTATGCAAGACAACACCACCACCAGATAGGCCATTTTCTTACATGGTAGTTTCAAAACAAAGGTAGCCCAACAGCATAGCAGCTGGGGACTTCATTGCTTAAGAAAAAATCAGAAGTGTTATGTGTATCAAATTAGTTAGGACAAAGAAAAGGAAAAATGTCTAATTTTTGGGGGAGGTGTTAGGGCTTCCTTTGGGTAACACTGGGGTATTGGTTATGGGGCTAGGGTCAGGGTTTTGGGGTTAGGGTTAAAATCAATGTCCAGGACCTTTTTAGGAGCACGTTTCAGACCTTTTGCAGTTAATTAGAACAAAAAAAAAAAAAGGAAAAATGTCAAAAAAATTTTGGGGGGTGTTTGGGCTTCCTTTGGGTAACATCCGGGTATTGGGTTTAGGGGTTAGGGTTAGAATAAGGGTTTTAGGGTTAGGGTTAAAATCACTGTCAAGGATCTTTTTAGGAGCATGATTCAGACCTTTTGAGTTAGTTAGAACAAAAAAAAGGAAAAATGTCCAAAAAAAAACTTCTGGGGTGTTAGGGCTTCCTTTGGGTAACACCAAGGTATTGGGTTACAGGGCTAGGGTCAGGGTGTCAAATTCACAAGACTTCACAGGTGCTAAAACTGTCAAACTGACAGCCAATCTCTTTTAATCATTTTTGAGCAACAGATAACCAAGTTAAAGCTCACTTCGGGCAGGTACGACCCTGCTGTGTTGTTAAGCACTGACATCAAACTCAGAGAGAAAAAAAAAAGTTCACCTCACTGCTTTGACACAGTTCACACAGATACCAGCTTTGACGCAAGAAAGGAAGCAGTGCCCTTTGATTAGTGAGCACGGCTCTGCCCTGAGGTGTCAGAATGGAGCCACATTATTGGTCAAAAACAATGCCTGTAAATAGAATAAACAATATCCCTTCATTTCCACACTACCGCCTTGACATATTGCACTTGTGCAGTTAAGGCATGCACAGAAGTGTCTGACTAGTAGCATCACTGGACTGACATCACACCCACTACAATATCTGAAATGTATTAAATTCAAGATCCCTTAGGGAGGTACAGACCATAGCAGATCACACTACTGTGTTGATTTTAAGCAAACATTTATGGTAGAAAAATTGCAAATGTAAATAGAGCTGTCAATCATGATACAACATCCCAAATATTCCAGTTACAGTAAAAAGAGAAGTCACAATATATCTATTAATGCTCATTCAATCTATTACATATGTTATCTTAGCCAGTTATATGTTTTAAACTGGTGATGGTTATATGGAAAAAGGAGTTTCATGGCAGAACACAACACCAATGATTGTATTGCAACCAGTGCACACTACTACAGTCATATCATGACACAGCAATTCTGCAAAAACCGAAAACTGCAAGACAATCACACAATTATACATGATGCACAATTAGCTAAAAAACACAAAGTGCCCCTTAAAAGGTAAAGTGCAGGGCTGATGTCTTTAGCGCCACAATGAGGAGCCATTATGGAGTGATGTGATGAGTCAAGTTAAGAGGGGAAATCTGTTATAAGAGCCACAATCTGTGTAGTATTCTTAAATTTTCAAAAAATCAGTTTTAGCATCAGGGAGCAATTGTATTTTTCATAACCTTGTGTCAATTTTTTGTCGTACTATTCTGACCACAAGGAAAGATGGTCGGGGCTACTTGATGTTAATTGAGGGTTAATTCTTAGTTCGACAAAATGAGCAGTAATAGCACTTCATCTCCTGAAAACTGCCAATGTGCCCTTTTTTAGACTAAAAAGCACTTACCAATTTGTTTACGGAGAGGCTGAGAATTCGTGGAAATACCATTTACATCCCTATTTAAGTGAATCACCCACAAAGAAAATTGTCAATTAAAAAGTCCAGCGGAATTGAAATGTGGCCCATCAAGCATAAATCACTTGAAGCTAGTCTAACAATGCAATTGCATGCATCCGCAGATGTCTCTTTTAAAAACACATTGGCCATCAAGCCGAGGGAAGTGTGGGCTCGACAGCAGAGGAGGGTGAACACTGAAGTTGCCGTCTGTAAGCCATTCGTTTACGGATCTCTGATGAGCAACTCATTAAGTGGTTCAAACCCCCATGGGAATGAAGTGCTTCAAAGACAAGAGTCTGTTATAAGAACACGGACTCTTGTAACATGAAGTGACTCCAGCTTTCTATAGTCTGACAGCTTTACGGCGGCACTGTGCAACCCACCATTCATACACATGAGGCTATACTCAGCGTATGCTCAAACTCACATGCCCCCTATTTCCTCCTTCATGGTAAACAGCAGGCACCTCAAGAATAAACGGAACGTGTAAATACTTCAAAAACCTTGGAAAAAGTTCAGCTCAGTCAAACCTAGTTATGTTTAAAAATTTAAGTATTTATTATGTGCTGTAATTGAAACAACCTTGTGTTTAATTTCCCTTCATCTGGGAAAAGCAGTTCTGCCAGATGCTTCTTGATTTCACAAGAGTCTGAAAAAAGATTGCGCACAGCCATCTCAGTTTGTAGAATGATCAATATGACTCCGGTGTGGTTCAGCAAGTACAGGAATTGCAGGGGTTTTACTGGATGCTACCATTAGAAAAGGGAAAATAAAAACAAACAAACATGTAGTTTATTCAAATACAGTAAAATATAAATACCAAGACTTTCAGTTGAATTATTTAGATTAACATCTTACTGAATGTCTGATATGGATCTCATGCTGGATAATATGATCATTAGTCAATAACTGAAGCAGGTAATCCTTCTCATGATACAAAAAAAAGAAAAACTGGAAGAGGACTCATTTCATGATATTTGAGGTCATGAAGAAGGAAAAGGTGCCTTTGGCCTTTTTATGTAATCTGTCCTCTTCAGAATCAGAGAATCAGAATGTCCTTTATTGTCATCATACTAGAAGTACAACGAGATTGGAGAGCTTCTCCTTTTCCAGTGCAATAGACAAGTAAATAAGGTAGTAAAAGTACAAATATTTGTAAGAAAGAAGGTACTATATATACAAGACAAGAATTCTACAAACACTAAAATAAAAACATAAGAATAAAATAGAAAGAAAGATACTAAAGAGAACTATCAAAAATAAATATATATGTGTGTTTGAATATTATGTTTATATGTACTTTTTTCATCAGTTTGAATAGTGTTACCTTATTCGACTGCAGTATGTTGGTACTAAAATATGTTGTGTACAAAAATGTGACAGAAAGAACATGAATCAGAGGAGGAAAAGGAGGATTAAATGCTTTCCTGCTGATGAAAAACATATTCATGTGCCTATGTTTGTATTTGGTATAATGAAACAGATACTGTCCACTATTGTGTGATGATGAAACCGTTCAAAAACCTAGTCAGAATATTAATAAATGATAATGCTTTTTGCTCATATCACCACTTTACTTAGTACAAGTAATTCTATTGTATTTGGTAAAATGTCCACTATTATGTGACAATAAAACTGTTCAAAAACCTAGTCAGAATATGAATAAATAATGATACTTTTTGCTTATATCTCCACTTTATACTCACTACAAGTTGATTTGTTTCATGTCTAAAACTCATGAGCAGCACTTAGTTTTGGAGTAAATTCAACTAACAAAACCAAGCCTCGCATTCATTGTCAAACCTAACTGAGGTGCGTTGTGTTGAGTGTGTGCCATTCGATTAAAAAAAATGCAAACAACGAAATTTGCATAACGGACTCAGCACATTGTTTTTGGGCCATGACAATTTTTTAAACGCACACCACAGATGCAGGGCAAAACTCAGCAAAAACAAATTAGTTCCACTCCAAAATACAATTGTTTAGCTCATAATGGTGGCTGCAGCCTCGAGGATACAGCCCAGTGTGCTGGCATTTGCGTTTCCCAGCACATCAGTGGTTATTATGTAGTTATATCTATCTGAGTATGGCATGCACTGGCAGTGCGCTGCATTCCGAGGATAGCGAGCAACGCCAAAACAGCCATGGTTGGACAAAAATGGTCACACTCAAACAAGCTTAAGACACCATTTTGAAAATCCACCGATTTCAAGATAACAACTCCGCGATGCCATCTTGCCAATTATCACCAGATTAGCCGCCGTTAGCATGGCTGTTCAACCATTCCGCTGCAGCCCACGCAGGAATCTATGCGGGTCACAGAATAGTAACGTTAGCTTAGCTCCATGCTAGCACTGAAAAAGGTAACCGCTAAACCGCTGTAGCATCCCTGCATCCCTCGGCAACACGCTGCTCAAATAGCTAATTAGCGCGCTAACTTGACAAAGATTGGCAAATGTCAATGAAACACACCGACTGTAGATATGATACAGATATAAAACACCAGTTGTACCGCTTGGCCGCACACAATAAAGATTGATACAACACAACTAGAAGCAGTTTCATTCCGCTATTTGAGCTAGCTCGGTTAGCCTAGCTGCTGTAGCCAGCCACCGCGGAGGACAATTGAAGGGATACGAAGGGGGAAAAAAAGACAGGAAAAATCGTACAACTAAGCAAGTCGACACATAAACATCTTTGCTCTTTATTATCAATGACGGACGTCACTCACCAAAGTCACTCGGTTGTACGAAAAAAAGGTTCCCCTTGTGTGTACGTGCCTCCTCCCGTGTGTGTGCTCTGCCTCAGGGTCGGTGCGGACTGACGGCGCAATAGCAGCGTTTGGTCGGGCCAGTGGCGCAGGGAAGACAGCTTTCACCCGGAGAGACGGCCACCGTGTGGGGGATGGGGATGCACTGCCGGGAGGGAGAGAGAGAGAGGAAGGGAGGGATGGATGCAGGGATGCAAGGAGAGAGGAGGGGGGCACTAATAACACAACAGAGGAAAGGCTTTGAAAATGGCCACATAATAAATGACAGTTGTATGTGGAATAATAAACAATAATAGTACGTAGTGCGTATATAACATAGTGAGGACTTGACAATTGAAAAGTCGAATCAGCCACAATGTGTGCTGGTGTGTGGATTTAATCGTAATCACTAAAAAGTGGACGGTTTTATTTATAAAAAGCAGTCTCTGTATTTCAAGCTGTTTGAGGTTGTCAGTTCCATTATTTATTCTTATTTAAATTTGATCACCCCATGCTATGACTTGAACATTATGTCCTTACACGTTATATGATGAAACACGCAGTTGTAGTACAAAAAAAACTGTCAACACAAGCTTGCTGCTGTGGTAAATCTTTGTTATCAACATCTCCAGGAAGGAAAATGTGTTATTTGGTCAGCGGTGCTGTGGTGGTAAAGCGGTACTGCAGCAGTGTTGGAAGTTCACGTTCAATAATTCACATTCAGAGGCTTTGCTCATACGTAATCACAGCCACACGGTCAGCCTCACAGACGGGCAGCGCCATCTCGTGATGGTTTGATGTGCGGCAGCAAAAAGCCTGTGTTTCACAGGGTTAGACAAGTTAAAGGTCTACAACACAGGTGTCAAACTCAACCACAGCCCGGGCCTTGAGTAGACACCTGTGGTCTACAACCTATAACCTATAGAACAGGGTTTTTCAACCAGTGTGCCGTGCCATGACAGATAATCAGGTGTACCCTGAGAGATTATCCAATTTCACTTTATTGGTCAGTTTTTTTTATTACTAATTATCTGCAAATAACATGCAATTCTCAAGTGTCTGTGCTCTAATCTACAGCCCCAGGTTTCACACTGGGAGTATGAATAAATTGAGTGACTTTATTGTCATTGTATAAACTGTATTTGGGGCTACCAAGAGTCATTTAGTAACATTATTGGTTGGTTGTGTGCCTCATGATCTTTTTTTCTATGAAAAAAATGTACCATGGCTCAAAAAAGATTGAAATACACTGCTAAAGAAGACTTGAAGTGCTTTACAAAGTCAGGAGCGAAAAATTGATGGCATTTAGAGCACGAAAAGAATGATGAAATAAGGCGAGATAGCATATCAAAATGTAAAACACTAGATAGAAAATACAAAGTATGACAATGCCTACATAGATCAATGTAGTCTATAGGGGAGAGTGGGGTAAGTTGAGCCAAAGGGTAAGTTGAGCAACTCCCTGTTGATTGGAAATGGTCAAAAAAATTGATCATGTGACCAAATATTTAGGAGATGGGCATCAACTCATGGAGTCTGTGAGGGTTAAAAGCACATGGATAAGGGGTTAGACATTTATTTCCGGAAAAAAAGAAACATTTTTCACTCTTGAAAGTCAATTTAGTCTGTCCTAAGTTTTACTAGAATTGTGTTCAAACCAAAAACAATCATTTAATTTTTTTTTATATATCAATTGTGGTTTCTATCAGATACAACATGAGGTCAAAAACCTCGTCCATCATTTTAGCTTAGCCCTTTAATGCCCGAAACAACACAAATTATGGCATGCTATATTATCAAGACAGTTATGTTTTCACTCATTCTGTTGGATTGCAGGGATGCACAACATCTTGAAATATATGCAGACACACAACTATGGTTGTCCTGATGTAGTGATCTGAAATATGAAAAATGGCTCATCTTACCCCACAACCCCCTATGATTTTTTTTGCACAATACCTCAAAAGTTTCTTATCATATACATTTAGATAGTAGATTATGATTGATTGAATGATTAAAATCACGTCAAATTTAGACCAAAAGTAATTTATGAATGAATATTAAGAGGGAAATTTGTAGAAGTAGTTAAGATAAAGAGTAGTGCTTCCTGAAGTGTAAAAACAATATATCAGTGATCCATTTCCACTGAATACACTCAAAGTCTGAACTGCATTTTACCGGACAGTGAACTGAACCCTTCATCCACCTTCAGTCCACTTACGAGAACTACACTTCCCAGCCGCCATTGCGTCTGCTTCTACCGCAAACAAAGAAAATCGGAAACTCACACTTATTGCATTTTTCTTATAACCACGCACATATCCTATAAAAGCAAAGAACAATGAACTCTTTTGACGATAATAACAGAGTGTACCACGCATAAAGTCAAAAAGATTTCTGTGTCCTCGCGCGATATCACGTTTCCGGAAGTTGGTGTGGCATGAGATAGAGAGCTGTCCGAGGTGCTGAGACTGAACTGACCTGCCCTGTTTCAGACTCCCAACCCATGTATCGTACACGAGTTTCAATTACGTCTGCTTGTTAGGCTTCTGACAACTTATTTAACTAAGGTAAGTCTTACATTTATTTAATTTTGTGAATTATGTAACCGTGTGATAACAGAGTGCCAAATTTGCAAATTCAGGTGATTCTGTCTGTCAAAGATATGCTGGAGTTAACAGATTTCCCGTTTTCTTTCCTCTATCTCTTTAACTGTTTTATACAAATACACTTTTTTATGCACAGACACATTTCATTTATGAGGACAGGCTTTCACACACTATGGTCTTTTACATGCAGTATGATCTTTGATTCTTTTCATAGAGTCAGAATTTTGGAAGATGGATGAACCTCAAGAGTCACCCCCCTGTATTACTGATGCCAACAACCTCAGCAGCACTACCAGCAGCAGCAGCAGCCCTCCCAGTGGTAAACCTGGCACTGCTCCACAATGCAACGGGGTCCCGGAGAGCCGAACCCTTTTGCGGGTGTCTGAGTTACACGGACTCCAATTGCTGAGTGTGCTCAGATCATTCAGGGAGCAGGGCTTGATGTTTGACTTTACCATCAAGGTCCAGGAGCAGAAATTTCCCTGTCATCGATGTGTCCTTGCAGCATGCAGTGATTTCTTCAGGTTTTTTAATCTATTTTTCAGTCTATTCTTTGAAATGATTCGTTTCTCTGATATTAATCTGTGGATATATGTGACTACTGTGTGTTCAGGGCCATGTTTGAGGTGGATATGCGAGAGCGGGATGATGGCTCAGTGACTCTTGGTGGCCAGTGTCCTGTAGCAGTCAGCTCTTTCCTCGATTTTGCCTATTCTGGAGAGGCACTTATCACTGAAAGCAATGTAGACATGCTGTTTCAGCTTGCATCTTTCCTGCAGGTATACAACAACACTTTTTTATTATTTATCGTCAGCATAAACTGCATCACTCATTGTTTCTAGCCAAATTTGTGCTGAAACCAGTGCCTCGCCCAAACTATAATGTCACCAGATGCACATTTTAATATACAGTGTAAAGCCTTTAGACGTACTTTTTAATTTACCTTAAATATTCTCTTTGCTTTCTTCTTCCCTAAGGTGTCAGTCCTGTCCAAAGCATGTAGTGACTTCCTGATAGGAAACATGGATCTTAGTAACTGTCTGCCCCTCTTCGCCCTTGCTGAGGCCTATGGCTCGGCCTCCCTCCTAAAAAGTGCCACTGATTTTGTTGTTCAGAACTTCTCCAGCCTCTGCAAAACACAGGACTTTCTTGATATGCAGGTGTTGTAGTTTACACAAGGGATTGGAATAAAGGGGATTTTTATTAGATGAAGTTTATATAATAATAAATGCACGTGATTTACATCTAAAATATAAACACTAAAGAAGGAGGCTGTAATTATCTTTTCAAGGCAGCCTTAAATGAACATTTTCCATCATTATACTGCCTCTAAGCCTTTGTTAAAAATTTCTGTAGACTTAGAAAAAGAAGGTATAAAGTTTTATTTCCCATATTAAATTAAGGACAGAACTATTCTATCATTTCATGTCGTATTCACATTTTGATTTTCTTGCTATAGCTAAATGTGTTGGAAGCATGCCTACAGTCGGATGCTCTAAATGTGTCCAGTGAAGAGATCGTAGTTGAGTCACTTCTTAAATGGATACAACATGACCTCCAGGGAAGACAAAAACTGCTGCCAGGCTTGTTGTCCTTAACCAGACTTCACCATCTACCTTCACCTGTCTTAAAGGTAGAAAAAAAAATACACTGTCCTTTGTAATGATCCTATCTCAGGCCTTAGTGCTGTCTCATCCTTTTATTGTTTTTGTTTCTCTATCTGTCAGACTCTCTGTGATTTAGAGCCTCTCCTCCGCAGTCAAGAGTCTTGTCTGGCCCTGTTCTCAGAGGCGCAGAGCAAACAAGATCAGTACAGTGGACTGCTCACTGACGCCAGGCCAGCCACCACGCAGAGCTATATCTACATCCACAAGACAGAGGAGAACGGAGAGATCCGCCACACCTTCTGCTACTGTCTGGAGACAGACCAGTGGAAAGAGCTGCAAGCAGGGAGTGGAGAGGGGGCGGGCACGATACCAGACCCACCGGGATCTTACCTCACCAGTTATGCTGAAAAGGTAAAACAGTGTGGGTAGGGAACAGGTACCTAAAAGGGGACATGTTTGTTACTTTTAACTTGAAAAATAAAATAAAATTTTGTTCTTTTTTTGCTTCCAAGATGTTTGTAACAGGCGGTTGCAGGGGAAACTGTTGTCGAGCGATACGTCTCCATGTAGCCGAACCTTTCCATGATGCAACAGATGAAGTTTGGTGCTTCTGTCCCGTGACCCTCACCTGTACTCCTGCACCTGCCATGCTGAAGCCCAGAACTACACATACAGCTGTTACTTGCATGGACCGAGTGTATGTCATTGGGGGACGGACCAAAGGATCCAGGGGTGGAGCTCCTAGTCTGCTGGAGGTAATAGCGCCTCACTTTTATGTATGAATGGAACCATTTGGATGGATCTTTCATTTGAAGCCTCTGTTCTTCCCTGTTCTTTAGGTGGAGTATTACAACCCTCTGACCCAGACTTGGACCTCAGTCAGCCCCCTGCCCACTGCCATCTTCTACCCCGAGGCCAGTGCTTGTGGCAGTATTATTTACACTCTGGGATCAGAGGTGGAGATCACAGACTCCTTTAACCCCTCACTGGACTGCTTTTTCAGCTATGATGCCCAGAAGGACCAGTGGAGCCGCCTGGTGGCAGAGTTCGGCCAGTTCTTCCACGCCATTCTGGTCAAGGCTGTGTCAATTAACAACACACTTCACCTCTGTGATCTGTCCACTTATAAGGCAATCAATAATTGAATGAGTTATCAGTTGTTTCAGTTTCATTCAAAGGGAAAAATATGTTAAAGTAGTTACACATAGAGTTCATAGTGTGCTTTTTTCCTGTCCAGGTGTACAGTTTCTGTCCTGAGACCTGTGTGTGGAAGGGAGAAGGCTCGTTTGAGTGTGCTGGGTTCAACGCTGGAGCAGTAGGCATGAGAGACAGAATCTATATCCTGGGTGGAGACTATTCACCTGATGAGATCACTGATGAAGTCCAAGTAAGAGAACCTATTCATCCCTAAATAGGTGTTATTCTGCTTTGATTTGTTAAAACTCATCTATTTGAAGTGAAAATCTCATCTATTTGAAGCTCTGAATTTCTCCACCTTTGTGTCTTCCTGTTGCCTGTCCAGGTGTACCACAGTGGTAGGAGCCAGTGGGAGGAAGTGGCTCCGATGCCCCGAGCACTCACCGAGTTCCACTGTCAACTTATCAGCTTCCACAGATTTAGAGACCCATGGAGTGACACAGCGGACACAAACACATGAACCTGTCGGCGTGTTTTAGCAGGCACAGCATGCGGCACTGACTGTGGCAGGAACCCCAGAGTCTCCAATGTGCATGATGGACACTGATTGAGCTAACATCTTGAGGGTGACAATCTGCAACTAACACTGCATCTCTCATGGGTCATCATAAAACATGTGCAGCCAAGCCAAAAAGAAGCAAATTTATTTTTTTATTTAGAACCTAAACTTTGTATGTGTTGATAAAAAAAACACTGGCCCTCCCATGGAGGAACCCTATTTAGCAAAATGATATGTTAGAATTGCACTTTAGTACCCTGATTTTTTTTCTTTTTTTTTGTGACACGAGAATTCACCCAAAGTAGCGACAGGGTCTGTGGTTATTCACGCTTTCCTGCTGCTAGGACATAAAAAGAGACCACCTTAAAAAAACAAACTCACTAGTATGTCGCTCTGTTGACATAGAACTTCCATTGTTAGAAAAGGTTCCATTGTTATGAAAGAAAAACACTTAAAGCTCATGTGAGGAATTATATGTCTTGGTTTATTTTGGCGCCCCCTGTAGACAAAGCAGTAGCCTTTATATAATTTCTATTTTCATCTCATCCTTGTGAATTTCTTCTCCCATTCAGTGGAATTTATAAACCACTTTGAATATTTGCTGTGGGCATAGTAACAAAGGCCATTGCAATCCAATCCATTGGATTGCTACCACCTCACAGCAGCTACAGGCGCTAAAAATTAAAATATAGAAAATGTTAATCTTGTTGAAAATTGTCTCCTTTGCTTTTTTACACAATATAAATGCATCATGACTCATTTCAGCCTGTTTCATAACCTATGAAAAACTCCTCACAGTAGCTTTAAGATGAACACATATTTGATACATCACATGAAGACCTAAACACTTCTCTTTTTTTTCTTAAGAAAATGGTTCTCTGGTATCAGAGGGATTTAAAATGTTGTATTTTCCCCATTTTAATCTTTTCAGGTCTTTTATATGTATTGAAGACATGCATATACAACCTAATTTGTACAATGATCATCTCCCAATATTCACTATGCTGTGCAAGTACCTGGGTGCATTTGATGTCAAATACTTGCCTTTATTCTGCTTCATGCTATCATGAATCCCTGCATCCTGTTTCTCATGAATTGAAGGCCCATTCATTATGTGACAGATAAATTACCTCATATCTGCTTGTTTGATGTCATCAAGATCACTTCAGCTTCAAAGAACAAATGTATGAATAGATTCAGAAAACAGCAAGAGAAAACATGAGCTGGAAGCATGAATGCACTTTACATTTTTGACCTGCAACAGAAGGACAAACTCAATACACTGACGACTGTTTAATGACAGAAAGTGAACATAAACAAAAGCTTCAAAATGCGTCTTGATGTCTTTTTACATAATTCACCTCTTAGAATAGAACGATCATATGACTGACACAGAGACATAGGCACCACTGCTACAGGGACATTTTAGTGCTTTCTATCAATTACCACAGGGGAAATGAGAAGTTATTAATCCATTCAACTTCCAATCTCTACACTGACTTCAGCAAAGACTTTTGCTAGAATACTAGCCTACATTTGAAAACACCTCTGAACATGAATTTAAATCCAAGTTTGCTATTTTTTTTATCATGCTGGCTGTGACAAATTACATAGTTTTGGCATTGCTAGAGTATGAGGGCTCTTGTCTACACCAGTGAAGTAGCCCGACAAAAATGAGATGTAAACACAGTGCCTGAATAAGAAGCTATGTGCAGCAAAGTCCTAAGTAGCCATCCTAGGTTCCCTCCATCTCCTCTCTTCTTGCTCCATGGGTTTAGCCTTGGTACGATTTCACTAGCAGCCACATCAGCAGCACAGTGATTAAGACGACCATGAAGTTGAGGAAAAGCTCCTGGGTTGAGCGGTTCATGTTGGGATCTTAGACGGGGATGGAAAAATGGAGGAAATGCTGATAGGCCAAGAAAGAGAAGAAAGAGAAACAAGTTGGAAGGGTGTAGAAGTTCTCTGAAGAGCTACTCCTTTTGTGACTTGTGTGCAGAACCTGAAAAGGGCAGAGAAAGAGGAAAAATTCAAAACTTTACTTATGTAAAGATTGTCAAAAATACAAGTATGATGCAGGCAAATAAGATGCCATCCAAACAAATCAGTGTTTGATTGTGCATGTACTGTATGTACCCTTTGTTATCACAGACAAGAGGGGCTACATCTGTTCACTGTTACATCACTCAGCAGAAAGAGAGACACAATGTTCTCTAATGTATACAAGAAATATGACACACAAAGCATACATATTAAAACACTACCAAGATTAGATAAATAAAAAAAAGAAAAAGAAACAGGTGTGAAAAAGATTGAAATGAAATCCCTGTTTGTCAATTGCAAACAATAGATTGAATTGCAATCTCTATTCTAATCCAAACAACAAAATTATGAGTTATTTTAACACAAAATCAGATGTAAAGAACGGAAGTTACCTCTTTCGATAGTGATCCCGAATAGAAATTATGTTCTAATGACCGCCAGTTTTCTCCACCTCCAAATAGCCTGCCCTCTTTCTGGAAACTTCTCTTAACCTTTCTGCAGCATCAACAAGCAGCTGATCTTCTTGCTGTTATCCAGAGCCAGTGCCCACTCCTAAAGTAGCCATCCTCAGTGGACCGCCCATGATTCACATACATACAGACTGATGTCACACGCCAACTAACCAACCAACTCAGTGTGTTATTTTCCACAATCTGGTCCACCAGATAGCTACCCATCCATAACCATACAGAGTCTCTCTCTCTCTCTCTCTCTATCTGTCTCACACACACACACACACACACACACACACACACACACACACACACACACACACACACACACACACACACACACACACACACACACACACACACACACACACAGAGGAGGGACTCAGGGTTATTTATAAAAGGTTATTGCAGATACCAGGTGGATTAACATTGTTACAAACACAATACTCATATCTTGTGCTAGATGTAGGAAACTGTATTAGTATCAGTATCTGGGTAATAGTCATGCACAGGGGAAAAGAAGATCAACACAGCAACCTCTCCAAAATGCTACTTATGTAGGTTCAAAACCAGCTGATGCGACAAATTTATCATATTGTGTGTCACAGCTGTCACTTAGCGCAGAGGAGCAAATTCAAGAAGGTTTACTCTTCTTGTAGTTGGACGCTTTGAAAAGTATCATGATGCATTTAATTCCACTCCAGATATTTTCCGTCTTCTCTGTGTGACTCAGGCTGCCAGGGTGGAAAGACTAAAACTAAGTTTGTATTATACTGCAGTGTAAATTTGTTATCTGAACTTATCAACCAGAGGCTGCCAGGCCTACCTGGCAGGCCTACCTGGCAGCCTCTGCTACCCTCTGCATAGAGCAGGCAGGCCAGAGAAAAGTCAACCACATCACTGCTTTTTACTGCAGGACTATCGGCAATTACACTTGCTAATGTTAATGGAAGACAGTCATATACAGCTGGAAAGGTACTTTAGAGCTAAAGACTAACTTTCGTCTCCGGGTCTTATATCTGGATAAGATGCAACTTTAAATACTTGACTTATCTTAAACATTAGTGTTTTCAAATCATGATGGTTTAGATGAAAAGGCCAAAAGTTTACTGTACTTGACCTGTTTGTTTATGATTTTGATAATGTTTTTCTTGAAAATGTGTTAACTGTAAAACGTTGGTACCACTTGATTTAAACCCAATGATCTCCCCACACCCAATTCTTAAGTAGGCGAGGGAATTGCAGTTTTAAGAATCACTGTAGAGCAGATTTTATTACCTTTTGACAGAGCCAGGCCGTATCCCCTTTCGTCTAGCATTTATGCAAAGCCAACTTTGAGTTATCTTTATATAACTGCAGTTATGCCAAAATATTCAAATGTCAAAGTTTGAGTGCAGCCATTGTGCTCTTATATTTTCTCCTGTATGCGGTGCCGATGCCAAGAAGAGGATTTTGACAGCTCACCACAGAGAACCTCTCAGCTTCATCCAACACTTGACAGCTGCTTACAACGGAGTTATCTCCAAACCAATGTTAAACCTCCTTGACACACACACCTTCTACCGTGCACACAAAAAGGTCACAAGGGGACAAAGTGTGTGTGAGCATGGCTCTCTTAAATCTTTCCATCGCTGGATTCCAAGGCCATTCCCAGTGGATTTCACAGATCAAACTAGTTGCCATTTTATCACCCTCTTGCTCTGCCAGCAGAGGACCGATAGCTGTTTGACCCAGGGATTCCCATTGTCATGGAGATCCTGCTCAAGTGATTGTATACAACAGAGCGGGTTGTGTAGGCATCTCTGAGTGGGGCGGATCATGGCCCACTCTGACAGCTGTGTGTGTGTGTGTATGTGTGTGTTTAAGACGGACAAATGCTGGCAGGGTTACCCTCTAATTCAGTGGAGAGACAGAGCGGTGTCAACAAGGCCTCAGCAACACCATTCTTCACATTCTGGGACACTGTGCTCTACATTGTGTGTTTAAATGTGTGTGTGCGCTTATATTTTCATGTGGTGTTTGTTAACAAGTGAAACTAATTTGGTGACAGTTTTATGCCTTCATCCTATAAGTGTAAAGGTGAGCATTGCATGTCATATTATATATAACATCTCTATGCAACCACTTGGTAACCATGCTTACAACCAGCACAGTCTTGAGTTTGCTGCTGTTGAGCTATTACCTTACAAACCAAAGGCAGGAGACAATCCCTTTATTTGGATTTAGAATCTTGCAAGGGATACAACAATTCGTCTGGTTTTGGTTATAGAATATCTTCATTTAATGTATAAAAGTCTTCTTTCAGTGTGCTTTTCTGACCTTCGTCATGATTTGTTTAATGCCTTGAGTAAAGCAATGAATTAACTTGCCTCGCCAAAAACCACTCAAACCACCTCTGAGGCTCAGCTTGCACTGCTGAGGAACAAAATCATGTCTCTTTCTCTTTCATGTTACACACGGCTTGTGTGTGCATTTCAGACATCATGTACTTACACTATTTTTTAATTTTTTTAATTTGGCACTGACTTTCAGTCTTTCATCTATCGCTCATTTTGCTTATCAGAAGGAAAGACGGCAAGAATACATTTGTTAAACCTGAAAAATTTGAGAATAAAAAGGGAGTCGCCTTTGAATGTTTTTGATTTCTTTGGATTGTGGACAGGCTTCTGGGTGACTTCTTTCAAATTTTTCAAAATTGCCAAGTATTTCTTGTGGTGTAACATTGTTGGACTTTTATTGCTTTGTATGTTTTTGAAGATACTCATCTTTGAGGGCACTTTCTGGAAAACTTTTTAGAGTTGTCATATTACTATTAAAAGTATTTTTACCTATCCAGTAGGGGAATTTCCCTCTGTTGTGACCTGGATATCTGTGACTGAAGAGGCTTCTCCCCCAGGGGGCCTCATAGACTGATCTTTTCCTCAACCTTTTCAGTAACCCTAACCATAACCATTTTCTGCGCCTCAACCATATAATTTGTCTGAGCAAAACAATCAAAACAATCAAAAGTAATGCTGTATATTGTGGTTGCGTATTTAGTTTAATGTTAAGCAAGCTATGTGGCTGCAGGCTCTGGCTTCATACGTAGCATTAGCAGGCAAACACAAGTGAGTATTGCTCTCATGTATTTGTAAGCATAAGAGCTTCTGTTGCTGTAGTTTCAATGATGATATAATAGAGGCAACATTTTCTTGTCTGAAAGCCAATGAAACCCTACTCATTATAGTTTAGCCTAGTTTAACCTGTGTTAGTCTTCACATCGCTGGCTATTAAAGTAATTGTTTCACAGCTTTCCTTAGTGAAATTGTTTAAATCTTTACCACTACAGCAGCGGTAATTGGAGAAGAGATGGAAGTAGATATTCCTCATGTGCTTCCAGGCATCCTTATGTGGAAATGATTCATACATCAGCTGGAACATTAACATAATGTCCAGACCGTCTTACATCTTATAGTATGTTTGCACATCAGACCTATAATCTTGTACTAGTCTCAATGTGCACTTTTTTACCTTGGTTGCCTATTGGTCTAAAATGCATGACTATGAACCAAGCCCCCAACGCCCAACTCACACACACACACACGCACACACACACACAGACACACACACACACATAGACACACAAGGGTCTATTCTATTTTTATTTTTTTCGAGCAATATTTACTTGGCTCTGTCATCACCAACGATTTTTTCACCTCTCATATCTGCTTACACACTCTCCCCAGAGATTGGAGAAGATCAAAATCACTATTTTAAAAAGCAGGATCTGAAATCTATATCCCTTCACCTCCATCACGCAGTTAATTAAAATACATTAATGCCAGCAACAGGAGTGTGGTCTCTGGCTGCTAGCGCTGCATTTCACAAGTTGATGGCATGCCACAGGGCATACAAGTGGTCTCACTCTAGTTCTCACCGTTACAGTGCTTTTTCAGAGTTTGGCTGCTGTGTGAGGTGAGGCTGCCCTTGAGCAAATGGCAAGAGAAATATCTTCCTAATACCGTTCATGACCACAAAGAGACTTGTTGGAACAGCAAAGGTTCCCTCTCCACATTCATTGCTCATGACATAAAAAGTTTATCCAGGATTAGATTGTGACACAAGGGCCAGTTTTTAATCCTACCAATAACATGACTTACATAAAAGTTATATCATTTATTAGCTACCAAAAAGACTTAAAAAAATCTAACTTTGAATGGATCAGGGTTACCAGAACTGGATTGGATCAAATCTTAAAATTAGCTTTAGACAAAAGATACCATGAAACTGCATTAGTACGGCTACTCCAGTCAGGTTGTCCAAAACTTGTGAGCAGCTTTGGGATAGCTTCGCTGTGAAAAATCAGGATTTTCCTGCTCTGAACAGATGATTACAATAAGCCTGGGTTACTGTCATTTAAACACCTTTTAAACCTGTCCAAAAATGCAACATTTAGATTTAGATGTGAAGGCCTTGAGATGCAAGTGACCATTGGCAAAGGAAGACTGTGAAATATCTGAAAGCTACAGAGGACCTGTAATGACACATATTTTCGTGACATCTTAAAAAAAGATTAAAAGAGTTATCTGGACCCGGGTTGATGAATTTCCACAAAGCTGACCTTTGGATATTTCTTAATCAACCACTCTTACCCTGTTTTAATCAAATGTAAATCCACTCTGAAAGGCAGTAAATGTTGTGGACCTTCACTTGTTCTGATCCTGATTCACCCACCAACAAATAAACCACATTTTATAACCATGGGCATCATCCCACGCTCATAGGGAAGATTTTATTTCACTGTGTTGTAAAATTGGATGGAGTTGAGTGTTGTGTTCATGTCAGAGAGGGCAGCCACGCTCCATGGTCCAACCAGCTGTTGTTTAGTAGAGCAAACTGAGCGTGCTGTTTATACGGTGAAGGGTTCCCACTGGCCGGCAGCTCAGCCTGGCACCGTCATTACCGAGATGGCTGAGGACAGGTGAGGGCTTCATGACACAATACCCCTGTATTAAAGTACACACACACAAAAATGTTTCATGTCCCTAAACACATACAAAGAAGACCCCATGCATGCCGGGACACATACAAAAACCCCTGGGGCTGAAGGGTCATTAATCTGGCTTTAGAGGAGTTAATACAAAGTATCAGGCACAGACAGTGAACTAAAACCAGGATGGACACTTTGCCAAAGACAAAACAGCAGATGGAAATATCATTAACAGTTAATCAATGTGTCTGAACATTTATAACCACTTACATCTCAGAAATAAATGTCCACATATGTTGTATGTTGCTGTAAAAGATGCATACCACATAAAACAACTAGTCCACAGTGTTCATACTTGACACTCCCAGGTATTATGAGATCAACCCCAGTTGCCAAAATCTGAGTGCAGTCTGAAGATGGATGGCTGAAATGAAAGAAAGGGAATGGAAAACTATCAGCACCAGGATAGTCAGCCCATATATTTACATGTTATCCCTAGTATCGAGTTAGCAGGGTTTATATAATCCCTGAAGCATTTTTGTTTGTCTTTTGTTGGATGATTTGGGAGGCATGCAGCACAGATTTTCCATCCTATGTAATGTAATCACAGGGTTAAACAATGGATAGCCACTGGGCTGGCCCAAAAAAGTAAGAACGATCCTTTCTCAGGCACGATACTAAACATATATGTCTTACCTCAACAATGGGTTTCTACTGGCAAATTTAATACCTGGGATTAAAAAGAGGAATTACTGGAGGGACATGAAAAACAAGGAGAATTAAGACATTCAAAACTACAAAGTAACAAGTACAGAGTTGACTGTTCCTATCAACAGCCAAGAGCAAGTGTTCTTTAGTTTTCACAGATTATCAAAGTAGAAATACCCTAAGACATTCTTTAGCGGCTTGTAGCATCTTTGTCATACTGAATTGGCAGAGAGTACAATAAAGGGTATGTCAATCATACAAATTAATTTTTCTTTCATTAAGACAAAGATTTGGGGACTTTAAGGACACTTTAACATCAACACTGTGAAATTTTGAATTTTAAGCATGCCAGCCTATTTTCAATTATGTATTTTCATTATACATTGTATGCAAAAAACCACACTAAATCATTTTAATTCTTTGATTAAAGCACTATACTGCTTTCTTTCTATATTTTGTATTTGTGTGTGTCACTGAATGGGCCTATTCAATGCACTACATAAGTCCAACAAATATTACTTTTCTTAAATTATTTCATGTCTCCAGTTGAGTTAAAGTTGAATTTTGACCCCTAACATGGCGAAGAAAAGAGTTCCTCTATGCCTGAAACACACAGTTATGGATGTTTGTCAGACACACAGACGGATGCACATTAGCCCACTGTGTTAATAACGCTATGTTTGGTGGTATTATTATTATTATTATTATTACTGTTGTTGTTGTTGTTGTTATTTATTTATTTAAATTTATTTTGTATTTATTTTTTATTCATTATTATTATTATTATTATTATTATTATTATTATTGTAATTTATTTTTTATTCGTTTTTTTTTTCTTCACAATTCTCAGTATCTTTTAATTCTTCTTCTTAACAACAACAAGAAAAATCTATCTCTATCCACACTATTCGTCTGTTGGTCGTTTAAGATAAAATGTGCTGTTGGAGCAATGAAGCAGCACGGTTAGGAACTGTTGTGCGTGTAACACTTGTTATACCCGGACGGAATAAATGTCGCAGCATGGATTCCGGCATGGAAGACAACACGAAGGCTATTAGGATGAAAAAGGGGGAGAAGAAAATACTCAAAAAACAGATTAAAGCCAGTCACACTCTGCTAAAACATGAAGGCATCAGTACCACGTCTCAGCCCACTAAGGTACCGCAGAAAACACTGAAAAACAGGAAGTGGAAGCTGAGAGAGAGGGAGGTGTGCTAGCTAGAGTGAAGTTTTTTCTTTTATATATTTCTGTCATTTACTTTTTTTTGTGTATCTCTTTGAATTACCAAACCAATGTACTTTTATCTAGATAATGAGAAAATAAATAAATAAAATGTTAGTCGTTACTGCGACGCGTGTGTCATAATGTATCTCCGAAAATAAGTCTCTGTTTGTTTTTATAGCTTTGGATCATATTAACTATCACTCTTTGTTGAGCAGTAAGAGCACTGGATGGGTAGAAAGCTAGGACTAGATGATGTGAAGTTATTAAAGAAGGAAATAATTATTAAGCAGATCAGGAATATACCTAAGATGGGGTCATCTAATTCAAAACACAGTAACACAATGATTTCCTTTCACCGTTAATGAAAAATAAAGGCAATATACAGTGGCGTTTAAAGAGATATTCCGGCGTAGAAATTAATTTCGAGTCAAACACACCGTGAAACCGAGTTAGACACCCCCTCGAGAGGTGAATGTTGCCGACCGCTTGCTTCTCTAGTTATACCAACTTTAGTAATGATGGCAGGATAGCAATACACAGCGGTCTGACGAGCCAAAAAAAAACCCCACTCTACAGCCACTAATATTGCTCAGAACAACTAACTTCATCAACAGTACATATAGGGTCCTAGCCATAGCACTAGCCACCAAATATCTTTTTAACTTTGCTTAATTTCTTGACTTCAGCAAAGAGACTAAACACAATTTACCTACTCTCTTCCAGCCGCTGCTTGTTTGTAGCGAGACCTCAGGTCAGTCCATTACGGACTGCTGCGGGTGACGCAGCTCAAGGAAGAACATTCATGACCATTACTTTATCATTTCCCTGAAGTAATATTCAAAATATTAAGCATTTTGCACTGCAGATGCGGTAGTTCTCCTGCCTTAGCATCTCGGTCTGATTGCATTTCCATGAAGAAATGATCGTAAATGTTCTTCCTTGAGCTGTGTCACCCCGCTGTAATCCGTAATGGACTGGTCCGAGGTCTCTACAAACAAGCGGCTGCTGGCAGAGAGTAGGTGAGTTGTGTTTAGTCTCTTTGCTAAAGAAATCAGGCTAAGTTAACAAGATGACCGGTGGGTAGTATTATGGCCCTATATGTACTGTTGATGAAGTTAGGTGCTCTTTTGGGCATTCTTTGTGGCTATAGAGTGGCGTTTTGGTTGAGGTTTGTTTATGGCTCCTCAGACCGCTCTGTATTGCTATCCTGCGGTCGTTACTAAAGTTGGTTTAACTAGAGAAGCAAGCGGTCGGCAACATTCATCTCTCTCTCGACGGGGTGTCTAACTCGGTGTTTCGGTGTGTTTGACTCGAAATTAATTTCAACGCCAGAATATCCCTTTAAGAGTAAAAGCAATGCGAGCCTTATTGGAAGTCATCCGTCTTGTACAGGTCTTTTTTTACATTTTCCTCTGTACTCTCTGTAGAGTTTGGTGGTCGCTAATGGTGGTCTGGGAAATGGTGTCAGCCGAGAGGAACTGTCGACAGTGTTGAAAGAGTTTGGAGAGCTGGAGAAGCTGATCATGCACCCCCAGAAGCCTTATGCTTTTGTCACATACAGGTACATGCTGCATGAACTCTGGTGTACTATGCCAAGAAGTTATGTTAAACATTCAAAGAATTGGTAATTGTCATACTTTTTCCAGATCTGAGGAGAGTGCCCAGAAAGCTCACATCCACCTCAATGGAGAAAAGCTGCAGTGTGGAGATAACAGTGTCACACTCTACCTCAGCTATGTGGACTCGGGTAACAGCAGCAACCATTAACCCTTGTTTTATGCAATGTTGGAGAATGTATTCTGGAAATTCGGCAGCCAGAAGTGACTATTTTACATTACTTACTGTATATATTTTTAACCTATGTATGCAGTAATCTGTGAGGAGGGTGTGTCCATTTCTTTGCCGGAAGGATTAACTTTGTTGGAAGATTTTGTGTCTCTTGAGGAAGAGGTTTTGTTGCTTTCTGCCATAGACTGGAGCTCTTCAAATGACGATGTCACTGGTGAGGGGCTACATAATGTCTTTTTCTTTTCTTTTTTTTTTTTTCCTGGATGAGATTTCATCCTTAGAGCTAGTCATGACTCTACCTTTTTGCATCTTTAAGTCAATCTAATATCAGTTTAGCTTTCTTCATTTCTCTTGTTGGTAGCTTCAGTGCTGAGAAGCTTCATTTAAAGTAAAGTAGCAGGTCGCTGAATACATATTACACATTTTACAAGCAGCTTCTCCAATGTTGAGTAAAGAAAAGCCAGTGCCTTTTGTCAATCTGAATTGTTAACTCCATCCCTTTCAGCCCAAAAAGCTCTGAAGCACAGAAGAGTCAAACATTATGGCTTTGAATTTCGCTATGACAATAACAACGTCGATAAGGACAAGCCATTACCTTCAGGTGAGTTTGCTCCTCTGTATTTAACCTACTTTTTTATATGGTTTTATGAGGCATGTTAAAAACATGTGGTCATTTTACATTCATTTCAGTTACCCCAAAATTCAATGTACAAGATGCACTTTTAATACCCTTTATGTCATCAAATAAGTCAGCCATTTCCCATATACTTGTACAACTGATATACCAGTATAACATGCAGAGAGAGGTATTTTATTGTGCTACTTTATTACCTAGAAGATGGGGCATGAGGAAGCAAGTGACCACTTCAAAGAGCAAAACATGTCTGATATTCTGCGATTTTGTTTAGGGTAGTAGTGAGTCTCAGCTGTCAGCGTTACAGTAGGCTGTGCTTATTAGGGTGTCAATAAGACATGGTGTAATAAAAGCTTCATATGCAAATGAACTGTATGTCCCAGTTCATGAAAGTCTTCACACAGAAGCACAGTTTAACCTCCCGCCCTCAAACAGGTGCAACTGATTTTCCAGATTTTTTTGTACTTCAATGCCAGACACAGAAAATTGATCAATCTTGCTCTGTTCATTGAACAAGCATATCTAATTTTACTAAAAATCAAATAGAGGTCAGAATTTTGTTTCTAAAATTCATAGTAATTTACTTATTTGTGTATCTGGGTGTGTCAAGGTATCCCTCAGGAGTGTCTACCTGTCTTGGAGCGATGTTTCAGGAGTGGACACATAAACATCATGCCAGATCAGCTGACCGTCAACCAGTACGAGTGTGGACAAGGTTCGTCACACTTAACTTTAAGCTGTAGACATGTGGCTGACCACATCACATTATTGAGTGTTTTCCATTTACTGGAGAGAGCAGCACCACATTGTGGGAAATTTTTAACATGAGTGCGCTTATGCCACAAGGTGGCAGTGTAACCTTTCTATGGTGCGTTGAAGAAGGCTTTGGATCCTATCAGTTTTTTAGTATATTAAGACGTACTGGCAAACTTCACAAGACTTATTAAGGATTTTGAAAAACACATTTTTGTTAATCATGCTTTCCTCCTATTTGCTTTTACTTATCAACACATTAATTAAAATTTATTAGCTGTCTAAATAGTAAGAGTTTCACATACCTCACAAGTTTTAACTTTGTCAAGCTCTAGAGAAAAGCAGCTAATGAAACATTTGAAAAACTTAACTAAACTAACCTTTTTCCAAAATTGTTATTACAAATAAATGCAGGTATTCCTCCTCATGTGGACACCCACTCTGCCTTTGAGGACACCATACTGTCTCTGAGCCTGGGGGCACAGGTAAGAAGTCAGACTGTATCTACCAAGGCAAACACACTGCTGAAAAGCTTGGGGAGCTATAGATTCATGATGAAAAATTAAAGGTTAAAAGTGCTAAAAGTGTTGGTCTTAGGATACTGGTTTTTAAATTTGAGCATTAAACTGCATTGCAAAGTAAAGAGGTGGCTGTAAATGTTCAGATATGATAAGATGTTGTCTTGCTGCTTGTTTACCTTACTGTAGCAAAGATAGATCAATCAACTGAGCTGTCACCTCTCTGGCCACCCGAGTTATCCATCTGTCTCAGGGGGACAGGGAGGGTTGTGTGCGCAACAGTACGCTTCGATCTTGTGTTCCTGAGATCTGATTGAGGACATTTTGTCACCTTCCTGTGGCTACATCTCATTTTTTCCCTTTCCCTCGATTTATATACACTGTCATACTTTCTTAAACACCTTAGCTCTCTATTAATAAATATGTTTGAGGTGTCACCATGTCCCTTCTTTAATGAAAAGTAGAGGGATAGATTTCCCATCGAAACAATAGGCGTGACATTTCCAGGAGTGACTCGATGGTCTGGAGGTTTGGTCTCTGTAGAGTGACTACCGCTGATGAACACCAATCTGTCCTCACTTGTGTGAAACTCTGAGGGTCTAATAGCAATCAGCTATCATCTGTTACAGCATCTGTCGCATGCACACAGGCAGAAGGTCAGCATGAGTGATTTTGAGCTTCAAAAAGTGATTGGTTTAGGAGAAGGCAGAAACGGTCGGTCAAATGCCTGATAAAAGGAAACTGGCTGTGTTAAAGCTTGTTGTATTTTGGAATCAAAATTTTACAGGTTTGAAAGTGTCAGGATGCTATAAGACAACATGTTTGCACTTTTTACTGGCATGTTCCTTAAAAAACAGTTACTATTATTTATAATACTGTTAGGCAGAGTCTTAAGTGTTTAAGTGCAAGTTGAGTCTAAGTTACTCGATAAGAAGCTAAGAAATCTAAGTTGAATCCCCATTGCCTATAGTATAATTCAGTTCTTCATCGTAAATGTCATTAATTATGAGGATGCAAACTGTGATCTGTATGAACCTTGACTGACTGTGTGGGACCTTGTACAGATGCGTAGAAAAATTTTATTCATTAGATCTGGATTCTGTCTGATCCACACAGCACGTCTTGAAATTATCATATACTATCATTATTGCTACAGTGCAGTGTGTTGTGTGTAAATGTGAACTACCCTTCTCCTAATGAGGGGATGAAGTCATTGATTCAGCTGAAATGGGATCACTGCAGGTGTCCAATAAACCAGGTTGGAGGTTGCAATAAAAACCTTTTATTATACAGAATTTCGACTGACCAAACTTCTTTGACTCAGTGGCTGAGTCACTTCAGTTTCTAAAGCACCAAAATCGACAATTCCAAGTTGGGAAACTATTAAATCTCAGCTACTTCTGTTTGTGTATCCTGGACAGATGCCTGTTTAGAATTGATGTTGTCCCTGTCTTCTCCCTGGTGGTTTTTTTAGCATTAAACAACTTGCACAAATTTCATGATTCATGGTTCCCCTTTAGACATTGTAACAGAGAGTTAAGCTGAATGAGATCAGTGCACACACATAGGGTTGAACAAATATGCCAAACCTCTCTAAAAAGTGAATAAATGTCAGGGCAAACTAACAAAAAGAAACAAACTATCTTTATCACTAAGTCGGGGTCCCCTTCATAATCTACTGAATCCTAATGCAGTCAGTGTTTGAGTCTGATCACAGGTCCTAGTCATCGTAAGTCTAAGTCGAGTGGACCCCAACTACTTCAGCAGTATCTACCTCAGCATGGAGCTTCTGTGAGGAACCTTTTGTTTGTCATCTTGTAGCATCTCATGAGAACAAAGAGGAACATCTTTTTTCTTTGCTAATGTTGCACATTTCTACCAAAATACTTCATCCTGCTTTCTTTTCATAGGTAATATTTTCACTTGCTGTGAGTTTTTGCTTTTGTAACTGTAAGAAAAGACTGCTTCACCTACCCCCTTGCAGCTGTTACAGGATTAAAACTCAAAATCATGCAGAAGGTCTTATTTTGCTGTTGTTGGTTACAAAGAAGCACCACTATCAATTTCAGTCTGTTTAGCAAGTTCTGCAAAACTCCTCACAGCGACTTTAATTAAGCGGGATCCAATATTCATTCCTGCATCGTATATTCCCACCCTCTAATTGCACCCTGTTTGATTTAGCTAGGATTTAATTTATTTCAGGACTTTAAAGAAGAAAAGAGGAACTGAACTGGCTCAGTCATCAAACTTGATAGATGCAAACTTGAAGCAAATAAGTAACACAGATTAAAAAGTGTTATTCTCCATGGTTTGATTGCAAAGAGAGAAGTATGAGATAAGTGTGTGTGTGTGTGTGTGTGTGTGTGTCTGTGTCCGTGTGTGTCACAGATTGATGAATAGTCTTGAATTGGAGCCTAGCTGCCAGCATCTCCATCGATTTAGTCACATTCCACCGGTTTCATTGATTGGTTAATACTCCACAGATGGGAGCAAGCACAGTTCTGCTTATGGTGTGTTAGTGTGTCTGGTGTGCGTGCATGTGTGTGTGTTTATGATAGATTTCTGTGTATGGTTTCAGGCAAAGATCAGATCATTTGCTGGAGTTGCATGTACATCACTTTTTCACAAAAATACACAAACGCTTATCTGCCTGTCTGTCTTTTTGTCACACACACACATACACAAACAAAGACACACATACACACCCCTCTCCTTCACAAAATCCAATTTTCCTGCTGTCAGAACTCGGGAGATGCAGTTTAGAAATTGTGCGGATGTAATTTCCCTGCAGAGCTCATGCTGTTACACGCTGTAAGGAAACACTGGGATCAAACACCAGTGCTGTGGATATTCTTCTGCTGGTGGTTAGTTGGAGAGCTAAGGGCGAAAATTTGTTATTGAGTGCGTGCGTGTGTTTTTTTTCCTCAGGGTGATGTCAAGCAACAGCTGATGAGGAAAAAAAAAAGATTTAAACTGTACAGTCACTCCTTTTATGGTAGTTGTCTGTAGAAAATGAAATAATCTTTGGTAATTTTGCATAATAAATTTTGCTGCTCAGTAACAGATTGAGTATAACCAAAACAGAGTATAACCAAACATTTTCTCATCATTACTTTGATTAAAAAAAGGATAAAATAACACAAATCAGGCAATATGTAATTTGAGAATTAAGGTTAACATGGCTGAGAAGTAAACAGCTGTTTCAGTATTGATGTGGCATGCCTGAATCTTCCTATTCTTCACATGTACTCTGTACTATAACAGACAGTGATGGAGTTCCGTCATCCTGATGGTCTGCTACTTCCTGTGGTGCTGCCAGCACGGAGCCTCCTGCTGATGAAGGGAGAGAGCAGATATCTGTGGACACATGGGTGAGCTGGACTCTGCCAGACTGAGTCAATTTATCTTGACTTGAGCTTTAAGTCAATCGACGGAGGAGTGACAGTTCTTTTCTTCCACTCTTCTATTGAGGGAGAGCACAGAAATATTGAATTTATCTGACCTTTCTCTGAGCTTCAGGGGAGTCTGCCAGTGGAGTTTTTCCTGCACTTTCCTGAACCTCCACACATTAAGATAAAATGCTGTTCCCCTCAGGATTTGGTCATATCTACATTTTCTTATGTTGACATAACATACACCAGCTGTACGGATTATTCATGGCTGGTACTGAGTGTACCCTGTCTCTTATCTCACCCTCAGGATTACTCCACGGAAATACGACATGGTGCCTGCCTGCGACCCACAATCCCCTGCTCATACAATGGCTGACCTTGGGGCCCACAGCAATCTCACTTTGAGCAAGAGAGGCACTCGTACTTCTTTCACTTTCCGGAAGATACGGCACAAACCGTGTGACTGTGGTGAGAATCTTACAAATGCAGATTGAGACACAACCTGAGATTTTTAAACACTTTTTCTGATACCCATGGAGTATGTTGTATTCCATAGCGCATGTTGCACTGGTTTTGTTTGTTTGTTTATTATGGATCCCCATTAGTTCTGACCTTAGTCGGAACTATTCTTCCTGAGGTCCAGACACTGATACACAACAGTCAATACATAGTACAATGAATTACACACAATAAAATACAATTATATCTTTGTCTTTTACTCACCATTTATTGAGTCAAATTTTTCAAAATGCTCCCCTAAGATGAGGAGGCTTCCCAAATTTTTGCTGCGACTGTCTACTTTGGACAGCTTTGAGAAGTCCACTTTTGTAGAAAAACATCTCAGTGTAAATTAACTGAGGTCCAGAGTGAACGTCATGGTTAAGTCGCTATTTGAGCATCTGCTAAATCAAAAAATAAACTTCAGGCAGCCTGATACGCTAATGCACTGTTTATTTTGTATTTGAACGACTCATTACTGTTTTAATAGAAGCTTTTCCACAGGACTGGAATTTTGGACAAAAAGTACCAGCCCTAGTGACACTATCCACAGTCTCTCTCCTTTGTGGAGTCCCTCAGGGTTCTTTTCTTGGACCTATTCTCTTTGCACGCTTGCCTTAAGGTTTTTTCTTTTTGACAGTTTGTTTCGCCCTCAGGAAGATGACAGTTAAATCAACCTGCCTTTGCAACAGAAAGATGGTATCTCTTCAAAACCATTTTTCACAATAACCATTAAACCCCTTTATTCTCATCTTTCCCCAGCCTTCCCCACTGCCTGTGACAGTCAGGGAGCTCCCTCAGTGCCTTCTGTATCTTCACCACCACCATCACCACCCTCACTCCCTTGTTGCCATGCCGATGCAGCCCTTCTGGAGGAGGAGTATGTGCATCGGGTGTATGACACCATCGCCTCCCACTTCAGCAGCACTCGGCACTCTCCCTGGCCCAACGTATGCCACTTCCTGAACTCACTCCCTGCTGGCAGTGTGCTGGCAGATGTGGGCTGTGGAAATGGAAAATATCTTGGTGTCAACCCAGCTGTGATTGCTGTAAGTGTGTCTGTTATTCTGTCTCATTGAATTAGCATTTCTCTTTCATTCCATTTCTTCTCCCACTGCTTTTTGGATGAACTAAATGTAAAATGCTACTGTACTTCATAAGTCATCTTTGTGTTGATACATTTCCTAACTGTTAGGGCTGTTTGGCATTCACAGTCAGGAAGTCAGTTGCAGCAGAATGAGCAAATAGCAATGCTCTGCTGGTTCTTCACATAGGTAGGCAGAGGCTCTGGTAGCTCCTGAAGTTTAAAATGTATGAAGACTTTTAGATTACTTATATGGTGTTGGTGCCTGAATCATCTGCAAACTACTAACAACTATCTGTCTGCACTTAAATGCAAACACATATGATTAGAAATAAAAAAATAGGGTGAATGGACCGTCAGTAGCTAGTTTGTTTCAGTGAGCTTATGTTCCATTTTAGGCCCTTCTCTTTTTAATCTTTACATGTTTCCTTTAGGGAATGTCATCAGGAGTTATGGCATCAATTTCCACAGCTATGCTGATGACACACAACTGTATGTCGCCGTGTCTCCTGATGACACAGGGCAACTCGATCCCCTTTTTTACTGCATTTTAGACATTAAATCATGGATAGTAGAGAACTTTTTTACAGCTCAACCAGGACAAAACTCAGGTTTTGGTCATTGGTACAGGGGACAAGAGAGAGAAACTGGTCAGCAAACTCAAAGCATTATCTTTTAATCCAAGTCAACAAGCTAAAAATTTAGGTGTTTTATTTGATTCAGAGCTGAGCTTTGAGCCTCACATACGAGATATCACCAAGAAGGCATTTTATCATTGAAAAAACATAGCCCGAGTGCGACCGTTTCTCTCTCAAGCCAATGCAGAGACATTAATTCATGCTTTTATCACTTGTAGAATAGACTATTGTAATGCCCTCCTTTCTGGTCTACCCAAAAAAGAACATTTCACACCTGCAATTACTACAAAATTTAGCTGCACGGATGCTAAGAAGAATCAGAAAGAGAGACCACATTACACCGATTTTAAGGTCTCTTTTAGAATAGATTTTAAGGTTGCTTTATTGGTTTGACTGACTGATTGATTGAATGATGTGTTGACATCTTGTTTCATTTAAAATTAACAAAATAAATCAAACTTATATACTCAAAGGGGCTGATGCCATTGGTACTGAAGCCCATGTTACACTTGATGTGTTTTCTGCTGGTCTCCACTGTTTGCATTCGCCCAGTGTCCTTACAACTCTGATATAAGACCTCTACTTTTCTCTTTCTTTGTACATTCCCAATTTCTTGTGTGTGTCTGACTTTATAAACCTCTGTGTGTGCGTTTTGTCTTTTCCAGGTTGGTTGTGACCGCAGCAGTGCTCTTGTCCAAATCTGTGCAGACAGAGGCTTCCAAGCTTTTGTATCTGATGCTCTCTGTGTCCCGATGCGAACAGACTCTTGTGATGCTTGTATCTCTATTGCTGTCATACACCACTTTTCCACTCAGGTATAAAGTAAACATGTAAAAAGCGCATACATCCAGATCAAATGTTAATTCCCAAATTCATATTTTAGTGTGCAGGGTTGCGTTTTGGAAATGGCCAAATGGCTCACTTTTTGCATGTATGTTCGTTGCAGGCCCGTCGGTTGGCAGCAGTACAGGAGCTGATGAGACTTCTGAAGCCTGGAGGTCTGGCACTCATCTATGTCTGGGCTTTTGAACAAGAGTACAACAAGCAGAAGTCCAAGTACCTCAAAGACCAAAACAGGGGGCATCCTGAGAACCACAACCTCCTCAAAGATACAACACAAGATAGCCAGGGACCTCATGAGATATCTGGCCAACATTCAGAGGACAGTCACAAGCCTGTTGACAACATACAAGATATTGGCAAACTAAGTGTCCACACCAACCGCACAGCCTTCAACACACAGGACCTTTTGGTTCCCTGGCACCTGAAGGAGGGAAAAAGACAAGGGGAGGAAGAATCAAGAGACAGTGGGAAGAAGGACAAAAAGAAAGACAAATCCAAAAAGACTCCAGGAAAGCCATGTCCCACAGCCAGCTCGCAGTGTGAACCTGTACCCAGCACTGACTCTACACAGACCCCCTACCAAAAACTAAAGTCAGAATCTGAGAGTAGCCCAGCACCCATTTTTCACCGCTATTACCACGTGTTCCAGCAGGGGGAGTTGGAGCAGCTCTGTGGGCAGGTCACTGGAGTCAAGGTCCAGAGAAGCTATCACGACCAGGGGAATTGGTGTGTCGTATTAAAAAAGGATGAACTCATTCACCAATAATTTAAAATGATTCAGTTATAATCAAACATCCAATTCAAGATCTTTTAACGGTTAAATTAAGGAGGAGAAATGTGACCAGAAATGCCTTTAAATAAATGTTAACATTTACAAAATTCCCTTCTTTGTGATCCACTTGTATCCTTTCAAATAGTGTGAAAACTCTGTTCAAAAGCCATCTGGGGTCAAATTTTAAATTGGTTTATCTTGTTAAAGTTTCAAGGTAGCTCAAACAGAAGTGGTGTGATCAGGATTCTTTATTGTGATTGAAAATATGATCCACCTGCAGTCTATCCTCCCATTTTCTGAAACCCATAACACATTTATTAAAATGAAGGGCGCTCTAGATGTAATCATACTGTACTCGCTGAAGATACTATCTTGTTATCTTTTGAAGTGAACAGACTGTACTGCACACCGCAAATAAGAATTTCTGCTGCTTTACCTCTTGCCTTGTATTCTATTTTTGCTTTGAACATGGATCTAAAACTCAAGATGCAGCACTGTGCATTAAGCTCTAGAGTATTTTCTTCACATTCAGATGTATCCCTGCTTTTTGAAAATAAGCACAATAAAAGCTGCGAGTGAACCTTTTCACCTTCCCTACATGCCAGGATGTGATGCATAGGGTGGGGGGGTCGCAAATGGGGTGTGGCGGCAACAGAATGGCACACTTACACTGCAACCCAGAGTTCTTAGATCATTTTTCACCATAATCAAACCTGAACTATTTTTCAAGTCTGTGATAGAGCAGTAAAAATAGATGCCTAGTAAGGTTAAGAAAAGACTGTAAAATTGGTCTAAGTCCACTTAAAAGGAGATTATTCTTTTAATGTTAACATAAATTTAAAGTGTAGCTGAACCGGGGCTTTTTGGTTCAGACTGTCCTGGTTACTGAGGTGACAAAGGCAATTATTTTGATCGTCTTAGAAACTCTTTGTGCTTCATAATTTTGCTCAGTGACTGTTTTCTAAGTCTCTTTGAAGTATACATATTTGATCTCAATGCAGTGTATCCAAAAATGTAAAATATGGACATGTAAAGAAAAATCCAGATTTATTGTGGCTGAAATTCTGTGTGTGTTGCTGTTAGTCATTTACGATGCTGGACTAACTGCTGATTAATCGCTACTCTAATTCCTTTTTGGGTTTGGTATAGCCATAGAGCATCACAGTATGGCTTTATGACCTGTTTTTTTTTTCGAACACACACACATGTTCACACAACATGTAGTATTAATAAGACAAGTTTTACCAGACAGCTAAGACAGAATAAATAGTAGGATAATGGAGTATTGATGGCAGAGGAGTGCAGTGTGGTTATTTTGAGGAGGTTGGTAATTGGTTAGCGGCTCTGGGTAAATTACTCCTGTGGCTCCTCAGTCCTCGGGGACCCACACAGACTCACACATGGTGGTCCTGAGGTGAGACATGGCTCTTGGCTTTTATTGATGGTGGTGTATTGATTATGGTGAAACAGCATCTCTGTCCTATGTGTGTGTGTGTGTGTGTGTGTGTGTGTGAGATCCTTCCGTGCACAATGTCTGAGTTGGTGTAGCAGTGTTATTGTTCATGCATTGTTGTTGCTGTTTCTCAGCAGAGTCTGACCTGACATTTAAAGGATCATTAAGATTTAAAGATATGCCTCCCTCAGGTAAAGAGAATTGATTTGACAGACTACAGGATATTTTACATCTTCCGCTTCCTAGAGTCAAGAGACATTTATGTTGAAATGGTTTGTGTCAGTCCCTTGCATTTACATACAAGGGGTTTAATGGCTGAACCAGATGTATGCAAGTGCAGACATCTTCTACAGTAGGGGAGAGAGGGGTAAGTTGAGCCACCCCCTGTTGCTTGAATGGGGTAAAAGAAATTGATCATGTGACCAAATATTTAAGCGATGGGCATCAATTCATGGAATCTGTGAAGGTTAGAAGCACATGGGTAAAGGGGTTAGACATTTATTAAAAAAAGAACATTTTTCACTCTTGAAAGTGAATTTATAGTAGGGATACAGCTCAACTTACCCCACTTTTTTTTTGACATTATCAAGACAGTTATGTTTACACTCATTCTGTTGGTTTGCAGGGATTAGTTAGTAACTTGTTGGAGACAAAACTGTGATTGCCTTGATTTCGTGATCCAAAATATGAAAAATGGCTCACCTTACCCCACTCTTTCCTACTTGTGCCAATGCTTGCTGCACTGACAGCCATGTTTGTTTGTTAAAATCAATCAGGTCTTTCTTTTTGCCGGTATCAGCACGTTTCCCCTCACAGCAAGCGAGGACTCGAGTGTGCAGATACCATCTACAAGAAGCAGTCCTCACAAAAATGCTTAGTTTTATTTCAAATGGTTGTAGTCCTTCAATGGCATTTGCTTTCGCACTACAAGAACCACAAATCAAAGCTGCCGTAAACATCAACGCTTTGCGACATCCACAAAAACATTGACGACAGTGTCATGGCGACGTACGGAGGTAGTTTCGAGAGCTCGGGCAGCATCGAAGATAGAAAGGAAAGCAAACGGCAGGCACGAAAAGAGGCAATAGAAAAGGTATGAGGTTAAAACTCTTTTGGCAAATAACCCTGTAAATAAAATTCAGGGCTGGCCGATAATGGCGCCAGGTTAGTCTCACAACAGAAATGTGTCGTCCGGGTAACAAGCTAACGGCTAACGGCGTGAGCTTGAACAGCTCAAAGTTATCTTCATGTCTGAATTGCCCTTTTCCGTGATATAGTCTGTGTGTTTTCCTCTCATCTGCGAATTGAACACAAGCTATGAGTCCGTACTTGACTGTCCGTGGTTACTACATGCGGATATTGTTGAGCAGAGAGGACAAACACTGCAGGTGTAGATAGCGAGCTGCAGCTGGCTTTTATGGAGCTTTTTGAGTCCTGCTCCCTCCAGTTTGAAGATTAAAATCAGGCTTATTGTAGTAACCATATATGCACACATGCAGTGGATTGAGCGTTATCTCTGAGCCGTGCAGCTGTGTTTGCACAGACGCACACAGACACAGAGCAGATGATACAGACTGATGGTGACAAACGCTGAGAGATGTTTAGACATTATCTGCCTGGTTCACCTGTGCTTCAACAGGCCAAAACAAAGAGTGCTGCTGGGTCTGATTAATCCTGTTTGGACAGGATCTGGCTCTCTGTGTCTCATCAGTGTCACATCCGTTTCATAACCTATGATCATACAGCCTTAAAGGGATATTCCGGTGTAAAATTAATTCAGGGTCAAACACACCACACCCCCTTGAGAGATGAATGTTGCTGACTGCTTGCTTCTGTAGTTATACCAACTTTAGAAACGACTGCACAATAGCAATACACAGAGCCACGCGCTCAGCCAAAACGCCACTCTATAGACACAAATAATGCTCAGAACAGCACCTAACTTCATCAACAGCACATATAGGATCCTAGTCACAGCACTAGCCACCAAACATCTTATTAACTTTGCCTGATATCTTTAGCAAAGAGACTAAACACAACTCATCTACTCTCTTCCAGCAGCCACTTGTTTGTAGCGAGACCTCAGGCCAGTCCACCACAGACTACAGCGGGGTGACGCTGCTCAAGGAAGAACATTTATGATCATTTCACCATCAAAATGCAATTAGACCGAGACGCTCAGGCAGAAGAACCACCGCGTCTGCCGTGCAAATTGATTAATATGATGATTATTACTTCAAGGAAATGATAAAGTAATGATCATAAATGTTCTTCCTTGAGCTGCGTCACCCCACAGCAGTCCTCGCCCGAGGTCTCGCTATGAACAAGCAAGTCTCCTTGCTAAAGAAATTAGGCAAAGTTAAAAAGATATTTGGTTGCTATTGCTATCATGCGGTCGTGACTAAAGTTGGTATAACTAGAGAAGTAAGCGGTCGGCAACATTCATCTCTCGATGGGGTGCCTGACTCTGTGTTATGGTGTGTTTGACCCTAAATTAACTTCACGCCAGAATATCCCTTTAAAGCTGATAGATTATATATTTAAAGAGTGACTGTTTTTGTGGTATATGAATTACTGTATTCTGTATTATTTGTTTTGTGGTGAGTAGGGTGTGATATACATGATTTTTCAATTATTAATTTAATCTTATTTTGTTGTTCTTGCACCCTTCAGGCCAAGAAGCAGTATGAGAAGGAAGAGAGGAGGAAGGAGCTGAAGAGACAGAGAGGGGAGGACACTTGGATGCTCCCAGAGGTCAACCAGAGACTGGAGGAGATTGGGGAAGTAAGTATATTTTATTCAAAGCACTGTGTTGTCTCAACTATTATAAAGTGCAGTAAAGCAATGTTACAACATCCCAATATCTATCCACTATCTTGCTGCTGGATGTCATTAGCAGTGATGACAACAGCAATTATGTCTTCTACAGAAATCAGTTATTCCCTTGGTAAACAAGCCGCTAGACAGTTTATAATTACAGTGACACTTGGCTGTATCCAAATCTTCTATAGGAGGGCTCTGTGAAGAGCAAAAAGAAGAAAGAGAAGAAATCTAAGAAGAAAAAGGAGAAGAAAAAGGCAAAGAAGGAGAGGAAGACAGCAGAAGCAGGTGACGGATCTAGTGACAGCTCACAGGTGAGTAATTAAGTCACTTTACATTATATGAGTCTTTTTTACTACCAGAGCAGTGAAACACTGGTCAATAACTTGAATAATTTAAATGTGCTGAATAATCTTATGTCTCTTAAAATTTAGTCTCACGATTGAAAAATAAAAATCCTCATCTCTCTCTCTCTCTCTCTCTATTCTCTGTCAGGACTCAGAGAATGAGTGGATTGAGGCTCAACCTCAGGCACAGGCTGCTAAAGCCTGGCAGCTTCCTGATGATGCCAAACCATCAGAGAGCAATCAAAGCCCAGCACAGAATGCCCAGCAGGTAATCACCTAAACTGACCATATAGATACAGAATAACAATTTGCATGGCGTCTGATGTCACTTTTTATTGTTATTTTTGTTTTCATGAAAGATGTTTAAAGAAATCAAAAGTGGTTGAAAATGGAAGTGATTTAGTAGAATTTGCCTAAGTTATTTATTATCTTCCTGTTTTTAGTTTACAGCTTTTGCAGTGATTGTTTCTTTTACTGTGGAACCAAAATTGCTCATTCACATTATTTATATCCCTGTCTCAAAGAGAGATGAGTGGATGACGTTTGACTTCCTGGCGATGAGAACCACCTCTACAACAGAGAGGAGAGCTGAGAAAGAACGACTGAAAGAGGAGGAGAGGGCCAAGGCTCAGGCCATTGAGCAGGTGAATATGCATGCGTGTGTTTGTTTACCTGATGTATAAGGAGGGCAGAATCACATGTTTGTGGCATTTAAGTCTTGATACAATAAGATGTTCAGGTCTGTGTTAGAGGAAGATAAAGACTGATCATGCTTCCTTTTTTGGACTAGAGTGTACTTAGAGTGGCTGTATATGTTTGTATCTGCATGATGTTGATGTTTGTACTGTCACATATTTGGCCCTGTTGTGCTGTTAAAAATTGTCATCCCTGTTCTAGGCTGGTTTGCACAAACTGGAGTTGAACCCATACTGGAAAGATGGAGGCACTGGTCTGCCCCCAGAGGAGAAGGCTGGTACTGCAACAACAAAAGGTAAATACAAACTCCAGTGAGCTTTACAGAGGCATTTTCAACACTTAGACATCATCTTTGTTGTAGGGTCATAAATATGGGTCATAAGTAGTTTCTGAGCAGTAGTGCTGCCACCCTCCACTAGCCAGAATCACCACAACAATGCTATTTTGCTCGACTGAGTTGAGAAAAAAAACAAACAACTAAAGACATCTCATCATCAGCACAGGTGTGTGGTTATTAACCCACATGGAGTAGCAGGTTTTTGGTGCTAGCTCTGCTTGTGTTAACTACACTACTGGGATCATGTATTTAGCCGTGTCAAATAGATTTGACTCAACAACCTTCAGATTCCCCTCTCTGCCCTTTTTCATTTACCCAAATTTCTTGTCCTTTCTTCCTTGTAAGACCTCCAACAAGGTGCTCAGTTAATTAGTTGACCACTGGGTTAGCATTTAGTAATGGAAATACTGGCTATAAAAGAGCTTGAAAATGTGGTATATCTTCGACGAGTATTGAAAATACAGGGTCCATTGAGGTGCTGCAGGAAGTATTTGATTGCACCCCATAATAGAACTCAGAAAGCTTGGTTGTCACAGAATTGTTCATGCTGATCTTGTGCTTTTTTCTCAGGTCTGTGTTAAAGAGGGATGAGATGTAGAGTTAGTCTGTGTGTGTTCAGTGCAGGGAAAAGTAAAATATAATACATCAGGAATGATATGCAAACAATTTTTGCAGCAAAGTCAATATTGAGGTTTGACTAAAGAGTGAGAAAACTGAGAGTGTCATAAAGAGCCTCTGATTTAAGGATTTAGGGAAAAAAGAGAGTGACAGGCAGAGAGTAAGCTGTGTTAAGCTGACGAGCAAATGCAGGTATATGTAGGCGTTTCTCTTCTCGTCATATAGTAAGTACAGTTTCTGCTCAAGTGGAAATCACCTCTCTGCTGTAAGCTCCCTTCTCAGAATGGTAGACAGGGGGTCCTACTCACATTCGGTTTTGATAAAGGTGTTGCAGAAGATAGAAACTGGCATGTGTGTGCCTTGCTGGGGGTGTCGTTGTCCTTAAGATCTGATGTAGTTGTCCAAAAGTCTTTTTCTGAAAAATGATGAGATGACATGTGGTCAGCCAGGGGGTAACTTTGAGAAAACGGCTTAATCTACTGCCCAGTTCTACAACCTTCTTCATGAACACTTTCAGTTCACTTATGAAGCATGTAGTATCATCATTTCACTCCATATCAACAGGAGGCATTAAGCTTCCTTGTAAGCAGGTGTTTCATTGACATTACTAAGCTGTGACTCAGTCATAGAGTTGGCTGTCTTTCAATTTGGGTTTGATCCCAGATCCTGCTGTCCATATGCTGAAGTTCCTTGCCAAAGACACTTGACCCCAAGACCACCCATCTTAGATGCGCCCACTGGTTGTGTGCGAATATGGTGTGAATTGGTGAAGGTGACATGTAATGTAACAGTGCTCTTGGATGTGATAGACAGAACCTTGCTGACTTTCTTTCCCTCTGTCTCAGCAGTCTCTGTAGTGAATGATGGAGGCCTGAGCTGGCTGAGGAAGAACTACCAGAGGATGAAGGAGCAGGCTGAGAGAGAGCAGCGCAACCTTAACGATGTGGTAGCTGAGAGATACGGGGTGAGTGAGAACTCGCGGCGCAATGGCCTCGCATATTTACATGCACATGTAACTAGTCTATTAAAGGTCAAATGACATCAAGTTGAGATCATTGGAACCCTTGTTACTCTTTGAAGACTCTCTCTAGTTACATTTAAAACAAACGGGTTCATACACATACATGCTCACTAATGTGGCAAAAATTCAAGTCTAGATACAAGTCTAGATTAATCAATTGATCAGCCAACCTCAGCAGTGCTCCACATTTATGTTTCACCTAGTCAAGCAGTTATCCTAAATTCTCCTTTGGAATACTCAAATTTCAGTGTTTCCTACACATAAATGATACCTGGCCACCCTAAATATATTTCCCACTGAGCAATAGACAAATATGAGACGTCTAGTTTTTTTTTTAGACCTAATTTCAACCGTCTAGATTCTGTATGTTTTTAGAAGGAATTTAGACGTTGCACTTTGACCCATTATTCGATTACTATTTATTTCAAAAAGCAACTGTGAGTTGCATAACTGATCTCCAAGTACTTAACCAAAATAATTATGATAGCTGTTGAGCAATATACTGTGTAGTATAGATATAGCCCAGATTTAGACTTGGTCTAAACTTGGTCCAAATTTAGATGTCTAAAAAACTTTCATTTTTAGACCTGCGGTAGCCTGATTTCAGACTAGTCGTCTAGGCTACATTTAGATGTCTATTAGACCTCTTTAAGACCCAAAAATGCTCAGTGGGTTGCTAACTACTTTGACATATTTGTTTTTTCAAACGTATGATACATGTTTATCCTTTGGGGTCATCCACGATAAAGAAGGGTCTAGACAATCTTTTGTTGCTGTCTGCCCCTTATGTGATAACCTGTAGCAGCTGATTCTTCCTAATCATACTTTGGGATTGTAGCTAACTGCTATGTTATTAACCAGCCTCATCCATATGTGGGTCCCTCGTTGTGATAATGCACTGTCAAGTGAAACGTTTCAAAATATAATTTTCCTCTGATTATAATACTTTAGTAATACTTTTAAAAAGCCAAAAATGGTGGGAGGTGGGGCGGCCATGAGACACACAGCTGTGTGTGGAAAAAGAGAAAAGCAGTTGGTGTGGGGTGTGCTTGTGTGGGGGCGATAATGTAGTGAAAGAAAAATCCTTTATGAACACATGCAGAAATAAATGAGAGAACAAAGCACAATTAGAATAATAAGTTTTATTATCATTTTATTATTATTATTATTATTATTATTATTATTATTATTATTGTTAAAACTAAAACAATATGATACTATTCTCAATCTCTGCTCCTGTCAATTCTAGTGTTGATTCAAGTATGCAAGTATTGATTTTTCAACTAAATTGCTAATATGAAATCAAATCTATGATAATGGAAAAATTAAATCAACAGTTTTTCCAGTGATGTTGGCAGAGGTGACATCATAGAGCAGGAGAAAGTTAGTACAACAAATATATGTAAAGTTTGCAAGATGTGCTAAATGAAAATAAAATACAGCGTAAGTGAGACAAAAATAAAGGAAAGACAAATGCTAAAATAGCTAAACAGTTGAAAAAAATGTATAAATTGCAATATTTTGTATCGCAATACTCACTGTATTGCAGAATGTTAAAAATCGCAATAATATCGTATCATGGCCCAAGTATCGTGATAATATTGAACCGTGGGGCCACGAGTGATTCCCACCCCTAGTCAATTCTTCCCCTTTTGGCAAGTAGCTGATGTGTTGTGCCTTATGAACTTCATGATGGCATGCTAATGAGCCCTAGGTGTAACATCATATAAGTCTTTTTTTAAAGAAGAAAAAAAGCGTTTTCTTTATAAAAGAAAAAGTTTCAAATCATCACCCTTTTTTATATTTTGATGATAATTTTTCACATTTCAGGGCTTTATTTAACAGTTAATCAAATAGTTCCATATAGCATTTTGTAAGGTTTTAATAAAACTCTTTTGTTCGGTTGTCCAGGGTCTAAACGTCGCTTTGTCTAGTTTGTGATTGTAAATCAGCTTAAGAGGCTTCAGAAGTGGATATTTATTCTTAGTCCCACTGCTCTTTGTATCCATCAGTTGTGTTTTAAAGATTTCTGTTGACCTAATGTTAACGCTGGTTGTAGTGAAGATTATCTGCTGGATTGATGGTGAAATTTGAGAACCCTTTTAAGCAGATTAGAGGAATAAACACAGTCTGTATTATCTGCAGAACATGGGAAAAATTTTACGTAATTTAATCTGTATTTGTATTTTTCCTTTTATAGTCAATGGAAGAGTTTCAGAAAAGGCTTGCTGATGCAGAGAAAGCCATGTATGGAGAAAACAACGGAGGAGAGACGAGAATGGCAAGAGGTGGATGGAGAAAAGGAGAGAATGAGGAGAGGGAGAGATGGAGGAGAAAAGAGGAAGATGGAGCAGAGAGAGACCGGTGGAGAAGAAGCGAAAGGGGAAGAGATTCATCACCGGCAGACAGAGAAAGATACACCGCAGGAAGAGGAGAGGAGAGGGACAGAGAGAGGGGAGGCTATCGAGGGAGGGAGGAGAGGGATAGAGATGGGGAGAGACACAGAGATAGAGGGAGAGACAGGGATGAGGAAAGAGACAGAGATAGGAACAGAGACAGAGAGAGGGACAGAGATAGAGAAAGAGATAGAGGGAGAGACAGAGGTGAGGAAAGAGATAGAGATAGGAACAGAGACAGAGAGAGGGACAGAGATAGTGAAAGAGAGAGACCTGTTACGTCATCGTCATCATCAGGGCAAAATTGGAGCCAGCGTTCGTCCTCTCTTGGGTCACTTAAAAGCCGCTTTCTTAAACCTGCTGAAGAAGATGACGGTGGTGAAGGTGGGTTGCTGTTAAGTCTAACAATCACTGAAACACAAATCTGCCCAATATCTGTCAGAGTTCAGTGTTAAGACATTTTTCATTAGGTCTCATACATAGTAAAGATTGTAAAGTGATTTTTACAGCTGCACATTTTATGCCCCTTGCAGCTTCAGAGCGTCGTCACCCTCCTACAGCAAAGACATCCGCAGGGTTCCTCAAACCAAGCTCAGATGATGAAGACAGTGGTCCATGTAATACACGCATTCCAGCCTGGAAGAAGAGCAGCAATCCTCCCCAGGCGTCTGACAGCTCAGAGAAACAGCAGCAGGAGAAAGAGAGGGATCCTGGGGTGACAGCAACAGCTCCTCAAGACTCGAGTCAACATGGTGATAAAGCCGCTTCAGCGGCTTCAAGGTTGTGTGCTTCTTATTTGTAGCCTTAAAGTGTTGTTATCTGCTCTCATACGGATCAAATACTCAAGCATGTGTGTAGTTTGACATTTATGAATAAGCCTCTCTATTCCATCAGCAGTAGTGTTGTTAGTACACACACATAACACTTTGTGAATTTCTAGTGTGCCAACAAAAATCTAAGAAGAGGGCAGCGGGATGCAGACTATTGTCTCACTGAATCTCAGTTAGCTGCTTGTTGCGTGGACAAAATCAAAACTAGAGCTTGAAAGTGACTTCTAAGAAAGACCACCACAATAATCCTCTTAAATGAACAAATACTGATTGAAAGTAGGTCATAGATGTTTAGACCTGTTTTCAGCCAAATATCAATATTAAAAACTCTGTCACTGGGACTATTAAAAACCCAAGTTTTCATTTTTCAATGGCTCCTGTAGAGACAAACATTAATGCCTACATCATTGTGTCAAGTAAGCTATATGAAGGCACATTATTCATTTTCATATTCATACTTTATTTTATTCAGTTAATATTTAAAACATTCAATACAGACAAGGAAAAAACTCTTACAGAGTCTGCCCCTCTTTGATAATATATAAATCAACTAAACACAGTGAAAATAAACTAAATAAAGAGCTGCAGGCCAACATTTTTACAGTTCATTAGTTCTTATTTTCAAAAACAAACAGAAAAGACCACGTTAATTCACATTTTCTCACAAAAGAAAAAAACGTACCAAGACTTAGATTAACATATTTCCCTGTATTTACTCAACATACTGACTTTGACTCTTAATTTGATTTAGCTTCTTCAGTTTCTTTGTTCAGATTGCTCCACTAACTTATTCCTCTCACTGTAACACAAGGGTCTTTCAGTTTAGTTCTGAATTTTGGCTTTTTAAATATTTCAAATCCATTAAAACCACAAAAACTTTATCTTTTTTTAAATCGGCTCTGGATGTTGACTGGTAAAATTTTCCTAAACTGCAACATACTAAAATATGCTAACTCATTGAATTTCAACAACTGCAATTGAACAAATAATGGGTTTGAGGGATCTCTGTCATGACTGCTATAATAATCCGTATTGCTCTTATTTGCAAAATGAAAATTGGCTGGATGGAAGTTTTGCATGCTCTTGCCCACACTTCAACACTGTAGGTCAGATATGGTACAATAGTCGAATTATACAAGAGGTACAAAGCTTTATTATCTAAGTAGTCCTTCACTTTGTTTAACATAGCAATCGTTTTTGCTAGTTTCACTTTTATTTCATTAATATTTGATTTCCAGGTCAATTTATCATCAATAATAACACCTAAACATTTTATTTCATTTACACTATTAATTTCAATACCTTCAATATTTACTAAAGCTTCAATGTTTTTACCTTTGTTACCCAATAGCATAAAGTTTGTTTTTTCAATATTTAATGTATAAATTCTTTTATATTTTGTTAGACGATTGCGTCATGAGCTTTTCTTTTCTTCTTTTATGGCAGCCCGACATATAGCACCTTTACAGGCTTCATGTCAGAGCATCACATCTCTGTAAAGCCTTCTTGGCTGCTCTGCGCTTTGCCTCATTAGACTAAGTTGTTTGGGTTAAACCAGCACCCAGAACCCCTACGGCATGAAATGAGCCTGCAGTGTGAAATGAGACTAGAAGGAGTGTAATAGCCTAGAACGATGCTTCCTGGGCTGCAGCTCAGATCCTCCATGTTGAGGCTGTAATGATCTCTGGTAGGGTGCAGAAAGGCTCGAATGAATCATGACAGATAAACAATGTGAGGGCACAGATGATAACAATGAAATGTTTGAAGTAAAGACATTCTTGCTAAGTTTGCCGTTCGGTGGTTATTATTAGGGTAGAGTTAGTGAGTCATTAAATCCTGTTGTTTAGGAGTGAATTATGGAGGAAAGCTGCAGGAAAAGGGATGGAAATCGCTGGAGGAAGGGGAAATTAATGGCTGTGCATTTGAGTTTTCATACATATTGTGACCCAAGTGTTTGTTCTCCTGCCTTTGTCCTTATTTTTACCCAGGAGTGAGAGTGAAAGTGAGGAAGAAGAAGAGGAGGAAGAGCTTCCTCTGCTGTCGGAGGAGGAGATGAACAAACTGGGAGCCAAACTGGTGAAGGCAGAGATCATGGGAAACACGGTGAGAAGAACCATTATGTCATGATGCAGACACTGCGGCTTTGGAAACTTCCATATTTGCTGAAGATCAAGTCATGTGCTTTTCAGAAATAGCTGTTTTTGAGGAGCATGAGAAATTTTTTGAAGATGAGAACGAATACATCAGTCCGAGTTGTCCAAGTCGAAAGTTCATCATGCTTGAAGCCTTTATTTTGCAGCTCACCAGTCATATAAGCTTCTCTTTCTTTATTTTGTTCTTGCAGGAGGTAAATATAGTTTTCATTTGCCGTTGTCATTTCAGTTTTGCTGAAAGGCATGGTTGCTGATCTTAGAAGCAGTTGAAAAAAACTGAGCCGTTGAAGCAGATTTGAAAAAGCGTCCCACCCCCCACACACAAACCTCTCCCCTCTGTGCTCCACTATAACCCCCCCCGGACCTGTATCGCCCTCCCCACGACACACCACCTCTGGCAGAGCAAAAAGCCAGCCGGCAGAAGATCCCACGCTAGCTTCAAATGGGATTCACCATGTCGAATTGCGAGTGACTAGTGGCAATAAATGCCAGCTTTGCTAGCAAGCGCCATCTGCAGCTGCCTGGACAGCTAATGTGTTGACATTGCAGAGACTAATAAGAGTTATTTATGTAACATGTGCCACGATAAAAGGCAAAAATTACCTGTTCAACAAAAACTGCTGTCCGTTTTCAGGCCCAAATCCTGGCGGAGCTTTCTCCGCCTCTCGAAGGATGACCTGATGTTAATTCGAGTTAGATTCCTCGCTTGGTCACATTTCGTCTCTGCCCTTTCTTCTGTCGGCTTGCGTTTTCTTCCCACTTTTGGCGGTGGGGTGAGCAGAAGTGTTTTTTTTTTCCATCCTTCTCCATCACAGCTCCTGTAGCTAAGCTTCTACGCTACTTTTGGCCGCTCACAGCTCAGAGGAGGGCCGGGAGAGTGGGAGGGGATGTCGGAACTACGGGAAAGGATTGTGTCGAATACAGCTAGGTGATTGGATGGAGAGGCTGAGCAGGAGATTGACCAATAGGAGCTGTCCGGGATGTGAATGTTTTTTTTTGTAGGATGGTCTCGCCATCCTTCGCCTCTGATTGGCTATAAGTGCTGGGCTCTGATTGGTTATTCCTTATGACTGTGAAACGTCACTGTCTGTCAGGTTAGGGTTAGGAGATTCAGAAGTGCGATAATGTTCTGTAATGTTCTGTTCGATGTACAGAGCCGACAGCTCGCGTTTGGCTTGAGCGTGTGATGATGTTTCCAGCTTTTATAGCCAATCAGAGGCGAAGGAGGCGGGGAATTCCCCAACCATCCTACAAAAAAAATATTGCTTCCGGGACGGATGGCTCCCATTGGTCAATGTTTCTGCAGCCCTGCACCTGCTAGGGTGAACTGATTTTTTTCCATTCTTTTTTTCTCTTCACTTTGTGGAGATCGCACTTTAGGACCATTATCAGCATATAAACAAGGTTCTTAATAATTACCCATTCCTCCAATCGTCAACCGTGCCTTTAATTTGCATCTAATTTTGATTTTATTTCATAGTTGCCCGAGCTGTCAGACACTCCTGCAGGTTAAACAGTGCTGAATAAACACCTCTGGGACTGACTTAACAGCAATAATGCGACTAACAAACTATAATTCAGCACCCCGATTGCATTTCTAGCCCTGAGATATGAGCCAACTTTTCCAACACATTTGCAGAGCCTCTTTTCTGCGCCTCGATTTACCACTACATGAGGGATCCATTAATTAATAGCACTCATCGATCTGTGCACTCAACCAGCTCCCCTCTGTCTCTCACGTGTCAATGCGCAGAGATCTATGGGGTATCTTATAGAGCGTGTTAAAGAACTGGCTGTGAAGCGCACACAAACACACCGTGCGCGGACTCACACTCACACCCGTGATGGTGAAGTGTTATCAGGCTCTCAGGCTGATCTCAGGCATCTCCTTACATGACAGAGCAATCAGGTATTCCCAAACCACTTTGTGTGCATAGGTTTGTATTAAGTGCCTTTTAGTAGTCATGCACTTTCCTCTTCCAGCTTGTACACACAGGTATCAATGGCAGTACAGCTTAAGAGGTTGTATATGTGTGTCTGTGTGCACTCAGTAGTATTTCATTTCCATAGTGCTCTGCCTCAGAGAAAAAAAAAAAATGTTAGAAGAAAAAATTCGGCCATATGTGAACACGTTGCCTCTAAAACATTTACTTTGTATCTCTCACTTTTTATGGCAACATCTGCACCGCTCACATTTCACAGGCTGAACTTTTAGAGGCTTATATAAAAGTTATTTTATATTGATGTAGGATAATATTTCCAAATAAACCTGAAGGTTCATGGTTATAAAAAGAAATGATGTATAGGTTGTTAACTCATATATGTGTGTTTGTGTGTGTTTCAGGCAATGGTCGAGAAGCTGAAATCCCAGCTGGAGGCAGCACAGAAAGCCAAAGAAAGCCACGCCGCCCGACGGAAGCAACAAGAAACTGCGAAATCAAAGCAGGTTTGTAGATATCATTTACGACTGTCACACTTTTGTCATGACAGTCATCAACCAAAAGAATTCACAAGCTATTAGGAACACCTCTCAGTCCAACAAACGCACTACATCATTATGAAGCAATATTAACCCCCTAGAATATATCTCACAAATGTGTTTGACTTTAAATGAATATAATAATCTGTAGTAATTTATTTATTTAGTTAGTATTTAGTTTATTTGCAGGATAGGTATGTTAGATCAGGGGTTTCCGTAATTGTCCATGCTAAAGACCCTGTTATGCACTTGCCTCTAGCAGGGATTACGATAGCAGATATTGGTAACACTTAATTTGATGCCACCTCTATAACACATTATAAATATGTTTATAATCACGTTATAGCACTGTATAACTATAATTAAAGACACTCATAAATGTTTATAATGCTTTATAGGAATAATCATAACACATTATAAAACATTTTATCATGACTTACAAGGTCAGGTCTTATAATGTGCTATAACTGTTAACAACAGTTGCATTGCATGATCTATGTTGGCATTGTCAGAGAGTTGTTAACAGTTATAACACATTATAGTACCTGACCTTGTAATTCAGGACAAAAAGCTTTATAATGTGTTATAATTATTGCTATTAAGCATCATGATCATTTATGAGTGTTTATAACTACGTGATTATAATGCATTATACATATATTTATAATGCGTTATAGAGATAGGTGTCAAATAAAGTGTAATTTAAACAACTTATTGATATAGTTTCTCATTTTCTTTAATAGTTTAACTTACTCTTTATTTGTTTCATTGAATTATATTTTTGTGCTCTGTCTTTTCTCATTTCTATATACTTTAAGCTCCATCCTCACCACTCCTCCTCTCAAGGGTACACTAGTCCCTCCTCCACTTGTCCCCTGGCTGCTCCCTAAAGGGGGAAACATTTTTGAGAAAATAGGTAGACGAGACAATTTGGAAAGAGGGTTTTTTTACCTCACTCCTGTGCTCTAACTCCCTCTCTCTTCAAACACTCTCCAACTCCTAAGAGAAGTTTCCCTCTGTGCTGATGTTCGTTTGAAGTCATTCCTCCATGATTTAATATCTATTCAACACACACACACACGCACTGATACACTGCTACAAGCACACATGTGTAAATACATAAATCCAGGTACAGACACACTATCTTCACCTGAATATCTACTGCACTAATCCCTCACAGATGTAAACACATGCAAACATAGGAAGAGATTGATATACCGACTCGCTTGCAGACCTCTAACCTGACACCAGCACACTGTCTGCTAGCTGTTTTTACTCCCTCCATTGATCTAAATGCTAATCCAAACACTCAGGACCATATCTTCTCTTGACACACACATGCAAGGCGAGACACACACGACTCCAGCTGAAACTTGATTCTCTGCAGTTACGTACGACCGCTTTATAAAAGGAATTTGTTTATTTGAAGCTGGTTTGCTTTTCAGCGTTCACATGCTGCTGTCTGCGTGAAGCAGCTCCTGTTCGTCATGTCAGCCGACTCTAATGGGAAACAAATGTCGCTCCTGCCCGGGGTCATTCAGAGTGTGCCCTTTGTGTTTATGTGAGGGGATAAGGGAAAAAAAAACTGTTTAAAAGGGGACATACAGTGCAATCGGTGTAACATACGGTCCGCGTCTGTAGCATAAGCATCTTTCAGAATGTGAAGGAAGAGACCGCGCTTTTCAGCCCCACATGCACACACACTAAACATAAGATATTTGTATGTACACGTATCTGCAGGCACATTTAAAGCAGGTTTTTAATCTATCTTATTATTTGTAAAATCAGCCACACTGCTCTCACATGAAGCTGACCCTTCCAAATTAAAAGACCAGTGCAAAATCCTCAGTATATTTTCAGAGAAAATGTCATAATTCTTGCATTTTAGTACACTCATCAACTGAGAGGTACTTCAACCCTCTTAGAGATGAAGTGCTGTTGATTTGCACTCCTTCCAAATCCTTCCCATCTGTCTTGTTATAGTAGACTTTTGGCTTATCTTCACTATTCAGTGTTTCTGACTCTTGCTGTCTGCCTCATATTTCATGTTTTCTCTGCGCTCGGATCCTTGAAAGGCTCAACTTTCTCAACTGAAGCAGAGAAAATATTCTCCTCTGTCTTTCTCTTCCTGACAGTCCAGTTTTATTCTCTTGTGACTGCCATCCTTTCTGTTTCTCCCTCCTTATTCTTGTTTCTGTCTCTTCTCATCAGGGCAAACGTCAGTCTTACAGGCTGTCAAATCAGGCCCTGGCTTCTGTCATATAAGACTAGGTTTTCCTTCTGTATTAACTTCGACAGACTGACATGACAAGTTTTTAAGAGAGGACCTCAGAAAGGAGGAGATTAAGCACCTTGTTAATATTTTTCTGCAACAATCAGTAGCACCAAAATCTAATTTAGCCAGTCAAAACAAACTTTTTTGGTTTTGTCGTACACTTAAAGAAGAAAATAAGCAAAAAAGTCAGTCATAAAGTAAATGATTTCAGTTAATAAGTCACTATGAAAAGGTTAAAGCATGTTTAAGTCATTTAAAAGCCAAGTTTGGGAATGAGAGAATTATAAGGTGTTCATACAACTGTAGAGGTTAATATTTTATTTACATTTTATACTCAGAATAAGAGTTAGCATCTCCTCTCTCTGCTCTCAAATGAAATAACAAATGCACAGTGTTAATTTCATGATACGCAAAAGTGAAATTAAGAAAGAAAATAACCCAGGTCCCTTTTTTGTTTTTTTTTTTAGGTTGCAGGTCGGTCCACTGAAGACCGGGAAGTCCTGCTGTTCAGAACCGACCAATCAGGTCGAGCCTGGCCAGTCAATGCCCCATCTGGACCTCAGGAGCCCCACGGAGGACGGCGAAAGAAGAAAGCGGTAAAGAAAGAGGGATGATGATGGGTGGTAGTGAAGTAGTAAAACAAATGCCAGGACAGCAGGGAGTGTTTTTTAGAAATGTGAAAGTGGCAGCCGCACACATGGTTGACATAAATCTTGAACTCCATGAGAAGCTACCACATAAGAGGGATCCCCACATCGAAACAAGGTTTTTGAGTGTAGGGCGAAGTCTGTATCCAGAACTTTGTTTTTGTCAATTATTACAAGTTGCTTCACTTTTTAGTCTGTGAACCTCAGGCGTGTCTGAAGCTGTCTGTCCCTTCATTCTCTCTTATTTTCTACCTGGAATCTTCAGACTATGAAGCTGGTTTAGAAATAGATCTGAGTACCTTAAACTATGTTCTGAATGTAGTATCTTCTTAACTTCCATTAAGACTTGTTTTTATAAATCCTATCCCTTCCTCTCTTTCTCCAGATCGAAACTCATATCGATGGAGAGCGTGTGCGCTACTTCCAGGATGATGATAACGTTGATCTCAAGGAGATGGTGAGGAGGGAGAAGATGAGCTCTGCCCAGGATCAGACTGCCCTCTACTCTCGCATGGCTTCAAAGGTAAGAGAACTCCAGAGCTGTGCTGAATCAAACTTGTGTAAATACTAAATAAATAACAACCTGGTATCCACGGCTTGGATCAGTTATTCTTCTCGCTGGAACCAGAAGTCTGTGATTTTTCATAATCTTATTTTCTTAGTCAGAGCTTTCTTTTCTTCTTTTCTTGTGGAGCTGAAACTATGTAGGTGATAATAATCATATATTTTTATTCATGTAGTGCTTTTTATGGCACTCAAAGACACTTTACAAGGAAGAAAACACAGTAGTAACTAGGATAAAAGCACATTGCAAAGACGTAGTTAAAACTGATTAAAAAGACAGGCTAAAACTATAGAGTGCAGAGTCCAGGTGAATCAATACGAGACAGAACTGTTTATAATTAAAGCTATTCATTTTGGTAGATAAGCTGGCTGTCGAAGATGCACATTACTGATTTTTATCATCCAGATGTATCCTAATGATAGTAAACACTCTGAATGTCTTTGTAGTGATTTTATAGATCACATTAGCTTAACTTGAGTTTAATTGTACCTATACTGTATAAGTATATGGGTAACATGATTAAAACACTTAACGGTCTGCTCACATGTAAATGGTTCTTCTATGCCATGCCACCAAACCCATTTGCACCATAAAACAGCATAGTTAAACAAATTGGAATATACGGAAATGCAGAACTGCACAACTTTGTGCATGTGTCTTGCACAGTCTGTATGTTATGTATGGTATGAATGAATGTAAGTATGTACAGTATATATGTATGAAGGTCCCCATTCACTACTATCAAGGTAGCAACTACTCCTCCTGGCTTTCCATTAATGCAAACATAAGACAAGATTTAAAAACATTAGTAAGAGTACATACAGCGCTTTATATTCTGTGTTAAAATACTGCTAAACCTTACAGCCAGATACTGTTATCTGTGCTTTTTCACATACAGGTAGCTGAGCATTATTGCAACATTGGTTAGCCACTACCAAGAGCTGCATCCAGTGATGGGTGGCTAACTTTTGACAGGCATTTTAGACAAACAATAACAAAAATATAAACTTCCCCAGAAAGTCTTTGCTGAACTTTGAGGGTTAGAACATTTAATGGTTTGCTCACAAATACCCCTTGTGGGACATGCAGTTCAGGGACAGATTCTGGGAAATTTGTGAGGTATAAAAATAGATACATGCCAGTTTATTACTGTAAATGCTGCATTCCACTTTAGTTTGGTATCAAGTTATTTTGACGAGTCTAGAAACTGCAACACGGTTCACATCAAATTGTATTTTTGAGATTTAACACAAGAGTAACATTTCTAAAGACAATTCAAAAGTGTGTTATTGTGGAATTGTTTTGGTTCTACACACCACTGATTCACGAATTCCTTTTCTTTTTGATGGCAAGCTAAAGGCTAAGTACAATGAAGTGTAGGGCTTCATAAAGGTGAATTCAAATAGAAGATACAGAGGAAATGGTCAGAAATCAGGCCGAGCCAATGCAACCACAGGCATACCCATCACAATAGAAACCAAACAGGAAACCTGATCAATATCAAAGTCTATAGTTTCACAGTGGAGCCAAGAGCATAAGAAGAAAATTATCTTAGAGATAATCTGAAACTAAAATATGACAATGGGAGGAACATGACAATTAAAACACTATCGCTCAACTTTTGGTACTGTCTGAGCACAGGAATTAGCATTAGCGTACTCCAATAAAAAAGAGATGAATAATCTATGAATAGAAGCAATTTCACACAGAAACAGTCATTTCGTGAGTTGAAGTAATTTTAAACACATATAATTTCAAATATGTTGAATGATTACTTTCTATAATTCAAAAAGGGTCATAATGGCTGATTCAATTTTGAATTTGCTCTCTCCACTGTGGAATACCCAGATTCATTAAACACTCGTGATGATAACTCTCCCACCAAACCTTTATCTCCCCTCTTCCCTGTTTCATTAGCAAAGAGCCACAGAAAACAAATAGGGAACGGGCGTCTCGTTTTTGTCTGACAACAGCGGCAGGGTCAGATTAGATCAGCAGCATCTGAAAACTTGATTAAAAACAACGTTGGGCAAAACCAAATGCTACAGAGGCACAGATAATGTCACTCTCAGAGTACATACTGAAGACTTACTTGTTTGATTGATCTAATGTCAAAGTGATTCTCCATTCCCACTGTTGTAATATTAGCTAAGTTAGTTAAAGGTGTTCGTGTGAGTAGCTCTGCAGCATGTTGCTCAGAAAAGGGACAAAAAGGAGAGACACTGGGATTTGTGTTGCTCTCTGTCATTATCAGTTCCTCTTCTCTACCGGTCTTACTTTCAGTCGTCTTTCAGTAACTCTCTGCCACTGGGTGTCTCAAATTGACATACAACAGCAGACAGGTGCTGGCAGGTTGTGGTGTGTGTCGGTTTATCAGCTGCTTTACCGACTCTTGTTTTCCAGCCGAGAACGATTTACCTCTCTCTCTCTCTCTCTCTCTCTCTCTCTCTCTCTCTCTCTCTCTCTCTCTCTCTCTCTCTCTCTCTCTCTCTCTCTCTCTCTCTCTCTCGGTGGAAATTATGACAAGTCAGTGTGAAATCCCACTGACAGGTGTTTGTGTATGTATTTGTGTTAAGAAAAAAGGAGCATTAATAAACAAAAAGATGAAGGAGTTGTCATGGAAATAGAAAAAGCTCCGCCCATGTTTTCCTTTTTCCTTAATTTCTTTTTCCTCACTCGCTCACTCTCACTCTCTCATTTACTCACACGAACTCCAACACACACTCACCAAAACCCAAGCCCTTGCATATTAACTCCACATGTCAGTGAAAAAAAAACTATACACACAGACACACACACATTGTACACCTACAAAGAGTGACACTAAAAATACATCTACAGTTACCATGGCAGGGCTTCTATAAATACAAGTTTAATCCATTGGTCAGAGACGGAGTGTGTTAAGCAAGTAGACCAGCATTGTCTGGAGATTTTATGGAGTGTGTCTTTTAATATTACATGAGTCGTGAGCCAGACATATGTTTATCCATTCCTCTATGTCACTACATGCTAAATTCACAATCTATAATTTAAAAACATCAAAAATTCATCCATTCATCAGTAGAAATCGTGTGTAAATTGTGGTGGAGATGGGATGTATGGGTTTTTATGTTTTTAAAGGTGTTCCAGTATAAAATCGTCATCTCTTGGACAAATGCAGCACACTTAGGTGCAGTCATTTGCACGCACTTACTCCTACACTCACACACACATACACACACACACACACACGTCCATTCCCTCCCACGCTGTCACTAAACTAATCCAATCTTCACTCTCACTCGCACACTCACTCCTACACAGCGAGTCATACACACACACTTCAGCCATGCTCGCCCCTCTCGTGCTCTCACATGCACACAGATACCAACCTGTTGCCTGGTCTCCATGGCGACTGAACTCAGACGTAGAAGCACCAGAGTCGATACCTCGGTGTCCTGCCTCACACTGTTAACACACAGACATCAGCTTGGATACAGGAGAGTTCAGGCACCACACACACACACACACACACACTCACACACACACACTCACGTAGAATGTGGCATGGAAACGGCACAGACGGCAATATTGCGTCATCACCTACGTTCACCAGTTTCTGAACCTTTCAGCCAGTTGGAGGTACTGTCAGTCTAGATTTTTAAAGACTGTCATGACTTTCCTTCTCTTTTTAAATTAACAATGAAAATCTATTTACTTGTTTTAAAGGTACAGTCTGTAGAAAAGTAAATGTACACTGAATTTGTTCTGCTGAATGCAGCTAAATGTAAACTGTGTTATTTTTGTGTTTAAGCCTGTTCCTAGATTTGTGCAGGCTTGAATATCTCACGCTCAACTCGGCTCATCAGCTCTCTCTTCTTCTATTTTCCCTTCTCATTTTCTCCCACTTCTTCTCCACGCTTCTCTCCGTTGTCTCCATCGCTGCCTTTTCCACTTCACTCCAATCTCCAGATGATGGGGAAGACAGACGGCGACAACTACACGCTGGATGACATGTTTGTGTCGAGTGCAGCGCAGCGGGAGGGTGAGGGGAGGGAGGAGGAGAGGATGAGGAACAAGGCTATCGTAGAGAGCAGGAGGCTGGCTGCCACCATGGAGAAATGCCAGCACTGCTTCAGCAGCCAAGAGCTCCACAAACACCTTATAGTGGCAATAGGGAGCAAGGTGAGGGATCAAGAGTTCAGGCATGTCTTTCAAAATGATGATTTGCAGTTTTATCCTTGAAATATTACTTTAAAATGAAAATGGTATCTACTAGTTTGAGTAAAGTTAGTAGTTGTTCATATGTCAACAAATAGGTTAATAGTGTGTTTGATAATCAAATAGATATTTTGGTATATACTGTGTTTAGGTGTACTTGAGCCTGCCAGCTGGAGTGTCCATGACAGAGGGCCACTGTCTCATCTGTCCCCTCCACCATCACTGCTCCGCCACCTCATTGGACGAGGACATATGGTCAGAAATGCAGGTAAGCCAATCAGTGCCCTAACCCTCACAAACTGTTTGACTTTTAACAGCAGTAAAAATACCCTAAACGTCATTCTTATGAAACTATTATTACCTTGGCAGAAACACACACACTGATGCGCACACAGACAGACACACCCAGACGAAGGTCAAGATGACCTCACCAGTCACAAAAACCTTCTGTGACAGAAAGCTGCTCTTTGATCTCTTTGAAGGGGCAGGGGGAACCAAAAACATTGAAATAGTAAACAAACAACACATGAGTGATCAAAGATGGAGTACAAAGGGATCAAAAGTCATCCGGAGGTCAGAGTGTGCACAGATGTAACATGTGCACCTGCTCCTGACATATAATGTACAAAGTAACAAGTCTGAATCTGTTTGATTGGAGGGGCGGCGGAAGGAGTCGTAACATTATGAGGGTAAAGAGAGCTGCCATTTCAGTGGCTCCACACATGTAAAGTGTCCTACCTTTGCTTTGAACGCAGAGACTAGCAGTGAGAACAGAGTTCAATATGAAGTTTGTTGTTCAATAAAATATATTCAAATCATTATGACTTTTATATTCTATTATGTCTTACATAATATTACATGACATTATCCTGTGTAATAGATATTCTTCTCCAATATTTCACCAAAAACGAGTGGTGTTAAAACTTGAAAAATACACTTTCCCTGCTCTTTGAAACATTTAGGAAGGACTAATCAATCATTTTTTGAAATAGCATAGATCATTTAAACATTATGAATAGCTTTTGGGTAAGAACTTTGGTGAACATACTGTGAGGGTACAGGATTTGAACAGTGTATGAGGGTTCAGTCTTTTCCAGCATTCTTCGTGACTAGAGTTATACGTCACAGCTCGATACTGCAGGTTCTGAAGCCACTGTCTTTTCCTGTTTTATTTCAAACTATACTGATTACCTCTTTGCTGCTTTGTGTCTCCAGCTGTTCCGACGTACTTTGGTTCGTATGTTTGAGGCCCAGGAGCTGGACTGTGTGTTTATGGAAACACACATGAACCCACGGAGGAGACAACACATGGTCCTGGAGTGTATCCCACTGCCTCGCGAGCTGGGCGATATGGCCCCCATATACTTCAAAGTATGCCTTTGTGTTTACAGACGCACTGAATCTCATTCAGCTTCTTTTTTTAGGCTTAACCTGGGAAAAAATGTGTTGAGTCCAAATTTAACCAAGTTGTTGTGAAGTTCAATGTCTCCACAAGTGTGGTTTGAAGAGTTTGTGTGTATTTTCAGAAAGCTATCATGGAGTGTGATGAGGAATGGGCCATGAATAAAAAGGTCGTTGACCTATCTTCAAAAGACATCAGAAAATCTGTAAGACCTCTTGTTCTTTGTTGTTTTTATTGTTGATCTTTGACTTACTCCTCCCTGCTTGTGATATCTCTGCTTTTCTTTTTTTCCCTCCCATTTCCTGCACACTGTTGTATCTTTTGTCTGCTCTGTTTACAGCTGCCTTTCTTTCATCTTTCTCGTTACCCCTTTCTTTTTTTCTGTAGCCTCATCCTTCTAAATTGTTAATTGTTTGTGCATTCTAGGTTCCTCGAGGACTGCCTTACTTTGCTGTAGACTTTGGACTCCAGGGTGGATTTGCTCATGTCATTGAAAATGAACAGAAGTTCCCCCATTACTTTGGAAAGGTCAGCGTTTACATTAAGACTCTTACACTATACATCACTGTGTGTTACTCTACAAACTTGAACGTGTGTATGATCTCCAGAACAAATTGATTGCATCTAATCCCACAGAAATGTTTCATTATCATAAATCCTTGTTTCTCTGACAGGAAGTGGTCGGAGGTATGATGGATTTGGAGCCACGTAGATGGAGGAAGTTTATTCGAGAAAACTTTGACGATCAGAGGAAAAAAGTCCTGCAGTTTGCACAGTGGTGGAAACCTTATGACTGCACCAAGACTGAGGGCTGACGGGGACTGTGAACCCGGTTTCATTCACACACTTCACTCCTCAAAGCAAGAGGAAACACTGCAGACATCTTGATATTCAGAAATTCAAAAGTGTCTGATAGAAACTGTGTTGTGAAAACTTTTATACGTCAATAAAAAGTACATAAATAACTCTGAATAGTGTTTGTAGCTATTTTTGTTTTACATTCAAATATTACTTCTTACCCTAATAATTCTTTTTCCTCAGTTGTCTAATGAAACTTACCATGAAAAAACAACTTGACCATAGCGCTCTGTCTATCTTAAACGCTGTACAATGTTTAAGATAGACAGATCTATCTTAAAAACTGTATAGTTTTTCAGATACCGTATTTTTCGCACTATGAGGCGCACTTAGAATCCTTTTGGCTTGTCGGAGCACTGCAGCTACCGTAGCCTCGTGGATTTATTGAATGAGTTAATTAAAGTTTGACCTATCTGACTGTTTTGTTTGGCTTGATGCACTTTATAATCCGGTGCGCTTTATGTATGAAAATAGATGAGAATAGACGCGTTCATTGATGGTGCACCTTATAGTGCAAAAAATACGGTAAGCAGATCTATCTTAAAAATTGTAGTTTTTAAGTTGGTTGAAAAAGCTATGGGATGGGAAAACTATGTGTCATTTGGAATGGTTGTTAGGTCTCTTCATCGATTTATTCCATACCTCCAGCTAGCAAGGGATTGAAGCTGTTTTCTGTGTCATACCCACTATTTTTGAAGTGTCTTTCGTTTATGCTGCATCCTTCTGTTCTCTAGTCCAAGGATTGGATTTCTTACTTTGTTGCTATTGATTCTTCGTAGCTCTCACTTAATTCAAAAAGGTTTTCAGTGTCATCGCAGTCACCCGTACAAGTATATTTATGAGGAAACATGAAAAACCCGCCACTTCCCTGACATTTAACCTCAGTATTGTATTTCTCGCTATGCTATTGGCTCTTTGATTAGCTCATCATTACACAAAGCCAGTGCAGGTGTCACCCAAGATACCTTGTGGCGCATAGATGCGACTGATTAGTGCAAAGTCTGTGTTAATCACAGAAGATGTGGAGTTTTATATTACATTATAATTAAACCAATACAAGAATGGAGGTTGATAATGGAAAGGGGCCATTGGTGTTTTGTTTTGCAACCCACAGAACTCAAATATTGGTACTTGTATAGTCTGGGGTCCTCCTGTTTACACTGTTACACCTTATAGATTAAATAATGGATTTAAAAGATTACATATTTGTAGACCATTTTGAGAATGAAAGGGTTTAAGAAGAAACAAAATACATTTAAAAACAAATCTTAAGGTCTCAACAATCAGCATAGATAGAATGTATAGAGATAGACATATTGAAGGGTAGATTAGCACTTTAGCCCTGACCAGCAAGGACGCAGAATTGGAAAGGATTAATTTTACTAAGAAAAAAGGGCGTCTTTTGTTGCCTTTAACCATTTTCACAGCAGCCCCTGAGTGAGCTTTGTCGCACTGTAGAGATCACCAAGCCACAGGGTCCACAGTGTTTCAGCAGGTTAGAGGCCTGCAGCAGATTTATCCTTTTATGCTTATAGGAAAGCCTGACATGTCATTCGTCGGCAGTAATTACATTTGTAAGCCCCCACTATGGCTTATCACTGGAATATGATGCAACCACCGAAACAAAGTCCCACTAGTCAAACTTGCATTCAAAGGTCAGATCATGTAATTGTGTCAGGAAATCCAGCTGAATCTGAAATACTGTTTTTAGGTTAACACCACAACATGCAATTTGCTGCTCTTTAACCCTATTTGTTCCTTTCAAATGATCCCTTGGGACAGAACAGCCCGTTATTTATATTGCAAATGTGACAGAGAGGCTTAGGTTCACGGTTAATAGCGGTAGAGTGGTGTGGAGTGATGTATGGTTATGGCCAATTAGATTGTCCAGGGGCAGATTTATGACCGAGCAAGCCATCTCTGTCTGTGCCTCTCTTTACCTCACACACACACACAAACACACACACACATGTCCTCTCCGGAGATATTTTGCAACCCCCCACACAATGCTGCTTTTTCATTCACTTGTATGCTTAGAAACACACAAGCACTTTCCAATGACACACAACACACGCTAATATTTCTAAAAGCTCTGGTGAGAGGTACTTGGTATTAAATTTCTGGAGTTGTGTGTTTGATGAGGCAGGCGGTGTCTGAAAGCACCATTGTGTTTCATGTTTCGTTTTGTGTGCTTATCTCCTGGGAAAGACACCTGGTTTTGACTCACTGGTGTGTTATGAGGCTGAACCTTTTCTTATCTTCCTGCATTCCTCAACTAGACATTTTTCACATTTGAACTCTGCTTAGAAAGTTTTTCTGTTCCTGAAGGGTATTGCTTATGTATTTTTTTTGCTTTTTTATGCTTACTTATTTTTGATAAATCTGCATGTGAATGCATATTTTTGCAGAGTTGAGCCCTATATGGTATTGTAAATCTGTCTGAGGAACATACAAGTTATTCCCTCCTTATCTCTTCATATATCTCATCTTTATAGGCCTATTTATTTCGATATCATAACATTTAAAGCTTGATTTTTTTAAAGGCATAATTTAGCCAGAATTCTAAAATGGTTACCTTGAATGAGAATGAGGCTGGTGTATATTTTGATTGTCTTTGATTTTACAAATTTGCTTATTTGTACATGAATGGGTGTCTTCAATCATATGTTACTAGTTATTTAACCAATATAAAGGTTGTGTACTTGCACAAAAATAGTGTGCAACTGCACTTTGTTTTTGTCTCAGGTAGTGTTAATTCCAGATTACTTTCTTTCTGCATTAAAAAATATGAATTGTTCTATCTTTAATGACATAAACATCCTATGGAGGAGCTGGCGGAGGTTACCGTCTTACACCCAATACAGCACAATTAGAATTTTTTAAAGGAATAATTCCAATGGGACTTTCCCGATACTTGATTTCCATGCAAATACAATTCAAACTTGATGGCCCTTAGAATTACCATTATACCCAAATGGTTGTCCAGTCTGTTTGGTCTAATTCAAGGCATGACACTGAACCATTGCCCTGTCTGCACTCAGCTACAGATGGCTGGCTGTAACTGAGCTTATCTCTCCTGGAACATTATTTATCCCATTGTAGTCCTGGCTTTATTAAATGCCCACACTATTACTGACTGATGGCAGATTGATTGCAAAAAGCAGTGACCAGATAAGGAAATAGAAATCAAGACAGAGACCATGTGTAATGTGTTCCCGTAGAAGCATGTGTGGGTGTGTGTTACGGAGAGCAAAAGAAAAAGGGGGTGAATTTTGTGTAATGCACTTGGAGTCATGTTGCTCCAGAAAGTTAAATGAATTAGTAGAAACCTTCAGGAAATGACAGGAGTGTGCGTTTGTGTGCGTGCACGTTTCACATATTGCATCATGCTTGTTCCAATGTCTCCCAGCTTGTCCCTTTGGGGCCCTTAATGAACAGTCATGCTCTGCCAATTGAGGTCAAGGTCAGTGCTGTGATTAGTGCCAGACGTGAGCTTCACTCTGTTCTCTGTCAGGAGGCAACAAGTGTGCACTGCCGTTTCTGCCAGCTCCATTATAGTGTCTGCTTGTGGAGCCATGTTTGTCCTTGCATACCCATGTTCAATGCATATGGCATATTGCCACATTATAGGTTTATAGGCTGTGACTGTTGTTTGACTGCAATCAGATGTTTCTAAATAACTGCACTTGGCTGATGTTGAAACAGCCACCTGTTTGTTTTCTGTTACAATGACACTTACTTAGAAATCAACACATGCCACTGTTTCTGACTAACTGAATATGTTCTTGTATGTTTCAGTTGTTTTTTTTTTTTAAACCAGTAGGCTACTTTTACTTGCTTATTCTTTGCATTATACTATTCTAGTACTGTACTTTGATACATCACATCTGTTACTATATTTACCAATATTTTGCCTGCTGTAAATAAAAAAGAGACGGTGCAGATAAAAAAGCCACAATGGAAGTTAACGTCGCAAAAAAAAAGTGGCTATTGAAAAAAAAGTTACTGCGAAAATAAAAGGATGCAAAAAAAAGAAGAAAAGCCACAACGAAAGTGAGCTGCCAGGGACCAATAATGATGATGCATCAGTGTTTTACGATCTAGGCACAGAAGACGACGGCAAGAAGACGAGCAAAGAAGTGGGAAGGTTATTGTTTAATTTTGTTGTGTTTACTTTTTAATGTGTCATTTGATTTGGCCATGTAGCGCCTGAGTTGATATGAAGCTGAACTAGAGGATACCGGAATGGTGTTAGCTTCGGCTAACACAGGCAACGCACTATGCCCAGAAAGACCCACGAGAGGAGAATCGAGTTCGGTAGCTTTACGGTTCTGTGGCTTTACTTATCGAAAAAAGGTTTGCAGACTCCTCGCTTTTTTTCATTGTTGGTCCCCAGCAGCTCCCCCCCATTGTGGCTTTTTTTTGCAGTTACTTACTTTTTGCAGTAAGTAACTGTTTTTTTTTTTGTTTGTGTGTTTGTTTTTTTGCATCGCCAGTTTTTTGCGTTGTTAACTTCTGTTGTGGCTTTTGGATTTTTTTTATCTGCACCCTTTCTTCTTTTATTTGCAGCGGGCTTTGTTTTTTTTGCGCCAGTAACTTCTGTTGTGGCTTCTTTTTTTTGCACCCTTTCTTACTTGCAGTAGTGGTGGTTCTCAGCCACCGTATTGAGTAAAATGCCGTTAAAGTTAATGCACTCATATCTTAATAGCTACTCATTATTTTTGTGTGTGTAGTAAGTTACTTTTTTTTACATAGCCACGTTTTTTTTGCATCGTAATCAGTAGCGGTTCTAGGCACGGGCGAACAGGGCAGCCGCCCGGGGCGGCATTTGTGTCATGACTCATGGGGGGCGGCACGAGCACTTCCAAAAAAATAAAATAAAAGATAATAATAATAAATCTTAACTGCAAAGCGGTTATTTATTAACTCTTGTTGTCAAATTGGCGACCCCCCGCTGCTGTAGGCGCCCCTGCTTGCTCCGAAGGTGCTGCACAGAGGCTGACAGACTGTAGGAGACGAGGCGGGGAGAGAGTCGCGAGGGGACAGCTCTGCTCTGTGTACGCATGTCAGCATATCAGCGGGAGCGCGGATACGTCATTTTGTAGTTTTTTAATCATTTCTGGAGTCGCGGTGAATGAAATCACCGTACCCGTCTGCCTTTGATAGGCGAATAAAGCGCTCGGGTTCATGCTCGGATCTTGCTACGTGCTTGATGAGCTTCATGAGTGAAGTAAACAATGACTGAGACAGAGAGCAGCTTCAGAGGAGAAACATCCAGCAGTGTGAACAACCTCTTCATATGGAGTGATTTGGCTCACACTATCAGCGTTTTCTCTCAGTGTTGCATGACTTTGGGTGAGCACAGAGGTGAACACACTGTCAGCCACGTATTTATTTATTCATTTTTTAGTTTTTAGTTCTGCTTTTGTACTGGCACTATACTGGGGCAGCTGTTTACCCTTTCAACACCTTATTTTCTATATTTACATTTGTATTGAATGGACACTTTATCATGACTGCCACTTGTTTTACAGAAAGCAAATTATTTGTCATTCTCCAGTGCAGAGCCTTTACTTTTATTTATACAGCCGCTTTATTTCATTTGAGTTTGTTTGTTCAAGGTTTTCAAAAATGTGATGAAGGTTCGCAAAACTAAAAGAGAGCTTTCTTGAAAGCCACATGTATAAGCTCTCAAATACTTTTTGAATTTTATTTCTATCGACTACAGAGGCCGAGATAGCAGCTTTTTTGTAAACCTTAACACTTCAGAAAACCTCAGGATCTGGGGGCCCTTCTCAAAATGGCCCTCAGGATTGTGTTTTTTTCTATTGAAGGATTTCTGCAATTGAGAAATATATCATCTTTGTTGTTATAATAATAATAATAATAATAATACATAGTAATACAAAACTATCTGTTCAAAATTCTAGTGTTTGTGTGTGTGTGTGTGTGTGTGTGGGGGGGGGGGGGGGGTGCACTTGGAGGGGTGCTCGCCCGGGGAGTAATTTGGTCTAGAACCGCCACTGATCGTAATCAGTTGTGGCTTTAAAAAAAAATATGTATATCTGCACCATTTCTTTTTTTATTTGCAGCAGGCTTCGGTTTTTTTTCGCATCAGTAACTTCCGTTGTGGATTTTTTTTTATTATTATTATTTTATTTGCAGCAGTGGCGGTTCCCAGCCACCGTAATTCTCGGCCACCGTATTGAATATATTGCCTTAAAGTTAATGCACTCATATCTTAGTAGCTCCTCATTCCTTCCTCTTTGTTTCATCCATCCATGCATCTAGATGAGTTGAAGTCGTTTGTCCACCTGACTCGCAGCAGAACTGCGCGTCGCTGCTTACTTCACAGCGTGAGCCCGGTTGAACGCTCCTCACATCACCGGTACGTGCTGCTGCTGCTGCTGTTGGCTGATGATCGCGCGCTCACTCTCTCACCCGTTCAACATCTCGTGCACCTCCACTCCTCAGCAGCCGCCACCAGTTTACCCGCTGACCGAGTGAGGCGACAAGAATTGAAAGTCAAGCACCGGCGGGGAATGAATTATCGATGAAAGATGGACGAATGATGACAGGTCGGTCAGTTGGCCCGGCAGACAGGAGAACCGCTGTCGCAGAGGACAGGCAGATTGAGGAGGAGGAGGAGGAGAAGGAGGAGAAGGAGAAGGGACGGAGGAGAGAGGAAAGCAGTCACATCTGCCGTGACTTTGGAGATTTCTCTTCGGCAAAGTGGGGAGAAAAAAAGGAGCCACCACCTTATTCTTTCGGCTGAAACCCACTACATGTGTGAGGAAGAGTTGACGTGTGTCGGAATTACAGCGGTGGACTTCTGTGTTGATTTTTGGACACCTTTTTTTTTCCTGTTATCTGTTCAGCAATTTTCCTCCGTTAAGGTAACGTCTGTTAGACGTTGTGCCGCGTGCGCACCAGCTGGTAACGGACTTTCTGGCAATTTTTAATACCGTCAAGATAAGCTCTTTATTTTGGTTGTGTATTTGAAGCATCCTCTGACAGTGTTTGGCCTCCGTGGGTACAGTGTGGATTTGTTTTAAGGGGTAAAAGAGGACGGATTTTTAAGAGGGCGATACCCCCCTCCTCCCCTTACATAAATGTTTGCGTGCCGTTAGTGCTCTCGTTCTCGGTCGACCCCCTCCACCCCATCCCCCCACCCCCCGTTTCCCTCTGAATAGGTTCGCTGAGTCTCACACGCAGACAGACGCATCGCATACGCGCATATAGACACAGACCTGAACATTATTTTACGCGCACGACCATACACACTCACACATACACATATCACATGTGCATACGTAATTTTGAAGGCAAACCTTAGCACCCTCACCCATCTCACCCACCACCAACCCTCTCACCCCCACTATCTGATGACTCCCCGGCGTAGAGTTGGACGTGGCACGGAACCGACTGTAGCATCACCATCATCATTCTCATCCTCAACACCACCACAGTCATCATCGCCACCCTCCCCCTCTTCCTCGCCACCATGTCCTCGTCGTCGCGCAAGATCTCCTCCGAGTCGTTCAGCAGCTCGGTGGGCTCGGACTGCGGGCTCGAGAGCCCCGGGGGAGACGGAGGGGACGGCGGTCTGGAGACGACGGAGGAGAGCCGAGGCTGCCCCTTCTCTTCGTTCCCTTCCTCCCACAGAGCGGCGCTCTGGAACGGCCGCAGCCCAGCTGAGAGGTCGGCGTGCCCGGCGGGCGAGGAGCAGCAAGGACCCCACAAGAGGGTCACCAGGAGGAGACGAGTTAACCTGGACTCGCTGGGGGAGAGCCTGAGGCGACTTACATCACCAATGGTAGGCCTCTAGCACAGTCTATGAAGAGCTCAAAATGACACCAAATAGTCCTGCAAGAAGTTGAAGTACCATATTTCTAAAGGCATCCTATCTCCCATACTTAACTGTTCAATAGACCTGCTCTTGTCAAGTGGCATTCACTAGCTGTATGGCACGTTCAGCCTCCTGAAATGGTCAATATGATGACAGCCAGTTCAGGAGGAATTAGACCTTTGCAACAGCATCTCACAACTTCAGCAGTAGCACAATTTCCCCAAATCCCAAACAATATTTGCCCCTTACCATTATATGAAACTTTTTCAGCCTTCTAATCTGATAGCCTGAATCATCTGGCAGATTATATAATGAATATGCTGTTGTGAAAGAGAGAGAGAGAGAGATGCCCAGGCCCTGTCTGTGGATGTAATGATGTGAGGAGTGTGACGAATGAGCCTGTTTCTGTGTCTGTGTGTCTCAGTTGTATTACAGGCTCTAATGTAATAAAGCAGTTATTAGAACAGCGCAGTTTGATAGATGGGACATGATTAGGGCATTGCATAGTGTTTTGTTATGGTACATCAGTTTGAGATTTGATTAAATCTTCTGCAATTTGGCTTGCATAATGTAGCCAGACAACATTGGCAAACAAAAGACAGATGCCAGATATGTAAATGGTATGAAGTTTAACCGGAGATAGAGTACTTGTCTGCTTTTCTTGTTCATTCTGTCTTTCCTTTCATTAACTAATTTGCTGTTTTAGGCTTAAATAAAACCAGTTTATGATTCTGCCACAAAAAATGTTGTGTTATAGTTACACTGAGTCCAAACACAGTCATAGTTTGGCATCTTCATACGACCAAAAATAGTAAAGATGTCACAGAGGTGTAAGACCTAGTTAAGTTCCAAATACTTTCCTGGCCAGAGAGAATATTTTCAGCCAATATTCCTGCACTCTAGATTGCAGTCAAATGTGGAAAGTTTTGTCTCATGTGCCAAGAAGAAAAAGTCATAAATCTAGCAAACTTAATATGAAGTAGCCCAAGAGATAACACATACATTGACAAACATATTTAGAATACGGTTTGCCGGTATTTCAAGATTCACATGTAAACTTGCTAGTAAACACATGCGTTTGTTGTTTATCATGCTGTAGGTGTTACACAATAAAGAATACTTTGTAATTAAGCTCTAAATATTAAGTGTGTAATCATCCCTCGACCATAGTCCAACTGGTCGACTTTTCTTAGGTGCCTGACATGTAGTGCTGTTTGTTTAAGCACTGGAGCATGCCGATGAGGGTAAAGTGGTGGCTAATCTGATGGTTATTTATCAACTTTAACTGTACCTGTAAGTTTGCATGTATTGGTCAACCATGACCTCATGGTCAAAGGTTGAAAGGACTGAATTCATGAATAGTTCATCGTGCAAGTATGATATCACAGCAAAGAATCTATTGAAGCTGCAATAGTTGATACCATTGAGACATAGTTTGTGGCATTGCATTTCATACATAGACGAATGTAGACGGTTTTAATGTTTTAAATGCTGTTCTCTACTTACAGATTCCAAGCTAACGAAATGATACATGTTGTTTTTTTCTGCTTGATATCTCAGTCATGGATCAAAAATGTATATGACTTAAAACCCTCCACTTAACTTGATTATTTTTTTCACTATTACGTCATATAGTTTTTTATTTGATGAACAAATGAGTTGATATATGAAAATAAATTTGATTGGATTTATTACTTGAAAAGGAAAAATGGTGGCCATGTCACTTGTATGCCTGACCCCATGTATTACCTCAAATAACCAACAGGAGTAAGCTTGCTTGAATAATATTTACTTTTAAACTTTTGAATTTAACGTTTCGGTAAAAATCAGCTTACTTTTCATCAAGCTGTAACACAGAAACTGAGAGACCTCGCTTGATGAGCAATATGCGAGCTGTATTCACACATGATTTACTGCAGGAAAAATACCTCTTTTACAGAATTTCTATGATGAGAAAAAGCAGAAGCCAGCATATTGTTATCTAGAGTAAGCTCTGAGAGGTTGTCTATAGTTTAATTTGGGTTTTTTTGTGTCTTTCACATAAAGAAAGAAAAGCTGTGGCACAAGCACACTTCAGCAAGGCATGAGATTATTCCTCAGAAGCAATAGCAAAACCATCTAACACAGTGCAGGATGATATGGCCTTGAATCAGTATCGCAATTAACTGAAAATTTTACCTTGAGTACAATAAATTAATTATGAAAATACTACAAAAACTATCAAGAATAATAAAAATAGGTATAACAGTGATAATAATCATAGTAATGCTAATATTAATTATTATTATTATAGTGATATCAACGATAATAATAATAATGATAAAAGTAATGAATGTAATTATGATAATATATAACAAAAACCACAACAACAACAGAAATAATTACAATAATAACAACAACAACAACAGCATCAACAACACTAATAGTAACAATAATAACAACAATAATAACAATAATAATAATAATGATGAAAATAATGACACTATTTTTCATAATTTGTTTAAAAGCTGGGACATTTTTCCTGTGTCTGAATTCTTTATATATTTGTGTGACATTTGTAAATACGTTTTGTAGAAAGCTTCTTTGTGGAGGCACTTGTTGCTTCTATGTCACACACTGGACAAGGCAGGGTCATGTGAAAAAAACATATGGATAAAACAGATGGCTATATGCTGTTGATGGGACAGTCCGTGAATGCACGAAGTACGGAAAGTTTTAACAAAATTATCAAACAAAGATTAACATACATGGGCAAGATAACATCTGTTTTAGGTTTTCAAAGAATTTTTAAAATTAGTTGTCCATCCCTCAGCTGGTTGTCGATATTATTCTGTTGCTTTTATCTCAACATTTGCACAAAATATTGCCTAATTGATATCTTAGTTTGTGTCTTTGTTGAAGGTATGGACAATCATACACATTAACCCATCATCCCATTAACCCTGTCTTGTTTAAATCTAAATACTATGCCTTACATCATCGATACAGGTAAAGATCTGTCAATAAAATTATAGCTGTTAAAAATAAATAGCAAATCAGTATTTTTCTTTCATTCTTGCATCTATCTAGAAATTCTTGTACTCGTGTGTTCTTCTATTTCTATTTGTGTTGGTTCCACACAACAAATACTGCAATGTTTCCAACCAACTACAGGGTCGTGGGAATATGTTTCTCCAAATTGCAAATGCTCAGACCCTGCGGTTCAATTCCTGAGAGAAATAGATGATGCAGAGAAAACACAGCAAGGATTGTCAGCCATTTTTGGCTGCGCAGGCACAACCTTGCAGAATAATGAAATTCAACAGCATAGCTAAAAATATGAAGTTGGTGTTTATTGGAGAGGACCACTGAGAGTCAACTTCAGCTCTCAGCTGCAGCTCTTATGGGTCTTAAATGGATTTGTGGAAAATATTCTGCAGAGTGAATACTTACAAAATGGTTTGTATAACACTGATGATAATATCTGACATTTTATTTGGTACATGGCAATTAAGTGTTTCTCTGTGAGTGTACGTGTGTGTGTTTGTGTGCATGCAAAAATGGGTTTGTTAGCCTATGAGCACAATTACAGGCAGCAGCTCAGTCTTTCTTCTAATCAGGGTATGTTATTACGGTGCTGTGCTTTGGTCATAGGGGCAGGTGAAGGGTGCCCCTATGACCGAACACATAGGATGTTTCATGTTTTCTCACCATCCAAATACATAATTATCTACATTGCCATCAAAATGTTGATTGCTGTTGCTGGCAGGGACACATGGCAGCATATTAATGTATAAACAGTCAAGGATACACCTAAAACACACTTTTATATATTCTCTCTCTCTCTCTCTCTCTCTCTCTCTCTCTCTCTCTTTAAAACACACTCACACACACTGGCTGCGTGCAGTAGCAGTGCCTGTTGTTGACTGCAGTGGACCGTGACGGAGAGGACAGAGAATGCTCTCTGTGGTTGTCTTCACCCTGACCACACTGACCTAGAAGCTACAACACGCACACAAACACACACATTTACATTTGTGCAAACAGTCATTTTCTGTCTCCCCCTTTCTCCCCACTCCTGCTTTCGTGTAATCACATGGAAGGTAGCCATTAGCTTAGTGACCCATGACGTTGATCAAAAGGCCCTGAGTGTTGGCTACAAATATGAAAAGTGCGAGACAAGTGTGTGAGTTTACTAAAGTGAGTACTCTGGTACACCCACATCCCTTAATCTGTGGTCACATCTACTCAACTAGGAACTGGTGTAATAATGAGAAAAAATGACTTTAGTTTTTTGCTAAAAAGCAGTTTGTTAGTCATGCTGCATTATGTATGTGTGTGTGTACATTCTGTTATCACCACACTGCTTTACAATGATGACCTGTTGATGTTGTCTATTCTAGGCCTGCTTTCTATTAGTGGAAAAATATCTTAAATAAAGGTAGTGCTAGTGCTTAAATCCTTCTGTGACTTCATTTAAATGGGAGAATTATATTAAATGAGTAACTCCATTGGTTGTTTTGCGTCCTACCCTCAAAAAAGTGTAGTTCTGGGAGCTCATCAATTGGGACACCACTGACATAAAAAATCCACTTTACTCTAAAAATGGAGACGATTGTGACACGTTTTGTTGGACTCCAACTGCACAATGTAGTGATGATGTCAAAACACCACCCAGCACTGTTCATGAATACCATCAATGCAGAAAATGAGTTCCAAAGTAACTCCCCTCTGTAAATAAAGTAGTTTGGATGACCACACTTCCAAGATTAGTTTGATAATTTTTCACCGTTATGGAATCTTGTTTCTGACCCTGGGACAAGCAACAGGGGGAGCCAGATTTATATAGCTTGGTTGCACCATGACTCAGTTTTATTGTCATTATGAAGAGGAATAAAACACAAGAGCATACATAATAAACAGATTGCAAATGACTGCCTGAAGCGCATTAATTAGGTAGTCTATTTTGCATGCATGTTGCATGCCATCACACCCAGCATGTAAACATTCGACCTGTCAGATGGAGCCCTGGACACACGGGCTGTACATTCACACCATTAAACTAATCAGATTAAGCCCCAGATAGCTGTCAGCTCCCCTCAGATTAATTGGTGTCAATTTGGTGGTGACAGCAAGGTTAACTAGCAGCAGAAGATAAAGAGAGAAAAACATGGTCAAGGACAATCTTGGGGTGAAAAAGAGAAGTGCTTGGCTTTTTGAATGAATTTTCGATTCGTTAGGAAGTACCTCTACAGAACAAAACACGTAGCACTACAGAAACACCTACAGACCGTGATATTGTAGCTACTATGAACATACAGATGATCTTTTGACACAAATCATATTGTCATTGCAACATTTACGAGCATTTTGCACACCACAGATCTTTCCTGTATTGTGCAGGCCTATAGAAATGTAACACAGAGTCCTTAGGTTGAATTTCACGGTGGGTGTTACGGTTCAGGGTATTCACAGTGTTTATTTTGAGTATATCTTTAAAATACTGATGTGAAAACGTAACACATATTTATACACACACATACGCAATATAGTTAAACTCATAAACTATTGCATCTGTTTTGTCTGGCTGATGTAATTGATCATCTCCCAAAGGAGCCAAAATGAACCTAATTTGTTTGATATTTGAGTTAATTTAACTGTGATCTCCAATAGAACTTCTTTTCAAAACATAACTTGGGTTTTCAGTCCTCTTTTAGGTTGAAATGTTTGCCAGAAGATAGTACTTGTCCCTGAAACAATAGTCTACTGGTAAGACCCCAAGGCTTCAGCAGAGGCAGATTGCAACAGAACTGTTTCCTTTGTACCTGCTTTATTACTCCCTGACAGGGAGGGCTGATGTGTTTCATGCTGGGATTATCTGCCAGGTCTCATCTGTTGTACGAGTTTCTATTTTCCTAAGTAGTGGTGGCAGCTCTCCAACTGTGCTGAAGCACCAGAACCCACTGCTCCTTGACCATACACATTACCAGTTCACATGGATGTTAATTTGTCGGAGGAAGGTTCATTTAAAGGAGGCAAAAAAGAGCTGGCTCACAGTGGATGCCTGCTTGAGAATCAGTCCTGAGATACACAGGAAAAGCAGGTTCACACACAGCTGAGAGAGGTATAACTGAACTCCGCTGTGAAAGAAAGCAATGCAGAGCAACAGCAAGAGGAATGGAGTGAGTATGGGTGATATTCTGCTCCCCTCCCAAGGTAAAGAAACAGAGCAAACAAGAGAAACAGAATGGTTTGAATAAAGACGACAAGAGAACAGAGAAAGAGAGGGGTGAGATAAAAGCGGAGAGGGAAGAGTGTGTCCTCGACTCTCTGCCTCTATTTTTGGTGGACCTAGTTTTGCTAATCATCCTTTACATGTCAGTGTGATCAAATCCTTTCACTGTATATGTGGTCGGATGCTTTGATACCTGCTGTTAAAAACAAAACAAAACAAAACCCAACAACAAACAGGCTTTCTTACGAGCTGAAAACTAGCATCTAAACATGTTGGAGTGTTGGACTCGGGAAGATTAATGTGTGATAGGTTATCGACTTGTGTGTACAGCCAACATGCAAGCAATTGTAACAATGTAGGCTGATGATGATGATGTTTGTGCACAGTACGTTTGCACATGTGTGCTGATAACAGTTAGTGCTTTTGGGTTTGGTCGTTTTGTGTGCACACCATAATGTGCGTGTTACTTTGTAGTAAATGAGTAGCTGAATGAAGGACACAGTGTGAAACTGTCATGATAAGACACCATTTTCAGGACTGGCATAGTCACACACATAGAAACACACAAATATGTAAGTGGGGATTGGGAATTTGTGTTTCTGTATCAGAGACAGTAAAATATTGACCCAGCGGATTGTTTTTAGGTGTCAGGTCTGCACAGCTGGTAGAAACTGTCTTTTGTGCTCCTGTGGTTGATAGGGTTCGCTCTGGCTTAAAGTGAAAATATATTTTTATCAACAGGCATTGTTTCAAGTTGCTCCAAGTGTTAATATTATCAGCATTGTTGATTCTGTGTAAAGAAATAATGTACCAAAATAAACTACAGTACAAGCCCTATTTAAGTCCCTATAGTGAAATACATAGAGTAAATTCACTACATAATAATTCCTGCTGTCTTACATTCATTCAGATATTTTCTAAACAAAAAACCATCTTTGCCATAGCTCTAACCTTTTTGCTCCACGACTCAGTAGTCTCTGTTTTTCTGTTCTCTCCCTGTCTCTTCGCACGAGCACATACTCACACACACACCAAACACACAAATACAACCACACAAAATCATTCCTGTATCTGTCCAGAGTGGGCGACAGCCTTAGATTGACCTCTCCAGCTGGCACACAGTGTTCTAGCATTGTCACTACAGCGTTGCATTTGAGCTGCATCACAGATAATCACCTCGGGTCCGCCCTCTAAAGCTTAGGCTGTCAGAAACACAAAATACACCAGCTTTGTAACCACTAACACGGACAATTGTCCGAATTTTATTGTGGTTTGATTGATATTTTGACCACTTTTCCGACCTTTTGATGAAGACACATGAAAGCAAAAGAAAAACAAACATCTTTTTGATGAGGGGGGGGATATACAGGTTAGGTTTGATGTGTAAAAGACCCAACTGTGTATCGTTGTTGCAGTGTGAACAGGTCATGCTTTGGCAAGAATTTTGCTTTACTGAAATGGTCCAGGTTGAAAGTGGGAATTACTGTGTTATTGATACTTTGAGTCTATTCAATGGATGCCTGAATTACAGTGTGCACTAAGATTACACACTAATACACATGCCTAACTATTATTTTTCTGTTTTCTTCTTTTAGACACAGACTGTTCAGGAAGCCCTACAACGAACTCTCCAATACTACAAACAACAAGAGATCAGGTACAAATGAGTGTCTTGCTTGCTGGTTGTTTTCCTGACTCTTGTTCTCTTTTATTGTTTTTCAACTCTTCCTTTTTTAAGTATTTCTTTGGTCATATTCACCTCTTTGGCTTTTTTTTTTTTTACTTCTCTGTCTTTCCAAGGATTAAAACTAACTTTCTTACTTGGTAGCACTAAACATCTCAACACAAAAAGTTAGATGCACCAGTAAAAATGTAAGAACTGAAAATTTAAGGGCTCCACACTACAGTATACTGTAAACACAGTGTTACCTGCAGCCTAGGGCTGAGCGATATGGCCTCAAATCATTGTCATGTTATATTGAGCAGTTCATCTTGATAACTATAAATGAACGATAACTACTCCACAAGCTGCTCACCCCCTCCCACATTAACTTCGTCTACTTCAGCCGCCACTCCAGCTGCTACAGCTTTTGAACCATCCTCCGTCTCCTCACCTGTCTTTCCGTCTTTATTACGAACTAAACGGGGTAGAGTCACATCTCTGATGTAGGGCAGTGTGTTAAACGGAAATGAGACCATAGCCTACCTACACACATCCAAAACCAACTTTTATTTATGTGTTTTTTTGACACTGAATATACTGGCATGGGCAAAATGATGTCGGTTATTGTCATAAATTTCTGTATCAGTAAATTTTCTGTTTATCGCCCAGCCCTACTGCAACCCCGGCCATTTTGATTGCAGATCCATTTGAAATCTCTCTGCTGCTGGTGCGTCACATTCACCATATCACTGTTGTCATCACTGACCTCACTTTCATTTTCTGTAACCATAAGTTGCTCACAGGAGAAATCCTACATGTTCTTGCCATCTTCAGCTCTCCTGATTTTGCAGTAGTTGTTTTTTATGTCGCGTGACAGTGAAGTGCAGTGAAAGGATGTGATTGGAGTAACCAATTTAAAATCAGCCTTAAAAAACAGTCAAGCTGATGTTGGCCTGGTTACAAGCCCTGCTTTCTCTTCTCCATGAATACACACACACACATGCCCAGTCTGTGAACCTTTCAGTGTTCGCTCTACCCCTTATTTTCTCTTCCTGTGTGTTATTTTTGTTCACTCAGACGACATACCCACAGACATTGACATTTACTATATACAGCAGACAAGGTCCTACAGTTTTTTCTCACTCCAACTGTCCCTGCCTTTCAGTAAAAGAAAACTCAGACAATTTCGCAAGGCTCTTCATGTCCCTAAATACACTTATGGATGCTGGATTTTGGCCTCTTATATTTTGTATTTTCCTTTGATTATTTTCAGTTTTTTTTTCCATACTCCACTTTGTCTGTTTGTTCTATATAAAATTAACTTTCCCCTGGTTTATACCTGGCATAAACATCACACCTGGCACAGATTAATCTCTGCTGTGGATATGATTTCTGAACGTCTCATTAGGGATGGGATTGGGAACAAAATTGCTCTGACTACTTTCAATACCAGAAAAGCAAACTAACTTTAGAATAAATGATATTTGTCATGAGTAGTATGTAGCTTGTGACCGGTAGATATCTGGTACAATCCCCAGACAAAATGACTGTGTTTAACCATTGCAGAGGTGGACTTGGACTCATTTTCCTGTCGTTCTCTCCAATTGTTGCATTGGATCTGCTCAGTGACCTACAGATATGAACCTACAAAAAGGAATATCAAACTGCCAAGCCCAACATATCTCACACAAAAACCTGTACGACTAGATATTATCACCTTGTGTCTATCCATGCAGAGAGAGCTCACGTTTCTTTAAAAAAGCTTTTTTAGAATCTTAGCGATGATCTTTCTAGATTCTCAGTCCGTGTTATTTGGAGCAACCCTCAGCACCAAATGAGACCACAACCTTACAGAGAATTCTGTAAAATGTGAGTTTTGTTTGTGTCTTCATAGGTGTCAAGAGATTGCCAGCCAAGAGAGAAGGAGAGAAAAAAGAGAGGATAAGTGCCCATTTCTTGAAAACTCTGGCTCAGAAGAGGATGTCTTACAAATTCTTCAATACATGGCCACCATTCTGGGTGAGTATTTAAAGAACAGTACGGTATGTGTGTATTATTGTGTGTTTAGTGTTGATGTATAGTCTTATAGTTCTCACCCTGGTTTTCTGGCTCTTTTTTCCTGTTGGTGCTTCAGATCGATTTTACTGTACCATGTTATTTTTATTGCAGGACACACACTGCTTCTCTCATTTCCTCTCCATAAATGCTCTCCAGTGATGTTTGATGAAGTGTATTTGTGTGTTTGAACACTTACAGAATTGCATAAGTTATCCCCCAGAGCCAGGACCTGTTAAACAAATTGTTGAAACTTTTAACTTTTAATGAAAAAGGGAAATACAGTATCATGGCCTAGGTGGTTTGCATAAACTCAGACAGAAATATACAGCTATTTACAAATGCTTAAACACACACAAACAGTGCATGACTCACTCTTGAGGCTCACAAAGTCTCCCAGGCCTATCATGAAAAAACACAGAAGCACAAGCACACACACATGCACACACACAAATATATATATACACACACGCAGACACACTGTCCCGGTGAGTCACGCTGTACAGCTTTGTCCTCCCTCTGTTCCATCTAAGATCTCTTTCTGCCTTTATCTATCTACAGTCCTTAACCTCCTTCTAGTTCTCTTTTTTTATGTTCTGTCTTTCTGTGCAGAGTGTCCACTGCTCACTGCTATTTTCCACCAGCGTTTCTGTCCATTCCTCTTCAAATCAGTTTTTGCCTTAGCTTCCAACACCATCTTTCAATAGCCACCTCTCCTTCCATCTTAATCTACCTCCCTCAGGTAGTCATTGCACGAATTAAAGTAGTCATGAAGACAGCAAGTTAGGTCGGTAGCACATACAGTACATCATTCTCGCTTACTTGTCTGCATCCCCACACTTGCTGCAGTATCCTGAGGTGTTCCCTGGCCAGATGGGATATGTAATCCCTGCAGCACGGTCTGGGTCTGCTCAGGGATCTCCTTGTTATTGGATGTGTCTGAAATACATCCACAGAGAGACATTCAGGAAACCTTACTGTCTTACTGTAGGCATCTGTGCTCAAACTACATCAGCTTTCTCCTTCTCGTTGATTCAACAGTTGGATCCCGAGGTCCTTCTTGATATCCATTTGTCCTTAAAGGGATATTCTGGCGTAAAATTTCAGTTTGCAGTATTTACTTAATGAGATGTCTCTTTGATCGTATCATGTGTAATGTTTAATTTTGTCAGGGCAGATTTTTGTTTTCATCCATTTATTGTGTATCTGCAGTTGAGGTGTAATATGTATCCATAACACTTTGAAACCTGTTTTTATCTTGAAAAGAGGTAAATTCTGCATCACTCACACAGATGTTTTCTTCTTACTCTTTTCAGGAGTACCGTTCTGTGAGCTGCGGGAGCATTTTGGAGAGGAGTTCTTTGGCCTTTGCTTTGAAGAAAATGAGCGAGTTCTTAGAGCTGTAGGTGGCAACCTCCAAGACTTCTTTAATGGCTTTGACGCCATTTTGGAACACATTCGCACCTCCACAGGGCGACGTGCCTCATCTGAGAGCCCCTCCTTCCAGTGCAAGGATCCCCAAGAGGAGGAGACAGGGAGAAGAAAACTGGACAAGCTTGGAGAGCGAGGAGACGGAAGAGGAAAGGTGTTGCTTCTTCATTGTTTTAACCCGGCCCCTGTTGTTGGGCTGGTCATGCCCGGGCTGATCAGGGCTGTCGCCAGGCGGATTTTTCATTTAGAAGTTGAGGTGGAGGAAGTGCCACCTCTTACCCCCTTATTACCTAATGAAGACACAGGACATGCAGATGGTGACTCTGCAACTCCTACACCGACGGCATCCCCCTCTGCCTCACCCTCCTCGTCCCCATCCCCTCCCTCTCCTTTCCAAACTTCGGTCCCCACAATTTGCTTATCCTTCCAAATCACAGAGACTTACCCTATTCCCCCTTCTTCTTTTCCAAATGCTGCCCCTGTGTGCACAAAACGGCCCCCACTTTCACTCTCCACCAACCCCAGTGATCTGCGTATTGGCCTGGCCACGTTTTGCCGTGCCTTTCCATTTCACCTGGTTCTTGGGCCTCGCATGGAGCTACTTCAGCTTGGAGAAGGATTGAGAAAACAAACTCGCATTGAGCCTCACCGGAGCCTCTCGTTCAGGGACTGTTTTGAGATTGTCTCACCTAAGATGGAGCCTTCGTTCCAGGGCATCCTACTGAGACTTGCATCCCCATTTACCATCCGTACCAGGCCTGATACCACACAGGCAGGCACCAAAGAGAAGGTAAGGCTATGATAAACAGCAGATGACAGTGCTTCTCATATTCTAATTTCCACCACACAATTAAGTTATTGCAGAAAGAGTCACAGTTACATAAAATTAAACCCAGTCAGGAATTTTAAGTAGGGTTGCTGGTATGTTATTATTTTTTAATCAGCATCTCCCCAGGCATGGCTTAAGTCTCTGCACCACCACGCCCCGCCACCACCATCCCTGCTGTCTTAGCTTTGACTTTGACTGAGTTTAGTTTTTCTTTATATCAGAGGAGTTGTGCAACTGGAGTTGACTGTTCAGAACGAGTGTCCAGCTTTTCTGTTTGAAATACTCACAGCTTGACCAAGAAGGCCACAACTTGATTCAGTTAGTTTGCACTGAATAGTGACACATGGGTTCCTGTAGGATGTAGAGGCTCAGTTTGGCACAACTAAGCATATAGATTATTTTTTAGGTTGTAATCTGTCAAGGTATGTTAGCAGTTTTATTTCCTACAATGTCCTACTACTTCTACTACTGATAGCGAATCTGTTTGTATCAATACTATGTGCCTTATCCATATCTATTTTAAGTATTTTGAAACAGTCCTAAAAATGTGATGTTGTTACATTGGAGGTTTAAGGTTTGAATTAGTTCCAATGTGTCTGAAAAGATCAGTCAATCAGAGTTGTATGCTTTATCCAGTTCTTTATTGATTCGATGGTCTCTGCAGGCTTTCATTGTCCGGACAGAACACCCTGATGCTAAACAGAACTGACAGAGAGGAGATTGATCATTTCAGAGGGATCAGTGTGTGTATGTATGGTTGTATGGTAGATGTGTGAGTTGGGCTTGTATTAAACTACATCAGTAACAGTAGTGCAAAAATAACCATGGCAAATGATGGGTACTAAGGTACTAATGGACTAGATGTACAATTGTTGATCCACTCTGAATAAACTAGTTTCTCAAAGATATGATAGTATAAAGTGTATAAAGTGCATTTGTACCAGTAGATCTTGGAGAAAGGATGAGGTCTCAGCTGAACACAACATTGCTCATTTGCAGTTCCTGTTTGTGAGGGCATGTTTTTGGTCCTGGTGGTCTGATATCCTGTGCCAGTTCACAGTGGTGCACAGCGGCAAAACGATGTTTATATTTCACGTATTTTTAGAGGGGAAGGACCTGTATGAGCACCACAGATCTTTGGCCAAAGGCAGATGGCAGGGTTGAAACACCATCATGTCATGTTTCCCTCTTTGCCTCAGCAGTATTAGCTCTGGTTTTTGCTGAAGCACAGAAATGGAACACACTTGCACTGCGGTCAGACAAGCTAGAATACATTCTTGTAGGAAAAAGGAGTTCAACCCATTACTTTTTTTTCTGATTGGTTATTTTGCAGGATAAATGATACTCTGTGCTCCTTTATTTTAATTCAAGTCATGCCCATGCAAAAGAGAATGCTATACACACTAAATATCCCGGCCTCATCATATATATTTTCAGGAGCCACATGCTCAACCAAACAGCCACTCTATAGCCACAAATAATGCTCAGAACAGCACCTAACTTTGTCAACAGAACATATAGGGTCCCAGCCATAGCACTAGCCACCAAACATCTTTTTAGCTTTGCCTGATTTCTTTCGCAAAGAGAATAAACACAACTTACCCACTCTCTTCCAGCAGCTGCTTGTTTGTACAGAGACCTCGCGCGAGTTCATCAAGACTGCAGCGGGGTGATGCAGCTCAAGGAAGAACATTTATGATCATTTCTTCATGGAAATGCAATCAGACTGAATGAGAATGAGAATCAGACTGCCAAGGCAGAAGAACTACTGCATCTGCAGTGCAAAATGATTAATATGATGATTATTACTTCAAGGAAATGATAAAGTAATGAGGTTTGTGTGTGGCTCCTGAGACCGCTGTGTATTTCTATCATGTGGTCATTACTAAATATGGTATAACTAGAGAAGAAAGTGTGTTATGGTGTGTTTGACCCTAACTCAATGTAAAGGTAATGATTTTTTAATTATCTTAGGAAATAAAACAATACACAGTAATGGCTTTTATCCTTATTTTGTAAGGATTTGTTGCTTTTTAATTCTTCAGACATTTTGACCTCACTGTCAAATGCCTTTGGCTCGAACTGTTCTACAAAAAAAAAAAGCATTTTCAATTTTTTAGTCTAAGTATTTTTGTATACAGGAGAGTGGAGGGCAACAGAAGTATTGGACAGGAAGTTTGGTTTTCAGGCTCTGTGTGGACCCTGTACTTATCTCTTTTTATCTCTCGCATTTATGTAACATGGCTTGTCAGAATTTCATGCTGGTGTCAGTGAGTCATTGTAGCCTGCTCTACTTTGTTTTATGTGTCAGTGATCACAGCGAGCAATGTTGCTCTTAAGTCTCAAACACTTCAGACGACAGATTTGTGCTGCAGTAGGTGTTTTATTTTCTTTATTTGTCCATATGGATCTTGTGTAACCTGGACGGAGACATAGGGCAAAGAGAGAGAGAGAGAAAGAGAAGTACAGGACTGACATTTTCACTAGAAAGGGCAGTGAGAGACGGCGACAGGCCAAGGTAAAGAGGACACAAAAGAGCACTGCAAAGTGTGTTGGTGGATGTGTGTTTTAGTGGCCTGTCGTGGATTTGCAGTTTCGTCCGTTTCTTCGCTCAGGGACATTGGCTGTGCATGAGAAATCCAAAGACCCACTGAAAAGGTCACATTGCCTCTGTGTGTGTGTGTGCTCAGAGTCAGCACCGTGGTCAGCGGGAAGAGGAAAGTACACATGGTACACCATCAACACTTCTCCCTTTCCAGAACTTGATTGTGTTCATCATGTCCTCGTCATATGAAAGTGTCAATTTTTAAATTCAAAATGAATGGAAAATCCAGTTTATACAACTAAAGGCATTTTGATCATGCTGTGTTTAGTGTTGAGTTGTTTGAACAAACCTACACTCGCTGATTTAACTTCTTGAGCTCCACTGACCTGGCGGAGGTTGATTGTTTGTGGGTCAGTATTGTTGGCAGTTGTTTATGGGAGCTGTGAGCAGAGTTGACCTGAGTTCAGAAATCAGCAGACACTCAGCTTTTGCATGTTTCATTGGTTGCCAGACAAAAATACACAAAGTTACGCCCCCACTCTTTGAGGTATGTGAAATTGGATACTGACATTTTCTTTCTGTGAAAAAACACAATGAGACATAAGTCAGAGGATTCATGAATCACAACACCTACCTTCACTGTTGTGATGCCAGTGTTGTAAACATCTAAAAGTTTCCAAATTCTTTGGGTCATAGTGTCAAAAATGTGGTTAGGATTAGTCAGCGCTTCTTCATAGTCATAAAAAGCCTAAAAGTTGTCAGTATGTGCAAATGTTTTAGGAAAAATGGGGATAGGAGCCTTAGCCCAGCAGCTGTTGACAAAATGGCATGAGTACTAAGATATAAATGCGAGGCTTTTGAATAATAATGATAATAATAATAATGCATTTAATTTAGAGGTACCTTTCAGGACACTCAAGGTCACCTTACAGAACAATTAAACAAACGATTAAAATACACATGAACACATAAAAAATAAAGTTTTAAATCTGAACTCTCACACTTTTACTCTGAGCAGTTTTCTCTTGAAGAGGACTAGGGAACCAAGATATTAATTTCTACAATGCCATACTGGTGGAACAACCTCTACTGTAGTGTATTTGAGGGCGCTGCTGAATAAGGTTTGTTTGTGTGTACATGTGTGCACCTGTGGTTCTGAGTACAAAGAGAATCTTGACATTAGCACCACCTTTGATCCGTTTCTAGATAAATCACTGCTGCGCTGGTTTGTTTGTTCAGTCGAAAAGGGCTTTGAAAATCACTGCCCTCGGTGGGTATATGTCTGTGTAGTCATGATTAATTTACAAAACAAAAAGGATAAAAAGACTAGTAAGATTGAAAACATTGTAAATAACGGGCATGATAAAGCTATTTTAAGTCTTGTTTTTGGTACAATCACGAAATGGGGGAAATCTGAACCTCGTTTGGTGCTTTTATAAAATGGACATGTGTCTATATGTCCTTTAATTAAGCATTAACTTCAAGCAATAGAATTAGCTAACCAAGAATAATGTGATCTTGTGAATTGAGATGCGTCTTATCTGTCGAACAGTGCCTGATTTCCCTCTAGGTATTTATCATCAATGTGGTGATGCAATGTTTATCTTGTCTCTGTGCATGAGTGTTCTAGTGTGTATGTTTGTAGTGTGTACATATCTAACTGTAAAATTGGTATGTAAGAGTGCTGAGCAGTATAAAGGGTCTTACAGGAGCAGAATATGGCAACATTGTTTAAGTAAGTGTTTGTGTGTCTGTAAGAGGGAGAGATGAGAGAGGCTGACTCATTGACTCCTTGCTGCACAGTGCTTGTTCATGCAAATGAGAGTCTGTTGACATGCCAGAGTCTGCTCACAAAAGACAGTCCATTAGCTGTTCACCTCATGCTATCCTTCTCTCATCTCTCTCTCTCTTTCTTGTTCCTTGTTACTATTTTTTATGTCCAACAGTCTCAACCGACCCTCTCTCCCTTCTCCTCCCCTCTCTTCCTGCCCCGATCTCTACCTTTGGCTCTCGCTTCTGTTACTTTTCTCTTTTCTCCACCCTGCTCTCATTTTTTTTTTGCCTTTAGCTGTGTATTACCTATGGTGATAACCTGCTGAAACAGCATATTTTGTTAATCCAGATTTTTTTTAAAATGGGAAAATCACACTGTATGAGCTGCTCAGGCCTTGCTATCATTGACAAAATAGCAAATAACAATACAAAGAAATTGGAAGACAGTCCTCAATAGTTAATTGATAGATTTGTTCCATGTATCAGTGGATACGTGTCTTTAGAGAAAATTTATGTTCAGAAACAGATTATATACAGTATATATCGAGCAAATTTGCAGAGCAAAGAAATTAAAAAAGCCCCTTTTTTTTTCCCAAGAAGTACATATAAAATTGCACAGTGAGATACATTTTTGATCTTTCTGACCAGTTTTCTTAACCCTTTAATGGTTTTTGTATCATATTTGATACATACTTTTATATACTTCTATCAAATCAATATAATTAACAAATTGCTAAAAAAAACACCTGAATACAGTCCAATGAATGTCAATGTCAATGTCACGTTTATTTATATAGCACCTTTATAGGACAGGCCAGACAAAGTGCTTTACAGGAGAAAAAGAAAAGCATAAAATAATAATGAATGATAAAAATGTACTCTTGTAGTTTAGCAATTTCCAAAAATATCTAATGTACCAAATGAGGTAAATAAATACATTTGTTAAATTTTAAGGACATTTAGATTTTTTTGGTTTTCAGTAGTAAGTGAAATAAACATTTCAGCTACAATAAAATGTGAATTTTCTGGCCATAATTTGTGGTGTCAGACATCAAAGGGCTCGAGAATGTTATCAGTATAAAGCTGCTTTGATTAAGTGTAACTTTTCTTGTGGTGGCCTTGAAAAACAGATTCAGTGTAAATGTATCAGCATGCTACAAAGAAGAATCACCACACACTAGCCTCGTCTCACAGTTTAGTGTATTTTTTTATTTATTGAGTTTCATAGGAAGATCCATTTTACTCTACTCTCCACCTCCTTCAAATTTAATTATGCCTTCTTATTGTACCTTTGCTATCCTTTGGACAATTGTTACTGTTCTTCCGGTTTCTTCTACTGCATTTTTTCGTCCTCCTTTTCAACCCATCAAGCCTGTTCTAAATGATTAGCAGCTCTCATTATTTCCCCCAATCCTCTTTAATTCAGCTTCCTATAACACCTTCCTTGTCTCCCACCTTCTTTCTGATGCCATCTTTCCTAACCACCTCAGTATGTTGCTTTTGCCTTTTCTTCCTCGTTCTTTCACTCACCTCCTCTGCCTCTGCGTTGTGATGACAGAGACGCAGGCAGCAGGAGGAGAGACTGCTGAGTTGAACAGCGACACACACAAGTAGGCCAGCACAACTGCCTCTGGGGATGTGGGCTTGTGTGAGTGTGTGACTATTAGTGTTTGTACGTGTGCATCAGTGTGTGTGTCTGTGACAGAGTAGGACAGCAGATGTGAGTGACTGAGGAACAAAGGCAGACTCTGAGGGCAAGGTGGTGAGACACTATAATTATACCTACTGTACATGGATAAAATGCCACCTTAACTGTTTGTGTTTTAAAGGTTTACCTTTTTAGACACTATCCAGATTGCTTGTGAAGTTAAAACAGAAATATTTTTAATGGGAGTGGTACATTTCAAAGGGAAAAACCATCATTGGGCTTTGATAAATGGTCATGTGATAAATTGTTTAAATCTGTGGAAGTCTCATTTTGTTCTCACATGTTTTACCCTTCACTCAGTACACACATCACATCAGGAACAGCCTACTGATAGCAATTTGGAATCGATCTTTTATGAGCCCCATGTCCTCCAAAACTGAGCCTCTTTATTTTTCTTTTTTCTGATTATATATATCAGAAGGGTGGCTTTAAGTCTTAAAGGCATGCCAGAAAAAGATAAAACAGGATGAATTATTGTTGAAATGATTTTGAAGCACAACTCCTTTTTATTGTAACAAGGTCACTTACAAATCATAGTAATCATTTTGCAATACATGGCTCCAAATCATGATGAACCCAGAGATTATTTTTTATTTAATTATGACCTGCAGACGTTCACTGATTAAGTTTTTACCAATATATACTCTTCTTGTTTGTCTGCTCGGACACTTCACCACAAACATTATACCTTCATGTCTAAATCATACTGTATCCCAAGCATTTCTAAATATGTAGAATTTTCACACCTTATCAGATATACACCATGAATACATGTAACTAATACATGATTTTAGATATAATGTCAATTATGATAATATAATAAGGGATGATTGATTTCCCCAAGCCACTGGTTTGCTTGTTGTTTAAACTGAAATTTAAATCCTGACTAAAGGTAACAAAGCACTGGATCACAGATAAATGAAATTGGTTCAGTTGTTGGCTATGTGGCTTATGTTTACAGGATTAGATGAGCCGTTTCTCCCTGCAAGTATCATCCACATCATGCCTGTACCAGTTTAAACAGACACAATCTACTGTATACAGTACTGTATATCCATTTCATATTTTGTGGGTGAAAAACTAGTGAATTGTGCAAAACCACGAAGCCATGCAGTTGTTCATATCTACGTTGTATAGCATTTTTGCATTGTGTCTGTAGACGTTTTCCAGAGCCAAGACCCAACCTTGACAACATGTGACCAGCATTTCTAGCCTACAATAGGGGAAATATAATTATACTGGGATATAGTGTTCAGTATCATATTTTACATAATGTGAGCAAGTGAATATTATAGTGAATGCATTCACTTCATTATCTCATTCCTGTATGACTGCCATACTGCTGCAGTATGTAGCAGCCCATACAGATGTTAGACCTACAGCAACTGTGAGTTTAGTGTAATGTAAGCTGAAAATGAGTGTGTCTGTGTGTCGTTGTATGAGTGCTCTGGGTCATACCAAGTTATGTTTCAGGGAAATGTGCCTTAAACTTGGACCCTGAGGATTGTGGGCTGCATATGTGCATTGTGTGTTGAATGAGACTTGCTATTTTTTGTTAGTGTTCCTGAGAAACATACAGACATACAATGTGTGTCGTCTTGTTCAATATATTCTGTACCGTGTGTGTGCGCGTGTGTGTGTGTGTGTGTGGACTGTATGTATTATGCAGACCTAGGAGAGCCTTGTGCTATAAATAAAACAGGGCTGCAATGTGCTCACTGGCGGAATAATCTATCTGACACTATGGAGGGGGGAAGGGGGGGGGGGCGTATTGCAAGAGACAGAATGAAGAGCATAGAGAGAAAGAGAGGCAGGGTTAAAAGACCAATAAAGATGGAGAGAGAGTAGAAAAAGAAACTAAAGAAGAGATAAGGCGGCGCTGAGCAGGAGGGAGAGAAATCATGTTGAGGAAGATGAAGAAGATTTGCTTATCCACAGGGCCTCCAGCAGAGGTAGTTAGCCTTGTAAAATTGTCAAGACTCCTATTCAGGGCAGTAATGCTCTTCTTCAACAACTTAGAGGTTTATCAGCAATCCATGGAGCAATCTTTTTTCTCTATGACTGCAACAGGCTGCCAGTATTGTTTGCATTCCTCACACCTGTTTGAAAGACACTCAGCAGGTGCTACATGTACACTTGTCATCATTTGCACATATGAAAAGGTCAGTGTAACCAGTTTTAATCAGACTTCACAAATAACGCTGGCCTGAACACCCAAGTTGTTTGTAGGTTTAACTTTGGTGACAAAACCTCTCTTACTCATTTAATTGTGTTGTTGTTTCCTTCATTGTTTGTGTTGTACCCACTCAAATGCAAAATCTTCAATGACATTGCATATGCATGATCATAACTCTCAATTTGCTGCCTAAGGACACTTGGACTCACTGTAAGACTCAAACCAGTGACATTTTGATGATGACAGGATTGTGTCCTTAACACCTAAGTCGTCAGTTTACCCAGTTTTTTATGTAGGTCAGCATGCATTATATATCAGATTCTTTAACACAATTTTCAAAGAGGTTATTAAATCATATAAGTCTGTGTTGTTGTTGTTATTATAGACAGGATTGAACTACACAGCGTGCATGTGTACATTTCATACGTATGTGGACATATTTCTAAGTGATTGTTTTTGTGAAGGCATGTAAGCACTGACAGGCTTTTTTCTCTGCTTTTAAGTAAAAGTCATATATAGGCATAAAGAGATACGATATTAGACCCACTGTAAATACAGAAAAATGTCTTTTTATGGATAACTGTGGCTCGTCTCTTTCATTTCTCACCCACTAATACATTATTAATCCCAAGATGATACATTGCGATATTAGTATATCCTTTTTAGAATAAATATGAAACAAAGAAGCTTTCCTCCTGAACTGTGCAGGACAAAGAGTTAGATTCTTCTTGTAATGTAGAGAAAATAAATAGAAAAACAAATACTGAATCGCTAGAAGATAATATATCACTTGAACAGGATATCCATTATCAAAAAGAAGCACCTGACTGAACCCAGATAAACTTGAATCTACCTTGAGCATCAGTCCAAGTTTGACAGTGTTCTTTGTAGAAATGCAAATCATTCTGAGATTTTTCTGAACATTCACAGTAGATATGGTGGTGCATTGATTGTTTATTTATGATAGAATCAAATGTGTCTGGTTTTATGTCTATTTCATGAATGAACAGACTAGTAAGGGAGGGACTTAGTGTGGTTTACAATGATAAAAATGTGTGTATATGTTGTTATTTGACTCAGTGTATTTCTTCATGAAATATGAATTTTCTTGTTTTTTTCCCCCATTATCTGGAATGTAAGTAATTCCATTAAAAAAGTCATGGAAAATAGCTTGACACTGAAATGTATCCTTTCTGTCCTGTTTAACCCTCTCTCTGCCAGGTCATGGAGTTAAAAGGTCAGATGATCCATGTGCCTGAGTCATGCTCCCTTATGTTTTTGGGCTCCCCACGTGTTGATAAGCTAGAGGAACTGATGGGCAGGGGCCTCCATTTGTCAGATATTCCCATCCATGATGCCACGCGGGATGTCATCCTGGTGGGAGAGCAGGCCAAGGCCCAAGATGGTCTAAAGAAGAGAATGGACAAACTCAAGGTAGGATGTTTGCAAATTATTTTGAAACTATTGATATTTACAAAGCAAGAAAATTGTACCCAGTACCCACATTTTTGCTGTTTTGACAAGTAGTGATACCTGTTTAAATGTATACTGGCCACTCCCAGGATTTACTTTTATAGTTCACTTTCAGAGGTCCTTCAAACATGCCCCCAAGCCTTGATTATAGCCATTTGAATCTCTATTATATCTTGGTGACTTGCTTGTCAGTAAGATATAACTATGGTAGAGCACTGCATCTGACGTATTTGAAATTGGGAAGCTCCCCCACGGACATAAATAAGCAAATGCAATTATACACGCCCCGAAATAAATCAAATTAATACGTGAATACATTTATACACACCAGCAGTTTTAATTTGGTGCAGCACTCCCACTTCACAGCTCCATTGTCATTCATGTATTAATCAGAGCAAAGCACATGGAACAAACCCTGTTAATCTTCCTCTCTTCTCTCCTCTTCCAGGCCACTCTAGAGCGGACTCACCAGGCTCTGGAGGAGGAAAAGAGGAGAACTGTGGATCTTCTTTATTCCATCTTTCCTGGGGATGTGGCTCAGAAACTGTGGCAGGGTCAACCTGTGCCGGCTCGCAAATTCGATGATGTCACCATGCTGTTCTCGGACATCGTGGGCTTCACTGCTGTATGTGCCCAGTGCACGCCCATGCAGGTCATCTCTATGCTGAACGAGCTTTACACACGCTTCGACTACCAGTGTGGCATCCTGGATGTTTATAAGGTCAGTTGATGGACAGATTAACCCATTTTCTTTATGTCATATCAGTATACCAATTGAGACAAGATAATAAATAAAATAATAAAAAAGTAGAATGAAAAAAAAGGGGTTTCTAGACTGGAGAATAACAAGATATAACAGTTTGAGGTCATCAGAAGGGCAGAGCACCACATTGGTGAAAAAGATCATTGGTTTTATTGCTTTATGAGCCCAATGAGGTCATTATTAAGGATAAATTAATGATATTATTTGTTCTTGTAAGAAGTTTGGGGATCATTAGGTGTTAATAGTTGTGTGAGATCAGCTTTAGGGTGTGTGCTGGATACACTTGCTTGTCTGCACTGTCGTTTGTGTCGGCGCTTGTGGAAAAAGTAACTGATTAATGACCAGTCTCTGGGAGCTTACCAGAGATGTGTCAATATTGTCCATGTGACAGTGGGTCTCTAGGCCTATTTACTTTCATTCCTTCCCTTTGCTGTTGTTCCCTCATTGTTACTCTCTATTATAAAATCTGTATTTTTATGGATTCTACTCTTTACTCTTTTGCATCACTTCATCCTCACCACTATCATCAAATTCCGTCTCCATCCAGTTATCTTTATCCCCTTTGTAAATGAAATATACCTTCCATTTTCCTCAAAAACATGCCTTTTACTTTGTGTTATCTCTCAGATCTGTCATGTAGCACATCTGTTGGAAAAGGAGAAGAGAAACATAAAGACGGATAGAGGGATTAGAAATATGTAAGAGGCTTCATGTACAGCTGTTGAAGAGTAAGTGTTTGTATAGAAAAGAAAGCAGGAACAGGAAGGACATGCTGAGGAGATTGAAGCACCCATATGTTGCGATCGTCATGGTTACTGTGGAAATCATTTAGCCTGTGGCAGGCCTAAATGAGAGCAGTTTGTCTCCTATTTTCCTCCTCTCTTCTCCTCCTTTCCCACTTTCTTCTCTATTCTTTTTAACGACTGAGTCCATTCCAGCTATAAAAATGGTAGCACCTATCTGACAGTGGCGCTGTTTTGTTGCTTTGTCCACATGTGCTCATGTGAAATTTCCTTAAAGAAAATTTCAACCAAAGGGGAGAACCACTGGCCTAGCTTTGTAATTTTTGAAAGAGCTGATTATTGGCACATATTCTACTCCAGCTCTTACAAAATAATACTTATTAGGATAAAACCTGGTATTATGGTCAAATTTTTGTCTTAAATAAAAAAAAAAATAGAAAAAGATTAAATACATTTCACAGGAATTCTGTATTCAGTAGAGGTGTGGCACTTTTAGTTTTGTGCAGATACTTACCAAACAACCTTGGCACAGATCTAAAGCCAATTCAGGTCCAAGGTTTCCAAACGGAGCCATCTTGTTGGCTTTTAAAATGTTGGTTTCAATACATTGACTTTCTCAGCAAATCCCCTCAGAACATACTGAGTTTGAATAGCTACTTTTACCTGCGTTCAGTTTCATGATGTGAACACAACCAGTATAATGTTACAAAAATATGTTGTTAGGTTTGGTTTTTGGCTTATTTTCATTACAATAAGGAAAATAAGTGCAATGCATTTTTTTTTCCAGTAATAGGAACCTGAAGAACTTTTAACATGCTGTGTAAGTGCAGCTCTGCCATTTCAGGCTCTAAGCCTGCTCAGATTCTTTTTTTATATTATTCTAAATGATAAATAAAAACAACAACAACAACATATAGAATCATGTTGCAGGGCTTAACATTGACCTTAATTTGCCACTGGCCCTTTGAGTCAGTAGCTTTTCAAAATCACTAGCTTTGCTGGTCCAGGACCAATCAAGAATTATTTTTAGGATTTAGAAAAGACTACATTTTAGCAGCATCATATTCCAGCCAACTCCAGCAGTCTGACACTTCCTCCCCTTCTGCTCTGATCCTCTCTGTTGCTCTCCAGGTGATCTTGTTTTCTTTATGTGTTGCCTCTTGACCGACTTAAAACCAGGAACCAGTGGTTTTAGAGACATACTATCTTGAGAGAAAACCCATGCTACAGTAGGTATCTCAGTTTACACTTGAGTGCACTGAGAACACTTGCAGAAATGACAGCGCTGAAGCTGGCGGCTTTCGACTCTGACGCATGCGCTCAGGTACTTATGAAACATTCATGCTGTAACAGTCATCAACAAGATGACAGGAATCATTGACAAGACCAGTATCACAGGTTACACTGTGAGAGTATGTGACATGATCTCATTGCGATATGATCTCTTTGGTTCAGACAGCAATTCAGGCCAGTGAAACATGTAATCAGCTGGCCTGGAGTCTGCCAATCATGGATCTGGGCCAGTGGGCCTGTTATAATGTTGAGCCCCAGTGTAGGGTCTGAAATCAACACAACTCCAAATGCAGGCAGAGTGTCCTGTTTGACAAATCACTGTCAGAGGTTTATTGGCTACATATCAGGCAAATATTCATAATGAAGTAGTTACCTAACTGATAGATAACTGTGCTAAATTATCACCAACATTTTGTGTTCGTATTAAGGTCCCTACACTCTGGGACCGACGCAAATATACAACGCGAAATTACGAAATATTCGGGGGCGAATTTTGACGCGCCTGACTATACACATCAAGCCAGATGCGATTTTGCGACTTTCCGGGGGGAAAAAAGACACGTCCCGGGTGGAAGTGAGAAGACTGACACAACAGCAGACTGACTGTTTTCAGTTCTGATTAGACACTAGTGTTGAGATGACTGTCTGTTATGATAGCATGGACTGAGTCGGGGCCAGTACCAGATAAGCACATTAAACTATAATCCATAAACGTAAGGTAACAACCGAGACCTAATGGTGCTGTGACAGCAACGCAATTGAGTTTGAGACAGTGAAAATACATATGGTATGTTGTATCTGAACAGGTTAGCTTACGAGCTAAAGTTACTTAGCACAGATGAAAGTTAAAACAAAGACGTTTAGCAAACTGTTAAAGCACACAAACCATCGTCATATGAGAATTCTGACGCTCTGACTCTCCACAAGTTGTCCTTTAGGTCGTTATCTTTGTAATATTTGTTTTTTTTATCAAGAGGCACTCTGTTCTCCGACACATAAATAAACAGCCAGTCGGCCATGTTGGATATACCGGTGAATTGGATGTCGCAACAACACGGCAGCTGATTGGTCAGAAGTGGACACACAGTATGTGAAACTTAAAAAAATTCAACCGTAATACGAAAAAATAAATGCCGCAGGACGGGAAAACATCGCTGATGTGAACACTTGTATTGACAGGATACGGGTTCGAAAAAAAATACTGACGTCCGAAATAATCACACGAAAAAGACGCTCCCGGTGTGAAAGGACCTTTAAGCTGACAAACAGAAAGATATTCACACAAACACACACATACACCATGCGCTACTGTTTGCTGCACTGAATTTTTGCTGCTCTCCTAAAACCAGGTTAGCAGGATCAAAACTTTATAACAGGGTCAGTAACTGAGGGTCTATTTAAGTTTTGTTTTTATGAACCTGCAAGAACCTTTTTTTCAGGAGAGCTGGTGCGATCTACACTTACTGAGTGCACGACCCGCTTCACTGGGTCCCTCCTGCTCCTCATCTACACACACACAGATACACGGCGATGTTCACAGTGCACTTTGTGGTGGTTTTACAGATGGTTGAACAAATTGGATGTTGTTATCCAGTGTAGACACAGATTTCTTGAACTCCTCTAACATTATCTTTTCTTGCCTTACATCACTTGCTCTAAACCACTGAAATAATCTGTGATGAGACATTTTAAAGACCAGCCTTTTTCTGTCTATTCCAGATTTTGTTTTTCATGAACATTTTTTGTTGTTTATTCTTCCTCCCCTCCATGACACAACATGTCACCTCCCCCTAAAGTGAAACCACTTCCTCTCAATCATCCCCTTTGGGAGTGGCTGTTAATTTAGGGAGCTCTTGTTTTGACATGCAGCAGAGTTTTTTTTTCCTAAGCAGAACATAGATCTTAAATGCCAGAATCACTTTCATGCATGATTTTTAAGCGTGGGAAGGTCAAAATTTGTATTGCAATCAATATGAGATTTATTGTGCGAACATAGTTTCTTGTTGACTTTACAGAAAAGCCACTGATAAGAGTCAGTATATCACCAGTATATCAAAGCTTGAGGCTGCCCTGTTGTCAAAATACTTTATTGTCTGGATTTGTTGATAATCGGTTTATTAAAAATTCTTTCTGCCTCTTTCTGCTGTGTCTTTGGGCTGCATAATAAATAGTAATTTTATTGTTATTGCTGTTCATTCATGTACAATTCCCACAATGCAAAGCCAAAAGTAATTTGAACAGAAACAAAGATGAGTTTTGTGTGAACAAGCAATGCTTTTTCACTCAGATTATACCATTTGGGTGGGAGTCTGGTTATCATGCTTTCACAGTTTTTGAGACTGTCACATGAGGCTTCAATCAGCTATCTGCTTGTTTCATATTAACCTGTGCAAATTTTGTTGTGTAATAGTAAACGCTCTCAGGATTTGTTTCAGATTCAGATTAATCATGTTGCATACACTGTGTTTTTAACACGCTGAGAGACATAAATCCTGTGGACCTGATTCATGAAAGAATTGTGTGGCTTCTGCACCTGTTAAAACCATGCAAATGTGCCAAAAAGATAATGTCTGATTCACAAAGCATGCACAAAAGGTTCAATTTTCTACAGATGGTACTTCTGATCAATTAGTATCTCTATGTGGCATATTTGTTTGTTTACATTTGAATAAGACATTATACAGGAATGCCCCTTTCTGTGCAAATGAACCTCATTCACAAACATGGATGCTAAGTTGGTGAAATTTTTACCATCTGCTGAAATGGATGGTAAATTTACTGAAGTACTTGAAAGCGTTGTGATGACAAAACTCTTCAGTGATCAGGACAACAGACCCACTGCCAGATGACTTTGACATATATGAGTGTATTATGACTGATGATATTATTTAGACATTTATTTTTATAGAAACACAGGGTTAAAATCAGTCTGGGGCTGTCGGCAGCTCAGCCCCCCACTCACAGGCTGTGCCATCACACACAGAACAGTTGTTTCTTATCTGAACAAGCAGCTTTTTACTCAGAAGTAAGCTGTTAATACTCTTTGAAATTTGTGTCACATTTGTCATGACTCCACTCCACATCACACTCTCCTTTCAGCGTATTGTATATGAGGACAGAATTTAGCCCCATGCGGTTGAGAGATCATTGCAAAGCTCTGTGCAGCAGAGAGAGGAGATGCTGACGGCTCATCAGTTATCACAATCAAATGCAAAACTGGAGAAAACTGCTTGGAGCTACAGAAGTTTATGGATGGGAACATTTTTTTCTCAATTTTCTTCGTAAATTAGATCTTGAGAGGGAGCAGATCACAGGGGAAAATGATGCACAATTAATGGTGCTATTAGGAGCTGCAATCCATTCTTAATGAATCACCCCCTGTGATTATCAGAGCAATGTGTAATTTTCAATATTACTTTTATATTATTACCACAATATTGACCAATTTAATTGCACAACACATACTTCTTTTCAAATCATGCAGGCCTAACGTAAAAATCCTACAGCAAAACTTTATGTATAGTGTTGTTCTTGTTTCTTTACAAATTAACCAACATAAATCATGCCTCCCCTAATTATTGTCAAGTTTTACCCACTATGAAGAAACAGTAATGCAGATGAAATGGATATGTACAGATATGCAAACGTTTGTTTTTCCATGCTTGTCAAACAGGGTCGTAAGCAGAGCAAGCTGCCATAAGACACGCTATCCAGACTTTCTTGAAGTGTTTGAAACCCTTATTGCAAATGATGTAGGCCAAGAGAGAGAAACACAGGGCTACTGTAGTTCTTATATGACAAGGAGTGCTCTTTATTTTCTACTACTCAGTGCAGCTGGTATGAGTTATTGAATGGCTACTTAGTTTCACACATCAAAATGTACTCACACTTATTCATTTCAATTTCTGCACCTCCTCTGTTTCTCAAACAGATCGAGACAATAGGTGATGCATACTGTGTAGCGGGAGGACTTCACAAGAAGGTTGACAGTCATGCCAGGCCAATTGCTCACATGGCTCTGAAGATGATGGAACTTTCTGAAGAAGTGCTAACACCTGATGGGAGACCTATAAAGGTGAGTTATTATTCACATCCATGTTATTTTTCCTTTTTTTTAAATTTTCCCTTGTGCCTGAAATGAATATGGTCCATTCTCCATTTCAAATGTTCACGTTTCCTTTTTTGTTTGTTTTTTAATTTCAATTTTTCCAAATGGCATGATGTTTTTGTGTGTTTGACTATCTAATGTTTAGTTGTCTAAAAAGTGTGACTATCATCTCATTGGTTTCATACCATCTTACCAGTGAACTGCAGGTAAAAATCCTCTAGTTGTCCAACAGCATTTGTTTTTCTCAAGGGGGTTGGTCAGCTTTAAAAGAAAAATAAGTAAGTTTGTAGTTTAATGGAGATAAAAGAAGAAGGCCCAACTTGGGAAAACAGGTGTAAACCCCTAACCTTAAGGTAATAGAACAGAAGAATAAAGAAACAGAATATAATTTATATTTATATAATTTATATCTTTTTTTAGTTCAGTCTCTGTCAAGGTCAGCTGTCATTGAATTGTCTTTGCAGCATTTATGGCAAGCCTCCTTACCTGCAAATACTTGTTCTGTGTTGTTTTTTATGTTTCAGTGTAACAAGACAATAATTCCTGCATTAAGATCCAGGTTTTGATCAGAGTTACTGCTGTTGTCATGTGTTGTTATTCTTCTGTACTCAGAAACATTATTGGAAAAGGCGGGTATTTTGTGCCTGTAATGAACAACTGTCATGAAATTAAAAAAGATGTTTGTGACAAACTCAGTGCTGCGTATGTAGTCCAGGGAAAGACTGTATATTTCTAAGCTTTTTTTTGTAGACTGTAAACATAAACCTGGCCTGGGGCTGAGTGCAACTCTCATAAAGGCCAAATCAGATAGGCATCTAGATATGATTTTGGACTTTTTACAAGTTTGACGACAAAAACCACTGAAAGAACAATGAACTCAGAACTCAGGTTGAAAGGATTGAAACTATTGTTTTTCTTTTTGAAGACTTCACAGAGTTTTTTATTCATCAACAAAAGTAACAGAAGCAAAGTAAATATGTAATGAGATGCGTATTGAGGTATCTGCTAAATAACAGACAGGACAGTGTTCTCTGTATTGCTCTGCTCCTAACATTGTCCATTTGTCTTAGAATAGAAAGGCCTTGTCAGGCATTTTTGGCCTGTTCCCTTGCTCTTTCACTTTCTCTCTCTCTCACTCTGTCATCCCAATTCCCTTATTTACCCCCCACCCCAACCCCTTCTGTCACTCTCCCCTCTGCAGCCTCTCTTGAACCCACCCCTTTCATTTTCCTCTTCTTATTTGCTCATCCTCTCACTTTTTATTCTCGTTCTCTTTTTTGTATTTTTCTCTCTTTTATGCTCTCCTCTTTCTTATCCCTCCTCACTTCATGTCCATATAAAAGAGAGTTATAGAGGTATTCAACACTTCAACATGATAAATGCTGCTCACTGAGTGCACTCAACTCCAGCCAATGTTGCACTGTTATGCAAACTAGCATGAGAGCTGTGAGAGGACTGAGAGAAAATGTTCTGTGAGAGAGCGATGGAGTGATCTGGGGACACAGAGAAAAATATACAGCAGTGTGAGGTGTCAAGAGACAAACTCAATCAAATAATGAACAAAATTTTCAACTAATCTTGTTTATCTGCAATAATTTTAGGTCTGTAACATTATTTTGTGTGCATGCGTGTTCGAGTCCTTGAGTGGGAGTGGGTGTTCGGGATGTAGTGACTAATGTGTTACTGCTAACATGATCAGTGTCTATACTACCAGTTCAGTCAGGACCACTTAGGTCAAAGAGAATTGGTTATTTGCATGCAATAAGTTATATTTAGTAGTATGGTGCTTCTCTGAAAGGGGGCACAACTCTCCTTCTTTTCATGTCGACACCTGAAAAGCCAAGGCAAGGAGAGCAGCAGCTTTATCGGGTACAGAACAGAACAGCTATTAGCAACGATACACAGACACTGCACGAAAAAAAGAGGGGTTTGTGACAGAAGTAGGGGACAAAGCAGTTTGCAGAGGAAGCATCAGAGTAGCTAAAGCATCTTAAATAGGACACCTATCTTCATATGTGCCAGTTAGATGCATGAAAGTTAATCTGCTGAGATATCAGCTGATATAGACTGGTGATAAAAAATTAGCTGATGTGCTGTAGGCTGAGCTTGGCTTTGCGGCCTGCCTGGACTAGCACTCAGCTCAGTTTGTTCTGATCACAAACAAAACTCAAACTGTCTATATGCTCAGCTTTACACACTCTGGACTAAGCCTGCATAATATGAGAAACATACTGTATACTGAATATGTCCATCAGTTTCATATTAAGGATGAAATGTAGGCATTATATCTTCTCAAAGACAGCCCTCAATGACAAATTAAGATTATCAACTAAAGGTCCAAAAACAAAATATCGTTAATGTACAGTCTTTAAAATAAAGGAGGGCTGTAAATCCTGTATTGACATTTCAGTGACCTTTTTAAATGACATTTCCTTCTACTATTGATTAGTTGCCTCGTGTTGGCTTTCTGCAGTATGCCCAGTTCCCATTTTATAGCTACAGCATAACTACTGCAGTCCATGACAACGGTTATACACTGAGTGCAGAAGATTTTATTGAAGATGTGTGACTGCATGACTGATTACTATATGATCTGTTAGTTATTGTTTATATAGTATTGTCTTGAGCTATTTACATCAGCAAGGGTAAACTGAATTGCAATGCTACCTCTCTGTGTTGCACAGTACAGATAGAAAACACTACATCAAGTCTTAGTGAAAGCTGCAGTTATGTACCTTAATATTAAGTCAACATATTGCAGAACTCCGACATCAGTTTGAGGAAGGTGTTTCTTATAAGCTGTCTACTGAGTGTGAATAACACTGACTATAAAAACTCCCTCTATTCTCAGTCTCAGTCCATCCCCATCTCTGCATCCTTCTGTCAGCTTCCCAGAGGCTACAACGGGATTGGTTGTCTGTGCTGCTGTGCCATTTGCTCATTGGCTCGTGGAGGGCCATGTGCTCTGAATGCTGACTCATGGCAAAAAAAAAAAAGAGGAGAGGAGAGTACGAACACTGCTGTGACTGTGTTTGAGACTTAAAAATAAAGAAGATAGTGGGCGCTGGATGCAAATTTGTTTGTGAGCGTGTGTGTCTGTGAGTGGTTGTCTGTTGTAGAGACAGACAGACAAGCACATGGCCATCTGTAAGCAGTTTAGCTGAAAAATAGGTCACGCAAGTGCACCTACCAGATTTTCTCGCTCGCTGTCTCTCTCCTCTCCTTTCTTTCTGTCTCCTACAGTACTGTCAAGGTTTTCCCTTCAAAACACTAGTGCATTTTACCCCTCCCTCTCTGTCTTTCTCTCTCCTTTGTCTTTTTTTCATGTCTTACTGTCTGTGCTCTCTCTACCTCACTACCCTCATTGCCTGTTGTTGCCATGGCTACCCTGCAGTATGCTGGCATGCACACGGCAGTGTTGGATACCTAGGTGATGGGACGCTCAAATAGATCATTAGAATTCTACTGGGTTTCCCTGTATGTTTACATTTGTTTATGTGAATGCTATATGTATGGTGATTTATTACTGCAAGTGCAAGGAACAAATTCAGTGGCTGGTCAAGTGGCCCTGAAGTAGTAACATCAAATTAGATAAATGGCCAGTTAGCTTCCACTCTGCCCTTAACCATTTATAGATTCATACCTCAGCCAGATTGCTCTATGAACGCTGTGTTTCTGACATATATCTGTTACCAAGACAAGGCAAAGGAAACATTTTATATTTTTTCTCCATCATCCAATCTAGCTATTGAAATCACATTGATAATGGCTTCACTAATATGGCAGTGGGATCTTCATTGCCAATCTCTATTCAGTGGACAATAGAGTGTGCAGCTGACTTGCAGCTCGAAATAGGATTGTCTCATTTCTACATAACAGTTTGTAAACTAGACTAGAATGTCTCTGTTTATTTTTCTTTTACAACTTATTGAGATCCCGAGCCAAGAATCCAGGAGTTTAAAATGCCCTTGCTGTGCTCCTCAGTACCACCACTTAACATATTTAATCTGTTCCACAAGAAGTAATCAGTTGTGTATGATCAGTTATCATTTAAATAGGGTCATGTTGGTCTAAAATTTCATGAAATTTCGTAAAATTCATTTTAAGATTCGCAGGTCCCATAGTGATCTTTTAAGATGGTATAATGTATTTTTTTGTCAGTCTCAAACCAAAGATAGTCCTTTTATAGCTCTGTCATATGAGACTGAATCATCCCATGAGACAACATTTTCTGCAAGTGTTTGAACATTTTTAAATCAACTTGTGTTGTTAAAGGTGGGTTAGCAGGATCTGAGGAAGTGCCCTTTAATTTGGCGAAATCTTGAATGTAAGCACTACCCCTCCCAACCCCTCCCATATTTTTCATTGATGTTGACCCTGCTTTTTTAGCTCTTGTCCGGGTGGTCTACCTCCTTTTTAAGCGCTTGTAATTCCGTCAGAGTCTTCAGTATTTCCTTCGTTTTGTTGGTTGTGTTGGCAGTTGTGGCCAAAGGAGGATTCAGACAATTTTCTGTGCTTTCTGGTTGGTTTCTACTGTCCGATATTGTAGCATGCTAACTTTGTTTGGGCTCCTGAACGACACGGGAGAGCAGAGCATCTGTCTCACAACCAATCAGGTTGGGGGAGGTGGAGAATGGCTTTGTTTACAGTCAGAAAGAGCGGAGCGCTTAAAAAATTCAAAATGTTGACTACACAGACATAACCAAACAGTGATTTCGCTATATTACCAAATGTCATCAATGACAAATAGCTATTGGCTCATATTAAAAGCTTTTTTGTATATACACCACAAAAAAGATGCTTCTTTAACTGATTCCTGCCTACCCCACCTTTAATATATTGTTTCCCCATTTCTTCTTTTCTCTTATCAATCTTCTTCTATCTTCTTCACCCTCTCTCTCGTTCTTACAGCTAAGGATAGGTATCCATACAGGCTCAGTGCTAGCAGGGGTGGTTGGAGTCAAAATGCCACGGTATTGCCTCTTTGGAAACAACGTGACACTGGCCAGCAAGTTTGAATCAGGGAGCCAGCCAAGATGTATCAATGTTAGTCCCACAACCTACCAGTAAGTAACAGAATTACTCATTTAGAAAATAAAAGGCTGTACATCGACATAAACCATATAGGTTTTGATTTTAACCCTGTTGCCTTGACGGTATGATTGAGTACCATTTTAAACACTGATACCAAGAAAACTATGAGTACATTAACTGAAATGTCTGAAATATCTTATCCCGCAACAGGTTGCTGAAGGATGACCGCTCTTTTTCATTTGTCCCTCGGTCACGGCTGGAGCTTCCAGAAAACTTTCCCAAAGAGATCCCAGGGACCTGCTATTTTCTGGAGGCGGGAACTTCTCACAGCCATGCCTCACTGACCAGCTCTCGCTCCGCTCCCCCAGCCTCTATGAGGAAAGTCTCCTACAGCATCGGGACCATGTTTCTGAGAGAAACAAGTTTGTAGGTCCTGTACACAGACTGGGATACAAAAATATTCATTTTTGAAGAGTTTGAACCTCTCCAAACATACATGAAATAGATCTAACAGATGTCTGGATATGCGATCGCATAATGTGAAAACTTGGTTACAGACCTGAGGATGGTCAATATAAATAATATTGGACAAGATTCTCACATCATGGGTGGAAAATGAACAAAATGCCCTCCTCTTCCTTGATTGTGGGCAGTATGCTTCAAGGACTTGAAGAACAGCAGCTATGCTAATTTCACATAGACTCCTTCCCAAGAACTGACTGGGTCTTTAAGCAGAGAAACTAGTTATAAAACTTGATCTATTTGGATTCCTCAGCTCCATACCTGATTTCTAGCTCTCTTCATTGGTCCTTTCTCCCAGCTTTTACCCTGACCTGGAGCTAGTGTCAACAAGGCTTGGGGAAAACCTGGACTCAGACCAGTGTTGCACTTGTTAGGCATCAACAGCATTGCATAAACAGAACAAAACTACTTTCCATTAAAGTGGATGCTGAGGAAAGATGATATCTGAACCTTCAGAAAATGGCAACATTGCCACAGATATTTGCTGTGCATCATGGCCTCTTGTACAAGAAAGTCCACCGCTGAAGAACAATACATCCCACAGTCCTCCTCCTACAGCTGTTGCGAAATCTTGTCATGCTTTACCAAACTCAGTTATAACATCTGCTGCTCCTTACATCAGCCTACAGTAGGACCAGGTTGTTGGGCTAGGGAGAATCACAATGAGAGGCACATATAAGTTGTTACAGAAAAGCGGGTCATTAACCGAAAAATGCCAAAAATTCTAGTACTAAACTAATCTTAGAGCCTTTGCTTCTTCTAACCCACAGCAAACTATAGCCAACAACATTTAGCCGTTGCAAGTATGTTAAGAGCTGACAGTTATACCCAGATTTGTGCCTTTTACTGCTCAAACCAGGACAAGTACAGGATGGATTCATTTAAAATATTTGAACAAAATAAAACAAAGGAATGCTTCATTTATCATGTGTTATACAACCGTTCTTAATAACATTTCTGTTGAATTTAAGTTGATAGTGAAGCCTCTGTATAAGATATGTCATGTGCCAAAGGTTATAATCCACAATCAAACCCGTGATATTTAAGTTTTAAAAGGCGTCTTTTCCCACCAAGCTACCAGGAGACTCATTCTATCCTGATTACTTTTGAGACAGTAACGGGTGGCTGGCAAGATAAATCAAGCACTCCTAAATTTGTTCAAATATTTTCAATTTTGTTTGATCATCTAGACCAACAAATACAGAGACACAGAGTCAGTACCGACATTGTGGTACTTAACTAACTTATTCATAGTCACTGTATGCATGTTAGCCATTGTTTACATTTACATACACCTACAGACAGTATCTTCTTTGTTACATTATTTTAACCTTGTGAATTAAAAAAAGGATTTACTTGCCCCATGAGAATGCAAACAACAGAGTTTCCTTAGTAGGAACCTTAGGCCTTGGAATTACTTCAGCATGGCTCAGTAGTTCAGTAACTTCTAAAAACAGTGTTTGTCCAAGAGAATGGCACATTGAACATTGTAAAAACACTTAGCTACAATGTCTTCTTTAGCTGCTGAAATACATAGATGGGACGTAAATTGGATTAAGTAGAAATGACAGATAGAAAAAGTAATAACAGCTTGGCAAAAAAAGATAAACTATTTGTTCCATTTTTGACAATTAAAGATTTTTTTTTAAAAAAATTTAGGAGGAATTAAATGGTTTTTTAGCATCCCAGTTTTTAACAATGATTAACAGCGCTGGGAAGAAAATTCTGCAACAACAAAGTTTGTGAAATTAAAAGCAGGTATGTTTTTGTTTGGTTACTCTCTTTGTAAAAATAAAGGGTTTGATTCATGCATTACATCACAATATTGGTGAAGATGATGAAAAAAACTGTATGACTCTTCTACAAAAACTTTTCTTTGAAATTTAAATTGATATGATTGACAATGGACGAGTTCAGCACAGCTTTTAGTTTCAAAATCACAAACTTTTTCAGGAAGGGAGCATGTCTACATCTTGCCAAATGTTATACTAATGGATGAACCGTATAAAGTCCAAACAAAATGTGCCAATTGAATTATAGGAAAGCCCCAGCAAAGGCTAACATTTGCTTCTGTGTTTGAGGTTCGGTACCTGCATCTGTTGAGTACCAATGCATTTTAATACCTTGTCAATACACCAGCGTTGGCTGGGATTCATCGGAAGCATGTGCTGGCTACACTATCTAAAACCGTGTTACAAGGGAAAACATCAGACTGACCATCGGACAAGGTTTTTCCTCAATAGAAAACATTGTGGTTGCTAACTGAGATTAACACCAGCATAACAAAGCAATGTGCCATTTTAAAGCAAGGACGGGAAGATGGGAGATGATAAAAGTGAAAACATTTTCTTTTGACTTTTTGGCTGTTTGAGCCTGAGCTGTGCTACAAGTGCCAGAAAACTGTGGTCAAGGGTCATGATTGCATAAATTATCAAATTCTCTCCTCAGTTTCTGTCTTGGCCAGAGAGCATGTAGCGTCATAAAGACATTTTTTAAAAGCACTCTGTTGTCTTTTCCATATTTAATGTAAATGAAATAACTATAACCCATTTTGGAAAGTGTTATGGTTCCTATATGGACTTGGCAACAATAACGAGAGATGAATTTAATATTTTACTACATGTGTTGATAGTTTTAGCATAAAAATAATGGAATTTTACACAACAGAAATATGCGTGTTAACTTAAAAAAATAGGTGCAACTTCTAAGTGGTAAGCCTTGTCATTTTAAGCCAATAACTCTGTCCACTGTGTAAACAAAACTGAGGACAAGATTCAACTCAAATTTAAAGTGAAGCAGAATTATATGAACACTGTTTTGCTCAGTGGTGACATACCTAAAACATTTCATGTAAGAAAAAAACACCATAACATTAATGTTTTTGAGAGAACCAGAGTATGTAACACCCAGCAGGGATATCTGTAAGACATACAGTCTGTATTTTTCACATCACTGATAAAGAGTGGTTGCAATTTGACATTTCTCTTTAGAGTAAAGTTAATAAGCAGGCCAAGAAACGATCAAATGTAATTCACAAATTTACAAATACACCAGAGATTGGTTTTCCATGTCTGTGAGGGCTAGGAAACAGATGGCGATGGGCTTATTTCTCCTAAAGCTTAATTTCATTTATGGTGAGTCATTTCATAGAAAACAGTGATTTTCAGCGCAGAACCTTAACCTGAACCCTTATCAAATGTGTTTGACTGTTGGGCCATTATTTAGGGTGAAGCTGGAAAAACCTTCCGCATAAATTACACACAAAAATTCCCTGACTGCAACCATGGTGATATTCTATTATACATTCATGTATTACTTTGTCCTTGTACTATATGTGTTACAGCATTAATGTAGTTTTTTTAAATTCATCTTCAGCAGTGCCTGAATCCTGTATCTCTGCTAAATTAAGGACATTACATTAGTGTTACACCCACACAACTTGTGTGCACTGCTCACATTTCCAAGTCTGAAAATTTTTGGCATCGTATTAGCCGTTTGGTGGTAAGAGTCTTGCTGACATGGTGTGGAAGTGTTTCAGGTACTAGTTCTCTAAATTCTAGTCACACTGCAGTGCAGACTGTGGGTCAGTTTCTTAAACAAGATGGAAATCCAACCACAGTGGCAATACAACTGAGATGTACTGTATAAGCTGTGTCAAGTTATCATGATCACAATGTTGTCATGAGCCTTAGAGAGGTATATGAGGGTCCAGTGGGTTTGCCAGAGGATATGCTTATTAATTTTGTAACAAAGGCCTATAGTACCCATACCAATTTGGTACATTCAATATAGTATATTTATAACAATCAAAATAAAGAACAGAAATTAAAATGAAATGTATATGTTTTCTAGGTATATTTCACAAAGTTATTTCATGCTGTTAAAATTACCACTGCTTTGATTTCTTTTTCAGCCAGGTTCTCCTTTGACTGTTTGTGTGCTGTCCAGAGCTCGGCTTGTTTCCACAACATGACAGTATTTCACATAACCAATCCTAACCCTGAGTCTTGCTTTTTTATTTTGAAAATGAAGAAAAAATTGTGATTTTTTTTTTTTGCCCACTTGAAATTTTAAATTCACGTTATCTTCATGTAAATGAGAATAAGTTGTGTTTTATTGAAAGATAAAGCAACTGGTCATGTGTTTTCTATTTCTTTTCTTTTTTCTTTCTTTTTTGCAGGACATAGCTGTAAATTGTCTTGTTAAGATTATCTTCCAACTACCCCTTTCACCAATCCCCACCCCAAAACCCAGTCCAGTCTAAGTTGATGGAAAACTGATCCCTGTTTCTTTAACATAAGCCTGCTTTGAACATCAGAGTTAAACATGGCTGATGCTCTTCATACATGTCCAGGGTCCTCCTAATGGATGTGCAACAACCAACTTATCTCCAATAACTTCACCCACAGGAGAATGGTAGCTTCTATAACATTTCTTCACCAGCTAAGAATGAAACTAATATTTAATACTAATATTTGTGAGATTTTAAATCTTATTATTTTACAGCCATCTCTCTGTGGGAGGCATTATTTGATGTCAGAAATCTGGTCTGAGTTTTTGTATTTTGGTGCCACGTATACACGCTGAGCCGACCCTGGACATGAACTCCGTTTGGGCTTGTGTTTGGAATCATGTGTGCTGCAGTGGCTTGATGACAGCTGTTGGTTTCTGACTGACAGTAAGGGCACATCTTCTGTCTTATATAATGTAAATAAAACACCAAGTATCTTTAATAAGGAAAAAATGACTGTGGCTGTTCCTGTATCAACATACATCTTCACACCTCACTGACATGAGTGTAGGACTGTGAGTATACATTTGAGTGTGAGACAGAGATAATTTAAAAGTCGTTCATCGTCAGATCTTCACATTCACTTCTTTTGTGTTTTTTTTTCTTTGTCAATTTGGTACTGAATAAAGAAGAATGCACTTTACCAGGTAAAACTTTGAGATAAAATCTCCACAGAACAATTATGAATACCTCTGCAGATAACTGTTAAATTGACCAGATATGTAGAAATCAATTTCAAATACACTTCAGACAAGCAGCTATAAACTGTATTCTTTGAATATTAGCACTCCACAAAATAAACAACTTCTTGGCGCTGCAGCAAGATAAACAGGCAGATGCCTTGAGCAGAACCAGACTCTTAGTGAGCAGCCATCTGCCATAACTGACCATGCACAGACAAAAAGTCCTTCGTTATGTTATTTATCAAGTTATGTTTTCGAATGATACAAAATTTGATGCTTGATATAAAACCATTGGCGTGTACTTTTGCCCTCTATACACATAATCTTTAAGGTTGGTACAAAAAATCTGGTAGAAAACAGGTATCTGTGTTGTATCTGTGACATTGTGGTATTTGGTCTTACAGTAATTCTCCAATTGTGTCAAGGAGCGCATAAGTAAATCTGAATAAGTGGTAATAGTCTGAGTAATTTGTCCCTGTACTATCACTCAATGTACTCTGTGAATCTATATTCACTTAAGTCCAGATGAACCATATCTGGATTTTTTTTTCCATGAGTAAAAAATATCGATATTCAGTCGTGTCTTGAATTGACCAACATATTTCCCTAGAAGTGAGTTCCTCCATCTCTAGACAAAGAGTCTGTGCTCTACACACTGTCCTCCCACACAGGTGTTTTCACTTTTGTCTGATTCACCGTTGCCTGATAAGAGGTCTTCTCAGGACTGTGTGGGCGTGTACAGACTCTGCTTGACTGACATTTCCTCCAGTTTCTTGTTAACTCTGCTGCATCTGTCAGGATGGGACAACCTACACCTTAACACCTGACTAGATATCTGATTGATGTGGGCGATCTCTTGAAGCCTTTAAAATCCGAGGTTGCAGGTTTAATTGTATATCAACGCCCTTTATAACCAGGAACATTTATTGGCTACTGTGACTTTATGTTCCATTTTGACTCTCATTTTAACTCATTTTAATATCCCTTTAAACAGGGTTTTGTTCTACTGTCTGCTGTTTTTTTTTTTTTGTCCATCCATATGTAGAGACCTTCTCTCACATTGCATCCTTACTGCTAAACTGGTAAAGGTTGTAACACTTAAGTTCGATTTAAACAAGAGGCAAACGTTCATTGCCAGTATCAGTAATGTGCAGTTACATCCTCTGCATTTTCATAGTTACTCTGTTCAGTTTTGTCTCTCCAGCCCCCCATCCATCCTTCCGCCCTTTATCTTCCCCCCTCACACCCGCTACGTATGCAAATACATTCCCATTACACTAATTGGCTCTAGGAGGTTTGAATATTTCACGTGGACTATCATCAGTTTGCAAGCCCGTGAGTACAGGCTGTGGCATCACATCACACAAGCTGACATGCCAAAGGAGGCAACACGCACACGGCATGAATGAGTGAACAGAGGTCATGTTATTTATACTGTATGTCTGTCATATTAGCCAAATGAAGCAGGACTGAGTTACTGTGTGGTGTTGCAAGCTTGTGTGTATGTGTGTGTCACACCACTCTGCATCAGAATGAATTATGCAGTCATTATTCATGGCTGCATCTGTAGAGGAGATGCTCTCTGATCTCCCTGTGTGTTGTCTTTATTGAAGAACACGGGGGTGGTTTGGTATTTTTTATGTCAGCTTGACCTCTTTGGACAATTTCTGTTATCATCAAAGGCAAGTAAATGTCCATCAGATAACCAACTACTGCTTTGTGATGGTTTCAGGCATGTTTGACTTCTAATGTAGGATTGTAATGACGTAATGTGCACCAATTTTCATCTCAGACATTTCCTTCAAACTCTTTTTATAAGCGTCGTAGTTTCATTGCTGAATGGAATTTGCTTAGTTGTTGAGATCAGCAGAAATATGAGAAAAGCAGCTGTTGTTAGATTATCTATGGCAGCCACAAAAAGTCTCATCCATAATCTTCTATAGCAGCAAAAAAGCTTTTCCTACCAGCTGACAGTGTACATCAACTATTTTTCCTCTAACATGGTTCTATAGAAAAGTCAATGAACTACATGTTTCTAAAGTCAAGGCAATCTCCTGGCATGTCTTCCAAGATATCCTTCATTGTCCTTTCTGCTGTTTTGAGTATTATAATTCAAATACTAATATCACATCCGAGCTCAGCTGTGAACATCACTTTTTAGTGTCCTCTGTGACCACTTCTCATCAGCAAATTTTCATACGTTTTTTTCCTTACTTCAATACTTCAAGTATGAGCAAATGTCTAATGAAAGTATTACCCAGCAGCCTAATATAAATATGATGGAGGTCATGACTCACTTGTCTAAAAATATAGACTGTGAGAAATTGCATGAAAAGTCTGCACTGAAGCAACAAAACCAACATCTACAGAGAGAACAAATTTCATACTCAAGGCTCAACCTTGATCAGATTAATAAGCATCTGTTGGCCATAAACATGTAGATGAAGATATATGGAGGGAAGGGCTGACCTTCATCTTCTTTGTGGTTCTTGTAAGGCAATAAACTGTCAGACAATCAGGCTGACGGGGCGTGTCCACTCACGCCCACTGCCCCACCCTGACAGCCTCTATGTGTGTGAGATCACGTAAGTGTGTATGCGTGTGTTTTCTGCAGCTCAGTGGAGGGGAGAGCACCTAAATGATGGATAACTTGTTGTCTTCTTTATTTATCTGTATGAGACCCTTTTTCTGCATTTACATTTCCCTGTGTTTTCCTATTTAATCAGCGCGCTCAAAAACTTGTGTTGTCTCATGTTACATTTTATCTTCTAAATTTGGACAGTGGCCCATTTAGCGAGCCATACTTTTCTATGTGCTTCTCCAAAATTCATACCACAGTGCTGGAGCTCTGCAAAGCATTTTCCATGTTTGCCTGAGGCCTAGCTCGATCTAGTATGCTATTTCAGTATTTTCTAATTTTGAGTGTCAATCTGAAGGTTACACAGCATACCGAATATCATACCAAATATAAAATGGCATGCAAAACATTCGGGATGATTCTATCTTTGGGATGGTTCAGCTTTAACCCCTCAGTTTTGGGTTTAAATATTTATAATGGAGTCAACATCATACTTTTCATACTTTAATGATGAGTTTGACTTCACTCATACAGAAATGTATACAACATACTGAATATATGATTCAATAAACAACTGCTGAAGGAATGTACAAACAGAGAATGAGGACTGAGCGAAAAATAACAAATGAAAGCCTCACGTGACTCCAGTCCAAACAAGCAATACTCCTCATTTCCTGACCCACTGTGATATTTTCCACCAGGGTCACCAGAGTGGAAAAGAGACGAGCAGGATTGGAGGATTAGTGTTGATCCATGCAAATTAAAAGATCACGGAGGCAACCTCACAAGGCCGTGTGAGTAGGATGCCCTTTACGTGAATCTGCATTTATTTGTGTGTGTGTGTGTGTGTGTGTCTATGTGCGTTTACATTCAAGTGCATGTACAAGTGTGTGACAGCTTGTGAGAGTCTCACACACCTCCATCCCCCTGCACATGTCTTTTTATAGTGCAGTGTGCACTTATGCTGGTTTTTATCCTTTAATCCTCCTCAAATAAACAAAATAATAGAGTGGCTGCAGCATGAATGTACATCATCCCTGTGGCTATTTACTCTGCTCTCAGCTATATGCTAAATCCTAGTTAAGCTCAATGATCAGCGATTAATTGTTACATTAAGTTTTGACTTGAGCCTCATTAGTACCACAGTTGCACCAAGCACGATGTCTACTGACCTACAAAGCCTTGACTGCCCGTAATTGACAAGAAGTTTTGGGATTTAAAGACCAGCTGCATCCCCCTGAGATTCACTCAACAGCAGTTAAAGATACAGTAGTGATTTAAGCAACTATAATGTAAATATGTTCATTTAAATAACAAAACAATTTGAAATAGTGAAATTGTGTCATGAACTCAAATTTGCTGCTCTCATGTTATTATCTTTTATAGCAGAGAAGAACATTTAGCAGCTATCAAGAGAACAAAGTGGAGTTTTGTGCAGCTTGATAATATGAATTTTCCACCAGATGTTAGAAGGGATGAAAAATATAGGCATAAGAAACAAATGACTTACATTCAACTTGTGAAAAACCACCTCTGACCTAGCGGTCTACATGTGCACCCAAGGTAGTTATGCTCCTATACTTTCAGTCTCTGTAGTTCCTTCTGTTCACCATCTTGCCCTTTTCGAAATAAAATCAAAATAACCCCCAAAACAAATCATTAAAAATGTGTAAAAAAAGACCCTATATCTACTATGTTGTCTTTCCATTATGCTGGATGTGGACACAAGCAGTTGTTTGCTGGCAGTCCCTGAAATCCACCTTAAGGGCCATGAATCAGAGATTTGATAATAATAATTATAAAAACAGGCCTCTGTGACAAAATAAATGCACCACTGGGTCATGCTCACCTCTGCAGTCTTTTGAAGACACCCAACCACATAAAGTGCACAAGGCTTTTGTTGAGTCACCGCTGACCACTGAGACCACTGCTGGGTCAAATTAACCCTGACCAGCGTAACCCAATTTCAACTCTATTAAAACTTCTTTATCCAATCAGTGGAGCCGCCCCCTGCTGGCTGTTAGAAAGAAGAAATGAACTTCAATGCACTGGCTTCACTTACTAGAACTGGAGGTTATTTCCATTTTTAATGACTATAGAGAATAAATAAATGAGATGCTGCTGTTTTTGCTCTCGGTTTGGCCTTTGAGCTAAAGATGGAGTTGACTTCTTTTCTTTTAAATTCAAAAGTTTTTTGGAAACAGCTGAGACAGTACAGAGTGCCCAATGTCCTTTATAACATGCAAGAATCTAAGTCTATCTAATTGTGTGTGTGTGTGTTCGTCTCACTCAAGGATCCAGGTCCCCTCTTGACAATTAAAAGAAAATAATAATAATGACAAAATAAGTCAGATTTCAAGTATTATTATGTTAAAAGACCTGAAAAAGAAAATGTTCCATTCTATTTTTGTTTTATTAAAATGGCCAGAAATTGGGGTCCACTCTTGGTCAGTCTGGGCTGATAGTCCCTTGTTGGTCAGGTAGGCAAGATTGAGTGTGTGTGTGTGTGTGTGTGTGTGTGTGTGTGTGTGTGTGTGTGTGTGTGTGTGTGTGTGTGTGTGTGTGTGTGTGTGTGTGTCCATGCCCTTTGTCTCCTACCCTACAGTGAGGTTTATTTTTGGGTCGGTGCATGATGGTTAGCTCCCACAGGATCTTCACGCTGTCAAAACAATTCTCTCTGCGTGTGTGTGTGTCTGTGTGCGTAAGCATGCAGGTGTGGATGTAGCTGGTTTGTATAACTGCCTCCAGTGCTGGGACGTGGTTATGGATAGATTGCTTTCTGTGTATCTGTGTGTGTGTGTGAGAGAGAGTGTGTGTGAGCAGACTGTAGTGCATCTTGTAAGCACAGCTGTTGGATCCACGGTCTTGTCATATTGTACTATGTAAACTCAAAAATCCCTAAAGTGCATTAATGTGATTTAAACCTCCAGTGGTCATTTGGTGTCATCTTCAGTTGTGGAGATACTCAGGCAGCAGCCACAAAAAGGTGATGACAAGGACAGACATGCTGCTGGCCTTTATAAACTTACTGTACCTACAAATATGTTGTAAGTTACGGGGAAAACAGGGAATTGGAGTCCTAAGTTCAAACTTTCTAAATAATGAATCGGTAACACTTAACAATAACCATATCTTATGAATGGTAAATAGACCATTTCTAAACGTTAAGCAGATAGTTTACTAAAGTTTAATCATCATTTATAAATAGCATATAGACCATTAATACATTTTTAATTTTAACTTTAAAATAGCCATCTAAGTAATGTGTATAGGTGGTTTATAAACCACTTATTAATCATTTACAAAGTAATACAAACATCAGTTGCAACTTTACAGTAACCATCTAAGTAATGTTTATAGATGGTTTAAGAACCAAATATTAACCATTTACAAAGTGCTACTGACACACATTTTAATCTAGATGTTTTACAACCAATATTTAAACCCTATATAAACACTATAATAAATAGCCCATTAATAATAAATGAAAATTATTAATCATAATTTCATAGCTTGTTAATGGTAAAGTAACTATTAACTTACATTAATAAACTATCTATTTTCTATGTATAGGTGGTCTATATGCTGTTTTTAAATGATTAAACGTTGATAAACTATCTATTTACCATTTATAAATTATGGTTATTGTAAAGTGTTACCAATGAATCAATTAGTGCTAAGCCCACCTGACTGTGCAGCTTACCTGAACTTGGTCTCCACTTCTATTCACTTTTTTGCTCATCCTTACGGTTCATAAGTCCTATAAGCTCTTCATTAGTGGGCGTAAAATGCCTCTTTTAATAAATAAAGCCTATGGTTGTGACTAACTCAGGCTTGGGTCAGTTCTAAGTTACACTACTTTAGGCTTAATCTGCAGGGAAAACTGGCACTCCGAGCTCCTGTACTTCCCTCTCTCACCTCTCTCTGTCTACATATAAACCTTCATGTCTAATTGACTTTGCTTGTCATGGATCCTCTGGGGGTTGTTCAGCTTCCTTGTCTCGCAGGCTCCTCTAGATTGTCTCTACAGATGGCCTGCTGGTGTGGACCTGCCAGACTCCAGCTGCTTTAACTATTAATATCAATCTCAACATTATTTTTTACAGCTACAATCCTGATGTTAATTTTAGATTTACTTCCCTCCAACTGTGATGAGTAATATTGTCATCCTACCCCTATTATCACCATCATTATCGTGAATGATCATGATTGACCTGTTGACTTTGCAGCTTTTCTTCATTCACTTTGGATCAATTCTAAAATTAGAAAAGCATTAGGAAACAATAAGCTCAAATATCTGAACAAGATTTTTTTTTTCATTCACAATAGATTAAAAATTTTCATTCATTTAAGTTAATTACAATGTTTTGGAACATTTGGGTGAGAGGAATTCTAGTTCCTCTAAATTCACTTGGATTACACTATTTTGATAAGTGTCATGAAGCTATACTGTGGGGAATTAATAGTCTTTTTTTGTTTTTAAACTAAACTACTCTATATTGATTAAGATTTTTTTGTTTATTTTAGTTTTTATTTTGATTTCACACAAGGAAGCAATTTTTAAACATGACAATCATGATGAAATACATGAATATCATGGCAAAAAAAGCATCTTTATATTTTGATGACACCAATAACACCATCAATAACAAAACAACTTTTCAGTTTGGAGGCCAGAGCTGTTTGTTAGAAAGTCAAATGAAATATTTCTGGTTTCTCACCACCTTTACTAACATGTAAAAGCTAGTGATCAAAGTTCCTAATCAATATTGCCCCCCAAATAATTGGGAAAACTGTCAATGCCATATTTACGATAGGATCAGTCTTCTACCATTACTTTGCTTTTTAAATAAAGAATACATTTATTCTTCTACCACTGCTGTTGCAACTTTAACCCTGAGTCTGCAGAAGCTGCTGCTATTGTTGTAACAGTTGTGTTACAAATGGGTCTAAAATAACTGTGCTGTTGCCCTCGCCTTACCTCTTTTTCCCATAATGCCCTTGGAGCTAACGCCAAAGCTTTGCCTGCTGCACTGGATTGTATTTGTGCAGAGGATACATACACACATGCACACAGACCAGGGTTGGTTTAATACAGCTGGCTACATGTAGGTGCCCCACTTACATATAGAATATAGGGCAGCTATGGAGTGTGTGTTTTCATTGTTTGAATGTGTGTCTCAAGGCCACAGAGCAGAAATGAGAAAGAGGAGAAAATGTCATTGCAGGGAAACTGAAGGGTGTGCAGCGCATGTCTACATATGTACAGTATGTGTGAACAGGAAAACAAGAAAAGGTAAAATCCTTCTTATTAGATGTTGTTAATTCTTACTGCTAATAAAAAAACTGATATTTGATTGGATTCAACTCAAAAAGAAGGATGTCTGCTTCTGCTTACCATCTGGAATAAAATCCCTTATCCTTTACAACAACTTGACAGGACTTCTGAAAAATTCATAAACCCTCTGTAAAGCCATGAACTGTTTATTTCCCTAACGATTTGCCTTCACAGAATTTCAAAATTTGAAAAATCAAGTTTTTGGCTTGTTTGGTTTGTAGAAACTTGAGGGCTCCTCTACTTTTTGAATACATTTGATGTCAAACCTGCATACAAATCTCACAGCTCTGATACAGAGGGTCAGTGCAGCACTGCAGTAATAATATCCACGTCATCTTTTTTTCATTCCTTTAAGTGTTTTTGTCATCCTTTACCACCATGGTGCATGTACAGTTATTACTCAGTGTCTGCACTAATACTCTGTATTACCAGATATCTGTATTACCAGATATCTGTGTAATCCCATGATGTTCTGGCAATAGACATAAGAAATGGCTGATGGTAGCCAGGGAAGACAGGTGATTACAGCGGGATTAGATGAAAATCCACACCAATTACTGCAATTACACACATGCACACATACTCCACAGAGATTAAAATACATTATTCAGTCCAGAAATATCTCAAACAAATTATTTCATTTTATTAAAAGATGACAGTTGTGTGAGTAGCCGACACTTTGCTTGTTTAACTTGATAAAATATTACAGAAAATATGGGGAAAAAAGGGTAAAACAGGGAGAATTAATGTGAAAACAATGTGGAAACCTGGGGGGGCCAAAACAGCAAAGCTTGTACAACTTCTTTATTTATTTTTGCTACTGTTTTAAAGTGGTGACTTCCCACTTACATTTTTTTGTTGTTTTGCAATTGATTTGTGGTGTTGCTGCATTCAATCGGCTAATGAGCTGCAGCAAAAACAGTGTCACTGGAGAGTCAAACACATCATTAGGCCAGTGGGTGAATCTGTGGACCATGTGTGGTTGCTGATCTGCATGTTGGCCTTGAATAACAGCACATGTCCAAAAAAGACAAAGAAAATATAATTTTAAGCCAAAATATATAGATCCAAAATCAACACATTTTATTGCTGATTATAAAAATTTTTACATTAAAGGGGATACTGGGATCCTTAAACACTCTTGAATGAAATATTGTTACAGCCTCTGTGAATTTCAAGGTTTAACTTCCTTTACCTTGTCATGATTCCTTGTGAATCTCATCCTTGCTTTAAATATACAGCTCACAAAATCTCTGATTATTTTAGCATGCAGCAGACAGTCACAACCAATGCCTCTGTAATCAGAAAAAAGTCATCGAGAATAAACATGTCGCTGATTAGGTTGTGTAGTATTACATGTCTGGCCTGCGTCAGTTTGTGTGTGTGCGTGTGTGTGTGTATGCAAGACTGCGCGTGTGTTTTGATTGTGCTAAATGTGGCGTAACTTTCTAATCACGCTTTGAGCTGCACAGAACATGTATCATAGCAGGGGGAGGATAAACAGCAATGTGGGTACACGTGCATAAATAAGAAAAAATCACCTTAACCATTTCATTATTTTTACAATTGCATTTAAACAGATGTCAGTGATGACATTCATTTTTTTGTTAAAGCTACTTTAATGAACTTTGTGTTTGTGCTGATTTTGGATCCCCCTGTAGGCAAAGTAAAGCTATTTATCTGTGGCTGATCTTCTACTACAAAACGTGAATATAGAAGGTTTTCTTCCACCTTGCTGTCAACCAGCACACCCAGACCTATCTCCACGTAGTTGTATCAATGCATATCGGTGAAGTGATATCTAAGTGCAAACCATGGACTGTATATACTATGGACAACTTGGCTCCGCCTTCCATCATTGAACAAATTCAAAGCTGAATTGCTCTCAGGATTTCCTCCAACTCCTAAAAGCATTATATTTTTTTGTGGGATGGTACGGGAAAGTCCTGCCTACTTCACCTCTAATTAGCTATCAAAGCTGGAAACGTCATCACATGCGCAAGCCAAAAACAGGCTGTCAGCTCTATGCATGGAACATTAAAAAAACTTAAAGTACTTCTAAATCTCCTAACACTAACATCAACCCAAACCCTAGCCAAAACCCTAACCCTAACACTAGCCCTACCCCTAACCCCACCCTAACTCTAACCCCAACACTAACCCCAAACCTAACACTAGCCCTAACACAAACCATAACTCTAGCTCCAACCCTAACCCTAGCTAGAACCCTAACCCCGGCTCCAACCCTAATCGAAGCTGCAACCCTAACCCTAACCCTACCTCCAACCCTAACCCTAACCCTAACCCTAGCTGCAACCCTAACCCTAGCTCCAACCTTAACCCTAACCCTAGCTCCAACCCTAACCCTAACCCTAGCTGCAACCCTAACCCTAGGATGAAAAATTTTCAAAAATTTTTTCCCATGCATTCCTATGGGAAAAAATCAACTTTTTTCAGGAACGTCCTAGAGACTCATTGTTGGTGAGTCTCTAGTTGGTTCATTGGACTCAGAAAAATCTTCCACCCCCCAACATGCAAGTTTCAGCGCTCTACGACCTTCCGTTCAAAATTTACCAAGGGGGTGTGTCACCTCCAAAATGCGTATAACTAACCCTAGCTGAAACCCTAACCCTAACTCCAACCTTAACCCTAACCCTAGCTCCAACCCTAACCCTAACCCTAACCCTAGCTGCAACCCTAACCCTAGCTCCAACCGTAACCCTAACCCTAGCTCCAACCCTAACCCTAACCCTAACCCTAACCCTAGCTCCAACCCTAACCCTAACCCTAACCCTAGCTCCAACCCTAACCCTAACCCTGACCCTAGCTGCAACCCTAACCCTAACCCTAGCTCCAACCCTAACCCTAACCCTTGCTCCAACCCTAACCCTAACCCTAACCCTAGCTCCAACCCTAACCCTAACCCTAACCCTAACCCTAGCTCCAACCCTAACCCTAGCCCTAACCCTAGCTCCAACCCTAACCCTAACCCTAACCCTAGCTCCAACCCTAACCCTAACCCTAACCCTAGCTCCAACCCTAACCCTAACCCTAGCTCCAACCTAACCCTAACCCTTGCTCCAACCCTAACCCTAACCCTAACCCTAGCTCCAACCCTAACCCTTACCCTAACCCTAGCTCCAACCCTAACCCTAACCCTAGCTCTAACCCTAGCTCCAACCCTAACCCTAAACCTAGCTCCAACCCTAACCCTAACCCTAACCGTAGCTCCAACCCTAACCCTAACCCTAACCCTAGCTCCATCCCTAACCCTGACCCTTGCTCCAACCCTAACCCTAACCCTAACCCTAGCTCCAACCCTAACTCTAACCCTAGCTCCAACCCTAACCCTAGCTCCAACCCTAACTCTAACCCTAACCCTAGCTCCAACCCTAACCCTAACCCTAACCCTATCTCCAACCCTAACCCTAACCCTGACCCTAGCTGCAACCCTAACTCTAGCTCCAACCCTAACCCTAACCCTAACCCTAGCTCCAACCCTAACCCTAACCCTAGCTCCAACCCTAACCCTAACCCTAACCCTAGCTCCAACCCTAACCCTAACCCTAACCCTAGCTCCAACCCTAACCCTAACCCTAACCCTAGCTCCAACCCTAACCCTAACCCTAACCCTAGCTCCAACCCTAACCCTAACTCTAACCCTAGCTCCAACCCTAACCCTAACCCTAACCCTAGCTCCAACCCTAACCCTTACCCTAACCCTAGCTCCAACCCTAACCCTAACCCTAGCTCTAACCCTAGCTCCAACCCTAACCCTAACCCTAGCTCCAACCCTAACCCTAACCCTAACCCTAGCTCCAACCCTAACCCTAAACCTTACCCTAGCTCCAACCCTAACCCTAACTTTAACCCTAGTTCCAACCCTAACCCTAACCCTAACCCTAGCTCCAACCCTAACCCTAACCCTAGCTCCAACCTAACCCTAACCCTAGCTCCAACCCTAACCCTAACCCTAGCTCCAACCCTAACCCTTACCCTAACCCTAGCTCCAACCCTAACCCTAACCCTAGCTCTAACCCTAGCTCCAACCCTAACCCTAACCCTAGCTCCAACCCTAACCCTAACCCTAACCCTAGCTCCAACCCTAACCCTAACCCTAACCCTAGCTCCATCCCTAACCCTGACCCTAGCTCCAACCCTAACCCTAACCCTAACCCTAGCTCCAACCCTAACCCTAACCCTAGCTCCAACCCTAACCCTAGCTCCAACCCTAACTCTAACCCTAACCGTAACCCTAGCTCCAACCCTAACCCTAACCCTAACCCTAGCTCCAACCCTAACCCTAACCCTAACCCTAGCTCCAACCCTAACCCTAACCCTAACCCTAGCTGCAACCCTAACTCTAGCTCCAACCCTAACCCTAACCCTAACCCTAGCTCCAACCCTAACCCTAACCCTAGCTCCAACCCTAACCCTAACCCTAACCCTAGCTCCAACCCTAACCCTAACCCTAGCTCCAACCCTAACCCTAACTCTAACCCTAGCTCCAACCCTAACCCTAACCCTAGCTCCAACCCTAACCCTAACCCTAACCCTAGCTCCAACCCTAACCCTAACCCTAACCCTGGCTCCAACCCTAACCCTAACCTAACCCTAGCTCCAACCCTAACCCTAACCCTAGCTCCAACCCTAACCCTAACCCTAACCCTAGCTCCAACCCTAACCCTAGCTCCAACCCTAACCCTAATCCTGACCCTAGCTCCAACCCTAACCCTAACCCTAGCTCCAACCCTATCCCTAACCCTAGCTCCAACCCTAACCCTAACCCTAACCCTAGCTCCAACCCTAGCTCCAACCCTAACCCTAACCGTAACCCTAGCTCCAACCCTAACCCTAACCCTAACCCTAGCTCCAACCCTAACCCTAACCCTAGCTCCAACCCTAACCCTAACCCTAACCCTAGCTGCAACCCTAACTCTAGCTCCAACCCTAACCCTAACCCTAACCCTAGCTCCAACCCTAACCCTAACCCTAGCTCCAACTCTAACCCTAACCCTAGCTCCAACCCTAACCCTAACCCTAGCTCCAACCCTAACCCTAACCCTAACCTTAGCTGCAACCCTAACTCTAGCTCCAACCCTAACCCTAACCCTAACCCTAGCTCCAACCCTAACCCTAGCTCCAACCCTAACCCTAACCCTAACCCTAGCTCGAACCCTAACCCTAACCCTAACCCTAGCTCCAACCCTAACCCTAACCCTAACCCTAGCTCCAACCCTAACCCTAACCCTAACCCTAGCTCCAACCCTAACCCTAACTCTAACCCTAGCTGCAACCCTAACCCTAGCTCCAACCCTAACCCTAACCCTAACCCTAGCTCCAACCCTAACCCTAACCCTAACCCTAGCTCCAACCCTAACCCTAACCCTAACCCTAGCTCCAACCCTAACCCTAACCCTAGCTCCAACCCTATCCCCAACCCTAGCTCCAACCCTAACCCTAACCCTTACCCTAGCTCCAACCCTAACCCTAACTTTAACCCTAGTTCCAACCCTAACCCTAACCCTAACCCTAGCTCCAACCCTAACCCTAACCCTAGCTCCAACCTAACCCTAACCCTAGCTCCAACCCTAACCCTAACCCTAACCCTAGCTCCAACCCTAACCCTTACCCTAACCCTAGCTCCAACCCTAACCCTAACCCTAGCTCTAACCCTAGCTCCAACCCTAACCCTAACCCTAACCGTAGCTCCAACCCTAACCCTAACCCTAACCCTAGCTCCATCCCTAACCCTGACCCTGCTCCAACCCTAACCCTAACCCTAACCCTAACCCTAGCTCCAACCCTAACTCTAACCCTAGCTCCAACCCTAACCCTAGCTCCAACCCTAACTCTAACCCTAACCGTAACCCTAGCTCCAACCCTAACCCTAACCCTAGCTCCAACCCTAACCCTAACCCTAACCCTATCTCCAACCCTAACCCTAACCCTGACCCTAGCTGCAACCCTAACTCTAGCTCCAACCCTAACCCTAACCCTAACCCTAGCTCCAACCCTAACCCTAACCCTAGCTCCAACCCTAACCCTAACCCTAGCTCCAACCCTAACCCTAACCCTAACCCTAGCTCCAACCCTAACCCTAACCCTAACCCTAGCTCCAACCCTAACCCTAACCCTAACCCTAGCTCCAACCCTAACCCTAACCCTAACCCTAGCTCCAACCCTAACCCTAACTCTAACCCTAGCTCCAACCCTAACCCTAACCCTAACCCTAGCTCCAACCCTAACCCTAACCCTAACCCTAGCTCCAACCCTAACCCTAACCCTAACCCTAGCTCCAACCCTAACCCTAACCCTAGCTCCAACCCTATCCCCAACCCTAGCTCCAACCCTAACCCTAAACCTTACCCTAGCTCCAACCCTAACCCTAACTTTAACCCTAGTTCCAACCCTAACCCTAACCCTAACCCTAGCTCCAACCCTAACCCTAACCCTGGCTCCAACCTAACCCTAACCCTAGCTCCAACCCTAACCCTAACCCTAACCCTAGCTCCAACCCTAACCCTAACCCTAACCCTAGCTCCAACCCTAACCCTAACCCTAACCCTAGCTCCAACCCTAACCCTAACCCTATCTCCAACCCTATCCCCAACCCTAGCTCCAACCCTAACCCTAACCCTTACCCTAGCTCCAACCCTAACCCTAACTTTAACCCTAGTTCCAACCCTAACCCTAACCCTAACCCTAGCTCCAACCCTAACCCTAACCCTAGCTCCAACCTAACCCTAACCCTAGCTCCAACCCTAACCCTAACCCTAACCCTAGCTCCAACCCTAACCCTTACCCTAACCCTAGCTCCAACCCTAACCCTAACCCTAGCTCTAACCCTAGCTCCAACCCTAACCCTAACCCTAACCGTAGCTCCAACCCTAACCCTAACCCTAACCCTAGCTCCATCCCTAACCCTGACCCTTGCTCCAACCCTAACCCTAACCCTAACCCTAGCTCCAACCCTAACTCTAACCCTAGCTCCAACCCTAACCCTAGCTCCAACCCTAACTCTAACCCTAACCGTAACCCTAGCTCCAACCCTAACCCTAACCCTAGCTCCAACCCTAACCCTAACCCTAACCCTATCTCCAACCCTAACCCTAACGCTGACCCTAGCTGCAACCCTAACTCTAGCTCCAACCCTAACCCTAACCCTAACCCTAGCTCCAACCCTAACCCTAACCCTAGCTCCAACCCTAACCCTAACCCTAGCTCCAACCCTAACCCTAACCCTAACCCTAGCTCCAACCCTAACCCTAACCCTAACCCTAGCTCCAACCCTAACCCTAACCCTAACCCTAGCTCCAACCCTAACCCTAACCCTAACCCTAGCTCCAACCCTAACCCTAACTCTAACCCTAGCTCCAACCCTAACCCTAACCCTAACCCTAGCTCCAACCCTAACCCTAACCCTAACCCTAGCTCCAACCCTAACCCTAACCCTAACCCTAGCTCCAACCCTAACCCTAACCCTAGCTCCAACCCTATCCCCAACCCTAGCTCCAACCCTAACCCTAAACCTTACCCTAGCTCCAACCCTAACCCTAACTTTAACCCTAGTTCCAACCCTAACCCTAACCCTAACCCTAGCTCCAACCCTAACCCTAACCCTAGCTCCAACCTAACCCTAACCCTAGCTCCAACCCTAACCCTAGCTCCAACCCTAACCCTAACCCTAACCCTAGCTCCAACCCTAACCCTAACCCTAGCACTATCCCTAGCTCCAACCCTAACCCTAACCCTAGCTCCAACCCTAACCCTAACCCTAACCCTAGCTCCAACCCTAACCCTAACCCTAACCCTAGCTCCATCCCTAACCCTGACCCTAGCTCCAACCCTAACCCTAACCCTAACCCTAGCTCCAACCCTAACCCTAGCTCCAACCCTAACTCTAACCCTAACCGTAACCCTAGCTCCAACCCTAACCCTAACCCTAACCCTAGCTCCAACCCTAACCCTAACCCTAACCCTAGCTCCAACCCTAACCCTAACCCTAACCCTAGCTGCAACCCTAACTCTAGCTCCAACCCTAACCCTAACCCTAACCCTAGCTCCAACCCTAACCCTAACCCTAGCTCCAACCCTAACCCTAACCCTAGCTCCAACCCTAACCCTAACCCTAACCCTAGCTCCAACCCTAACCCTAACCCTAACCCTAGCTCCAACCCTAACCCTAACCCTAGCTCCAACCCTAACCCTAACCCTAACCCTAGCTCCAACCCTAACCCTAACCCTAACCCTAGCTCCAACCCTAACCCTAACTCTAACCCTAGCTCCAACCCTAACCCTAACCCTAACCCTAGCTCCAACCCTAACCCTAACCCCAACCCTAGCTCCAACCCTAACCCTAACCCTAACCCTAGCTCCAACCCTAACCCTAACCCTAACCCTAGCTCCAACCCTAGCTCCAACCCTAACCCTAACCCTAACCCTAGCTCCAACCCTAACCCTAACTCTAACCCTAGCTGCAACCCTAACTCTAGCTCCAACCCTAACCCTAACCCTAACCCTAGCTCCAACCCTAACCCTAACCCTAACCCTAGCTCCAACCCTAACCCTAACCCTAGCTCCAACCCTATCCCCAACCCTAGCTCCAACCCTAACCCTAACCCTTACCCTAGCTCCAACCCTAACCCTAACTTTAACCCTAGTTCCAACCCTAACCCTAACCCTAACCCTAGCTCCAACCCTAACCCTAACCCTAGCTCCAACCTAAACTTAACCCTAGCTCCAACCCTAACCCTAACCCTAACCCTAGCTCCAACCCTAACCCTTACCCTAACCCTAGCTCCAACCCTAACCCTAACCCTAACCCTAAACCCTAACCCTAACCCTAACCCTAACCCTAACCCTAACCCCCGAAAACTTCACCCACAATCAGGTTCTATGGACTCCCGTGGCCTAAAACGTGCTCCTAACACAATTCTGGAAGGTGAAAAATTGGGTCCGCACTTAGGAAAATCTTCAGATTTTGGGAAAATCTTCACATTTTCCTAACCCTAACCCTAACCCTAGCTCCAACCCTAACCCTAACCCTAGCTCCAACCCTAACCCTAACCCTAGCTCCAACCCTAACCCTAACCCTAGCTCCAGCCCTAACCCTAACCCCTAGCCCAAAGTCTCACCCTAACCCTAACCGTCGGACATGTGCAGCACCACCTCTGGTCAAAAGCGGTATGACACCTCTTTTTGCAAAGTCGCCCTCAAATGACAGGAAATAGCCTGAAACGTGCTCACAATGCATTTTCAACACTTCCAGACAAGTACAACACTTGCAAACACTGACTTTGGCCATTTTCCGCTCCCATTCATTTTCAATGGGAAATTTTCACTTCGCCATAACTTTTGATAGGAATGTCCGATCGCTGGTTCATTACTATTTCTAGATTCAGCATACCCGAAAATGGGGGGGTAGACCAAATCTCAGCCCGGTTCATCGATGGGAAAGGCAATGAACCGGCATGTCAAAAGTGGCACATATCCCTATATCCTAACCCTAGCTCCAACCTTAACCCTAACCCTAGCTCCAACCCTAACCCTAACCCTAACCCTAGCTGCAACCCTAACCCTAGCTCCAACCGTAACCCTAACCCTAGCTCCAACCCTAACCCTAACCCTAACCCTAACCCTAGCTCCAACCCTAACCCTAACCCTAACCCTAGCTCCAACCCTAACCCTAACCCTGACCCTAGCTGCAACCCTAACCCTAACCCTAGCTCCAACCCTAACCCTAACCCTTGCTCCAACCCTAACCCTAACCCTAACCCTAGCTCCAACCCTAACCCTAACCCTAACCCTAACCCTAGCTCCAACCCTAACCCTAGCCCTAACCCTAGCTCCAACCCTAACCCTAACCCTAACCCTAGCTCCAACCCTAACCCTAACCCTAACCCTAGCTCCAACCCTAACCCTAACCCTAGCTCCAACCTAACCCTAACCCTTGCTCCAACCCTAACCCTAACCCTAGCTCCAACCCTAACCCTTACCCTAACCCTAGCTCCAACCCTAACCCTAACCCTAGCTCTAACCCTAGCTCCAACCCTAACCCTAAACCTAGCTCCAACCCTAACCCTAACCCTAACCGTAGCTCCAACCCTAACCCTAACCCTAACCCTAGCTCCATCCCTAACCCTGACCCTTGCTCCAACCCTAACCCTAACCCTAACCCTAGCTCCAACCCTAACTCTAACCCTAGCTCCAACCCTAACCCTAGCTCCAACCCTAACTCTAACCCTAACCCTAGCTCCAACCCTAACCCTAACCCTAACCCTATCTCCAACCCTAACCCTAACCCTGACCCTAGCTGCAACCCTAACTCTAGCTCCAACCCTAACCCTAACCCTAACCCTAGCTCCAACCCTAACCCTAACCCTAGCTCCAACCCTAACCCTAACCCTAACCCTAGCTCCAACCCTAACCCTAACCCTAACCCTAGCTCCAACCCTAACCCTAACCCTAACCCTAGCTCCAACCCTAACCCTAACCCTAACCCTAGCTCCAACCCTAACCCTAACTCTAACCCTAGCTCCAACCCTAACCCTAACCCTAACCCTAGCTCCAACCCTAACCCTTACCCTAACCCTAGCTCCAACCCTAACCCTAACCCTAGCTCTAACCCTAGCTCCAACCCTAACCCTAACCCTAGCTCCAACCCTAACCCTAACCCTAACCCTAGCTCCAACCCTAACCCTAAACCTTACCCTAGCTCCAACCCTAACCCTAACTTTAACCCTAGTTCCAACCCTAACCCTAACCCTAACCCTAGCTCCAACCCTAACCCTAACCCTAGCTCCAACCTAACCCTAACCCTAGCTCCAACCCTAACCCTAACCCTAGCTCCAACCCTAACCCTTACCCTAACCCTAGCTCCAACCCTAACCCTAACCCTAGCTCTAACCCTAGCTCCAACCCTAACCCTAACCCTAGCTCCAACCCTAACCCTAACCCTAACCCTAGCTCCAACCCTAACCCTAACCCTAACCCTAGCTCCATCCCTAACCCTGACCCTAGCTCCAACCCTAACCCTAACCCTAACCCTAGCTCCAACCCTAACCCTAACCCTAGCTCCAACCCTAACCCTAGCTCCAACCCTAACTCTAACCCTAACCGTAACCCTAGCTCCAACCCTAACCCTAACCCTAACCCTAGCTCCAACCCTAACCCTAACCCTAACCCTAGCTCCAACCCTAACCCTAACCCTAACCCTAGCTGCAACCCTAACTCTAGCTCCAACCCTAACCCTAACCCTAACCCTAGCTCCAACCCTAACCCTAACCCTAGCTCCAACCCTAACCCTAACCCTAACCCTAGCTCCAACCCTAACCCTAACCCTAGCTCCAACCCTAACCCTAACCCTAACCCTAGCTCCAACCCTAACCCTAACCCTAGCTCCAACCCTAACCCTAACCCTAACCCTAGCTCCAACCCTAACCCTAACCCTAACCCTGGCTCCAACCCTAACCCTAACTCTAACCCTAGCTCCAACCCTAACCCTAACCCTAGCTCCAACCCTAACCCTAACCCTAACCCTAGCTCCAACCCTAACCCTAGCTCCAACCCTAACCCTAATCCTGACCCTAGCTCCAACCCTAACCCTAACCCTAGCTCCAACCCTATCCCTAACCCTAGCTCCAACCCTAACCCTAACCCTAACCCTAGCTCCAACCCTAGCTCCAACCCTAACCCTAACCGTAACCCTAGCTCCAACCCTAACCCTAACCCTAACCCTAGCTCCAACCCTAACCCTAACCCTAGCTCCAACCCTAACCCTAACCCTAACCCTAGCTGCAACCCTAACTCTAGCTCCAACCCTAACCCTAACCCTAACCCTAGCTCCAACCCTAACCCTAACCCTAGCTCCAACTCTAACCCTAACCCTAGCTCCAACCCTAACCCTAACCCTAGCTCCAACCCTAACCCTAACCCTAACCTTAGCTGCAACCCTAACTCTAGCTCCAACCCTAACCCTAACCCTAACCCTAGCTCCAACCCTAACCCTAGCTCCAACCCTAACCCTAACCCTAACCCTAGCTCGAACCCTAACCCTAACCCTAACCCTAGCTCCAACCCTAACCCTAACCCTAACCCTAGCTCCAACCCTAACCCTAACCCTAACCCTAGCTCCAACCCTAACCCTAACTCTAACCCTAGCTGCAACCCTAACCCTAGCTCCAACCCTAACCCTAACCCTAACCCTAGCTCCAACCCTAACCCTAACCCTAACCCTAGCTCCAACCCTAACCCTAACCCTAACCCTAGCTCCAACCCTAACCCTAACCCTAGCTCCAACCCTATCCCCAACCCTAGCTCCAACCCTAACCCTAACCCTTACCCTAGCTCCAACCCTAACCCTAACTTTAACCCTAGTTCCAACCCTAACCCTAACCCTAACCCTAGCTCCAACCCTAACCCTAACCCTAGCTCCAACCTAACCCTAACCCTAGCTCCAACCCTAACCCTAACCCTAACCCTAGCTCCAACCCTAACCCTTACCCTAACCCTAGCTCCAACCCTAACCCTAACCCTAGCTCTAACCCTAGCTCCAACCCTAACCCTAACCCTAACCGTAGCTCCAACCCTAACCCTAACCCTAACCCTAGCTCCATCCCTAACCCTGACCCTTGCTCCAACCCTAACCCTAACCCTAACCCTAGCTCCAACCCTAACTCTAACCCTAGCTCCAACCCTAACCCTAGCTCCAACCCTAACTCTAACCCTAACCGTAACCCTAGCTCCAACCCTAACCCTAACCCTAGCTCCAACCCTAACCCTAACCCTAACCCTATCTCCAACCCTAACCCTAACCCTGACCCTAGCTGCAACCCTAACTCTAGCTCCAACCCTAACCCTAACCCTAACCCTAGCTCCAACCCTAACCCTAACCCTAGCTCCAACCCTAACCCTAACCCTAGCTCCAACCCTAACCCTAACCCTAACCGTAGCTGCAACCCAAACCCTAACCCTAACCCTAGCTCCAACCATAACCCTAACCCTAACCGTAGCTCCAACCCTAACCCTAACCCTAACCCTAGCTCCAACCCTAACCCTAACTCTAACCCTAGCTCCAACCCTAACCCTAACCCTAACCCTAGCTCCAACCCTAACCCTAACCCTAACCCTAGCTCCAACCCTAACCCTAACCCTAACCCTAGCTCCAACCCTAACCCTAACCCTAGCTCCAACCCTATCCCCAACCCTAGCTCCAACCCTAACCCTAAACCTTACCCTAGCTCCAACCCTAACCCTAACTTTAACCCTAGTTCCAACCCTAACCCTAACCCTAACCCTAGCTCCAACCCTAACCCTAACCCTGGCTCCAACCTAACCCTAACCCTAGCTCCAACCCTAACCCTAACCCTAACCCTAGCTCCAACCCTAACCCTAACCCTAACCCTAGCTCCAACCCTAACCCTAACCCTAACCCTAGCTCCAACCCTAACCCTAACCCTAGCTCCAACCCTATCCCCAACCCTAGCTCCAACCCTAACCCTAACCCTTACCCTAGCTCCAACCCTAACCCTAACTTTAACCCTAGTTCCAACCCTAACCCTAACCCTAACCCTAGCTCCAACCCTAACCCTAACCCTAGCTCCAACCTAACCCTAACCCTAGCTCCAACCCTAACCCTAACCCTAACCCTAGCTCCAACCCTAACCCTTACCCTAACCCTAGCTCCAACCCTAACCCTAACCCTAGCTCTAACCCTAGCTCCAACCCTAACCCTAACCCTAACCGTAGCTCCAACCCTAACCCTAACCCTAACCCTAGCTCCATCCCTAACCCTGACCCTTGCTCCAACCCTAACCCTAACCCTAACCCTAGCTCCAACCCTAACTCTAACCCTAGCTCCAACCCTAACCCTAGCTCCAACCCTAACTCTAACCCTAACCGTAACCCTAGCTCCAACCCTAACCCTAACCCTAGCTCCAACCCTAACCCTAACCCTAACCCTATCTCCAACCCTAACCCTAACGCTGACCCTAGCTGCAACCCTAACTCTAGCTCCAACCCTAACCCTAACCCTAACCCTAGCTCCAACCTAACCCTAACCCTAGCTCCAACCCTAACCCTAACCCTAGCTCCAACCCTAACCCTAACCCTAACCCTAGCTCCAACCCTAACCCTAACCCTAACCCTAGCTCCAACCCTAACCCTAACCCTAACCCTATCTCTAACCCTAACCCTAACCCTAACCCTAGCTCCAACCCTAACCCTAACTCTAACCCTAGCTCCAACCCTAACCCTAACCCTAACCCTAGCTCCAACCCTAACCCTAACCCTAACCCTAGCTCCAACCCTAACCCTAACCCTAACCCTAGCTCCAACCCTAACCCTAACCCTAGCTCCAACCCTATCCCCAACCCTAGCTCCAACCCTAACCCTAAACCTTACCCTAGCTCCAACCCTAACCCTAACCCTAACCCTAGCTCCAACCCTAACCCTAACCCTAACCCTAGCTCCAACCCTAACCCTAACCCTAGCTCCAACCTAACCCTAACCCTAGCTCCAACCCTAACCCTAGCTCCAACCCTAACCCTTACCCTAACCCTAGCTCCAACCCTAACCCTAACCCTAGCTCTATCCCTAGCTCCAACCCTAACCCTAACCCTAGCTCCAACCCTAACCCTAACCCTAACCCTAGCTCCAACCCTAACCCTAACCCTAACCCTAGCTCCATCCCTAACCCTGACCCTAGCTCCAACCCTAACCCTAACCCTAACCCTAGCTCCAACCCTAACCCTAGCTCCAACCCTAACTCTAACCCTAACCGTAACCCTAGCTCCAACCCTAACCCTAACCCTAACCCTAGCTCCAACCCTAACCCTAACCCTAACCCTAGCTCCAACCCTAACCCTAACCCTAACCCTAGCTGCAACCCTAACTCTAGCTCCAACCCTAACCCTAACCCTAACCCTAGCTCCAACCCTAACCCTAACCCTAGCTCCAACCCTAACCCTAACCCTAGCTCCAACCCTAACCCTAACCCTAACCCTAGCTCCAACCCTAACCCTAACCCTAACCCTAGCTCCAACCCTAACCCTAACCCTAGCTCCAACCCTAACCCTAACCCTAACCCTAGCTCCAACCCTAACCCTAACCCTAACCCTAGCTCCAACCCTAACCCTAACTCTAACCCTAGCTCCAACCCTAACCCTAACCCTAACCCTAGCTCCAACCCTAACCCTAACCCCAACCCTAGCTCCAACCCTAACCCTAACCCTAACCCTAGCTCCAACCCTAACCCTAACCCTAACCCTAGCTCCAACCCTAGCTCCAACCCTAACCCTAACCCTAACCCTAGCTCCAACCCTAACCCTAACTCTAACCCTAGCTGCAACCCTAACTCTAGCTCCAACCCTAACCCTAACCCTAACCCTAGCTCCAACCCTAACCCTAACCCTAACCCTAGCTCCAACCCTAACCCTAACCCTAGCTCCAACCCTATCCCCAACCCTAGCTCCAACCCTAACCCTAACCCTTACCCTAGCTCCAACCCTAACCCTAACTTTAACCCTAGTTCCAACCCTAACCCTAACCCTAACCCTAGCTCCAACCCTAACCCTAACCCTAGCTCCAACCTAAACTTAACCCTAGCTCCAACCCTAACCCTAACCCTAACCCTAGCTCCAACCCTAACCCTTACCCTAACCCTAGCTCCAACCCTAACCCTAACCCTAACCCTAAACCCTAACCCTAACCCTAACCCTAACCCTAACCCTAACCCCCGAAAACTTCACCCAGAATCAGGTTCTATGGACTCCCCGTGGCCTGAAACGTGCTCCTAACACAATTCTGGAAGGTGAAAAATTGGGTCCGCACTTAGGAAAATCTTCAGATTTTGGGAAAATCTTCACATTTTCCTAACCCTAACCCTAACCCTAGCTCCAACCCTAACCCTAACCCTAGCTCCAACCCTAACCCTAACCCTAGCTCCAACCCTAACCCTAACCCTAGCTCCAGCCCTAACCCTAACCCCTAGCCCAAAGTCTCACCCTAACCCTAACCGTCGGACATGTGCAGCACCACCTCTGGTCAAAAGCGGTATGACACCTCTTTTTGCAAAGTCGCCCTCAAATGACAGGAAATAGCCTGAAACGTGCTCACAATGCATTTTCAACACTTCCAGACAAGTACAACACTTGCAAACACTGACTTTGGCCATTTTCCGCTCCCATTCATTTTCAATGGGAAATTTTCACTTCGCCATAACTTTTGATAGGAATGTCCGATCGCTGGTTCATTACTATTTCTAGATTCAGCATACCCGAAAATGGGGGGGTAGACCAAATCTCAGCCCGGTTCATCGATGGGAAAGGCAATGAACCGGCATGTCAAAAGTGGCACATATCCCTATATCATCCTGCCGCAAAGCTCCAACCCCCGAAAACTTCACCCAGAATCAGGTTCTATGGACTCCCCGTGGCCTGAAACGTGCTCCTAACACAATTCTGGAAGGTGAAAAATTGGGTCCGCACTTAGGAAAATCTTCAGATTTTGGGAAAATCTTCACATTTTCCTAACCCTAACCCTAACCCTAGCTCCAACCCTAACCCTAACCCTAGCTCCAACCCTAACCCTAACCCTAGCTCCAACCCTAACCCTAACCCTAGCTCCAACCCTAACCCTAACCCCTAGCCCAAAGTCTCACCCTAACCCTAACCGTCGGACATGTGCAGCACAACCTCTGGTCAAAAGCGGTATGACACCCCTTTTTGCAAAGTCGCCCTCAAATGACAGGAAATGGCCTGAAACGTGCTCACAATGCATTTTCAACACTTCCAGACAAGTACAACACTTGCAAACACTGACTTTGGCCATTTTCCGCTCCCATTCATTTTCAATGGGAAATTTTCACTTCGCCATAACTTTTGATAGGAATGTCCGATCGCTGGTTCATTACTATTTCTAGATTCAGCATACCCGAAAATGGGGGGGGGTTGACCAAATCTCAGCCCGGTTCATCGATGGGAAAGGCAATGAACCGGCATGTCAAAAGTGGCACATATCCCTATATCCTAACTCTAGCTCCAACCCTAACCCTAACCCTAACCCTAGCTCCAACCCTAACCCTAACCCTAACCCTAGCTCCAACCCTAACCCTAACCCTAACCCTAGCTCCAACCCTAACCCTAACCCTAGCTCCAACCCTATCCCCAACCCTAGCTCCAACCCTAACCCTTACCCTAGCTCCAACCCTAACCCTAACTTTAACCCTAGTTCCAACCCTAACCCTAACCCTAACCCTAGCTCCAACCCTAACCCTAACCCTAGCTCCAACCTAAACTTAACCCTAGCTCCAACCCTAACCCTAACCCTAACCCTAGCTCCAACCCTAACCCTTACCCTAACCCTAGCTCCAACCCTAACCCTAACCCTAGCTCTAACCCTAGCTCCAACCCTAACCCTAAACCTAGCTCCAACCCTAACCCTAACCCTAACCGTAGCTCCAACCCTAACCCTAACCCTAACCCTAGCTCCATCCCTAACCCTGACCCTAGCTCCAACCCTAACCCTAACCCTAGCTCCAACCCTAACCCTAACCCTAGCTCCAACCCTAACCCTAGCTCCAACCCTAACTCTAACCCTAACCGTAACCCTAGCTCCAACCCTAACCCTAACCCTAACCCTAGCTCCAACCCTAACCCTAACCCTAACCCTAGCTCCAACCCTAGCTCCAACCCTAACCCTAACCGTAACCCTAGCTCCAACCCTAACCCTAACCCTGGCTCCAACCCTAACCCTAACCCTAACCCTAGCTCCAACCCTAACCCTAACCCTAACCCTAGCTCCATCCCTAACCCTGACCCTAGCTCCAACCCTAACCCTAACCCTAACCCTAGCTCCAACCCTAACCCTAACCCTAGCTCCAACCCTAACCCTAGCTCCAACCCTAACTCTAACCCTAACCGTAACCCTAGCTCCAACCCTAACCCTAACCCTAACCCTAGCTCCAACCCTAACCCTAACCCTAACCCTAGCTCCAACCCTAACCCTAACCCTAACCCTAGCTGCAACCCTAACTCTAGCTCCAACCCTAACCCTAACCCTAACCCTAGCTCCAACCCTAACCCTAACCCTAGCTCCAACCCTAACCCTAACCCTAACCCTAGCTCCAACCCTAACCCTAACCCTAACACTAGCTCCAACCCTAACCCTAACTCTAACCCTAGCTCCAACCCTAACCCTAACCCTAACCCTAGCTCCAACCCTAACCCTAACCCTAACCCTAGCTCCAACCCTAACCCTAACCCTAACCCTAACCCTAACCCTAGCTCCATCCCTAACCCTGACCCTTGCTCCAACCCTAACCCTAACCCTAACCCTAGCTCCAACCCTAACCCTAACCATAACCCTAACCCTTGCATTCCTATGGGAAAAAAATCAAATTTTTTTAGGAATGTCCTAGAGACTCGGGAGTTGGTTCAGTGCACTCAGAAAAATCCTAGCTCCAAGCCCAACCCTAACCCTAGCTCCAACACTAACCCTAACTCCAACCCTAACCCTAACCCTAACCCTAGCTCCAACCCTAACCCTAACCCTAACCCAGGCATTCCTATGGGAAAAAATCAAATTTTTTTAGGAATGTCCTAGAGACTCGGGAGTTGGTTCAGTGCACTCAGAAAAATCCTAGCTCCAAGCCCAACCCTAACCCTAGCTCCAACACTAACCCTAACTCCAACCCTAACCCTAACCCTAACCCTAGCTCCAACCCTAACCCTAACCATAACCCTAACCCATGCATTCCTATGGGAAAAAATCAAATTTTTTTAGGAATGTCCTAGAGACTCGGGAGTTGGTTCAGTGCACTCAGAAAAATCCTAGCTCCAAGCCCAACCCTAACCCTAGCTCCAACACTAACCCTAACTCCAACCCTAACCCTAACCCTAGCTCCAACCCTAACCCTAACCATAACCCTAACCCATGCATTCCTATGGGAAAAAATCAAATTTTTTTAGGAATGTCCTAGAGACTCGGGAGTTGGTTCAGTGCACTCAGAAAAATCCTAGCTCCAAGCCCAACCCTAACCCTAGCTCCAACACTAACCCTAACTCCAACCCTAACCCTAACCCTAACCCTAGCTCCAACCCTATCCCCAACCCTAGCTTCAACCCTAACCCTAAACCTTACCCTAGCTCCAACCCTAAACCTAACTTTAACCCTAGTTCCAACCCTAACCCTAACCCTAACCCTAGCTCCAACCCTAACCCTAACCCTAGCTCCAACCTAACCCTAACCCTAACCCTAACCCTAACCCTAACCCTAACCCTAACCCTAACCCTAGCTCCAACCCTAACCCTAACCCTAGCTCCAATCCTAACCCTAACCCTAACCCTAGCTCCAACCCTAACCCTAACCCTAACCCTGGCTCCAACCCTAACCCTAACTATAACCCTAGCTCCAACCCTAACCCTAACCCTAACCCTAGCTCCAACCCTAACCCTAACCCTAACCCTAGCTCCAACCCTAACCCTAACCCTAACCGTAACCCTAACCCTAACTCCAACCCTAACCCTAACCCTAGCTCCAACCCTAACCCTAACCCTATAGGGAAAAAATCTAATTTTTTTAGGAATGTCCTAGAGACTCGGGAGTTGGTTCAGTGCACTCAGAAAAATCCTAGCTCCAACCCTAACCCTAACCTAACCCTAGCTCCAACACTAACCCTAACCCTAGCTCCAACCCTAACCCTAACCCTAACCCTAGCTCCAACCCTAACCCTAACCCTAACCCTAGCTCCAACCCTAACCCTAACCCTAACCCTAGCTCCAACCCTAACCCTAACCCTAACCCTAGCTCCAACCCTAACCCTAACTCTAACCCTAGCTCCAACCCTAACCCTAACCCTAGCTCCAACCCTAACCCTAACCCTAACCCTAGCTCCAACCCTAACCCTAACCCTAAGCCTGGCTCCAACCCTAACCCTAACTATAACCCTAGCTCCAACCCTAACCCTAACCCTAACCCTAGCTCCAACCCTAACCCTAACCCTAACCCTAGCTCCAACCCTAACCCTAACCGTAACCCTAGCTCCAACCCTAACCCTAACCCTGACCCTAGCTCCAACCCTAACCCTAACCCTAGCTCCAACCCTAACCCTAACCCTAGCTCCAACCCTAACCCTAACTCCAACCCTAACCCTAACCCTAACCCTAACCCTAACCCTAACCCTAACCTTAGCTGCAACCCTAACTCTAGCTCCAACCCTAACCCTAACCCTAACCCTAGCTCCAACCCTAACCCTAGCTCCAACCCTAACCCTAACCCTAACCCTAGCTCCAACCCTAACCCTAACCCTAACCCTAGCTCCAACCCTAACCCTAACCCTAACCCTAGCTCCAACCCTAACCCTAACCCTAACCCTAGCTCCAAGCCCAACCCTAACCCTAGCTCCAACACTAACCCTAACTCCAACCCTAACCCTAACCCTAACCCTAGCTCCAACCCTAACCCTAACCCTAACCCTAGCATGCATTCCTATGGGAAAAAATCTAATTTTTTTAGGAACGTCCAAGAGACTCGGGACCCTTGCTCCAACCCTATCCCCAACCCTAGCTCCAACCCTAACCCTAACCCTTACCCTAGCTCCAACCCTAACCCTAACTTTAACCCTAGTTCCAACCTTAACCCTAACCCTAACCCTAGCTCCAACCCTAACCCTAACCCTAACCCTAACCCTAACCCTAGCTCCAACCCTAACCCTAACCCTAACCCTAGCTCCAACCCTAACCCTAACCCTAACCCTAGCTCCAACCCTAACCCTAACCCTAGCTCCAACCCTATCCCCAACCCTAGCTCCAACCCTAACCCTAACCCTTAACCTAGCTCCAACCCTAACCCTAACTTTAACCCTAGTTCCAACCCTAACCCTAACCCTAACCCTAGCTCCAACCCTAACCCTAACCCTAGCTCCAACCCTAACCCTAACCCTAGCTCCAACCCTAACCCTAACCCTAACCCTAGCTCCAACCCTAACCCTAACTAACCCTAACCCTAGCTCCAACCCTAACCCTAACCCTAGCTCTAACCCTAGCTCCAACCCTAACCCTAAACCCTAGCTCCAACCCTAACCCTAACCCTAACCCTAGCTCCAACCCTAACCCTAACCCTAACCCTAGCTCCATCCCTAACCCTAACCCTAACCCTAGCTCCAACCCTAACCCTAACCCTAACCCTAGCTCCAACCCTAACCCTAACCCTAGCTCCAACCCTAACCCTAGCTCCAACCCTAACCCTAACCCTAACCGTAACCCTAGCTCCAACCCTAACCCTAACCCTAACCCTAGCTCCAACCCTAACCCTAACCCTAACCCTATCTCCAACCCTAACCCTAACCCTGACCCTAGCTGCAACCCTAACTCTAGCTCCAACCCTAACCCTAACCCTAACCCTAGCTCCAACCCTAACCCTAACCCTAGCTCCAACCCTAACCCTAACCCTAACCCTAGCTCCAACCCTAACCCTAACCCTAACCCTAGCTCCAACCCTAACCCTAACCCTAGCTCCAACCCTAACCCTAACCCTAGCTCCAACCCTAACCCTAACCCTAACCCTAGCTCCAACCCTAACCCTAACCCTAACCCTAGCTCCAACCCTAACCCTAACTCTAACCCTAGCTCCAACCCTAACCCTAACCCTAACCCTACCTCCAACCCTAACCCTAACCCTAGCTCCAACCCTAACCCTAAACCTTACCCTAGCTCCAACCCTAACCCTAACTTTAACCCTAGTTCCAACCCTAACCCTAACCCTAACCTAGCTCCAACCCTAACCCTAACCCTAGCTCCAACCCTAACCCTAACCCTAGCTCCAACCCTAACCCTAACCCTAGCTCCAACCCTAACCCTAACCCTAACCCTAGCTCCAACCCTAACCCTAACCCTAGCTCTAACCCTAGCTCCAACCCTAACCCTAACCCTAGCTCCAACCCTAACCCTAGCTCCAACCCTAACTCTAACCCTAACCGTAACCCTAGCTCCAACCCTAACCCTAACCCTAACCCTAGCTCCAACCCTAACCCTAACCCTAACCCTAGCTCCAACCCTAACCCTAACCCTAACCCTAACCCTAGCTGCAACCCTAACTCTAGCTCCAACCCTAACCCTAACCCTAACCCTAGCTCCAACCCTAACCCTAACCCTAGCTCCAACCCTAACCCTAACCCTAGCTCCAACCCTAACCCTAACCCTAACCCTAGCTCCAACCCTAACCCTAACTCTAACCCTAGCTCCAACCCTAACCCTAACCCTAACCCATGCATTCCTATGGGAAAAAATCAATTTTTTTTAGGAACGTCCTAGAGACTCGGGAGTTGGTTCAGTGCACTCAGAAAAATCCTAGCTCCAAGCCCAACCCTAACCCTAGCTCCAACACTAACCCTAACTCCAACCCTAACCCTAAACCTAACCCTAGCTCCAACCCTAACCCTAACCATAACCCTAACCCATGCATTCCTATGGGAAACAAATCAATTTTTTTTAGGAATGTCCTAGAGACTCGGGAGTTGGTTCAGTGCACTCAGAAAAATCCTAGCTCCAAGCCCAACCCTAACCCTAGCTCCAACACTAACCCTAACTCCAACCCTAACCCTAACCCTAACCCTAGCTCCAACCCTAACCCTAACCCTAACCCTAACCCATGCATTCCTATGGGAAAAAATCAAATTTTTTTAGGAATGTCCTAGAGACTCGGGAGTTGGTTCAGTGCACTCAGAAAAATCCTAGCTCCAAGCCCAACCCTAACCCTAGCTCCAACACTAACCCTAACTCCAACCCTAACCCTAACCCTAACCCTAGCTCCAACCCTAACCCTAACCCTAACCCATGCATTCCTATGGGAAAAAATCAAATTTTTTTAGGAACGTCCTAGAGACTCGGGAGTTGGTTCATTGCACTCAGAAAAGTCCTAGCTCCAAGCCCAACCCTAACCCTAGCTCCAACACTAACCCTAACTCCAACCCTAACCCTAACCCTAACCCTAGCTCCAACCCTAACCCTAACCCTAACCCATGCATTCCTATGGGAAAAAAATCAAATTTTTTTAGGAACGTCCTAGAGACTCGGGAGTTGGTTCATTGCACTCAGAAAAATCCTAGCTCCAAGCCCAACCCTAACCCTAGCTCCAACACTAACCCTAACTCCAACCCTAACCCTAACACTAACCCTAACTCCAACCCTAACCCTAACCCTAACCCTAGCTCCAACCCTAACCCTAACCATAACCCTAACCCATGCATTCCTATGGGAAAAAATCAAATTTTTTTAGGAATGTCCTAGAGACTCGGGAAAAGGTTCAGTGCACTCAGAAAAATCCTAGCTCCAAGCCCAACCCTAACCCTAGCTCCAACACTAACCCTAACTCCAACCCTAACCCTAACACTAACCCTAACTCCAACCCTAACCCTAACCCTAACCCTAGCTCCAACCCTAACCCTAACCATAACCCTAACTCCAACCCTAACCCTAACCCGAACCCTAGCTCCAACCCTAACCCTAACCCTAACCCATGCATTCCTATGGGAAAAAATCAAATTTTTTTAGGGAACGTCCTAGAGACTCGGGAATTGGTTCATTGCACTCAGAAAAATCCTAGCTCCGAGCCCAACCCTAACCCTAGCTCCAACACTAACCCTAACTCCAACCCTAACCCTAACCCTAACCCTAGCTCCAACCTTAACCCTAACCCTAACCCTAGCTCCAACCCTAACCCTAACCCTAGCTCCAACCCTAACCCTAACCCTAGCTCCAACCCTAGCTCCAACCCTAACCCTAACCGTAACCCTAGCTCCAACCCTAACCCTAACCCTAACCCTAGCTCCAACCCTAACCCTAACCCTAACCCTAGCTCCAACCCTAACCCTAACTCTAACCCTAGCTCCAACCCTAACCCTAACCCTAACCCTAGCTCCAACCCTAACCCTAACCCTAACCCTAGCTCCAACCCTAACCCTAACCCTAACCCTAGCTCCAACCCTAGCTCCAACCCTAACCCTAACCGTAACCCTAGCTCCAACCCTAACCCTAACCCTAACCCTAGCTCCAACCCTAACCCTAACCCTAACCCTAGCTCCAACCCTAACCCTAACCCTAACCCTAGCTGCAACCCTAACTCTAGCTCCAACCCTAACCCTAACCCTAACCCTAACCCTAGCTCCAACCCTAACCCTAACCCTAGCTCCAACCCTAACCCTAACCCTAACCTTAGCTGCAACCCTAACTCTAGCTCCAACCCTAACCCTAACCCTAACCCTAACCCTAGCTCCAACCCTAACCCTAGCTCCAACTCTAACTCTAACCCTAACCCTAGCTCCAACCCTAACCCTAACCCTAACCCTAGCTCCAACCCTAACCCTAACCCTAACCCTAGCTCCAACCCTAACCCTAACCCTAACCCTAGCTCCAACCCTAACCCTAACTCTAACCATAGCTGCAACCCTAACCATAGCTGCAACCCTAACCCTAGCTCCAACCCTAACCCTAACCCTAACCCTAGCTCCAACCCTAACCCTAACCCTAACCCTAGCTCCAACCCTAACCCTAACCCTAACCCTAGCTCCAACCCTAACTCTAACCCTAGCTCCAACCCTAACCCTAGCTCCAACCCTAACTCTAACCCTGACCGTAACCCTAGCTCAAACCCTAACCCTAACCCTAACCCTAGCTCCAACCCTAACCCTAACCCTAACCCTAGCTCCAACCCTAACCCTAACCCTAACCCTAGCTCCAACCCTAACCCTAACCCTAACCCTAGCTCCAACCCTAACCCTAACTCTAACCCTAGCTCCAACCCTAACCCTAACCCTAACCCTAGCTCCAACCCTAACCCTAACCCTAACCCTAGCTCCAACCCTAACCCTAACCCTAGCTCACTAACCCTAACCCTAACCCTAGCTCCAACCCTAACCCTAACCCTAACCCTAGCTCCAACCCTAACCCTAACCCTAACCCTAGCTCCAACCCTAACCCTAACTTTAACCCTAGTTCCAACCCTAACCCTAACTCTAACCCTAGCTCCAACCCTAACCCTAACCCTAGCTCCAACCCTAACCCTAACCCTAGCTCCAACCCTAACCCTAACCCTAACCCTAGCTCCAACCCTAACCCTAACCCTAGCTCTAACCCTAGCTCCAACCCTAACCCTAACCCTAGCTCCAACCCTAACCCTAACCCTAACCCTAGCTCCAACCCTAACCCTAACCCTAACCCTAGCTCCATCCCTAACCCTGACCCTAGCTCCAACCCTAACCCTAACCCTAACCCTAGCTCCAACCCTAACCCTAGCTCCAACCCTAACTCTAACCCTAACCGTAACCCTAGCTCCAACCCTAACCCTAACCCTAACCCTAGCTCCAACCCTAACCCTAACCCTAACCCTAGCTCCAACCCTAACCCTTACCCTAACCCTAGCTGCAACCCTAACTCTAGCTCCAACCCTAACCCTAACCCTAACCCTAGCTCCAACCCTAACCCTAACCCTAGCTCCAACCCTAACCCTAACCCTAACCCTAACCCTAGCTCCAACCCTAACCCTAACCCTAACCCTAGCTCCAACCCTAACCCTAACCCTAACCCTAGCTCCAACCCTAACCCTAACCCTAACCCTAGCTCCAACCCTAACCCTAACCCTAACCCTAGCTCCAACCCTAACCCTAACCCTAACCCTAGCTCCAACCCTAACCCTAACTCTAACCCTAGCTCCAACCCTAACCCTAACCCTAACCCTAGCTCCAACCCTAACCCTAACCCTAACCCTAGCTCCAACCCTAACCCTAACCCTAACCCTAGCTCCAACCCTAACCCTAACCCTAACCCTAGCTCCAACCCTAACCCTAACTCTAACCCTAGCTCCAACCCTAACCCTAACCCTAGCTCCAATCCTAACCCTAACCCTAACCCTAGCTCCAACCCTAACCCTAACCCTAACCCTGGCTCCAACCCTAACCCTAACTATAACCCTAGCTCCAACCCTAACCCTAACCCTAACCCTAGCTCCAACCCTAACCCTAACCCTAACCCTAGCTCCAACCCTAACCCTAACCCTAACCGTAACCCTAGCTCCAACCCTAACCCTAACCCTAACCCTAGCTCCAACCCTAACCCTAACCCTAACCCTAGCTCCAACCCTAACCCTAACCCTAACCCTAGCTGCAACCCTAACTCCTAGCTCCAACCCTAACCCTAACCCTAACCCTAGCTCCAACCCTAACCCTAACCCTAGCTCCAACCCTAACCCTAACCCTAACCCTAGCTCCAACCCTAACCCTAACCCTAACCCTAGCTCCAACCCTAACCCTAACCCTAACCCTAGCTCCAACCCTAACCCTAACCCTAACCTAGCTCCAACCCTAACCCTAACTCTAACCCTAGCTCCAACCCTAACCCTAACCCTAGCTCCAACCCTAACCCTAACCCTAACCCTAGCTCCAACCCTAACCCTAACCCTAAGCCTGGCTCCAACCCTAACCCTAACTATAACCCTAGCTCCAACCCTAACCCTAACCCTAACCCTAGCTCCAACCCTAACCCTAACCCTAACCCTAGCTCCAACCCTAACCCTAACCCTAACCCTAGCTCCAACCCTAACCCTAACCCTAACCCTAGCTCCAACCCTAACCCTAACCCTAGCTCCAACCCTAACCCTAACCCTAGCTCCAACCCTAACCCTAACCCTAACCCTAACCCCAACCCTAACCCTAACCCTAGCTCCAACCCTAACCCTAACCCTAGCTCCAACCCTAACCCTATCCCTAACCTTAGCTGCAACCCTAACTCTAGCTCCAACCCTAACCCTAACCCTAACCCTAGCTCCAACCCTAACCCTAGCTCCAACCCTAACCCTAACCCTAACCCTAGCTCCAACCCTAACCCTAACCCTAACCCTAGCTCCAACCCTAACCCTAACCCTAACCCTAGCTCCAACCCTAACCCTAACCCTAACCCTAGCTCCAACCCTAACCCTAACTCTAACCCTAGCTGCAACCCTAACCCTAGCTCCAACCCTAACCCTAACCCTAACCCTAGCTCCAACCCTAACCCTAACCCTAACCCTAGCTCCAACCCTAACCCTAACCCTAACCCTAGCTCCAACCCTAACCCTAACCCTAGCTCCAACCCTATCCCCAACCCTAGCTCCAACCCTAACCCTAACCCTACCCTAGCTCCAACCCTAACCCTAACTTTAACCCTAGTTCCAACCCTAACCCTAACCCTAACCCTAGCTCCAACCCTAACCCTAACCCTAACCCTAACCCTAACCCTAGCTCCAACCCTAACCCTAACCCTAACCCTAGCTCCAACCCTAACCCTAACCCTAACCCTAGCTCCAACCCTAACCCTAACCCTAGCTCCAACCCTATCCCCAACCCTAGCTCCAACCCTAACCCTAACCCTTAACCTAGCTCCAACCCTAACCCTAACTTTAACCCTAGTTCCAACCCTAACCCTAACCCTAACCCTAGCTCCAACCCTAACCCTAACCCTAGCTCCAACCTAACCCTAACCCTAGCTCCAACCCTAACCCTAACCCTAACCCTAGCTCCAACCCTAACCCTTACCCTAACCCTAGCTCCAACCCTAACCCTAACCCTAGCTCTAACCCTAGCTCCAACCCTAACCCTAAACCTAGCTCCAACCCTAACCCTAACCCTAACCGTAGCTCCAACCCTAACCCTAACCCTAACCCTAGCTCCATCCCTAACCCTGACCCTTGCTCCAACCCTAACCCTAACCCTAACCCTAGCTCCAACCCTAACTCTAACCCTAGCTCCAACCCTAACCCTAGCTCCAACCCTAACTCTAACCCTAACCGTAACCCTAGCTCCAACCCTAACCCTAACCCTAACCCTAGCTCCAACCCTAACCCTAACCCTAACCCTATCTCCAACCCTAACCCTAACCCTGACCCTAGCTGCAACCCTAACTCTAGCTCCAACCCTAACCCTAACCCTAACCCTAGCTCCAACCCTAACCCTAACCCTAGCTCCAACCCTAACCCTAACCCTAGCTCCAACCCTGACCCTAACCCTAGCCCTAGCTCCAACCCTAACCCTAACCCTAGCTCCAACCCTAACCCTAACCCTAACCCTAGCTCCAACCCTAACCCTAACCCTAACCCTAGCTCCAACCCTAACCCTAACCCTAACCCTAGCTCCAACCCTAACCCTAACTCTAACCCTAGCTCCAACCCTAACCCTAACCCTAACCCTAGCTCCAACCCTAACCCTAACCCTAACCCTAGCTCCAACCCTAACCCTAACCCTAACCCTAGCTCCAACCCTAACCCTAACCCTAGCTCCAACCCTATCCCCAACCCTAGCTCCAACCCTAACCCTAAACCTTACCCTAGCTCCAACCCTAACCCTAACTTTAACCCTAGTTCCAACCCTAACCCTAACCCTAACCCTAGCTCCAACCCTAACCCTAACCCTAGCTCCAACCTAACCCTAACCCTAGCTCCAACCCTAACCCTAACCCTAGCTCCAACCCTAACCCTTACCCTAACCCTAGCTCCAAACCTAACCCTAACCCTAGCTCTAACCCTAGCTCCAACCCTAACCCTAACCCTAGCTCCAACCCTAACCCTAGCTCCAACCCTAACTCTAACCCTAACCGTAACCCTAGCTCCAACCCTAACCCTAACCCTAACCCTAGCTCCAACCCTAACCCTAACCCTAACCCTAGCTCCAACCCTAACCCTAACCCTAACCCTAACCCTAGCTCCAACCCTAACCCTAACCCTAGCTCCAACCCTAACCCTAACCCTAGCTCCAACCCTAACCCTAACCCTAACCTTAGCTGCAACCCTAACTCTAGCTCCAACCCTAACCCTAACCCTAACCCTAACCCTAGCTCCAACCCTAACCCTAGCTCCAACCCTAACCCTAGCTCCAACTCTAACCCTAACCCTAACCCTAGCTCCAACCCTAACCCTAACCCTAACCCTAGCTCCAACCCTAACCCTAACCCTAACCCTAGCTCCAACCCTAACCCTAACCCTAACCCTAGCTCCAACCCTAACCCTAACTCTAACCCTAGCTGCAACCCTAACCCTAGCTCCAACCCTAACCCTAACCCTAACCCTAGCTCCAACCCTAACCCTAACCGTAACCCTAGCTGCAACCCTAACCCTAACCCTAACCCTAGCTCCAACCCTAACTCTAACCCTAGCTCCAACCCTAACCCTAGCTCCAACCCTAACTCTAACCCTGACCGTAACCCTAGCTCAAACCCTAACCCTAACCCTAACCCTAGCTCCAACCCTAACCCTAACCCTAACCCTAGCTCCAACCCTAACCCTAACCCTAACCCTAGCTCCAACCCTAACCCTAACCCTAACCCTAGCTCCAACCCTAACCCTAACTCGAACCCTAGGTCCAACCCTAACCCTAACCCTAACCCTAGCTCCAACCCTAACCCTAACCCTAACCCTAGCTCCAACCCTAACCCTAACCCTAGCTCCAACCCTATCCCCAACCCTAGCTCCAACCCTAACCCTAAACCTTACCCTAGCTCCAACCCTAACCCTAACTTTAACCCTAGTTCCAACCCTAACCCTAACCCTAACCCTAGCTCCAACCCTAACCCTAACCCTAGCTCCAACCCTAACCCTAACCCTAACCCTAGCTCCAACCCTAACCCTAACCCTAACCCTAGTTCCAACCCTAACCCTAACCCTAGCTCTAACCCTAGCTCCAACTCTAACCCTAACCCTAGCTCCAACCCTAACCCTAACCCTAACCCTAGCTCCAACCCTAACCCTAACCCTAACCCTAGCTCCAT